CAAGTCTAGAGGAACACCAACTTCAGCACGGCAACTCGAGGAATGCTCCGTGTACCCCAAATCGTCTCGAGATGAGAGGTGATTCCCTGGCTTAGGCTCAAGACGTATGCCAACTTTCAAGACGCACCTCAGGAGGAGGCTTCTCTCAGCAATAGGTATGTGGGAGGGACCCCGAGGTCGCTGCCTCAAGGGCAATATACAGCGAGAAGCCCTAACTTGAAAGGAGGCCGGATTTCCTTGCAGTGGCTTCAATACAGGCTCGTCTTTCATCTCACAACATGAAGGGATGTCTGAATCCCCTGTGGAGACCTTAGAGAAAGCCCTAGGTCCCTGCCTCATTTGGACGGAATGCCTCACATCCCGTTGACACCTCGAGAGGCACGCGGAGTTCATTGCTTCAAAAGGTGACGATGCCTGACTCCTCTTGAATTCTGATAGGAATCCCAAAATCACTGTGGCTACTGGAAAGGGTCCTTGGGTGCCCTGCCTCACTTCAAGAAGCGTCCCATTTGCACTGCCAAGCCTCGATGAGATTCCTGAGGTGTCCCTCGTTACTAGACAGGAGTCCTGACGTCACTGAAGAAACTCGTGTTTTGAAGGGCCATCCCCGCCGTAAGTCGAGAACATACCCCAGGTCCCCGCCGCAACTCGAGAAAAACCATGAGACTTACCCCTAGAGGCGAGATGAGGCCCCATTCCCCTGCAGTGCATGCAGAACTATTCCGTGGTCCCATTCAAGCAAGTCAGGAGCTTCGACTTGCTTAATGGATCTCGGGACAGTCCCCAAGAACACTGTCACCAGACTCGACGGACGCTGAGGTCACCCCAGCAACGCAAAGCAGCACCATGTGCCCCAAATCAACTCGAGATGAGGCCCGATTCCCCTGCATTGACTCCAGAGCCATTCCCCGTTCCCCATTTAACACGACCGGTGGCTCGATTTCCTTCAGGCAACTCCAGAGATGCCCCCAGAACACTGTCCCAAGTCTAGAGGAACACCAACTTCAGCACGGCAACTCGAGGAATTCTCCGTGTACCCCAAATCGTCTCGAGATGAGAGGTGATTCCCTGGCTTAGGCTCAAGACGTATGCCAACTTTCAAGACGCACCTCAGGAGGAGGCTTCTCTCAGCAATAGGTATGTGGGAGGGACCCCGAGGTCGCTGCCTCAAGGGCAATATACAGCGAGAAGCCCTAACTTGAAAGGAGGCCGGATTTCTTGCAGTGGCTTGAATACAGGCTCGTCTTTGCTCTCACAACATGAAGGGATGTCTGAATCCCCTGTAAGACCTTAGCGAAAGCCCTAGGTCCCTGCCTCATTTGGACAGAATGCCTCACATCCCGTTGACACCTTGAGGGGCACGTAGAGTTCATTGCTTCAAAAGGTGACGATGCCTGACTCCTCTTGAATTCTGATAGGAATCCCAAAATCGCTGTGGCTACTGGAAAGTGGCTTGGGTGCCCTGCCTCACCTCGAGAAGCATCCCTTTTGCACTGCCAAGCCTCGATGAGATTCCTGAGGTGTCCCTCGTTACTACACAGGACTCCTGACGTCACTGACGAAACTCGTGTTATGAAGGGCCATCGCCGCCGTAAGTCGAGAACATACCCAAGATCCCCGCCGCAACTCGAGAAAAACCATGAGACTTACCCTAGAGGCGAGATGAGGCCCCATTCCCCTGCAGTGCATGCAGTGCTATTCCATGGTCCCATTCACACAAGTCAGGAGCTTCGACTTGCTTAATGGATCTCGAGAAAGTCCCCAAGAACACTGTCACCAGTCTCGACGGACCCTGAGGTCACCCCAGCAACGCAAAGCAGCTCCATGTGCCCCAAATCAACTCGAGATGAGGCCCGATTCCCCTGCATTGACTCCAGAGCTTTTCCCCGTTCCCCATTCAACATGACTGGTGGCTGGACTTCATTCACGCAACTCCAGAGATGCCCCGAGAACACTGTCCCAAGTCTAGAGGAATACCAACTTCAGCACAGCAACTCGAGGAATGCTCCGTGTACCCCAAATCGTCTCGAGATGAGAGCTGATACCCTGGCTTAGGCTCAAGACGTTTGCCAACTTTCCAGAAGCACCTCAGGAGGAGGCTTCTCTCAGCAATAGGTATGTGGGAGGGACCCCGAGTTCGCTGCCTCAAGGGCAATACAGAGCGAGAAGCCCTAACTTGAAAGGAGGCCGGATTTCCTTGCAGTGGCTTGAGTACAGGCTCGTCTTTCATCTCACAACATGAAGGGATGTCTGAATCCCCTGTGGAGACCTTAGAGAAAGCCCTAGTTCCCTGCCTCATTTTGACGGAATGCCTCACATCCCGTTGACACCTCAAGAGGCACACGAAGTTCATTGCTTCAAAAGGTGACAATGCCTCACTCCTCTTGAATACTGATAGGAATCCCAAAATCCCTGTGGCTACTGGAAAGGGTCCTTGGGTGCCCTGCCTCACCTCGAGAAGCGTCCCTTTTGCCCTGTCAAGCCTCGAAGAGATTCCTGAGGTGTCCCTCGTTACTAGACAGGAGTCCTGACGTCCCTGAAGAAACTCGTGTTTTGAAGGGCCATCCCCGCCGTAAGTCAAGAACATACCCCAGCTCCCCGCTGCAACTCGAGAAAAACCATGAGACTTACCCTAGAGGCGAGATGAGGCCCCATTCCCCTGCAGTGCATGCAGAGCTATTCCGTGGTCCCATTCAAGCAAGTCAGGAACTTCGACTTGCTTAATGGTTCTCGAGACAGTCCCCAAGAACACTGTCACCAGTCTCGACGGACCCTGAGGTCACCCCAGCAACGCAAAGCAGCTCCGTGGGCCCCAAATCAACTCGAGATGAGGCCCGATTCCCCTGCATTGACTCCAGAGCCATTCCCCGTTCCCCATTCAACACGACCGGTGGCTCGACTTCCTTCAGGCAACTCCAGAGATGCCCCGAGAACACTGTCCCAAGTCTAGAGGAACACCAACTTCAGCACGGCAACTCGAGGAATTCTCCGTGTACCCCAAATCGTCTCGAGATGAGAGGTGATTCCCTGGCTTAGGCTCAAGACGTATGCCAACTTTCAAGACGCACCTCAGGAGGAGGCTTCTCTCAGCAATAGGTATGTGGGAGGGACCCCGAGTTCACTGCCTCAAGGGCAATATACAGCGAGAAGCCCTACCTTGAAAGGAGGCCGGATTTCCTTGCAGTGGCTTGAATACAGGCTCGTCTTTGATCTCACAACATGAAGGGATGTCTGAATCCCCTGTGGAGACCTTAGAGAAATCCCTAGGTCCCTGCCTCATTTGGACGTAATGCCTCACATCCCGTTGACACCTCGAGAGGCACGCGGAGTTCATTGCTTCAAAAGGTGACGATGCCTGACTCCTCTTGAATACTGATAGGAATCCCAAAATCCCTGTGGCTACTGGAAAGGGTCCTTGGGTGCCCTGCCTCACCTCGAGAAGCGTCCCTTTTGCCCTGTCAAGCCTCGAAGAGATTCCTTAGGTGTCCCTCGTTACTAGACAGGAGTCCTGACGTCACTGAAGAAACTCGTGTTTTGAAGGGCCATCCCCGCCGTAAGTCGAGAACATACCCCAGGTCCCCGCCGCAACTCGAGAAAAACCATGAGACTTCCCCCTAGAGGCGAGATGAGACCCCATTCCCCTGCAGTGCATGCAGAGCTATTCCGTGGTCCCATTCAAACAAGTCAGGAGCTTCGACTTGCTTAATGGATCTCGAGAGAATCCCCAAGAACACTGTCACCAGCCTCGACGGACGCTGAGGTCACCCCAGCAACGCAAAGCAGCTCCATGTGCCCCAAATCAACTCGAGATGAGGCCCGATTCCCCTGCATTGGCTCCAGAGCCATTCCCCGTTCCCCATTCAACACGACCGGTGGCTCGACTTCCTTCAGGCAACTCCAGAGATGCCCCGAGAACACTGTCCCAAGTCTAGAGGAACACCAACTTCAGCACGGCAACTCGAGGAATTCTCCGTGTACCCCAAATCGTCTCGAGATGAGAGGTGATTCCCTGGCTTAGGTTCAAGACGTATTCCAACTTTCAAGACGCACCTCAGGAGGAGGCTTCTCTCAGCAATAGGTATGTGGGAGGGACCCCGAGTTCACTGCCTCAAGGGCAATATACAGCGAGAAGCCCTACCTTGAAAGGAGGCCGGATTTCCTTGCAGTGGCTTGAATACAGGCTCGTCTTTGATCTCACAACATGAAGGGATGTCTGAATTCCCTGTGGAGACCTTAGAGAAATCCCTAGGTCCCTGCCTCATTTGGACATAATGCCTCACATCCCGTTGACACCTCGAGAGGCACGCGGAGTTCATTGCTTCAAAAGGTGACAATGCCTGACTCCTCTTGAATACTGATAGGAATCCCAAAATCCCTGTGGCTACTGGAAAGGGTCCTTGGGTGCCCTGCCTCACCTCGAGAAGCGTCCCTTTTGCCCTGCCAAGCCTCGAAGAGATTCCTGAGGTGTCCCTCGTTACTAGACAGGAGTCCTGACGTCACTGAAGAAACTCGTGTTTTGAAGGGCCATCCCCGCCGTAAGTCGAGAACATACCCCAGGTCCCCGCCGCAACTCGAGAAAAACCATGAGACTTCCCCCTAGAGGCGAGATGAGGCCCCATTCCCCTGCAGTGCATGCAGAGCTATTCCGTGGTCCCATTCAAGCAAGTCAGGAGCTTCGACTTGCTTAATGGATCTCGAGACAGTCCCCAAGAACACTGTCACCAGTCTCGACGGACCCTGAGGTCACCCCAGCAACACAAAGCAGCTCCATGGGCCCCAAATCAACTCGAGATGAGGCCCGATTCCCCTGCATTGACTCCAGAGCCATTCCCCGTTCCCCATTCAACAAGACCGGTGGCTCGACTTCCTTCAGGCAACTCCAGAGATGCCCCGAGAACACTGTCCCAAGTCTAGAGGAACACCAACTTCAGCACGGCAACTCGAGGAATGCTCCGTGTACCCCAAATCGTCTCGAGATGAGAGCTGATTCCCTGGCTTAGGCTCAAGACGTATGCCAACTTTCCAGACGCACCTCAGGAGGAGGCTTCTCTCAGCAATAGGTATGTGGCAGGGACCCCGAGTTCGCTGCCTCAAGGGCAATATACAGCGAGAAGCCCTAACTTGAAAGGAGGACGAATTTCCTTGCAGTGGCTTGAATACAGGCTCGTCTTTCATCTCACAACATGAAGGGATGTCTGAATCCCCTGTGGAGACCTTAGAGAAAGCCCTAGGTCCCTGCCTCATTTTGACGGAATGCCTCACATCCCGTTGACACCTCAAGAGGCACGCGAAGTTCATTGCTTCAAAAGGTGACAATGCCTGACTCCTCTTGAATAATGATAGGAATCCCAAAATCCCTGTGGCTACTGGAAATGGTCCTTGGGTGCTCTGTCTCACTTCGAGAAGCGTCCCTTTTGTCCTGCCAAGCCTCGAAGTGATTCCTGAGGTGTCCCTCGTTACTAGACAGGAGTCCTGACGTCACTGAAGAAACTCGTGTTTTGAAGGGCCATCCCCGCCGTAAGTCGAGAACATACCCCAGGTCCCCGCCGCAACTCGAGAAAAACCATGAGACTTCCCCCTAGAGGCGAGATGAGGCCCCATTCCCCTGCAGTGCATGCAGAGCTATTCCGTGGTCCCATTCAAGCAAGTCAGGAGCTTCGCCTTGCTTAATGCTTCTCGAGACAGTCCCCAAGAACACTGTCACCAGTCTAGACGGACCCTGAGGTCACCCCAGCAACGCAAAGCAGCTCCATGTGCCCCAAATCAACTCGAGATGAGGCCCGATTCCCCTGCATTGACTCCAGAGCCATTCCCCGTTCCCCATTCAACACGACCGGTGGCTCGACTTCCTTCAGGCAACTCCAGAGATACCCCGAGAACACTGTCCCAAGTCTAGAGGAACACCAACTTCAGCACAGCAACTCGAGGAATGCTCCGTGTACCCCAAATCGTCTCGAGATGAGAGCTGATTCCCTGGCTTAGGCTCAAGACGTATGCCAACTTTCCAGACGCACCTCAGGAGGAGGCTTCTCTCAGCAATAGGTATGTGGGAGGGACCCCGAGTTCGCTGCCTCAAGGGCAATATACAGCGAGAAGCACTAACTTGAAAGGAGGCCGCATTTCCTTGCAGTGGCTTGAATACAGGCTCGTCTTTCATCTCACACCATGAAGGGATGTCTGAATCCCCTGTGGAGACCTTAGAGAAAGCCCTAGGTCCCTGCCTCATTTGGACGGAATGCCTCACATCCCGTTGACACCTCGAGAGGCACGCGGAGTTCATTGCTTCAAAAGGTGACGATGCCTGACTCCTCTTGAATTCTGATAGGAATCCCAAAATCACTGTGGCTACTGGAAAGGGTCCTTGGGTGCCCTGCCTCACCTCAAGAAGCGTCCCATTTGCACTGCCAAGCCTCGATGAGATTCCTGAGGTGTCCCTCGTTACTAGACAGGAGTCCTGACGTCACTGAAGAAACTCGTGTTTTGAAGGGCCATCCCCGCGGTAAGTCGAGAACATACCCCAGGTCCCCGCCGCAACTCGAGAAAAACCATGAGACTTCCCCCTAGAGGCGAGATGAGGCCCCATTCCCCTGCAGTGCATGCAGAGCTATTCCGTGGTCCCATTCAAACAAGTCAGGAGCTTCGACTTGCTTAATGGATCTCGAGACAGTCCCCAAGAACACTGTCACCAGTCTCGACGGACGCTGAGGTCACCCCAGCAACGCAAAGCAGCTCCATGTGCCCCAAATCAACTCGAGATGAGGCCCGATTCCCCTGCATTGACTCCAGAGCCATTCCCCGTTCCCCATTCAACACGACCGGTGGCTCGACTTCCTTCAGGCAACTCCAGAGATACCCCGAGAACACTGTCCCAAGTCTAGAGGAACACCAATTTCAGCACGGCAACTCGAGGAATACTCCGTGTACCCCAAATCGTCTCGAGATGAGAGCTCATTCCCTGGCTTAGGCTCAAGACGTATGCCAACTTTCCAGACGCACCTCAGGAGGAGGCTTCTCTCAGCAATAGGTATGTGGGAGGGACCCCGAGTTCGCTACCTCAAGGGCAATATACAGCGAGAAGCCCTAACTGGAAAGAAGGCCGGATTTCCTTGCAGTGGCTTGAATACAGGCTCGTCTTTCATCTCACGACATGAAGGGATGTCTGAATCCCCTGTGGAGACCTTAGAGAAAGCCCTAGATCCCTGCCTCATTTTGACGGAATGCCTCACATCCCGTTGACACATCAAGAGGCACGCGAAGTTCATTGCTTCAAAAGGTGACAATGCCTGACTCCTCTTGAATACTGATAGGAATCCCAAAATCCCTGTGGCTACTGGAAAGGGTCCTTGGGTGCCCTGCCTCACCTCGAGAAGCGTCCCTTTTGCCCTGCCAAGCCTCGAAGAGATTCCTGAGGTGTCCCTCGTTACTAGACAGGAGTCCTGACGTCACTGAAGAATCTCGTGTTTTGAAGGGCCATCCCCGCCGTAAGTCGAGAACATGCCCCAGGTCCCCGCCGCAACTCGAGAAAATCCATGAGACTTCCCCCTAGAGGCGAGATGAGGCCCAATTCCCCTGCAGTGCATGCAGAGCTATTCCGTGGTCCCATTCAAGCAAGTCAGGAGCTTCGACTTGCTTAATGGTTCTCGAGACAGTCCCCAAGAACACTGTCAAGAGTCTCGACGGACCCTGAGGTCACCCCAGCAACGCAAAGCAGCTCCATGGGCCCCAAATCAACTCGAGATGAGGCCCGATTCCCCTGCATTGACTCCAGAGCCATTCCCCGTTCCCCATTCAACACGACCGGTGGCTCGACTTCCTTCAGGCAACTCCAGAGATGCCCCGAGAACACTGTTCCAAGTCTAGAGGAACACCAACTTCAGCACGGCAACTCGAGGAATGCTCCGTGTACCCCAAATTGTCTCGAGATGAGAGGTGATTCCCTGGCTTAGGCTCAAGACGTATGCCAACTTTCCAGACGCACCTCAGGAGGAGGCTTCTCTCAGCAATAGGTATGTGGGAGGGACCCCGAGTTCGCTGCCTCAAGGGCAATATACAGCGAGAAGACCTAACTTGAAAGGAGGCTGGATTTCCTTGCAGTGGCTTGAATACAGACTCGTCTTTCATCTCACAACATGCAGGGATGTCGGAATCCCCTGTGGAGACATTAGAGAAAGCCCTAGGTCCCTGCCTCATTTGGACGGAATGCCTCAAATCCCGTTGACAACTTGAGAGGCACGCGGAGTTCATTGCTTCAAAATGTGACGATGCCTGACTCCTGTTGAATTCTGATAGGAATCCCAAAATCACTGTGGCTACTGGAAAGGGTCCTTGCGTGCCCTGCCTCACCTCAAGAAGCGTCCCATTTGCACTGCCAAGCCTCGATGAGATTCCTGAGGTGTCCCTCGTTACTAGACAGGAGTCCTGACGTCCCTGAAGAAACTCGTGTTTTGAAGGGCCATCCCCGCCGTAAGTCAAGAACATACCCCAGGTCCCCGCTGCAACTCGAGAAAAACCATGAGACTTCCCCCTAGAGGCGAGATGAGGCCCAATTCCCCTGCAGTGCATGCAGAGCTATTCCGTGGTCCCATTCAAGCAAGTCAGGAACTTCGACTTGCTTAATGGTTCTCGAGACAGTCCCCAAGAACACTGTCACCAGTCTCGACGGACCCTGAGGTCACCTCAGCAACGCAAAGCAGCTCCGTTGGCCCCAAATCAACTCGAGATGAGGCCCGATTCCCCTGCATTGACTCCAGAGCCATTCCCCGTTCCCCATTCAACACGACCGGTGGCTCGACTTCCTTCAGGCCACTCCAGAGATACCCCGAGAACACTGTCCCAAGTCTAGAGGAACACCAACTTCAGCACGGCAACTCGAGGAATGCTCCGTGTACCCAAAATCGACTCGAGATGAGAGGTGATTCCCTGGCTTAGGCTCAAGACGTATGCCAACTTTCAAGACGCACCTCAGGAGGAGGCTTCTCTCAGCAATAGGTATGTGGGAGGGACCCCGAGTTCGCTGCCTCAAGGGCAATATACAGCGAGAAGCCCTAACTTGAAAGGAGGCCGGATTTCCTTGCAGTGGCTTGAATACAGGCTCGTCTTTGATCTCACAGCATGAAGGGATGTCTGAATCCCCTGTGGAGACCTTAGAGAAAGCCCTAGGTCCCTGCCTCATTTTGACGGAATGCCTCACATCCCGTTGACACCTCGAGAGGCACGCGGAGTTCATTGCTTCAAAAGGTGACGATGCCTGACTCCTCTTGAATACTGATAGGAATCCCAAAATCCCTGTGGCTACTGGAAAGGGTCCTTGGGTGCCCTGCCTCACCTCGAGAAGCGTCCCTTTTGCCCTGTCAAGCCTCGAAGAGATTCCTTAGGTGTCCCTCGTTACTAGACAGGAGTCCTGACGTCACTGAAGAAACTCGTGTTTTGAAGGGCCATCCCCGCCGTAAGTCGAGAACATACCCCAGGTCCCCGCCGCAACTCGAGAAAAACCATGAGACTTCCCCCTAGAGGCGAGATGAGACCCCATTCCCCTGCAGTGCATGCAGAGCTATTCCGTGGTCCCATTCAAACAAGTCAGGAGCTTCGACTTGCTTAATGGATCTCGAGAGAGTCCCCAAGAACACTGTCACCAGCCTCGACGGACGCTGAGGTCACCCCAGCAACGCAAAGCAGCTCCATGTGCCCCAAATCAACTCGAGATGAGGCCCGATTCCCCTGCATTGACTCCAGAGCCATTCCCCGTTCCCCATTCAACACGACCGGTGGCTCGACTTCCTTCAGGCAACTCCAGAGATACCCCGAGAACACTGTCCGAAGTCTAGAGGAACACCAACTTCAGCACAGCAACTCGAGGAATGCTCCGTGTACCCCAAATCGTCTCGAGATGAGAGCTGATTCCCTGGCTTAGGCTCAAGACGTATGCCAACTTTCCAGACGCACCTCAGGAGGAGGCTTCTCTCAGCAATAGGTATGTGGGAGGGACCCCGACTTCGCTGCTCAAGGGGAATATACAGCGAGAAGCCCTAACTTGAAAGGAGGCCGGATTTCCTTGCAGTGGCTTGAATACAGGCTCGTCTTTCATCTCACGACATGAATGGATGTCTGAATCCCCTGTGGAGACCTTAGAGAAAGCCCTAGGTCCCTGCCTCATTTGGACGGAATGCCTCACATCCCGTTGACACTTCAAGAGGCAAGCGAAGTTCATTACTTCAAAAGGTGACAATGCCTGACTCCTCTTGAATACTGATAGGAATCCCAAAATCCCTGTGGCTACTGGAAAGGGTCCTTGGGTGCCCTGCCTCACCTCGAGAAGCGTCCCTTTTGCCCTGCCAAGCCTCGAAGAGATTCCTGAGGTGTCCCTCGTTACTAGACAGGAGTCCTGACGTCACTGAAGAAACTCGTGTTTTGAAGGGCCATCCCCGCCGTAAGTCGAGAACATACCCCAGGTCCCCGCCGCAACTCGAGAAAAACCATGAGACTTCCCCCTAGAGGCGAGATGAGGCCCCATTCCCCTGCAGTGCATGCAGAGCTATTCCGTGGTCCCATTCAAGCAAGTCAGGAGGTTCGACTTGCTTAATGGATCTCGAGACAGTCCCCAAGAACACTGTCACCAGTCTCGACGGACGCTGAGGTCACCCCAGCAACGCAAAGCAGCACCATGTGCCCCAAATCAACTCGAGATGAGGCCCGATTCCCCTGCATTGACTCCAGAGCCATTCCCCGTTCCCCATTCAACACGACCGGTGGCTCGACTTCCTTCAGGCAACTCCAGAGATGCCCCGAGAACACTGTCCCAAGTCTAGAGGAACACCAACTTCAGCACGGCAACTCGAGGAATTCTCCGTGTACCCCAAATCGTCTCGAGATGAGAGGTGATTCCCTGGCTTAGGCTCAAGACGTATGCCAACTTTCAAGACGCACCTCAGGAGGAGGCTTCTCTCAGCAATAGGTATCTGGGAGGGACCCCGAGTTCACTGCCTCAAGGACAATATACAGCGAGAAGCCCTACCTTGAAAGGAGGCCGGATTTCCTTGCAGTGGCTTGAATACAGGCTCGTCTTTGATCTCACAACATGAAGGGATGTCTGAATTCCCTGTGGAGACCTTAGAGAAATCCCTAGGTCCCTGCCTCATTTGGACGTAATGCCTCACATCCCGTTGACACCTCGAGAGGCACGCGGAGTTCATTGCTTCAAAAGGTGACGATGCCTGACTCCTCTTGAATACTGATAGGAATCCCAAAATCCCTGTGGCTACTGGAAAGGGTCCTTGGGTGCCCTGCCTCACCTCGAGAAGCGTCCCTTTTGCCCTGCCAAGCCTCGAAGAGATTCCTGAGGTGTCCCTCGTTACTAGACAGGAGTCCTGACGTCTCTGAAGAAACTCGTGTTTTGAAGGGCCATCCCCGCCGTAAGTCGAGAACATACCCCAGGTCCCCGCCGCAACTCGAGAAAAACCATGAGACTTCCCCCTAGAGGCGAGATGAGACCCCATTCCCCTGCAGTGCATGCAGAGCTATTCCGTGGTCCCATTTAAACAAGTCAGGAGCTTCGACTTGCTTAATGGATCTCGAGACAGTCCCCAAGAACACTGTCACCAGCCTCGACAGACGCTGAGGTCACCCCAGCAACGCAAAGCAGCTCCATGTGCCCCAAATCAACTCGAGATGAGGCCCGATTCCCCTGCATTGACTCCAGAGCCATTCCCCGTTCCCCATTCAACACGACCGGTGGCTCGACTTCCTTCAGGCAACTCCAGAGATACCACGAGAACACTGTCCGAAGTCTAGAGGAACACCAACTTTAGCACAGCAACTCGAGGAATGGTCCGTGTACCCCAAATCGTCTCGAGATGAGAGCTGATTCCCTGGCTTAGGCTCAAGACGTATGCCAACTTTCCAGACGCACCTCAGGAGGAGGCTTCTCTCAGCAATAGGTATGTGGAAGGGACCCCGACTTCGCTGCTCAAGGGGAATATACAGCGAGAAGCCCTAACTTGAAAGGAGGCCGGATTTCCTTGCAGTGGCTTGAATACAGGCTCGTCTTTCATCTCACGACATGAATGGATGTCTGAATCCCCTGTGGAGACCTTAGAGAAAGCCCTAGGTCCCTGCCTCATTTTGACGGAATGCCTCACATCCCGTTGACACTTCAAGAGTTACGCGAAGTTCATTGCTTCAAAGGTGACAATGCCTGACTCCTCTTGAATACTGATAGGAATCCCAAAATCCCTGTGGCTACTGGAAAGGGTCCTTGGGTGCCCTGCCTCACCTCGAGAAGCGTACCTTTTGCCCTGCCAAGCCTCGAAGAGATTCCTGAGGTGTCCCTCGTTACTAGACAGGAGTCCTGACGTCACTGAAGAAACTCGTGTTTTGAAGGGCCATCCCCGCCGTAAGTCGAGAACATACCCCAGGTCCCCGCCACAACTCGAGAAAAACCATGAGACTTCCCCCTAGAGGCGAGATGAGGCCCCATTCCCCTGCAGTGCATGCAGAGCTATTCCGTGGTATCATTCAAACAAGTCAGGAGCTTCGACTTGCTTAATGGTTCTCGAGACAGTCCCCAAGAACACTGTCACCAGTCTCGACGGACCCTGAGCTCACCCCAGCAACGCAAAGCAGCTCCATGGGCCCCAAATCAACTCGAGATGAGGCCCGATTCCCCTGCATTGACTCCAGAGCCATTCCCCGTTCCCCATTCAACACGACCGGTGGCTCGACTTCCTTCAGGCAACTCCAGAGATGCCCCGAGAACACTGTCCCAAGTCTAGAGGAACACCAACTTCAGCACGGCAACTCGAGGAATGCTCCGTGTACCCCAAATCGTATCGAGATGAGAGGTGATTCCCTGGCTTAGGCCCAAGACGTATGCCAACTTTCAAGACGCACCTCAGGAGGAGGCTTCTCTCAGCAATAGGTATGTGGGAGGGACCCCGAGGTCGCTGCCTCAAGGGCAATATACAGCGAGAAGCCCTAACTTGAAAGGAGGCCGGATTTCCTTGCAGTGGCTTGAATACAGGCTCGTCTTTCATCTCAAAACATAAAGGGATGTCTGAATCCCCTGTGGAGACCTTAGAGAAAGCCCTAGGTCCCTGCCTCATTTGGACGGAATGCCTCACATCCCGTTGACACCTCGAGAGGCACGCGGAGTTCATTGCTTCAAAAGGTGACGATGCCTGACTCCTCTTGAATTCTGATAGGAATCCCAAAATCCCTGTGGCTACTGGAAAGGGTCCTTGGGTGCCCTGCCTCACTTCAAGAAGCGTCCCATTTGCACTGCCAAGCCTCGAAGAGATTCCTGAGGTGTCCCTCGTTACTAGACAGGAGTCCTGACGTCACTGAAGAAACTCGTGTTTTGAAGGGCCATCCCCGCCGTAAGTCGAGAACATACCCCAGGTCCCCGCCGCAACTCGAGAAAAACCATGAGACTTACCCCTAGAGGCGAGATGAGGCCCCATTCCCCTGCAGTGCATGCAGAACTATTCCGTGGTTCCATTCAAACAAGTCAGGAGCTTCGACTTGCCTAATGGATCTCGAGACAGTCCCCAAGAACACTGTCACCAGTCTCGACGGACCCTGAGGTCACCCCAGCAACGCAAAGCAGCTCCATGGGCCCCAAATCAACTCGAGATGAGGCCCGATTCCCCTGCATTGACTCCAGAGCCATTCCCCGTTCCCCATTCAACACGACCGGTGGCTCGTCTTCCTTCAGGCAACTCCAGAGATACCCCGAGAACACTGTCCCAAGTCTAGAGGAACACCAACTTCAGCACAGCAACTCGAGGAATGCTCCGTGTACCCCAAATCGTCTCGAGATGAGAGCTGATTCCCTGGCTTAGGCTCAAGACGTATGCCAACTTTCCAGACGCACCTCAGGAGGAGGCTTCTCTCAGCAATAGGTATGTGGGAGGGACCCCGAGTTCGCTGCCTCAAGGGCAATATACAGCGAGAAGCCCTAACTTGAAAGGAGGCCGGATTTCCTTGCAGTGGCTTGAATACAGGCTCGTCTTTCATCTCACGACATGAAGGGATGTCTGAATCCCCTGTGGAGACCTTAGAGAAAGCCCTAGGTCCCTGCCTCATTTTGACGGAATGCCTCACATCCCGTTGACACCTCAAGAGGCCCGCGAAGTTCATTGCTTCAAAAGGTGACAATGCCTCACTCCTCTTGAATACTGATAGGAATCCCAAAATCCCTGTGGCTACTGGAAAGGGTCCTTGGGTGCCCTGCCTCACCTCGAGAAGCGTCCCTTTTGCCCTGCCAAGCCTCGAAGAGATTCCTGAGGTGTCCCTCGTTACTAGACAGGAGTCCTGACGTCACTGAAGAAACTCGTGTTTTGAAGGGCCATCCCCGCCGTAAGTCGAGAACATACCCCAGGTCCCCGCCGCAACTCGAGAAAAACCATGAGACTTCCCCCTAGAGGCGAGATGAGGCCCCATTCCCCTGCAGTGCATGCAGAGCTATTCCGTGGTCCCATTCAAGCAAGTCAGGAGCTTCGACCTGCTTAATGGATCTCGAGACAGTCCCCAAGAACACTGTCACCAGTCTCGACGGACCCTGAGGTCACCCCAGCAACGCAAAGCAGCTCCATGGGCCCCAAATCAACTCGAGATGAGGCCCGATTCCCCTGCATTGACTCCAGAGCCATTCCCCGTTCCCCATTCAACACGACCGGTGGCTCGACTTCCTTCAGGCAACTCCAGAGATGCCCCGAGAACACTGTCCCAAGTCTAGAGGAACACCAACTTCAGCACGGCAACTCGAGGAATGCTCCGTGTACCCCAAATCGTCTCGAGATGAGAGGTGATTCCCTGGCTTAGGCTCAAGACGTATGCCAACTTTCAAGACGCACCTCAGGAGGAGGCTTCTCTCAGCAATAGGTATGTGGGAGGGACCCCGAGGTCGCTGCCTCAAGGGCAATATACAGCGAGAAGCCCTAACTTGAAAGGAGGCCGGATTTCCTTGCAGTGGCTTGAATACAGGCTCGTCTTTCATCTCACAACATGAAGGGATGTCTGAATCCACTGTGGAGACCTTAGAGAAAGCCCTAGGTCCCTGCCTCATTTGGACGGAATGCCTCACATCCCGTTGACACCTCGAGAGGCACGCGGAGTTCATTGCTTCAAAAGGTGACGATGCCTGACTCCTCTTGAATTCTGATTGGAATCCCGAAATCACTGTGGCTACTGGAAAGGGTCCTTGGGTGCCCTGCCTCACTTCAAGAAGCGTCCCATTTGCACTGCCAAGCCTCGAAGAGATTACTGAGGTGTCCTTCGTTACTAGACAGGAGTCCTGACGTCACTGAAGAAACTCGTGATTTGAAGGGCCATCCCCGCCGTAAGTCGAGAACATACCCCAGGTCCCCGCCGCACCTCGAGAAAATCCATGAGACTTCCCCCTAGAGGCGAGATGAGGCCCCATTCCCCTGCAGTGCATGCAGAGCTATTCTGTGGTCCCATTCAAGCAAGTCAGGAGCTTCGACTTGCTTAATGGTTCTCGAGACAGTCCCCAAGAACACTGTCACCAGTCTCGACGGACCCTGAGGTCACCCCAGCAACGCAAAGCAGCTCCATGGGCCCCAAATCAACTCGAGATGAGGCCCGATTCCCCTGCATTGACTCCAGAGCCATTCCCGGTTCCCCATTCAACACGACCGGTGGCTCGACTTCCTTCAGGCAACTCCAGAGATGCCCCGAGAACACTGTCCCAAGTCTAGAGGAACACCAACTTCAGCACGGCAACTCGAGGAATGCTCCGTGTACCCCAAATCGTCTCGAGGTGAGAGGTGATTCCCTGGCTTAGGCTCAAGACGTATGCCAACTTTCAAGACGCACTTCAGGAGGAGGCTTCTCTCAGCAATAGGTATGTGGGAGGGACCCCGAGTTCGCAGCCTCAAGGGCAATATACAGCGAGAAGCCCTAACTTGAAAGGAGGCCGGATTTCCTTGCAGTGGCTTGAATACAGGCTCGTCTTTCATCTCACAACATGAAGGGATGTCTGAATCCAATGTGGAGACCTTAGAGAAAGCCCTAGGTCCCTGCCTCATTTAGACGGAATGCCTCACATCCCGTTGACAACTCGAGAGGCACGCGGAGTTCATTGCTTCAAAAGGTGACGATGCCTGACTCCTCTGGAATTCTGATAGGAATCCCAAAATCACTGTGGCTACTGGAAAGGGTTCTTGGGTGCCCTGCCTCACCTCGAGAAGCGTCCCATTTGCACTGCCAAGCCTCGATGAGATTCCTGAGGTGTCCCTCGTTACTAGACAGGAGTCCTGACGTCACTGAAGAAACTCGTGTTTTGAAGGGCCATCCCCGCCGTAAGTCGAGAACATACCCCAGGTCCCCGCCGCAACTCGAGAAAAACCATGAGACTTCCCCCTAGAGGCGAGATGAGGCCCCATTCCCCTGCAGTGCATGCAGAGCTATTCCGTGGTCCCATTCAAACAAGTCAGGAGCTTCGACTTGCTTAATGGATCTCGAGACAGTCCCCAAGAACACTGTCACCAGTCTCGACGGACGCTGAGGTCACCCCAGCAACGCAAAGCAGCTCCATGTGCCCCAAATCAACTCGAGATGAGGCCCGATTCCCCTGCATTGACTCCAGAGCCATTCCCCGTTCCCCATTCAACACGACCGGTGGCTCGACTTCCTTCAGGCCACTCCAGAGATACCCGGAGAACACTGTCCCAAGTCTAGAGGAACACCAACTTCAGCATAGCAACTCGAGAAATGCTACGTGTACCCCAAATCGTCTCGAGATGAGAGCTGATTCCCTGGCTTAGGCTCAAGACGTATGCCAACTTTCCAGACGCACCTCAGGAGGAGGCTTCTCTCAGCAATAGGTATGTGGGAGGGACCTCGAGTTCGCTGCCTCAAGGGCAATATACAGCGAGAAGCCCTAACTTGAAAGGAGGCCGGATTTCCTTGCAGTGGCTTGAATACAGGCTCGTCTTTCATCTCACAACATGAAGGGATGTCTGAATCCCCTGTGGAGAACTTAGAGAAAGCCCTAGGTCCCTGCCTCATTTTGACGGAATGCCTCACATCCCGTTGACACCTCAAGAGGCACGCGAAGTTCATTGCTTCAAAAGGTGACAATGCCTCACTCCTCTTGAATACTGATAGGAATCCCAAAATCCCTGTGGCTACTGGAAAGGGTCCTTGGGTGCCCTGCCTCACCTCGAGAAGCGTCCCTTTTGCCCTGCCAAGCCTCGAAGAGATTCCTGAGGTGTCCCTCGTTACTAGACAGGAGTCCTGACGTCACTGAAGAAACTGGTGTTTTGAACGGCCATCCCCGCCGTAAGTCGAGAACATACCCCAGGTCCCCGCCGCAACTCGAGAAAAACCATGAGACTTCCCCCTAGAGGCGAGATGAGGCCCCATTCCCCTGCAGTGCATGCAGAGCTATTCCGTGGTCCCATTCAAGCAAGTCAGGAGCTTCGACTTGCTTAATGGTTCTCGAGACAGTCCCCAAGAACACTGTCACCAGTCTCGACGGACCCTGAGGTCACCCCAGCAACGCAAAGCAGCTCCATGGGCCCCAAATCAACTCGAGATGAGGCCCGATTCCCCTGCATTGACTCCAGAGCCATTCCCGGTTCCCCATTCAACACGACCGGTGGCTCGACTTAATTCAGGCAACTCCAGAGATGCCCCGAGAACACTGTCCCAAGTCTAGAGGAACACCTACTTCAGCACAGCAACTCGAGGAATGCTCCGTGTACCCCAAATCGTCTCGAGATGAGAGGTGATTCCCTGGCTTAGGCTCAAGACGTATGCCAACTTTCAAGACGCACCTCAGGAGGAGGCTTCTCTCAGCAATAGGTATGTGGGAGGGACCCCGAGGTCGCTGCCTCAAGGGCAATATACAGCGAGAAGCCCTAACTTGAAAGGAGGCCGGATTTCCTTGCAGTGGCTTCAATACAGGCTCGTCTTTCATCTCACAACATGAAGGGATGTCTGAATCCCCTGTGGAGACCTTAGAGAAAGCCCTAGGTCCCTGCCTCATTTGGACGGAATGCCTCACATCCCGTTGACACCTCGAGAGGCACGCGGAGTTCATTGCTTCAAAAGGTGACGATGCCTGACTCCTCTTGAATTCTGATAGGAATCCCAAAATCACTGTGGCTACTGGAAAGGGTCCTTGGGTGCCCTGCCTCACTTCAAGAAGCGTCCCATTTGCACTGCCAAGCCTCGATGAGATTCCTGAGGTGTCCCTCGTTACTAGACAGGAGTCCTGACGTCACTGAAGAAACTCGTGTTTTGAAGGGCCATCCCCGCCGTAAGTCGAGAACATACCCCAGGTCCCCGCCGCAACTCGAGAAAAACCATGAGACTTACCCCTAGAGGCGAGATGAGGCCCCATTCCCCTGCAGTGCATGCAGAACTATTCCGTGGTCCCATTCAAGCAAGTCAGGAGCTTCGACTTGCTTAATGGATCTCGAGACAGTCCCCAAGAACACTGTCACCAGACTCGACGGACGCTGAGGTCACCCCAGCAACGCAAAGCAGCACCATGTGCCCCAAATCAACTCGAGATGAGGCCCGATTCCCCTGCATTGACTCCAGAGCCATTCCCCGTTCCCCATTTAACACGACCGGTGGCTCGATTTCCTTCAGGCAACTCCAGAGATGCCCCCAGAACACTGTCCCAAGTCTAGAGGAACACCAACTTCAGCACGGCAACTCGAGGAATTCTCCGTGTACCCCAAATCGTCTCGAGATGAGAGGTGATTCCCTGGCTTAGGCTCAAGACGTATGCCAACTTTCAAGACGCACCTCAGGAGGAGGCTTCTCTCAGCAATAGGTATGTGGGAGGGACCCCGAGGTCGCTGCCTCAAGGGCAATATACAGCGAGAAGCCCTAACTTGAAAGGAGGCCGGATTTCTTGCAGTGGCTTGAATACAGGCTCGTCTTTGCTCTCACAACATGAAGGGATGTCTGAATCCCCTGTAAGACCTTAGCGAAAGCCCTAGGTCCCTGCCTCATTTGGACAGAATGCCTCACATCCCGTTGACACCTTGAGGGGCACGTAGAGTTCATTGCTTCAAAAGGTGACGATGCCTGACTCCTCTTGAATTCTGATAGGAATCCCAAAATCCCTGTGGCTACTGGAAAGTGGCTTGGGTGCCCTGCCTCACCTCGAGAAGCATCCCTTTTGCACTGCCAAGCCTCGATGAGATTCCTGAGGTGTCCCTCGTTACTACACAGGACTCCTGACGTCACTGACGAAACTCGTGTTATGAAGGGCCATCGCCGCCGTAAGTCGAGAACATACCCAAGATCCCCGCCGCAACTCGAGAAAAACCATGAGACTTACCCTAGAGGCGAGATGAGGCCCCATTCCCCTGCAGTGCATGCAGTGCTATTCCGTGGTCCCATTCAAACAAGTCAGGAGCTTCGACTTGCTTAATGGATCTCGAGAAAGTCCCCAAGAACACTGTCACCAGTCTCGACGGACCCTGAGGTCACCCCAGCAACGCAAAGCAGCTCCATGTGCCCCAAATCAACTCGAGATGAGGCCCGATTCCCCTGCATTGACTCCAGAGCTTTTCCCCGTTCCCCATTCAACATGACTGGTGGCTGGACTTCATTCACGCAACTCCAGAGATGCCCCGAGAACACTGTCCCAAGTCTAGAGGAATACCAACTTCAGCACAGCAACTCGAGGAATGCTCCGTGTACCCCAAATCGTCTCGAGATGAGAGCTGATACCCTGGCTTAGGCTCAAGACGTTTGCCAACTTTCCAGAAGCACCTCAGGAGGAGGCTTCTCTCAGCAATAGGTATGTGGGAGGGACCCCGAGTTCGCTGCCTCAAGGGCAATACAGAGCGAGAAGCCCTAACTTGAAAGGAGGCCGGATTTCCTTGCAGTGGCTTGAGTACAGGCTCGTCTTTCATCTCACAACATGAAGGGATGTCTGAATCCCCTGTGGAGACCTTAGAGAAAGCCCTAGTTCCCTGCCTCATTTTGACGGAATGCCTCACATCCCGTTGACACCTCAAGAGGCACACGAAGTTCATTGCTTCAAAAGGTGACAATGCCTCACTCCTCTTGAATACTGATAGGAATCCCAAAATCCCTGTGGCTACTGGAAAGGGTCCTTGGGTGCCCTGCCTCACCTCGAGAAGCGTCCCTTTTGCCCTGTCAAGCCTCGAAGAGATTCCTGAGGTGTCCCTCGTTACTAGACAGGAGTCCTGACGTCCCTGAAGAAACTCGTGTTTTGAAGGGCCATCCCCGCCGTAAGTCAAGAACATACCCCAGCTCCCCGCTGCAACTCGAGAAAAACCATGAGACTTACCCTAGAGGCGAGATGAGGCCCCATTCCCCTGCAGTGCATGCAGAGCTATTCCGTGGTCCCATTCAAGCAAGTCAGGAACTTCGACTTGCTTAATGGTTCTCGAGACAGTCCCCAAGAACACTGTCACCAGTCTCGACGGACCCTGAGGTCACCCCAGCAACGCAAAGCAGCTCCGTGGGCCCCAAATCAACTCGAGATGAGGCCCGATTCCCCTGCATTGACTCCAGAGCCATTCCCCGTTCCCCATTCAACACGACCGGTGGCTCGACTTCCTTCAGGCAACTCCAGAGATGCCCCGAGAACACTGTCCCAAGTCTAGAGGAACACCAACTTCAGCACGGCAACTCGAGGAATTCTCCGTGTACCCCAAATCGTCTCGAGATGAGAGGTGATTCCCTGGCTTAGGCTCAAGACGTATGCCAACTTTCAAGACGCACCTCAGGAGGAGGCTTCTCTCAGCAATAGGTATGTGGGAGGGACCCCGAGTTCACTGCCTCAAGGGCAATATACAGCGAGAAGCCCTACCTTGAAAGGAGGCCGGATTTCCTTGCAGTGGCTTGAATACAGGCTCGTCTTTGATCTCACAACATGAAGGGATGTCTGAATCCCCTGTGGAGACCTTAGAGAAATCCCTAGGTCCCTGCCTCATTTGGACGTAATGCCTCACATCCCGTTGACACCTCGAGAGGCACGCGGAGTTCATTGCTTCAAAAGGTGACGATGCCTGACTCCTCTTGAATACTGATAGGAATCCCAAAATCCCTGTGGCTACTGGAAAGGGTCCTTGGGTGCCCTGCCTCACCTCGAGAAGCGTCCCTTTTGCCCTGTCAAGCCTCGAAGAGATTCCTTAGGTGTCCCTCGTTACTAGACAGGAGTCCTGACGTCACTGAAGAAACTCGTGTTTTGAAGGGCCATCCCCGCCGTAAGTCGAGAACATACCCCAGGTCCCCGCCGCAACTCGAGAAAAACCATGAGACTTCCCCCTAGAGGCGAGATGAGACCCCATTCCCCTGCAGTGCATGCAGAGCTATTCCGTGGTCCCATTCAAACAAGTCAGGAGCTTCGACTTGCTTAATGGATCTCGAGAGAATCCCCAAGAACACTGTCACCAGCCTCGACGGACGCTGAGGTCACCCCAGCAACGCAAAGCAGCTCCATGTGCCCCAAATCAACTCGAGATGAGGCCCGATTCCCCTGCATTGGCTCCAGAGCCATTCCCCGTTCCCCATTCAACACGACCGGTGGCTCGACTTCCTTCAGGCAACTCCAGAGATGCCCCGAGAACACTGTCCCAAGTCTAGAGGAACACCAACTTCAGCACGGCAACTCGAGGAATTCTCCGTGTACCCCAAATCGTCTCGAGATGAGAGGTGATTCCCTGGCTTAGGTTCAAGACGTATTCCAACTTTCAAGACGCACCTCAGGAGGAGGCTTCTCTCAGCAATAGGTATGTGGGAGGGACCCCGAGTTCACTGCCTCAAGGGCAATATACAGCGAGAAGCCCTACCTTGAAAGGAGGCCGGATTTCCTTGCAGTGGCTTGAATACAGGCTCGTCTTTGATCTCACAACATGAAGGGATGTCTGAATTCCCTGTGGAGACCTTAGAGAAATCCCTAGGTCCCTGCCTCATTTGGACGTAATGCCTCACATCCCGTTGACACCTCGAGAGGCACGCGGAGTTCATTGCTTCAAAAGGTGACAATGCCTGACTCCTCTTGAATACTGATAGGAATCCCAAAATCCCTGTGGCTACAGGAAAGGGTCCTTGGGTGCCCTGCCTCACCTCGAGAAGCGTCCCTTTTGCCCTGCCAAGCCTCGAAGAGATTCCTGAGGTGTCCCTCGTTACTAGACAGGAGTCCTGACGTCACTGAAGAAACTCGTGTTTTGAAGGGCCATCCCCGCCGTAAGTCGAGAACATACCCCAGGTCCCCGCCGCAACTCGAGAAAAACCATGAGACTTCCCCCTAGAGGCGAGATGAGGCCCCATTCCCCTGCAGTGCATGCAGAGCTATTCCGTGGTCCCATTCAAGCAAGTCAGGAGCTTCGACTTGCTTAATGGATCTCGAGACAGTCCCCAAGAACACTGTCACCAGTCTCGACGGACCCTGAGGTCACCCCAGCAACACAAAGCAGCTCCATGGGCCCCAAATCAACTCGAGATGAGGCCCGATTCCCCTGCATTGACTCCAGAGCCATTCCCCGTTCCCCATTCAACACGACCGGTGGCTCGACTTCCTTCAGGCAACTCCAGAGATGCCCCGAGAACACTGTCCCAAGTCTAGAGGAACACCAACTTCAGCACGGCAACTCGAGGAATGCTCCGTGTACCCCAAATCGTCTCGAGATGAGAGCTGATTCCCTGGCTTAGGCTCAAGACGTATGCCAACTTTCCAGACGCACCTCAGGAGGAGGCTTCTCTCAGCAATAGGTATGTGGCAGGGACCCCGAGTTCGCTGCCTCAAGGGCAATATACAGCGAGAAGCCCTAACTTGAAAGGAGGACGAATTTCCTTGCAGTGGCTTGAATACAGGCTCGTCTTTCATCTCACAACATGAAGGGATGTCTGAATCCCCTGTGGAGACCTTAGAGAAAGCCCTAGGTCCCTGCCTCATTTTGACGGAATGCCTCACATCCCGTTGACACCTCAAGAGGCACGCGAAGTTCATTGCTTCAAAAGGTGACAATGCCTGACTCCTCTTGAATAATGATAGGAATCCCAAAATCCCTGTGGCTACTGGAAATGGTCCTTGGGTGCTCTGCCTCACTTCGAGAAGCGTCCCTTTTGTCCTGCCAAGCCTCGAAGTGATTCCTGAGGTGTCCCTCGTTACTAGACAGGAGTCCTGACGTCACTGAAGAAACTCGTGTTTTGAAGGGCCATCCCCGCCGTAAGTCGAGAACATACCCCAGGTCCCCGCCGCAACTCGAGAAAAACCATGAGACTTCCCCCTAGAGGCGAGATGAGGCCCCATTCCCCTGCAGTGCATGCAGAGCTATTCCGTGGTCCCATTCAAGCAAGTCAGGAGCTTCGCCTTGCTTAATGCTTCTCGAGACAGTCCCCAAGAACACTGTCACCAGTCTCGACGGACCCTGAGGTCACCCCAGCAACGCAAAGCAGCTCCATGTGCCCCAAATCAACTCGAGATGAGGCCCGATTCCCCTGCATTGACTCCAGAGCCATTCCCCGTTCCCCATTCAACACGACCGGTGGCTCGACTTCCTTCAGGCAACTCCAGAGATACCCCGAGAACACTGTCCCAAGTCTAGAGGAACACCAACTTCAGCACAGCAACTCGAGGAATGCTCCGTGTACCCCAAATCGTCTCGAGATGAGAGCTGATTCCCTGGCTTAGGCTCAAGACGTATGCCAACTTTCCAGACGCACCTCAGGAGGAGGCTTCTCTCAGCAATAGGTATGTGGGAGGGACCCCGAGTTCGCTGCCTCAAGGGCAATATACAGCGAGAAGCACTAACTTGAAAGGAGGCCGCATTTCCTTGCAGTGGCTTGAATACAGGCTCGTCTTTCATCTCACACCATGAAGGGATGTCTGAATCCCCTGTGGAGACCTTAGAGAAAGCCCTAGGTCCCTGCCTCATTTGGACGGAATGCCTCACATCCCGTTGACACCTCGAGAGGCACGCGGAGTTCATTGCTTCAAAAGGTGACGATGCCTGACTCCTCTTGAATTCTGATAGGAATCCCAAAATCACTGTGGCTACTGGAAAGGGTCCTTGGGTGCCCTGCCTCACCTCAAGAAGCGTCCCATTTGCACTGCCAAGCCTCGATGAGATTCCTGAGGTGTCCCTCGTTACTAGACAGGAGTCCTGACGTCACTGAAGAAACTCGTGTTTTGAAGGGCCATCCCCGCGGTAAGTCGAGAACATACCCCAGGTCCCCGCCGCAACTCGAGAAAAACCATGAGACTTCCCCCTAGAGGCGAGATGAGGCCCCATTCCCCTGCAGTGCATGCAGAGCTATTCCGTGGTCCCATTCAAACAAGTCAGGAGCTTCGACTTGCTTAATGGATCTCGAGACAGTCCCCAAGAACACTGTCACCAGTCTCGACGGACGCTGAGGTCACCCCAGCAACGCAAAGCAGCTCCATGTGCCCCAAATCAACTCGAGATGAGGCCCGATTCCCCTGCATTGACTCCAGAGCCATTCCCCGTTCCCCATTCAACACGACCGGTGGCTCGACTTCCTTCAGGCAACTCCAGAGATACCCCGAGAACACTGTCCCAAGTCTAGAGGAACACCAATTTCAGCACGGCAACTCGAGGAATACTCCGTGTACCCCAAATCGTCTCGAGATGAGAGCTCATTCCCTGGCTTAGGCTCAAGACGTATGCCAACTTTCCAGACGCACCTCAGGAGGAGGCTTCTCTCAGCAATAGGTATGTGGGAGGGACCCCGAGTTCGCTACCTCAAGGGCAATATACAGCGAGAAGCCCTAACTGGAAAGAAGGCCGGATTTCCTTGCAGTGGCTTGAATACAGGCTCGTCTTTCATCTCACGACATGAAGGGATGTCTGAATCCCCTGTGGAGACCTTAGAGAAAGCCCTAGATCCCTGCCTCATTTTGACGGAATGCCTCACATCCCGTTGACACATCAAGAGGCACGCGAAGTTCATTGCTTCAAAAGGTGACAATGCCTGACTCCTCTTGAATACTGATAGGAATCCCAAAATCCCTGTGGCTACTGGAAAGGGTCCTTGGGTGCCCTGCCTCACCTCGAGAAGCGTCCCTTTTGCCCTGCCAAGCCTCGAAGAGATTCCTGAGGTGTCCCTCGTTACTAGACAGGAGTCCTGACGTCACTGAAGAATCTCGTGTTTTGAAGGGCCATCCCCGCCGTAAGTCGAGAACATGCCCCAGGTCCCCGCCGCAACTCGAGAAAATCCATGAGACTTCCCCCTAGAGGCGAGATGAGGCCCAATTCCCCTGCAGTGCATGCAGAGCTATTCCGTGGTCCCATTCAAGCAAGTCAGGAGCTTCGACTTGCTTAATGGTTCTCGAGACAGTCCCCAAGAACACTGTCAAGAGTCTCGACGGACCCTGAGGTAACCCCAGCAACGCAAAGCAGCTCCATGGGCCCCAAATCAACTCGAGATGAGGCCCGATTCCCCTGCATTGACTCCAGAGCCATTCCCCGTTCCCCATTCAACACGACCGGTGGCTCGACTTCCTTCAGGCAACTCCAGAGATGCCCCGAGAACACTGTTCCAAGTCTAGAGGAACACCAACTTCAGCACGGCAACTCGAGGAATGCTCCGTGTACCCCAAATTGTCTCGAGATGAGAGGTGATTCCCTGGCTTAGGCTCAAGACGTATGCCAACTTTCCAGACGCACCTCAGGAGGAGGCTTCTCTCAGCAATAGGTATGTGGGAGGGACCCCGAGTTCGCTGCCTCAAGGGCAATATACAGCGAGAAGACCTAACTTGAAAGGAGGCTGGATTTCCTTGCAGTGGCTTGAATACAGACTCGTCTTTCATCTCACAACATGCAGGGATGTCGGAATCCCCTGTGGAGACATTAGAGAAAGCCCTAGGTCCCTGCCTCATTTGGACGGAATGCCTCAAATCCCGTTGACACCTTGAGAGGCACGCGGAGTTCATTGCTTCAAAATGTGACGATGCCTGACTCCTGTTGAATTCTGATAGGAATCCCAAAATCACTGTGGCTACTGGAAAGGGTCCTTGCGTGCCCTGCCTCACCTCAAGAAGCGTCCCATTTGCACTGCCAAGCCTCGATGAGATTCCTGAGGTGTCCCTCGTTACTAGACAGGAGTCCTGACGTCCCTGAAGAAACTCGTGTTTTGAAGGGCCATCCCCGCCGTAAGTCAAGAACATACCCCAGGTCCCCGCTGCAACTCGAGAAAAACCATGAGACTTCCCCCTAGAGGCGAGATGAGGCCCAATTCCCCTGCAGTGCATGCAGAGCTATTCCGTGGTCCCATTCAAGCAAGTCAGGAACTTCGACTTGCTTAATGGTTCTCGAGACAGTCCCCAAGAACACTGTCACCAGTCTCGACGGACCCTGAGGTCACCTCAGCAACGCAAAGCAGCTCCGTTGGCCCCAAATCAACTCGAGATGAGGCCCGATTCCCCTGCATTGACTCCAGAGCCATTCCCCGTTCCCCATTCAACACGACCGGTGGCTCGACTTCCTTCAGGCCACTCCAGAGATACCCCGAGAACACTGTCCCAAGTCTAGAGGAACACCAACTTCAGCACGGCAACTCGAGGAATGCTCCGTGTACCCAAAATCGACTCGAGATGAGAGGTGATTCCCTGGCTTAGGCTCAAGACGTATGCCAACTTTCAAGACGCACCTCAGGAGGAGGCTTCTCTCAGCAATAGGTATGTGGGAGGGACCCCGAGTTCGCTGCCTCAAGGGCAATATACAGCGAGAAGCCCTAACTTGAAAGGAGGCCGGATTTCCTTGCAGTGGCTTGAATACAGGCTCGTCTTTGATCTCACAGCATGAAGGGATGTCTGAATCCCCTGTGGAGACCTTAGAGAAATCCCTAGGTCCCTGCCTCATTTTGACGGAATGCCTCACATCCCGTTGACACCTCGAGAGGCACGCGGAGTTCATTGCTTCAAAAGGTGACGATGCCTGACTCCTCTTGAATACTGATAGGAATCCCAAAATCCCTGTGGCTACTGGAAAGGGTCCTTGGGTGCCCTGCCTCACCTCGAGAAGCGTCCCTTTTGCCCTGTCAAGCCTCGAAGAGATTCCTTAGGTGTCCCTCGTTACTAGACAGGAGTCCTGACGTCCCTGAAGAAACTCGTGTTTTGAAGGGCCATCCCCGCCGTAAGTCAAGAACATACCCCAGGTCCCCGCTGCAACTCGAGAAAAACCATGAGACTTCCCCCTAGAGGCGAGATGAGGCCCAATTCCCCTGCAGTGCATGCAGAGCTATTCCGTGGTCCCATTCAAGCAAGTCAGGAACTTCGACTTGCTTAATGGTTCTCGAGACAGTCCCCAAGAACACTGTCACCAGTCTCGACGGACCCTGAGGTCACCTCAGCAACGCAAAGCAGCTCCGTTGGCCCCAAATCAACTCGAGATGAGGCCCGATTCCCCTGCATTGACTCCAGAGCCATTCCCCGTTCCACATTCAACACGACCGGTGGCTCGACTTCCTTCAGGCCACTCCAGAGATACCCCGAGAACACTGTCCCAAGTCTAGAGGAACACCAACTTCAGCACGGCAACTCGAGGAATGCTCCGTGTACCCAAAATCGACTCGAGATGAGAGGTGATTCCCTGGCTTAGGCTCAAGACGTATGCCAACTTTCAAGACGCACCTCAGGAGGAGGCTTCTCTCAGCAATAGGTATGTGGGAGGGACCCCGAGTTCGCTGCCTCAAGGGCAATATACAGCGAGAAGCCCTAACTTGAAAGGAGGCCGGATTTCCTTGCAGTGGCTTGAATACAGGCTCGTCTTTGATCTCACAGCATGAAGGGATGTCTGAATCCCCTGTGGAGACCTTAGAGAAATCCCTAGGTCCCTGCCTCATTTTGACGGAATGCCTCACATCCCGTTGACACCTCGAGAGGCACGCGGAGTTCATTGCTTCAAAAGGTGACGATGCCTGACTCCTCTTGAATACTGATAGGAATCCCAAAATCCCTGTGGCTACTGGAAAGGGTCCTTGGGTGCCCTGCCTCACCTCGAGAAGCGTCCCTTTTGCCCTGTCAAGCCTCGAAGAGATTCCTTAGGTGTCCCTCGTTACTAGACAGGAGTCCTGACGTCACTGAAGAAACTCGTGTTTTGAAGGGCCATCCCCGCCGTAAGTCGAGAACATACCCCAGGTCCCCGCCGCAACTCGAGAAAAACCATGAGACTTCCCCCTAGAGGCGAGATGAGACCCCATTCCCCTGCAGTGCATGCAGAGCTATTCCGTGGTCCCATTCAAACAAGTCAGGAGCTTCGACTTGCTTAATGGATCTCGAGAGAGTCCCCAAGAACACTGTCACCAGTCTCGACGGACGCTGAGGTCACCCCAGCAACGCAAAGCAGCTCCATGTGCCCCAAATCAACTCGAGATGAGGCCCGATTCCCCTGCATTGACTCCAGAGCCATTCCCCGTTCCCCATTCAACACGACCGGTGGCTCGACTTCCTTCAGGCAACTCCAGAGATACCCCGAGAACACTGTCCGAAGTCTAGAGGAACACCAACTTCAGCACAGCAACTCGAGGAATGCTCCGTGTACCCCAAATCGTCTCGAGATGAGAGCTGATTCCCTGGCTTAGGCTCAAGACGTATGCCAACTTTCCAGACGCACCTCAGGAGGAGGCTTCTCTCAGCAATAGGTATGTGGGAGGGACCCCGACTTCGCTGCTCAAGGGGAATATACAGCGAGAAGCCCTAACTTGAAAGGAGGCCGGATTTCCTTGCAGTGGCTTGAATACAGGCTCGTCTTTCATCTCACGACATGAATGGATGTCTGAATCCCCTGTCGAGACCTTAGAGAAAGCCCTAGGTCCCTGCCTCATTTGGACGGAATGCCTCACATCCCGTTGACACTTCAAGAGGCAAGCGAAGTTCATTACTTCAAAAGGTGACAATGCCTGACTCCTCTTGAATACTGATAGGAATCCCAAAATCCCTGTGGCTACTGGAAAGGGTACTTGGGTGCCCTGCCTCACCTCGAGAAGCGTCCCTTTTGCCCTGCCAAGCCTCGAAGAGATTCCTGAGGTGTCCCTCGTTACTAGACAGGAGTCCTGACGTCACTGAAGAAACTCGTGTTTTGAAGGGCCATCCCCGCCGTAAGTCGAGAACATACCCCAGGTCCCCGCCGCAACTCGAGAAAAACCATGAGACTTCCCCCTAGAGGCGAGATGAGGCCCCATTCCCCTGCAGTGCATGCAGAGCTATTCCGTGGTCCCATTCAAGCAAGTCAGGAGGTTCGACTTGCTTAATGGATCTCGAGACAGTCCCCAAGAACACTGTCACCAGTCTCGACGGACGCTGAGGTCACCCCAGCAACGCAAAGCAGCACCATGTGCCCCAAATCAACTCGAGATGAGGCCCGATTCCCCTGCATTGACTCCAGAGCCATTCCCCGTTCCCCATTCAACACGACCGGTGGCTCGACTTCCTTCAGGCAACTCCAGAGATGCCCCGAGAACACTGTCCCAAGTCTAGAGGAACACCAACTTCAGCACGGCAAATCGAGGAATTCTCCGTGTACCCCAAATCGTCTCGAGATGAGAGGTGATTCCCTGGCTTAGGCTCAAGACGTATGCCAACTTTCAAGACGCACCTCAGGAGGAGGCTTCTCTCAGCAATAGGTATCTGGGAGGGACCCCGAGTTCACTGCCTCAAGGACAATATACAGCGAGAAGCCCTACCTTGAAAGGAGGCCGGATTTCCTTGCAGTGGCTTGAATACAGGCTCGTCTTTGATCTCACAACATGAAGGGATGTCTGAATTCCCTGTGGAGACCTTAGAGAAATCCCTAGGTCCCTGCCTCATTTGGACGTAATGCCTCACATCCCGTTGACACCTCGAGAGGCACGCGGAGTTCATTGCTTCAAAAGGTGACGATGCCTGACTCCTCTTGAATACTGATAGGAATCCCAAAATCCCTGTGGCTACTGGAAAGGGTCCTTGGGTGCCCTGCCTCACCTCGAGAAGCGTCCCTTTTGCCCTGCCAAGCCTCGAAGAGATTCCTGAGGTGTCCCTCGTTACTAGACAGGTGTCCTGACGTCACTGAAGAAACTCGTGTTTTGAAGGGCCATCCCCGCCATAAGTCAAGAACATACCCCAGGTCCCCGCTGCAACTCGAGAAAAACCATGAGACTTCCCCCTAGAGGCGAGATGAGGCCCAATTCCCCTGCAGTGCATGCAGAGCTATTCCGTGGTCCCATTCAAGCAAGTCAGGAACTTCGACTTGCTTAATGGTTCTCGAGACAGTCCCCAAGAACACTGTCACCAGTCTCGACGGACCCTGAGGTCACCCCAGCAACGCAAAGCAGCTCCGTTGGCCCCAAATCAACTCGAGATGAGGCCCGATTCCCCTGCATTGACTCCAGAGCCATTCCCCGTTCCCCATTCAACACGACCGGTGGCTCGACTTCCTTCAGGCCACTCCAGAGATACCCCGAGAACACTGTCCCAAGTCTAGAGGAACAACAACTTCAGCACGGCAACTCGAGGAATGCTCCGTGTACCCAAAATCGACTCGAGATGAGAGGTGATTCCCTGGCTTAGGCTCAAGACGTATGCCAACTTTCAAGACGCACCTCAGGAGGAGGCTTCTCTCAGCAATAGGTATGTGGGAGGGACCCCGAGTTCGCTGCCTCAAGGGCAATATACAGCGAGAAGCCCTAACTTGAAAGGAGGCCGGATTTCCTTGCAGTGGCTTGAATACAGGCTCGTCTTTGATCTCACAGCATGAAGGGATGTCTGAATCCCCTGTGGAGACCTTAGAGAAATCCCTAGGTCCCTGCCTCATTTTGACGGAATGCCTCACATCCCGTTGACACCTCGAGAGGCACGCGGAGTTCATTGCTTCAAAAGGTGACGATGCCTGACTCCTCTTGAATACTGATAGGAATCCCAAAATCCCTGTGGCTACTGGAAAGGGTCCTTGGGTGCCCTGCCTCACCTCGAGAAGCGTCCCTTTTGCCCTGTCAAGCCTCGAAGAGATTCCTTAGGTGTCCCTCGTTACTAGACTGGAGTCCTGACGTCACTGAAGAAACTCGTGTTTTGAAGGGCCATCCCCGCCGTAAGTCGAGAACATACCCCAGGTCCCCGCCGCAACTCGAGAAAAACCATGAGACTTCCCCCTAGAGGCGAGATGAGACCCCATTCCCCTGCAGTGCATGCAGAGCTATTCCGTGGTCCCATTCAAACAAGTCAGGAGCTTCGACTTGCTTAATGGATCTCGAGAGAGTCCCCAAGAACACTGTCACCAGCCTCGACGGACGCTGAGGTCACCCCAGCAACGCAAAGCAGCTCCATGTGCCCCAAATCAACTCGAGATGAGGCCCGATTCCCCTGCATTGACTCCAGAGCCATTCCCCGTTCCCCATTCAACACGACCGGTGGCTCGACTTCCTTCAGGCAACTCCAGAGATACCCCGAGAACACTGTCCGAAGTCTAGAGGAACACCAACTTCAGCACAGCAACTCGAGGAATGCTCCGTGTACCCCAAATCGTCTCGAGATGAGAGCTGATTCCCTGGCTTAGGCTCAAGACGTATGCCAACTTTCCAGACGCACCTCAGGAGGAGGCTTCTCTCAGCAATAGGTATGGGGGAGGGACCCCGACTTCGCTGCTCAAGGGGAATATACAGCGAGAAGCCCTAACTTGAAAGGAGGCCGGATTTCCTTGCAGTGGCTTGAATACAGGCTCGTCTTTCATCTCACGACATGAATGGATGTCTGAATCCCCTGTGGAGACCTTAGAGAAAGCCCTAGGTCCCTGACTCATTTGGACGGAATGCCTCACATCCCGTTGACACTTCAAGAGACACGCGAAGTTCATTACTTCAAAAGGTGACAATGCCTGACTCCTCTTGAATACTGATAGGAATCCCAAAATCCCTGTGGCTACTGGAAAGGGTCCTTGGGTGCCCTGCCTCACCTCGAGAAGCGTCCCTTTTGCCCTGCCAAGCCTCGAAGAGATTCCTGAGGTGTCCCTCGTTACTAGACAGGAGTCCTGACGTCACTGAAGAAACTCGTGTTTTGAAGGGCCATCCCCGCCGTAAGTCGAGAACATACCCCAGGTCCCCGCCGCAACTCGAGAAAAACCATGAGACTTCCCCCTAGAGGCGAGATGAGGCCCCATTCCCCTGCAGTGCATGCAGAGCTATTCCGTGGTCCCATTCAAGCAAGTCAGGAGGTTCGACTTGCTTAATGGATCTCGAGACAGTCCCCAAGAACACTGTCACCAGTCTCGACGGACGCTGAGGTCACCCCAGCAACGCAAAGCAGCACCATGTGCCCCAAATCAACTCGAGATGAGGCCCGATTCCCCTGCATTGACTCCAGAGCCATTCCCCGTTCCCCATTCAACACGACCGGTGGCTCGACTTCCTTCAGGCAACTCCAGAGATGCCCCGAGAACACTGTCCCAAGTCTAGAGGAACAGCAACTTCAGCACGGCAACTCGAGGAATTCTCCGTGTACCCCAAATCGTCTCGAGATGAGAGGTGATTCCCTGGCTTAGGCTCAAGACGTATGCCAACTTTCAAGACGCACCTCAGGAGGAGGCTTCTCTCAGCAATAGGTATGTGGGAGGGACCCCGAGTTCACTGCCTCAAGGACAATATACAGCGAGAAGCCCTACCTTGAAAGGAGGCCGGATTTCCTTGCAGTGGCTTGAATACAGGCTCGTCTTTGATCTCACAACATGAAGGGATGTCTGAATTCCCTGTGGAGACCTTAGAGAAATCCCTAGGTCCCTGCCTCATTTGGACGTAATGCCTCACATCCCGTTGACACCTCGAGAGGCACGCGGAGTTCATTGCTTCAAAAGGTGACGATGCCTGACTCCTCTTGAATACTGATAGGAATCCCAAAATCCCTGTGGCTACTGGAAAGGGTCCTTGGGTGCCCTGCCTCACCTCGAGAAGCGTCCCTTTTGCCCTGCCAAGCCTCGAAGAGATTCCTGAGGTGTCCCTCGTTACTAGACAGGAGTCCTGACATCACTGAAGAAACTCGTGTTTTGAAGGGCCATCCCCGCCGTAAGTCGAGAACATACCCCAGGTCCCCGCCGCAACTCGAGAAAAACCATGAGACTTCCCCCTAGAGGCGAGATGAGACCCCATTCCGCTGCAGTGCATGCAGAGCTATTCCGTGGTCCCATTTAAACAAGTCAGGAGCTTCGACTTGCTTAATGGATCTCGAGACAGTCCCCAAGAACACTGTCACCAGCCTCGACAGACGCTGAGGTCACCCCAGCAACGCAAAGCAGCTCCATGTGCCCCAAATCAACTCGAGATGAGGCCCGATTCCCCTGCATTGACTCCAGAGCCATTCCCCGTTCCCCATTCAACACGACCGGTGGCTCGACTTCCTTCAGGCAACTCCAGAGATACCACGAGAACACTGTCCGAAGTCTAGAGGAACACCAACTTTAGCACAGCAACTCGAGGAATGGTCCGTGTACCCCAAATCGTCTCGAGATGAGAGCTGATTCCCTGGCTTAGGCTCAAGACGTATGCCAACTTTCCAGACGCACCTCAGGAGGAGGCTTCTCTCAGCAATAGGTATGTGGAAGAGACCCCGACTTCGCTGCTCAAGGGGAATATACAGCGAGAAGCCCTAACTTGAAAGGAGGCCGGATTTCCTTGCAGTGGCTTGAATACAGGCTCGTCTTTCATCTCACGACATGAATGGATGTCTGAATCCCCTGTGGAGACCTTAGAGAAAGCCCTAGGTCCCTGCCTCATTTTGACGGAATGCCTCACATCCCGTTGACACTTCAAGAGTTACGCGAAGTTCATTGCTTCAAAGGTGACAATGCCTGACTCCTCTTGAATACTGATAGGAATCCCAAAATCCCTGTGGCTACTGGAAAGGGTCCTTGGGTGCCCTGCCTCACCTCGAGAAGCGTACCTTTTGCCCTGCCAAGCCTCGAAGAGATTCCTGAGGTGTCCCTCGTTACTAGACAGGAGTCCTGACGTCACTGAAGAAACTCGTGTTTTGAAGGGCCATCCCCGCCGTAAGTCGAGAACATACCCCAGGTCCCCGCCACAACTCGAGAAAAACCATGAGACTTCCCCCTAGAGGCGAGATGAGGCCCCATTCCCCTGCAGTGCATGCAGAGCTATTCCGTGGTATCATTCAAACAAGTCAGAAGCTTCGACTTGCTTAATGGTTCTCGAGACAGTCCCCAAGAACACTGTCACCAGTCTCGACGGACCCTGAGCTCACCCCAGCAACGCAAAGCAGCTCCATGGGCCCCAAATCAACTCGAGATGAGGCCCGATTCCCCTGCATTGACTCCAGAGCCATTCCCCGTTCCCCATTCAACACGACCGGTGGCTCGACTTCCTTCAGGCAACTCCAGAGATGCCCCGAGAACACTGTCCCAAGTCTAGAGGAACACCAACTTCAGCACGGCAACTCGAGGAATGCTCCGTGTACCCCAAATCGTATCGAGATGAGAGGTGATTCCCTGGCTTAGGCCCAAGACGTATGCCAACTTTCAAGACGCACCTCAGGAGGAGGCTTCTCTCAGCAATAGGTATGTGGGAGGGACCCCGAGGTCGCTGCCTCAAGGGCAATATACAGCGAGAAGCCCTAACTTGAAAGGAGGCCGGATTTCCTTGCAGTGGCTTGAATACAGGCTCGTCTTTCATCTCAAAACATAAAGGGATGTCTGAATCCCCTGTGGAGACCTTAGAGAAAGCCCTAGGTCCCTGCCTCATTTGGACGGAATGCCTCACATCCCGTTGACACCTCGAGAGGCACGCGGAGTTCATTGCTTCAAAAGGTGACGATGCCTGACTCCTCTTGAATTCTGATAGGAATCCCAAAATCCCTGTGGCTACTGGAAAGGGTCCTTGGGTGCCCTGCCTCACTTCAAGAAGCGTCCCATTTGCACTGCCAAGCCTCGAAGAGATTCCTGAGGTGTCCCTCGTTACTAGACAGGAGTCCTGACGTCACTGAAGAAACTCGTGTTTTGAAGGGCCATCCCCGCCGTAAGTCGAGAACATACCCCAGGTCCCCGCCGCAACTCGAGAAAAACCATGAGACTTACCCCTAGAGGCGAGATGAGGCCCCATTCCCCTGCAGTGCATGCAGAACTATTCCGTGGTTCCATTCAAACAAGTCAGGAGCTTCGACTTGCCTAATGGATCTCGAGACAGTCCCCAAGAACACTGTCACCAGTCTCGACGGACCCTGAGGTCACCCCAGCAACGCAAAGCAGCTCCATGGGCCCCAAATCAACTCGAGATGAGGCCCGATTCCCCTGCATTGACTCCAGAGCCATTCCCCGTTCCCCATTCAACACGACCGGTGGCTCGTCTTCCTTCAGGCAACTCCAGAGATACCCCGAGAACACTGTCCCAAGTCTAGAGGAACACCAACTTCAGCACAGCAACTCGAGGAATGCTCCGTGTACCCCAAATCGTCTCGAGATGAGAGCTGATTCCCTGGCTTAGGCTCAAGACGTATGCCAACTTTCCAGACGCACCTCAGGAGGAGGCTTCTCTCAGCAATAGGTATGTGGGAGGGACCCCGAGTTCGCTGCCTCAAGGGCAATATACAGCGAGAAGCCCTAACTTGAAAGGAGGCCGGATTTCCTTGCAGTGGCTTGAATACAGGCTCGTCTTTCATCTCACGACATGAAGGGATGTCTGAATCCCCTGTGGAGACCTTAGAGAAAGCCCTAGGTCCCTGCCTCATTTTGACGGAATGCCTCACATCCCGTTGACACCTCAAGAGGCCCGCGAAGTTCATTGCTTCAAAAGGTGACAATGCCTCACTCCTCTTGAATACTGATAGGAATCCCAAAATCCCTGTGGCTACTGGAAAGGGTCCTTGGGTGCCCTGCCTCACCTCGAGAAGCGTCCCTTTTGCCCTGCCAAGCCTCGAAGAGTTTCCTGAGGTGTCCCTCGTTACTAGACAGGAGTCCTGACGTCACTGAAGAAACTCGTGTTTTGAAGGGCCATCCCCGCCGTAAGTCGAGAACATACCCCAGGACCCCGCCGCAACTCGAGAAAAAACATGAGACTTCCCCCTAGAGGCGAGATGAGGCCCCATTCCCCTGCAGTGCATGCAGAGCTATTCCGTGGTCCCATTCAAGCAAGTCAGGAGCTTCGACCTGCTTAATGGATCTCGAGACAGTCCCCAAGAACACTGTCACCAGTCTCGACGGACCCTGAGGTCACCCCAGCAACGCAAAGCAGCTCCATGGGCCCCAAATCAACTCGAGATGAGGCCCGATTCCCCTGCATTGACTCCAGAGCCATTCCCCGTTCCCCATTCAACACGACCGGTGGCTCGACTTCCTTCAGGCAACTCCAGAGATGCCCCGAGAACACTGTCCCAAGTCTAGAGGAACACCAACTTCAGCACGGCAACTCGAGGAATGTTCCGTGTACCCCAAATCGTCTCGAGATGAGAGGTGATTCCCTGGCTTAGGCTCAAGACGTATGCCAACTTTCAAGACGCACCTCAGGAGGAGGCTTCTCTCAGCAATAGGTATGTGGGAGGGACCCCGAGGTCGCTGCCTCAAGGGCAATATACAGCGAGAAGCCCTAACTTGAAAGGAGGCCGGATTTCTTGCAGTGGCTTGAATACAGGCTCGTCTTTCATCTCACAACATGAAGGGATGTCTGAATCCACTGTGGAGACCTTAGAGAAAGCCCTAGGTCCCTGCCTCATTTGGACGGAATGCCTCACATCCCGTTGACACCTCGAGAGGCACGCGGAGTTCATTGCTTCAAAAGGTGACGATGCCTGACTCCTCTTGAATTCTGATAGGAATCCCGAAATCAATGTGGCTACTGGAAAGGGTCCTTGGGTGCCCTGCCTCACTTCAAGAAGCGTCCCATTTGCACTGCCAAGCCTCGAAGAGATTACTGAGGTGTCCTTCGTTACTAGACAGGAGTCCTGACGTCACTGAAGAAACTCGTGATTTGAAGGGCCATCCCCGCCGTAAGTCGAGAACATACCCCAGGTCCCCGCCGCACCTCGAGAAAATCCATGAGACTTCCCCCTAGAGGCGAGATGAGGCCCCATTCCCCTGCAGTGCATGCAGAGCTATTCTGTGGTCCCATTCAAGCAAGTCAGGAGCTTCGACTTGCTTAATGGTTCTCGAGACAGTCCCCAAGAACACTGTCACCAGTCTCGACGGACCCTGAGGTCACCCCAGCAACGCAAAGCAGCTCCATGGGCCCCAAATCAACTCGAGATGAGGCCCGATTCCCCTGCATTGACTCCAGAGCCATTCCCGGTTCCCCATTCAACACGACCGGTGGCTCGACTTCCTTCAGGCAACTCCAGAGATGCCCCGAGAACACTGTCCCAAGTCTAGAGGAACACCAACTTCAGCACGGCAACTCGAGGAATGCTCCGTGTACCCCAAATCGTCTCGAGGTGAGAGGTGATTCCCTGGCTTAGGCTCAAGACGTATGCCAACTTTCAAGACGCACTTCAGGAGGAGGCTTCTCTCAGCAATAGGTATGTGGGAGGGACCCCGAGTTCGCAGCCTCAAGGGCAATATACAGCGAGAAGCCCTAACTTGAAAGGAGGCCGGATTTCCTTGCAGTGGCTTGAATACAGGCTCGTCTTTCATCTCACAACATGAAGGGATGTCTGAATCCCCTGTGGAGACCTTAGAGAAAGCCCTAGGTCCCTGCCTCATTTAGACGGAATGCCTCACATCCCGTTGACAACTCGAGAGGCACGCGGAGTTCATTGCTTCAAAAGGTGACGATGCCTGACTCCTCTGGAATTCTGATAGGAATCCCAAAATCACTGTGGCTACTGGAAAGGGTTCTTGGGTGCCCTGCCTCACCTCGAGAAGCGTCCCATTTGCACTGCCAAGCCTCGATGAGATTCCTGAGGTGTCCCTCGTTACTAGACAGGAGTCCTGACGTCACTGAAGAAACTCGTGTTTTGAAGGGCCATCCCCGCCGTAAGTCGAGAACATACCCCAGGTCCCCGCCGCAACTCGAGAAAAACCATGAGACTTCCCCCTAGAGGCGAGATGAGGCCCCATTCCCCTGCAGTGCATGCAGAGCTATTCCGTGGTCCCATTCAAACAAGTCAGGAGCTTCGACTTGCTTAATGGATCTCGAGACAGTCCCCAAGAACACTGTCACCAGTCTCGACGGACGCTGAGGTCACCCCAGCAACGCAAAGCAGCTCCATGTGCCCCAAATCAACTCGAGATGAGGCCCGATTCCCCTGCATTGACTCCAGAGCCATTCCCCGTTCCCCATTCAACACGACCGGTGGCTCGACTTCCTTCAGGCCACTCCAGAGATACCCGGAGAACACTGTCCCAAGTCTAGAGGAACACCAACTTCAGCATAGCAACTCGAGAAATGCTACGTGTACCCCAAATCGTCTCGAGATGAGAGCTGATTCCCTGGCTTAGGCTCAAGACGTATGCCAACTTTCCAGACGCACCTCAGGAGGAGGCTTCTCTCAGCAATAGGTATGTGGGAGGGACCTCGAGTTCGCTGCCTCAAGGGCAATATACAGCGAGAAGCCCTAACTTGAAAGGAGGCCGGATTTCCTTGCAGTGGCTTGAATACAGGCTCGTCTTTCATCTCACAACATGAAGGGATGTCTGAATCCCCTGTGGAGAACTTAGAGAAAGCCCTAGGTCCCTGCCTCATTTTGACGGAATGCCTCACATCCCGTTGACACCTCAAGAGGCACGCGAAGTTCATTGCTTCAAAAGGTGACAATGCCTCACTCCTCTTGAATACTGATAGGAATCCCAAAATCCCTGTGGCTACTGGAAAGGGTCCTTGGGTGCCCTGCCTCACCTCGAGAAGCGTCCCTTTTGCCCTGCCAAGCCTCGAAGAGATTCCTGAGGTGTCCCTCGTTACTAGACAGGAGTCCTGACGTCACTGAAGAAACTGGTGTTTTGAACGGCCATCCCCGCCGTAAGTCGAGAACATACCCCAGGTCCCCGCCGCAACTCGAGAAAAACCATGAGACTTCCCCCTAGAGGCGAGATGAGGCCCCATTCCCCTGCAGTGCATGCAGAGCTATTCCGTGGTCCCATTCAAGCAAGTCAGGAGCTTCGACTTGCTTAATGGTTCTCGAGACAGTCCCCAAGAACACTGTCACCAGTCTCGACGGAACCTGAGGTCACCCCAGCAACGCAAAGCAGCTCCATGGGCCCCAAATCAACTCGAGATGAGGCCCGATTCCCCTGCATTGACTCCAGAGCCATTCCCGGTTCCCCATTCAACACGACCGGTGGCTCGACTTAATTCAGGCAACTCCAGAGATGCCCCGAGAACACTGTCCCAAGTCTAGAGGAACACCTACTTCAGCACAGCAACTCGAGGAATGCTCCGTGTACCCCAAATCGTCTCGAGATGAGAGGTGATTCCCTGGCTTAGGCTCAAGACGTATGCCAACTTTCAAGACGCACCTCAGGAGGAGGCTTCTCTCAGCAATAGCTATGTGGGAGGGACCCCGAGTTCGCAGCCTCAAGGGCAATATACAGCGAGAAGCCCTAACTTGAAAGGAGGCCGGATTTCCTTGCAGTGGCTTGAATACAGGCTCGTCTTTCATCTCACAACATGAAGGGATGTCTGAATCCCCTGTGGAGACCTTAGAGAAAGCCCTAGGTCCCTGCCTCATTTGGACGGAATGCATCACATCCCGTTGACACCTCGAGAGGCACGCGGAGTTCATTGCTTCAAAAGGTGACGATGCCTGACTCCTCTTGAATTCTGATAGGAATACCAAAATCACTGTGGCTACTGGAAAGGGTCATTGGGTGCCCTGCCTCACCTCAAGAAGCGTCCCATTTGCACTGCCAAGCCTCGATGAGATTCCTGAGGTGTCCCTCGTTACTAGACAGGAGTCCTGACGTCACTGAAGAAACTCGTGTTTTGAAGGGCCATCCCCCCCGTAAGTCGAGAACATACCCCAGGTCCCCGCCGCAACTCGAGAAAAACCATGAGACTTCCCCCTAGAGGCAGATGAGGCCCCATTCCCCTGCAGTGCATGCAGAGCTATTCCGTGGTCCCATTCAAACAAGTCAGGAGCTTTGACTTGCTTAATGGATCTCGAGACAGTCCCCAAGAACACTGTCACCAGTCTCGACGGACGCTGAGGTCACCCCAGCAACGCAAAGCAGCTCCATGTGCCCCAAATCAACTCGAGATGAGGCCCGATTCCCCTGCATTGACTCCAGAGCCATTCCCCGTTCCCCTTTCAACACGACCGGTGGCTCGACTTCCTTCAGGCAACTCCAGAGATACCCCGAGAACACTGTCCCAAGTCTAGAGGAACACCAACTTCAGCACAGCAACTCGAGGAATGCTCCGTGTACCCCAAATCGTCTCGAGATGAGAGCTGATTCCTTGGCTTAGGCTCAAGACGTATGCCAACTTTCCAGACGCACCTCAGGAGGAGGCTTCTCTCAGCAATAGGTATGTGGGAGGGACCCCGAGTTCGCTGCCTCAAGGGCAATATACAGCGAGAAGCCCTAACTTGAAAGGAGGCCGGATTTCCTTGCAGTGGCTTGAATACAGGCTCGTCTTTCATCTCACAACATGAAGGGATGTCTGAATCCCCTGTGGAGACCTTAGAGAAAGCCCTAGGTCCCTGCCTCATTTTGACGGAATGCCTCACATCCCGTTGACACCTCAAGAGGCACGCGAAGTTCATTGCTTCAAAAGGTGACAATGCCTGACTCCTCTTGAATACTGATAGAAATCCCAAAATCCCTGTGGCTACTGGAAATGGTCCTTGGGTGCCCTGCCTCACCTCGAGAAGCGTCCCTTTTGTCCTGCCAAGCCTCGAAGAGATTCCTGAGGTGTCCCTCGTTACTAGACAGGAGTCCTGACGTCACTGAAGAAACTCGTGTTTTGAAGGGCCATCCCCGCCGTAAGTCGAGAACATACCCCAGGTCAGCGCCGCAACTCGAGAAAAACCATGAGACTTCCCCCTAGAGGCGAGATGAGGCCCCATTCCCCTGCAGTGCATGCAGAGCTATTCCGTGGTCCCATTCAAGCAAGTCAGGAGCTTCGCCTTGCTTAATGCTTCTCGAGACAGTCCCCAAGAACACTGTCACCAGTCTCGACGGACCCTAAGGTCACCCCAGCAACGCAAAGCAGCTCCATGGGCCCCAAATCAACTCGAGATGAGGCCCGATTCCCCTGCATTGACTCCAGAGCCATTCCCCGTTCCCCATTCAACACGACCGGTGGCTCGACTTCCTTCAGGCAACTCCAGAGATACCCCGAGAACACTCTCCCAAGTCTAGAGGAACACCAACTTCAGCACGGCAACTCGAGGAATGCTCCGTGTACCCCAAATCGTCTCGAGATGAGAGCTGATTCCCTGGCTTAGGCTCAAGACGAATGCCAACTTTCCAGACGCACCTCAGGAGGAGGCTTCTCTCAGCAATACGTATGTGGGAGGGACCTCGAGTTCGCTGCCTCAAGGGCAATATACAGCGAGAAGCCCTAACTTGAAAGGAGGCCGGATTTCCTTGCAGTGGCTTGAATACAGGCTCGTCTTTCATCTCACAACATGAAGGGATGTCTGAATCCCCTGTGGAGACCTTAGAGAAAGCCCTAGGTCCCTGCCTCATTTTGACGGAATGCCTCACATTCCGTTGACACCTCAAGAGGCACGCGAAGTTCATTGCTTCAAAAGGTGACAATGCCTCACTCCTCTTGAATACTGATAGGAATCCCAAAATCCCTGTGGCTACTGGAAAGGGTCCTTGGGTGCCCTGCCTCACCTCGAGAAGCGTCCATTTTGCCCTGCCAAGCCTCGAAGAGATTCCTGAGGTGTCCCTCGTTACTAGACAGGAGTCCTGACGTCACTGAAGAAACTCGTGTTTTGAAGGGCCATCCCCGCCGTAAGTCGAGAACATACCCCAGGTCCCCGCCGCAACTCGAGAAAAACCATGAGACTTCCCCCTAGAGGCGAGATGAGGCCCCATTCCCCTGCAGTGCATGCAGAGCTATTCCATGGTCCCATTCAAGCAAGTCAGGAGCTTCGACTTGCTTAATGGTTCTCGAGACAGTCCCCAAGAAAACTGTCACCAGTCTCGACGGACCCTGAGGTCACCCCAGCAACGCAAAGCAGCTCCATGGGCCCCAAATCAACTCGAGATGAGGCCCGATTCCCCTGCATTGACTCCAGAGCCATTCCCGGTTCCCCATTCAACACGACCGGTGGCTCGACTTCCTTCAGGCAATTCCAGAGATGCCCCGAGAACACTGTCCCAAGTCTAGAGGAACACCAACTTCAGCACGGCAACTCGAGGAATGCTCCGTGTACCCCAAATCGTCTCGAGATGAGAGGTGATTCCCTGGCTTAGGCTCAAGACGTATGCCAACTTTCAAGACGCACCTCAGGAGGAGGCTTCTCTCAGCAATAGCTATGTGGGAGGGACCCCGAGTTCGCAGCCTCAAGGGCAATATACCGCGAGAAGCCCTAACTTGAAAGGAGGCCGGATTTCCTTGCAGTGGCTTGAATACAGGCTCGTCTTTCATCTCACAACATGAAGGGATGTCTGAATCCCCTGTGGAGACCTTAGAGAAAGCCCTAGGTCCCTGCCTCATTTGGACGGAATGCCTCACATCCCGTTGACACCTCGAGAGGCACGCGGAGTTCATTGCTTCAAAAGGTGACGATGCCTGACTCCTCTTGAATTCTGATAGGAATACCAAAATCACTGTGGCTACTGGAAAGGGTCCTTGGGTGCCCTGCCTCACCTCAAGAAGCGTCCCATTTGCACTGCCAAGCCTCGATGAGACTCCTGAGGTGTCCCTCGTTACTAGACAGGAGTCCTGACGTCACTGAAGAAACTCGTGTTTTGAAGGGCCATCCCCCCCGTAAGTCGAGAACATACCCCAGGTCCCCGCCGCAACTCGAGAAAAACCATGAGACTTCCCCCTAGAGGCAGATGAGGCCCCATTCCCCTGCAGTGCATGCAGAGCTATTCCGTGGTCCCATTCAAACAAGTCAGGAGCTTTGACTTGCTTAATGGATCTCGAGACAGTCCCCAAGAACACTGTCACCAGTCTCGACGGACGCTGAGGTCACCCCAGCAACGCAAAGCAGCTCCATGTGCCCCAAATCAACTCGAGATGAGGCCCGATTCCCCTGCATTGACTCCAGAGCCATTCCCGGTTCCCCTTTCAACACGACCGGTGGCTCGACTTCCTTCAGGCAACTCCAGAGATACCCCGAGAACACTGTCCCAAGTCTAGAGGAACACCAACTTCAGCACAGCAACTCGAGGAATGCTCCGTGTACCCCAAATCGTCTCGAGATGAGAGCTGATTCCTTGGCTTAGGCTCAAGACGTATGCCAACTTTCCAGACGCACCTCAGGAGGAGGCTTCTCTCAGCAATAGGTATGTGGCAGGGACCCCGAGTTCGCTGCCTCAAGGGCAATATACAGCGAGAAGCCCTAACTTGAAAGGAGGCCGGATTTCCTTGCAGTGGCTTGAATACAGGCTCGTCTTTCATCTCACAACATGAAGGGATGTCTGAATCCCCTGTGGAGACCTTAGAGAAAGCCCTAGGTCCCTGCCTCATTTTGACGGAATGCCTCACATTCCGTTGACACCTCAAGAGGCACGCGAAGTTCATTGCTTCAAAAGGTGACAATGCCTGACTCCTCTTGAATACTGATAGGAATCCCAAAATCCCTGTGGCTACTGGAAAGGGTCCTTGGGTGCCCTGCCTCACCTCGAGAAGCGTCCCTTTTGCCCTGCCAAGCCTCGAAGAGATTCCTGAGGTGTCCCTCGTTACTAGACAGGAGTCCTGACGTCACTGAAGAAACTCGTGTTTTGAAGGGCCATCCCCGCCGTAAGTCGAGAACATACCCCAGGTCCCCGCCGCAACTCGAGAAAAACCATGAGACTTCCCCCTAGAGGCGAGATGAGGCCCCATTCCCCTGCAGTGCATGCAGAGCTATTCCGTGGTCCCATTCAAGCAAGTCAGGAGCTTCGACTTGCTTAATGGATCTCGAGACAGTCCCCAAGAACACTGTCACCAGTCTCGACGGACCCTGAGGTCACCCCAGCAACACAAAGCAGCTCCATGGGCCCCAAATCAACTCGAGATGAGGCCCGATTCCCCTGCATTGACTCCAGAGCCATTCCTCGTTCCCCATTCAACAAGACCGGTGGCTCGACTTCCTTCAGGCAACTCCAGAGATGCCCCGAGAACACTGTCCCAAGTCTAGAGGAACACCAACTTCAGCACGGCAACTCGAGGAATGCTCCGTGTACCCCAAATCGTCTCGAGATGAGAGCTGATTCCCTGGCTTAGGCTCAAGACGTATGCCAACTTTCCAGACGCACCTCAGGAGGAGGCTTCTCTCAGCAATAGGTATGTGGCAGGGACCCCGAGTTCGCTGCCTCAAGGGCAATATACAGCGAGAAGCCCTAACTTGAAAGGAGGCCGGATTTCCTTGCAGTGGCTTGAATACAGGCTCGTCTTTCATCTCACAACATGAAGGGATGTCTGAATCCCCTGTGGAGACCTTAGAGAAAGCCCTAGGTCCCTGCCTCATTTTGACGGAATGCCTCACATCCCGTTGACACCTCAAGAGGCACGCGAAGTTCATTGCTTCAAAAGGTGACAATGCCTCACTCCTCTTGAATACTGATAGGAATCCCAAAATCCCTGTGGCTACTGGAAAGGGTCCTTGGGTGCCCTGCCTCACCTCGAGAAGCGTCCCTTTTGCCCTGCCAAGCCTCGAAGAGATTCCTGAGGTGTCCCTCGTTACTAGACAGGAGTCCTGACGTCACTGAAGAAACTCGTGTTTTGAAGGGCCATCCCCGCCGTAAGTCGAGAACATACCCCAGGTCCCCGCCGCAACTCGAGAAAAACCATGAGACTTCCCCCTAGAGGCGAGATGAGGCCCCATTCCCCTGTAGTGCATGCAGAGCTATTCCGTGGTCCCATTCAAGCAAGTCAGGAGCTTTGACTTGCTTAATGGTTCTCGAGACAGTCCCCAAGAACACTGTCACCAGTCTCGACGGACCCTGAGGTCACCCCAGCAACGCAAAGCAGCTCCATGGGCCCCAAATCAACTCGAGATGAGGCCCGATTCCCCTGCATTGACTCCAGAGCCATTCCCGGTTCCCCATTCAACACGACCGGTGGCTCGACTTCTTTCAGGCAACTCCAGAGATGCCCCGAGAACACTGTCCCAAGTCTAGAGGAACACCAACTTCAGCACGGCAACTCGAGGAATGCTCCGTGTACCCCAAATCGTCTCGAGATGAGAGGTGATTCCCTGGCTTAGGCTCAAGACGGATGCCAACTTTCAAGACGCACCTCAGGAGGAGGCTTCTCTCAGCAATAGCTATGTGGGAGGGACCCCGAGTTCGCAGCCTCAAGGGCAATATACAGCGAGAAGCCCTAACTTGAAAGGAGGCCGGATTTCCTTGCAGTGGCTTGAATACAGGCTCGTCTTTCATCTCACAACATGAAGGGATGTCTGAATCCCCTGTGGAGGCCTTAGAGAAAGCCCTAGGTCCCTGCCTCATTTGGACGGAATGCATCACATCCCGTTGACACCTCGAGAGGCACGCGGAGTTCATTGCTTCAAAAGGTGACGATGCCTGACTCCTCTTGAATTCTGATAGGAATACCAAAATCACTGTGGCTACTGGAAAGGGTCCTTGGGTGCCCTGCCTCACCTCAAGAAGCGTCCCATTTGCACTGCCAAGCCTCGATGAGATTCCTGAGGTGTCCCTCGTTACTAGACAGGAGTCCTGACGTCACTGAAGAAACTCGTGTTTTGAAGGGCCATCCCCCCCGTAAGTCGAGAACATACCCCAGGTCCCCGTCGCAACTCGAGAAAAACCATGAGACTTCCCCCTAGAGTCAGATGAGGCCCCATTCCCCTGCAGTGCATGCAGAGCTATTCCGTGGTCCCATTCAAACAAGTCAGGAGCTTTGACTTGCTTAATGGATCTCGAGACAGTCCCCAAGAACACTGTCACCAGTCTCGACGGACGCTGAGGTCACCCCAGCAACGCAAAGCAGCTCCATGTGCCCCAAATCAACTCGAGATGAGGCCCGATTCCCCTGCATTGACTCCAGAGCCATTCCCCGTTCCCCATTCAACACGACCGGTGGCTCGACTTCCTTCAGGCAACTCCAGAGATGCCCCGAGAACACTGTCCCAAGTCTAGAGGAACACCAACTTCAGCACGCCAACTCGAGGAATGCTCCGTGTACCCCAAATCGTCTCGAGATGAGAGCTGTTTCCCTGGCTTAGGCTCAAGACGTATGCCAACTTTCCAGACGCACCTCAGGAGGAGGCTTCTCTCAGCAATAGGTATGTGGGAGGGACCCTGAGTTCGCTGCCTCAAGGGCAATATACAGCGAGAAGCCCTAACTTGAAAGGAGGCCGGATTTCCTTGCAGTGGCTTGAATACAAGCTCGTCTTTCATCTCACAACATGAAGGGATGTCTGAATCCCCTGTGGAGACCTTAGAGAAAGCCCTAGGTCCCTGCCTCATTTGGACGGAATGCATCACATCCCGTTGACACCTCGAGAGGCACGCGGAGTTCATTGCTTCAAAGGTGACGATGCCTGACTCCTCTTGAATTCTGATATTAATACCAAAATCACTGTGGCTACTGGAAAGGGTCCTTGGGTGCCCTGCCTCACCTCAAGAAGCGTCCCATTTGCACTGCCAAGCCTCGATGAGATTCCTGAGGTGTCCCTCGTTACTAGACAGGAGTCCTGACGTCACTGAAGAAACTCGTGTTTTGAAGGGCCATCCCCCCCGTAAGTCGAGAACATACCCCAGGTCCCCGCCGCAAATCGATAAATACCATGAGACTTCCCCCTAGAGGCAGATGAGGCCCCATTCCCCTGCAGTGCATGCAGAGCTATTCCGTGGTCCCATTCAAACAAGTCAGGAGCTTTGACTTGCTTAATGGATCTCGAGACAGTCCCCAAGAACACTGTCACCAGTCTCGACGGACGCTGAGGTCACCCCAGCAACGCAAAGCAGCTCCATGTGCCCCAAATCAACTCGAGATGAGGCCCGATTCCCCTGCATTGACTCCAGAGCCATTCCCCGTTCCCCTTTCAACACGACCGGTGGCTCGACTTCCTTCAGGCAACTCCAGAGATACCCCGAGAACACTGTCTCAAGTCTAGAGGAACACCAACTTCAGCACAGCAACTCGAGGAATGCTCCGTGTACCCCAAATCGTCTCGAGATGAGAGCTGATTCCTTGGCTTAGGCTCAAGACGTATGCCAACTTTCCGGACGCACCTCAGGAGGAGGCTTCTCTCAGCAATAGGTATGTGGGAGGGACCCCGAGTTCGCTGCCTCAAGGGCAATATACAGCGAGAAGCCCTAACTTGAAAGGAGGCCGGATTTCCTTGCAGTGGCTTGAATACAGGCTCGTCTTTCATCTCACAACATGAAGGGATGTCTGAATCCCCTGTGGAGACCTTAGAGAAAGCCCTAGGTCCCTGCCTCATTTTGACGGAATGCCTCACATCCCGTTGACACCTCAAGAGGCACGCGAAGTTCATTGCTTCAAAAGGTGACAATGCCTCACTCCTCTTGAATACTGATAGGAATCCCAAAATCCCTGTGGCTACTGGAAAGGGTCCTTGGGTGCCCTGCCTCACCTCGAGAAGCGTCCCTTTTGCCCTGCCAAGCCTCGAAGAGATTCCTGAGGTGTCCCTCGTTACTAGACAGGAGTCCTGACGTCACTGAAGAAACTCGTGTTTTGAAGGGCCATCCCCGCCGTAAGTCAAGAACATACCCCAGGTCCCCGCCGCAACTCGAGAAAAACCATGAGACTTCCCCCTAGAGGCGAGTTGAGGCCCCATTCCAGTGCAGTGCATGCAGAGCTATTCCGTGGTCCCATTCAAGCAAGTCAGGAGCTTCGACTTGCTTAATGGATCTCGAGACAGTCCCCAAGAACACTGTCACCAGTCTCGACGGACCCTGAGGTCACCCCAGCAACACAAAGCAGCTCCATGGGCCCCAAATCAACTCGAGATGAGGCCCGATTCCCCTGCATTGACTCCAGAGCCATTCCCCATTCCCCATTCAACAAGACCGGTGGCTCGACTTCCTTCAGGCAACTCCAGAGATGCCCCGAGAACACTGTCCCAAGTCTAGAGGAACACCAACTTCAGCACGGCAACTCGAGGAATGCTCCGTGTACCCCAAATCGTCTCGAGATGAGAGCTGATTCCCTGGCTTAGGCTCAAGACGTATGCCAACTTTCCAGACGCACCTCAGGAGGAGGCTTCTCTCAGCAATAGGTATGTGGCAGGGACCCCGAGTTCGCTGCCTCAAGGGCAATATACAGCGAGAAGCCCTAACTTGAAAGGAGGCCGGATTTCCTTGCAGTGGCTTGAATACAGGCTCGTCTTTCATCTCGCGACATGAAGGGATGTCTGAATCCCCTGTGGAGACCTTAGAGAAAGCCCTAGGTCCCTGCCTCATTTTGACGGAATGCCTCACATCCCGTTGACACCTCAAGAGGCACGCGAAGTTCATTGCTTCAAAAGGTGACAATGCCTGACTCCTCTTGAATACTGATAGAAATCCCAAAATCCCTGTGGCTACTGGAAATGGTCCTTGGGTGCCCTGCCTCACCTCGAGAAGCGTCCCTTTTGTCCTGCCAAGCCTCGAAGAGATTCCTGAAGTGTCCCTCGTTACTAGACAGGAGTCCTGACGTCACTGAAGAAACTCGTGTTTTGAAGGGCCATCCCCGCCGTAAGTCGAGAACATACCCCAGGTCAGCGCCGCAACTCGAGAAAAACCATGAGACTTCCTCCTAGAGGCGAGATGAGGCCCCATTCCCCTGCAGTGCATGCAGAGCTATTCCGTGGTCCCATTCAAGCAAGTCAGGAGCTTCGCCTTGCTTAATGCTTCTCGAGACAGTCCCCAAGAACACTGTCACCAGTCTCGACGGACCCTGAGGTCACCCCAGCAACGCAAAGCAGCTCCATGGGCCCCAAATCAACTCGAGATGAGGCCCGATTCCCCTGCATTGACTCCAGAGCCATTCCCCGTTCCCCATTCAACACGACCGGTGGCTCGACTTCCTTCAGGCAACTCCAGAGATACCCCGAGAACACTCTCCCAAGTCTAGAGGAACACCAACTTCAGCACGGCAACTCGAGGAATGCTCCGTGTACCCCAAATCGTCTCGAGATGAGAGCTGATTCCCTGGCTTATGCTCAAGACGAATGCCAACTTTCCAGAAGCACCTCAGGAGGAGGCTTCTCTCAGCAATACGTATGTGGGAGGGACCTCGAGTTCGCTGCCTCAAGGGCAATATACAGCGAGAAGCCCTAACTTGAAAGGAGGCCGGATTTCCTTGCAGTGGCTTGAATACAGGCTCGTCTTTCATCTCACAACATGAAGGGATGTCTGAATCCCCTGTGGAGACCTTAGAGAAAGCCCTAGGTCCCTGCCTCATTTTGACGGAATGCCTCACATCCCGTTGACACCTCAAGAGGCACGCGAAGTTCATTGCTTCAAAAGGTGACAATGCCTCACTCCTCTTGAATACTGATAGGAATCCCAAAATCCCTGTGGCTACTGGAAAGGGTCCTTGGGTGCCCTGCCTCACCTCGAGAAGCGTCCATTTTGCCCTGCCAAGCCTCGAAGAGATTCCTGAGGTGTCCCTCGTTACTAGACAGGAGTCCTGACGTCACTGAAGAAACTCGTGTTTTGAAGGGCCATCCCCGCCGTAAGTCGAGAACATACCCCAGGTCCCCGCCGCAACTCGAGAAAAACCATGAGATTTCCCCCTAGAGGCGAGATGAGGCCCCATTCCCCTGCAGTGCATGCAGAGCTATTCCATGGTCCCATTCAAGCAAGTCAGGAGCTTCGACTTGCTTAATGGTTCTCGAGACAGTCCCCAAGAAAACTGTCACCAGTCTCGACGGACCCTGAGGTCACCCCAGCAACGCAAAGCAGCTCCATGGGCCCCAAATCAACTCGAGATGAGGCCCGATTCCCCTGCATTGACTCCAGAGCCATTCCCGGTTCCCCATTCAACACGACCGGTGGCTCGACTTCCTTCAGGCAATTCCAGAGATGCCCCGAGAACACTGTCCCAAGTCTAGAGGAACACCAACTTCAGCACGGCAACTCGAGGAATGCTCCGTGTACCCCAAATTGTCTCGAGATGAGAGGTGATTCCCTGGCTTAGGCTCAAGACGTATGCCAACTTTCAAGACGCACCTCAGGAGGAGGCTTCTCTCAGCAATAGCTATGTGGGAGGGACCCCGAGTTCGCAGCCTCAAGGGCAATATACCGCGAGAAGCCCTAACTTGAAAGGAGGCCGGATTTCCTTGCAGTGGCTTGAATACAGGCTCGTCTTTCATCTCACAACATGAAGGGATGTCTGAATCCCCTGTGGAGACCTTAGAGAAAGCCCTAGGTCCCTGCCTCATTTGGACGGAATGCCTCACATCCCGTTGACACCTCGAGAGGCACGCGGAGTTCATTGCTTCAAAAGGTGACGATGCCTGACTCCTCTTGAATTCTGATAGGAATACCAAAATCACTGTGGCTACTGGAAAGGGTCCTTGGGTGCCCTGCCTCACCTCAAGAAGCGTCCCATTTGCACTGCCAAGCCTCGATGAGACTCCTGAGGTGTCCCTCGTTACTAGACAGCAGTCCTGACGTCACTGAAGAAACTCGTGTTTTGAAGGGCCATCCCCCCCGTAAGTCGAGAACATACCCCAGGTCCCCGCCGCAACTCGAGAAAAACCATGAGACTTCCCCCTAGAGGCAGATGAGGCCCCATTCCCCTGCAGTGCATGCAGAGCTATTCCGTGGTCCCATTCAAACAAGTCAGGAGCTTTGACTTGCTTAATGGATCTCGAGACAGTCCCCAAGAACACTGTCACCAGTCTCGACGGACGCTGAGGTCACCCCAGCAACGCAAAGCAGCTCCATGTGCCCCAAATCAACTCGAGATGAGGCCCGATTCCCCTGCATTGACTCCAGAGCCATTCCCCGTTCCCCTTTCAACACGACCGGTGGCTCGACTTCCTTCAGGCAACTCCAGAGATACCCCGAGAACACTGTCCCAAGTCTAGAGGAACACCAACTTCAGCACAGCAACTCGAGGAATGCTCCGTGTACCCCAAATCGTCTCGAGATGAGAGCTGATTCCTTGGCTTAGGCTCAAGACGTATGCCAACTTTCCAGACGCACCTCAGGAGGAGGCTTCTCTCAGCAATAGGTATGTGGGAGGGACCCCGAGTTCGCTGCCTCAAGGGCAATATACAGCGAGAAGCCCTAACTTGAAAGGAGGCCGGATTTCGTTGCAGTGGCTTGAATACAGGCTCGTCTTTCATCTCACAACATGAAGGGATGTCTGAATCCCCTGTGGAGACCTTAGAGAAAGCCCTAGGTCCCTGCCTCATTTTGACGGAATGCCTCACATCCCGTTGACACCTCAAGAGGCACGCGAAGTTCATTGCTTCAAAAGGTGACAATGCCTGACTCCTCTTGAATACTGATAGGAATCCCAAAATCCCTGTGGCTACTGGAAAGGGTCCTTGGGTGCCCTGCCTCACCTCGAGAAGCGTCCCTTTTGCCCTGCCAAGCCTCGAAGAGATTCCTGAGGTGTCCCTCGTTACTAGACAGGAGTCCTGACGTCACTGAAGAAACTCGTGTTTTGAAGGGCCATCCCCGCCGTAAGTCGAGAACATACCCCAGGTCCCCGCCGCAACTCGAGAAAAACCATGAGACTTCCCCCTAGAGGCGAGATGAGGCCCCATTCCCCTGCAGTGCATGCAGAGCTATTCCGTGGTCCCATTCAAGCAAGTCAGGAGCTTCGACTTGCTTAATGGATCTCGAGACAGTCCCCAAGAACACTGTCACCAGTCTCGACGGACCCTGAGGTCACCCCAGCAACACAAAGCAGCTCCATGGGCCCCAAATCAACTCGAGATGAGGCCCGATTCCCCTGCATTGACTCCAGAGCCATTCCCCGTTCCCCATTCAACAAGACCGGTGGCTCGACTTCCTTCAGGCAACTCCAGAGATGCCCCGAGAACACTGTCCCAAGTCTAGAGGAACACCAACTTCAGCACGGCAACTCGAGGAATGCTCCGTGTACCCCAAATCGTCTCGAGATGAGAGCTGATTCCCTGGCTTAGGCTCAAGACGTATGCCAACTTTCCAGACGCACCTCAGGAGGAGGCTTCTCTCAGCAATAGGTATGTGGCAGGGACCCCGAGTTCGCTGCCTCAAGGGCAATATACAGCGAGAAGCCCTAACTTGAAAGGAGGCCGGATTTCCTTGCAGTGGCTTGAATACAGGCTCGTCTTTCATCTCACAACATTAAGGGATGTCTGAATCCCCTGTGGAGACCTTAGAGAAAGCCCTAGGTCCCTGCCTCATTTTGACGGAATGCCTCACATCCCGTTGACACATCAAGAGGCACGCGAAGTTCATTGCTTCAAAAGTTGACAATGCCTGACTCCTCTTGAATACTGATAGGAATCCCAAAATCCCTGTGGCTACTGGAAAGGGTCCTTGGGTGCCCTGCCTCACCTCGAGAAGCGTCCCTTTTGCCCTGCCAAGCCTCGAAGAGATTCCTGAGGTGTCCCTCGTTACTAGACAGGAGTCCTGACGTCACTGAAGAATCTCGTGTTTTGAAGGGCCATCCCCGCCGTAAGTCGAGAACATGCCCCAGGTCCCCGCCGCAACTCGAGAAAATCCATGAGACTTCCCCCTAGAGGCGAGATGAGGCCCCATTCCCCTGCAGTGCATGCAGAGCTATTCCGTGGTCCCATTCAAGCAAGTCAGGAGCTTCGACTTGCTTAATGGTTCTCGAGACAGTCCCCAAGAACACTGTCACCAGTCTCGACGGACCCTGAGGTCACCCCAGCAACGCAAAGCAGCTCCATGGGCCCCAAATCAACTCGAGATGAGGCCCGATTCCCCTGCATTGACTCCAGAGCCATTCCCCGTTCCCCATTCAACACGACCGGTGGCTCGACTTCCTTCAGGCAACTCCAGAGATGCCCCGAGAACACTGTTCCAAGTCTAGAGGAACACCAACTTCAGCACGGCAACTCGAGGAATGCTCCGTGTACCCCAAATTGTCTCGAGATGAGAGGTGATTCCCTGGCTTAGGCTCAAGACGTATGCCAACTTTCAAGACGCACCTCAGGAGGAGGCTTCTCTCAGCAATAGGTATGTGGGAGGGACCCCGAGTTCGCTGCCTCAAGGGCAATATACAGCGAGAAGACCTAACTTGAAAGGAGGCCGGATTTCCTTGCAGTGGCTTGAATACAGACTCGTCTTTCATCTCACAACATGCAGGGATGTCGGAATCCCCTGTGGAGACCTTAGAGAAAGCCCTAGGTCCCTGCCTCATTTGGACGGAATGCCTCAAATCCCGTTGAAACCTTGAGAGGCACGCGGAGTTCATTGCTTCAAAATGTGACGATGCCTGACTCCTGTTGAATTCTGATAGGAATCCCAAAATCACTGTGGCTACTGGAAAGGGTCCTTGGGTGCCCTGCCTCACTTCAAGAAGCGTCCCATTTGCACTGCCAAGCCTCGAAGAGATTCCTGAGGTGTCCCTCGTTACTAGACAGGAGTCCTGACGTCACTGAAGAAACTCGTGTTTTGAAGGGCCATCCCCGCCGTAAGTCGAGAACATACCCCAGGTCCCCGCCGCAACTCGAGAAAAACCATGAGACTTACCCCTAGAGGCGAGATGAGGCCCCATTCCCCTGCAGTGCATGCAGAACTATTCCGTGGTCCCATTCAAACAAGTCAGGAGCTTCGACTTGCTTAATGGATCTCGAGACAGTCCCCAAGAACACTGTCACCAGTCTCGACGGACGCTGAGGTCACCCCAGCAACGCAAAGCAGCACCATGTGCCCCAAATCAACTCGAGATGAGGCCCGATTCCCCTGCATTGACTCCAGAGCCATTCCCCGTTCCCCATTCAACACGACCGGTGGCTCGACTGCCTTCAGGCAACTCCAGAGATACCCCGAGAACACTGTCCCAAGTCTAGAGGAACACCAACTTCAGCACAGCAACTCGAGGAATGCTCCGTGTACCCCAAATCGTCTCGAGATGAGAGCTGATTCCCTGGCTTAGGCTCAAGACGTATGCCAACTTTCCAGACGCAACTCAGGTGGAGGCTTCTCTCAGCAATAGGTATGTGGGAGGGACCCCGAGGTCGCTGCCTCAAGGGCAATATACAGCGAGAAGCCCTAACTTGAAAGGAGGCCGGATTTCCTTGCAGTGGCTTGAATACAGGCTCGTCTTTCATCTCACGACATGAAGGGATGTCTGAATCCCCTGTGGAGACCTTAGAGAAAGCCCTAGGTCCCTGCCTCATTTTGATGGAATGCCTCACATCCCGTTGACACCTCAAGAGGCCCACGAAGTTCATTGCTTCTAAAGGTGACAATGCCTCACTCCTCTTGAATACTGATAGGAATCCCAAAATCCCTGTGGCTACTGGAAAGGGTCCTTGGGTGCCCTGCCTCACCTCGAGAAGCGTCCCTTTTGCCCTGCCAAGCCTCGAAGAGATTCCTGAGGTGTCCCTCGTTACTAGACAGGAGTCCTGACGTCACTGAAGAAACTCGTGTTTTGAAGGGCCATCCCCGCCGTAAGTCGAGAACATACCCCAGGTCCCCGCCGCAACTCGAGAAAATCCATGAGACTTCCCCCTAGAGGCGAGATGAGGCCCCATTCCCCTGCAGTGCATGCAGAGCTATTCCGTGGTCCCATTCAAGCAAGTCAGGAGCTTCGACTTGCTTAATGGATCTCGAGACAGTCCCCAAGAACACTGTCACCAGTCTCGACGGACGCTGAGGTCACCCCAGCAACGCAAAGCAGCTCCATGTGCCCCAAATCAACTCGAGATGAGGCCCGATTCCCCTGCATTGACTCCAGAGCCATTCCCCGTTCCCCATTCAACACGACCGGTGGCTCGACTTCCTTCAGGCAACTCCAGAGATACCCCGAGAACACTGTCCCAAGTCTAGAGGAACACCAATTTCAGCACAGCAACTCGAGGAATACTCCGTGTACCCCAAATCGTCTCGAGATGAGAGCTCATTCCCTGTCTTAGGCTCAAGACGTATGCCAACTTTCCAGACGCACCTCAGGAGGAGGCTTCTCTCAGCAATAGGTATGTGGGAGGGACCCCGAGTTCGCTGCCTCAAGGGCAATATACAGCGAGAAGCCCTAACTTGAAAGGAGGCCGGATTTCCTTGCAGTGGCTTGAATACAGGCTCGTCTTTCATCTCACGACATGAAGGGATGTCTGAATCCCCTGTGGAGACCTTAGAGAAAGCCCTAGGTCCCTGCCTCATTTTGACGGAATGCCTCAAATCCCGTTGACACCTTGAGAGGCACGCGGAGTTCATTGCTTCAAAAGGTGACGATGCCTGACTCCTGTTGAATTCTGATAGGAATCCCAAAATCACTGTGGCTACTGGAAAGGGTCCTTGCGTGCCCTGCCTCACCTCAAGAAGCGTCCCATTTGCACTGCCAAGCCTCGATGAGATTCCTGAGGTGTCCCTCGTTACTAGACAGCAGTCCTGACGTCAATGAAGAAACTCGTGTTTTGAAGGGCCATCCCCGCCGTAAGTCGAGAACATACCCCAGGTCCCCGCCGCAACTCGAGAAAAACCAAGAGACTTCCCCCTAGAGGCGAGATGAGACCCCATTCCCCTGCAGTGCATGCAGAGCTATTCCGTGGTCCCATTCAAACAAGTCAAGAGCTTCGACTTGCTTAATGGATCTCGAGACAGTCCTCAAGAACACTGTCACCAGTCTCGACGGACGCTGAGGTCACCCCAGCAACGCAAAGCAGCTCCATGTGCCCCAAATCAACTCGAGATGAGGCCCGATTCCCCTGCATTGACTCCAGAGCCATTCCCCGTTCCTCATTCAACACGAACGGTGGCTCGACTTCCTTCAGGCAACTCCAGAGATACCCCGAGAACACTGTCCCAAGTCTAGAGGAACACCAACTTCAGCACAGCAACTCGAGGAATGCTCCGTGTACCGCAAATCGTCTCGAGATGAGAGGGGATTCCCTGGCTTAGGCTCAAGACGTATGCCAACTTTCCAGACGCACCTCAGGAGGAGGCTTCTCTCAGCAATAGTTATGTGGGAGGGACACCGATTTCGCTGCCTCAAGGGCAATATACAGCGAGAAGCCCTAACTTGAAAGGAGGCCGGATTTCCTTGCAGTGGCTTGAATACAGGCTCGTCTTTCATCTCACAACATGAAGGGATGTCTGAATCCCCTGTGGAGACCTTAGAGAAAGCCCAAGGTCCCTGCCTCATTTTGACGGAATGCCTCACATCCCGTTGACACCTCGAGAGGCACGCGGAGTTCATTGCTTCAAAACGTGACGATGCCTGACTCCTCTTGAATACTGATAGGAATCCCAAAATCCCTGTGGATACTGGAAAGGGTCCTTGGGTGCCCTGCCTCACCTCGAGAAGCGTCCCTTTTGCCCTGCCAAGCCTCGAAGAGATTCCTGAGGTGTCCCTCGTTACTAGACAGGAGTCCTGACGTCACTGAAGAAACTCGTGTTTTGAAGGGCCATCCCCGCCATAACTCGAGAACATACCCCAGGTCCCCGCCGCAACTCGAGAAAAACCATGAGACTTCCCCCTAGAGGCGAGATGAGGCCCCATTCCCCTGCAGTGCATGCAGAGCTATTCCGTGGTCCCATTCAAACAAGTCAGGAGCTTAGACTTGCTTAATGGATCTCGAGACAGTCCCCAAGAACACTGTCACCAGTCTCGACGGACCCTGAGGTCACCCCAGCAACGCAAAGCAGCTCCATGTGCCCCAAATCAACTCGAGATGAGCCCCGATTCCCCTGAATTGACTCCAGAGCCATTCCCCGTTCCCCATTCAACACGACCGGTGGCTCGACTTCCTTCAGGCAACTCCAGAGATACCCCGAGAACACTGTCCCAAGTCTAGAGGAACACCAACTTCAGCACAGCAACTCGAGGAATGCTCCGTGTACCCCAAATTGTCTCGAGATGAGAGCTGATTCCCTGGCTTAGGCTCAAGACGTATGCCAACTTTCCAGACGCACCTCAGGAGGAAGCTTCTCTCAGCAATAGGTATGTGGGAGGGACCCCGAGTTCGCTGCCTCAATGGCAATATACAGCGAGAAGCCCTAACTTGAAAGGAGGCCGGATTTCCTTGCAGTGGCTTGAATACAGGCTCGTCTTTCATCTCACGAAATGAAGGGATGTCTGAATCCCCTGTGGAGACCTTAGAGAAAGCCCTAGGTCCCTGCCTCATTTTGACGGAATGCCTCACATCCCGTTGACACTTCAAGAGGCACGCGAAGTTCATTGCTTCAAAAGGTGACAATGCCTCACTCCTCTTGAATACTGATAGGAATCCCAAAATCCCTGTGGCTACTGGAAAGGGTCCTTGGGTGCCCTGCCTCACCTCGAGAAGCGTCCCTTTTGCCCTGCCAAGCCTCGAAGAGATTCCTGAGGTGTCCCTCGTTACTAGACAGGAGTCCTGACGTCACTGAAGAAACTCGTGTTTTGAAGGGCCATCCCCGTCGTAAGTCGAGAACATACCCCAGGTCCCCGCCGCAACTCGAGAAAAACCATGAGACTTCCCCCTAGAGGCGAGATGAGGCCCCATTCCCCTGCAGTGCATGCAGAGCTATTCCGTGGTCCCATTCAAGCAAGTCAGGAGCTTCGACTTGCTTAATGGTTCTCGAGACAGTCCCCAAGAACACTTTCACCAGTCTCGACGGACCCGGAGGTCACCCCAGCAACGCAAATCAGCTCCATGGGCCCCAAATCAACTCGAGATGAGGCCCGATTCCCCTGCATTGACTCCAGAGCCATTCCCCGTTCCCCATTGAACACGACCGGTGGCTCGACTTCCTTCAGGCATCTCCAGAGATGCCCCGAGAACACTGTCCCAAGTCGATAGGAACACCAACTTCAGCACGGCAACTCGAGGAATGCTCCGTGTACCCCAAATCATCTCGAGATGAGAGGTGATTCCCTGGCTTAGGCTCAAGACGTATGCCAACTTTCAAGACGCACCTCAGGAGGAGGCTTCTCTCAGCAATAGGTATGTGGGAGGGACCCCGAGTTCGCTGCCTCAAGGGCAATATACAGCGAGAAGCCCTAACTTGAAAGGAGGCCTGATTTCCTTGCAATGGCTTTAATACAGGCTCGTCTTTGATCTCACAACATGAAGGGATGTCTGAATCCCCTGTGGAGACCTTAGAGAAAGCCCTAGGTCCCTGCCTCACTTGGACGGAATGCCTCACATCCCGTTGACACCTCGAGAGGCACGCGGAGTTCATTGCTTCAAAAGGTGACGATGCCTGACTACTCTTGAATTCTGATAGGAATCCCAAAATCACTGTGGCTACTGGAAAGGGTCCTTGGGTGCCCTGCCTCACCTCAAGAAGCGTCCCATTTGCACTGCCAAGCCTCGATGAGATTCCTGAGGTGTCCCTCGTTACTAGACAGGAGTCCTGACGTCACTGAAGAAACTCGTGTTTTGAAGGGCCATCCCCGCCGTAAGTCGAGAACATACCCCAGGTCCCCGCCGCAACTCGAGAAAAACCATGAGACTTCCCCCTAGAGGCGAGATGAGGCCCCATTCCCCTGCAGTGCATGCAGAGCTATTCCGTGGTCCCATTCAAACAAGTCAGGAGCTTCGACTTGCTTAATGGATCTCGAGACAGTCCCCAAGAACACTGTCACCAGTCTCGACGGACGCTGAGGTCACCCCAGCAACGCAAAGCAGCTCCATGGGCCCCAAATCAACTCGAGATGAGGCCCGATTCCCCTGCATTGACTCCAGAGCCATTCCCCGTTCCCCATTCAACACGACCGGTGGCTCGACTTCCTTCAGGCAACTCCAGAGATACCCCGAGAACACTGTCCCAAGTCTTGAGGAACACCAATTTCAGCACAGCAACTCGAGGAATACTCCGTGTACCCCAAATCGTCTCGAGATGAGAGCTCATTCCCTGTCTTAGGCTCAAGACGTATGCCAACTTTCCAGACGCACCTCAGGAGGAGGCTTCTCTCAGCAATAGGTATGTGGGAGGGACCCCGAGTTCGCTGCCTCAAGGGCAATATACAGCGAGAAGCCCTAACTTGAAAGGAGGCCGGATTTCCTTGCAGTGGCTTGAATACAGGCTCGTCTTTCATCTCACAACATGAAGGGATGTCTGAATCCCCTGTGGAGACCTTAGAGAAAGCCCTAGGTCCCTGCCTCATTTTGACGGAATGCCTCACATCCCGTTGACACATCAAGAGGCACGCGAAGTTCATTGCTTCAAAAGGTGACAATGCCTGACTCCTCTTGAATACTGATAGGAATCCCAAAATCCCTGTGGCTACTGGAAAGGGTCCTTGGGTGCCCTGCCTCACCTCGAGAAGCGTCCCTTTTGCCCTGCCAAGCCTCGAAGAGATTCCTGAGGTGTCCCTCGTTACTATACAGGAGTCCTGACGTCATTGAAGAAACTCGTGTTTTGAAGGGCCATCCCCGCCGTAAGTCGAGAACATACCCCAGGTCCCCGCCGCAACTCGAGAAAAACCATGAGACTTCCCCCTAGAGGCGAGATGAGGCCCCATTCCCCTTCAGTGCATGCAGAGCTATTCCGTGGTCCCATTCAAGCAAGTCAGGAGCTTCGACTTGCTTAATGGTTCTCGAGACAGTCCCCAAGAACACTGTCACCAGTCTCGATGGACCCTGAGGTCACCCCAGCAACGCAAAGCAGCTCCATGGGCCCCAAATCAACTCGAGATGAGGCCCGATTCCCCTGCATTGACTCCAGAGCCATTCCCCGTTCCCCATTCAACACGACCGGTGGCTCGACTTCCTTCAGGCAACTCCAGAGATGCCCCGAGAACACTGTTCCAAGTCTAGAGGAACACCAACTTCAGCACGGCAACTCGAGGAATGCTCCGTGTACCCCAAATCGTCTCGAGAAGAGAGGTGATTCCCTGGCTTAGGCTCAAGACGTATGCCAACTTTCAAGACGCACCTCAGGAGGAGGCTTCTCTCAGCAATAGGTATGTGGGAGGGACCCCGAGTTCGCTGCCTCAAGGGCAATATACAGCGAGAAGCCCTAACTTGAAAGGAGGCCGGATTTCCTTGCAGTGGCTTGAATACAGACTCGTCTTTCATCTCACAACATGAAGGGATGTCTGAATCCCCTGTGGAGACCTTAGAGAAAGCCCTAGGTCCCTGCCTCATTTGGACGGAATGCCTCAAATCCCGTTGACACCTTGAGAGGCACGCGGAGTTCATTGCTTCAAAAGGTGACGATGCCTGACTCCTGTTGAATTCTGATAGGAATCCCAAAATCACTGTGGCTACTGGAAAGGGTCCTTGCGTGCCCTGCCTCACCTCAAGAAGCGTCCCATTTGCACTGCCAAGCCTCGATGAGATTCCTGAGGTGTCCCTCGTTACTAGACAGCAGTCCTGACGTCACTGAAGAAACTAGTGTTTTGAAGGGCCATCCCCGCCGTAAGTCGAGAACATACCCCAGGTCCCCGCCGCAACTCGAGAAAAACCATGAGACTTCCCCCTAGAGGCGAGATGAGACCCCATTCCCCTGCAGTGCATGCAGAGCTATTCCGTGGTCCCATTCAAACAAGTCAGGAGCTTCGACTTGCTTAATGGATCTCGAGACAGTCCTCAAGAACACTGTCACCAGTCTCGACGGACGCTGAGGTCACCCCAGCAACGCAAAGCAGCTCCATGGGCCCCAAATCAACTCGAGATGAGGCCCGATTCCCCTGCATTGACTCCAGAGCCATTCCCCGTTCCTCATTCAACACGAACGGTGGCTCGACTTCCTTCAGGCAACTCCAGAGATACCCCGAGAACACTGTCCCAAGTCTAGAGGAACACCAACTTCAGCACAGCAACTCGAGGAATGCTCCGTGTACCCCAAATCGTCTCGAGATGAGAGGGGATTCCCTGGCTTAGGCTCAAGACGTATGCCAACTTTCCAGACGCACCTCAGGAGGAGGCTTCTCTCAGCAATAGTTATGTGGGAGGGACACCGAGTTCGCTGCCTCAAGGGCAATATACAGCGAGAAGCCCTAACTTGAAAGGAGGCCGGATTTCCTTGCAGTGGCTTGAATACAGGCTCGTCTTTCATCTCACAACATGAAGGGATGTCTGAATCCCCTGTGGAGACCTTAGAGAAAGCCCAAGGTCCCTGCCTCATTTTGACGGAATGCCTCACATCCCGTTGACACCTCGAGAGGCACGCGGAGTTCATTGCTTCAAAACGTGACGATGCCTGACTCCTCTTGAATACTGATAGGAATCCCAAAATCCCTGTGGCTACTGGAAAGTGTCCTTGGGTGCCCTGCCTCACCTCGAGAAGCGTCCCTTTTGCCCTGCCAAGCCTCGAAGAGATTCCGGAGGTGTCCCTCGTTACTAGACAGGAGTCCTGACGTCACTGAAGAAACTAGTGTTTTGAAGGGCCATCCCCGCCGTAAGTCGAGAACATACCCCAGGTCCCCGCCGCAACTCGAGAAAAACCATGAGACTTCCCCCTAGAGGCGAGATGAGACCCCATTCCCCTGCAGTGCATGCAGAGCTATTCCGTGGTCCCATTCAAACAAGTCAGGAGCTTCGACTTGCTTAATGGATCTCGAGACAGTCCCCAAGAACACTGTCACCAGTCTCGACGGACGCTGAGGTCACCCCAGCAACGCAAAGCAGCTCCATGTGCCCCAAATCAACTCGAGATGAGGCCCGATTCCCCTGCATTGACTCCAGAGCCATTCCCCGTTCCCCATTCAACACGACCGGTGGCTCGACTTCCTTCAGGCAACTCCAGAGATGCCCCGAGAACACTGTCCCAAGTCTAGAGGAACACCAACTTCAGCACGGCAACTCGAGGAATGCTCCGTGTACCCCAAATCGTCTCGAGATGAGAGCTGTTTCCCTGGCTTAGGCTCAAGACGTATGCCAACTTTCCAGACGCACCTCAGGAGGAGGCTTCTCTCAGCAATAGGTATGTGGGAGGGACCCTGAGTTCGCTGCGTCAAGGGCAATATACAGCGAGAAGCCCTAACTTGAAAGGAGGCCGGATTTCCTTGCAGTGGCTTGAATACAGGCTCGTCTTTCATCTCACAACATGAAGGGATGTCTGAATCCCCTGTGGAGACCTTAGAGAAAGCCCTAGGTCCCTGCCTCATTTTGACGGAATGCCTCACATCCCGTTGACACCTCAAGAGGCACGCGAAGTACATTGCTTCAAAAGGTGACAATGCCTCACTCCTCTTGAATACTGATAGGAATCCCAAAATCCCTGTGGCTACTGGAAAGGGTCCTTGGGTGCCCTGCCTCACCTCGAGAAGCATCCCTTTTGCCCTGCCAAGCCTCGAAGAGATTCCTGAGGTGTCCCTCGTTACTATACAGGAGTCCTGACGTCACTGAAGAAACTCGTGTTTTGAAGGGCCATCCCCGCCGTAAGTCGAGAACATACCCCAGGTCCCCGCCGCAACTCGAGAAAAACCATGAGACTTCCCCCTAGAGGCGAGATGAGGCTCCATTCCCCTGAAGTGCATGCAGAGCTATTCCGTGGTCCCATTCAAACAAGTCAGGAGCTTCGACTTGCTTAATGGATCTCGAGACGGTCCTCAAGAACACTGTCACCAGTCTCGATGGACCCTGAGGTCACCCCAGCAACGCAAAGCAGCTCCATGTGCCCCAAATCAACTCGAGATGAGGCCCGATTCCCCTGCATTGATTCCAGAGCCATTCCCCGTTCCCATTCAACATGAACGGTGGCTCGACTTCCTTCAGGCAACTCCAGAGATACCCCGAGAACACTGTCCCAAGTCTAGAGAAACACCAACTTCAGCACAGCAACTCGAGGAATGCTCCGTGTACACCAAATCATCTCGAGATGAGAGCTGATTCCATGGCTTAGGCTCAAGACGTATGCCAACTTTCCAGACGCACCTCAGGAGGAGGCTTCTCTCAGCAATAGGTATGTGGGAGGGACCCCGAGTTCGCTGCCTCAAGGGCAATATACAGCGAGAAGCCCTAACATGAATGGAGGCCGGATTTCCTTGCAGTGGCTTGAATACAGGCTCGTCTTTCATCTCACAACATGAAGGGATGTCTGAATCCCCTGTGGAGACCTTAGAGAAAGCCCTAGGTCCCTGCCTCATTTTGACGGAATGCCTCACATCCCGTTGACACATCAAGAGGCACGCGAAGTTCATTGCTTCAAAAGGTGACAATGCCTCACTCCTCTTGAATACTGATAGGAATCCCAAAATCCCTGTGGCTACTGGAAAGGGTCCTTGGGTGACTTGCCTCACCTCGAGAAGCGTCCCTTTTGCCCTGCCAAGCCTCGAAGAGATTCCTGAGGTGTCCCTCGTTACTAGACACGAGTCCTGACGTCACTGAAGAAACTCGTGTTTTGAAGGGCCATCCCCGCCGTAAGTCGAGAACATACCCCAGGTCCCCGCCGCAACTCGAGAAAAACCATGAGACTTCCCCCTAGAGGCGAGATGAGGCCCCATTCCCCTGCAGTGCATGCAGAGCTATTCCGTGGTCCCATTCAAGCAAGTCAGGAGCTTCGACTTGCTTAATGGTTCTCGAGACAGTCCCCAAGAACACTGTCACCAGTCTCGACGGACCCTGAGGTCACCCCAGCAACGCAAAGCAGCTCCATGGGCCCCAAATCAACTCGAGATGAGGCCCGATTCCCCTGCATTGACTCCAGAGCCATTCCCCGTTCCCCATTCAACACGACCGGAGGCTCGACTTCCTTCAGGCAACTCCAGAGATGCCCCGAGAACACTGTTCCAAGTCTAGAGGAACACCAACTTCAGCACGGCAACTCGAGGAATGCTCCGTGTACCCCAAATTGTCTCGAGATGAGAGGTGATTCCCTGGCTTAGGCTCAAGACGTATGCCAACTTTCCAGACGCACCTCAGGAGGAGGCTTCTCTCAGCAATAGGTATGTGGGAGGGACCCCGAGTTCGCTACCTCAAGGGCAATATATAGCGAGAAGCCCTAACTTGAAAGGAGGCCGGATTTCCTTGCAGTGGCTTGAATACAGGCTCGTCTTTCATCTCACGACATGAAGGGATGTCTGAATCCCCTGTGGAGACCTTAGAGAAATCCCTAGATCCCTGCCTCATTTTGACGGAATGCCTCACATCCCGTTGACACATCAAGAGGCACGCGAAGTTCATTGCTTCAAAAGGTGACAATGCCTGACTCCTCTTGAATACTGATAGGAATCCCAAAATCCCTGTGGCTACTGGAAAGGGTCCTTGGGTGCCCTGCCTCACCTCGAGAAGCGTCCCTTTTGCCCTGCCAAGCCTCGAAGAGATTCCTGAGGTGTCCCTCGTTACTAGACAGGAGTCCTGACGTCACTGAAGAATCTCGTGTTTTGAAGGGCCATCCCCGCCGTAAGTCGAGAACATGCCCCAGGTCCCTGCCGCAACTCGAGAAAATCCATGAGACTTCCCCCTAGAGGCGAGATGAGGCCCCATTCCCCTGCAGTGCATGCAGAGCTATTCCGTGGTCCCATTCAAGCAAGTCAGGAGCTTCGACTTGCTTAATGGTTCTCGAGACAATCCCCAAGAACACTGTCACCAGTCTCGACGGACCCTGAGGTCACCCCAGCAACGCAAAGCAGCTCCATGGGCCCCAAATCAACTCGAGATGAGGCCCGATTCCCCTGCATTGGCTCCAGAGCCATTCCCCGTTCCCCATTCAACACGACCGGTGGCTCGACTTCCTTCAGGCAACTCCAGAGATGCCCCGAGAACACTGTCCCAAGTCTAGAGGAACACCAACTTCAGCACGGCAACTCGAGGAATGCTCCGTGTACCCCAAATTGTCTCGAGATGAGAGGTGATTCCCTGGCTTAGGCTCAAGACGTATGCCAACTTTCAAGACGCACCTCAGGAGGAGGCTTCTCTCAGCAATAGGTATGTGGGAGGGACCCCGAGTTCGCTGCCTCAAGGGCAATATACAGCGAGAAGCCCTAACTTGAAAGGAGGCCGGATTTCCTTGCAGTGGCTTGAATACAGACTCGTCTTTCATCTCACAACATGCAGGGATGTCGGAATCCCCTGTGGACACCTTAGAGAAAGCCCTAGGTCCCTGCCTCATTTGGACGGAATGCCTCAAATCCCGTTGACACCTTGAGAGGCACGCGGAGTTCATTGCTTCAAAATGTGACGATGCCTGACTCCTGTTGAATTCTGATAGGAATCCCAAAATCACTGTGGCTACTGGAAAGAGTGCTTGCGTGCCCTGCCTCACCTCAAGAAGCGTCCCATTTGCACTGCCAAGCCTCGATGAGATTCCTGAGGTGTCCCTCGTTACTAGACAGCAGTCCTGAAGTCACTGAAGAAACTCGTGTTTTGAAGGGCCATCCCCGCCGTAAGTCGAGAACATACCCCAGGTCCCCGCCGCAACTCGAGTAAAACCATGAGACTTCCCCCTAGAGGCGAGATGAGGCCCCATTCCCCTTCAGTGCATGCAGAGCTATTCCGTGGTCCCATTCAAGCAAGTCAGGAGCTTCGACTTGCTTAATGGTTCTCGAGACAGTCCCCAAGAACACTGTCACCAGTCTCGATGGACCCTGAGGTCACCCCAGCAACGCAAAGCAGCTCCATGGGCCCCAAATCAACTCGAGATGAGGCCCGATTCCCCTGCATTGACTCCAGAGCCATTCCCCGTTCCCCATTCAACACGAACGGTGGCTCGACTTCCTTCAGGCAACTCCAGAGATACCCCGAGAACACTGTCCCAAGTCTAGAGGAACACCAACTTCAGCACAGCAACTCGAGGAATGCTCCGTGTACCCCAAATCGTCTCGAGATGAGAGGGGATTCCCTGGCTTAGGCTCAAGACGTATGCCAACTTTCCAGACGCACCTCAGGAGGAGGCTTCTCTCAGCAATAGTTATGTGGGAGGGACACCGAGTTCGCTGCCTCAAGGGCAATATACAGCGAGAAGCCCTAACTTGAAAGGAGGCCGGATTTCCTTGCAGTGGCTTGAATACAGGCTCGTCTTTCATCTCACAACATGAAGGGATGTCTGAATCCCCTGTGGAGACCTTAGAGAAAGCCCAAGGTCCCTGCCTCATTTTGACGGAATGCCTCACATCCCGTTGACACCTCGAGAGGCACGCGGAGTTCATTGCTTCAAAACGTGACGATGCCTGACTCCTCTTGAATACTGATAGGAATCCCAAAATCCCTGTGGCTACTGGAAAGTGTCCTTGGGTGCCCTGCCTCACCTCGAGAAGCGTCCCTTTTGCCCTGCCAAGCCTCGAAGAGATTCAGAAGGTGTCCCTCGTTACTAGACAGGAGTCCTGACGTCACTGAAGAAACTAGTGTTTTGAAGGGCCATCCCCGCCGTAAGTCGAGAACATACCCCAGGTCCCCGCCGCAACTCGAGAAAAACCATGAGACTTCCCCCTAGAGGCGAGATGAGACCCCATTCCCCTGCAGTGCATGCAGAGCTATTCCGTGGTCCCATTCAAACAAGTCAGGAGCTTGACTTGCTTAATGGATCTCGAGACAGTCCCCAAGAACACTGTCACCAGTCTCGACGGACCCTGAGGTCACCCCAGCAACGCAAAGCAGCTCCATGTGCCCCAAATCAACTCGAGATGAGGCCCGATTCCCCTGCATTGACTCCAGAGCCATTCCCCGTTCCCCATTCAACACGACCGGTGGCTCGACTTCCTTCAGGCAACTCCAGAGATGCCCCGAGAACACTGTCCCAAGTCTAGAGGAACACCAACTTCAGCACAGCAACTCGAGGAATGCTCCGTGTACCCCAAATCGTCTCGAGATGAGAGCTGTTTCCCTGGCTTAGGCTCAAGACGTATGCCAACTTTCCAGACGCACCTCAGGAGGAGGCTTCTCTCAGCAATAGGTATGTGGGAGGGACCCTGAGTTCGCTGCCTCAAGGGCAATATACAGCGAGAAGCCCTAACTTGAAAGGAGGCCGGATTTCCTTGCAGTGGCTTGAATACAGGCTCGTCTTTCATCTCACAACATGAAGGGATGTCTGAATCCCCTGTGGAGACCTTAGAGAAAGCCCTAGGTCCCTGCCTCATTTTGACGGAATGCCTCACATCCCGTTGACACCTCAAGAGGCACGCGAAGTTCATTGCTTCAAAAGGTGACAATGCCTCACTCCTCTTGAATACTGATAGGAATCCCAAAATCCCTGTGGCTACTGGAAAGGGTCCTTGGGTGCCCTGCCTCACCTCGAGAAGCGTCCCTTTTGCCCTGCCAAGCCTCGAAGAGATTCCTGAGGTGTCCCTCGTTACTAGACAGCAGTCCTGAAGTCACTGAAGAAACTCGTGTTTTGAAGGGCCATCCCCGCCGTAAGTCGAGAACATACCCCAGGTCCCCGCCGCAACTCGAGAAAAACCATGAGACTTCCCCCTAGAGGCGAGATGAGGCCCCATTCCCCTGCAGTGCATGCAGAGCTATTCCGTGGTCCCATTCAAACAAGTCAGGAGCTTCGACTTGCTTAATGGATCTTGAGACAGTCCTCAAGAACACTGTCACCAGTCTCGATGGACCCTGAGGTCACCCCAGCAACGCAAAGCAGCTCCATGTGCCCCAAATCAACTCGAGATGAGGCCCGATTCCCCTGCATTGATTCCAGAGCCATTCCCCGTTCCCATTCAACACGAACGGTGGCTCGACTTCCTTCAGGCAACTCCAGAGATACCCCGAGAACACTGTCCCAAGTCTAGAGGAACACCAACTTCAGCACAGCAACTCGAGGAATGCTCCGTGTACACCAAATCATCTCGAGATGAGAGCTGATTCCATGGCTTAGGCTCAAGACGTATGCCAAGTTTCAAGACGCACCTCAGGAGGAGGCTTCTCTCAGCAATAGGTATGTGGGAGGGACCCCGAGTTCGCTGCCTCAAGGGCAATATACAGCGAGAAGCCCTAACTTGAAAGGAGGCCGGATTTCCTTGCAGTGGCTTGAATACAGGCTCGTCTTTCATCTCACAACATGAAGGGATGTCTGAATCCCCTGTGGAGACCTTAGAGAAAGCCCTAGGTCCCTGCCTCATTTTGACGGAATGCCTCACATCCCGTTGACACCTCAAGAGGCACGCGAAGTTCATTGCTTCAAAAGGTGACAATGCCTCACTCCTCTTGAATACTGATAGGAATCCCAAAATCCCTGTGGCTACTGGAAAGGGTCCTTGGGTGCCCTGCCTCACCTCGAGAAGCGTCCCTTTTGCCCTGCCAAGCCTCGAAGAGATTCCTGAGGTGTCCCTCGTTACTAGACAGGAGTCCTGACGTCACTGAAGAATCTCGTGTTTTGAAGGGCCATCCCCGCCGTAAGTCGAGAACATGCCCCAGGTCCCTGCCGCAACTCGAGAAAATCCATGAGACTTCCCCCTAGAGGCGAGATGAGGCCCCATTCCCCTGCAGTGCATGCAGAGCTATTCCGTGGTCCCATTCAAGCAAGTCAGGAGCTTCGACTTGCTTAATGGTTCTCGAGACAGTCCCCAAGAACACTGTCACCAGTCTCGATGGACCCTGAGGTCACCCCAGCAACGCAAAGCAGCTCCATGGGCCCCAAATCAACTCGAGATGAGGCCCGATTCCCCTGCATTGACTCCAGAGCCATTCCCCGTTCCCCATTCAACACGACCGGTGGCTCGACTTCCTTCAGGCAACTCCAGAGATGCCCCGAGAACACTGTTCCAAGTCTAGAGGAACACCAACTTCAGCACGGCAACTCGAGGAATGCTCCGTGTACCCCAAATCGTCTCGAGAAGAGAGGTGATTCCCTGGCTTAGGCTCAAGACGTATGCCAACTTTCAAGACGCACCTCAGGAGGAGGCTTCTCTCAGCAATAGGTATGTGGGAGGGACCCCGAGTTCGCTGCCTCAAGGGCAATATACAGCGAGAAGCCCTAACTTGAAAGGAGGCCGGATTTCCTTGCAGTGGCTTGAATACAGACTCGTCTTTCATCTCACAACATGAAGGGATGTCTGAATCCCCTGTGGAGACCTTAGAGAAAGCCCTAGGTCCCTGCCTCATTTGGACGGAATGCCTCAAATCCCGTTGACACCTTGAGAGGCACGCGGAGTTCATTGCTTCAAAAGGTGACGATGCCTGACTCCTGTTGAATTCTGATAGGAATCCCAAAATCACTGTGGCTACTGGAAAGGGTCCTTGCGTGCCCTGCCTCACCTCAAGAAGCGTCCCATTTGCACTGCCAAGCCTCGATGAGATTCCTGAGGTGTCCCTCGTTACTAGACAGCAGTCCTGACGTCACTGAAGAAACTCGTGTTTTGAAGGGCCATCGCCGCCGTAAGTCGAGAACATACCCCAGGTCCCCGCCGCAACTCGAGAAAAACCAAGAGACTTCCCCCTAGAGGCGAGATGAGACCCCATTCCCCTGCAGTGCATGCAGAGCTATTCCGTGGTCCCATTCAAACAAGTCAGGAGCTTCGACTTGCTTAATGGATCTCGAGACAGTCCTCAAGAACACTGTCACCAGTCTCGACGGACGCTGAGGTCACCCCAGCAACGCAAAGCAGCTCCATGTGCCCCAAATCAACTCGAGATGAGGCCCGATTCCCCTGCATTGACTCCAGAGCCATTCCCCGTTCCCCATTCAACACGAACGGTGGCTCGACTTCCTTCAGGCAACTCCAGAGATACCCCGAGAACACTGTCCCAAGTCTAGAGGAACACCAACTTCAGCACAGCAACTCGAGGAATGCTCCGTGTACCCCAAATCGTCTCGAGATGAGAGGGGATTCCCTGGCTTAGGCTCAAGACGTATGCCAACTTTCCAGACGCACCTCAGGAGGAGGCTTCTCTCAGCAATAGTTATGTGGGAGGGACACCGAGTTCGCTGCCTCAAGGGCAATATACAGCGAGAAGCCCTAACTTGAAAGGAGGCCGGATTTCCTTGCAGTGGCTTGAATACAGGCTCGTCTTTCATCTCACAACATGAAGGGATGTCTGAATCCCCTGTGGAGACCTTAGAGAAAGCCCAAGGTCCCTGCCTCATTTTGACGGAATGCCTCACATCCCGTTGACACCTCGAGAGGCACGCGGAGTTCATTGCTTCAAAACGTGACGATGCCTGACTCCTCTTGAATACTGATAGGAATCCCAAAATCCCTGTGGCTACTGGAAAGTGTCCTTGGGTGCCCTGCCTCACCTCGAGAAGCGTCCCTTTTGCCCTGCCAAGCCTCGAAGAGATTCCGGAGGTGTCCCTCGTTACTAGACAGGAGTCCTGACGTCACTGAAGAAACTAGTGTTTTGAAGGGCCATCCCCGCCGTAAGTCGAGAACATACCCCAGGTCCCCGCCGCAACTCGAGATAAACCATGAGACTTCCCCCTAGAGGCGAGATGAGACCCCATTCCCCTGCAGTGCATGCAGAGCTATTCCGTGGTCCCATTCAAACAAGTCAGGAGCTTCGACTTGCTTAATGGATCTCGAGACAGTCCCCAAGAACACTGTCACCAGTCTCGACGGACCCTGAGGTCACCCCAGCAACGCAAAGCAGCTCCATGTGCCCCAAATCAACTCGAGATGAGGCCCGATTCCCCTGCATTGACTCCAGAGCCATTCCCCGTTCCCCATTCAACACGACCGGTGGCTCGACTTCCTTCAGGCAACTCCAGAGATGCCCCGAGAACACTGTCCCAAGTCTAGAGGAACACCAACTTCAGCACAGCAACTCGAGGAATGCTCCGTGTACCCCAAATCGTCTCGAGATGAGAGCTGTTTCCCTGGCTTAGGCTCAAGACGTATGCCAACTTTCCAGACGCACCTCAGGAGGAGGCTTCTCTCAGCAATAGGTATGTGGGAGGGACCCTGAGTTCGCTGCCTCAAGGGCAATATACAGCGAGAAGCCCTAACTTGAAAGGAGGCCGGATTTCCTTGCAGTGGCTTGAATACAGGCTCGTCTTTCATCTCACAACATGAAGGGATGTCTGAATCCCCTGTGGAGACCTTAGAGAAAGCCCTAGGTCCCTGCCTCATTTTGACGGAATGCCTCACATCCCGTTGACACCTCAAGAGGCACGCGAAGTTCATTGCTTCAAAAGGTGACAATGCCTCACTCCTCTTGAATACTGATAGGAATCCCAAAATCCCTGTGGCTACTGGAAAGGGTCCTTGGGTGCCCTGCCTCACCTCGAGAAGCGTCCCTTTTGCCCTGCCAAGCCTCGAAGAGATTCCTGAGGTGTCCCTCGTTACTATACAGGAGTCCTGACGTCACTGAAGAAACTCGTGTTTTGAAGGGCCATCCCCGCCGTAAGTCGAGAACATACCCCAGGTCCCCGCCGCAACTCGAGAAAAACCATGAGACTTCCCCCTAGAGGTGAGATGAGGCCCCATTCCCCTGCAGTGCATGCAGAGCTATTCCGTGGTCCCATTCAAACAAGTCAGGAGCTTCGACTTGCTTAATGGATCTCGAGACAGTCCTCAAGAACACTGTCACCAGTCTCGATGGACCCTGAGGTCACCCCAGCAACGCAAAGCAGCTCCATGTGCCCCAAATCAACTCGAGATGAGGCCCGATTCCCCTGCATTGATTCCAGAGCCATTCCCCGTTCCCATTCAACACGAACGGTGGCTCGACTTCCTTCAGGCAACTCCAGAGATACCCCGAGAACACTGTCCCAAGTCTAGAGGAACACCAACTTCAGCACAGCAACTCGAGGAATGCTCCGTGTACACCAAATCATCTCGAGATGAGAGCTGATTCCATGGCTTAGGCTCAAGACGTATGCCAAGTTTCAAGACGCACCTCAGGAGGAGGCTTCTCTCAGCAATAGGTATGTGGGAGGGACCCCGAGTTCGCTGCCTCAAGGGCAATATACAGCGAGAAGCCCTAACTTGAATGGAGGCCGGATTTCCTTGCAGTGGCTTGAATACAGGCTCGTCTTTCATCTCACAACATGAAGGGATGTCTGAATCCCCTGTGGAGACCTTAGAGAAAGCCCTAGGTCCCTGCCTCATTTTGACGGAATGCCTCACATCCCGTTGACACCTCAAGAGGCACGCGAAGTTCATTGCTTCAAAAGGTGACAATGCCTCACTCCTCTTGAATACTGATAGGAATCCCAAAATCCCTGTGGCTACTGGAAAGGGTCCTTGGGTGACCTGCCTCACCTCGAGAAGCGTCTGTTTTGCCCTGCCAAGCCTCGAAGAGATTCCTGAGGTGTCCCTCGTTATTAGACAGGAGTCCTGACGTCACTGAAGAAACTCGTGTTTTGAAGGGCCATCTCCGCCGTAAGTCGAGAACATACCCCAGGTCCCCGCCGCAACTCGAGAAAAACCATGAGACTTCCCCCTAGAGGCGAGATGAGGCCCCATTCCCCTGCAGTGCATGCAGAGCTATTCCGTGGTCCCATTCAAGCAAGTCAGGAGCTTCGACTTGCTTAATGGTTCTCGAGAGAGTCCCCAAGAACACTGTCACCAGTCTCGACGGACCCTGAGCTCACCCCAGCAACGCAAAGCAGCTCCATGGGCCCCAAATCAACTCGAGATGAGGCCCGATTCCCCTGCATTGACTCCAGAGCCATTCCCCGTTCCCCATTCAACACGACCGGTGGCTCGACTTCCTTCAGGCAACTCCAGAGATGCCCCGAGAACACTGTTCCAAGTCTAGAGGAACACCAACTTCAGCACGGCAACTCGAGGAATGCTCCGTGTACCCCAAATTGTCTCGAGATGAGAGGTGATTCACTGGCTTAGGCTCAAGACGTATGCCAACTTTCCAGACGCACCTCAGGAGGAGGCTTCTCTCAGCAATAGGTATGTGGGAGGGACCCCGAGTTCGCTACCTCAAGGGCAATATACAGCGAGAAGCCCTAACTTGAAAGGAGGCCGGATTTCCTTGCAGTGGCTTGAATACAGGCTTGTCTTTCATCTCACGACATGAAGGGATGTCTGAATCCCCTGTGGAGACCTTAGAGAAAGCCCTAGATCCCTGCCTCATTTTGACGGAATGCCTCACATCCCGTTGACACATCAAGAGGCACGCGAAGTTCATTGCTTCAAAAGGTGACAATGCCTGACTCCTCTTGAATACTGATAGGAATCCCAAAATCCCTGTGGCTACTGGAAAGGGTCCTTGGGTGCCCTGCCTCACCTCGAGAAGCGTCCCTTTTGCCCTGCCAAGCCTCGAAGAGATTCCTGAGGTGTCCCTCGTTACTAGACAGGAGTCCTGACGTCACTGAAGAATCTCGTGTTTTGAAGGGCCATCCCCGCCGTAAGTCGAGAACATGCCCCAGGTCCCTGCCGCAACTCGAGAAAATCCATGAGACTTCCCCCTAGAGGCGAGATGAGGCCCCATTCCCCTGCAGTGCATGCAGAGCTATTCCGTGGTCCCATTCAAGCAAGTCAGGAGCTTCGACTTGCTTAATGGTTCTCGAGACAGTCCCCAAGAACACTGTCACCAGTCTCGACGGACCCTGAGGTCACCCCAGCAACGCAAAGCAGCTCTATGGGCCCCAAATCAACTCGAGATGAGGCCCGATTCCCCTGCATTGGCTCCAGAGCCATTCCCCGTTCCCCATTCAACACGACCGGTGGCTCGACTTCCTTCAGGCAACTCCAGAGATGCCCCGAAAACACTGTCCCAAGTCTAGAGGAACACCAACTTCAGCACGGCAACTCGAGGAATGCTCCGTGTACCCCAAATTGTCTCGAGATGAGAGGTGATTCCCTGGCTTAGGCTCAAGACGTATGCCAACTTTCAAGACGCACCTCAGGAGAAGGCTTCTCTCAGCAAGAGGTATGTGGGAGGGACCCCGAGTTCGCTGCCTCAAGGGCAATATACAGCGAGAAGCCCTAACTTGAAAGGAGGCCGGATTTCCTTGCAGTGGCTTGAATACAGACTCGTCTTTCATCTCACAACATGCAGGGATGTCGGAATCCCCTGTGGACACCTTAGAGAAAGCCCTAGGTCCCTGCCTCATTTGGACGGAATGCCTCAAATCCCGTTGACACCTTGAGAGGCACGCGGAGTTCATTGCTTCAAAATGTGACGATGCCTGACTCCTGTTGAATTCTGATAGGAATCCCAAAATCACTGTGGCTACTGGAAAGGGTCCTTGGGTGCCCTGCCTCACCTCGAGATGCGTCCCTTTTGCCCTGCCAAGCCTCGAAGAGATTCCTGAGGTGTCCCTCGTTACTAGACAGGAGTCCTGACGTCACTGAAGAAACTCGTGTTTTGAAGGGCCATCCCCGCCATAACTCGAGAACATACCCCAGGTCCCCGCCGCAACTCGAGAAAAACCATGAGACTTCCCCCTAGAGGCGAGATGAGGCCCCATTCCCCTGCAGTGCATGCAGAGCTATTCCGTGGTCCCATTCAAACAAGTCAGGAGCTTCGACTTGCTTAATGGATCTCGAGACAGTCCCCAAGAACACTGTCACCAGTCTCGACGGACCCTGAGGTCACCCCAGCAACGCAAAGCAGCTCCATGTGCCCCAAATCAACTCGAGATGAGGCCCGATTCCCCTGCATTGACTCCAGAGCCATTCCCCGTTCCCCATTCAACACGACCGGTGGCTCGACTTCCTTCAGGCAACTCCAGAGATACCCCGAGAACACTGTCCCAAGTCTAGAGGAACACCAACTTCAGCACAGCAACTCGAGGAATGCTCCGTGTAACCCAAATCGTCTCGAGATGAGAGCTGATTCCCTGGCTTAGGCTCAAGACGTATGCCAACTTTCCAGACGCACCTCAGGAGGAGGTTTCTCTCAGCAATAGGTATGTGGGAGGGACCCCGAGTTCGCTGCCTCAATGGCAATATACAGCGACAAGCCCTAACTTGAAAGGAGGACGGATTTCCTTGCAGTGGCTTGAATACAGGCTCGTCTTTCATCTCACGAAATGAAGGGATGTCTGAATCCCCTGTGGAGACCTTAGAGAAAGCCCTAGGTCCCTGCCTCATTTTGACGGAATGCCTCACATCCCGTTGACACTTCAAGAGGCACGCGAAGTTCATTGCTTCAAAAGGTGACAATGCCTCACTCCTCTTGAATACTGATAGGAATCCCAAAATCCCTGTGGCTACTGGAAAGGGTCCTTGGGTGCCCTGCCTCACCTCGAGAAGCGTCCCTTTTGCCCTGCCAAGCCTCGAAGAGATTCCTGAGGTGTCCCTCGTTACTAGACAGGAGTCCTGACGTCACTGAAGAAACTCGTGTTTTGAAGGGCCATCCCCGTCGTAAGTCGAGAACATACCCCAGGTCCCCGCCGCAACTCGAGAAAAACCATGAGACTTCCCCCTAGAGGCGAGATGAGGCCCCATTCCCCTGCATTGCATGCAGAGCTATTCCGTGGTCCCATTCAAGCAAGTCAGGAGCTTCGACTTGCTTAATGGTTCTCGAGACAGTCACCAAGAACACTTTCACCAGTCTCGACGGACCCGGAGGTCACCCCAGCAACGCAAATCAGCTCCATGGGCCCCAAATCAACTCGAGATGAGGCCCGATTCCCCTGCATTGACTCCAGAGCCATTCCCCGTTCCCCATTCAACACGACCGCTGGCTCGACTTCCTTCAGGCATCTCCAGAGATGCCCCGAGAACACTGTCCCAAGTCGATAGGAACACCAACTTCAGCACGGCAACTCGAGGAATGCTCCGTGTACCCCAAATCATCTCGAGATGAGAGGTGATTCCCTGGCTTAGGCTCAAGACGTATGCCAACTTTCAAGACGCACCTCAGGGGGAGGCTTCTCTCAGCAATAGGTATGTGGGAGGGACCCCGAGTTCGCTGCCTCAAGGGCAATATACAGCGAGAAGCCCTAACTTGAAAGGAGGCCGGATTTCCTTGCAATGGCTTTAATACAGGCTCGTCTTTGATCTCACAACATGAAGGGATGTCTGAATCCCCTGTGGAGACCTTAGAGAAAGCCCTAGGTCCCTGCCTCATTTGGACGGAATGCCTCACATCCCATTGACACCTCGAGAGGCACGCGGAGTTCATTGCTTCAAAAGGTGACGATGCCTGACTCCTCTTGAATTCTGATAGGAATCCCAAAATCACTGTGGCTACTGGAAAGGGTCCTTGGGTGCCCTGCCTCACCTCAAGAAGCGTCCCATTTGCACTGCCAAGCCTCGATGAGATTCCTGAGGTGTCCCTCGTTACTAGACAGGAGTCCTGACGTCACTGAAGAAACTCGTGTTTTGAAGGGCCATCCCCGCCGTAAGTCGAGAACATACCCCAGGTCCCCGCCGCAACTCGAGAAAAACCATGAGACTTCCCCCTAGAGGCGAGATGAGGCCCCATTCCCCTGCAGTGCATGCAGAGCTATTCCGTGGTCCCATTCAAACAAGTCAGGAGCTTCGACTTGCTTAATGGATCTCGAGACAGTCCCCAAGAACACTGTCACCAGTCTCGACGGACGCTGAGGTCACCCCAGCAACGCAAAGCAGCTCCATGTGCCCCAAATCAACTCGAGATGAGGCCCGATTCCCCTGCATTGACTCCAGAGCCATTCCCCGTTCCCCATTCAACACGACCGGTGGCTCGACTTCCTTCAGGCAACTCCAGAGATACCCCGAGAACACTGTCCCAATTCTAGAGGAACACCAATTTCAGCACAGCAACTCGAGGAATACTCCGTGTACCCCAAATCGTCTCGAGATGAGAGCTGATTCCCTGGCTTAGGCTCAAGACGTATGCCAACTTTCCAGACGCACCTCAGGAGGAGGCTTCTCTCAGCAATAGGTATGTGGGAGGGACCCCGAGTTCGCTGCCTCAAGGGCAATATACAGCGAGAAGCCCTAACTTGAAAGGAGGCCGGATTTCCTTGCAGTGGCTTGAATACAGGCTCGTCTTTCATCTCACGACATGAAGGGATGTCTGAATCCCCTGTGGAGACCTTAGAGAAAGCCCTAGGTCCCTGCCTCATTTTGACGGAATGCCTCACATCCCGTTGACACATCAAGAGGCACGCGAAGTTCATTACTTCAGAAGGTGACAATGCCTGACTCCTCTTGAATACTGATAGGAATCCCAAAATCCCTGTGGCTACTGGAAAGGGTCCTTGGGTGCCCTGCCTCACCTCGAGAAGCGTCCCTTTTGCCCTGCCAAGCCTCGAAGAGATTCCTGAGGTGTCCCTCGTTACTAGACAGGAGTCCTGACGTCACTGAAGAAACTCGTGTTTTGAAGGGCCATCCCCGCCGTAAGTCGAGAACATACCCCAGGTCCCCGCCGCAACTCGAGAAAAACCATGAGACTTCCCCCTAGAGGCGAGATGAGGCCCCATTCCCCTTCAGTGCATGCAGAGCTATTCCGTGGTCCCATTCAAACAAGTCAGGAGCTTCGACTTGCTTAATGGTTCTCGAGACAGTCCCCAAGAACACTGTCACCAGTCTCGATGGACCCTGAGGTCACCCCAGCAACGCAAAGCAGCTCCATGGGCCCCAAATCAACTCGAGATGAGGCCCGATTCCCCTGCATTGACTCCAGAGCCATTCCCCGTTCCCCATTCAACACGACCGGTGGCTCGACTTCCTTCAGGCAACTCCAGAGATGCCCCGAGAACACTGTTCCAAGTCTAGAGGAACACCAACTTCAGCACGGCAACTCGAGGAATGCTCCGTGTACCCCAAATCGTCTCGAGAAGAGAGGTGATTCCCTGGCTTAGGCTCAAGACGTATGCCAACTTTCAAGATGCACCTCAGGAGGAGGCTTCTCTCAGCAATAGGTATGTGGGAGGGACCCCGAGTTCGCTGCCTCAAGGGCAATATACAGCGAGAAGCCCTAACTTGAAAGGAGGCCGGATTTCCTTGCAGTGGCTTGAATACAGACTCGTCTTTCATCTCACAACATGAAGGGATGTCTGAATCCCCTGTGGAGACCTTAGAGAAAGCCCTAGGTCCCTGCCTCATTTGGACGGAATGCCTCAAATCCCGTTGACACCTTGAGAGGCACGCGGAGTTCATTGCTTCAAAAGGTGACGATGCCTGACTCCTGTTGAATTCTGATAGGAATCCCAAAATCACTGTGGCTACTGGAAAGGGTCCTTGGGTGCCCTGCCTCACCTCAAGAAGCGTCCCATTTGCACTGCCAAGCCTCGATGAGATTCCTGAGGTGTCCCTCGTTACTAGAGAGCAGTCCTGACGTCACTGAAGAAACTCGTGTTTTGAAGGGCCATCCCCGCCGTAAGTCGAGAACATACCCCAGGTCCCTGCCGCAACTCGAGAAAAACCAAGAGACTTCCCCCTAGAGGCGAGATGAGACCCCATTCCCCTGCAGTGCATGCAGAGCTATTCCGTGGTCCCATTCAAACAAGTCAGGAGCTTCGACTTGCTTAATGGATCTCGAGACAGTCCTCAAGAACACTGTCACCAGTCTCGACGGACGCTGAGGTCACCCCAGCAACGCAAAGCAGCTCCATGTGCCCCAAATCAACTCGAGATGAGGCCCGATTCCCCTGCATTGACTCCAGAGCCATTCCCCGTTCCCCATTCAACAAGACCGGTGGCTCGACTTCCTTCAGGCAACTCCAGAGATGCCCCGAGAACACTGTCCCAAGTCTAGAGGAACACCAACTTCAGCACGGCAACTCGAGGAATGCTCCGTGTACCCCAAATCGTCTCGAGATGAGAGCTGTTTCCCTGGCTTAGGCTCAAGACGTATGCCAACTTTCCAGACGCACCTCAGGAGGAGGCTTCTCTCAGCAATAGGTATGTGGGAGGGACCCTGAGTTCGCTGCCTCAAGGGAAATATACAGCGAGAAGCCCTAAATTGAAAGGAGGCCGGATTTCCTTGCAGTGGCTTGAATACAGGCTCGTCTTTCATCTCACAACATGAAGGGATGTCTGAATCCCCTGTGGAGACCTTAGAGAAAGCCCTAGGTCCCTGCCTCATTTTGACGGAATGCCTCACATCCCGTTGACACCTCAAGAGGCACGCGAAGTTCATTGCTTCAAAAGGTGACAATGCCTCACTCCTCTTGAATACTGATAGGAATCCCAAAATCCCTGTGGCTACTGGAAAGGGTCCTTGGGTACCCTGCCTCACCTCGAGAAGCGTCCCTTTTGCCCTGCCAAGCCTCGAAGAGATTCCTGAGGTGTCCCTCGTTACTATACAGGAGTCCTGACGTCACTGAAGAAACTCGTGTTTTGAAGGGCCATCCCCGCCGTAAGTCGAGAACATACCCCAGGTCCCCGCCGCAACTCGAGAAAAACCATGAGACTTCCCTCTAGAGGCGAGATGAGGCCCCATTCCCCTGAAGTGCATGCAGAGCTATTCCGTGATCCCATTCAAACAAGTCAGGAGCTTCGACTTGCTTAATGGATCTCGAGACAGTCCCCAAGAACACTGTCACCAGTCTCGATGGACCCTGAGGTCACCCCAGCAACGCAAAGCAGCTCCATGTGCCCCAAATCAACTCGAGATGAGGCCCGATTCCCCTGCATTGATTCCAGAGCCATTCCCCGTTCCCATTCAACACGAACGGTGGCTCGACTTCCTTCAGGCAACTCCAGAGATACCCTGAGAACACTGTCCCAAGTCTAGAGGAACACCAACTTCAGCACAGCAACTCGAGGAAAGCTCCGTGTACACCAAATCATCTCGAGATGAGAGCTGATTCCATGGCTTAGGCTCAAGACGTATGCCAAGTTTCAAGACGCACCTCAGGAGGAGGCTTCTCTCAGCAATAGGTATGTGGGAGGGACCCCAAGTTCGCTGCCTCAAGGGCAATATACAGCGAGAAGCCCTAACTTGAATGGAGGCCGGATTTCCTTGCAGTGGCTTGAATTCAGGCTCGTCTTTCATCTCACAACATTAAGGGATGTCTGAATCCCCTGTGGAGACCTTAGAGAAAGCCCTAGGTCCCTGCCTCATTTTGACGGAATGCCTCACATCCCGTTGACACCTCAAGAGGCACGCGAAGTTCATTGCTTCAAAAGGTGACAATGCCTCACTCCTCTTGAATACTGATAGGAATCCCAAAATCCCTGTGGCTACTGGAAAGGGTCCTTGGGTGACCTGCCTCACCTCGAGAAGCCTCTGTTTTGCCCTGCCAAGCCTCGAAGAGATTCCTGAGGTGTCCCTCGTTATTAGACAGGAGTCCTGACGTCACTGAAGAAACTCGTGTTTTGAAGGGCCATCCCCGCCGTAAGTCGAGAACATACCCCAGGTCCCCGCCGCAACTCGAGAAAAACCATGAGACTTCCCCCTAGAGGCGAGATGAGACCCCATTCCCCTGCAGTGCATGCAGAGCTATTCCGTGGTCCCATTCAAGCAAGTCAGGAGCTTCGACTTGCTTAATGGTTCTCGAGACAGTCCCCAAGAACACTGTCACCAGTCTCGACGGACCCTGAGGTCAACCCAGCAACGCAAAGCAGCTCCATGGGCCCCAAATCAACTCGAGATGAGGCCCGATTCCCCTGCATTGACTCCAGAGCCATTCCCCGTTCCCCATTCAACACGACCGGTGGCTCGACTTCCTTCAGGCAACTCCAGAGATGCCCCGAGAACACTGTCCCAAGTCTAGAGGAACACCAACTTCAGCACGGCAACTCGAGGAATGCTCCGTGTACCCCAAATAGTCTCGAGGTGAGAGATGATTCCCTGGCTTAGGCTCAAGACGTATGCCAACTTTCAAGACGCACCTCAGGAGGAGGCTTCTCTCAGCAATAGGTATGTGGGAGGGACCCCGAGTTCGCTGCCTCAAGGGCAATATACAGCGAGAAGCCCTAACTTGAAAGGAGGCCGGATTTCCTTGCAGTGGCTTGAATACAGGCTCGTCTTTCATCTCACAACATGAAGGGATGTCTGAATCCCCTGTGGACACCTTAGAGAAAGCCCTAGGTCCCTGCCTCATTTAGACGGAATGCCTCACATCCCGTTGACACCTCGAGAGGCACGCGGAGTTCATTGCTTCAAAAGGTGACGATGCCTGACTCCTCTTGAATTCTGATAGGAATCCCAAAATCACTGGGGCTACTGGAAAGGGTTCTTGGGTGCCCTGCCTCACCTCAAGAAGCGTCCCATTTGCACTGCCAAGCCTCGATGAGATTCCTGAGGTGTCCCTCGTTACTAGACAGGAGTCCTGACGTCACTGAAGAAACTCGTGTTTTGAAGGGCCATCCCCGCCGTAAGTCGAGAACATACCCCAGGTCCCCGCCGCAACTCGAGAAAATCCATGAGACTTCCCCCTAGAGGCGAGATGAGGCCCCATTCCCCTGCAGTGCATGCAGAGCTATTCCGTGGTCCCATTCAAGCATGTCAGGAGCTTCGACTTGCTTAATGGATCTCGAGACAGTCCCCAAGAACACTGTCACCAGTCTCGACGGACGCTGAGGTCACCCCAGCAACGCAAAGCAGCTCCATGGGCCCCAAATCAACTCGAGATGAGGCCCGATTCCCCTGCATTGACTCCAGAGCCATTCCCCGTTCCCCATTCAACACGACCGGTGGCTCGACTTCCTTCAGGCAACTCCAGAGATGCCCCGAGAACACTGTCCCAAGTCTAGAGGAACACCAACTTCAGCACGGCAACTCGAGGAATGCTCCGTGTACCCCAAATCGTCTCGAGAAGAGAGGTGATTCCCTGGCTTAGGCTCAAGACGTATGCCAACTTTCAAGACGCACCTCAGGAGGAGGCTTCTCTCAGCAATAGGTATGTGGGAGGGACCCCGAGTTCGCTGCCTCAAGGGCAATATACAGCGAGAAGACCTAACTTGAAAGGAGGCCGGATTTCCTTGCAGTGGCTTGAATACAGACTCGTCTTTCATCTCACAACATGAAGGGATGTCTGAATCCCCTGTGGAGACCTTAGAGAAAGCCCTAGGTCCCTGCCTCATTTGGACGGAATGCCTCAAATCCCGTTGACACCTTGAGAGGCACGCGGAGTTCATTGCTTCAAAAGGTGACGATGCCTGACTCCTGTTGAATTCTGATAGGAATCCCAAAATCACTGTGGCTACTGGAAAGGGTCCTTGGGTGCCCTGCCTCACCTCAAGAAGCGTCCCATTTGCACTGCCAAGCCTCGATGAGATTCCTGAGGTGTCCCTCGTTACTAGACAGCAGTCCTGACGTCACTGAAGAAACTCGTGTTTTGAAGGGCCATCCCCGCCGTAAGTCGAGAACATACCCCAGGTCCCCGCCGCAACTCGAGAAAAACCAAGAGACTTCCCCCTAGAGGCGAGATGAGACCCCATTCCCCTGCAGTGCATGCAGAGCTATTCCGTGGTCCCATTCAAACAAGTCAGGAGCTTCGACTTGCTTAATGGATCTCGAGACAGTCCTCAAGAACACTGTCACCAGTCTCGACGGACGCTGAGGTCACCCCAGCAACGCAAAGCAGCTCCATGTGCCCCAAATCAACTCGAGATGAGGCCCGATTCCCCTGCATTGACTCCAGAGCTATTCCCCGTGCCCATTCAACACGACCGGTGGCTCGACTTCCTTCAGGCAACTCCAGAGATACCCCGAGAACACTGTCCCAAGTCTAGAGGAACACCAACTTCAGCACAGCAACTCGAGGAATGCTCCGTGTACCCCAAATCGTCTCGAGATGAGAGGTGATTCCCTGGCTTAGGCTCAAGACGTATGCCAACTTTCCAGACGCACCTCAGGAGGAGGCTTCTCTCAGCAATAGTTATGTGGGAGGGACACCGAGTTCGCTGCCTCAAGGGCAATATACAGCGAGAAGCCCTAACTTGAAAGGAGGCCGGATTTCCTTGCAGTGGCTTGAATACAGGCTCGTCTTTCATCTCACAACATGAAGGGATGTCTGAATCCCCTGTGGAGACCTTAGAGAAAGCCCTAGGTCCCTGCCTCATTTTGACGGAATGCCTCACATCCCGTTGACACCTCGAGAGGCACGCGGAGTTCATTGCTTCAAAACGTGATGTGCCTGACTCCTCTTGAATACTGATAGGAATCCCAAAATCCCTGTGGCTACTGGAAAGTGTCCTTGGGTGCCCTGCCTCACCTCGAGAAGCGTCCCTTTTGCCCTGCCAAGCCTCGAAGAGATTCCTGAGGTGTCCCTCGTTACTAGACAGGAGTCCTGACGTCACTGAAGAAACTAGTGTTTTGAAGGGCCATCCCCGCCGTAAGTCGAGAACATACCCCAGGTCCCAGCCGCAACTCGAGAAAAACCATGAGACTTCCCCCTAGAGGCGAGATGAGACCCCATTCCCCTGCAGTGCATGCAGAGCTATTCCGTGGTCCCATTCAAACAAGTCAGGAGCTTCGACTTGCTTAATGGATCTCGAGACAGTCCCCAAGAACACTGTCACCAGTCTCGACGGACGCTGAGGTCACCCCAGCAACGCAAAGCAGCTCCATGTGCCCCAAATCAACTCGAGATGAGGCCCGATTCCCCTGCATTGACTCCAGAGCCATTCCCCATTCCCCATTCAACAAGACCGGTGGCTCGACTTCCTTCAGGCAACTCCAGAGATGCCCCGAGAACACTGTCCCAAGTCTAGAGGAACACCAACTTCAGCACGGCAACTCGAGGAATGCTCCGTGTACCCCAAATCGTCTCGAGATGAGAGCTGTTTCCCTGGCTTAGGCTCAAGACGTATGCCAACTTTCCAGACGCACCTCAGGAGGAGGCTTCTCTCAGCAATAGGTATGTGGGAGGGACCCTGAGTTCGCTGCCTCAAGGGAAATATACAGCGAGAAGCCCTAAATTGAAAGGAGGCCGGATTTCCTTGCAGTGGCTTGAATACAGGCTCGTCTTTCATCTCACAACATGAAGGGATGTCTGAATCCCCTGTGGAGACCTTAGAGAAAGCCCTAGGTCCCTGCCTCATTTTGACGGAATGCCTCACATCCCGTTGACACCTCAAGAGGCACGCGAAGTTCATTGCTTCAAAAGGTGACAATGCCTCACTCCTCTTGAATACTGATAGGAATCCCAAAATCCCTGTGGCTACTGGAAAGGGTCCTTGGGTGCCCTGCCTCACCTCGAGAAGCGTCCCTTTTGCCCTGCCAAGCCTCGAAGAGATTCCTGAGGTGTCCCTCGTTACTATACAGGAGTCCTGACGTCACTGAAGAAACTCGTGTTTTGAAGGGCCATCCCCGCCGTAAGTCGAGAACATACCCCAGGTCCCCGCCGCAACTCGAGAAAAACCATGAGACTTCCCCCTAGAGGCGAGATGAGGCCCCATTCCCCTGAAGTGCATGCAGAGCTATTCCGTGGTAACATTCAAACAAGTCAGGAGCTTCGACTTGCTTAATGGATCTCGAGACAGTCCTCAAGAACACTGTCACCAGTCTCGATGGACCCTGAGGTCACCCCAGCAACGCAAAGCAGCTCCATGGGCCCCAAATCAACTCGAGATGAGGCCCGATTCCCCTGCATTGACTCCAGAGCCATTCCCCGTTCCCCATTCAACACGACCGGTGGCTCGACTTCCTTCAGGCAACTCCAGAGATGCCCCGAGAACACTGTCCCAAGTCTAGAGGAACACCAACTTCAGCACGGCAACTCGAGGAATGCTCCGTGTACCCCAAATCGTCTCGAGATGAGAGGTGATTCCCTGGCTTAGGCTCAAGACGTATGCCAACTTTCAAGACGCACCTCAGGAGGAGGCTTCTCTCAGCAATAGGTATGTGGGAGGGACCCCGAGGTCGCTGCCTCAAGGGCAATATACAGCGAGAAGCCCTAACTTGAAAGGAGGCCGGATTTCCTTGCAGTGGCTTGAATACAGGCACGTCTTTCATCTCACAACATGAAGGGATGTCTGAATCCCCTGTGGAGACCTTAGAGAAAGCCCTAGGTCCCTGCCTCATTTGGACGGAATGCCTCACATCCCGTTGACACCTCGAGAGGCACGCAGAGTTCATTGCTTCAAAAGGTGACGATGCCTGACTCCTCTTGAATTCTGATAGGAATCCCAAAATCACTGTGGCTACTGGAAAGGGTCCTTGGGTGCCCTGCCTCTCTTCAAGAAGCGTCCCATTTGCACTGCCAAGCCTCGAAGAGATTCCTGAGGTGTCCCTCGTTACTAGACAGGAGTCCTGACGTCACTGAAGAAACTCGTGTTTTGAAGGGCCATCCCCGCCGTAAGTCGAGAACATACCCCAGGTCCCCGCCGCAACTCGAGAAAAACCATGAGACTTACCCCTAGAGGCGAGATGAGGCCCCATTCCCCTGCAGTGCATGCAGAACTATTCCGTGGTCCCATTCAAACAAGTCAGGAGCTTCGACTTGCTTAATGGATCTCGAGACAGTCCCCAAGAACACTGTCACCAGTCTCGACGGACGCTGAGGTCACCCCAGCAACGCAAAGCAGCTCCATGTGCCCCAAATCAACTCGAGATGAGGCCCGATTCCCCTGCATTGACTCCAGAGCCATTCCCCGTTCCCCATTCAACACGACTGGTGGCTCGACTTCCTTCAGGCAACTCCAGAGATACCCCGAGAACACTGTCCCAAGTCTAGAGGAACACCAATTTCAGCACAGCAACTCGAGGAATGCTCCGTGTACCCCAAATCGTCTCGAGATGAGAGCTGATTCCCTGGCTTAGGCTCAAGACGTATGCCAACTTTCCAGACGCACCTCAGGTGGAAGCTTCTCTCAGCAATAGGTATGTGGGAGGGACCCCGAGGTCGCTGCCTCAAGGGCAATATACAGCGAGAAGCCCTAACTTGAAAGGAGGCCGGATTTCCTTGCAGTGGCTTGAATACAGGCTCGTCTTTCATCTCACGACATGAAGGGATGTCTGAATCCCCTGTGGAGACCTTAGAGAAAGCCCTAGGTCCCTGCCTCATTTTGATGGAATGCCTCACATCCCGTTGACACCTCAAGAGGCCCACGAAGTTCATTGCTTCTAAAGGTGACAATGCCTCACTCCTCTTGAATACTGATAGGAATCCCAAAATCCCTGTGGCTACTGGAAAGGGTCCTTGGGTGCCCTGCCTCACCTCGAGAAGCGTCCCTTTTGCCCTGCCAAGCCTCGAAGAGATTCCTGAGGTGTCCCTCGTTACTAGACAGGAGTCCTGACGTCACTGAAGAAACTAGTGTTTTGAAGGGCCATCCCCGCCGTAAGTCGAGAACATACTCCAGGTTCTCGCCGCAACTCGAGAAAAACCATGAGACTTCCCCCTAGAGGCGAGATGAGGCCCCATTCCCCTGCAGTGCATGCAGAACTATTCCGTGGTCCCATTCAAGCAAGTCAGGAGCTTCGACTTGCTTAATGGATCTCGAGACAGTCCCCAAGAACACTGTCACCAGTCTCGACGGACGCTGAGGTCACCCCAGCAACGCAAAGCAGCTCCATGTAGCTCAAATCAACTCGAGATGAGACCCAATTCCCCTGCATTGACTCCAGAGCCATTCCCCGTTCCCCATTCAACACGACCGTTGGCTCGACTTCCTTCTGGCAACTCCAGAGATACCCCGAGAACACTGTCCCAAGTCTAGAGGAACACCAAATTCAGCACAGCAACTCGAGGAATGCTCCGTGTACCCCAAATCGTCTCGAGATGAGAGCTGATTCCCTGGCTTAAGCTCAAGATGTATGCCAACTTTCCAGACGCACCTCAGGAGGAGGCTTCTCTCAGCAATAGGTATGTGGGAGGGACCCCGAGTTCGCTGCCTCAAGGGCAATATACAGCGAGAAGCCCTAACTTGAAAGGAGGCCGGATTACTTGCAGTGGCTTGAGTACAGGCTCGTCTTTCATCTCACGACATGAAGGGATGTCTGAGTCCCCTGTGGAGACCTTAGAGAAAGCCCTAGGTCCCTGCCTCATTTTGACGGAATGCCTCACATCCCGTTGACACCTCAAGAGGCACGCGAAGTTCATTGCTTCAAAAGGTGACGATGCCTGACTCCTCTTGAATTCTGATAGGAATCCCAAAATCACTGTGGCTACTGGAAAGGGTCCTTGGGTGCCCTGCCTCACTTCAAGAAGCGTCCCATTTGCACTGCCAAGCCTCGAAGAGATTCCTGAGGTGTCCCTCGTTACTAGACAGGAGTCCTGACGTCACTGAAGAAACTCGTGTTTTGAAGGGCCATCCCCGCCGTAAGTCGAGAACATACCCCAGGTCCCCGCCGCAACTCGAGAAAAACCATGAGACTTACCCCTAGAGGCGAGATGAGGCCCCATTCCCCTGCAGTGCATGCAGAACTATTCCGTGGTCCCATTCAAACAAGTCAGGAGCTTCGACTTGCTTAATGGATCTCGAGACAGTCCCCAAGAACACTGTCACCAGTCTCGACGGACGCTGAGGTCACCCCAGCAACGCAAAGCAGCACCATGTGCCCCAAATCAACTCGAGATGAGGCCCGATTCCCCTGCATTGACTCCAGAGCCATTCCCCGTTCCCCATTCAACACGACCGGTGGCTCGACTTCCTTCAGGCAACTCCAGAGATACCCCGAGAACACTGTCCCAAGTCTAGAGGAACACCAACTTCAGCACAGCAACTCGAGGAATGCTCCGTGTACCCCAAATCGTCTCGAGATGAGAGCTGATTCCCTGGCTTAGGCTCAAGACGTATGCCAACTTTCCAGACGCACCTCAGGTGGAGGCTTCTCTCAGCAATAGGTATGTGGGAGGGACCCCGAGGTCGCTGCCTCAAGGGCAATATACAGCGAGAAGCCCTAACTTGAAAGGAGGCCGGATTTCCTTGCAGTGGCTTGAATACAGGCTCGTCTTTCATCTCACGACATGAAGGGATGTCTGAATCCCCTGTGGAGACCTTAGAGAAAGCCCTAGGTCCCTGCCTCATTTTGATGGAATGCCTCACATCCCGTTGACACCTCAAGAGGCCCACGAAGTTCATTGCTTCTAAAGGTGACAATGCCTCACTCCTCTTGAATACTGATAGGAATCCCAAAATCCCTGTGGCTACTGGAAAGGGTCCTTGGGTGCCCTGCCTCACCTCGAGAAGCGTCCCTTTTGCCCTGCCAAGCCTCGAAGAGATTCCTGAGGTGTCCCTCGTTACTAGACAGGAGTCCTGACGTCACTGAAGAAACTCGTGTTTTGAAGGGCCATCCCCGCCGTAAGTCGAGAACATACCCCAGGTCCCCGCCGCAACTCGAGAAAATCCATGAGACTTCCCCCTAGAGGCGAGATGAGGCCCCATTCCCCTGCAGTGCATGCAGAGCTATTCCGTGGTCCCATTCAAGCAAGTCAGGAGCTTCGACTTGCTTAATGGATCTCGAGACAGTCCCCAAGAACACTGTCACCAGTCTCGACGGACGCTGAGGTCACCCCAGCAACGCAAAGCAGCTCCATGTGCCCCAAATCAACTCGAGATGAGGCCCGATTCCCCTGCATTGACTCCAGAGCCATTCCCCGTTCCCCATTCAACACGACCGGTGGCTCGACTTCCTTCAGGCAACTCCAGAGATACCCCGAGAACACTGTCCCAAGTCTAGAGGAACACCAACTTCAGCACAGCAACTCGAGGAATGCTCCGTGTACCCCAAATCGTCTGGAGATGAGAGCTGATTCCCTGGCTTAGGCTCAAGACGTATGCCAACTTTCCAGACGCACCTCAGGAGGAGGCTTCTCTCAGCAATAGGTATGTGGGAGGGACCCCGAGTTCGCTGCCTCAAGGGCAATATACAGCGAGAAGCCCTAACTTGAAAGGAGGCCGGATTTCCTTGCAGTGGCTTGAATACAGGCTCGTCTTTCATCTCACGACATGAAGGGATGTCTGAATCCCCTGTGGAGACCTTAGAGAAAGCCCTAGGTCCCTGCCTCATTTTGACGGAATGCCTCACATCCCGTTGACACCTCAAGAGGCACGCGAAGTTCATTGCTTCAAAAGGTGACAATGCCTCACTCCTCTTGAATACTGATAGGAATCCCAAAATCCCTGTGGCTACTGGAAAGGGTCCTTGGGTGCCCTGCCTCACCTCGAGAAGCGTCCCTTTTGCCCTGCCAAGCCTCGAAGAGATTCCTGAGGTGTCCCTCGTTACTAGACAGGAGTCCTGACGTCACTGAAGAAACTCGTGTTTTGAAGGGCCATCCACGCCGTAAGTCGAGAACATACCCCAGGTCCCCGCCGCAACTCGAGAAAAACCATGAGACTTCCCCCTAGAGGCGAGATGAGGCCCCATTCCCCTGCAGTGCATGCAGAGCTATTCCGTGGTCCCATTCAAGCAAGTCAGGAGCTTCGACTTGCTTAATGGTTCTCGAGACAGTCCCCAAGAACACTGTCACCAGTCTCGACGGACCCTGAGGTCACCCCAGCAACGCAAAGCAGCTCCATGGGCCCCAAATCAACTCGAGATGAGGCCCGATTCCCCTGCATTGACTCCAGAGCCATTCCCCGTTCCCCATTCAACACGACCGGTGGCTCGACTTCCTTCAGGCAACTCCAGAGATGCCCCGAGAACACTGTCCCAAGTCTAGAGGAACACCAACTTCAGCACGGCAACTCGAGGAATGCTCCGTGTACCCCAAATCGTCTCGAGATGAGAGGTGATTCCCTGGCTTAGGCTCAAGACGTATGCCAACTTTCAAGACGCACCTCAGGAGGAGGCTTCTCTCAGCAATAGGTATGTGGGAGGGACCCCGAGGTCGCTGCCTCAAGGGCAATATACAGCGAGAAGCCCTAACTTGAAAGGAGGCCGGATTTCCTTGCAGTGGCTTGAATACAGGCACGTCTTTCATCTCACAACATGAAGGGATGTCTGAATCCCCTGTGGAGACCTTAGAGAAAGCCCTAGGTCCCTGCCTCATTTGGACGGAATGCCTCACATCCCGTTGACACCTCGAGAGGCACGCAGAGTTCATTGCTTCAAAAGGTGACGATGCCTGACTCCTCTTGAATTCTGATAGGAATCCCAAAATCACTGTGGCTACTGGAAAGGGTCCTTGGGTGCCCTGCCTCTCTTCAAGAAGCGTCCCATTTGCACTGCCAAGCCTCGAAGAGATTCCTGAGGTGTCCCTCGTTACTAGACAGGAGTCCTGACGTCACTGAAGAAACTCGTGTTTTGAAGGGCCATCCCCGCCGTAAGTCGAGAACATACCCCAGGTCCCCGCCGCAACTCGAGAAAAACCATGAGACTTACCCCTAGAGGCGAGATGAGGCCCCATTCCCCTGCAGTGCATGCAGAACTATTCCGTGGTCCCATTCAAACAAGTCAGGAGCTTCGACTTGCTTAATGGATCTCGAGACAGTCCCCAAGAACACTGTCACCAGTCTCGACGGACGCTGAGGTCACCCCAGCAACGCAAAGCAGCTCCATGTGCCCCAAATCAACTCGAGATGAGGCCCGATTCCCCTGCATTGACTCCAGAGCCATTCCCCGTTCCCCATTCAACACGACTGGTGGCTCGACTTCCTTCAGGCAACTCCAGAGATACCCCGAGAACACTGTCCCAAGTCTAGAGGAACACCAATTTCAGCACAGCAACTCGAGGAATGCTCCGTGTACCCCAAATCGTCTCGAGATGAGAGCTGATTCCCTGGCTTAGGCTCAAGACGTATGCCAACTTTCCAGACGCACCTCAGGTGGAAGCTTCTCTCAGCAATAGGTATGTGGGAGGGACCCCGAGGTCGCTGCCTCAAGGGCAATATACAGCGAGAAGCCCTAACTTGAAAGGAGGCCAGATTTCCTTGCAGTGGCTTGAATACAGGCTCGTCTTTCATCTCACGACATGAAGGGATGTCTGAATCCCCTGTGGAGACCTTAGAGAAAGCCCTAGGTCCCTGCCTCATTTTGATGGAATGCCTCACATCCCGTTGACACCTCAAGAGGCCCACGAAGTTCATTGCTTCTAAAGGTGACAATGCCTCACTCCTCTTGAATACTGATAGGAATCCCAAAATCCCTGTGGCTACTGGAAAGGGTCCTTGGGTGCCCTGCCTCACCTCGAGAAGCGTCCCTTTTGCCCTGCCAAGCCTCGAAGAGATTCCTGAGGTGTCCCTCGTTACTAGACAGGAGTCCTGACGTCACTGAAGAAACTAGTGTTTTGAAGGGCCATCCCCGCCGTAAGTCGAGAACATACTCCAGGTTCTCGCCGCAACTCGAGAAAAACCATGAGACTTCCCCCTAGAGGCGAGATGAGGCCCCATTCCCCTGCAGTGCATGCAGAACTATTCCGTGGTCCCATTCAAGCAAGTCAGGAGCTTCGACTTGCTTAATGGATCTCGAGACAGTCCCCAAGAACACTGTCACCAGTCTCGACGGACGCTGAGGTCACCCCAGCAACGCAAAGCAGCTCCATGTAGCTCAAATCAACTCGAGATGAGACCCAATTCCCCTGCATTGACTCCAGAGCCATTCCCCGTTCCCCATTCAACACGACCGTTGGCTCGACTTCCTTCTGGCAACTCCAGAGATACCCCGAGAACACTGTCCCAAGTCTAGAGGAACACCAAATTCAGCACAGCAACTCGAGGAATGCTCCGTGTACCCCAAATCGTCTCGAGATGAGAGCTGATTCCCTGGCTTAAGCTCAAGATGTATGCCAACTTTCCAGACGCACCTCAGGAGGAGGCTTCTCTCAGCAATAGGTATGTGGGAGGGACCCCGAGTTCGCTGCCTCAAGGGCAATATACAGCGAGAAGCCCTAACTTGAAAGGAGGCCGGATTACTTGCAGTGGCTTGAGTACAGGCTCGTCTTTCATCTCACGACATGAAGGGATGTCTGAGTCCCCTGTGGAGACCTTAGAGAAAGCCCTAGGTCCCTGCCTCATTTTGACGGAATGCCTCACATCCCGTTGACACCTCAAGAGGCACGCGAAGTTCATTGCTTCAAAAGGTGACGATGCCTGACTCCTCTTGAATTCTGATAGGAATCCCAAAATCACTGTGGCTACTGGAAAGGGTCCTTGGGTGCCCTGCCTCACTTCAAGAAGCGTCCCATTTGCACTGCCAAGCCTCGAAGAGATTCCTGAGGTGTCCCTCGTTACTAGACAGGAGTCCTGACGTCACTGAAGAAACTCGTGTTTTGAAGGGCCATCCCCGCCGTAAGTCGAGAACATACCCCAGGTCCCCGCCGCAACTCGAGAAAAACCATGAGACTTACCCCTAGAGGCGAGATGAGGCCCCATTCCCCTGCAGTGCATGCAGAACTATTCCGTGGTCCCATTCAAACAAGTCAGGAGCTTCGACTTGCTTAATGGATCTCGAGACAGTCCCCAAGAACACTGTCACCAGTCTCGACGGACGCTGAGGTCACCCCAGCAACGCAAAGCAGCACCATGTGCCCCAAATCAACTCGAGATGAGGCCCGATTCCCCTGCATTGACTCCAGAGCCATTCCCCGTTCCCCATTCAACACGACCGGTGGCTCGACTTCCTTCAGGCAACTCCAGAGATACCCCGAGAACACTGTCCCAAGTCTAGAGGAACACCAACTTCAGCACAGCAACTCGAGGAATGCTCCGTGTACCCCAAATCGTCTCGAGATGAGAGCTGATTCCCTGGCTTAGGCTCAAGACGTATGCCAACTTTCCAGACGCACCTCAGGTGGAGGCTTCTCTCAGCAATAGGTATGTGGGAGGGACCCCGAGGTCGCTGCCTCAAGGGCAATATACAGCGAGAAGCCCTAACTTGAAAGGAGGCCGGATTTCCTTGCAGTGGCTTGAATACAGGCTCGTCTTTCATCTCACGACATGAAGGGATGTCTGAATCCCCTGTGGAGACCTTAGAGAAAGCCCTAGGTCCCTGCCTCATTTTGATGGAATGCCTCACATCCCGTTGACACCTCAAGAGGCCCACGAAGTTCATTGCTTCTAAAGGTGACAATGCCTCACTCCTCTTGAATACTGATAGGAATCCCAAAATCCCTGTGGCTACTGGAAAGGGTCCTTGGGTGCCCTGCCTCACCTCGAGAAGCGTCCCTTTTGCCCTGCCAAGCCTCGAAGAGATTCCTGAGGTGTCCCTCGTTACTAGACAGGAGTCCTGACGTCACTGAAGAAACTCGTGTTTTGAAGGGCCATCCCCGCCGTAAGTCGAGAACATACCCCAGGTCCCCGCCGCAACTCGAGAAAATCCATGAGACTTCCCCCTAGAGGCGAGATGAGGCCCCATTCCCCTGCAGTGCATGCAGAGCTATTCCGTGGTCCCATTCAAGCAAGTCAGGAGCTTCGACTTGCTTAATGGATCTCGAGACAGTCCCCAAGAACACTGTCACCAGTCTCGACGGACGCTGAGGTCACCCCAGCAACGCAAAGCAGCTCCATGTGCCCCAAATCAACTCGAGATGAGGCCCGATTCCCCTGCATTGACTCCAGAGCCATTCCCCGTTCCCCATTCAACACGACCGGTGGCTCGACTTCCTTCAGGCAACTCCAGAGATACCCCGAGAACACTGTCCCAAGTCTAGAGGAACACCAACTTCAGCACAGCAACTCGAGGAATGCTCCGTGTACCCCAAATCGTCTGGAGATGAGAGCTGATTCCCTGGCTTAGGCTCAAGACGTATGCCAACTTTCCAGACGCACCTCAGGAGGAGGCTTCTCTCAGCAATAGGTATGTGGGAGGGACCCCGAGTTCGCTGCCTCAAGGGCAATATACAGCGAGAAGCCCTAACTTGAAAGGAGGCCGGATTTCCTTGCAGTGGCTTGAATACAGGCTCGTCTTTCATCTCACGACATGAAGGGATGTCTGAATCCCCTGTGGAGACCTTAGAGAAAGCCCTAGGTCCCTGCCTCATTTTGACGGAATGCCTCACATCCCGTTGACACCTCAAGAGGCACGCGAAGTTCATTGCTTCAAAAGGTGACAATGCCTCACTCCTCTTGAATACTGATAGGAATCCCAAAATCCCTGTGGCTACTGGAAAGGGTCCTTGGGTGCCCTGCCTCACCTCGAGAAGCGTCCCTTTTGCCCTGCCAAGCCTCGAAGAGATTCCTGAGGTGTCCCTCGTTACTAGACAGGAGTCCTGACGTCACTGAAGAAACTCGTGTTTTGAAGGGCCATCCACGCCGTAAGTCGAGAACATACCCCAGGTCCCCGCCGCAACTCGAGAAAAACCATGAGACTTCCCCCTAGAGGCGAGATGAGGCCCCATTCCCCTGCAGTGCATGCAGAGCTATTCCGTGGTCCCATTCAAGCAAGTCAGGAGCTTCGACTTGCTTAATGGTTCTCGAGACAGTCCCCAAGAACACTGTCACCAGTCTCGACGGACCCTGAGGTCACCCCAGCAACGCAAAGCAGCTCCATGGGCCCCAAATCAACTCGAGATGAGGCCCGATTCCCCTGCATTGACTCCAGAGCCATTCCCCGTTCCCCATTCAACACGACCGGTGGCTCGACTTCCTTCAGGCAACTCCAGAGATGCCCCGAGAACACTGTCCCAAGTCTAGAGGAACACCAACTTCAGCACGGCAACTCGAGGAATGCTCCGTGTACCCCAAATCGTCTCGAGATGAGAGGTGATTCCCTGGCTTAGGCTCAAGACGTATGCCAACTTTCAAGACGCACCTCAGGAGGAGGCTTCTCTCAGCAATAGGTATGTGGGAGGGACCCCGAGTTCGCAGCCTCAAGGGCAATATACAGCGAGAAGCCCTAACTTGAAAGGAGGCCGGATTTCCTTGCAGTGGCTTGAATACAGGCTCGTCTTTCATCTCACAACATGAAGGGATCTCTGAATCCCCTGTGGAGACCTTAGAGAAAGCCCTAGGTCCCTGCCTCATTTAGACGGAATGCCTCACATCCCGTTGACAACTCGAGAGGCACGCTGAGTTCATTGCTTCAAAAGGTGACGATGCCTGACTCCTCTTGAATTCTGATAGGAATCCCAAAATCACTGTGGCTACTGGAAAGGGTTCTTGGGTGCCCTGCCTCATCTCAAGAAGCGTCCCATTTGCACTGCCAAGCCTCGATGAGATTCCAGAGGTGTCCCTCGTTACTAGACAGGAGTCCTGACGTCACTGAAGAAACTCGTGTTTTGAAGGGCCATCCCCGCCGTAAGTCGAGAACATACCCCAGGTCCCCGCCGCAACTCGAGAAAAACCATGAGACTTCCCCCTAGAGGCGAGATGAGGCCCCATTCCCCTGCAGTGCATGCAGAGCTATTCCGTGGTCCCATTCAAACAAGTCAGGAGCTTCGACTTGCTTAATGGATCTCGAGACAGTCCCCAAGAACACTGTCACCAGTCTCGACGGACGCTGAGGTCACCCCAGCAACGCAAAGCAGCTCCATGTGCCCCAAATCAACTCGAGATGAGGCCCGATTCCCCTGCATTGACTCCAGAGCCATTCCCCGTTCCCCATTCAACACGACCGGTGGCTTGACTTCCTTCAGGCCACTCCAGAGATACCCCGAGAACACTGTCCCAAGTCTAGAGGAACACCAACTTCAGCACAGCAACTCGAGGAATGCTCCGTGTACCCCAAATCGTCTCGAGATGAGAGCTGATTCCCTGGCTTAGGCTCAAGACGTATGCCAACTTTCCAGACGCACCTCAGGAGGAGGCTTCTCTCAGCAATAGGTATGTGGGAGGGACCTCGAGTTCGCTGCCTCAAGGGCAATATACAGCGAGAAGCCCTAACTTGAAAGGAGGCCGGATTTCCTTGCAGTGGCTTGAATACAGGCTCGTCTTTCATCTCACAACATGAAGGGATGTCTGAATCCCCTGTGGAGAACTTAGAGAAAGCCCTAGATCCCTGCCTCATTTTGACGGAATGCCTCACATCCCGTTGACACCTCAAGAGGCCCGCGAAGTTCATTGCTTCAAAAGGTGACAATGCCTCACTCCTCTTGAATACTGATAGGAATCCCAAAATCCCTGTGGCTACTGGAAAGGGTCCTTGGGTGCCCTGCCTCACCTCGAGAAGCGTCCCTTTTGCCCTGCCAAGCATCGAAGAGATTCCTGAGGTGTCCCTCGTTACTAGACAGGAGTCCTGACGTCACTGAAGAAACTCGTGTTTTGAAGGGCCATCCCCGCCGTAAGTCGAGAACATACCCCAGGTCCCCGCCGCAACTCGAGAAAAACCATGAGACTTCCCCCTAGAGGCGAGATGAGGCCCCATTCCCCTGCAGTGCATGCAGAGCTATTCCGTGGTCCCATTCAAGCAAGTCAGGAGCTTCGACTTGCTTAATGGTTCTCGAGACAGTCCCCAAGAACACTGTCACCAGTCTCGACGGACCCTGAGGTCACCCCAGCAACGCAAAGCAGCTCCATGGGCCCCAAATCAACTCGAGATGAGGCCCGATTCCCCTGCATTGACTCCAGAGCCATTCCCCGTTCCCCATTCAACACGACCGGTGGCTCGACTTCCTTCAGGCAACTCCAGAGATGCCCCGAGAACACTGTCCCAAGTCTAGAGGAACACCAACTTCAGCACGGCAACTCGAGGAATGCTCCGTGTACCCCAAATCGTCTCGAGATGAGAGGTGATTCCCTGGCTTAGGCTCAAGACGTATGCCAACTTTCAAGACGCACCTCAGGAGGAGGCTTCTCTCAGCAATAGGTATGTGGGAGGGACCCCGAGGTCGCTGCCTCAAGGGCAATATACAGCGAGAAGCCCTAACTTGAAAGGAGGCCGGATTTCCTTGCAGTGGCTTGAATACAGGCACGTCTTTCATCTCACAACATGAAGGGATGTCTGAATCCCCTGTGGAGACCTTAGAGAAAGCCCTAGGTCCCTGCCTCATTTGGACGGAATGCCTCACATCCCGTTGACACCTCGAGAGGCACGCGGAGTTCATTGCTTCAAAAGGTGACGATGCCTGACTCCTCTTGAATTCTGATAGGAATCCCAAAATCACTGTGGCTACTGGAAAGGGTCCTTGGGTGCCCTGCCTCTCTTCAAGAAGCGTCCCATTTGCACTGCCAAGCCTCGAAGAGATTCCTGAGGTGTCCCTCGTTACTAGACAGGAGTCCTGACGTCACTGAAGAAACTCGTGTTTTGAAGGGCCATCCCCGCCGTAAGTCGAGAACATACCCCAGGTCCCCGCCGCAACTCGAGAAAAACCATGAGACTTACCCCTAGAGGCGAGATGAGGCCCCATTCCCCTGCAGTGCATGCAGAACTATTCCGTGGTCCCATTCAAACAAGTCAGGAGCTTCGACTTGCTTAATGGATCTCGAGACAGTCCCCAAGAACACTGTCACCAGTCTCGACGGACGCTGAGGTCACCCCAGCAACGCAAAGCAGCTCCATGTGCCCCAAATCAACTCGAGATGAGGCCCGATTCCCCTGCATTGACTCCAGAGCCATTCCCCGTTCCCCATTCAACACGACTGGTGGCTCGACTTCCTTCAGGCAACTCCAGAGATACCCCGAGAACACTGTCCCAAGTCTAGAGGAACACCAATTTCAGCACAGCAACTCGAGGAATGCTCCGTGTACCCCAAATCGTCTCGAGATGAGAGCTGATTCCCTGGCTTAGGCTCAAGACGTATGCCAACTTTCCAGACGCACCTCAGGTGGAAGCTTCTCTCAGCAATAGGTATGTGGGAGGGACCCCGAGGTCGCTGCCTCAAGGGCAATATACAGCGAGAAGCCCTAACTTGAAAGGAGGCCGGATTTCCTTGCAGTGGCTTGAATACAGGCTCGTCTTTCATCTCACGACATGAAGGGATGTCTGAATCCCCTGTGGAGACCTTAGAGAAAGCCCTAGGTCCCTGCCTCATTTTGATGGAATGCCTCACATCCCGTTGACACCTCAAGAGGCCCACGAAGTTCATTGCTTCTAAAGGTGACAATGCCTCACTCCTCTTGAATACTGATAGGAATCCCAAAATCCCTGTGGCTACTGGAAAGGGTCCTTGGGTGCCCTGCCTCACCTCGAGAAGCGTCCCTTTTGCCCTGCCAAGCCTCGAAGAGATTCCTGAGGTGTCCCTCGTTACTAGACAGGAGTCCTGACGTCACTGAAGAAACTAGTGTTTTGAAGGGCCATCCCCGCCGTAAGTCGAGAACATACTCCAGGTTCTCGCCGCAACTCGAGAAAAACCATGAGACTTCCCCCTAGAGGCGAGATGAGGCCCCATTCCCCTGCAGTGCATGCAGAACTATTCCGTGGTCCCATTCAAGCAAGTCAGGAGCTTCGACTTGCTTAATGGATCTCGAGACAGTCCCCAAGAACACTGTCACCAGTCTCGACGGACGCTGAGGTCACCCCAGCAACGCAAAGCAGCTCCATGTAGCTCAAATCAACTCGAGATGAGACCCAATTCCCCTGCATTGACTCCAGAGCCATTCCCCGTTCCCCATTCAACACGACCGTTGGCTCGACTTCCTTCTGGCAACTCCAGAGATACCCCGAGAACACTGTCCCAAGTCTAGAGGAACACCAAATTCAGCACAGCAACTCGAGGAATGCTCCGTGTACCCCAAATCGTCTCGAGATGAGAGCTGATTCCCTGGCTTAAGCTCAAGATGTATGCCAACTTTCCAGACGCACCTCAGGAGGAGGCTTCTCTCAGCAATAGGTATGTGGGAGGGACCCCGAGTTCGCTGCCTCAAGGGCAATATACAGCGAGAAGCCCTAACTTGAAAGGAGGCCGGATTACTTGCAGTGGCTTGAGTACAGGCTCGTCTTTCATCTCACGACATGAAGGGATGTCTGAGTCCCCTGTGGAGACCTTAGAGAAAGCCCTAGGTCCCTGCCTCATTTTGACGGAATGCCTCACATCCCGTTGACACCTCAAGAGGCACGCGAAGTTCATTGCTTCAAAAGGTGACGATGCCTGACTCCTCTTGAATTCTGATAGGAATCCCAAAATCACTGTGGCTACTGGAAAGGGTCCTTGGGTGCCCTGCCTCACTTCAAGAAGCGTCCCATTTGCACTGCCAAGCCTCGAAGAGATTCCTGAGGTGTCCCTCGTTACTAGACAGGAGTCCTGACGTCACTGAAGAAACTCGTGTTTTGAAGGGCCATCCCCGCCGTAAGTCGAGAACATACCCCAGGTCCCCGCCGCAACTCGAGAAAAACCATGAGACTTACCCCTAGAGGCGAGATGAGGCCCCATTCCCCTGCAGTGCATGCAGAACTATTCCGTGGTCCCATTCAAACAAGTCAGGAGCTTCGACTTGCTTAATGGATCTCGAGACAGTCCCCAAGAACACTGTCACCAGTCTCGACGGACGCTGAGGTCACCCCAGCAACGCAAAGCAGCACCATGTGCCCCAAATCAACTCGAGATGAGGCCCGATTCCCCTGCATTGACTCCAGAGCCATTCCCCGTTCCCCATTCAACACGACCGGTGGCTCGACTTCCTTCAGGCAACTCCAGAGATACCCCGAGAACACTGTCCCAAGTCTAGAGGAACACCAACTTCAGCACAGCAACTCGAGGAATGCTCCGTGTACCCCAAATCGTCTCGAGATGAGAGCTGATTCCCTGGCTTAGGCTCAAGACGTATGCCAACTTTCCAGACGCACCTCAGGTGGAGGCTTCTCTCAGCAATAGGTATGTGGGAGGGACCCCGAGGTCGCTGCCTCAAGGGCAATATACAGCGAGAAGCCCTAACTTGAAAGGAGGCCGGATTTCCTTGCAGTGGCTTGAATACAGGCTCGTCTTTCATCTCACGACATGAAGGGATGTCTGAATCCCCTGTGGAGACCTTAGAGAAAGCCCTAGGTCCCTGCCTCATTTTGATGGAATGCCTCACATCCCGTTGACACCTCAAGAGGCCCACGAAGTTCATTGCTTCTAAAGGTGACAATGCCTCACTCCTCTTGAATACTGATAGGAATCCCAAAATCCCTGTGGCTACTGGAAAGGGTCCTTGGGTGCCCTGCCTCACCTCGAGAAGCGTCCCTTTTGCCCTGCCAAGCCTCGAAGAGATTCCTGAGGTGTCCCTCGTTACTAGACAGGAGTCCTGACGTCACTGAAGAAACTCGTGTTTTGAAGGGCCATCCCCGCCGTAAGTCGAGAACATACCCCAGGTCCCCGCCGCAACTCGAGAAAATCCATGAGACTTCCCCCTAGAGGCGAGATGAGGCCCCATTCCCCTGCAGTGCATGCAGAGCTATTCCGTGGTCCCATTCAAGCAAGTCAGGAGCTTCGACTTGCTTAATGGATCTCGAGACAGTCCCCAAGAACACTGTCACCAGTCTCGACGGACGCTGAGGTCACCCCAGCAACGCAAAGCAGCTCCATGTGCCCCAAATCAACTCGAGATGAGGCCCGATTCCCCTGCATTGACTCCAGAGCCATTCCCCGTTCCCCATTCAACACGACCGGTGGCTCGACTTCCTTCAGGCAACTCCAGAGATACCCCGAGAACACTGTCCCAAGTCTAGAGGAACACCAACTTCAGCACAGCAACTCGAGGAATGCTCCGTGTACCCCAAATCGTCTGGAGATGAGAGCTGATTCCCTGGCTTAGGCTCAAGACGTATGCCAACTTTCCAGACGCACCTCAGGAGGAGGCTTCTCTCAGCAATAGGTATGTGGGAGGGACCCCGAGTTCGCTGCCTCAAGGGCAATATACAGCGAGAAGCCCTAACTTGAAAGGAGGCCGGATTTCCTTGCAGTGGCTTGAATACAGGCTCGTCTTTCATCTCACGACATGAAGGGATGTCTGAATCCCCTGTGGAGACCTTAGAGAAAGCCCTAGGTCCCTGCCTCATTTTGACGGAATGCCTCACATCCCGTTGACACCTCAAGAGGCACGCGAAGTTCATTGCTTCAAAAGGTGACAATGCCTCACTCCTCTTGAATACTGATAGGAATCCCAAAATCCCTGTGGCTACTGGAAAGGGTCCTTGGGTGCCCTGCCTCACCTCGAGAAGCGTCCCTTTTGCCCTGCCAAGCCTCGAAGAGATTCCTGAGGTGTCCCTCGTTACTAGACAGGAGTCCTGACGTCACTGAAGAAACTCGTGTTTTGAAGGGCCATCCACGCCGTAAGTCGAGAACATACCCCAGGTCCCCGCCGCAACTCGAGAAAAACCATGAGACTTCCCCCTAGAGGCGAGATGAGGCCCCATTCCCCTGCAGTGCATGCAGAGCTATTCCGTGGTCCCATTCAAGCAAGTCAGGAGCTTCGACTTGCTTAATGGTTCTCGAGACAGTCCCCAAGAACACTGTCACCAGTCTCGACGGACCCTGAGGTCACCCCAGCAACGCAAAGCAGCTCCATGGGCCCCAAATCAACTCGAGATGAGGCCCGATTCCCCTGCATTGACTCCAGAGCCATTCCCCGTTCCCCATTCAACACGACCGGTGGCTCGACTTCCTTCAGGCAACTCCAGAGATGCCCCGAGAACACTGTCCCAAGTCTAGAGGAACACCAACTTCAGCACGGCAACTCGAGGAATGCTCCGTGTACCCCAAATCGTCTCGAGATGAGAGGTGATTCCCTGGCTTAGGCTCAAGACGTATGCCAACTTTCAAGACGCACCTCAGGAGGAGGCTTCTCTCAGCAATAGGTATGTGGGAGGGACCCCGAGTTCGCAGCCTCAAGGGCAATATACAGCGAGAAGCCCTAACTTGAAAGGAGGCCGGATTTCCTTGCAGTGGCTTGAATACAGGCTCGTCTTTCATCTCACAACATGAAGGGATCTCTGAATCCCCTGTGGAGACCTTAGAGAAAGCCCTAGGTCCCTGCCTCATTTAGACGGAATGCCTCACATCCCGTTGACAACTCGAGAGGCACGCTGAGTTCATTGCTTCAAAAGGTGACGATGCCTGACTCCTCTTGAATTCTGATAGGAATCCCAAAATCACTGTGGCTACTGGAAAGGGTTCTTGGGTGCCCTGCCTCATCTCAAGAAGCGTCCCATTTGCACTGCCAAGCCTCGATGAGATTCCAGAGGTGTCCCTCGTTACTAGACAGGAGTCCTGACGTCACTGAAGAAACTCGTGTTTTGAAGGGCCATCCCCGCCGTAAGTCGAGAACATACCCCAGGTCCCCGCCGCAACTCGAGAAAAACCATGAGACTTCCCCCTAGAGGCGAGATGAGGCCCCATTCCCCTGCAGTGCATGCAGAGCTATTCCGTGGTCCCATTCAAACAAGTCAGGAGCTTCGACTTGCTTAATGGATCTCGAGACAGTCCCCAAGAACACTGTCACCAGTCTCGACGGACGCTGAGGTCACCCCAGCAACGCAAAGCAGCTCCATGTGCCCCAAATCAACTCGAGATGAGGCCCGATTCCCCTGCATTGACTCCAGAGCCATTCCCCGTTCCCCATTCAACACGACCGGTGGCTTGACTTCCTTCAGGCCACTCCAGAGATACCCCGAGAACACTGTCCCAAGTCTAGAGGAACACCAACTTCAGCACAGCAACTCGAGGAATGCTCCGTGTACCCCAAATCGTCTCGAGATGAGAGCTGATTCCCTGGCTTAGGCTCAAGACGTATGCCAACTTTCCAGACGCACCTCAGGAGGAGGCTTCTCTCAGCAATAGGTATGTGGGAGGGACCTCGAGTTCGCTGCCTCAAGGGCAATATACAGCGAGAAGCCCTAACTTGAAAGGAGGCCGGATTTCCTTGCAGTGGCTTGAATACAGGCTCGTCTTTCATCTCACAACATGAAGGGATGTCTGAATCCCCTGTGGAGAACTTAGAGAAAGCCCTAGATCCCTGCCTCATTTTGACGGAATGCCTCACATCCCGTTGACACCTCAAGAGGCCCGCGAAGTTCATTGCTTCAAAAGGTGACAATGCCTCACTCCTCTTGAATACTGATAGGAATCCCAAAATCCCTGTGGCTACTGGAAAGGGTCCTTGGGTGCCCTGCCTCACCTCGAGAAGCGTCCCTTTTGCCCTGCCAAGCATCGAAGAGATTCCTGAGGTGTCCCTCGTTACTAGACAGGAGTCCTGACGTCACTGAAGAAACTCGTGTTTTGAAGGGCCATCCCCGCCGTAAGTCGAGAACATACTCCAGGTCCCCGCCGCAACTAGAGAAAAACCATGAGACTTCCCCCTAGAGGCGAGATGAGGCCCCATTCCCCTGCAGTGCATGCAGAACTATTCCGTGGTCCCATTCAAGCAAGTCAGGAGCTTCGACTTGCTTAATGGATCTCGAGACAGTCCCCAAGAACACTGTCACCAGTCTTGACGGACGCTGAGGTCACCCCAGGAACGCAAAGCAGCTCCATGTAGCTCAAATCAACTCGAGATGAGGCCCAATTCCCCTGCATTGACTCCAGAGCCATTCCCCGTTCCCCATTCAACACGACCGTTGGCTCGACTTCCTTCTGGCAACTCCAGAGATACCCCGAGAACACTGTCCCAAGTCTAGAGGAACACCAAATTCAGCACAGCAACTCGAGGAATGCTCCGTGTACCCCAAATCGTCTCGAGATGAGAGCTGATTCCCTGGCTTAGGCTCAAGACGTATGCCAACTTTCCAGACGCACCTCAGGAGGAGGCTTCTCTCAGCAATAGGTATGCGGGAGGGACCCCGAGTTCGCTGCCTCAAGGGCAATATACAGCGAGAAGCCCTAACTTGAAAGGAGGCCGGATTTCTTGCAGTGGCTTGAATACAGGCTCGTCTTTCATCTCACGACATGAAGGGATGTCTGAAACCCCTGTGGAGACCTTAGAGAAAGCCCTAGGTCCCTGCCTCATTTTGACGGAATGCCTCACATCCCGTTGACACTTCAAGAGGCACGCGAAGTTCATTGCTTCAAAATGTGACAATGCCTCACTCCTCTTGAATACTGATAGGAATCCCAAAATCCCTGTGGCTACTGGAAAGGGTCTTTGGGTGCCCTGCCTCACCTCGAGAAGCGTCCCTTTTGCCCTGCCAAGCCTCGAAGAGATTCCTGAGGTGTCCCTCGTTACTATACAGGAGTCCTGACGTCACTGAAGAAACTCGTGTTTTGAAGGGCCATCCCCGCCGTAAGTCGAGAACATACCCCAGGTCCCCGCCGCAACTCGAGAAAAACCATGAGACTTCCCCCTAGAGGCGAGATGAGGCCCCATTCCCCTGCAGTGCATGCAGAGCTATTCCGTGGTCTCATTCAAACAAGTCAGGAGCTTCGACTTGCTTAATGGATCTCGAGACAGTCCTCAAGAACACTGTCACCAGTCTCGATGGACCCTGAGGTCACCCCAGCAACGCAAAGCAGCTCCATGGGCCCCAAATCAACTCGAGATGAGGCCCGATTCCCCTGCATTGATTCCAGAGCCATTCCCCGTTCCCATTCAACACGAACGGTGGCTCGACTTCCTTCAGGCAACTCCAGAGATACCCCGAGAACACTGTCCCAAGTCTAGAGGAACACCAACTTCAGCACAGCAACTCGAGGAATGCTCCGTGTACACCAAATCATCTCGAGATGAGAGCTGATTCCATGGCTTAGGCTCAAGACGTATGCCAAGTTTCAAGACGCACCTCAGGAGGAGGCTTCTCTCAGCAATAGGTATGTGGGAGGGACCCCGAGTTCGCTGCCTCAAGGGCAATATACAGCGAGAAGCCCTAACTTGAATGGAGGCCGGATTTCCTTGCAGTGGCTTCAATACAGGCTCGTCTTTCATCTCACAACATGAAGGGATGTCTGAATCCCCTGTGGAGACCTTAGAGAAAGCCCTAGGTCCCTGCCTCATTTTGACGGAATGCCTCACATCCCGTTGACACCTCAAGAGGCACGCGAAGTTCATTGCTTCAAAAGGTGACAATGCCTCACTCCTCTTGAATACTGATAGGAATCCCAAAATCCCTGTGGCTACTCGAAAGGGTCCTTGGGTGACCTGCCTCACCTCGAGAAGCGTCTGTTTTGCCCTGCCAATCCTCGAAGAGATTCCTGAGGTGTCCCTCGTTATTAGACAGGAGTCCTGACGTCACTGAAGAAACTCGTGTTTTGAAGGGCCATCCCCGCCGTAAGTCGAGAACATACCCCAGGTCCCCGCCGCAACTCGAGAAAAACCATGAGACTTCCCCCTAGAGGCGAGATGAGGCCCCATTCCCCTGCAGTGCATGCAGAGCTATTCCGTGGTCCCATTCAAGCAAGTCAGGAGCTTCGACTTGCTAAATGGTTCTCGAGACAGTCCCCAAGAACACTGTCACCAGTCTCGACGGACCCTGAGGTCACCCCAGCAACGCAAAGCAGCTCCATGGGCCCCAAATCAACTCGAGATGAGGCCCGATTCCCCTGCATTGACTCCAGAGCCATTCCCCGTTCCCCATTCAACACGACCGGTGGCTCGACGTCCTTCAGGCAACTCCAGAGATGCCCCGAGAACACTGTCCCAAGTCTAGAGGAACACCAACTTCAGCACGGCAACTCGAGGAATGCTCCGTGTACCCCAAATAGTCTCGAGGTGAGAGATGATTCCCTGGCTTAGGCTCAAGACGTATGCCAACTTTCAAGACGCACCTCAGGAGGAGGCTTCTCTCAGCAATAGGTATGTGGAAGGGACCCCGAGTTCGCTGCCTCAAGGGCAATATACAGCGAGAAGCCCTAAGTTGAAAGGAGGCCGGATTTCCTTGCAGTGGCTTGAATACAGGCTCGTCTTTCATCTCACAACATGAAGGGATGTCTGAATCCCCTGTGGAGACCTTAGAGAAAGCCCTAGGTCCCTGCCTCATTTAGACGGAATGCCTCACATCCCGTTGACACCTCGAGAGGCACGCGGAGTTCATTGCTTCAAAAGGTGACGATGCCTGACTCCTCTTGAATTCTGATAGGAATCCCAAAATCACTGTGGCTACTGGAAAGGGTTCTTGGGTGCGCTGCCTCACCTCAAGAAGCGTCCCATTTGCACTGCCAAGCCTCGATGAGATTCCTGAGGTGTCCCTCGTTACTAGACAGGAGTCCTGACGTCACTGAAGAAACTCGTGTTTTGAAGGGCCATCCCCGCCGTAAGTCGAGAACATACCCCAGGTCCCCGCCGCAACTCGAGAAAATCCATGAGACTTCCCCCTAGAGGCGAGATGAGGCCCCATTCCCCTGCAGTGCATGCAGAGCTATTCCGTGGTCCCATTCAAGCAAGTCAGGAGCTTCGACTTGCTTAATGGATCTCGAGACAGTCCCCAAGAACACTGTCACCAGTCTCGACGGACGCTGAGGTCACCCCAGCAACGCAAAGCAGCTCCATGTGCCCCAAATCAACTCGAGATGAGGCCCGATTCCCCTGCATTGACTCCAGAGCCATTCCCCGTTCCCCATTCAACACGACCGGTGGCTCGACTTCCTTCAGGCAACTCCAGAGATACCCCGAGAACACTGTCCCAAGTCTAGAGGAACACCAACTTCAGCACAGCAACTCGAGGAATGCTCCGTGTACCACAAATCGTCTCGAGATGAGAGCTGATTCCCTGGCTTAGGCTCAAGACGTATGCCAACTTTCCAGACGCACCTCAGGAGGAGGCTTCTCTCAGCAATAGGTATGTGGGAGGGACCCCGAGTTCGCTGCCTCAAGGGCAATATACAGCGAGAAGCCCTAACTTGAAAGGAGGCCGGATTTCCTTGCAGTGGCTTGAATACAGGCTCGTCTTTCATCTCACGACATGAAGGGATGTCTGAATCCCCTTTGGAGACCTTAGAGAAAGCCCTAGGTCCCTGCCTCATTTGGACGGAATGCCTCACATCCCGTTGACACCTCGAGAGGCACGCGGAGTTCATTGCTTCAAAAGGTGACGATGCCTGACTCCTCTTGAATTCTGATAGGAATCCCAAAATCACTGTGGCTACTGGAAAGTGTCCTTGGGTGCCCTGCCTCACTTCAAGAAGCGTCCCATTTGCACTGCCAAGCCTCGAAGAGATTCCTGAGGTGTCCCTCGTTACTAGACAGGAGTCCTGACGTCACTGAAGAAACTCGTGTTTTGAAGGGCCATCCCCGCCGTAAGTCGAGAACATACCCCAGGTCCCCGCCGCAACTCGAGAAAAACCATGAGACTTACCCCTAGAGGCGAGATGAGGCCCCATTCCCCTGCAGTGCATGCAGAACTATTCCGTGGTCCCATTCAAACAAGTCAGGAGCTTCGACTTGCTTAATGGATCTCGAGACAGTCCCCAAGAACACTGTCACCAGTCTCGACGGACGCTGAGGTCACCCCAGCAACGCAAAGCAGCACCATGTGCCCCAAATCAACTCGAGATAAGGCCTGATTCCCCTGCATTGACTCCAGAGCCATTCCCCGTTCCCCATTCAACACGACCGGTGGCTCGACTTCCTTCAGGCAACTCCAGAGATACCCCGAGAACACTGTCCCAAGTCTAGAGGAACACCAACTTCAGCACAGCAACTCGAGGAATGCTCCGTGTACCCCAAATCGTCTCGAGATGAGAGCTGATTCCCTGGCTTAGGCTCAAGACGTATGCCAACTTTCCAGACGCACCTCAGGAGGAGGCTTCTCTCAGCAATAGGTATGTGGGAGGGACCCCGAGTTCGCTGCCTCAAGGGCAATATACAGCGAGAAGCCCTAACTTGAAAGGAGGCCGGATTTCCTTGCAGTGGCTTGAATACAGGCTCGTCTTTCATCTCACAACATGAAGGGATGTCTGAATCCCCTGTGGACACCTTAGAGAAAGCCCTAGGTCCCTGCCTCATTTTGACGGAATGCCTCACATCCCGTTGACACCTCAAGAGGCACGCGAAGTTCATTGCTTCAAAATGTGACAATGCCTCACTCCTCTTGAATACTGATAGGAATCCCAAAATCCCTGTGGCTACTGGAAAGGGTCCTTGGGTGCCCTGCCTCACCTCGAGAAGCATCCCTTTTGCCCTGCCAAGCCTCGAAGAGATTCCTGAGGTGTCCCTCGTTACTATACAGGAGTCCTGACGTCACTGAAGAAACTCGTGTTTTGAAGGGCCATCCCCGCCGTAAGTCGAGAACATACCCCAGGTCCCCGCCGCAACTCGAGAAAAACCATGAGACTTCCCCCTAGAGGCGAGATGAGGCCCCATTCCCCTGCAGTGCATGCAGAGCTATTCCGTGACCCCATTCAAACAAGTCAGGAGCTTCGACTTGCTTAATGGATCTCGAGACAGTCCTCAAGAACACTGTCACCAGTCTCGACGGACCCTGAGGTCACCCCAGCAACGCAAAGCAGCTCCATGTGCCCCAAATCAACTCGAGATGAGGCCCGATTCCCCTGCATTGATTCCAGAGCCATTCCCCGTTCCCATTCAACACGAACGGTGGCTCGACTTCCTTCAGGCAACTCCAGAGATACCCCGAGAACACTGTCCCAAGTCTAGAGGAACACCAACTTCAGCACAGCAACTCGAGGAATGCTCCGTGTACACCAAATCATCTCGAGATGAGAGCTGATTCCATGGCTTAGGCTCAAGACGTATGCCAAGTTTCAAGACGCACCTCAGGAGGAGGCTTCTCTCAGCAATAGGTATGTGGGAGGGACCCCGAGTTCGCTGCCTCAAGGGCAATATACAGCGAGAAGCCCTAACTTGAATGGAGGCCGGATTTCCTTGCAGTGGCTTGAATACAGGCTCGTCTTTCATCTCACAACATGAAGGGATGTCTGAATCCCCTGTGGAGACCTTAGAGAAAGCCCTAGGCCCCTGCCTCATTTTGACGGAATGCCTCACATCCCGTTGACACCTCAAGAGGCACGTGAAGTTCATTGCTTCAAAAGGTGACAATGCCTCACTCCTCTTGAATACTGATAGGAATCCCAAAATCCCTGTGGCTACTGGAAAGGGTCCTTGGGTGACCTGCCTCACCTCGAGAAGCGTCTGTTTTGCCCTGCCAATCCTCGAAGAGATTCCTGAGGTGTCCCTCGTTATTAGACAGGAGTCCTGACGTCACTGAAGAAACTCGTGTTTTGAAGGGCCATCCCCGCCGTAAGTCGAGAACATAACCCAGGTCCCCGCCGCAACTCGAGAAAAACCATGAGACTTCCCCCTAGAGGCGAGATGAGGCCCCATTCCCCTGCAGTTCATGCAGAGCTATTCCGTGGTCACATTCAAGCAAGTCAGGAGCTTCGACTTGCTTAATGGTTCTCGAGACAGTCCCCAAGAACACTGTCACCAGTCTCGACGGACCCTGAGGTCACCCCAGCAAGGCAAAGCAGCTCCATGGGCCCCAAATCAACTCGAGATGAGGCCCGATTCCCCTGCATTGACTCCAGAGCCATTCCCCGTTCCCCATTCAACACGACCGGTGGCTCGACTTCCTTCAGGCAACTCCAGAGATGCCCCGAGAACACTGTCCCAAGTCTAGAGGAACACCAACTTCAGCACGGCAACTCGAGGAATGCTCCGTGTACCCCAAATAGTCTCGAGGTGAGAGATGATTCCCTGGCTTAGGCTCAAGACGTATGCCAACTTTCAAGACGCACCTCAGGAGGAGGCTTCTCTCAGCAATAGGTATGTGGGTGGGACCCCGAGTTCGCTGCCTCAAGGGCAATATACAGCGAGAAGCCCTAACTTGAAAGGAGGCCGGATTTCCTTGCAGTGGCTTGAATACAGGCTCGTCTTTCATCTCACAACATGAAGGGATGTCTGAATCCCCTGTGGAGACCTTAGAGAAAGCCCTAGGTCCCTGCCTCATTTAGACGGAATGCCTCACATCCCGTTGACACCTCGAGAGGCACGCGGAGTTCATTGCTTCAAAAGGTGACGATGCCTGACTCCTCTTGAATTCTGATAGGAATCCCAAAATCACTGTGGCTACTGGAAAGGGTTCTTGGTTGCCCTGCCTCACCTCAAGAAGCGTCCCATTTGCACTGCCAAGCCTCGATGAGATTCCTGAGGTGTCCCTCGTTACTAGACAGGAGTCCTGACGTCACTGAAGAAACTCGTGTTTTGAAGGGCCATCACCGCCGTAAGTCGAGAACATACCCCAGGTCCCCGCCGCAACTCGAGAAAATCCATGAGACTTCCCCCTAGAGGCGAGATGAGGCCCCATTCCCCTGCAGTGCATGCAGAGCTATTCCGTGGTCCCATTCAAGCAAGTCAGGAGCTTCGACTTGCTTAATGGATCTCGAGACAGTCCCCAAGAACACTGTCACCAGTCTCGACGGACGCTGAGGTCACCCCAGCAACGCAAAGCAGCTCCATGTGCCCCAAATCAACTCGAGATGAGGCCCGATTCCCCTGCATTGACTCCAGAGCCATTCCCCGTTCCCCATTCAACACGACCGGTGGCTCGACTTCCTTCAGGCAACCCCAGAGATACCCCGAGAACACTGTCCCAAGTCTAGAGGAACACCAACTTCAGCACAGCAACTCGAGGAATGCTCCGTGTACCACAAATCGTCTCGAGATGAGAGCTGATTCCCTGGCTTAGGCTCAAGACGTATGCCAACTTTCCAGACGCACCTCAGGAGGAGGCTTCTCTCAGCAATAGGTATGTGGGAGGGACCCCGAGTTCGCTGCCTCAAGGGCAATATACAGCGAGAAGCCCTAACTTGAAAGGAGGCCGGATTTCCTTGCAGTGGCTTGAATACAGGCTCGTCTTTCATCTCACGACATGAAGGGATGTCTGAATCCCCTGTGGAGACCTTAGAGAAAGCCCTAGGTCCCTGCCTCATTTTGACGGAATGCCTCACATCCCGTTGACACCTCAAGAGGCACGCGAAGTTCATTGCTTCAAAAGGTGACAATGCCTCACTCCTCTTGAATACTGATAGGAATCCCAAAATCCCTGTGGCTACTGGAAAGGGTCCTTGAGTGCCCTGCCTCACCTCGAGAAGCGTCCCTTTTGCCCTGCCAAGCCTCGAAGAGATTCCTGAGGTGTCCCTCGTTACTAGACAGGAGTCCTGACGTCACTGAAGAAACTCGTGTTTTGAAGGGCCATCCCCGCCGTAAGTCGAGAACATACTTCAGGTCCCCGCCGCAACTCGAGAAAAACCATGAGACTTCCCCCTAGAGGCGAGATGAGGCCCCATTCCCCTGCAGTGCATGCAGAACTATTCCGTGGTCCCATTCAAGCAAGTCAGGAGCTTCGACTTGCTTAATGCATCTCGAGACAGTCCCCAAGAACACTGTCACCAGTCTCGACGGACGCTGAGGTCACCCCAGCAACGCAAAGCAGCTCCATGTAGCTCAAATCAACTCGAGATGAGGCCCAATTCATCTGCATTGACTCCAGAGCCATTCCCCGTTCCCCATTCAACACGACCGTTGGCTCGACTTCCTTCTGGCAACTCCAGAGATACCCCGAGAACACTGTCCCAAGTCTAGAGGAACACCAAATTCAGCACAGCAACTCGAGGAATGCTCCGTATACCCCAAATCGTCTCGAGATGAGAGCTGATTCCCTGGCTTAGGCTCAAGACGTATGCCAACTTTCCAGACGCACCTCAGGAGGAGGCTTCTCTCAGCAATAGGTATGTGGGAGGGACCCCGATTTCGCTGCCTCAAGGGCAATATACGGCAAGAAGCCCTAACTTGAAAGGAGGCCGGATTTCTTGCAGTGGCTTGAATACAGGCTCGTCTTTCATCTCACGACATGAAGGGATGTCTGAATCCCCTGTGGAGACCTTAGAGAAAGCCCTAGGTCCCTGCCTCATTTTGACGGAATGCCTCACATCCCGTTGACACCTCAAGAGGCACGCGAAGTTCATTGCTTCAAAATGTGACAATGCCTCACTCCTCTTGAATACTGATAGGAATCCCAAAATCCCTGTGGCTACTGGAAAGGGTCCTTGGGTGCCCTGCCTCACCTCGAGAAGCGTCCCTTTTGCCCTGCCAAGCCTCGAAGAGATTACTGAGGTGTCCCTCGTTACTAGACAGGAGTCCTGACGTCACTGAAGAAACTCGTGATTTGAAGGGCCATCCCCGCCGTAAGTCGAGAACATACCCCAGGTCCCCGCCGCAACTCGAGAAAAACCATGAGACTTCCCCCTAGAGGCGAGATGAGGCCCCATTCCACTGCAGTGCATGCAGAGCTATTCCGTGGTCCCATTCAAGCAAGTCAGGAGCTTCGACTTGCTTAATGGTTCTCGAGACAGTCCCCAAGAACACTGTCACCAGTCTCGACGGACCCTGAGGTCACCCCAGCAACGCAAAGCAGCTCCATGGGCCCCAAATCAACTCGAGATGAGGCCCGATTCCCCTGCATTGACTCCAGAGCCATTCCCCGTTCCCCATTCAACACGACCGGTGGCTCGACTTCCTTCAGGCAACTCCAGAGATGCCCCGAGAACACTGTCCCAAGTCTAGAGGAACACCAACTTCAGCACGGCAACTCGAGGAATGCTCCGTGTACCCCAAATCGTCTCGAGATGAGAGGTGATTCCCTGGCTTAGACTCAAGACGTATGCCAACTTTCAAGACGCACCTCAGGAGGAGGCTTCTCTCAGCAATAGGTATGTGGGAGGGACCCCGAGGTCGCTGCCTCAAGGGCAATATACAGCGAGAAGCCCTAACTTGAAAGGAGGCCGGATTTCCTTGCAGTGGCTTGAATACAGGCTCGTCTTTCATCTCACAACATGAAGGGATGTCTGAATCCCCTGTGGAGACCTTAGAGAAAGCCCTAGGTCCCTGCCTCATTTGGACGGAATGCCTCACATCCCGTTGACACCTCGAGAGGCACGCGGAGTTCATTGCTTCAAAACGTGACGATGCCTGACTCCTCTTGAATTCTGATAGGAATCCCAAAATCACTGTGGCTACTGGAAAGGGTCCTTGGGTGCCCTGCCTCACTTCAAGAAGCGTCCCATTTGCACTGCCAAGCCTCGAAGAGATTCCTGAGGTGTCCCTCGTTACTAGACAGGAGTCCTGACGTCACTGAAGAAACTCGTGTTTTGAAAAGCCATCCCCGCCGTAAGTTGAGAACATACCCCAGGTCCCCGCCGCAACTCGAGAAAAACCATGAGACTTACCCCTAGAGGCGAGATGAGGCCCCATTCCCCTGCAGTGCATGCAGAACTATTCCGTGGTCCCATTCAAACAAGGCAGGAGCTTCGACTTGCTTAATGGATCTCGAGACAGTCCCCAAGAACACTGTCACCAGTCTCGACGGAAGCTGAGGTCACTCCAGCAACGCAAAGCAGCACCATGTGCCCCAAATCAACTCGAGATGAGGCCCGATTCCCCTGCATTGACTCCAGAGCCATTCCCCGTTCCCCATTCAACACGACCGGTGGCTCGACTTCCTTCAGGCAACTCCAGAGATACCCCGAGAACACTGTCCCAAGTCTAGAGGAACACCAACTTCAGCACAGCAACTCGAGGAATGCTCCGTGTACCCCAAATCGTCTCGAGATGAGAGCTGATTCCCTGGCTTAGGCTCAAGACGTATGCCAACTTTCCAGACGCACCTCAGGTGGAGGCTTCTCTCAGCAATAGGTATGTGGGAGGGACCCCGAGGTCGCTGCCTCAAGGGCAATATACAGCGAGAAGCCCTAACTTGAAAGGAGGCCGGATTTCCTTGCAGTGGCTTGAATACAGGCTCGTCTTTCATCTCACGACATGAAGGGATGTCTGAATCCCCTGTGGAGACCTTAGAGAAAGCCCTAGGTCCCTGCCTCATTTTGATGGAATGCCTCACATCCCGTTGACACCTCAAGAGGCCCGCGAAGTTCATTGCTTCAAAAGGTGACAATGCCTCACTCCTCTTGAATACTGATAGGAATCCCAAAATCCCTGTGGCTACTGGAAAGGGTCCTTGAGTGCCCTGCCTCACCTCGAGAAGCGTCCCTTTTGCCCTGCCAAGCCTCGAAGAGATTCCTGAGGTGTCCCTCGTTACTAGACAGGAGTCCTGACGTCACTGAAGAAACTCGTGTTTTGAAGGGCCATCCCCGCCGTAAGTCGAGAACATACTTCATGTCCCCGCCGCAACTCGAGAAAAACCATGAGACTTCCCCCTAGAGGCGAGATGAGGCCCCATTCCCCTGCAGTGCATGCAGAACTATTCCGTGGTCCCATTCAAGCAAGTCAGGAGCTTCGACTTGCTTAATGCATCTCGAGACAGTCCCCAAGAACACTGTCACCAGTCTCGACGGACGCTGAGGTCACCCCAGCAACGCAAAGCAGCTCCATGTAGCTCAAATCAACTCGAGATGAGGCCCAATTCATCTGCATTGACTCCAGAGCCATTCCCCGTTCCCCATTCAACACGACCGTTGGCTCGACTTCCTTCTGGCAACTCCAGAGATACCCCGAGAACACTGTCCCAAGTCTAGAGGAACACCAAATTCAGCACAGCAACTCGAGGAATGCTCCGTATACCCCAAATCGTCTCGAGATGAGAGCTGATTCCCTGGCTTAGGCTCAAGACGTATGCCAACTTTCCAGACGCACCTCAGGAGGAGGCTTCTCTCAGCAATAGGTATGTGGGAGGGACCCCGATTTCGCTGCCTCAAGGGCAATATACGGCAAGAAGCCCTAACTTGAAAGGAGGCCGGATTTCTTGCAGTGGCTTGAATACAGGCTCGTCTTTCATCTCACGACATGAAGGGATGTCTGAATCCCCTGTGGAGACCTTAGAGAAAGCCCTAGGTCCCTGCCTCATTTTGACGGAATGCCTCACATCCCGTTGACACCTCAAGAGGCACGCGAAGTTCATTGCTTCAAAATGTGACAATGCCTCACTCCTCTTGAATACTGATAGGAATCCCAAAATCCCTGTGGCTACTGGAAAGGGTCCTTGGGTGCCCTGCCTCACCTCGAGAAGCGTCCCTTTTGCCCTGCCAAGCCTCGAAGAGATTACTGAGGTGTCCCTCGTTACTAGACAGGAGTCCTGACGTCACTGAAGAAACTCGTGATTTGAAGGGCCATCCCCGCCGTAAGTCGACAACATACCCCAGGTCCCCGCCGCAACTCGAGAAAAACCATGAGACTTCCCCCTAGAGGCGAGATGAGGCCCCATTCCACTGCAGTGCATGCAGAGCTATTCCGTGGTCCCATTCAAGCAAGTCAGGAGCTTCGACTTGCTTAACGGTTCTCGAGACAGTCCCCAAGAACACTGTCACCAGTCTCGACGGACCCTGAGGTCACCCCAGCAACGCAAAGCAGCTCCATGGGCCCCAAATCAACTCGAGATGAGGCCCGATTCCCCTGCATTGACTCCAGAGCCATTCCCGGTTCCCCATTCAACACGACCGGTGGCTCGACTTCCTTCAGGCAACTCCAGAGATGCCCCGAGAACACTGTCCCAAGTCTAGAGGAACACCAACTTCAGCACGGCAACTCGAGGAATGCTCCGTGTACCCCAAATCGTCTCGAGGTGAGAGGTGATTCCCTGGCTTAGGCTCAAGACGTATGCCAACTTTCAAGACGCACTTCAGGAGGAGGCTTCTCTCAGCAATAGGTATGTGGGAGGGACCCCGAGTTCGCAGCCTCAAGGGCAATATACAGCGAGAAGCCCTAACTTGAAAGGAGGCCGGATTTCCTTGCAGTGGCTTGAATACAGGCTCGTCTTTCATCTCACAACATGAAGGGATCTCTGAATCCCCTGTGGAGACCTTAGAGAAAGCCCTAGGTCCCTGCCTCATTTAGACGGAATGCCTCACATCCCGTTGACAACTCGAGAGGCACGCGGAGTTCATTGCTTCAAAAGGTGACGATGCCTGACTCCTCTTGAATTCTGATAGGAATCCCAAAATCACTGTGGCTACTGGAAAGGGTTCTTGGGTGCCCTGGATCATCTCAAGAAGCGTCCCATTTGCACTGCCAAGCCTCGATGAGATTCCAGAGGTGTCCCTCGTTACTAGACAGGAGTCCTGACGTCACTGAAGAAACTCGTGTTTTGAAGGGCCATCCCCGCCGTAAGTCGAGAACATACCCCAGGTCCCCGCCGCAACTCGAGAAAAACCATGAGACTTCCCCCTAGAGGCGAGATGAGGCCCCATTCCCCTGCAGTGCATGCAGAGCTATTCCGAGGTCCCATTCAAACAAGTCAGGAGCTTCGACTTGCTTAATGGATCTCGAGACAGTCCCCAAGAACACTGTCACCAGTCTCGACGGACGCTGAGGTCACCCCAGCAACGCAAAGCAGCTCCATGTGCCCCAAATCAACTCGAGATGAGGCCCGATTCCCCTGCATTGACTCCAGAGCCATTCCCCGTTCCCCATTCAACACGACCGGTGGCTCGACTTCCTTCAGGCCACTTCAGAGATACCCCGAGAACACTGTCCCAAGTCTAGAGGAACACCAACTTCAGCACAGCAACTCGAGGAATGCTCCGTGTACCCCAAATCGTCTCGAGATGAGAGCTGATTCCCTGGCTTAGGCTCAAGACGTATGCCAACTTTCCAGACGCACCTCAGGAGGAGGCTTCTCTCAGCAATAGGTATGTGGGAGGGACCTCGAGTTCGCTGCCTCAAGGGCAATATACAGCGAGAAGCCCTAACTTGAAAGGAGGCCGGATTTCCTTGCAGTGGCTTGAATACAGGCTCGTCTTTCATCTCACAACATGAAGGGATGTCTGAATCCCCTGTGGAGAACTTAGAGAAAGCCCTAGGTCCCTGCCTCATTTAGACGGAATGCCTCACATCCCGTTGACACCTCAAGAAGCACGCGAAGTTCATTGCTTCAAAAGGTGACAATGCCTCACTCCTCTTGAATACTGATAGGAATCCCAAAATCCCTGTGGCTACTGGAAAGGGTCCTTGGGTGCCCTGCCTCACCTCGAGAAGCGTCCCTTTTGCCCTGCCAAGCCTCGAAGAGATTCCTGAGGTGTCCCTCGTTACTAGACAGGAGTCCTGACGTCACTGAAGAAACTCGTGTTTTGAAGGGCCATCCCCGCCGTAAGTCGAGAACATACCCCAGGTCCCCACCGCAACTCGAGAAAAACCATGAGACTTCCCCCTAGAGGCGAGATGAGGCCCCATTCCCCTGCAGTGCATGCAGAGCTATTCCGTGGTCCCATTCAAGCAAGTCAGGAGCTTCGACTTGCTTAATGGTTCTCGAGACAGTCCCCAAGAACACTGTCACCAGTCTCGACGGACCCTGAGGTCACCCCAGCAACGCAAAGCAGCTCCATGGGCCCCAAATCAACTCGAGATGAGGCCCGATTCCCCTGCATTGACTCCAGAGCCATTCCCCGTTCCCCATTCAACACGACCGGTGGCTCGACTTCCTTCAGGCAACTCCAGAGATGCCCCGAGAACACTGTCCCAAGTCTAGAGGAACACCAACTTCAGCACGGCAACTCGAGGAATGCTCCGTGTACCCCAAATCGTCTCGAGATGAGAGGTGATTCCCTGGCTTAGGCTCAAGACGTATGCCAACTTTCAAGACGCACTTCAGGAGGAGGCTTCTCTCAGCAATAGGTATGTGGGAGGGACCCCGAGTTCGCAGCCTCAAGGGCAATATACAGCGAGAAGCCCTAACTTGAAAGGAGGCCGGATTTCCTTGCAGTGGCTTGAATACAGGCTCGTCTTTCATCTCACAACATGAAGGGATGTCTGAATCCCCTGTGGCGACCTTAGAGAAAGCCCTAGGTCCCTGCCTCATTTGGACGGAATGCCTCACATCCCGTTGACACCTCGAGAGGCACGCGGAGTTCATTGCTTCAAAAGGTGACGATGCCTGACTCCTCTTGAATTCTGATAGGAATACCAAAATCACTGTGGCTACTGGAAAGGGTCCTTGGGTGCCCTGCCTCACCTCAAGAAGCGTCCCATTTGCACTGCCAAGCCTCGATGAGATTCCTGAGGTGTCCCTCGTTACGAGACAGCAGTCCTGACGTCACTGAAGAAACTCGTGTTTTGAAGGGCCATCCCCGCCGTAAGTCGAGAACATACCCCAGGTCCCCGCCGCAACTCGAGAAAAACCATAAGACTTCCCCCTAGAGGCGAGATGAGGCCCCATTCCCCTGCAGTGCATGCAGAGCTATTCCGTGGTCCCATTCAAGCAAGTCAGGAGCTTCGACTTGCTTAATGGTTCTCGAGACAGTCCCCAAGAACACTGTCACCAGTCTCGATGGACCCTGAGGTCACCCCAGCAACGCAAAGCAGCTCCATGGGCCCCAAATCAACTCGAGATGAGGCCCGATTCCCCTGCATTGACTAAAGAGCCATTCCCCGTTCCCCATTCAACACGACCGGTGGCTCGACTTCCTTCAGGCAACTCCAGAGATGCCCCGAGAACACTGTCCCAAGTCTAGAGGAACACCAACTTCAGCACGGCAACTCGAGGAATGCTCCGTGTACCCCAAATCGTCTCGAGATGAGAGGTGATTCCCTGGCTTAGGATCAAGACGTATGCCAACTTTCAAGACGCACCTCAGGAGGAGGCTTCTCTCAGCAATAGGTATGTGGGAGGGACCCCGAGTTCGCTGCCTCAAGGGCAATATACAGCGAGAAGCCCTAACTTGAAAGGAGGCCGGATTTCCTTGCAGTGGCTTGAATACAGACTCGTCTTTCATCTCACAACATGAAGGGATGTCTGAATCCCCTGTGGAGACCTTAGAGAAAGCCCAAGCTCCCTGCCTCATTTTGACGGAATGCCTCACATCCCGTTGACACCTCGAGAGGCACGCGGAGTTCATTGCTTCAAAACGTGACGATGCCTGACTCCTCTTGAATACTGATAGGAATCCCAAAATCCCTGTGGCTACTGGAAAGTGTCCTTGGGTGCCCTGCCTCACCTCGAGAAGCGTCCCTTTTGCCCTGCCAAGCCTCGAAGAGATTCCTGAGGTGTCCCTCGTTACTAGACAGGAGTCCTGACGTCACTGAAGAAACTAGTGTTTTGAAGGGCCATCCCCGCCGTAAGTCGAGAACATACCCCAGGTCCCCGCCGCAACTCGAGAAAAACCATGAGACTTCCCCCTAGAGGCGAGATGAGGCCCCATTCCCCTGCAGTGCATGCAGAACTATTCCGTGGTCCCATTCAAGCAAGTCAGGAGCTTCGACTTGCTTAATGCATCTCGAGACAGTCCCCAAGAACACTGTCACCAGTCTCGACGGACGCTGAGGTCACCCCAGCAACGCAAAGCAGCTCCATGTAGCTCAAATCAACTCGAGATGAGGCCCAATTCATCTGCATTGACTCCAGAGCCATTCCCCGTTCCCCATTCAACACGACCGTTGGCTCGACTTCCTTCTGGCAACTCCAGAGATACCCCGAGAACACTGTCCCAAGTCTAGAGGAACACCAAATTCAGCACAGCAACTCGAGGAATGCTCCGTATACCCCAAATCGTCTCGAGATGAGAGCTGATTCCCTGGCTTAGGCTCAAGACGTATGCCAACTTTCCAGACGCACCTCAGGAGGAGGCTTCTCTCAGCAATAGGTATGTGGGAGGGACCCCGAGTTCGCTGCCTCAAGGGCAATATACAGCGAGAAGCCCTAACTTGAAAGGAGGCCGGATTTCTTGCAGTGGCTTGAATACAGGCTCGTCTTTCATCTCACGACATGAAGGGATGTCTGAATCCCCTGTGGAGACCTTAGAGAAAGCCCTAGGTCCCTGCCTCATTTTGACGGAATGCCTCACATCCCGTTGACACCTCAAGAGGCACGCGAAGTTCATTGCTTCAAAATGTGACAATGCCTCACTCCTCTTGAATACTGATAGGAATCCCAAAATCCCTGTGGCTACTGGAAAGGGTCCTTGGGTGCCCTGCCTCACCTCGAGAAGCGTCCCTTTTGCCCTGCCAAGCCTCGAAGAGATTACTGAGGTGTCCCTCGTTACTAGACAGGAGTCATGACGTCACTGAAGAAACTCGTGATTTGAAGGGCCATCCCCGCCGTAAGTCGAGAACATACCCCAGGTCCCCGCCGCAACTCGAGAAAAACCATGAGACTTCCCCCTAGAGGCGAGATGAGGCCCCATTCCACTGCAGTGCATGCAGAGATATTCCGTGGTCCCATTCAAGCAAGTCAGGAGCTTCGACTTGCTTAATGGTTCTCGAGACAGTCCCCAAGAACACTGTCACCAGTCTCGACGGACCCTGAGGTCACCCCAGCAACGCAAAGCAGCTCCATGGTCCCCAAATCAACTCGAGATGAGGCCCGATTCCCCTGCATTGACTCCAGAGCCATTCCCGGTTCCCCATTCAACACGACCGGTGGCTCGACTTCCTTCAGGCAACTCCAGAGATGCCCCGAGAACACTGTCCCAAGTCTAGAGGAACACCAACTTCAGCACGGCAACTCGAGGAATGCTCCGTGTACCCCAAATCGTCTCGAGGTGAGAGGTGATTCCCCGGCTTAGGCTCAAGACGTATGCCAACTTTCAAGACGCACTTCAGGAGGAGGCTTCTCTCAGCAATAGGTATGTGGGAGGTACCCCGAGTTCGCAGCCTCAAGGGCAATATACAGCGAGAAGCCCTAACTTGAAAGGAGGCCGGATTTCCTTGCAGTGGCTTGAATACAGGCTCGTCTTTCATCTCACAACATGAAGGGATCTCTGAATCCCCTGTGGAGACCTTAGAGAAAGCCCTAGGTCCCTGCCTCATTTAGACGGAATGCCTCACATCCCGTTGACAACTCGAGAGGCACGCGGAGTTCATTGCTTCAAAAGGTGACGATGCCTGACTCCTCTTGAATTCTGATAGGAATCCCAAAATCACTGTCGCTACTGGAAAGGGTTCTTGGGTGCCCTGGATCATCTCAAGAAGCGTCCCATTTGCACTGCCAAGCCTCGATGAGATTCCAGAGGTGTCCCTCGTTACTAGACAGGAGTCCTGACGTCACTGAAGAAACTCGTGTTTTGAAGGGCCATCCCCGCCGTAAGTCGAGAACATACCCCAGGTCCCCGCCGCAACTCGAGAAAAACCATGAGACTTCCCCCTAGAGGCGAGATGAGGCCCCATTCCCCTGCAGTGCATGCAGAGCTATTCCGTGGTCCCATTCAAACAAGTCAGGAGCTTCGACTTGCTTAATGGATCTCGAGACAGTCCCCAAGAACACTGTCACCAGTCTCGACGGACGCTGAGGTCACCCCAGCAACGCAAAGCAGCTCCATGTGCCCCAAATCAACTCGAGATGAGGCCCGATTCCCCTGCATTGACTCCAGAGCCATTCCCCGTTCCCCATTCAACACGACCGGTGGCTCGACTTCCTTCAGGCCACTTCAGAGATACCCCGAGAACACTGTCCCAAGTCTAGAGGAACACCAACTTCAGCACAGCAACTCGAGGAATGCTCCGTGTACCCCAAATCGTCTCGAGATGAGAGCTGATTCCCTGGCTTAGGCTCAAGACGTATGCCAACTTTCCAGACGCACCTCAGGAGGAGGCTTCTCTCAGCAATAGGTATGTGGGAGGGACCTCGAGTTCGCTGCCTCAAGGGCAATATACAGCGAGAAGCCCTAACTTGAAAGGAGGCCGGATTTCCTTGCAGTGGCTTGAATACAGGCTCGTCTTTCATCTCACAACATGAAGGGATGTCTGAATCCCCTGTGGAGAACTTAGAGAAAGCCCTAGGTCCCTGCCTCATTTTGACGGAATGCCTCACATCCCGTTGACACCTCAAGAGGCACGCGAAGTTCATTGCTTCAAAAGGTGACAATGCCTCACTCCTCTTGAATACTGATAGGAATCCCAAAATCCCTGTGGCTACTGGAAAGGGTCCTTGGGTGCCCTGCCTCACCTCGAGAAGCGTCCCTTTTGTCCTGCCAAGCCTCGATGAGATTCCTGAGGTGTCCCTCGTTACTAGACAGCAGTCCTGACGTCACTGAAGAAACTCGTGTTTTGAAGGGCCATCCCCGCCGTAAGTCGAGAACATACCCCAGGTCCCCGCCGCAACTCGAGAAAAACCATAAGACTTCCCCCTAGAGGCGAGATGAGGCCCCATTCCCCTTCAGTGCATGCAGAGCTATTCCGTGGTCCCATTCAAGCAAGTCAGGAGCTTCGACTTGCTTAATGGTTCTCGAGACAGTCCCCAAGAACACTGTCACCAGTCTCGATGGACCCTGAGGTCACCCCAGCAACGCAAAGCAGCTCCATGGGCCCCAAATCAACTCGAGATGAGGCCCGATTCCCCTGAATTGACTAAAGAGCCATTCCCCGTTCCCCATTCAACACGACCGGTGGCTCGACTTCCTTCAGGCAACTCCAGAGATGCCCCGAGAACACTGTCCCAAGTCTAGAGGAACACCAACTTCAGCACGGCAACTCGAGGAATGCTCCGTGTACCCCAAATCGTCTCGAGATGAGAGGTGATTCCCTGGCTTAGGATCAAGACGTATGCCAACTTTCAAGACGCACCTCAGGAGGAGGCTTCTCTCAGCAATAGGTATGTGGGAGGGACCCCGAGTTCGCTGCCTCAAGGGCAATATACAGCGAGAAGCCCTAACTTGAAAGGAGGCCGGATTTCCTTGCAGTGGCTTGAATACAGACTCGTCTTTCATCTCACAACATGAAGGGATGTCTGAATCCCCTGTGGAGACCTTAGAGAAAGCCCAAGCTCCCTGCCTCATTTTGACGGAATGCCTCACATCCCGTTGACACCTCGAGAGGCACGCGGAGTTCATTGCTTCAAAACGTGACGATGCCTGACTCCTCTTGAATACTGATAGGAATACCAAAATCCCTGTGGCTACTGGAAAGTGTCCTTGGGTGCCCTGCCTCACCTCGAGAAGCGTCCCTTTTGCCCTGCCAAGCCTCGAAGAGATTCCTGAGGTGTCCCTCGTTACTAGACAGGAGTCCTGACGTCACTGAAGAAACTAGTGTTTTGAAGGGCCATCCCCGCCGTAAGTCGAGAACATACCCCAGGTCCCCGCCGCAACTCGAGAAAAACCATGAGACTTCCCTCTAGAGGCGAGATGAGGCCCCATTCCCCTGCAGTGCATGCAGAACTATTCCGTGGTCCCATTCAAGCAAGTCAGGAGCTTCGACTTGCTTAATGCATCTCGAGACAGTCCCCAAGAACACTGTCACCAGTCTCGACGGACGCTGAGGTCACCCCAGCAACGCAAAGCAGCTCCATGTAGCTCAAATCAACTCGAGATGAGGCCCAATTCATCTGCATTGACTCCAGAGCCATTCCCCGTTCCCCATTCAACACGACCGTTGGCTCGACTTCCTTCTGGCAACTCCAGAGATACCCCGAGAACACTGTCCCAAGTCTAGAGGAACACCAAATTCAGCACAGCAACTCGAGGAATGCTCCGTATGCCCCAAATCGTCTCGAGATGAGAGCTGATTCCCTGGCTTAGGCTCAAGACGTATGCCAACTTTCCAGACGCACCTCAGGAGGAGGCTTCTCTCAGCAATAGGTATGTGGGAGGGACCCCGAGTTCGCTGCCTCAAGGGCAATATACAGCGAGAAGCCCTAACTTGAAAGGAGGCCGGATTTCTTGCAGTGGCTTGAATACAGGCTCGTCTTTCATCTCACGACATGAAGGGATGTCTGAATCCCCTGTGGAGACCTTAGAGAAAGCCCTAGGTCCCTGCCTCATTTTGACGGAATGCCTCACATCCCGTTGACACCTCAAGAGGCACGCGAAGTTCATTGCTTCAAAATGTGACAATGCCTCACTCCTCTTGAATACTGATAGGAATCCCAAAATCCCTGTGGCTACTGGAAAGGGTCCTTGGGTGCCCTGACTCACCTCGAGAAGCGTCCCTTTTGCCCTGCCAAGCCTCGAAGAGATTACTGAGGTGTCCCTCGTTACTAGACAGGAGTCCTGACGTCACTGAAGAAACTCGTGATTTGAAGGGCCATCCCCGCCGTAAGTCGAGAACATACCCCAGGTCCCCGCCGCAACTCGAGAAAAACCATGAGACTTCCCCCTAGAGGCGAGATGAGGCCCCATTCCCCTGCAGTGCATGCAGAGCTATTCCGTGCTCCAATTCAAGCAAGTCAGGAGCTTCGACTTGCTTAATGGTTCTCGAGACAGTCCCCAAGAACACTGTCACCAGTCTCGACGGACCCTGAGGTCACCCCAGCAACGCAAAGCAGCTCCATGGGCCCCAAATCAACTCGAGATGAGGCCCGATTCCCCTGCATTGACTCCAGAGCCATTCCCGGTTCCCCATTCAACATGACCGGTGGCTCGACTTCCTTCAGGCAACTCCAGAGATGCCCCGAGAACACTGTCCCAAGTCTAGAGGAACACCAACTTCAGCACGGCAACTCGAGGAATGCTCCGTGTACCCCAAATCGTCTCGAGGTGAGAGGTGATTCCCTGGCTTAGGCTCAAGACGTATGCCAACTTTCAAGACGCACTTCAGGAGGAGGCTTCTCTCAGCAATAGGTATGTGGGAGGGACCCCGAGTTCGCAGCCTCAAGGGCAATATACAGCGAGAAGCCCTAACTTGAAAGGAGGCCGGATTTCCTTGCAGTGGCTTGAATACAGGCTCGTCTTTCATCTCACAACATGAAGGGATCTCTGAATCCCCTGTGGAGACCTTAGAGAAAGCCCTAGGTCCCTGCCTCATTTAGACGGAATGCCTCACATCCCGTTGACAACTCGAGAGGCACGCGGAGTTCATTGCTTCAAAAGGTGACGATGCCTGACTCCTCTTGAATTCTGATAGGAATCCCAAAATCACTGTGGCTACTGGAAAGGGTTCTTGGGAGCCCTGGATCATCTCAAGAAGCGTCCCATTTGCACTGCCAAGCCTCGATGAGATTCCAGAGGTGTCCCTCGTTACTAGACAGGAGTCCTGACGTCACTGAAGAAACTCGTGTTTTGAAGGGCCATCCCCGCCGTAAGTCGAGAACATACCCCAGGTCCCCGCCGCAACTCGAGAAAAACCATGAGACTTCCCCCTAGAGGCGAGATGAGGCCCCATTCCCCTGCAGTGCATGCAGAGCTATTCCGTGGTCCCATTCAAACAAGTCAGGAGCTTCGACTTGCTTAATGGATCTCGAGACAGTCCCCAAGAACACTGTCACCAGTCTCGACGGACGCTGAGGTCACCCCAGCAACGCAAAGCAGCTCCATGTGCCCCAAATCAACTCGAGATGAGGCCCGATTCCCCTGCATTGACTCCAGAGCCATTCCCCGTTCCCCATTCAACACGACCGGTGGCTCGACTTCCTTCAGGCCACTTCAGAGATACCCCGAGAACACTGTCCCAAGTCTAGAGGAACACCAACTTCAGCACAGCAACTCGAGGAATGCTCCGTGTACCCCAAATCATCTCGAGATGAGAGCTGATTCCCTGGCTTAGGCTCAAGACGTATGCCAACTTTCCAGACGCACCTCAGGAGGAGGCTTCTCTCAGCAATATGTATGTGGGAGGGACCTCGAGTTCGCTGCCTCACGGGCAATATACAGCGAGAAGCCCTAACTTGAAAGGAGGCCGGATTTCCTTGCAGTGGCTTGAATACAGGCTCGTCTTTCATCTCACAACATGAAGGGATGTCTGAATCCCCTGGGGAGAACTTAGAGAAAGACCTAGGTCCCTGCCTCATTTTGACGGAATGCCTCACATCCCGTTGACACCTCAAGAGGCACGCGAAGTTCATTGCTTCAAAAGGTGACAATGCCTCACTCCTCTTGAATACTGATAGGAATCCCAAAATCCCTGTGGCTACTGGAAAGGGTCCTTGGGTGCCCTGCCTCACCTCGAGAAGCGTCCCTTTTGCCCTGCCAAGCCTCGAAGAGATTCCTGAGGTGTCCCTCGTTACTAGACAGGAGTCCTGACGTCACTGAAGAAACTCGTGTTTTGAAGGGCCATCCCCGCCGTAAGTCGAGAACATACCCCAGGTCCCCGCCGCAACTCGAGAAAAACCATGAGACTTCCCCCTAGAGGCGAGATGAGGCCCCATTCCCCTGCAGTGCATGCAGAGCTATTCCGTGGTCCCATTCAAGCAAGTCAGGAGCTTCGACTTGCTTAATGGTTCTCGAGACAGTCGCCAAGAACACTGTCACCAGTCTCGACGGACCCTGAGGTCACCCCAGCAACGCAAAGCAGCTCCATGGGCCCCAAATCAACTCGAGATGAGGCCCGATTCCCCTGCATTGACTCCAGAGCCATTCCCGGTTCCCCATTCAACACGACCGGTGGCTCGACTTCCTTCAGGCAACTCCAGAGATGCCCCGAGAACACTGTCCCAAGTCTAGAGGAACACCAACTTCAGCACGGCAACTCGAGGAATGCTCCGTGTACCCCAAATCGTCTCGAGATGAGAGGTGATTCCCTGGCTTAGGCTCAAGACGTATGCCAACTTTCAAGACGCACCTCAGGAGGAGGCTTCTCTCAGCAATAGCTATGTGGGAGGGACCCCGAGTTCGCAGCCTCAAGGGCAATATACAGCGAGAAGCCCTAACTTGAAAGGAGGCCGGATTTCCTTGCAGTGGCTTGAATACAGGCTCGTCTTTCATCTCACAACATGAAGGGATGTCTGAATCCCCTGTGGCGACCTTAGAGAAAGCCCTAGGTCCCTGCCTCATTTGGAGGGAATGCCTCACATCCCGTTGACACCTCGAGAGGCACGCGGAGTTCATTGCTTCAAAAGGTGACGATGCCTGACTCCTCTTGAATTCTGATAGGAATACCAAAATCACTGTGGCTACTGGAAAGGGTCCTTGGGTGCCCTGCCTCACCTCAAGAAGCGTCCCATTTGCACTGCAAAGCCTCGATGAGATTCCTGAGGTGTCCCTCGTTACTAGACAGCAGTCCTGACGTCACTGAAGAAACTCGTGTTTTGAAGGGCCATCCCCGCCGTAAGTCGAGAACATACCCCAGGTCCCCGCCGCAACTCGAGAAAAACCATAAGACTTCCGCCTAGAGGCGAGATGAGGCCCCATTCCCCTTCAGTGCATGCAGAGCTATTCCGTGGTCCCATTCAAGCAAGTCAGGAGCTTCGACTTGCTTAATGGATCTCGAGACAGTCCCCAAGAACAATGTCACCAGTCTCGATGGACCCTGAGGTCACCCCAGCAACGCAAAGCAGCTCCATGGGCCCCAAATCAACTCGAGATGAGGCCCGATTCCCCTGCATTGACTAAAGAGCCATTCCCCGTTCCCCATTCAACACGACCGGTGGCTCGACTTCCTTCAGGCAACTCCAGAGATGCCCCGAGAACACTGTCCCAAGTCTAGAGGAACACCAACTTCAGCACGGCAACTCGAGGAATGCTCCGTGTACCCCAAATCGTCTCGAGATGAGAGGTGATTCCCTGGCTTAGGCTCAAGACGTATGCCAACTTTCAAGACGCACCTCAGGAGGAGGCTTCTCTCAGCAATAGGTATGTGGGAGGGACCCCGAGTTCGCTGCCTCAAGGGCAATATACAGCGAGAAGCCCTAACTTGAAAGGAGGCCGGATTTCCTTGCAGTGGCTTGAATACAGACTCGTCTTTCATCTCACAACATGAAGGGATGTCTGAATCCCCTGTGGAGACCTTAGAGAAAGCCCAAGCTCCCTGCCTCATTTTGACGGAATGCCTCACATCCCGTTGACACCTCGAGAGGCACACGGAGTTCATTGCTTCAAAACGTGACGATGCCTGACTCCTCTTGAATACTGATAGGAATCCCAAAATCCCTGTGGCTACTGGAAAGTGTCCTTGGGTGCCCTGCCTCACCTCGAGAAGCGTCCCTTTTGCCCTGCCAAGCCTCGAAGAGATTCCTGAGGTGTCCCTCGTTACTAGACAGGAGTCCTGACGTCACTGAAGAAACTAGTGTTTTGAAGGGCCATCCCCGCCGTAAGTCGAGAACATACCCCAGGTCCCCGCCGCAACTCGAGAAAAACCATGAGACTTCCCCCTAGAGGCGAGATGAGACCCCATTCCCCTGCAGTGCATGCAGAGCTATTCCATGGTCCCATTCAAACAAGTCAGGAGCTTCGACTTGCTTAATGGATCTCGAGACAGTCCCCAAGAACACTGTCACCAGTCTCGACGGACGCTGAGGTCACCCCAGCAACGCAAAGCAGCTCCATGTGCCCCAAATCAACTCGAGATGAGGCCCGATTCCCGTGCATTGACTCCAGAGCCATTCCCCGTTCCACATTCAACACGACCGGTGGCTCGACTTCCTTCAGGCAACTCCAGAGATGCTCCGAGAACACTGTCCCAAGTCTAGAGGAACACCAACTTCAGCACGGCAACTCGAGGAATGCTCCGTGTACCCAAAATCGTCTCGAGGTGAGAGATGATTCCCTGGCTTAGGCTCAAGACGTATGCCAACTTTCAAGACGCACCTCAGGAGGAGGCTTCTCTCAGCAATAGGTATGTGGGAGGGACCCCGAGTTCGCTGCCTCAAGGGCAATATACAGCGAGAAGCCCTAACTTGAAAGGAGGCCGGATTTCCTTGCAGTGGCTTGAATACAGGCTCGTCTTTCATCTCACAACATGAAGGGATGTCTGAATCCCCTGTGGAGACCTTAGAGAAAGCCCTAGGTCCCTGCCTCATTTGGACGGAATGCCTCACATCCCGTTGACACCTCGAGAGGCACGCGGAGTTCATTGCTTCAAAAGGTGACGATGCCTGACTCCTCTTGAATTCTGATAGGAATCCCAAAATCACTGTGGCTACTGGAAAGGGTACTTGGGTGCCCTGCCTCACCTCAAGAAGCGTCCCATTTGGACTGCCAAGCCTCGATGAGATTCCTGAGGTGTCCCTCGTTACTAGACAGGAGTCCTGACGTCACTGAAGAAACTCGTGTTTTGAAGGGCCATCCCCGCCCTAAGTCGAGAACATACCCCAGGTCCCCGCCGCAACTCAAGAAAATCCATGAGACTTCCCCCTAGAGGCGAGATGAGGCCCCATTCCCCTGCAGTGCATGCAGAGCTATTCCGTGGTCCCATTCAAGCAAGTCAGGAGCTTCGACTTGCTTAATGGATCTCGAGACAGTCCCCAAGAACACTGTCACCAGTCTCGACGGACGCTGAGGTCACCCCAGCAACGCAAAGCAGCTCCATGTGCCCCAAATCAACTCGAGATGAGGCACGATTCCCCTGCATTGACTCCAGAGCCATTCCCCATTCCCCATTCAACACGACCGGTGGCTCGACTTCCTTCAGGCAACTCCAGAGATACCCCGAGAACACTGTCCCAAGTCTAGAGGAACACCAACTTCAGCACAGCAACTCGAGGAATGCTCCGTGTACCCCAAATCGTCTCGAGATGAGAGCTGATTCCCTGGCTTAGGCTCAAGACGTATGCCAACTTTCCAGACGCACCTCAGGAGGAGGCTTCTCTCAGCAATAGGTATGTGGGAGGGACCCCGAGTTCGCTGCCTCAAGGGCAATATACAGCGAGAAGCCCTAACTTGAAAGGAGGCCGGATTTCCTTGCAGTGGCTTGAATACAGGCTCGTCTTTCATCTCACAACATGAAGGGATGTCTGAATCCCCTGTGGAGACCTTAGAGAAAGCCCTAGGTCCCTGCCTCATTTGGACGGAATGCCTCACATCCCGTTGACACCTCGAGAGGCACGCGGAGTTCATTGCTTCAAAAGGTGACAATGCCTGACTCCTCTTGAATTCTGATAGGAATCCCAAAATCACTGTGGCTACTGGAAAGGGTTCTTGGGTGCCCTGCCTCACCTCAAGAAGCGTCCCATTTGCACTGCCAAGCCTCGATGAGATTCCTGAAGTGTCCCTCGTTACTAGACAGGAGTCCTGACGTCACTGAAGAAACTCGTGTTTTGAAGGGCCATCCCCGCCGTAAGTCGAGAACATACCCCAGGTCCCCGCCGCAACTCAAGAAAATCCATGAGACTTCCCCCTAGAGGCGAGATGAGGCCCCATTCCCCTGCAGTGCATGCAGAGCTATTCCGTGGTCCCATTCAAGCAAGTCAGGAGCTTCGACTTGCTTAATGGATCTCGAGACAGTCCCCAAGAACACTGTCACCAGTCTCGACGGACGCTGAGGTCACCCCAGCAACGCAAAGCAGCTCCATGTGCCCCAAATCAACTCGAGATGAGGCCCGATTCCCCTGCATTGACTCCAGAGCCATTCCCCGTTCCCCATTCAACACGACCGGTGGCTCGACTTCCTTCAGGCAACTCCAGAGATACCCCGAGAACACTGTCCCAAGTCTAGAGGAACACCAACTTCAGCACAGCAACTCGAGGAATGCTCCGTGTACCCCAAATCGTCTCGAGATGAGAGCTGATTCCCTGGCTTAGGCTCAAGACGTATGCCAACTTTCCAGACGCACCTCAGGAGGAGGCTTCTCTCAGCAATAGGTATGTGGGAGGGACCCCGAGTTCGCTGCCTCAAGGGCAATATACAGCGAGAAGCCCTAACTTGAAAGGAGGCCGGATTTCCTTGCAGTGGCTTGAATACAGGCTCGTCTTTCATCTCACAACATGAAGGGATGTCTGAATCCCCTGTGGAGACCTTAGAGAAAGCCCTAGGTCCCTCCCTCATTTTGACGGAATGCCTCACATCCCGTTGACACCTCAAGAGGCACGCAAAGTTCATTGCTTCAAAAGGTGACAATGCCTGACTCCTCTTGAATACTGATAGGAATCCCAAAATCCCTGTGGCTACTGGAAAGGGTCCTTGGGTGCCCTGCCTCACCTCGAGAAGCTTCCCTTTTTCCCTGCCAAGCCTCGAAGAGATTCCTGAGGTGTCCCTCGTTAATAGACAGGAGTCCTGACGTCACTGAAGAAACTCGTGTTTTGAAGGGCCATCCACGCCGGAAGTCGAGAACATACCCCAGGTCCCCGCCGCAACTCGAGAAAAACCATGAGACTTCCCCCTAGAGGCGAGATGAGGCCCCATTCCCCTGCAGTGCATGCAGAGCTATTCCGTGGTCCCATTCAAGCAAGTCAGGAGCTTCGACTTGCTTAATGGTTCTCGAGACAGTCCCCAAGAACACTGTCACCAGTCTCGACGGACCCTGAGGTCACCCCAGCAACGCAAAGCAGCTCCATGGGCCCCAAATCAACTCGAGATGAGGCCCGATTCCCCTGCATTGACTCCAGAGCCATTCCCCGTTCCCCATTCAACACGACCGGTGGCTCGACTTCCTTCAGGCAACTCCAGAGATGCCCCGAGAACACTGTCCCAAGTCTAGAGGAACACCAACTTCAGCACGGCAACTCGAGGAATGCTCCGTGTACCCCAAATCGTCTCGAGATGAGAGCTGATTCCCTGGCTTAGGCTCAAGACGTATGCCAACTTTCCAGACGCACCTCAGGAGGAGGCTTCTCTCAGCAATAGGTATGTGGGAGGGACCCCGAGGTCGCTGCCTCAAGGGCAATATACAGCGAGAAGCCCTAACTTGAAAGGAGGCCGGATTTCATTGCAGTGGCTTGAATACAGGCTCGTCTTTCATCTCACAACATGAAGGGATGTCTGAATCCCCTGTGGAGACCTTAGAGAAAGCCCTAGGTCCCTGCCTCATTTGGACGGAATGCCTCACATCCCGTTGACACCTCGAGAGGCACGCGGAGTTCATTGCTTCAAAAGGTGACGATGCCTGACTCCTCTTGAATTCTGATAGGAATACCAAAATCACTGTGGCTACTGGAAAGGGTCCTTGGGTGCCCTGCCTCACCTCAAGAAGCGTCCCATTTGCACTGCAAAGCCTCGATGAGATTCCTGAGGTGTCCCTCGTTACTAGACAGCAGTCCTGACGTCACTGAAGAAACTCGTGTTTTGAAGGGCCATCCCCGCCGTAAGTCGAGAACATACCCCAGGTCCCCGCCGCAACTCGAGAAAAACCATAAGACTTCCCCCTAGAGGCGAGATGAGGCCCCATTCCCCTTCAGTGCATGCAGAGCTATTCCGTGGTCCCATTCAAGCAAGTCAGGAGCTTCGACTTGCTTAATGGATCTCGAGACAGTCCCCAAGAACAATGTCACCAGTCTCGATGGACCCTGAGGTCACCCCAGCAACGCAAAGCAGCTCCATGGGCCCCAAATCAACTCGAGATGAGGCCCGATTCCCCTGCATTGACTAAAGAGCCATTCCCCGTTCCCCATTCAACACGACCGGTGGCTCGACTTCCTTCAGGCAACTCCAGAGATGCCCCGAGAACACTGTCCCAAGTCTAGAGGAACACCAACTTCAGCACGGCAACTCGAGGAATGCTCCGTGTACCCCAAATCGTCTCGAGATGAGAGCTGATTCCCTGGCTTAGGCTCAAGACGTATGCCAACTTTCCAGACGCACCTCAGGAGGAGGCTTCTCTCAGCAATAGGTATGTGGGAGGGACCCCGAGTTCGCTGCCTCAAGGACAATATACAGCGAGAAGCCCTAACTTGAAAGGAGGCCGGATTTCTTGCAGTGGCTTGAATACAGGCTCGTCTTTCATCTCACGACATGAAGGGATGTCTGAATCCCCTGTGGAGACCTTAGAGAATGCCCTAGGTCCCTGCCTCATTTTGACGGAATGCCTCACATCCCGTTGACACCTCAAGAGGCACGCGAAGTTCATTGCTTCAAAAGGTGACAATGCCTCACTCCTCTTGAATACTGATAGGAATCCCAAAATCCCTGTGGCTACTGGAAAGGGTCCTTGGGTGCCCTGCCTCACCTCGAGAAGCGTCCCTTTTGCCCTGCCAAGCCTCGAAGAGATTCCTGAGGTGTCCCTCGTTACTAGACAGGAGTCCTGACGTCACTGAAGAAACTCGTGTTTTGAAGGGCCATCCCCGCCGTAAGTCGAGAACATACCCCAGGTCCCCGCCGCAACTCGAGAAAAACCATGAGACTTCCCCCTAGAGGCGAGATGAGGCCCCATTCCCCTGCAGTGCATGCAGAGCTATTCCGTGGTCCCATTCAAGCAAGTCAGGAGCTTCGACTTGCTTAATGGTTCTCGAGACAGTCCCCAAGAACACTGTCACCAGTCTCGACGGACCCTGAGGTCACCCCAGCAACGCAAAGCAGTTCCATGGGCCCCAAATCAACTCGAGATGAGGCCCGATTCCCCTGCATTGACTCCAGAGCCATTCCCGGTTCCCCATTCAACACGACCGGTGGCTCGACTTCCTTCAGGCAACTCCAGAGATGCCCCGAGAACACTCTCCCAAGTCTAGAGGAACACCAACTTCAGCACGGCAACTCGAGGAATGCTCCGTGTACCCCAAATCGTCTCGAGATGAGAGGTGATTCCCTGGCTTAGGCTCAAGACGTATGCCAACTTTCAAGACGCACCTCAGGAGGAGGCTTCTCTCAGCAATAGGTATGTGGGAGGGACCCCGAGTTCGCAGCCTCAAGGGCAATAAACAGCGAGAAGCCCTAACTTGAAAGGAGGCCGGATTTCCTTGCAGTGGCTTGAATACAGGCTCGTCTTTCATCTCACAACATGAAGGGATGTCTGAATCCCCTGTGGAGACCTTAGAGAAAGCTCTAGGTCCCTGCCTCATTTGGACGGAATGCCTCACATCCCGTTGACACCTCGAGAGGCACGCGGAGTTCATTGCTTCAAAAGGTGACGATGCCTGACTCCTCTTGAATTCTGATAGGAATACCAAAATCACTGTGGCTACTGGAAAGGGACCTTGGGTGCCCTGCCTCACCTCAAGAAGCGTCCCATTTGCACTGCCAAGCCTCGATGAGATTCCTGAGGTGTCCCTCGTTACTAGACAGGAGTCCTGACGTCACTGAAGAAACTCGTGTTTTGAAGGGCCATCCCCCCCGTAAGTCGAGAACATACCCCAGGTCCCCGCCGCAACTCGAGAAAAACCAAGAGACTTCCCCCTAGAGGCAGATGAGGCCCCATTCCCCTGCAGTGCATGCAGAGCTATTCCGTGGTCCCATTCAAACAAGTCAGGAGCTTTGACTTGCTTAATGGATCTCGAGACAGTCCCCAAGAACACTGTCACCAGTCTCGACGGACCCTGAGGTCAACCCAGCAACGCAAAGCAGCTCCATGTGCCCCAAATCAACTCGAGATGAGGCCCGATTCCCCTGCATTGACTCCAGAGCCATTCCCCGTTCCCCTTTCAACACGACCGGTGGCTCGACTTCCTTCAGGCAACTCCAGAGATACCCCGAGAACACTGTCCCAAGTCTAGAGGAACACCAACTTAAGCACAGCAACTCGAGGAATGCTCCGTGTACCCCAAATCGTCTCGAGATGAGAGCTGATTCCTTGGCTTAGGCTCAAGACGTATGCCAACTTTCCAGACGCACCTCAGGAGGAGGCTTCTCTCAGCAATAGGTATGTGGGAGGGACCCCGAGTTCGCTGCCTCAAGGGCAATATACAGCGAGAAGCCCTAACTTGAAAGGAGGCCGGATTTCCTTGCAGTGGCTTGAATACAGGCTCGTCTTTCATCTCACAACATGAAGGGATGTCTGAATCCCCTGTGGAGACCTTAGAGAAAGCCCTAGGTCCCTGCCTCATTTTGACGGAATGCCTCACATCCCGCTGACACCTCAAGAGGCACGCGAAGTTCATTGCTTCAAAAGGTGACAATGCCTCACTCCTCTTGAATACTGATAGGAATCCCAAAATCCCTGTGGCTACTGGAAAGGGTCCTTGGGTGCCCTGCCTCACCTCGAGAAGCGTCCCTTTTGCCCTGCCAAGCCTCGAAGAGATTCCTGAGGTGTCCCTCGTTACTAGACAGGAGTCCTGACGTCACTGAAGAAACTCGTGTTTTGAAGGGCCATCCCCGCCGTAAGTCGAGAACATACCCCAGGTCCCCGCCGCAACTCGAGAAAAACCATGAGACTTCCCCCTAGAGGCGAGATGAGGCCCCATTCCCCTGCAGTGCATGCAGAGCTATTCCGTGGTCCCATTCAAGCAAGTCAGGAGCTTCGACTTGCTTAATGGATCTCGAGACAGAACCCAAGAACACTGTCACCAGTCTCGACGGACCCTGAGGTCACCCCAGCAACACAAAGCAGCTCCATGGGCCCCAAATCAACTCGAGATGAGGCCCGATTCCCCTGCATTGACTCCAGAGCCATTCCCCTTTCCCCATTCAACAAGACCGGTGGCTCAACTTCCTTCAGGCAACTCCAGAGATGCCCCGAGAACACTGTCCCAAGTCTAGAGGAACACCAACTTCAGCACGGCAACTCGAGGAATGCTCCGTGTACCCCAAATCGTCTCGAGATGAGAGCTGATTCCCTGGCTTAGGCTCAAGACGTATGCCAACTTTCCAGACGCACCTCAGAAGGAGGCTTCTCTCAGCAATAGGTATGTGGCAGGGACCTCGAGTTCGCTGCCTCAAGGGCAATATACAGCGAGAAGCCCTAAATTGAAAGGAGGCCGGATTTCCTTGCAGTGGCTTGAATACCGGCTCGTCTTTCTTCTCGCGACATGAAGGGATGTCTGAATCCCCTGTGGAGACCTTAGAGAAAGCCCTAGGTCCCTGCCTCATTTTGACGGAATGCCTCACATCCCGTTGACACTTCAAGAGGCACGCGAAGTTCATTGCTTCAAAAGGTGACAATGCCTGACTCCTCTTGAATACTGATAGGAATCCCAAAATCCCTGTGGCTACTGGAAATGGTCCTTGGGTGCCCTGCCTCACCTCGAGAAACGTCCCTTTTGCCCTGCCAAGCCTCGAAGAGATTCCTGAGGTGTCCCTCGTTACTAGACAGGAGTCCTGACGTCACTGAAGAAACTCGTGTTTTGAAGGGCCATCCCCGCCGTAAGTCGAGAACATACCCCAGGTCCCCGCCGCAACTCGAGAAAAACCATGAGACTTCCGCCTAGAGGCGAGATGAGGCCCCATTCCCCTGCAGTGCATGCAGATCTATTCCGTGGTCCCATTCAAGCAAGTCAGGAGCTTCGCCTTGCTTAATGCTTCTCGAGACAGTCCCCAAGAACACTGTCACCAGTCTCGACGGACCCTGAGGTCACCCCAGCAATGCAAAGCAGCTCCATGGGCCCCAAATCAACTCGAGATGAGGCCCGATTCCCCTGCATTGACTCCAGAGCCATTCCCCGTTCCCCATTCAACACGACCGGTGGCTCGACTTCCTTCAGGCAACTGCAGAGATGCCCCGAGAACACTGTCCCAAGTCTAGAGGAACACCAACTTCAGCACGGCAACTCGAGGAATGCTCCGTGAACCCCAAATCGTCTCGAGATGAGAGGTGATTCCCTGGCTTAGGCTCAAGACGTATGCCAACTTTCAAGACGCACCTCAGGAGGAGGCTTGTCTCAGCAATAGGTATGTGGGAGGGACCCGGAGTTCGCTGCCTCAAGGGCAATATACAGCGAGAAGCCCTAACTTGAAAGGAGGCCGGATTTCCTTGCAGTGGCTTGAATACAGGCTCGTCTTTCATCTCACAACATGAAGGGATGTCTGAATCCCCTGTGGAGACCTTAGAGAAAGCCCTAGGTCCCTGCCTCATTTTGACGGAATGCCTCACATCCCGTTGACAACTCAAGAGGCACGCGAAGTTCATTGCTTCAAAAGGTGACAATGCCTCACTCCTCTTGAATACTGATATTAATCCCAAAATCCCTGTGGCTACTGGAAAGGGTCCTTGGGTGCCCTGCCTCACCTCGAGAAGCATCCCTTTTGCCCTGCCAAGCCTCGAAGAGATTCCTGAGGTGTCCCTCGTTACTAGACAGGAGTCCTGACGTCACTGAAGAAACTCGTGTTTTGAAGGGCCATCCCCGCCGTAAGTCGAGAACATACCCCAGGTCCCCGCCGCAACTCGAGAAAAACCATGAGACTTCCCCCTAGAGTCGAGATGAGGCCCCATTCCCCTGCAGTGCATGCAGAGCTATTCCGTGGTCCCATTCAAACAAGTCAGGAGCTTCGACTTGCTTAATGGATCTCGAGACAGTCCCCAAGAACACTGTTACAAGACTCGACGGACCCTGAGGTCACCCCAGCAACGCAAAGCAGCTCCATGTGCCCCAAATCAACTCGAGATGAGGCCCGATTCCCCTGCATTGACTCCAGAGCCATTCCCCGTTCCCCATTCAACACGACCGGTGGCTCGACTTCCTTCAGGCAACTCCAGAGATACCCCGAGAACACTGTCCCAAGTCTAGAGGAACACCGACTTCAGCACAGCAACTCGAGGAATGCTCCGTGTACCCCAAATCGTCTCGAGATGAGAGCTGATTCCCTGGCTTAGGCTCAAGACGTATGCCAACTTTCCAGACGCACCTCAGGAGGAGGCTTCTCTCAGCAATAGGTATGTGGGAGGGACCCCGAGTTCGCTGCCTCAAGGGCAATATACAGCGAGAAGCCCTAACTTGAACGGAGGCCGCATTTCCTTGCAGTGGCTTGAGTACAGGCTCTTCTTTCATCTCACACCATGAAGGGATGTCTGAATCCCCTGTGGAGACCTTAGAGAAAGCCCTAGGTCCCTGCCTCATTTGGACGGAATGCCTCACATCCCGTTGACACCTCGAGAGGCACGCAGAGTTCATTGCTTCAAAAGGTGACGATGCCTGACTCCTCTTGAATTCTGATAGGAATCCCAAAATCACTGTGGCTACTTGAAAGGGTCTTTGGGTGCCCTGCCTCACCTCGAGAAGCGTCTCTTTTGCCCTGCCAAGCCTCGAAGAGATTCCTGAGTTGTCCCTCGTTACTAGACAGGAGTCCTGACGTCACTGAAGAAACTCGTGTTTTGAAGGGCCATCCCCGCCGTAAGTCGAGAACATACCCCAGGTCCCCGCCGCAACTCGAGAAAAACCATGAGACTTCCCCCTAGAGGCGAGATGAGGCCCCATTCCCCTTCAGTGAATGCAGATCTATTCCGTGGTCCCATTCAAGCAATTCAGGAGCTTCGACTTGCTTAATGGTTCTCGAGACAGTCCCCAAGAACACTGTCACCAGTCTCGATGGACCCTGAGGTCACCCCAGCAACGCAAAGCAGCTCCATGGGCCCCAAATCAACTCGAGATGAGGCCCGATTCCCCTGCATTGACTCCAGAGCCATTCCCCGTTCCCCATTCAACACGACCGGTGGCTCGACTTCCTTCAGGCAACTCCAGAGATGCCCCGAGAACACTGTCCCAAGTCTAGAGGAACACCAACTTCAGCACGGCAACTCGAGGAATGCTCCGTGTACCCCAAATCGTCTCGAGATGAGAGGTGATTCCCTGGCTTAGGCTCAAGACGTATGCCAACTTTCAAGACGCACCTCAGGAGGAGGCTTCTCTCAGCAATAGGTATGTGGGAGGGACCCGGAGTTCGCTGCCTCAAGGGCAATATACAGCGAGAAGCCCTAACTTGAAAGGAGGCCGGATTTCCTTGCAGTGGCTTGAATACAGGCTCGTCTTTCATCTCACAACATGAAGGGATGTCTGAATCCCCTGTGGAGACCTTAGGAAAGCCCTAGGTCCCTGCCTCATTTGGACGGAATGCCTCACATCCCGTTGACACCTCGAGAGGCACGCGGAGTTCATTGCTTCAAAAGGTGACGATGCCTGACTCCTCTTGAATTCTGATAGGAATCCCAAAATCACTGTGGCTACTGGAAAGGGTCCTTGGGTGCCCTGCCTCACCTCAAGAAGCTTCCCATTTGCACTGCCAAGCCTCGATGAGATTCCTGATGTGTCCCTCGTTACTAGACAGGAGTCCTGACGTCACTGAAGAAACTCGTGTTTTGAAGGGCCATCCCCGCCGTAAGTCGAGAACATACCCCAGGTCCCCGCCGCAACTCGAGAAAAACCATGAGACTTCCCCCTAGAGGCGAGATGAGGCCCCATTCCCCTGCAGTGCATGCAGAGCTATTCCGTGGTCCCATTCAAACAAGTCAGGAGCTTCGACTTGCTTAATGGTTCTCGAGACAGTCCCCAAGAACACTGTCACCAGTCTCGACGGACCCTGAGGTCACCCCAGCAACACAAAGCAGCTCCATGGGCCCCAAATCAACTCGAGATGAGGCCCGATTCCCCTGCATTGACTCCAGAGCCATTCCCGGTTCCCCATTCAACACGACCGGTGGCTCGACTTCCTTCAGGCAACTCCAGAGATGCCCCGAGAACACTGTCCCAAGTCTAGAGGAACACCAACTTCAGCACGGCAACTCGAGGAATGCTCCGTGTACCCCAAATCGTCTCGAGATGAGAGGTGATTCCCTGGCTTAAGCTCAAGACGTATGCCAACTTTCAAGACGCACCTCAGGAGGAGGCTTCTCTCAGCAATAGGTATGTGGGAGGGACCCCGAGTTCGCTGCCTCAAGGGCAATATACAGCGAGAAGCCCTAATTTGAAAGGACGCCGGATTTCCTTGCAGTGGCTTGAATACAGGCTCGTCTTTCATCTCACAACATGAAGGGATGTCTGAATCCCCTGTGGAGACCTTAGAGAAAGCCCTAGGTCCCTGCCTCATTTGGACGGAATGCCTCACATCCCGTTGACACCTCGAGAGGCACGCGGAGTTCATTGCTTCAAAAGGTGACGATGCCTGACTCCTCTTGAATTCTGATAGGAATCCCAAAATCCCTGTGGCTACTGGAAAGGGTCCTTGGGTTCCCTGCCTCACCTCAAGAAGCGTCCCATTTGCACTGCCAAGCCTCGATGAGATTTTGAGGTGTCCCTCGTTACTAGACAGGAGTCCTGACGTCACTGAAGAAAGTCGTGTTTTGAAGGGCCATCCCCACCGTAAGTCGAGAACATACCCAGGTCCCTGCCGCAACTCGAGAAAAACCATGAGACTTCCCCCTAGAGGCGAGATGAGGCCCCATTCCCCTGCAGTGCATGCAGAGCTATTCCGAGGTCCCATTCAAACAAGTCAGGAGCTTCGACTTGCTTAATGGATCTCGAGACAGTCCCCAAGAACACTGTCACCAGTCTCGACGGACCCTGAGGTCACCCCAGCAACACAAAGCAGCTCCATGGGCCCCAAATCAACTCGAGATGAGGCCCGATTCCCCTGCATTGACTCCAGAGCCATTCCCCGTTCCCCATTCAACACGACCGGTGGCTCGACTTCCTTCAGGCAACTCCAGAGATGCCCCGAGAACACTGTCCCAAGTCTAGAGGAACACCAACTTCAGCACGGCAACTCGAGGAATGCTCCGTGTACCCCAAATCGTCTCGAGATGAGAGCTGATTCCCTGGCTTAGGCTCAAGACGTATGCCAACTTTCCAGACGCACCTCAGGAGGAGGCTTCTCTCAGCAATAGGTATGTGGGAGGGACCCCGAGTTCGCTGCCTCAAGGGCAATATACAGCGAGAAGCCCTAACTTGAAAGGAGGCCGGATTTCCTTGCAGTGGCTTGAATACCGGCTCGTCTTTCATCTCACAACATGAAGGGATCACTGAATCCCCTGTGGAGACCTTAGAGAAAGCCCTAGGTCCCTGCCTCATTTGGACGGAATGCCTCACATCCCGTTGACACCTCGAGAGGCACGCGGAGTTCATTGCTTCAAAAGGTGACGATGCCTGACTCCTCTTGAATTCTGATAGGAATCCCAAAATCACTGTGGCTACTGGAAAGGGTCCTTGCGTGCCCTGCCTCACCTCAAGAAGCGTCCCATTTGCACTGCCAAGCCTCGATGAGATTCCTGAGGTGTCCCTCGTTACTAGACAGGAGTCCTGACGTCACTGAAGAAACTCGTGTTTTGAAGGGCCATCCCCGCCGTAAGTCGAGAACATACCCCAGGTCCCCGCCGCAACTCGAGCAAATCCATGAGACTTCCCCCTAGAGGCGAGATGAGGCCCCATTCCCCTGCAGTGCATGCAGAGCTATTCCGTGGTCCCATTCAAGCAAGTCAGGAGCTTCGACTTGCTTAATGGATCTCGAGACAGTCCCCAAGAACACTGTCACCAGTCTCGACGGACGCTGAGGTCACCCCAGCAACCCAAAGCAGCTCCATGTGCCCCAAATCAACTCGAGATGAGGCCCGATTCCCCTGCATTGACTCCAGAGCCATTCCCCGTTCCCCATTCAACACGACCGTTGGCTCGACTTCCTTCAGGCAATTCCAGAGATACCCCGAGAACACTGTCCCAAGTCTAGAGGAACACCAACTTCAGCACGGCAACTCGAGGAATGCTCCGTGTACCCCAAATCGTCTCGAGATGAGAGCTGATTCCCTGGCTTAGGCTCAAGACGTATGCCAACTTTCCAGACGCACCGCAGGAGGAGGCTTCTCTCAGCAATAGGTATGTAGGAGGGACCCCGAGTTCGCTGCCTCAAGGGCAATATACAGCAAGAAGCCCTAACTTGAAAGGAGGCCGGATTTCCTTGCAGTGGCTTGAATACAGGCTCGTTTTTCATCTCACAACATGAAGGGATGTCTGAATTCCCTGTGGAGACCTTAGAGAAAGCCCAAGGTCCCTGCCTCATTTTGACGGAATGCCTCACATCCCGCTGACACCTCAAGAGGCACGCGAAGTTCATTGTTTCAAAAGGTGACAATGCCTCACTCCTCTTGAATACTGATAGGAATCCCAAAATCACTGTGGCTACTGGAAAGGGTCCTTGGGTGCCCTGCCTCACCTCGAGAAGCGTCCCTTTTGCCCTGCCAAGCCTCGAAGAGATTCCTGAGGTGTCCCTCGTTACTAGACACTAGTCCTGACGTCACTGAAGAAACTCGTGTTTTGAAGGGCCATCCCCGCCGTAAGTCGAGAACATACCCCAGGTCCCCGCCGCAACTCGAGAAAAACCATGAGACTTCCCCCTAGAGGCGAGATGAGGCCCCATTCCCCTGCAGTGCATGCAGAGCTATTCCGTGGTCCCATTCTAACAAGTCAGGAGCTTCGACTTGCTTAATGGATCTCGAGACAGTCCCCAAGAACACTGTCACCAGTCTCGACGGAACCTGAGGTCTCCCCAGCAACGCAAAGCAGCTCCATGTGCCCCAAATCAACTCGAGATGAGGCCCGATTCCCCTGCATTGACTCCAGAGCCATTCCCCGTTCCCCATTCAACACGAACTGTGGCTCGACTTCCTTCAGGCAACTCCAGAGATACCCCGAGAACACTGTCCCAAGTCTAGAGGAACACCAACTTCAGCACAGCAACTCGAGGAATGCTCCGTGTACCCCAAATCGTCTCGAGATGAGAGCTGATTCCCTGGCTTAGGCTCAAGACGTATGCCAACTTTCCAGACGCACCTCAGGAGGAGGCTTCTCTCAGCAATAGGTATGTGGGAGGGACCCCGAGTTTGCTGCCTCAAGGGCAATATACAGCTAGAAGCCCTAACTTGAAAGGAGGCCGGATTTCCTTGCAGTGGCTTGAATACAGGCTCGTCTTTCATCTCACAACATGAAGGGATGTCTGAATCCCCTGTGGAGACCTTAGAGAAAGCCCTATGTCCCTGCCTCATTTTGACAGAATGCCTCACATCCCGTTGACACCTCAAGAGGCACGCGAAGTTCATTGCTTCAAAAGGTGACAATGCCTCACTCCTCTTGAATACTGATAGGAATCCCAAAATCACTGTGGCTACTGGAAAGGGTCCTTGGGTGCCCTGCCTCACCTCGAGAAGCGTCCCTTTTGCCCTGCCAAGCCTCGAAGAGATTCCTGAGGTGTCCCTCGTTACTAGACAGGAGTCCTGACGTCACTGAAGAAACTCGTGTTTTGAATGGCCATCCCTGCCGTAAGTCGAGAACATAACCCAGGTCCCCGCCGCAACTCGAGAAAAACCATGAGACTTCCGCCTAGAGGCGAGATGAGGCCCCATTCCCCTGCAGTGCATGCAGAGCTATTCCGTGGTCCCATTCAAGCAAGCCAGGGGCTTCGACTTGCTTAATGGTTCTCGAGACAGTCCCCAAGAACACTGTCACCAGTCTCGACGACCCTGAGGTCACCCCAGCAACGCAAAGCAGCTCCTTGGGCCCCAAATCAACTCGAGATGAGGCCCGATTCCCCTGCATTGACTCCAGAGCCATTCCCCGTTCCCCATTCAACACGACCGGTGGCTCGACTTCCTTCAGGCAACTCCAGAGATGCCCCGAAAACACTGTCCCAAGTCTAGAGGAACACGAACTTCAGCACGGCAACTCGATGAACGCTCCGTGTACCCCAAATCGTCTCGAGATGAGAGGTGATTCCCTGGCTTAGGCTCAAGACGTATGCCAACTTTCCAGACGCACCTCAGGAGGAGGCTTCTGTCAGCAATAGGTATGTGGGAGGGACCCCGAGTTCGCTGCCTCAAGGGCAATATACAGCGAGAAGCCCTAACTTGAAAGGAGGCCGGATTTCCTTGCAGTGGCTTGAATACAGGCTCGTCTTTCTTCTCACAACATGAAGGGATGTCTGAATCCCCTGTGGAGACCTTAGAGAAAGCCCTAGGTCCCTGCCTCATTTGGACGGAATGCCTCACATCCCGTTGACACCTCGAGAGGCACGCGGAGTTCATTGCTTCAAAAGGTGACGATGCCTGACTCCTCTTGAATTCGGATAGGAATCCCAAAATCACTGTGGCTACTGGAAAGGGTCCTTGGGTGCCCTGCCTCACCTCTAGAAGCGTCCCATTTGCACTGCCAAGCCTCGATGAGATTCCTGAAGTGTCCCTCGTTACTAGACAGGAGTCCTGACGTCACTGAAGAAACTCGTGTTTTGAAGGGCCATCCCCCCCGTAAGTCTAGAACATACCCAGGTCCCTGCCGCAACTCGAGAAAAACCATGAGACTTCCCCCTAGAGGCGAGATGAGGCCCCATTCCCCTGCAGTGCATGCAGAGGTATTCCGAGGTCCCATTCAAACAAGTCAGGAGCTTCGACTTGCTTAATGGATCTCGAGACAGTCCCCAAGAACACTGTCACCAGTCTCGACGGACGCTGAGGTCACCCCAGCAACGCAAAGCAGCTCCATGTGCCCCAAATCAACTCGAGATGAGGCCCGATTCCCCTGCATTGACTCCAGAGCCATTCCCGGTTCCCCATTCAACACGACCGGTGGCTCGACTTCCTTCAGGCAACTCCAGAGATGCCCCGAGAACACTCTCCCAAGTCTAGAGGAACACCAACTTCAGCACGGCAACTCGAGGAATGCTCTGTGTACCCCAAATCGTCTCGAGATGAGAGGTGATTCCCTGGCTTAGGCTCAAGACGTATGCCAACTTTCAAGACGCACCTCAGGAGGAGGCTTCTCTCAGCAATAGGTATGTGGGAGGGACCCCGAGTTCGCAGCCTCAAGGGCAATAAACAGAGAGAAGCCCTAACTTGAAAGGAGGCCGGATTTCCTTGCAGTGGCTTGAATACAGGCTCGTCTTTCATCTCACAACATGAAGGGATGTCTGAATCCCCTGTGGAGACCTTAGAGAAAGCTCTAGGTCCCTGCCTCATTTGGACGGAATGCCTCACATCCCGTTGACACCTCGAGAGGCACGCGGAGTTCATTGCTTCAAAAGGTGACGATGCCTGACTCCTCTTGAATTCTGATAGGAATACCAAAATCACTGTGGCTACTGGAAAGGGACCTTGGGTGCCCTGCCTCACCTCAAGAAGCGTCCCATTTGCACTGCCAAGCCTCGATGAGATTCCTGAGGTGTCCCTCGTTACTAGACAGGAGTCCTGACGTCACTGAAGAAACTCGTGTTTTGAAGGGCCATCCCCCCCGTAAGTCGAGAACATACCCCAGGTCCCCGCCGCAACTCGAGAAAAACCAAGAGACTTCCCCCTAGAGGCAGATGAGGCCCCATTCCCCTGCAGTGCATGCAGAGCTATTCCGTGGTCCCATTCAAACAAGTCAGGAGCTTTGACTTGCTTAATGGATCTCGAGACAGTCCCCAAGAACACTGTCACCAGTCTCGACGGACCCTGAGGTCACCCCAGCAACGCAAAGCAGCTCCATGTGCCCCAAATCAACTCGAGATGAGGCCCGATTCCCCTGCATTGACTCCAGAGCCATTCCCCGTTCCCCTTTCAACACGACCGGTGGCTCGACTTCCTTCAGGCAACTCCAGAGATACCCCGAGAACACTGTCCCAAGTCTAGAGGAACACCAACTTCAGCACAGCAACTCGAGGAATGCTCCGTGTACCCCAAATCGTCTCGAGATGAGAGCTGATTCCTTGGCTTAGGCTCAAGACGTATGCCAACTTTCCAGACGCACCTCAGGAGGAGGCTTCTCTCAGCAATAGGTATGTGGGAGGGACCCCGAGTTCGCTGCCTCAAGGGCAATATACAGCGAGAAGCCCTAACTTGAAAGGAGGCCGGATTTCCTTGCAGTGGCTTGAATACAGGCTCGTCTTTCATCTCACAACATGAAGGGATGTCTGAATCCCCTGTGGAGACCTTAGAGAAAGCCCTAGGTCCCTGCCTCATTTTGACGGAATGCCTCACATCCCGCTGACACCTCAAGAGGCACGCGAAGTTCATTGCTTCAAAAGGTGACAATGCCTCACTCCTCTTGAATACTGATAGGAATCCCAAAATCCCTGTGGCTACTGGAAAGGGTCCTTGGGTGCCCTGCCTCACCTCGAGAAGCGTCCCTTTTGCCCTGCCAAGCCTCGAAGAGATTCCTGAGGTGTCCCTCGTTACTAGACAGGAGTCCTGACGTCACTGAAGAAACTCGTGTTTTGAAGGGCCATCCCCGCCGTAAGTCGAGAACATACCCCAGGTCCCCGCCGCAACTCGAGAAAAACCATGAGACTTCCCCCTAGAGGCGAGATGAGGCCCCATTCCCCTGCAGTGCATGCAGAGCTATTCCGTGGTCCCATTCAAGCAAGTCAGGAGCTTCGACTTGCTTAATGGATCTCGAGACAGAACCCAAGAACACTGTCACCAGTCTCGACGGACCCTGAGGTCACCCCAGCAACACAAAGCAGCTCCATGGGCCCCAAATCAACTCGAGATGAGGCCCGATTCCCCTGCATTGACTCCAGAGCCATTCCCCGTTCCCCATTCAACACGACCGGTGGCTCGACTTCCTTCAGGCAACTGCAGAGATGCCCCGAGAACACTGTCCCAACTCTAGAGGAACACCAACTTCAGCACGGCAACTCGAGGAATGCTCCGTGAACCCCAAATCGTCTCGAGATGAGAGGTGATTCCCTGGCTTAGGCTCAAGACGTATGCCAACTTTCAAGACGCACCTCAGGAGGAGGCTTCTCTCAGCAATAGGTATGTGGGAGGGACCCGGAGTTCGCTGCCTCAAGGGCAATATACAGCGAGAAGCCCTAACTTGAAAGGAGGCCGGATTTCCTTGCAGTGGCTTGAATACAGGCTCGTCTTTCATCTCACAACATGAAGGGATGTCTGAATCCCCTGTGGAGACCTTAGAGAAAGCCCTAGTTCCCTGCCTCATTTTGACGGAATGCCTCACATCCCGTTGACAACTCAAGAGGCACGCGAAGTTCATTGCTTCAAAAGGTGACAATGCCTCACTCCTCTTGAATACTGATATTAATCCCAAAATCCCTGTGGCTACTGGAAAGGGTCCTTGGGTGCCCTGCCTCACCTCGAGAAGCATCCCTTTTGCCCTGCCAAGCCTCGAAGAGATTCCTGAGGTGTCCCTCGTTACTAGACAGGAGTCCTGACGTCACTGAAGAAACTCGTGTTTTGAAGGGCCATCCCCGCCGTAAGTCGAGAACATACCCCAGGTCCCCGCCGCAACTCGAGAAAAACCATGAGACTTCCCCCTAGAGTCGAGATGAGGCCCCATTCCCCTGCAGTGCATGCAGAGCTATTCCGTGGTCCCATTCAAACAAGTCAGGAGCTTCGACTTGCTTAATGGATCTCGAGACAGTCCCCAAGAACACTGTTACAAGACTCGACGGACCCTGAGGTCACCCCAGCAACGCAAAGCAGCTCCATGTGCCCCAAATCAACTCGAGATGAGGCCCGATTCCCCTGCATTGACTCCAGAGCCATTCCCCGTTCCCCATTCAACACGACAGGTGGCTCGACTTCCTTCAGGCAACTCCAGAGATGCCCCGAGAACACTGTCCCAAGTCTAGAGGAACACCAACTTCAGCACGGCAACTCGAGGAATGCTCCGTGTACCCCAAATCGTCTCGAGATGAGAGGTGATTCCCTGGCTTAGGCTCAAGACGTATGCCAACTTTCAAGACGCACCTCAGAAGGAGGCTTCTCTCAGCAATAGGTATGTGGGAGGGACCCGGAGTTCGCTGCCTCAAGGGCAATATACAGCGAGAAGCCCTAACTTGAAAGGAGGCCGGATTTCCTTGCAGTGGCTTGAATACAGGCTCGTCTTTCATCTCACAACATGAAGGGATGTCTGAATCCCCTGTGGAGACCTTAGAGAAAGCCCTAGGTCCCTGCCTCATTTGGACGGAATGCCTCACATCCCGTTGACACCTCGAGAGGCACGCGGAGTTCATTGCTTCAAAAGGTGACGATGCCTGACTCCTCTTGAATTCTGATAGGAATCCCAAAATCCCTGTGGCTACTGGAAAGGGTCCTTGGGTGCCCTGCCTCACCTCAAGAAGCTTCCCATTTGCACTGCCAAGCCTCGATGAGATTCCTGATGTGTCCCTCGTTACTAGACAGGAGTCCTGACGTCACTGAAGAAACTCGTGTTTTGAAGGGCCATCCCCGCCGTAAGTCGAGAACATACCCCAGGTCCCCGCCGCAACTCGAGAAAAACCATGAGACTTCCCCCTAGAGGCGAGATGAGGCCCCATTCCCCTGCAGTGCATGCAGAGCTATTCCGTGGTCCCATTCAAACAAGTCAGGAGCTTCGACTTGCTTAATGGATCTCGAGACAGTCCCCAAGAACACTGTCACCAGTCTCGACGGACGCTGTGGTCACCCCAGCAACGCAAAGCAGCTCCATGTGCCCCAAATCAACTCGAGATGAGGCCCGATTCCCTTGCATTGACTCCAGAGCCATTCCCCGTTCCCCATTCAACACGACCGGTGGCGCGACTTCCTTCAGGCAACTCCAGAGATACCCCGAGAACACTGTCCCAAGTCTAGAGGAACACCAACTTCAGCACAGCAACTCGAGGAATGCTCCGTGTACCCCAAATCGTCTCGAGATGAGAGCTGATTCCCTGGCTTAGGCTCAAGACGTATGCCAACTTTCCAGACGCACCTCAGGAGGAGGCTTCTCTCAGCAATAGGTATGTGGGAGGGACCCCGAGTTCGCTGCCTCAAGGGCAATATACAGCGAGAAGCCCTAACTTGAACGGAGGCCGCATTTCCTTGCAGTGGCTTGAGTACAGGCTCGTCTTTCATCTCACACCATGAAGGGATGTCTGAATACCCTGTGGAGACCTTAGAGAAAGCCCTAGGTCCCTGCCTCATTTGGACGGAATGCCTCACATCCCGTTGACACCTCGAGAGGCACGCAGTGTTCATTGCTTCAAAAGGTGACGATGCCTGACTCCTCTTGAATTCTGATAGGAATCCCAAAATCACTGTGGCTACTTGAAAGGGTCCTTGGGTGCCCTGCCTCACCTCGAGAAGCGTCCCTTTTGCCCTGCCAAGCCTCGAAGAGATTCCTGAGGTGTCCCTCGTTACTAGACAGGAGTCCTGACGTCACTGAAGAAACTCGTGTTTTGAAGGGCCATCCCCGCCGTAAGTCGAGAACATACCCCAGGTCCCCGCCGCAACTCGAGAAAAACCATGAGACTTCCCCCTAGAGGCGAGATGAGGCCCCATTCCCCTTCAGTGAATGCAGATCTATTCCGTGGTCCCATTCAAGCAAGTCAGGAGCTTCGACTTGCTTAATGGTTCTCGAGACAGTCCCCAAGAACACTGTCACCAGTCTCGATGGACCCTGAGGTCACCCCAGCAACGCAAAGCAGCTCCATGGGCCCCAAATCAACTCGAGATGAGGCCCGATTCCCCTGCATTGACTCCAGAGCCATTCCCCGTTCCCCATTCAACACGACAGGTGGCTCGACTTCCTTCAGGCATCTCCAGAGATGCCCCGAGAACACTGTCCCAAGTCTAGAGGAACACCAACTTCAGCACGGCAACTCGAGGAATGCTCCGTGTACCCCAAATCGTCTCGAGATGAGAGGTGATTCCCTGGCTTAGGCTCAAGACGTATGCCAACTTTCAAGACGCACCTCAGAAGGAGGCTTCTCTCAGCAATAGGTATGTGGGAGGGACCCGGAGTTCGCTGCCTCAAGGGCAATATACAGCGAGAAGCCCTAACTTGAAAGGAGGCCGGATTTCCTTGCAGTGGCTTGAATACAGGCTCGTCTTTCATCTCACAACATGAAGGGATGTCTGAATCCCCTGTGGAGACCTTAGAGAAAGCCCTAGGTCCCTGCCTCATTTGGACGGAATGCCTCACATCCCGTTGACACCTCGAGAGGCACGCGGAGTTCATTGCTTCAAAAGGTGACGATGCCTGACTCCTCTTGAATTCTGATAGGAATCCCAAAATCACTGTGGCTACTGGAAAGGGTCCTTGGGTGCCCTGCCTCACCTCAAGAAGCTTCCCATTTGCACTGCCAAGCCTGGATGAGATTCCTGAGGTGTCCCTCGTTACTAGACAGGAGTCCTGACGTCACTGAAGAAACTCGTGTTTTGAAGTGCCATCCCCGCCGTAAGTCGAGAACATACCCCAGGTCCCCGCCGCAACTCGAGAAAAACCATGAGACTTCCCCCTAGAGGCGAGATGAGGCCCCATTCCCCTGCAGTGCATGCAGAGCTATTCCGTGGTCCCATTCAAACAAGTCAGGAGCTTCGACTTGCTTAATGGATCTCGAGACAGTCCCCAAGAACACTGTCACCAGTCTCGACGGACGCTGTGGTCACCCCAGCAACGCAAAGCAGCTCCATGTGCCCCAAATCAACTCGAGATGAGGCCCGATTCCCTTGCATTGACTCCAGAGCCATTCCCCGTTCCCCATTCAACACGACCGGTGGCGCGACTTCCTTCAGGCAACTCCAGAGATACCCCGAGAACACTGTCCCAAGTCTAGAGGAACACCAACTTCAGCACAGCAACTCGAGGAATGCTCCGTGTACCCCAAATCGTCTCGAGATGAGAGCTGATTCCCTGGCTTAGGCTCAAGACGTATGCCAACTTTCCAGACGCACCTCAGGAGGAGGCTTCTCTCAGCAATAGGTATGTGGGAGGGACCCCGAGTTCGCTGCCTCAAGGGTAATATACAGCGAGAAGCCCTAACTTGAAAGGAGGCCGGATTTCCTTGCAGTGGCTTGAATACAGGCTCGTCTTTCATCTCACGACATGAAGGGATGTCTGAATCCCCTGTGAAGACCTTAGAGAAAGCCCTAGGTCCCTGCCTCATTTTGACGGAATGCCTCACATCCCCTTGACACCTCAAGAGGCACGCGAAGTTCATTGCTTCAAAAGGTGACAATGCCTCACTCCTCTTGAATACTGATAGGAATCCCAAAATCCCTGTGGCTACTGGAAAGGGTCCTTGGGTGCCCTGCCTCACCTCGAGAAGCGTCCCTTTTGCCCTGCCAAGCCTCGAAGAGATTCCTGAGGTGTCCCTCGTTACTAGACAGGAGTCCTGACGTCACTGAAGAAACTCGTGTTTTGAAGGGCCATCCCCGCCGTAAGTCGAGAACATACCCCAGGTCCCCGCCGCAACTCGAGAAAAACCATGAGACTTCCCCCTAGAGGCGAGATGAGGCCCCATTCCCCTGCAGTGCATGCAGAGCTATTCCGTGGTCCCATTCAAACAAGTCAGGAGCTTCGACTTGCTTAATGGTTCTCGAGACAGTCCCCAAGAACACTGTCACCAGTCTCGACGGACCCTGAGGTCACCCCAGCAACGCAAAGCAGCTCCATGGGCCCCAAATCAACTCGAGATGAGGCCCGATTCCCCTGCATTGACTCCAGAGCCATTCCCGGTTCCCCATTCAACACGACCGGTGGCTCGACTTCCTTCAGGCAACTCCAGAGATGCCCCGAGAACACTGTCCCAAGTCTAGAGGAACACCAACTTCAGCACGGCAACTCGAGGAATGCTCCGTGTACCCCAAATCGTCTCGAGATGAGAGCTGATTCCCTGGCTTAAGCTCAAGACGTATGCCAACTTTCAAGACGCACCTCAGGAGGAGGCTTCTCTCAGCAATAGGTATGTGGGAGGGACCCCGAGTTCGCTGCCTCAAGGGCAATATACAGCGAGAAGCCCTAACTTGAAAGGACGCCGGATTTCCTTGCAGTGGCTTGAATACAGGCTCGTCTTTCATCTCACAACATGAAGGGATGTCTGAATCCCCTGTGGAGACCTTAGAGAAAGCCCTAGGTCCCTGCCTCATTTGGACGGAATGCCTCACATCCCGTTGACACCTCGAGAGGCACGCGGAGTTCATTGCTTCAAAAGGTGACGATGCCTGACTCCTCTTGAATTCTGATAGGAATCCCAAAATCACTGTGGCTACTGGAAAGGGTCCTTGCGTGCCCTGCCTCACCTCAAGAAGCGTCCCATTTGCACTGCCAAGCCTCGATGAGATTCCTGAGGTGTCCCTCGTTACTAGACAGGAGTCCTGACGTCACTGAAGAAACTCGTGTTTTGAAGGGCCATCCCCGCCGTAAGTCGAGAACATAACCCAGGTCCACGCCGCAACTCGAGAAAATCCATGAGACTTCCCCCTAGAGGCGAGATGAGGCCCCATTCCCCTGCAGTGCATGCAGAGCTATTCCGTGGTCCCATTCAAACAAGTCAGGAGCTTCGACTTGCTTAATGGATCTCGAGACAGTCCCCAAGAACACTGTCACCAGTCTCGACGGAACCTGAGGTCACCCCAGCAACGCAAAGCAGCTCCATGTGCCCCAAATCAACTCGAGATGAGGCCCGATTCCCCTGCATTGACTCCAGAGCCATTCCCCGTTCCCCATTCAACACGAACTGTGGCTCGACTTCCTTCAGGCAACTCCAGAGATACCCCGAGAACACTGTCCCAAGTCTAGAGGAACACCAACTTCAGCACAGCAACTCGAGGAATGCTCCGTGTACCCCAAATCGTCTCGAGATGAGAGCTGATTCCCTGGCTTAGGCTCAAGACGTATGCCAACTTTCCAGACGCACCTCAGGAGGAGGCTTCTCTCAGCAATAGGTATGTGGGAGGGACCCCGAGTTTGCTGCCTCAAGGGCAATATACAGCTAGAAGCCCTAACTTGAAAGGAGGCCGGATTTCCTTGCAGTGGCTTGAATACAGGCTCGTCTTTCATCTCACAACAGGAAGGGATGTCTGAATCCCCTGTGAAGACCTTAGAGAAAGCCCTAGGTCCCTGCCTCATTTTGACGGAATGCCTCACATCCCGTTGACACCTCAAGAGGCACGCGAAGTTCATTGCTTCAAAAGGTGACAATGCCTCACTCCTCTTGAATACTGATAGGAATCCCAAAATCCCTGTGGCTACTGGAAAGGGTCCTTGGGTGCCCTGCCTCACCTCGAGAAGCGTCCCTTTTGCCCTGCCAAGCCTCGAAGAGATTCCTGAGGTGTCCCTCGTTACTAGACAGGAGTCCTGACGTCACTGAAGAAACTCGTGTTTTGAAGGGCCATCCCCGCCGTAAGTCGAGAACATACCCCAGGTCCCCGCCGCAACTCGAGAAAAACCATGAGACTTCCCCCTAGAGGCGAGATGAGGCCCCATTCCCCTGCAGTGCATGCAGAGCTATTCCGTGGTCCCATTCAAACAAGTCAGGAGCTTCGACTTGCTTAATGGTTCTCGAGACAGTCCCCAAGAACACTGTCACCAGTCTCGACGGACCCTGAGGTCACCCCAGCAACGCAAAGCAGCTCCATGGGCCCCAAATCAACTCGAGATGAGGCCCGATTCCCCTGCATTGACTCCAGAGCCATTCCCGGTTCCCCATTCAACACGACCGGTGGCTCGACTTCCTTCAGGCAACTCCAGAGATGCCCCGAGAACACTGTCCCAAGTCTAGAGGAACACCAACTTCAGCACGGCAACTCGAGGAATGCTCCGTGTACCCCAAATCGTCTCGAGATGAGAGGTGATTCCCTGGCTTAAGCTCAAGACGTATGCCAACTTTCAAGACGCACCTCAGGAGGAGGCTTCTCTCAGCAATAGGTATGTGGGAGGGACCCCGAGTTCGCTGCCTCAAGGGCAATATACAGCGAGAAGCCCTAACTTGAAAGGACGCCGGATTTCCTTGCAGTGGCTTGAATACAGGCTCGTCTTTCATCTCACAACATGAAGGGATGTCTGAATCCCCTGTGGAGACCTTAGAGAAAGCCCTAGGTCCCTGCCTCATTTGGACGGAATGCCTCACATCCCGTTGATACCTCGAGAGGCACGCGGAGTTCATTGCTTCAAAAGGTGACGATGCCTGACTCCTCTTGAATTCTGATAGGAATCCCAAAATCACTGTGGCTACTGGAAAGGGTCCTTGCGTGCCCTGCCTCACCTCAAGAAGCGTCCCATTTGCACTGCCAAGCCTCGATGAGATTCCTGAGGTGTCCCTCGTTACTAGACAGGAGTCCTGACGTCACTGAAGAAACTCGTGTTTTGAAGGGCCATCCCCGCCGTAAGTCGAGAACATACCCCAGGTCCACGCCGCAACTCGAGAAAATCCATGAGACTTCCCCCTAGAGGCGAGATGAGGCCCCATTCCCCTGCAGTGCATGCAGAGCTATTCCGTGGTCCCATTCTAACAAGTCAGGAGCTTCGACTTGCTTAATGGATCTCGAGACAGTCCCCAAGAACACTGTCACCAGTCTCGACGGAACCTGAGGTCACCCCAGCAACGCAAAGCAGCTCCATGTGCCCCAAATCAACTCGAGATGAGGCCCGATTCCCCTGCATTGACTCCAGAGCCATTCCCCGTTCCCCATTCAACACGAACTGTGGCTCGACTTCCTTCAGGCAACTCCAGAGATACCCCGAGAACACTGTCCCAAGTCTAGAGGAACACCAACTTCAGCACAGCAACTCGAGGAATGCTCCGTGTACCCCAAATCGTCTCGAGATGAGAGCTGATTCCCTGGCTTAGGCTCAAGACGTATGCCAACTTTCCAGACGCACCTCAGGAGGAGGCTTCTCTCAGCAATAGGTATGTGGGAGGGACCCCGAGTTTGCTGCCTCAATGGCAATATACAGCTAGAAGCCCTAACTTGAAAGGAGGCCGGATTTCCTTGCAGTGGCTTGAATACAGGCTCGACTTTCATCTCACAACATGAAGGGATGTCTGAATCCCCTGTGGAGACCTTAGAGAAAGCCCTATGTCCCTGCCTCATTTTGACAGAATGCCTCACATCCCGTTGACACCTCAAGAGGCACGCGAAGTTCATTGCTTCAAAAGGTGACAATGCCTCACTCCTCTTGAATACTGATAGGAATCCCAAAATCCCTGTGGCTACTGGAAAGGGTCCTTGGGTGCCCTGCCTCACCTCGAGAAGCGTCCCTTTTGCCCTGCCAAGCCTCGAAGAGATTCCTGAGGTGTCCCTCGTTACTAGACAGGAGTCCTGACATCACTGAAGAAACTCGTGTTTTGAATGGCCATCCCTGCCGTAAGTCGAGAACATAACCCAGGTCCCCGCCGCAACTCGAGAAAAACCATGAGACTTCCGCCTAGAGGCGAGATGAGGCCCCATTCCCCTGCAGTGCATGCAGAGCTATTCCGTGGTCCCATTCAAGCAAGCCAGGGGCTTCGACGTGCTGAATGGTTCTCGAGACAGTCCCCAAGAACACTGTCACCAGTCTCGACGACCCTGAGGTCACCCCAGCAACGTAAAGCAGCTCCTTGGGCCCCAAATCAACTCGAGATGAGGCCCGATTCCCCTGCATTGACTCCAGAGCCATTCCCCGTTCCCCATTCAACACGACCGGTGGCTCGACTTCCTTCAGGCAACTCCAGAGATGCCCCGAAAACACTGTCCCAAGTCTAGAGGAACACGAACTTCAGCACGGCAACTCGATGAACGCTCCGTGTACCCCAAATCGTCTCGAGATGAGAGGTGATTCCCTGGCTTAGGCTCAAGACGTATGCCAACTTTCCAGACGCACCTCAGGAGGAGGCTTCTGTCAGCAATAGGTATGTGGGAGGGACCCCGAGTTCGCTGCCTCAAGGGCAATGTACAGCGAGAAGCCCTAACTTGAAAGGAGGCCGGATTTCCTTGCAGTGGCTTGAATACAGGCTCGTCTTTCTTCTCACAACATGAAGGGATGTCTGAATCCCCTGTGGAGACCTTAGAGAAAGCCCTAGGTCCCTGCCTCATTTGGACGGAATGCCTCACATCCCGTTGACACCTCGAGAGGCACGCGGAGTTCATTGCTTCAAAAGGTGACGATGCCTGACTCCTCTTGAATTCTGATAGGAATCCCAAAATCACTGTGGCTACTGGAAAGGGTCCTTGGGTGCCCTGCCTCACCTCTAGAAGCGTCCCATTTGCACTGCCAAGCCTCGATGAGATTCCTGAAGTGTCCCTCGTTACTAGACAGGAGTCCTGACGTCACTGAAGAAACTCGTGTTTTGAAGGGCCATCCCCCCCGTAAGTCGAGAACATACCCAGGTCCCTGCCGCAACTCGAGAAAAACCATGAGACTTCCCCCTAGAGGCGAGATGAGGCCCCATTCCCCTGCAGTGCATGCAGAGGTATTCCGAGGTCCCATTCAAACAAGTCAGGAGCTTCGACTTGCTTAATGGATCTCGAGACAGTCCCCAAGAACACTGTCACCAGTCTCGACGGACGCTGAGGTCACCCCAGCAACGCAAAGCAGCTCCATGTGCCCCAAATCAACTCGAGATGAGGCCCGATTCCCCTGCATTGACTCCAGGGCCATTCCCCGTTCCCCATTCAACACGAACTGTGGCTCGACTTCCTTCAGGCAACTCCAGAGATACCCTGAGAACACTGTCCCAAGTCTAGAGGAACACCAACTTCAGCACAGCAACTCGAGGAATGCTCCGTGTACCCCAAATCGTCTCGAGATGAGAGGTGATTCCCTGGCTTAGGCTCAAGACGTATGCCAACTTTCCAGACGCACCTCAGGAGGAGGCTTCTCTCAGCAATAGGTATGTGGGAGGGACCTCGAGTTCGCTGCCTCAAGGGCAATATACAGCGAGAAGCCCTAACTTGAAAGGAGGCCGGATTTCCTTGCAGTGGCTTGAATACAGGCTCGTCTTTCATCTCACAAAATGAAGGGATGTCTGAATCCCCTGTGGAGTCCTTAGAGAAAGCCCAAGGTCCCTGCCTCATTTTGACGGAATGCCTCACATCCCGTTGACACCTCGAGAGGCACGCGGAGTTCATTGCTTCAAAAGGTGACGATGCCTGACTCCTGTTGAATACTGATAGGAATCCCAAAATCCCTGTGGCTACTGGAAAGTGTCCTTGGGTGCCCTGCCTCACCTCGAGAAGCGTCCCTTTTGCCCTGCCAAGCCTCGAAGAGATTCCTGAGGTGTCCCTCGTTACTAGACAGGAGTCCTGACGTCACTGAAGAAACTAGTGTTTTGAAGGGCCATCCCCGCCGTAAGTCGAGAACATACCCCAGGTCCCCGCCGCAACTCGAGAAAAACCATGAGACTTCCCCCTAGAGGCGAGATGAGACCCCATTCCCCTGCAGTGCATGCAGAGCGATTCCGTGGTCCCATTCAAACAACTCAGGAGCTTCGACTTGCTTAATGGATCTCGAGACAGTCCCCAAGAACACTGTCACCAGTCTCGACGGACGCTGAGGTCACCCCAGCAACGCAAAGCAGCTCCATGTGCCCCAAATCAACTCGAGATGAGGCCCGATTCCCCTGCATTGACTCCAGAGCCATTCCCCGTTCCCCATTCAACACGACCGGTGGCTCGACTTCCTTCAGGCAACTCCAGAGATGCCCCGAGAACACTGTCCCAAGTCTAGAGGAACACCAACATCAGCACGGCAACTCGAGGAATGCTCCGTGTACCCCAAATCGTCTCGAGATGAGAGCTGATTCCCTGGCTTAGGCTCAAGACGTATGCCAACTTTCCAGACGCACCTCAGGAGGAGGCTTCTCTCAGCAATAGGTATGTGGGAGGGACCCTGAGTTCGCTGCCTCAAGGGCAATATACAGCGAGAAGCCCTAACTTGAAAGGAGGCCGGATTTCCTTGCAGTGGCTTGAATACAGGCTCGTCTTTCATCTCACAACATGAAGGGATGTCTGAATCCCCTGTGGAGACCTTAGAGAAAGCCCTAGGTCCCTGCCTCGTTTTGACGGAATGCCTCACATCCCGTTGACACATCAAGAGGCACGCGAAGTTCATTGCTTCAAAAGGTGACAATGCCTCACTCCTCTTGAATACTGATAGGAATCCCAAAATCCCTGTGGCTACTGGAAAGGGTCCTTGGGTGCCCTGCCTCACCTCGAGAAGCGTCCCATTTGCACTGCCAAGCCTCGAAGAGATTCCTGAGGTGTCCCTCGTTACTAGACAGGAGTCCTGACGTCACTGAAGAAACTCGTGTTTTGAAGGGCCATCCCCGCCGTAAGTCGAGAACATACCCCAGGTCCCCGCCGCAACTCGAGAATAACCATGAGACTTCCCCCTAGAGGCGAGATGAGGCCCCATTCCCCTGCAGTGCATGCAGAGCTATTCCGTGGTCCCATTCAAGCAAGTCAGGAGCTTCGACTTGCTTAATGGATCTCGAGACAGTCCCCAAGAACACTGTCACCAGTCTCGACGGACCCTGAGGTCACCCCAGCAACACAAAGCAGCTCCATGTGCCCCAAATCAACTCGAGATGAGGCCCGATTCCCCTGCATTGACTCCAGAGCGATTCCCCGTTCCCCATTCAACACGACCGGTGGCTCGACTTCCTTCAGGCAACTCCAGAGATGCCCCGAGAACACTGTCCCAAGTCTAGAGGAACACCAACTTCAGCACGGCAACTCGAGGAATGCTCCGTGTACCCAAAATCGTCTCGAGATGAGAGGTGATTCCCTGGCTTAGGCTCAAGACGTATGCCAACTTTCAAGACGCACCTCAGGAGGAGGCTTCTCTCAGCAATAGGTATGTGGGAGGGACCCCGAGTTCGCTGCCTCAAGGGCAATATACAGCGAGAAGCCCTAACTTGAAAGGAGGCCGGATTTCCTTGCAGTGGCTTGAATACAGGCTCGTCTTTCATCTCACGACATGAACGGATGTCTGAATCCCCTGTGGAGACCTTAGAGAAAGCCCTAGGTCCCTGCCTCATTTGGACGGAATGCCTCACATCCCGTTGACACCTCAAGAGGCACGCGAAGTTCATTGCTTCAAAAGGTGACAATGCCTCACTCCTCTTGAATACTGATAGGAATACCAGAATCCCTGTGGCTACTGGAAAGGGTCCTTGGGTGCCCTGCCACACCTCGGGAAGCGTCCCTTTTGCCCTGCCAAGCCTCGAAGAGATTCCTGAGGTGTCCCTCGTTACTAGACAGGAGTCCTGACGTCACTGAAGAAACTCGTGTTTTGAAGGGCCATCCCCGCCGTAAGTCGAGAACATACCCCAGGTCCCCGCCGCAACTCGAGAAAAACCATGAGACTTCCCCCTAGAGGCGAGATGAGGCCCCATTCCCCTGCAGTGCATGCAGAGCTATTCCGTGGTCCCATTCAAGCAAGTCAGGAGCTTCGACTTGCTTAATGGTTCTCGAGACAGTCCCCAAGAACACTGTCACCAGTCTCGACGGACCCTGAGGTCACCCCAGCAACGCAAAGCAGCTCCATGGGCCCCAAATCAACTCGAGATGAGGCCCGATTCCCCTGCATTGACTCCAGAGCCATTCCCCGTTCCCCATTCAACACGACCGGTGGCTCGACTTCCTTCAGGCAACTCCAGAGATGCCCCGAGAACACTGTCCCAAGTCTAGAGGAACACCAACTTCAGCACAGCAACTCGAGGAATGCTCCGTGTACCCCAAATCGTCTCGAGATGAGAGGTGATTCCCTGGCTTAGGCTCAAGACGTATGCCAACTTTCCAGACGCACCTCAGGAGGAGGCTTCTCTCAGCAATAGTTATGTGGGAGGGACACCGAGTTCGCTGCCTCAAGGGCAATATACAGCGAGAAGCCCTAACTTGAAAGGAGGCCGGATTTCCTTGCAGTGGCTTGAATACAGGCTCGTCTTTCATCTCACAAAATGAAGGGATGTCTGAATCCCCTGTGGAGACCTTAGAGAAAGCCCAAGGTCCCTGCCTCATTTTGACGGAATGCCTCACATCCCGTTGACACCTCGAGAGGCACGCGGAGTTCATTGCTTCAAAAGGTGACGATGCCTGACTCCTCTTGAATACTGATATTAATCCCAAAATCCCTGTGGCTACTGGAAAGTGTCCTTGGGTGCCCTGCCTCACCTCGAGAAGCGTCCCTTTTGCCCTGCCAAGCCTCGAAGAGATTCCTGAGGTGTCCCTCGTTACTAGACAGGAGTCCTGACATCACTGAAGAAACTCGTGTTTTGAAGGGCCATCCCCGCCGTAAGTCGAGAACATACCCCAGGTCCCCGCCGCAACTCGAGAAAAACCATGAGACTTCCCCCTAGAGGCGAGATGAGACCCCATTCCCCTGCAGTGCATGCAGAGCGATTCCGTGGTCCCATTCAAACAACTCAGGAGCTTCGACTTGCTTAATGGATCTCGAGACAGTCCCCAAGAACACTGTCACCAGTCTCGACGGACGCTGATGTCACCCCAGCAACGCAAAGCAGCTCCATGTGCCCCAAATCAACTCGAGATGAGGCCCGATTCCCCTGCATTGACTCCAGAGCCATTCCCCGTTCCCCATTCAACACGACCGGTGGCTCGACTTCCTTCAGGCAACTCCAGAGATGCCCCGAGAACACTGTCCCAAGTCTAGAGGAACACCAACTTCAGCACGGCAACTCGAGGAATGCTCCGTGTACCCCAAATCGTCTCGAGATGAGAGCTGATTCCCTGGCTTAGGCTCAAGACGTATGCCAACTTTCCAGACGCACCTCAGGAGGAGGCTTCTCTCAGCAATAGGTATGTGGGAGGGACCCTGAGTTCGCTGCCTCAAGGGCAATATACAGCGAGAAGCCCTAACTTGAAAGGAGACCGGATTTCCTTGCAGTGGCTTGAATACAGGCTCGTCTTTCATCTCACAACATGAAGGGATGTCTGAATCCCCTGTGGAGACCTTAGAGAAAGCCCTAGGTCCCTGCCTCGTTTTGACGGAATGCCTCACATCCCGTTGACACATCAAGAGGCACGCGAAGTTCATTGCTTCAAAAGGTGACAATGCCTCACTCCTCTTGAATACTGATAGGAATCCCAAAATCACTGTGGCTACTGGAAAGGGTCCTTGGGTGCCCTGCCTCACCTCGAGAAGCGTCCCTTTTGCCCTGCCAAGCCTCGAAGAGATTCCTGAGGTGTCCCTCGTTACTAGACAGGAGTCCTGACGTCACTGAAGAAACTCGTGTTTTGAAGGGCCATACCCCCCGTAAGTCGAGAACATACCCCAGGTCCCCGCCACAACTCGCGAAAAACCATGAGACTTCCCCCTAGAGGCAAGATGAGGCCCCATTCCCCTGCAGTGCATGCAGAGCTATTCCGTGGTCCCATTCAAGCAAGTCAGGAGCTTCGACTTGCTTAATGGTTCTCGAGACAGTCCCCAAGAACACTGTCACCAGTCTCGACGGACCCTGAGGTCACCCCAGCAACACAAAGCAGCTCCATGGGCCCCAAATCAACTCGAGATGAGGCCCGATTCCCCTGCATTGACTCCAGAGCCATTCCCGGTTCCCCATTCAACACGACCGGTGGCTCGACTTCCTTCAGGCAACTCCAGAGATGCCCCGAGAACACTGTCCCAAGTCTAGAGGAACACCGACTTCAGCACGGCAACTCGAGGAATGCTCCGTGTACCCCAAATCGTCTCGAGATGAGAGGTGATTCCCTGGCTTAGGCTCAAGACGTATGCCAACTTTCAAGACGCACCTCAGGAGGAGGCTTCTCTCAGCAATAGGTATGTGGGAGGGACCCGGAGTTCGCTGCCTCAAGGGCAATATACAGCGAGAAGCCCTAACTTGAAAGGACGCCAGATTTCCTTGCAGTGGCTTGAATACAGGCTCGTCTTTCATCTCACAACATGAAGGGATGTCTGAATCCCCTGTGGAGACCTTAGAGAAAGCCCTAGGTCCCTGCCTCATTTGGACGGAATGCCTCACATCCCGTTGACACCTCGAGAGGCACGCGGAGTTCATTGCTTCAAAAGGTGACGATGCCTGACTCCTCTTGAATTCTGATAGGAATCCCAAAATCACTGTGGCTACTGGAAAGGGTCCTTGGGTGCCCTGCCTCACCTCAAGAAGCTTCCCATTTGCACTGCCAAGCCTCGATGAGATTCCTGAGGTGTCCCTCGTTACTAGACAGGAGTCCTGACGTCACTGAAGAAACTCGTGTTTTGAAGGGCCATCCCCCCCATAAGTCGAGAACATACCCAGGTCCCTGCCGCAACTCGAGAAAAACCATGAGACTTCCCCCTAGAGGCGAGATGAGGCCCCATTCCCCTGCAGTGCATGCAGAGCTATTCCGAGGTCCCATTCAAACAAGTCAGGAGCTTCGACTTGCTTAATGGATCTCGAGACAGTCCCCAAGAACACTGTCACCAGTCTCGACGGACGCTGAGGTCACCCCAGCAACGCAAAGCAGCTCCATGTGCCCCAAATCAACTCGAGATGAGGCCCGATTCCCCTGCATTGACTCCAGAGCCATTCCCCGTTCCCCATTCAACACGACCGGTGGCTCGACTTCCTTCAGGCAACTCCAGAGATACCCCGAGAACACTGTCCCAAGTCTAGAGGAACACCAACTTCAGCACAGCAACTCGAGGAATGCTCCGTGTACCCCAAATCGTCTCGAGATGAGAGCTGATTCCCTGGCTTAGGCTCAAGACGTATGCCAGCTTTCCAGACGCACCTCAGGAGGAGGCTTCTCTCAGCAATAGGTATGTTGGAGGGACCCCGAGTTCGCTGCCTCAAGGGCAATATACAGCGAGAAGCCCTAACTTGAAAGGAGGCCGGATTTCTTGCAGTGGCTTGAATACAGGCTCGTCTTTCATCTCACGACATGAAGGGATGTCTGAATCCCCTGTGGAGACCTTAGAGAAAGCCCTAGATCCCTGCCTCATTTTGACGGAATGCCTCACATCCCGTTGACACCTCAAGAGGCACGCGAAGTTCATTGCTTCAAAAGGTGACAATGCCTCACTCCTCTTGAATACTGATAGGAATCCCAAAATCCCTGTGGCTACTGGAAAGGGTCCTTGGGTGCCCTGCCTCACCTCGAGAAGCGTCCCTTTTGCCCTGCCAAGCTTCGAAGAGATTCCTGAGGTGTCCCTCGTTACTAGACAGGAGTCCTGACGTCACTGAAGAAACTCGTGTTTTGAAGGGCCATCCCCGCCGTAAGTCGAGAACATACCCCAGGTCCCCGCCGCAACTCGAGAAAAACCATGAGACTTCCCCCTAGAGGCGAGATGAGGCCCCATTCCCCTGCAGTGCATGCAGAGCTATTCCGTGGTCCCATTCAAGCAAGTCAGGAGCTTCGACTTGCTTAATGGTTCTCGAGACAGTCCCCAAGAACACTGTCACCAGTCTCGACGGACCCTGAGGTCACCCCAGCAACACAAAGCAGCTCCATGGGCCCCAAATCAACTCGAGATGAGGCCCGATTCCCCTGCATTGACTCCAGAGCCATTCCCCGTTCCCCATTCAACACGACCGGTGGCTCGACTTCCTTCAGGCAACTCCAGAGATGCCCCGAGAACACTGTCCCAGGTCTAGAGGAACACCAACTTCAGCACGGCAACTCGAGGAATGCTCCGTGTACCCCAAATCGTCTCGAGATGAGAGCTGATTCCCTGGCTTAGGCTCAAGACGTATGCCAACTTTCCAGACGCACCTCAGGAGGAGGCTTCTCTCAACAATAGGTATGTGGGAGGGACCCCGAGTTCGCTGCCTCAAGGGCAATATACAGCGAGAAGCCCTAACTTGAAAGGAGGCCGGATTTCCTTGCAGTGGCTTGAATACAGGATCGTCTTTCATCTCACAACATGAAGGGATCTCTGAATCCCCTGTGGAGACCTTAGAGAAAGCCCTAGGTCCCTGCCTCATTTGGACGGAATGCCTCACATCCCGTTGACACCTCGAGAGGCACGCGGAGTTCATTGCTTCAAAAGGTGACGATGCCTGACTCCTCTTGAATTCTGATAGGAATCCCAAAATCACTGTGGCTACTGGAAAGGGTACTTGCGTGCCCTGCCTCACCTCAAGAAGTGTCCCATTTGCACTGCCAAGCCTCGATGAGATTCCTGAGGTGTCCCTCGTTACTAGACAGGAGTCCTGACGTCACTGAAGAAACTCGTGTTTTGAAGGGCCATCCCCGCCGTAAGTCGAGAACATACCCCAGGTCCCCGCCGCAACTCGAGAAAATCCATGAGACTTCCCCCTAGAGGCGAGATGAGGCCCCATTCCCCTGCAGTGCATGCAGAGCTATTCCGTGGTCCCATTCAAGCAAGTCAGGAGCTTCGACTTGCTTAATGGATCTCGAGACAGTCCCCAAGAACACTGTCACCAGTCTCGACGGACGCTGAGGTCACCCCAGCAACGCAAAGCAGCTCCATGGGCCCCAAATCAACTCGAGATGAGGCCCGATTCCCCTGCATTGACTCCAGAGCCATTCCCCGTTCCCCATTCAACACGACCGGTGGCTCGACTTACTTCAGGCAACTCCAGAGATACCCCGAGAACACTGTCCCAAGTCTAGAGGAGCACCAACTTCAGCACGGCAACTCGAGGAATGCTCCGTGTACCCCAAATGGTCTCGAGATGAGAGGTGATTCCCTGGCTTAGGCTCAAGACGTATGCCAACTTTCCAGACGCACCTCAGGAGGAGGCTTCTCTCAGCAATAGGTATGTGGGAGGGACCCCGAGTTCGCTGCCTCAAGGGCAATATACAGCGAGAAGCCCTAACTTGAAAGGAGGCCGGATTTCCTTGCAGTGGCTTGAATACAGGCTCGTCTTTCATCTCACAACATGAAGGGATGTCTGAATCCCCTGTGGAGACCTTAGAGAAAGCCCTAGGTCCCTGCCTCATTTTGACGGAATACCTCACATCCCGTTGACACCTCAAGAGGCACGCGAAGTTCATTGCTTCAAAAGGTGACAATGCCTCACTCCTCTTGAATACTGATAGGAATCCCAAAATCCCTGTGGCTACTGGAAAGGGTCCTTGGGTGCCCTGCCTCAGCTCGAGAAGCGTCCCTTTTGCCCTGCCAAGCCTCGAAGAGATTCCTGAGGTGTCCCTCGTTACTAGACAGGAGTCCTGACGTCACTGAAGAAACTCGTGTTTTGAAGGGCCATCCCCGCCGTAAGTCGAGAACATACCCCAGGTCCCCGCCGCAACTCGAGAAAAACCATGAGACTTCCCCCTAGAGGCGAGATGAGGCCCCATTCCCCTGCAGTGCATGCAGAGCTATTCCGTGGTCCCATTCAAGCAAGTCAGGAGCTTCGACTTGCTTAATGGTTCTCGACACAGTTCCCAAGAACACTGTCACCAGTCTCGACCGACCCTGAGGTTACCCTAGCAACGCAAAGCAGCTCCATGGGCCCCAAATCAACTCGAGATGAGGCCCGATTCCCCTGCATTGACTCCAGAGCCATTCCTGGTTCTCCATTCAACACGACCGGTGGCTCGACTTCCTTCAGGCAACTCCAGAGATGCCCCAAGAACACTGTCCCAAGTCTAGAGGAACACCAACTTCAGCACGGCAACTCGAGGAATGCTCCGTGTACCCCAAATCGTCTCGAGATGAGAGGTGATTCCCTGGCTTAGGCTCAAGACGTATGCCAACTTTCAAGACGCACCTCAGGAGGAGGCTTCTCTCAGCAATAGGTATGTGGGAGGGACCCCGAGTTTGTTGCCTCAAGGGCAATATACAGCGAGAAGCCCTAACATGAAAGGACGCCGGATTTCCTTGCAGTGGCTTGAATACAGGCTCGTCTTTCATCTCACAACATGAAGGGATGTCTGAATCCCCTATGGAGACCTTAGAGAAAGCCCTAGGTCCCTGCCTCATTTGGACGGAATGCCTCACATCCCGTTGACACCTCGAGAGGCACGCGGAGTTCATTGCTTCAAAAGGTGACGATGCCTGACTCCTCTTGAATTCTGATAGGAATCCCAAAATCACTGTGGCTACTGGAAAGGGTCCTTGGGTGCCCTGCCTCACCTCAAGAAGCGTCCCATTTGCACTGCCAAGCCTCGATGAGATTAATGAGGTGTCCCTCTTTACTAGACAGGAGTCCTGACGTCACTGAAGAAACTCGTGTTTTGAAGGGCCATCCCCCCCGAAAGTCGAGAACATACCCAGGTCCCTGCCGCAACTCGAGAAAAACCATGAGACTTCCCCTAGAGTCGAGATGAGGCCCCATTCCCCTGCAGTGCATGCAGAGCTATTCCGAGGTCCCATTCAAACAAGTCAGGAGCTTCGACTTGCTTAATGGATCTCGAGACAGTCCCCAAGAACACTGTCACCAGTCTCGACGGACGCTGAGGTCACCCCAGCAACGCAAAGCAGCTCCATGTGCCCCAAATCAACTCGAGATGAGGCCCGATTCCCCTGCATTGACTCCAGAGCCATTCCCCGTTCCCCATTCAACACGACCGGTGGCTCGACTTCCTTCAGGCAACTGCAGAGATACCCCGAGAACACTGTCCCAAGTCTAGAGGAACACCTACTTCAGCACAGCAACTCGAGGAATGCTCCGTGTACCCCAAATTGTCTCGAGATGAGAGCTGATTCCCCTGCTTAGGCTCAAGACGTATGCCAGCTTTCCAGACGCACCTCAGGAGGAGGCTTCTCTCAGCAATAGGTATGTGGGAGGGACCCCGAGTTCGCTGCCTCAAGGGCAATATACAGCGAGAAGCCCTAACTTGAAAGGAGGCCGGATTTCCTTGCAGTGGCTTGAATACAGGCTCGTCTTTCTTCTCACAACATGAAGGGATGTCTGAATCCCCTGTGGAGACCTTAGAGAAAGCCCTAGGTCCCTGCCTCATTTGGACGGAATGCCTCACATCCCGTTGACACCTCGAGAGGCACGCGGAGTTCATTGCTTCAAAAGGTGACGATGCCTGACTCCTCTTGAATTCTGATAGGAATCCCAAAATCCCTGTGGCTACTGGAAAGGGTCGTTGGGTGCCCTGCCTCACCTCAAGAAGCGTCCCATTTGCACTGCCAAGCCTCGATGAGATTCCTGAAGTGTCCCTCGTTACTAGACAGGAGTCCTGACGTCACTGAAGAAACTCGTGTTTTGAAGGGCCATCCCCCCCGTAAGTCGAGAACATACCCAGGTCCCTGCCGCAACTCGAGAAAAACCATGAGACTTCCCCCTAGAGGCGAGATGAGGCCCCATTCCCCTGCAGTGCATGCAGAGCTATTCCGAGGTCCCATTCAAACAAGTCAGGAGTTTCGACTTGCTTAATGGATCTCGAGACAGTCCCCAAGAACACTGTCACCAGTCTCGACGGACGCTGAGGTCACCCCAGCAACGCAAAGCAGCTCCATGTGCCCCAAATCAACTCGAGATGAGGCCCGATTCCCCTGCATTGACTCCAGAGCCATTCCCCGTTCCCCATTCAACACGACCGGTGGCTCGACTTCCTTCAGGCAACTCCAGAGATACCCCGAGAACACTGTCCCAAGTCTAGAGGAACACCAACTTCAGCACAGCAACTCGAGGAATGCTCCGTGTACCATAAATCGTCTCGAGATGAGAGCTGATTCCCTGGCTTAGGCTCAAGACGTATGCCAACTTTCCAGACGCACCGCAGGAGGAGGCTTCTCTCAGCAATAGGTATGTAGGAGGGACCCCGAGTTCGCTGCCTCAACGGCAATATACAGCGAGAAGCCCTAACTTGAAAGGAGGCCGGATTTCCTTGCAGTGGCTTGAATACAGGCTCGTTTTTCATCTCACATCATGAAGGGATGTCTGAATTCCCTGTGGAGACCTTAGAGAAAGCCCAAGGTCCCTGCCTCATTTTGACGGAATGCCTCACATCCCGCTGACACCTCAAGAGGCACGCGAAGTTCATTGTTTCAAAAGGTGACAATGCCTCACTCCTCTTGAATACTGATAGGAATCCCAAAATCACTGTGGCTACTGGAAAGGGTCCTTGGGTGCCCTGCCTCACCTCGAGAAGCGTATCTTTTGCCCTGCCAAGCCTCGAAGAGATTCCTGAGGTGTCCCTCGTTACTAGACACTAGTCCTGACGTCACTGAAGAAACTCGTGTTTTGAAGGGCCATCCCCGCCGTAAGTCGAGAACATACCCCAGGTCCCGCCGCAACTCGAGAAAAACCATGAGACTTCCCCCTAGAGGCGAGATGAGGCCCCATTCCCCTGCAGTGCATGCAGAGCTATTCCGTGGTCCCATTCAAGCAAGTCAGGAGCTTCGACTTGCTTAATGGTTCTCGAGACAGTCCCCAAGAACACCGTCACCAGTCTCGACGGACCCTGAGGTCACCCCAGCAACGCAAAGCAGCTCCATGGGCCCCAAATCAACTCGAGATGAGGCCCGATTCCCCTGCATTGACTCCAGAGCCATTCCCCGTTCCCCATTCAACACGACCGGTGGCTCGACTTCCTTCAGGCAACTCCAGAGATGCCCCGAGAACACTGTCCCAAGTCTAGAGGAACACCAACTTCAGCACGGCAACTCGAGGAATGCTCCGTGTACCCCAAATCGTCTCGAGATGAGAGGTGATTCCCTGGCTTAGGCTCAAGACGTATGCCAACTTTCCAGACGCACCACAGAAGGAGGCTTCTCTCAGCAATAGGTATGTGGGAGGGACCCCGAGTTCGCTGCCTCAAGGGCAATATACAGCGAGAAGCCCTAACTTGAAAGGAGGCCGGATTTCCTTGCAGTGGCTTGAATACAGGCTCGTCTTTCTTCTCACAACATGAAGGGATGTCTGAATCCCCTGTGGAGACCTTAGAGAAAGCCCTAGGTCCCTGCCTCATTTGGACGGAATGCCTCACATCCCGTTGACACCTCGAGAGGCACGCGGAGTTCATTGCTTCAAAAGGTGACAATGCCTGACTCCTCTTGAATTCTGATAGGAATCCCCAAATCACTGTGGCTACTGGAATGGGTCCTTGGGTGCCCTGCCTCACCTCAAGAAGCGTCCCATTTGCACTGCCAAGCCTCGATGAGATTCCTGAGGTGTCCCTCGTTACTAGACAGGAGTCCTGATGTCACTGAAGAAACTCGTGTTTTGAAGGGCCATACCCCCCGTAAGTCGAGAACATACCCAGGTCCCTGCCGCAACTCGAGAAAAACCATGAGACTTCCCCCTAGAGGCGAGATGAGGCCCCATTCACCTGCAGTGCATGCAGAGCTATTCCGAGGTCCCATTCAAACAAGTCAGGAGCTTTGACTTGCTTAATGGATCTCGAGACAGTCCCCAAGAACACTGTCACCAGTCTCGACGGACGCTGAGGTCACCCCAGCAACGCAAAGCAGCTCCATGTGCCCCAAATCAACTCGAGATGAGGCCCGATTCCCCTGCATTGACTCCAGAGCCATTCCCCGTTCCCCATTCAACACGACCGGTGGCTCGACTTCCTTCAGGGAACTCCAGATATACCCCGAGAACACTGTCCCAAGTCTAGAGGAACACCAACTTCAGCACAGCAACTCGAGGAATGCTCCGTGTACCATAAATCGTCTCGAGATGAGAGCTGATTCCCTGGCTTAGGCTCAAGACGTATGCCAACTTTCCAGACGCACCGCAGGAGGAGGCTTCTCTCAGCAATAGGTATGTAGGAGGGACCCCGAGTTCGCTGCCTCAAGGGCAATATACAGCGAGAAGCCCTAACTTGAAAGGAGGCCGGATTTCCTTGCAGTGGCTTGAATACAGGCTCGTTTTTCATCTCACAACATGAAGGGATGTCTGAATTCCCTGTGGAGACCTTAGAGAAAGCCCAAGGTCCCTGCCTCATTTTGACGGAATGCCTCACATCCCGCTGACACCTCAAGAGGCACGCGAAGTTCATTGTTTCAAAAGGTGACAATGCCTCACTCCTCTTGAATACTGATAGGAATCCCAAAATCACTGTGGCTACTGGAAAGGGTCCTTGGGTGCCCTGCCTCACCTCGAGAAGCGTCCCTTTTGCCCTGCCAAGCCTCGAAGAGATTCCTGAGGTGTCCCTCGTTACTAGACACTAGTCCTGACGTCACTGAAGAAACTCGTGTTTTGAAGGGCCATCCCCGCCGTAAGTCGAGAACATAACCCAGGTCCCCGCCGCAACTCGAGAAAAACCATGAGACTTCCCCCTAGAGGCGAGATGAGGCCCCATTCCCCTGCAGTGCATGTAGAGCTATTCCGTGGTCCCATTCAAGCAAGTCAGGAGCTTCGACTTGCTTAATGGATCTCGAGACAGTCCCAAGAACACTGTCACCAGTCTCGACGGACCCTGAGGTCACCCCAGCAACACAAAGCAGCTCCATGGGCCCCAAATCAACTCGAGATGAGGCCCGATTCCCCTGCATTGACTCCAGAGCCATTCCCCGTTCCCCATTCAACACGACCGGTGGCTCGACTTCCTTCAGGCAACTCCAGAGATGCCCCGAGAACACTGTCCCAAGTCTAGAGGAACACCAACTTCAGCACGGCAACTCGAGGAATGCTCCGTGTACCCCAAATCGTCTCGAGATGAGAGGTGATTCCCTGGCTTAGGTTCAAGACGTATGCCAACTTTCAAGACGCACCTCAGGAGGAGGCTTCTCTCAGCAATAGGTATGTGGGAGGGACCCCGAGTTCGCTGCCTCAAGGGCAATATACAGCGAGAAGCCCTAACTTGAAAGGAGGCCGGATTTCCTTGCAGTGGCTTGAATACAGATTCGTCTTTCATCTCACAACCTGAAGGGATGTCTGAATCCCCTGTGGAGACCTTAGAGAAAGCCCTAGGTCCCTGCCTCATTTAGACGGAATGCCTCACATCCCGTTGACACCTCGAGAGGCACGCGGAGTTCATTGCTTCAAAAGGTGACGATGCCTGACTCCTCTTGAATTCTGATAGGAATCCCAAAATCACTGTGGCTACTGGAAAGGGTCCTTGCGTGCCCTGCCTCACCTCAAGAAGCGTCCCATTTGCACTGCCAAGCCTCGATGAGATTCCTGAGGTGTCCCTCGTTACTAGACAGGAGTCCTGACGTCACTGAAGAAACTCGTGTTTTGAAGGGCCATCCCCGCCGTAAGTCGAGAACATACCCCAGGTCCCCGCCGCAACTCGAGAAAAACTATGAGACTTCCCCCTAGAGGCGACATGAGGCCCCATTCCCCTGCAGTGCATGCAGAGCTATTCCGTGGTCCCATTCAAGCAAGTCAGGAGCTTCGACTTGCTTAATGGATCTCGAGACAGTCCCCAAGAACACTGTCACCAGTCTCGACGGACCCTGAGGTCAGCCCAGCAACACAAAGCAGCTCCATGGGCCCCAAATCAACTCGAGATGAGGCCCGATTCCCCTGCATTGACTCCAGAGCCATTCCCCGTTCCCCATTCAACACGACCGGTGGCTTGACTTCCTTCAGGCAACTCCAGAGATGCCCCGAGAACACTGTCCCAAGTCTAGAGGAACACCAACTTCAGCACGGCAACTCGAGGAATGCTCCGTGTACCCCAAATCGTCTCGAGATGAGAGCTGATTCCCTGGCTTAGGCTCAAGACGTATGCCAACTTTCCAGACGCACCTCAGGAGGAGGCTTCTCTCAGCAATAGGTATGTGGGAGGGACCCCGAGTTCGCTGCCTCAAGGGCAATATACAGCGAGAAGCCCTAACTTTAAAGGAGGCCGGATTTCCTTGCAGTGGCTTGAATACAGGCTCGTCTTTCATCTCACAACATGAAGGGATGTCTGAATCCCCTGTGGAGACCTTAGAGAAAGCCCTAGGTCCCTGCCTCATTTGGACGGAATGCCTCACATCCCGTTGACACCTCGAGAGGCACGCGGAGTTCATTGCTTCAAAAGGTGACGATGCCTGACTCCTCTTGAATTCTGATAGGAATCCCAAAATCCCTGTGGCTACTGGAAAGGGTCGTTGGGTGCCCTGCCTCACCTCAAGAAGCGTCCCATTTGCACTGCCAAGCCTCGATGAGATTCCTGAAGTGTCCCTCGTTACTAGACAGGAGTCCTGACGTCACTGAAGAAACTCATGTTTTGAAGGGCCATCCCCCCCGTAAGTCGAGAACATACCCAGGTCCCTGCCGCAACTCGAGAAAAACCATGAGACTTCCCCCTAGAGGCGAGATGAGGCCCCATTCCCCTGCAGTGCATGCAGAGCTATTCCGAGGTCCCATTCAAACAAGTCAGGAGTTTCGACTTGCTTAATGGATCTCGAGACAGTCCCCAAGAACACTGTCACCAGTCTCGACGGACGCTGAGGTCACCCCAGCAACGCAAAGCAGCTCCATGTGCCCCAAATCAACTCGCGATGAGGCCCGATTCCCCTGCATTGACTCCAGAGCCATTCCCCGTTCCCCATTCAACACGACCGGTGGCTCGACTTCCTTCAGGCAACTCCAGAGATACCCCGAGAACACTGTCCCAAGTCTAGAGGAACACCAACTTCAGCACAGCAACTCGAGGAATGCTCCGTGTACCATAAATCGTCTCGAGATGAGAGCTGATTCCCTGGCTTAGGCTCAAGACGTATGCCAACTTTCCAGACGCACCGCAGGAGGAGGCTTCTCTCAGCAATAGGTATGTAGGAGGGACCCCGAGTTCGCTGCCTCAAGGGCAATATACAGCGAGAAGCCCTAACTTGAAAGGAGGCCGGATTTCCTTGCAGTGGCTTGAATACAGGCTCGTTTTTCATCTCACATCATGAAGGGATGTCTGAATTCCCTGTGGAGACCTTAGAGAAAGCCCAAGGTCCCTGCCTCATTTTGACGGAATGCCTCACATCCCGCTGACACCTCAAGAGGCACGCGAAGTTCATTGTTTCAAAAGGTGACAATGCCTCACTCCTCTTGAATACTGATAGGAATCCCAAAATCACTGTGGCTACTGGAAAGGGTCCTTGGGTGCCCTGCCTCACCTCGAGAAGCGTCCCTTTTGCCCTGCCAAGCCTCGAAGAGATTCCTGAGGTGTCCCTCGTTACTAGACACTAGTCCTGACGTCACTGAAGAAACTCGTGTTTTGAAGGGCCATCCCCGCCGTAAGTCGAGAACATACCCCAGGTCCCGCCGCAACTCGAGAAAAACCATGAGACTTCCCCCTAGAGGCGAGATGAGGCCCCATTCCCCTGCAGTGCATGCAGAGCTATTCCGTGGTCCCATTCAAGCAAGTCAGGAGCTTCGACTTGCTTAATGGATCTCGAGACAGTCCCCAAGAACACTGTCACCAGTCTCGACGGACCCTGAGGTCACCCCAGCAACACAAAGCAGCTCCATGGGCCCCAAATCAACTCGAGATGAGGCCCGATTCCCCTGCATTGACTCCAGAGCCATTCCCCGTTCCCCATTCAACACGACCGGTGGCTCGACTTCCTTCAGGCAACTCCAGAGATGCCCCGAGAACACTTTCCCAAGTCTAGAGGAACACCAACTTCAGCACGGCAACTCGAGGAATGCTCCGTGTACCCCAAATCGTCTCGAGATGAGAGCTGATTCCCTGGCTTAGGCTCAAGACGTATGCCAACTTTCCAGACGCACCTCAGGAGGAGGCTTCTCTCAGCAATAGGTATGTGGGAGGGACCCCGAGTTCGCTGCCTCAAGGGCAATATACAGCGAGAAGCCCTAACTTGAAAGGAGGCCGGATTTCCTTGCAGTGGCTTGAATACAGACTCGTCTTTCATCTCACAACATGAAGGGATCTCTGAATCCCCTGTGGAGACCTTAGAGAAAGCCCTAGGTCCCTGCCTCATTTGGACGGAATGCCTCACATCCCGTTGACACCTCGAGAGGCACGCGGAGTTCATTGCTTCAAAAGGTGACGATGCCTCACTCCTCTTGAATACTGATAGGAATCCCAAAATCCCTGTGGCTACTGGAAAGGGTCCTTGGGTGCCCTGCCTCACCTCGAGAAGCGTCCCTTTTGCCCTGCCAAGCCTCGAAGAGATTCCTGAGGTGTCCCTCGTTACTAGACAGGAGTCCTGACGTCACTGAAGAAACTCGTGTTTTGAATGGCCATCCCTGCCGTAAGTCGAGAACATAACCCAGGTCCCCGCCGCAACTCGAGAAAATCCATGAGACTTCCCCCTAGAGGCGAGATGAGGCCCCATTCCCCTGCAGTGCATGCAGAGCTATTCCGTGGTCCCATTCAAGCAAGCCAGGGGCTTCGACTTGCTTAATGGTTCTCGAGACAGTCCCCAAGAACACTGTCACCAGTCTCGACGACCCTGAGGTCACCCCAGCAACGCAAAGCAGCTCCATGGGCCCCAAATCAACTCGAGATGAGGCCCGATTCCCCTGCATTGACTCCAGAGCCATTCCCCGTTCCCCATTCAACACGACCGGTGGCTCGACTTCCTTCAGGCAACTCCAGAGATGCCCCGAAAACACTGTCCCAAGTCTAAAGGAACACGAACTTCAGCACGGCAACTCGATGAACGCTCCGTGTACCCCAAATCGTCTCGAGATGAGAGGTGATTCCCTGGCTTAGGCTCAAGACGTATGCCAACTTTCAAGACGCACCTCAGGAGGAGGCTTCTGTCAGCAACAGATATGTGGGAGGGACCCCGAGTTCGCTGCCTCAAGGGCAATATACAGCGAGAAGCCCTAAATTGAAAGGAGGCCGGATTTCCTTGCAGTGGCTTGAATACAGGCTCGTCTTTCCTCTCACAACAGGAAGGGATGTCTGAATCCCCTGTGGAGACCTTAGAGAAGGCCCTAGGTCCCTGCCTCATTTGGACGGAATGCCTCACATCCCGTTGACACCTCGAGAGGCACGCGGAGTTCATTGCTTCAAAAGGTGACGATGCCTCACTCCTCTTGAATTCTGATAGGAATCCCAAAATCCCTGTGGCTACTGGAAAGGGTCCTTGGGTGCCCTGCCTCACATCAAGAAGCGTCCCATTTGCACTGCCAAGCCTCGATGAGATTCCTGACGTGTCCCTCATTACTAGACAGGAGTCCTGACGTCACTGAAGAAACTCGTGTTTTGAAGGGCCATCCCCGCCGTAAGTCGAGAACATACCCCAGGTCCCCGCCGCAACTCGAGAAAAACCATGAGACTTCCCCCTGGAGGCGAGATGAGGCCCCATTCCCCTGCAGTGCATGCAGAGCTATTCCGTGGTCCCATTCAAACAAGTCAGGAGCTTCGACTTGCTTAATGGATCTCGAGACAGTCCCCAAGAACACTGTCACCAGTCTCGACGGACGCTGAGGTCACCCCAGCAACGCAAAGCAGATCCATGTGCCCCAAATCAACTCGAGATGAGGCCCGATTCCCCTGCATTGACTCCAGAGCCTTTCCCCGTTCCCCATTCAACAAGACCGGTGGCTCGACTTCCTTCAGGCAACTCCAGAGATACCCCGAGAACACTGTCCCAAGTCTAGAGGAACACCAACTTCAGCACAGCAACTCGAGGAATGCTCCGTGTACCACAAATCGTCTCGAGATGAGAGCTGATTCCCTGGCTTAGGCTCAAGACGTATGCCAACTTTCCAGACGCACCTCAGGAGGAGGCTTCTCTCAGCAATAGGTATGTGGGAGGGACCCCGAGTTCGCTGCCTCAAGGGCAATATACAGCGAGAAGCCCTAACTTGAAAGGAGGCCGGATTTCCTTGCAGTGGCGTGAATACAGGCTTGTCTTTCATTTCACGACATGAAGGGATGTCTGAATCCCCTGTGGAGACCTTAGAGAAAGCCCTAGGTCCCTGCCTCATTTTGAGGGAATGCCTCACATCCCGTTGACACCTCAAGAGGCACGCGAAGTTCATTGCTTCAAAAGGTGACAATGCCTCACTCCTCTTGAATACTGATAGGAATCCCAAAATCCCTGTGGCTACTGGAAAGGGTCCTTGGGTGCCCTGCCTCACCTCGAGAAGCGTCCCTTTTGCCCTGCCAAGCCTCGAAGAGATTCCTGAGGTGTCCCTCGTTACTAGACAGGAGTCCTGACGTCACTGAAGAAACTCGTGTTTTGAGGGCCATCCCCGCCGTAAGTCGAGAACATACCCCAGGTCCCCGCCGCAACTCGAGAAAAACCATGAGACTTCCCCCTAGAGGCGAGATGAGGCCCCATTCCCCTGCAGTGCATGCAGAGCTATTCCGTGGTCCCATTCAAGCAAGTCAGGAGCTTCGACTTGCTTAATGGTTCTCGAGACAGTCCCCAAGAACACTGTCACCAGTCTCGACGGACCCTGAGGACACCCCAGCAACACAAAGCAGCTCCATGGGCCCCAAATCAACTCGAGATGAGGCCCGATTCCCCTGCATTGACTCCAGAGCCATTCCCCGTTCCCCATTCAACACGACCGGTGGCTCGACTTCCTTCAGGCAACTCCAGAGATGCCCCGAGAACACTGTCCCAAGTCTAGAGGAACACCAACTTCAGCACGGCAACAAGAGGAATGCTGCGTGTACCCCAAATCGTCTCGAGATGAGAGCTGATTCCCTGGCTTAGGCTCAAGACGTATGCCAACTTTCCAGACGCACCTCAGGAGGAGGCTTCTCTCAGCAATAGGTATGTGGGAGGGACCCCGAGTTCGCTGCCTCAAGGGCAATATACAGCGAGAAGCCCTAACTTGAAAGGAGGCCGGATTTCCTTGCAGTGGCTTGAATACAGACTCGTCTTTCATCTCACAACATGAAGGGATCTCTGAATCCCCTGTGGAGACCTTAGAGAAAGCCCTAGGTCCCTGCCTCATTTGGACGGAATGCCTCACGTCCCGTTGACACCTCGAGAGGCACGCGGAGTTCATTGCTTCAAAAGGTGACGATGCCTGACTCCTCTTGAATTCTGATAGGAATCCCAAAATCACTGTGGCTACTGGAAAGGGTCCTTGGGTGCCCTGCCTCACCTCAAGAAGCGTCCCATTTGCACTGCCAAGCCTCGATGAGATTCCTGAGGTGTCCGTCGTTACTAGACAGGAGTCCTGACGTCACTGAAGAAACTCGTGTTTTGAAGGGCCATCCTCGCCGTAAGTCGAGAACATACCCCAGGTCCCCGCCGCAACTCGAGAAAAACCATGAGACTTCCCCCTAGAGGCGAGATGAGACCCCATTCCCCTGCAGTGCATGCAGAGCTATTCCGTGGTCCCATTCAAACAAGTCAGGAGCTTCGACTTGCTTAATGGATCTCGAGACAGTCCCCAAGAACACTGTCACCAGTCTCGACGGACCCTGAGGTCACCCCAGCAACGCAAAGCAGCTCCATGGGCCCCAAATCAACTCGAGATGAGGCCCGATTCCCCTGCATTGACTCCAGAGCCATTCCCAGTTCCCCATTCAACACGAACTGTGGCTCGACTTCCTTCAGGCAACTCCAGAGATACCCCGAGAACACTGTCCCAAGTCTAGAGGAACACCAACTTCAGCACAGTAACTCGAGGAATGCTCCGTGTACCCCAAATCGTCTCGAGATGAGAGCTGATTCCCTGGCTTAGGCTCAAGACGTATGCCAACTTTCCAGACGCACTTCAGGAGGAGGCTTCTCTCAGCAATAGGTATGTGGGAGGGACCCTGAGTTCGCTGCCTCAAGGGCAATATACAGCGAGAAGCCCTAACTTGAAAGGAGGCTGGATTTCCTTGCAGTGGCTTGAATACAGGCTCGTCTTTCATCTCACAACATGAAGGGATGTCTGAATCCCCTGTGGAGACCTTAGAGAAAGCCCTAGGTCCCTGCCTCATTTTGACGGAATGCCTCACATCCCGTTGACACATCAAGAGGCACGCGAAGTTCATTGCTTCAAAAGGTGACAATGCCTCACTCCTCTTGAATACTGATAGGAATCCCAAAATCCCTGTGGATACTGGAAAGGGTCCTTGGGTGCCCTGCCTCACCTCGAGAAGCGTCCCTTTTGCCCTGCCAAGCCTCGAAGAGATTCCTGAGGTGTCCCTCGTTACTAGACAGGAGTCCTGACGTCACTGAAGAAACTCGTGTTTTGAAGGGCCATCCCCGCCGTAAGTCGAGAACATACCCCAGGTCCCGCCGCAACTCGAGAAAAACCATGAGACTTCCCCCTAGAGGCGAGATGAGGCCCCATTCCCCTGCAGTGCATGCAGAGCTATTCCGTGGTCCCATTCAAGCAAGTCAGGAGCTTCGACTTGCTTAATGGATCTCGAGACAGTCCCCAAGAACACTGTCACCAGTCTCGACGGACCCTGAGGTCACCCCAGCAACACAAAGCAGCTCCATGGGCCCCAAATCAACTCGAGATGAGGCCCGATTCCCCTGCATTGACTCCAGAGCCATTCCCCGTTCCCCATTCAACACGACCGGTGGCTCGACTTCCTTCAGGCAACTCCAGAGATGCCCCGAGAACACTTTCCCAAGTCTAGAGGAACACCAACTTCAGCACGGCAACTCGAGGAATGCTCCGTGTACCCCAAATCGTCTCGAGATGAGAGCTGATTCCCTGGCTTAGGCTCAAGACGTATGCCAACTTTCCAGACGCACCTCAGGAGGAGGCTTCTCTCAGCAATAGGTATGTGGGAGGGACCCCGAGTTCGCTGCCTCAAGGGCAATATACAGCGAGAAGCCCTAACTTGAAAGGAGGCCGGATTTCCTTGCAGTGGCTTGAATACAGACTCGTCTTTCATCTCACAACATGAAGGGATCTCTGAATCCCCTGTGGAGACCTTAGAGAAAGCCCTAGGTCCCTGCCTCATTTGGACGGAATGCCTCACATCCCGTTGACACCTCGAGAGGCACGCGGAGTTCATTGCTTCAAAAGGTGACGATGCCTGACTCCTCTTGAATTCTGATAGGAATCCCAAAATCACTGTGGCTACTGGAAAGGGTCCTTGCGTGCCCTGCCTCACCTCAAGAAGCGTCCCATTTGCACTGCCAAGCCTCGATGAGATTCCTGAGGTGTCCCTCGTTACTAGACAGGAGTCCTGACGTCACTGAAGAAACTCGTGTTTTGAAGGGCCATCCCCGCCGTAAGTCGAGAACATACCCCAGGTCCCCGCCACAACTCGAGAAAAACCATGAAACTTCCCCCTAGAGGCGAGATGAGACCCCATTCCCCTGCAGTGCATGCAGAGCTATTCCGTGGTCCCATTCAAGCAAGTCAGGAGCTTCGACTTGCTTAATGGTTCTCGAGACAGTCCCCAAGAACACTGTCACCAGTCTCGACGGACCCTGAGGTCACCCCAGCAACGCAAAGCAGCTCCATGGGCCCCAAATCAACTCGAGATGAGGCCCGATTCCCCTGCATTGACTCCAGAGCCATTCCCCGTTCCCCATTCAACACGACCGGTGGCTCGACTTCCTTCAGGCAACTCCAGAGATACCCCGAGAACACTGTCCCAAGTCTAGAGGAACACCAACTTCAGCACAGCAACTCGAGGAATGCTCCGTGTACCATAAATCGTCTCGAGATGAGAGCTGATTCCCTGGCTTAGGCTCAAGACGTATGCCAACTTTCCAGACGCACCGCAGGAGGAGGCTTCTCTCAGCAATAGGTATGTAGGAGGGACCCCGAGTTCGCTGCCTCAAGGGCAATATACAGCAAGAAGCCCTAACTTGAAAGGAGGCCGGATTTCCTTGCAGTGGCTTGAATACAGGCTCGTTTTTCATCTCACAACATGAAGGGATGTCTGAATTCCCTGTGGAGACCTTAGAGAAAGCCCAAGGTCCCTGCCTCATTTTGACGGAATGCCTCACATCCCGCTGACACCTCAAGAGGCACGCGAAGTTCATTGTTTCAAATGGTGACAATGCCTCACTCCTCTTGAATACTGATAGGAATCCCAAAATCACTGTGGCTACTGGAAAGGGTCCTTGGGTGCCCTGCCTCACCTCGAGAAGCGTCCCTTTGGCCCTGCCAAGCCTCGAAGAGATTCCTGAGGTGTCCCTCGTTACTAGACACTAGTCCTGACGTCACTGAAGAAACTCGTGTTTTGAAGGGCCATCCCCGCCGTAAGTCGAGAACATACCCCAGGTCCCCGCCGCAACTCGAGAAAAACCATGAGACTTCCCCCTAGAGGCGAGATGAGGCCCCATTCCCCTGCAGTGCATGCAGAGCTATTCCGTGGTCACATTCAAGCAAGTCAGGAGCTTCGACTTGCTTAATGGATCTCGAGACAGTCCCCAAGAACACTGTCACCAGTCTCGACGGACCCTGAGGTTACCCCAGCAACACAAAGCAGCTCCATGGGCCCCAAATCAACTCGAGATGAGGCCCGATTCCCCTGCATTGACTCCAGAGCCATTCCCCGTTCCCCATTCAACACGACCGGTGGCTCGACTTCCTTCAGGCAACTCCAGAGATGCCCCGAGAACACTGTCCCAAGTCTAGAGGAACACCAACTTCAGCACGGCAACTCGAGGAATGCTCCGTGTACCCCAAATCGTCTCGAGATGAGAGGTGATTCCCTGGCTTAGGCTCAAGACGTATGCCAACTTTCAAGACGCACCTCAGGAGGAGGCTTCTCTCAGCAATAGGTATGTGGGAGGGACCCCGAGTTCGCTGCCTCAAGGGCAATATACAGCGAGAAGCCCTAACTTGAAAGGAGGCCGGATTTCCTTGCAGTGGCTTGAATACAGGCTCGTCTTTCATCTCACGACATGAAGGGATGTCTGAATCCCCTGTGGAGACCTTAGAGAAAGCCCTAGGTCCCTGCCTCATTTTGACGGAATGCCTCACATCCCGTTGACACCTCAAGAGGCACGCGAAGTTCATTGCTTCAAAAGGTGACAATGCCTCACTCCTCTTGAATACTGATAGGAATCCCAAAATCCCTGTGGCTACTGGAAAGGGTCCTTGGGTGCCCTGCCTCACCTCGAGAAGCGTCCCTTTTGCCCTGCCAAGCCTCGAAGAGATTCCTGATGTGTCCCTCGTTACTAGACAGGAGTCCTGACGTCACTGAAGAAACTCGTGTTTTGAAGGGCCATCCCCGCCGTAAGTCGAGAACATACCCCAGGTCCCCGCCACAACTCGAGAAAAACCATGAGACTTCCCCCTAGAGGCGAGATGAGACCCCATTCCCCTGCAGTGCATGCAGAGCTATTCCGTGGTCCCATTCAAGCAAGTCAGGAGCTTCGACTTGCTTAATGGTTCTCGAGACAGTCCCCAAGAACACTGTCACCAGTCTCGACGGACCCTGAGGTCACCCCAGCAACGCAAAGCAGCTCCATGGGCCCCAAATCAACTCGAGATGAGGCCCGATTCCCCTGCATTGACTCCAGAGCCATTCCCCGTTCCCCATTCAACACGACCGGTGGCTCGACTTCCTTCAGGCAACTCCAGAGGTACCCCGAGAACACTGTCCCAAGTCTAGAGGAACACCAACTTCAGCACAGCAACTCGAGGAATGCTCCGTGTACCATAAATCGTCTCGAGATGAGAGCTGATTCCCTGGCTTAGGCTCAAGACGTATGCCAACTTTCCAGACGCACCGCAGGAGGAGGCTTCTCTCAGCAATAGGTATGTAGGAGGGACCCCGAGTTCGCTGCCTCAAGGGCAATATACAGCAAGAAGCCCTAACTTGAAAGGAGGCCGGATTTCCTTGCAGTGGCTTGAATACAGGCTCGTTTTTCATCTCACAACATGAAGGGATGTCTGAATTCCCTGTGGAGACCTTAGAGAAAGCCCAAGGTCCCTGCCTCATTTTGACGGAATGCCTCACATCCCGCTGACACCTCAAGAGGCACGCGAAGTTCATTGTTTCAAATGGTGACAATGCCTCACTCCTCTTGAATACTGATAGGAATCCCAAAATCACTGTGGCTACTGGAAAGGGTCCTTGGGTGCCCTGCCTCACCTCAAGAAGCGTCCCTTTGGCCCTGCCAAGCCTCGAAGAGATTCCTGAGGTGTCCCTCGTTACTAGACACTAGTCCTGACGTCACTGAAGAAACTCGTGTTTTGAAGGGCCATCCCCGCCGTAAGTCGAGAACATACCCCAGGTCCCCGCCGCAACTCGAGAAAAACCATAAGACTTCCCCCTAGAGGCGAGATGAGGCCCCATTCCCCTGCAGTGCATGCAGAGCTATTCCGTGGTCCCATTCAAGCAAGTCAGGAGCTTCGACTTGCTTAATGGATCTCGAGACAGTCCCCAAGAACACTGTCACCAGTCTCGACGGACCCTGAGGTCACCCCAGCAACACAAAGCAGCTCCATGGGCCCCAAGTCAACTCGAGATGAGGCCCGATTCCCCTGCATTGACTCCAGAGCCATTCCCCGTTCCCCATTCAACACGACCGGTGGCTCGACTTCCTTCAGGCAACTCCAGAGATGCCCCGAGAACACTGTCCCAAGTCTAGAGGAACACCAACTTCAGCACGGCAACTCGAGGAATGCTCCGTGTACCCCAAATCGTCTCGAGATGAGAGGTGATTCCCTGGCTTAGGCTCAAGACGTATGCCAACTTTCAAGACGCACCTCAGGAGGAGGCTTCTCTCAGCAATAGGTATGTGGGAGGGACCCCGAGTTCGCTGCCTCAAGGGCAATATACAGCGAGAAGCCCTAACTTGAAAGGAGGCCGGATTTCCTTGCAGTGGCTTGAATACAGACTCGTCTTTCATCTCACAACATGAAGGGATGTCTGAATCCCCTGTGGAGACCTTAGAGAAAGCCCTAGGTCCCTGCCTCATTTAGACGGAATGCCTCACATCCCTTTGACACCTCGAGAGGCACGCGGAGTTCATTGCTTCAAAAGGTGACGATGCCTGACTCCTCTTGAATTCTGATAGGAATCCCAAAATCACTGTGGCTACTGGAAAGGGTCCTTGCGTGCCCTGCCTCACCTCAAGAAGCGTCCCATTTGCACTGCCAAGCCTCGATGAGATTCCTGAGGTGTCCCTCGTTACTAGACAGGAGTCCTGACGTCACTGAAGAAACTCGTGTTTTGAAGGGCCATCCCCGCCGTAAGTCGAGAACATACCCCAGGTCCCCGCCTCAACTCGAGAAAAACCATGAGACTTCCCGCTAGAGGCGAGATGAGACCCCATTCCCCTGCAGTGCATGCAGACCTATTCCGTGGTCCCATTCAAACAAGTCAGGAGCTTCGACTTGCTTAATGGATCTCGAGACAGTCCCCAAGAACACTGTCACCAGTCTCGACGGAACCTGAGGTCACCCCAGCAACGCAAAGCAGCTCCATGTGCCCCAAATCAACTCGAGATGAGGCCCGATTCCCCTGCATTGACTCCAGAGCCATTCCCCGTTCCCCATTCAACACGAACTGTGGCTCGACTTCCTTCAGGCAACTCCAGAGATACCCCGAGAACACTGTCCCAAGTCTAGAGGAACACCAACTTCAGCACAGCAACTCGAGGAATGCTCCGTGTACCCCAAATCGTCTCGAGATGAGAGCTGATTCCCTGGCTTAGGTTCAAGACGTATGCCAACTTTCCAGACGCACCTCAGGAGGAGGCTTCTCTCAGCAATAGGTATGTGGGAGGGTCCCCGAGTTTGCTGCCTAAAGGGCAATATACAGCTAGAAGCCCTAACTTGAAAGGAGGCCGGATTTCCTTGCAGTGGCTTGAATACAGGCTTGTCTTTCATCTCACAACATGAAGGGATGTCTGAATCCCCTGTGGAGACCTTAGAGAAAGCCCTATGTCCCTGCCTCATTTTGACGGAATGCCTCACATCCCGTTGACACCTCAAGAGGCACGCAAAGTTCATTGCTTCAAAAGGTGACAATGCCTCACTCCTCTTGAATACTGATAGGAATCCCAAAATCCCTGTGGCTACTGGAAAGGGTCCTTGGGTGCCCTGTCTCACCTCGAGAAGCGTCCCTTTTGCCCTGCCAAGCCTCGAAGAGATTCCTGAGGTGTCCCTCGTTACTAGACAGGAGTCCTGACGTCACTGAAGAAACTCGTGTTTTGAATGGCCATCCCTGCCGTAAGTCGAGAACATAACCCAGGTCCCCGCCGCAACTCGAGAAAAACCATGAGACTTCCGCCTAGAGGCGAGATGAGGCCCCATTCCCCTGCAGTGCATGCAGAGCTATTCCGTGGTCCCATTCAAGCAAGCCAGGGGCTTCGACTTGCTTAATGGTTCTCGAGACAGTCCCCAAGAACACTGTCACCAGTCTCGACGACCCTGAGGTCACCCCAGCAACGCAAAGCAGCTCCATGGGCCCCAAATCAACTCGAGATGAGGCCCGATTCCCCTGCATTGACTCCAGAGCCATTCCCCGTTCCCCATTCAACACGACCGGTGGCTCGACTTCCTTCAGGCAACTCCAGAGATGCCCCGAAAACACTGTCCCAAGTCTAGAGGAACACGAACTTCAGCACGGCAACTCGATGAACGCTCCGTGTACCCCAAATCGTCTCGAGATGAGAGGTGATTCCCTGGCTTAGGCTCAAGACGTATGCCAACTTTCCAGACGCACCGCAGGAGGAGGCTTCTCTCAGCAATAGGTATGTGGGAGGGACCCCGAGTTCGCTGCCTCAAGGGCAATATACAGCGAGAAGCCCTAACTTGAAAGGAGGCCGGATTTCCTTGCAGTGGCTTGAATACAGGCTTGTCTTTCATTTCACGACATGAAGGGATGTCTGAATCCCCTGTGGAGACCTTAGAGAAAGCCCTAGGTCCCTGCTTCATTTTGAGGGAATGCCTCACATCCCGTTGACACCTCAAGAGGCACGCGAAGTTCATTGCTTCAAAAGGTGACAATGCCTCACTCCTCTTGAATACTGATAGGAATCCCAAAATCCCTGTGGCTACTGGAAAGGGTCCTTGGGTGCCCTGCCTCACCTCGAGAAGCGTCCCTTTTCCCTGCCAAGCCTCGAAGAGATTCCTGAGTTGTCCCTCGTTACTAGACAGGAGTCCTGACGTCACTGAAGAAACTCGTGTTTTGAAGGGCCATCCCCGCCGTAAGTCGAGAACATACCCCAGGTCCCGCCGCAACTCGAGAAAAACCATGAGACTTCCCCCTAGAGGCGAGATGAGGCCCCATTCCCCTGCAGTGCATGCAGAGCTATTCCGTGGTCCCATTCAAGCAAGTCAGGAGCTTCGACTTGCTTAATGGATCTCGAGACAGTCCCCAAGAACACTGTCACCAGTCTCGACGGACCCTGAGGTCACCCCAGCAACACAAAGCAGCTCCATGGGCCCCAAATCAACTCGAGATGAGGCCCGATTCCCCTGCATTGACTCCAGAGCCATTCCCCGTTCCCCATTCAACACGACCGGTGGCTCGACTTCCTTCAGGCAACTCCAGAGATGCCCCGAGAACACTTTCCCAAGTCTAGAGGAACACCAACTTCAGCACGGCAACTCGAGGAATGCTCCGTGTACCCCAAATCGTCTCGAGATGAGAGGTGATTCCCTGGCTTAGGCTCAAGACGTATGCCAACTTTCAAGACGCACCTCAGGAGGAGGCTTCTCTCAGCAATAGGTATGTGGGAGGGACCCCGAGTTCGCTGCCTCAAGGGCAATATACAGCGAGAAGCCCTAACTTGAAAGGAGGCCGGATTTCCTTGCAGTGGCTTGAATACAGACTCGTCTTTCATCTCACAACATGAAGGGATGTCTGAATCCCCTGTGGAGACCTTAGAGAAAGCCCTAGGTCCCTGCCTCATTTAGACGGAATGCCTCACATCCCTTTGACACCTCGAGAGGCACGCGGAGTTCATTGCTTCAAAAGGTGACGATGCCTGACTCCTCTTGAATTCTGATAGGAATCCCAAAATCACTGTGGCTACTGGAAAGGGTCCTTGCGTGCCCTGCCTCACCTCAAGAAGCGTCCCATTTGCACTGCCAAGCCTCGATGAGATTCCTGAGGTGTCCCTCGTTACTAGACAGGAGTCCTGACGTCACTGAAGAAACTCGTGTTTTGAAGGGCCATCCCCGCCGTAAGTCGAGAACATACCCCAGGTCCCCGCCTCAACTCGAGAAAAACCATGAGACTTCCCGCTAGAGGCGAGATGAGACCCCATTCCCCTGCAGTGCATGCAGACCTATTCCGTGGTCCCATTCAAACAAGTCATGAGCTTCGACTTTCTTAATGGATCTCGAGACAGTCCCCAAGAACACTGTCACCAGTCTCGACGGAACCTGAGGTCACCCCAGCAACGCAAAGCAGCTCCATGTGCCCCAAATCAACTCGAGATGAGGCCCGATTCCCCTGCATTGACTCCAGAGCCATTCCCCGTTCCCCATTCAACACGAACTGTGGCTCGACTTCCTTCAGGCAACTCCAGAGATACCCCGAGAACACTGTCCCAAGTCTAGAGGAACACCAACTTCAGCACAGCAACTCGAGGAATGCTCCGTGTACCCCAAATCGTCTCGAGATGAGAGCTGATTCCCTGGCTTAGGTTCAAGACGTATGCCAACTTTCCAGACGCACCTCAGGAGGAGGCTTCTCTCAGCAATAGGTATGTGGGAGGGTCCCCGAGTTTGCTGCCTAAAGGGCAATATACAGCTAGAAGCCCTAACTTGAAAGGAGGCCGGATTTCCTTGCAGTGGCTTGAATACAGGCTTGTCTTTCATCTCACAACATGAAGGGATGTCTGAATCCCCTGTGGAGACCTTAGAGAAAGCCCTATGTCCCTGCCTCATTTTGACGGAATGCCTCACATCCCGTTGACACCTCAAGAGGCACGCAAAGTTCATTGCTTCAAAAGGTGACAATGCCTCACTCCTCTTGAATACTGATAGGAATCCCAAAATCCCTGTGGCTACTGGAAAGGGTCCTTGGGTGCCCTGTCTCACCTCGAGAAGCGTCCCTTTTGCCCTGCCAAGCCTCGAAGAGATTCCTGAGGTGTCCCTCGTTACTAGACAGGAGTCCTGACGTCACTGAAGAAACTCGTGTTTTGAATGGCCATCCCTGCCGTAAGTCGAGAACATAACCCAGGTCCCCGCCGCAACTCGAGAAAAACCATGAGACTTCCGCCTAGAGGCGAGATGAGGCCCCATTCCCCTGCAGTGCATGCAGAGCTATTCCGTGGTCCCATTCAAGCAAGCCAGGGGCTTCGACTTGCTTAATGGTTCTCGAGACAGTCCCCAAGAACACTGTCACCAGTCTCGACGACCCTGAGGTCACCCCAGCAACGCAAAGCAGCTCCATGGGCCCCAAATCAACTCGAGATGAGGCCCGATTCCCCTGCATTGACTCCAGAGCCATTCCCCGTTCCCCATTCAACACGACCGGTGGCTCGACTTCCTTCAGGCAACTCCAGAGATGCCCCGAAAACACTGTCCCAAGTCTAGAGGAACACGAACTTCAGCACGGCAACTCGATGAACGCTCCGTGTACCCCAAATCGTCTCGAGATGAGAGGTGATTCCCTGGCTTAGGCTCAAGACGTATGCCAACTTTCCAGACGCACCGCAGGAGGAGGCTTCTCTCAGCAATAGGTATGTGGGAGGGACCCCGAGTTTGCTGCCTCAAGAGCAATATACAGCGAGAAGCCCTAACTTGAAAGGAGGCCGGATTTACTTGCAGTGGCTTGAATACAGGCTCGTTTTTCATCTCACAACATGAAGGGATGTCTGAATTCCCTGTGGAGACCTTAGAGAAAGCCCAAGGTCCCTGCCTCAGTTTGACGGAATGCCTCACATCCCGCTGACACCTCAAGAGGCACGCGAAGTTCATTGTTTCAAAAGGTGACAATGCCTCACTTCTCTTGAATTCTGATAGGAATCCCAAAATCCCTGTGGCTAATGGAAAGGGTCCTTGGGTGCCCTGCCTCACCTCAGGAAGCGTCCCATTTGCACTGCCAAGCCTCGATGAGATTCCTGAGGTGTCCCTCATTACTAGACAGGAGTCCTGACGTCACTGAAGAAACTCGTGTTTTGAAGGGCCATCCCCGCCGTAAGTCGAGAACATACCCCAGGTCCCCGCCGCAACTCGAGAAAAACCATGAGACTTCCCCCTGGAGGCGAGATGAGGCCCCATTCCCCTGCAGTGCATGCAGAGCTATTCCGTGGTCCCATTCAAACAAGTCAGGAGCTTCGACTTGCTTAATGGATCTCGAGACAGTCCCCAAGAACACTGTCACCAGTCTCGACGGACGCTGAGGTCACCCCAGCAACGCAAAGCAGATCCATGTGCCCCAAATCAACTCGAGATGAGGCCCGATTCCCCTGCATTGACTCCAGAGCCATTCCCCGTTCCCCATTCAACAAGACCGGTGGCTCGACTTCCTTCAGGCAACTCCAGAGATACCCCGAGAACACTGTCCCAAGTCTAGAGGAACACCAACTTCAGCACAGCAACTCGAGGAATGCTCCGTGTACCACAAATCGTCTCGAGATGAGAGCTGATTCCCTGGCTTAGGCTCAAGACGTATGCCAACTTTCCAGACGCACCTCAGGAGGAGGCTTCTCTCAGCAATAGGTATGTGGGAGGGACCCCGAGTTCGCTGCCTCAAGGGCAATATACAGCGAGAAGCCCTAACTTGAAAGGAGGCCGGATTTCCTTGCAGTGGCTTGAATACAGGCTTGTCTTTCATTTCACGACATGAAGGGATGTCTGAATCCCCTGTGGAGACCTTAGAGAAAGCCCTAGGTCCCTGCCTCATTTTGAGGGAATGCCTCACATCCCGTTGACACCTCAAGAGGCACGCGAAGTTCATTGCTTCAAAAGGTGACAATGCCTCACTCCTCTTGAATACTGATAGGAATCCCAAAATCCCTGTGGCTACTGGAAAGGGTCCTTGGGTGCCCTGCCTCACCTCGAGAAGCGTCCCTTTTCCCTGCCAAGCCTCGAAGAGATTCCTGAGGTGTCCCTCGTTACTAGACAGGAGTCCTGACGTCACTGAAGAAACTCGTGTTTTGAAGGGCCATCCCCGCCGTAAGTCGAGAACATACCCCAGGTCCCGCCGCAACTCGAGAAAAACCATGAGACTTCCCCCTAGAGGCGAGATGAGGCCCCATTCCCCTGCAGTGCATGCAGAGCTATTCCGTGGTCCCATTCAAGCAAGTCAGGAGCTTCGACTTGCTTAATGGATCTCGAGACAGTCCCCAAGAACACTGTCACCAGTCTCGACGGACCCTGAGGTCACCCCAGCAACACAAAGCAGCTCCATGGGCCCCAAATCAACTCGAGATGAGGCCCGATTCCCCTGCATTGACTCCAGAGCCATTCCCCGTTCCCCATTCAACACGACCGGTGGCTCGACTTCCTTCAGGCAACTCCAGAGATGCCCCGAGAACACTTTCCCAAGTCTAGAGGAACACCAACTTCAGCACGGCAACTCGAGGAATGCTCCGTGTACCCCAAATCGTCTCGAGATGAGAGCTGATTCCTTGGCTTAGGCTCAAGACGTATGCCAACTTTCCAGACGCACCTCAGGAGGAGGCTTCTCTCAGCAATAGGTATGTGGGAGGGACCCCGAGTTCGCTGCCTCAAGGGCAATATACAGCGAGAAGCCCTAACTTGAAAGGAGGCCGGATTTCCTTGCAGTGGCTTGAATACAGACTCGTCTTTCATCTCACAACATGAAGGGATCTCTGAATCCCCTGTGGAGACCTTAGAGAAAGCCCTAGGTCCCTGCCTCATTTGGACGGAATGCCTCACATCCCGTTGACACCTCGAGAGGCACGCGGAGTTCATTGCTTCAAAAGGTGACGATGCCTGACTCCTCTTGAATTCTGATAGGAATCCCAAAATCACTGTGGCTACTGGAAAGGGTCCTTGCGTGCCCTGCCTCACCTCAAGAAGCGTCCCATTTGCACTGCCAAGCCTCGATGAGATTCCTGAGGTGTCCCTCGTTACTAGACAGGAGTCCTGACGTCACTGAAGAAACTCGTGTTTTGAAGGGCCATCCCCGCCGTAAGTCGAGAACATACCCCAGGTCCCCGCCACAACTCGAGAAAAACCATGAAACTTCCCCCTAGAGGCGAGATGAGACCCCATTCCCCTGCAGTGCATGCAGAGCTATTCCGTGGTCCCATTCAAGCAAGTCAGGAGCTTCGACTTGCTTAATGGTTCTCGAGACAGTCCCCAAGAACACTGTCACCAGTCTCGACGGACCCTGAGGTCACCCCAGCAACGCAAAGCAGCTCCATGGGCCCCAAATCAACTCGAGATGAGGCCCGATTCCCCTGCATTGACTCCAGAGCCATTCCCCGTTCCCCATTCAACACGACCGGTGGCTCGACTTCCTTCAGGCAACTCCAGAGATACCCCGAGAACACTGTCCCAAGTCTAGAGGAACACCAACTTCAGCACAGCAACTCGAGGAATGCTCCGTGTACCATAAATCGTCTCGAGATGAGAGCTGATTCCCTGGCTTAGGCTCAAGACGTATGCCAACTTTCCAGACGCACCGCAGGAGGAGGCTTCTCTCAGCAATAGGTATGTAGGAGGGACCCCGAGTTCGCTGCCTCAAGGGCAATATACAGCAAGAAGCCCTAACTTGAAAGGAGGCCGGATTTCCTTGCAGTGGCTTGAATACAGGCTCGTTTTTCATCTCACAACATGAAGGGATGTCTGAATTCCCTGTGGAGACCTTAGAGAAAGCCCAAGGTCCCTGCCTCATTTTGACGGAATGCCTCACATCCCGCTGACACCTCAAGAGGCACGCGAAGTTCATTGTTTCAAATGGTGACAATGCCTCACTCCTCTTGAATACTGATAGGAATCCCAAAATCACTGTGGCTACTGGAAAGGGTCCTTGGGTGCCCTGCCTCACCTCGAGAAGCGTCCCTTTGGCCCTGCCAAGCCTCGAAGAGATTCCTGAGGTGTCCCTCGTTACTAGACACTAGTCCTGACGTCACTGAAGAAACTCGTGTTTTGAAGGGCCATCCCCGCCGTAAGTCGAGAACATACCCCAGGTCCCCGCCGCAACTCGAGAAAAACCATGAGACTTCCCCCTAGAGGCGAGATGAGGCCCCATTCCCCTGCAGTGCATGCAGAGCTATTCCGTGGTCACATTCAAGCAAGTCAGGAGCTTCGACTTGCTTAATGGATCTCGAGACAGTCCCCAAGAACACTGTCACCAGTCTCGACGGACTCTGAGGTCACCCCAGCAACACAAAGCAGCTCCATGGGCCCCAAATCAACTCGAGATGAGGCCCGATTCCCCTGCATTGACTCCAGAGCCATTCCCCGTTCCCCATTCAACACGACCGGTGGCTCGACTTCCTTCAGGCAACTCCAGAGATGCCCCGAGAACACTGTCACAAGTCTAGAGGAACAACAACTTCAGCACGGCAACTCGAGGAATGCTCCGTGTACCCCAAATCGTCTCGAGATGAGAGGTGATTCCCTGGCTTAGGCTCAAGACGTATGCCAACTTTCAAGACGCACCTCAGGAGGAGGCTTCTCTCAGCAATAGGTATGTGGGAGGGACCCCGAGTTCGCTGCCTCAAGGGCAATATACAGCGAGAAGCCCTAACTTGAAAGGAGGCCGGATTTCCTTGCAGTGGCTTGAATACAGGCTCGTCTTTCATCTCACGACATGAAGGGATGTCTGAATCCCCTGTGGAGACCTTAGAGAAAGCCCTAGGTCCCTGCCTCATTTTGACGGAATGCCTCACATCCCGTTGACACCTCAAGAGGCACGCGAAGTTCATTGCTTCAAAAGGTGACAATGCCTCACTCCTCTTGAATACTGATAGGAATCCCAAAATCCCTGTGGCTACTGGAAAGGGTCCTTGGGTGCCCTGCCTCACCTCGAGAAGCGTCCCTTTTGCCCTGCCAAGCCTCGAAGAGATTCCTGATGTGTCCCTCGTTACTAGACAGGAGTCCTGACGTCACTGAAGAAACTCGTGTTTTGAAGGGCCATCCCCGCCGTAAGTCGAGAACATACCCCAGGTCCCCGCCACAACTCGAGAAAAACCATGAGACTTCCCCCTAGAGGCGAGATGAGACCCCATTCCCCTGCAGTGCATGCAGAGCTATTCCGTGGTCCCATTCAAGCAAGTCAGGAGCTTCGACTTGCTTAATGGTTCTCGAGACAGTCCCCAAGAACACTGTCACCAGTCTCGACGGACCCTGAGGTCACCCCAGCAACGCAAAGCAGCTCCATGGGCCCCAAATCAACTCGAGATGAGGCCCGATTCCCCTGCATTGACTCCAGAGCCATTCCCCGTTCCCCATTCAACACGACCGGTGGCTCGACTTCCTTCAGGCAACTCCAGAGGTACCCCGAGAACACTGTCCCAAGTCTAGAGGAACACCAACTTCAGCACAGCAACTCGAGGAATGCTCCGTGTACACCGAATCATCTCGAGATGAGAGCTGATTCCCTGGCTTAGGCTCAAGACGTATGCCAACTTTCCAGACGCACCTCAGGAGGAGGCTTCTCTCAGCAATAGGTATGTGGGAGGGACCCCGAGTTCGCTGCCTCAAGGGCAATATACAGCGAGAAGCCCTAACTTGAAAGGAGGCTGGATTTCCTTGCAGTGGCTTGAATACAGGCTCGTCTTTCATCTCACAACATGAAGGGATGTCTGAATCCCCTGTGGAGACCTTAGAGAAAGCCCTAGGTCCCTGCCTCATTTTGACGGAATGCCTCACATCCCGTTGACACCTCAAGAGGCACGCGAAGTTCATTGCTTCAAAAGGTGACAATGTCTCACTCCTCTTGAATACTGATAGGAATACCAAAATCACTTTGGTACTGGAAAGGGTCCTTGGGTGCCCTGCCTCACCTCGAGAAGCGTCCCTTTTGCCCTGCCAAGCCTTGAAGAGATTCCTGAGGTGTCCCTCGTTACTAGACAGGAGTCCTGACGTCACTGAAGAAACTCGTGTTTTGAAGGGCCATCCCCGCCGTAAGTCGAGAACATACCCCAGGTCCCCGCCGCAACTCGAGAAAAACCATGAGACTTCCCCCTAGAGGCGAGATGAGGCCCCATTCCCCTGCAGTGCATGCAGAGCTATTCCGTGATCCCATTCAAACAAGTCAGGAGCTTCGACTTGCTTAATGGATCTCGAGACAGTCCCCAAGAACACTGTCACCAGTCTAGACGGACCCTGAGGTCACCCCAGCAACGCAAAGCAGCTCCATTTGCCCCAAATCAACTCGAGATGAGGACCGATTCCCCTGCATTGACTCCAGAGCCATTCCCCGTTCCCCATTCAACAGGACCGGTGGCTCGCTTTCCTTCAGGCAACTCCAGAGATGCCCCGAGAACACTGTCCCAAGTCTAGAGGAACACCAACTTCAGCACGGCAACTCGAGGAATGCTCCGTGTACCCCAAATCGTCTCGAGGTGAGAGGTGATTCTTGGCTTAGGCTCAAGACGTATGCCAACTTTCAAGACGCACCTCAGGAGGAGGCTTCTCTCAGCAATAGGTATGTGGGAGGGACCCCGAGTTCGCTGCCTCAAGGGCAATATACAGCGAGAAGCCCTAACTTGAAAGGAGGCCGGATTTCCTTGCAGTGGCTTGAATACAGGCTCGTCTTTCATCTCACAACATGAAGGGATGTCTGAATCCACTGTGGAGACCTTAGAGAAAGCCCTAGGTCCCTGCCTCATTTAGACGGAATGCCTCACATCCCGTTGACACCTCGAGAGGCACGCGGAGTTCATTGCTTCAAAAGGTGACAATGCCTCACTCCTCTTGAATACTGATAGGAATCCCAAAATCCCTGTGGCTACTGGAAAGGGTCCTTGGGTGCCCTGCCTCACCTCGAGAAGCGTCCCTTTTGCCCTGCCAAGCCTCGAAGAGATTCCTGAGGTGTCCCTCGTTACTAGACACTAGTCCTGACGTCACTGAAGAAACTCGTGTTTTGAAGGGCCATCCCCGCCGTAAGTCGAGAACATACCCCAGGTCCCCGCCGCAACTCGAGAAAAACCATGAGACTTCCCCCTAGAGGCGAGATGAGACCCCATTCCCCTGCAGTGCATGCAGAGCTATTCCGTGGTCCCATTCAAACAAGTCAGGAGCTTCGACTTGCTTAATGGATCTCGAGACAGTCCTCAAGAACACTGTCACCAGTCTCGATGGACCCTGAGGTCACCCCAGCAATGCAAAGCAGCTCCATGTGCCCCAAATCAACTCGAGATGAGGCTCGATTCCCCTGCATTGATTCCAGAGCCATTCCCTGTTCCCATTCAACACGAACGGTGGCTCGACTTCCTTCAGGCAACTCCAGAGATACCCCGAGAACACTGTCCCAAGTCTAGAGGAACACCAACTTCAGCACAGCAACTCGAGGAATGCTCCGTGTACACCAAATCATCTCGAGATGAGAGCTGATTCCCTGGCTTAGGCTCAAGACGTATGCCAACTTTCCAGACGCACCTCAGGAGGAGGCTTCTCTCAGCAATAGGTATGTGGGAGGGACCCCGAGTTCGCTGCCTCAAGGGCAATATACAGCGAGAAGCCCTAACTTGAAAGGAGGCCGGATTTCCTTGCAGTGGCTTGAATACAGGCTCGTCTTTCATCTCACAACATGAAGGGATGTCTGATTCCCCTGTGGAGACCTTAGAGAAAGCCCTAGGTCCCTGCCTCATTTTGACGGAATGCCTCACATCCCGTTGACACTTCAAGAGGCACGCGAAGTTCATTGCTTCAAAAGGTGACAATGCCTCACTCCTCTTGAATACTGATAGGAATACCAAAATCACTTTGGTACTGGAAAGGGTCCTTGGGTGCCTTGCCTCACCTCGAGAAGCGTCCCTTTTGCCCTGCCAAGCCTCGAAGAGATTCCTGAGGTGTCCCTCGTTACTAGACAGGAGTCCTGACGTCACTGAAGAAACTCGTGTTTTGAAGGGCCATCCCCGCCGTAAGTCGAGAACATACCCCAGGTCCCCGCCGCAACTCGAGAAAAACCATGAGACTTCCCCCTAGAGGCGAGATGAGGCCCCATTCCCCTGCAGTGCATGCAGAGCTATTCCGTGGTCCCATTCAAGCAAGTCAGGAGCTTCGACTTGCTTAATGGTTCTCGAGACAGTCCCCAAGAACACTGTCACCAGTCTCGAAGGACCATGAGGTCACCCCAGCAACGCAAAGCGGCTCCATGGGCCCCAAATCAACTCGAGATGAGGCCCGATTCCCCTGCATTGACTCCAGAGCCATTCCCCGTTCCCCATTCAACACGACCGGTGGCTCGACTTCCTTCAGGCAACTCCAGAGATGCCCCGAGAACACTGTCCCAAGTCTAGAGGAACACCAACTTCAGCACGGCAACTCGAGGAATGCTCCGTGTACCCCAAATCGTCTCGAGATGAGAGCTGATTCCCTGGCTTAGGCACAAGACGTATGCCAACTTTCAAGACGCACCTCAGGAGGAGGCTTCTCTCAGCAATAGGTAGGTGGGAGGGACCCCGAGTTCGCTGCCTCAAGGGCAATATATAGCGAGAAGCCCTAACTTGAAAGGAGGCCGGATTTCCTTGCAGTGGCTTGAATACAGGCTCGTCTTTCTTCTCACAACATGAAGGGATGTCTGAATCCCCTGTGGAGACCTTAGAGAAAGCCCTAGGTCCCTGCCTCATTTGGACGGAATGCCTCACATCCCGTTGACACCTCGAGAGGCACGCGGAGTTCATTGCTTCAAAAGGTGACAATGCCTCACTCCTCTTGAATTCTGATAAGAATCCCAAAATCCCTGTGGCTAATGGAAAGGGTCCTTGGGTGCCCTGCCTCACCTCAAGAAGCGTCCCATTTGCACTGCCAAGCCTCGATGAGATTCCTGAGGTGTCCCTCATTACTAGACAGGAGTCCTGACGTCACTGAAGAAACTCGTGTTTTGAAGGGCCATCCCCGCCGTAAGTCGAGAACATACCCCAGGTCCCCGCCGCAACTCGAGAAAAACCCTGAGACTTCCCCCTAGAGGCGAGATGAGGCCCCATTCCCCTGCAGTGCATGCAGAGCTATTCCGTGGTCCCATTCAAACAAGTCAGGAGCTTCGACTTGCTTAATGGATCTCGAGACAGTCCCCAAGAACACTGTCACCAGTCTCGACGGACGCTGAGGTCACCCCAGCAACGCAAAGCAGATCCATGTGCCCCAAATCAACTCGAGATGAGGCCCGATTCCCCTGCATTGACTCCAGAGCCATTCCCCGTTCCCCATTCAACACGACCGGTGGCTCGACTTCCTTCAGGAAACTGCAGAGATGCCCCGAGAACACTGTCCCAAGTCTAGAGGAACACCAACTTCAGCACGGCAACTCGAGGAATGCTCCGTGAACCGCAAATCGTCTCGAGATGAGAGGTGATTCCCTGGCTTAGGCTCAAGACGTATGCCAACTTTCCAGACGCACCTCAGGAGGAGGCTTCTCTCAGCAATAGGTATGTGGGAGGGACCCCGAGTTCGCTGCCTCAAGGGCAATATACAGCGAGAAGCCCTAACTTGAAAGGAGGCCGGATTTCCTTGCAGTGGCTTGAATACAGGCTCGTCTTTCATTTCACGACATGAAGGGATGCCTGAATCCCCTGTGGAGACCTTAGAGAAAGCCCTAGGTCCCTGCCTCATTTTGACGGAATGCCTCACATCCCGTTGACACCTCAAGAGGCACTCGAAGTTCATTGCTTCAAAAGGTGACAATGCCTGACTCCTCTTGAATACTGATAGGAATCCCAAAATCCCTGTGGCTACTGGAAAGGGTCCTTGGGTGCCCTGCCTCACCTCGAGAAGCGTCCCTTTTGCCCTGCCAAGCCTCGAAGAGATTCCTGAGGTGTCCCTCGTTACTAGACAGGAGTCCTGACGTCACTGAAGAAACTCGTGTTTTGAGGGCCATCCCCGCCGTAAGTCGAGAACATACCCCAGGTCCCCGCCGCAACTCGAGAAAAACCATGAGACTTCCCCCTAGAGGCGAGATGAGACCCCATTCCCCTGCAGTGCATGCAGAGCTATTCCGTGGTCCCATTCAAACAAGTCAGGAGCTTCGACTTGCTTAATGGATCTCGAGACAGTCCTCAAGAACACTGTCACCAGTCTCGATGGACCCTGAGGTCACCCCAGCAATGCAAAGCAGCTCCATGTGCCCCAAATCAACTCGAGATGAGGCTCGATTCCCCTGCATTGATTCCAGAGCCATTCCCTGTTCCCATTCAACACGAACGGTGGCTCGACTTCCTTCAGGCAACTCCAGAGATACCCCGAGAACACTGTCCCAAGTCTAGAGGAACACCAACTTCAGCACAGCAACTCGAGGAATGCTCCGTGTACACCAAATCATCTCGAGATGAGAGCTGATTCCCTGGCTTAGGCTCAAGACGTATGCCAACTTTCCAGACGCACCTCAGGAGGAGGCTTCTCTCAGCAATAGGTATGTGGGAGGGACCCCGAGTTCGCTGCCTCAAGGGCAATATACAGCGAGAAGCCCTAACTTGAAAGGAGGCCGGATTTCCTTGCAGTGGCTTGAATACAGGCTCGTCTTTCATCTCACAACATGAAGGGATGTCTGATTCCCCTGTGGAGACCTTAGAGAAAGCCCTAGGTCCCTGCCTCATTTTGACGGAATGCCTCACATCCCGTTGACACTTCAAGAGGCACGCGAAGTTCATTGCTTCAAAAGGTGACAATGCCTCACTCCTCTTGAATACTGATAGGAATACCAAAATCACTTTGGTACTGGAAAGGGTCCTTGGGTGCCCTGCCTCACCTCGAGAAGCGTCCCTTTTGCCCTGCCAAGCCTCGAAGAGATTCCTGAGGTGTCCCTCGTTACTAGACAGGAGTCCTGACGTCACTGAAGAAACTCGTGTTTTGAAGGGCCATCCCCGCCGTAAGTCGAGAACATACCCCAGGTCCCCGCCGCAACTCGAGAAAAACCATGAGACTTCCCCCTAGAGGCGAGATGAGGCCCCATTCCCCTGCAGTGCATGCAGAGCTATTCCGTGGTCCCATTCAAGCAAGTCAGGAGCTTCGACTTGCTTAATGGTTCTCGAGACAGTCCCCAAGAACACTGTCACCAGTCTCGAAGGACCATGAGGTCACCCCAGCAACGCAAAGCGGCTCCATGGGCCCCAAATCAACTCGAGATGAGGCCCGATTCCCCTGCATTGACTCCAGAGCCATTCCCCGTTCCCCATTCAACACGACCGGTGGCTCGACTTCCTTCAGGCAACTCCAGAGATGCCCCGAGAACACTGTCCCAAGTCTAGAGGAACACCAACTTCAGCACGGCAACTCGAGGAATGCTCCGTGTACCCCAAATCGTCTCGAGATGAGAGCTGATTCCCTGGCTTAGGCACAAGACGTATGCCAACTTTCAAGACGCACCTCAGGAGGAGGCTTCTCTCAGCAATAGGTAGGTGGGAGGGACCCCGAGTTCGCTGCCTCAAGGGCAATATATAGCGAGAAGCCCTAACTTGAAAGGAGGCCGGATTTCCTTGCAGTGGCTTGAATACAGGCTCGTCTTTCTTCTCACAACATGAAGGGATGTCTGAATCCCCTGTGGAGACCTTAGAGAAAGCCCTAGGTCCCTGCCTCATTTGGACGGAATGCCTCACATCCCGTTGACACCTCGAGAGGCACGCGGAGTTCATTGCTTCAAAAGGTGACAATGCCTCACTCCTCTTGAATTCTGATAAGAATCCCAAAATCCCTGTGGCTAATGGAAAGGGTCCTTGGGTGCCCTGCCTCACCTCAAGAAGCGTCCCATTTGCACTGCCAAGCCTCGATGAGATTCCTGAGGTGTCCCTCATTACTAGACAGGAGTCCTGACGTCACTGAAGAAACTCGTGTTTTGAAGGGCCATCCCCGCCGTAAGTCGAGAACATACCCCAGGTCCCCGCCGCAACTCGAGAAAAACCCTGAGACTTCCCCCTAGAGGCGAGATGAGGCCCCATTCCCCTGCAGTGCATGCAGAGCTATTCCGTGGTCCCATTCAAACAAGTCAGGAGCTTCGACTTGCTTAATGGATCTCGAGACAGTCCCCAAGAACACTGTCACCAGTCTCGACGGACGCTGAGGTCACCCCAGCAACGCAAAGCAGATCCATGTGCCCCAAATCAACTCGAGATGAGGCCCGATTCCCCTGCATTGACTCCAGAGCCATTCCCCGTTCCCCATTCAACACGACCGGTGGCTCGACTTCCTTCAGGAAACTGCAGAGATGCCCCGAGAACACTGTCCCAAGTCTAGAGGAACACCAACTTCAGCACGGCAACTCGAGGAATGCTCCGTGAACCGCAAATCGTCTCGAGATGAGAGGTGATTCCCTGGCTTAGGCTCAAGACGTATGCCAACTTTCCAGACGCACCTCAGGAGGAGGCTTCTCTCAGCAATAGGTATGTGGGAGGGACCCCGAGTTCGCTGCCTCAAGGGCAATATACAGCGAGAAGCCCTAACTTGAAAGGAGGCCGGATTTCCTTGCAGTGGCTTGAATACAGGCTCGTCTTTCATTTCACGACATGAAGGGATGCCTGAATCCCCTGTGGAGACCTTAGAGAAAGCCCTAGGTCCCTGCCTCATTTTGACGGAATGCCTCACATCCCGTTGACACCTCAAGAGGCACTCGAAGTTCATTGCTTCAAAAGGTGACAATGCCTGACTCCTCTTGAATACTGATAGGAATCCCAAAATCCCTGTGGCTACTGGAAAGGGTCCTTGGGTGCCCTGCCTCACCTCGAGAAGCGTCCCTTTTGCCCTGCCAAGCCTCGAAGAGATTCCTGAGGTGTCCCTCGTTACTAGACAGGAGTCCTGACGTCACTGAAGAAACTCGTGTTTTGAGGGCCATCCCCGCCGTAAGTCGAGAACATACCCCAGGTCCCCGCCGCAACTCGAGAAAAACCATGAGACTTCCCCCTAGAGGCGAGATGAGACCCCATTCCCCTGCAGTGCATGCAGAGCTATTCCGTGGTCCCATTCAAACAAGTCAGGAGCTTCGACTTGCTTAATGGATCTCGAGACAGTCCTCAAGAACACTGTCACCAGTCTCGATGGACCCTGAGGTCACCCCAGCAATGCAAAGCAGCTCCATGTGCCCCAAATCAACTCGAGATGAGGCTCGATTCCCCTGCATTGATTCCAGAGCCATTCCCTGTTCCCATTCAACACGAACGGTGGCTCGACTTCCTTCAGGCAACTCCAGAGATACCCCGAGAACACTGTCCCAAGTCTAGAGGAACACCAACTTCAGCACAGCAACTCGAGGAATGCTCCGTGTACACCAAATCATCTCGAGATGAGAGCTGATTCCCTGGCTTAGGCTCAAGACGTATGCCAACTTTCCAGACGCACCTCAGGAGGAGGCTTCTCTCAGCAATAGGTATGTGGGAGGGACCCCGAGTTCGCTGCCTCAAGGGCAATATACAGCGAGAAGCCCTAACTTGAAAGGAGGCCGGATTTCCTTGCAGTGGCTTGAATACAGGCTCGTCTTTCATCTCACAACATGAAGGGATGTCTGATTCCCCTGTGGAGACCTTAGAGAAAGCCCTAGGTCCCTGCCTCATTTTGACGGAATGCCTCACATCCCGTTGACACTTCAAGAGGCACGCGAAGTTCATTGCTTCAAAAGGTGACAATGCCTCACTCCTCTTGAATACTGATAGGAATACCAAAATCACTTTGGTACTGGAAAGGGTCCTTGGGTGCCCTGCCTCACCTCGAGAAGCGTCCCTTTTGCCCTGCCAAGCCTCGAAGAGATTCCTGAGGTGTCCCTCGTTACTAGACAGGAGTCCTGACGTCACTGAAGAAACTCGTGTTTTGAAGGGCCATCCCCGCCGTAAGTCGAGAACATACCCCAGGTCCCCGCCGCAACTCGAGAAAAACCATGAGACTTCCCCCTAGAGGCGAGATGAGGCCCCATTCCCCTGCAGTGCATGCAGAGCTATTCCGTGGTCCCATTCAAGCAAGTCAGGAGCTTCGACTTGCTTAATGGTTCTCGAGACAGTCCCCAAGAACACTGTCACCAGTCTCGAAGGACCCTGAGGTCACCCCAGCAACGCAAAGCGGCTCCATGGGCCCCAAATCAACTCGAGATGAGGCCCGATTCCCCTGCATTGACTCCAGAGCCATTCCCCGTTCCCCATTCAACACGACCGGTGGCTCGACTTCCTTCAGGCAACTGCAGAGATGCCCCGAGAACACTGTCCCAAGTCTAGAGGAACACCAACTTCAGCACGGCAACTCGAGGAATGCTCCGTGAACCGCAAATCGTCTCGAGATGAGAGGTGATTCCCTGGCTTAGGCTCAAGACGTATGCCAACTTTCCAGACGCACCTCAGGAGGAGGCTTCTCTCAGCAATAGGTATGTGGGAGGGACCCCGAGTTCGCTGCCTCAAGGGCAATATACAGCGAGAAGCCCTAACTTGAAAGGAGGCCGGATTTCCTTGCAGTGGCTTGAATACAGACTCGTCTTTCATCTCACAACATGAAGGGATGTCTGAATCCCCTGTGGAGACCTTAGAGAAAGCCCTAGGTCCCTGCCTCATTTAGACGGAATGCCTCACATCCCTTTGACACCTCGAGAGGCACGCGGAGTTCATTGCTTCAAAAGGTGACGATGCCTGACTCCTCTTGAATTCTGATAGGAATCCCAAAATCACTGTGGCTACTGGAAAGGGTCCTTGCGTGCCCTGCCTCACCTCAAGAAGCGTCCCATTTGCACTGCCAAGCCTCGATGAGATTCCTGAGGTGTCCCTCGTTACTAGACAGGAGTCCTGACGTCACTGAAGAAACTCGTGTTTTGAAGGGCCATCCCCGCCGTAAGTCGAGAACATACCCCAGGTCCCCGCCTCAACTCGAGAAAAACCATGAGACTTCCCGCTAGAGGCGAGATGAGACCCCATTCCCCTGCAGTGCATGCAGACCTATTCCGTGGTCCCATTCAAACAAGTCAGGAGCTTCGACTTGCTTAATGGATCTCGAGACAGTCCCCAAGAACACTGTCACCAGTCTCGACGGAACCTGAGGTCACCCCAGCAACGCAAAGCAGCTCCATGTGCCCCAAATCAACTCGAGATGAGGCCCGATTCCCCTGCATTGACTCCAGAGCCATTCCCCGTTCCCCATTCAACACGAACTGTGGCTCGACTTCCTTCAGGCAACTCCAGAGATACCCCGAGAACACTGTCCCAAGTCTAGAGGAACACCAACTTCAGCACAGCAACTCGAGGAATGCTCCGTGTACCCCAAATCGTCTCGAGATGAGAGCTGATTCCCTGGCTTAGGTTCAAGACGTATGCCAACTTTCCAGACGCACCTCAGGAGGAGGCTTCTCTCAGCAATAGGTATGTGGGAGGGTCCCCGAGTTTGCTGCCTAAAGGGCAATATACAGCTAGAAGCCCTAACTTGAAAGGAGGCCGGATTTCCTTGCAGTGGCTTGAATACAGGCTTGTCTTTCATCTCACAACATGAAGGGATGTCTGAATCCCCTGTGGAGACCTTAGAGAAAGCCCTATGTCCCTGCCTCATTTTGACGGAATGCCTCACATCCCGTTGACACCTCAAGAGGCACGCAAAGTTCATTGCTTCAAAAGGTGACAATGCCTCACTCCTCTTGAATACTGATAGGAATCCCAAAATCCCTGTGGCTACTGGAAAGGGTCCTTGGGTGCCCTGTCTCACCTCGAGAAGCGTCCCTTTTGCCCTGCCAAGCCTCGAAGAGATTCCTGAGGTGTCCCTCGTTACTAGACAGGAGTCCTGACGTCACTGAAGAAACTCGTGTTTTGAATGGCCATCCCTGCCGTAAGTCGAGAACATAACCCAGGTCCCCGCCGCAACTCGAGAAAAACCATGAGACTTCCGCCTAGAGGCGAGATGAGGCCCCATTCCCCTGCAGTGCATGCAGAGCTATTCCGTGGTCCCATTCAAGCAAGCCAGGGGCTTCGACTTGCTTAATGGTTCTCGAGACAGTCCCCAAGAACACTGTCACCAGTCTCGACGACCCTGAGGTCACCCCAGCAACGCAAAGCAGCTCCATGGGCCCCAAATCAACTCGAGATGAGGCCCGATTCCCCTGCATTGACTCCAGAGCCATTCCCCGTTCCCCATTCAACACGACCGGTGGCTCGACTTCCTTCAGGCAACTCCAGAGATGCCCCGAAAACACTGTCCCAAGTCTAGAGGAACACGAACTTCAGCACGGCAACTCGATGAACGCTCCGTGTACCCCAAATCGTCTCGAGATGAGAGGTGATTCCCTGGCTTAGGCTCAAGACGTATGCCAACTTTCCAGACGCACCGCAGGAGGAGGCTTCTCTCAGCAATAGGTATGTGGGAGGGACCCCGAGTTTGCTGCCTCAAGAGCAATATACAGCGAGAAGCCCTAACTTGAAAGGAGGCCGGATTTACTTGCAGTGGCTTGAATACAGGCTCGTTTTTCATCTCACAACATGAAGGGATGTCTGAATTCCCTGTGGAGACCTTAGAGAAAGCCCAAGGTCCCTGCCTCAGTTTGACGGAATGCCTCACATCCCGCTGACACCTCAAGAGGCACGCGAAGTTCATTGTTTCAAAAGGTGACAATGCCTCACTCCTCTTGAATTCTGATAGGAATCCCAAAATCCCTGTGGCTAATGGAAAGGGTCCTTGGGTGCCCTGCCTCACCTCAGGAAGCGTCCCATTTGCACTGCCAAGCCTCGATGAGATTCCTGAGGTGTCCCTCATTACTAGACAGGAGTCCTGACGTCACTGAAGAAACTCGTGTTTTGAAGGGCCATCCCCGCCGTAAGTCGAGAACATACCCCAGGTCCCCGCCGCAACTCGAGAAAAACCATGAGACTTCCCCCTGGAGGCGAGATGAGGCCCCATTCCCCTGCAGTGCATGCAGAGCTATTCCGTGGTCCCATTCAAACAAGTCAGGAGCTTCGACTTGCTTAATGGATCTCGAGACAGTCCCCAAGAACACTGTCACCAGTCTCGACGGACGCTGAGGTCACCCCAGCAACGCAAAGCAGATCCATGTGCCCCAAATCAACTCGAGATGAGGCCCGATTCCCCTGCATTGACTCCAGAGCCATTCCCCGTTCCCCATTCAACAAGACCGGTGGCTCGACTTCCTTCAGGCAACTCCAGAGATACCCCGAGAACACTGTCCCAAGTCTAGAGGAACACCAACTTCAGCACAGCAACTCGAGGAATGCTCCGTGTACCACAAATCGTCTCGAGATGAGAGCTGATTCCCTGGCTTAGGCTCAAGACGTATGCCAACTTTCCAGACGCACCTCAGGAGGAGGCTTCTCTCAGCAATAGGTATGTGGGAGGGACCCCGAGTTCGCTGCCTCAAGGGCAATATACAGCGAGAAGCCCTAACTTGAAAGGAGGCCGGATTTCCTTGCAGTGGCTTGAATACAGGCTTGTCTTTCATTTCACGGCATGAAGGGATGTCTGAATCCCCTGTGGAGACCTTAGAGAAAGCCCTAGGTCCCTGCCTCATTTTGAGGGAATGCCTCACATCCCGTTGACACCTCAAGAGGCACGCGAAGTTCATTGCTTCAAAAGGTGACAATGCCTCACTCCTCTTGAATACTGATAGGAATCCCAAAATCCCTGTGGCTACTGGAAAGGGTCCTTGGGTGCCCTGCCTCACCTCGAGAAGCGTCCCTTTTCCCTGCCAAGCCTCGAAGAGATTCCTGAGGTGTCCCTCGTTACTAGACAGGAGTCCTGACGTCACTGAAGAAACTCGTGTTTTGAGGGCCATCCCCGCCGTAAGTCGAGAACATACCCCAGGTCCCCGCCGCAACTCGAGAAAAACCATGAGACTTCCCCCTAGAGGCGAGATGAGACCCCATTCCCCTGCAGTGCATGCAGAGCTATTCCGTGGTCCCATTCAAACAAGTCAGGAGCTTCGACTTGCTTAATGGATCTCGAGACAGTCCTCAAGAACACTGTCACCAGTCTCGATGGACCCTGAGGTCACCCCAGCAACGCAAAGCAGCTCCATGTGCCCCAAATCAACTCGAGATGAGGCCTGATTCCCCTGCATTGACTCCAGAGCCATTCCCCGTTCCCCATTCAACACGACCGGTGGCTCGACTTCCTTCAGGCAACTCCAGAGATACCCCGAGAACACTGTCCCAAGTCTAGACGAACACCAACTTCAGCACAGCAACTCGAGGAATGCTCCGTGTACCATAAATCGTCTCGAGATGAGAGCTGTTTCCCTGGCTTAGGCTCAAGACGTATGCCAACTTTCCAGACGCACCTCAGGAGGAGGCTTCTCTCAGCAATAGGTATGTAGGAGGGACCCCGAGTTCGCTGCCTCAAGGGCAATATACAGCGAGAAGCCCTAACTTGAAAGGAGGCCGGATTTCCTTGCAGTGGCTTGAATACAGGCTCGTTTTTCATCTCACAACATGAAGGGATGTTTGAATTCCCTGTGGAGACCTTAGAGAAAGCCCAAGGTCCCTGCCTCATTTTGACGGAATGCCTCACATCCCGCTGACACCTCAAGAGGCACGCGAAGTTCATTGTTTCAAAAGGTGACAATGCCTCACTCCTCTTGAATACTGATAGGAATCCCAAAATCACTGTGGCTACTGGAAAGGGTCCTTGGGTGCCCTGCCTCACCTCGAGAAGCGTCCCTTTTGCCCTGCCAAGCCTCGAAGAGATTCCTGAGGTGTCCCTCGTTACTAGACACTAGTCCTGACGTCACTGAAGAAACTCGTGTTTTGAAGGGCCATCCCCGCCGTAAGTCGAGAACATACCCCAGGTCCCCGCCGCAACTCGAGAAAAACCATGAGACTTCCCCCTAGAGGCGAGATGAGGCCCCATTCCCCTGCAGTGCATGCAGAGCTATTCCGTGGTCCCATTCAAGCAAGTCAGGAGCTTCGACTTGCTTAATGGATCTCGAGACAGTCCCCAAGAACACTGTCACCAGTCTCGAAGGACCCTGAGGTCACCCCAGCAACACAAAGCAGCTCCATGGGCCCCAAATCAACTCGAGATGAGGCCCGATTCCCCTGCATTGACTCCAGAGCCATTCCCCGTTCCCCATTCAACACGACCGGTGGCTCGACTTCCTTCAGGCAACTCCAGAGATGCCCCGAGAACACTGTCCCAAGTCTAGAGGAACACCAACTTCAGCACGGCAACTCGAGGAATGCTCCGTGTACCCCAAATCGTCTCGAGATGAGAGGTGATTCCCTGGCTTAGGCTCAAGACGTATGCCAACTTTCAAGACGCACCTCAGGAGGAGGCTTCTCTCAGCAATAGGTATGTGGGAGGGACCCCGAGTTCGCTGCCTCAAGGGCAATATACAGCGAGAAGCCCTAACTTGAAAGGAGGCCGGATTTCCTTGCAGTGGCTTGAATACAGGCTCGTCTTTCTTCTCACAACAGGAAGGGATGTCTGAATCCCCTGTGGAGACCTTAGAGAAGGCCCTAGGTCCCTGCATCATTTGGACGGAATGCCTCACATCCCGTTGACACCTCGAGAGGCACGCGGAGTTCATTGCTTCAAAAGGTGACGATGCCTCACTCCTCTTGAATTCTGATAGGAATCCCAAAATCCCTGTGGCTAATGGAAAAGGTCCTTGGGTGCCCTGCCTCACCTCAGGAAGCGTCCCATTTGCACTGCCAAGCCTCGATGAGATTCCTGAGGTGTCCCTCGTTACTAGACAGGAGTCCTGACGTCACTGAAGAAACTCGTGTTTTGAAGAGCCATCCCCGCCGTAAGTCGAGAACATACCCCAGGTCCCCGCCGCAACTCGAGAAAAACCATGAGACTTCCCCCTGGAGGCGAGATGAGGCCCCATTCCCCTGCAGTGCATGCAGAGCTATTCCGTGGTCCCATTCAAACAAGTCAGGAGCTTCGACTTGCTTAATGGATCTCGAGACAGTCCCCAAGAACACTGTCACCAGTCTCGACGGACGCTGAGGTCACCCCAGCAACGCAAAGCAGATCCATGGGCCCCAAATCAACTCGAGATGAGGCCCGATTCCCCTGCATTGACTCCAGAGCCATTCCCCGTTCCCCATTCAACAAGACCGGTGGCTCGACTTCCTTCAGGCAACTCCAGAGATACCCCGAGAACACTGTCCCAGGTCTAGAGGAACACCAACTTCAGCACAGCAACTCGAGGAATGCTCCGTGTACCACAAATCGTCTCGAGATGAGAGCTGATTCCCTGGCTTAGGCTCAAGACGTATGCCAACTTTCCAGACGCACCTCAGGAGGAGGCTTCTCTCAGCAATAGGTATGTGGGAGGGACCCCGAGTTCGCTGCCTCAAGGGCAATATACAGCGAGAAGCCCTAACTTGAAAGGAGGCCGGATTTCCTTGCAGTGGCTTGAATACAGGCTTGTCTTTCATTTCACGACATGAAGGGATGTCTGAATCCCCTGTGGAGACCTTAGAGAAAGCCCTAGGTCCCTGCCTCATTTTGACGGAATGCCTCACATCCCGTTGACACCTCAAGAGGCACGCGAAGTTCATTGCTTCAAAAGGTGACAATGCCTCACTCCTCTTGAATACTGATAGGAATCCCAAAATCCCTGTGGCTACTGGAAAGGGTCCTTGGGTGCCCTGCCTCACCTCGAGAAGCGTCCCTTTTGCCCTGCCAAGCCTCGAAGAGATTCCTGAGGTGTCCCTCGTTACTAGACAGGAGTCCTGACGTCACTGAAGAAACTTGTGTTTTGAGGGCCATCCCCGCCGTAAGTCGAGAACATACCCCAGGTCCTCGCCGCAACTCGAGAAAAACAATGAGACTTCCCCCTAGAGGCGAGATGAGACCCCATTCCCCTGCAGTGCATGCAGAGCTATTCCGTGGTCCCATTCAAACAAGTCAGGAGCTTCGACTTGCTTAATGGATCTCGAGACAGTCCTCAAGAACACTGTCACCAGTCTCGATGGACCCTGAGGTCACCCCAGCAACGCAAAGCAGCTCCATGTGCCCCAAATCAACTCGAGATGAGGCCTGATTCCCCTGCATTGACTCCAGAGCCATTCCCCGTTCCCCATTCAACACGACCGGTGGCTCGACTTCCTTCAGGCAACTCCAGAGATACCCCGAGAACACTGTCCCAAGTCTAGACGAACACCAACTTCAGCACGGCAACTCGAGGAATGCTCCGTGTACCATAAATCGTCTCGAGATGAGAGCTGTTTCCCTGGCTTAGGCTCAAGACGTATGCCAACTTTCCAGACGCACCGCAGGAGGAGGCTTCTCTCAGCAATAGGTATGTAGGAGGGACCCCGAGTTCGCTGCCTCAAGGGCAATATACAGCGAGAAGCCCTAACTTGAAAGGAGGCCGGATTTCCTTGCAGTGGCTTGAATACAGGCTCGTTTTTCATCTCACAACATGAAGGGATGTTTGAATTCCCTGTGGAGACCTTAGAGAAAGCCCAAGGTCCCTGCCTCATTTTGACGGAATGCCTCACATCCCGCTGACACCTCGAGAGGCACGCGAAGTTCATTGTTTCAAAAGGTGACGATGCCTCACTCCTCTTGAATACTGATAGGAATCCCAAAATCACTGTGGCTACTGGAAAGGGTCCTTGGGTGCCCTGCCTCACCTCGAGAAGCGCCCCTTTTGCCCTGCCAAGCCTCGAAGAGATTCCTGAGGTGTCCCTCGTTACTAGACACGAGTCCTGACGTCACTGAAGAAACTCGTGTTTTGAAGGGCCATCCCCGCCGTAAGTCGAGAACATACCCCAGGTCCCCGCCGCAACTCGAGAAAAACCATGAGACTTCCCCCTAGAGGCGAGATGAGGCCCCATTCCCCTGCAGTGCATGCAGAGCTATTCCGTGGTCCCATTCAAGCAAGTCAGGAGCTTCGACTTGCTTAATGGATCTCGAGACAGTCCCCAAGAACTCTGTCACCAGTCTCGAAGGACCCTGAGGTCACCCCAGCAACGCAAAGCAGCTCCATGGGCCCCAAATCAACTCGAGATGAGGCCCGATTCCCCTGCATTGACTCCAGAGCCATTCCCCGTTCCCCATTCAACACGAACTGTGGCTCGACTTCCTTCAGGCAACTCCAGAGATACCCCGAGAACACTGTCCCAAGTCTAGAGGAACACCAACTTCAGCACAGCAACTCGAGGAATGCTCCGTGTACCCCAAATCGTCTCGAGATGAGAGCTGATTCCCTGGCTTAGGCTCAAGAAGTATGCCAACTTTCCAGACGCACCTCAGGAGGAGGCTTCTCTCAGCAATAGGTATGTGGGAGGGACACCGAGTTCGCTGCCTCAAGGGCAATATACAGCGAGAAGCCCTAACTTGAAACGAGGCCGGATTTCCTTGCAGTGGCTTGAATACAGGCTCGTTTTTCATCTCACAACATGAAGGGATGTCTGAATCCCCTGTGGAGACCTTAGAAAAAGCCCTAGGTCCCTGCCTCATTTGGACGGAATGCCTCACATCCCGTTGACACCTCGAGAGGCACGCGGAGTTCATTGCTTCAAAACGTGACGATGCCTCACTCTTCTTGAATTCTGATAGGAATCCCAAAATCCCTGTGGCTACTGGAAAGGGTCCTTGGGTGCCCTGCCTCACCTCAAGAAGCGTCCCATTTGCACTGCCAAGCCTCGATGAGATTCCTGAGGTGTCCCTCATTACTAGAAAGGAGTCCTGACGTCACTGAAGAAACTCGTGTTTTGAAGGGCCATCCCCGCCGTAAGTCGAGAACATACCCCAGGTCCCCGCCGCAACTCGAGAAAAACCATGAGACTTCCCCCTAGAGGCGAGATGAGGCCCCATTCCCCTGCAGTGCATGCAGAGCTATTCCGTGGTCCCATTCAAACAAGTCAGGAGCTTCGACTTGCTTAATGGATTTCGAGACAGTCCCCAAGAACACTGTCACCAGTCTCGACGGACGCTGAGGTCACCCCAGCAACGCAAAGCAGATCCATGTGCCCCAAATCAACTCGAGATGAGGCCCGATTCCCTTGCATTGACTCCAGAGCCATTCCCCGTTCCCCATTCAACAAGACCGGTGGCTCGACTTCCTTCAGGCAACTCCAGAGATACCCCGAGAACACTGTCCCAAGTCTAGAGGAACACCAACTTCAGCACAGCAACTCGAGGAATGCTCCGTGTACCACAAATCGTCTCGAGATGAGAGCTGATTCCCTAGCTTAGGCTCAAGACGTATGCCAACTTTCCAGACGCACCTCAGGAGGAGGCTTCTCTCAGCAATAAGTATGTGGGAGGGACCCCGAGTTCGCTGCCTCAAGGGCAATATACAGCGAGAAGCCCTAACTTGAAAGGAGGCCGGATTTCCTTGCAGTGGCTTGAATACAGGCTCGTCTTTCATTTCACGACATGAAGGGATGTCTGAATCCCCTGTGGAGACCTTAGAGAAAGCCCTAGGTCCCTGCCTCATTTTGACGGAATGCCTCACATCCCGCTGACACCTCAAGAGGCACGCGAAGTTCATTGCTTCAAAAGGTGACAATGCCTCACTCCTCTTGAATACTGATAGGAATCCCAAAATCCCTGTGGCTACTGGAAAGGGTCCTTGGGTGCCCTGCCTCACCTCGAGTAGCGTCCCTTTTGCCCTGCCAAGCCTCGAAGAGATTCCTGAGGTGTCCCTCGTTACTAGACAGGAGTCCTGACGTCACTGAAGAAACTCGTGTTTTGAGGGCCATCCCCGCCGTAAGTCGAGAACATACCCCAGGTCCCCGCCGCAACTCGAGAAAAACCATGAGACTTCCCCCTAGAGGCGAGATGAGACCCCATTCCCCTGCAGTGCATGCAGAGCTATTCCGTGGTCCCATTCAAACAAGTCAGGAGCTTCGACTTGCTTAATGGATCTCGAGACAGTCCTCAAGAACACTGTCACCAGTCTCGACGGACCCTGAGGTCACCCCAGCAATGCAAAGCAGCTCCATGTGCCCCAAATCAACTCGAGATGAGGCTCGATTCCCCTGCATTGATTCCAGAACCATTCCCTGTTCCCATTCAACACGAACGGTGGCTCGACTTCCTTCAGGCAACTATAGAGATACCCCGAGAACACTGTCCCAAGTCTAGAGGAACACCAACTTCAGCACAGCAACTCGAGGAATGCTCCGTGTACACCAAATCATCTCGAGATGAGAGCTGATTCCCTGGCTTAGGCTCAAGACGTATGCCAACTTTCCAGACGCACCTCAGGAGGAGGCTTCTCTCAGCAATAGGTATGTGGGAGGGACCCCGAGTTCGCTGCCTCAAGGGCAATATACAGCGAGAAGCCCTAACTTGAAAGGAGGCCGGATTTCCTTGCAGTGGCTTGAATACAGGCTCGTCTTTCATCTCACAACATGAAGGGATGTCTGAATCCCCTGTGGAGACCTTAGAGAAAGCCCTAGGTCCCTGCCTCATTTTGACGGAATGCCTCACATCCCGTTGCCACCTCAAGAGGCACGCGATGTTCATTGCTTCAAAAGGTGACGATGCCTCACTCCTCTTGAATTCTGATAGGAATCCCAAAATCCCTGTGGCTAATGGAAAGGGTCCTTGGGTGCCCTGCCTCACCTCAGGAAGCGTCCCATTTGCACTGCCAAGCCTCGATGAGATTCCTGAGGTGTCCCTCATTACTAGACAGGAGTCCTGACGTCACTGAAGAAACTCGTGTTTTGAAGGGCCATCCCCCCCGTAAGTCGAGAACATACCCCAGGTCCCCGCCGCAACTCGAGAAAAACCATGAGACTTCCCCCTGGAGGCGAGATGAGGCCCCATTCCCCTGCAGTGCATGCAGAGCTATTCCGTGGTCCCATTCAAACAAGTCAGGAGCTTCGACTTGCTTAATGGATCTCGAGACAGTCCCCAAGAACACTGTCACCAGTCTCGACGGACGCTGAGGTCACCCCAGCAACGCAAAGCAGATCCATGTGCCCCAAATCAACTCGAGATGAGGCCCGATTCCCCTGCATTGACTCCAGAGCCATTCCCCGTTCCCCATTCAACAAGACCGGTGGCTCGACTTCCTTCAGGCAACTCCAGAGATACCCCGAGAACACTGTCCCAAGTCTAGAGGAACACCAACTTCAGCACAGCAACTCGAGGAATGCTCCGTGTACCACAAATCGTCTCGAGATGAGAGCTGATTCCCTGGCTTAGGCTCAAGACGTATGCCAACTTTCCAGACGCACCTCAGGAGGAGGCTTCTCTCAGCAATAGGTATGTGGGAGGGACCCCGAGTTCGCTGCCTCAAGGGCAATATACAGCAAGAAGCCCTAACTTGAAAGGAGGCCGGATTTCCTTGCAGTGGCTTGAATACAGGCTTGTCTTTCATTTCACGACATGAAGGGATGTCTGAATCCCCTGTGGAGACCTTAGAGAAAGCCCTAGGTCCCTGCCTCATTTTGAGGGAATGCCTCACATCCCGTTGACACCTCAAGAGGCACGCGAAGTTCATTGCTTCAAAAGGTGACAATGCCTCACTCCTCTTGAATACTGATAGGAATCCCAAAATCCCTGTGGCTACTGGAAAGGGTCCTTGGGTGCCCTGCCTCACCTCGAGAAGCGTCCCTTTTGCCCTGCCAAGCCTCGAAGAGATTCCTGAGGTGTCCCTCGTTACTAGACAGGAGTCCTGACGTCACTGAAGAAACTCGTGTTTTGAGGGCCATCCCCGCCGTAAGTCGAGAACATACCCCAGGTCCCCGCCGCAACTCGAGAAAAACCATGAGACTTCCCCCTAGAGGCGAGATGAGACCCCATTCCCCTGCAGTGCATGCAGAGCTATTCCGTGGTCCCATTCAAACAAGTCAGGAGCTTCGACTTGCTTAATGGATCTCGAGACAGTCCTCAAGACCACTGTCACCAGTCTCGATGGACCCTGAGGTCACCCCAGCAACGCAAAGCAGCTCCATGTGCCCCAAATCAACTCGAGATGAGGCCAGATTCCCCTGCATTGACTCCAGAGCCATTCCCCGTTCCCCATTCAACAAGACCGGTGGCTCGACTTCCTTCAGGCAACTCCAGAGATACCCCGAGAACACTGTCCCAAGTCTAGACGAACACCAACTTCAGCACAGCAACTCGAGGAATGCTCCGTGTACCATAAATCGTCTCGAGATGAGAGCTGTTTCCCTGGCTTAGGCTCAAGACGTATGCCAACTTTCCAGACGCACCTCAGGAGGAGGCTTCTCTCAGCAATAGGTATGTAGGAGGGACCCCGAGTTCGCTGCCTCAAGCGCAATATACAGCGAGAAGCCCTAACTTGAAAGGAGGCCGGATTTCCTTGCAGTGGCTTGAATACAGGCTCGTTTTTCATCTCACAACATGAAGGGATGTTTGAATTCCCTGTGGAGACCTTAGAGAAAGCCCAAGGTCCCTGCCTCATTTTGACGGAATGCCTCACATCCCGCTGACACCTCAAGAGGCACGCGAAGTTCATTGTTTCAAAAGGTGACAATGCCTCACTCCTCTTGAATACTGATAGGAATCCCAAAATCACTGTGGCTACTGGAAAGGGTCCTTGGGTGCCCTGCCTCACCTCGAGAAGCGTCCCTTTTGCCCTGCCAAGCCTCGAAGAGATTCCTGAGGTGTCCCTCGTTACTAGACACTAGTCCTGACGTCACTGAAGAAACTCGTGTTTTGAAGGGCCATCCCCGCCGTAAGTCGAGAACATACCCCAGGTCCCCGCCGCAACTCGAGAAAAACCATGAGACTTCCCCCTAGAGGCGAGATGAGGCCCCATTCCCCTGCAGTGCATGCAGAGCTATTCCGTGGTCCCATTCAAGCAAGTCAGGAGCTTCGACTTGCTTAATGGATCTCGAGACAGTCCCCAAGAACACTGTCACCAGTCTCGAAGGACCCTGAGGTCACCCCAGCAACACAAAGCAGCTCCATGGGCCCCAAATCAACTCGAGATGAGGCCCGATTCCCCTGCATTGACTCCAGAGCCATTCCCCGTTCCCCATTCAACACGACCGGTGGCTCGACTTCCTTCAGGCAACTCCAGAGATGCCCCGAGAACACTGTCCCAAGTCTAGAGGAACACCAACTTCAGCACGGCAACTCGAGGAATGCTCCGTGTACCCCAAATCGTCTCGAGATGAGAGGTGATTCCCTGGCTTAGGCTCAAGACGTATGCCAACTTTCAAGACGCACCTCAGGAGGAGGCTTCTCTCAGCAATAGGTATGTGGGAGGGACCCCGAGTTCACTGCCTCAAGGGCAATATACAGCGAGAAGCCCTAACTTGAAAGGAGGCCGGATTTCCTTGCAGTGGCTTGAATACAGGCTCGTCTTTCTTCTCACAACAGGAAGGGATGTCTGAATCCCCTGTGGAGACCTTAGAGAAGGCCCTAGGTCCCTGCCTCATTTGGACGGAATGCCTCACATCCCGTTGACACCTCGAGAGGCACGCGGAGTTCATTGCTTCAAAAGGTGACGATGCCTCACTCCTCTTGAATTCTGATAGGAATCCCAAAATCCCTGTGGCTAATGGAAAGGGTCCTTGGGTGCCCTGCCTCACCTCAGGAAGCGTCCCATTTGCACTGCCAAGCCTCGATGAGATTCCTGAGGTGTCCCTCGTTACTAGACAGGAGTCCTGACGTCACTGAAGAAACTCGTGTTTTGAAGGGCCATCCCCGCCGTAAGTCGAGAACATACCCCAGGTCCCCGCCGCAACTCGAGAAAAACCATGAGACTTCCCCCTGGAGGCGAGATGAGGCCCCATTCCCCTGCAGTGCATGCAGAGCTATTCCGTGGTCCCATTCAAACAAGTCAGGAGCTTCGACTTGCTTAATGGATCTCGAGACAGTCCCCAAGAACACTGTCACCAGTCTCGACGGACGCTGAGGTCACCCCAGCAACGCAAAGCCGATCCATGGGCCCCAAATCAACTCGAGATGAGGCCCGATTCCCCTGCATTGACTCCAGAGCCATTCCCCGTTCCCCATTCAACAAGACCGGTGGCTCGACTTCCTTCAGGCAACTCCAGAGATACCCCGAGAACACTGTCCCAAGTCTAGAGGAACACCAACTTCAGCACAGCAACTCGAGGAATGCTCCGTGTACCACAAATCGTCTCGAGATGAGAGCTGATTCCCTGGCTTAGGCTCAAGACGTATGCCAACTTTCCAGACGCACCTCAGGAGGAGGCTTCTCTCAGCAATAGGTATGTGGGAGGGACCCCGAGTTCGCTGCCTCAAGGGCAATATACAGCGAGAAGCCCTAACTTGAAAGGAGGCCGGATTTCCTTGCAGTGGCTTGAATACAGGCTTGTCTTTCATTTCACGACATGAAGGGATGTCTGAATCCCCTGTGGAGACCTTAGAGAAAGCCCTAGGTCCCTGCCTCATTTTGAGGGAATGCCTCACATCCCGTTGACACCTCAAGAGGCACGCGAAGTTCATTGCTTCAAAAGGTGACAATGCCTCACTCCTCTTGAATACTGATAGGAATCCCAAAATCCCTGTGGCTACTGGAAAGGGTCCTTGGGTGCCCTGCCTCACCTCGAGAAGCGTCCCTTTTGCCCTGCCAAGCCTCGAAGAGATTCCTGAGGTGTCCCTCGTTACTAGACAGGAGTCCTGACGTCACTGAAGAAACTCGTGTTTTGAGGGCCATCCCCGCCGTAAGTCGAGAACATACCCCAGGTCCCCGCCGCAACTCGAGAAAAACCATGAGACTTCCCCCTAGAGGCGAGATGAGACCCCATTCCCCTGCAGTGCATGCAGAGCTATTCCGTGGTCCCATTCAAACAAGTCAGGAGCTTCGACTTGCTTAATGGATCTCGAGACAGTCCTCAAGAACACTGTCACCAGTCTCGATGGACCCTGAGGTCACCCCAGCAACGCAAAGCAGCTCCATGTGCCCCAAATCAACTCGAGATGAGGCCTGATTCCCCTGCATTGACTCCAGAGCCATTCCCCGTTCCCCATTCAACACGACCGGTGGCTCGACTTCCTTCAGGCAACTCCAGAGATACCCCGAGAACACTGTCCCAAGTCTAGACGAACACCAACTTCAGCACGGCAACTCGAGGAATGCTCCGTGTACCATAAATCGTCTCGAGATGAGAGCTGTTTCCCTGGCTTAGGCTCAAGACGTATGCCAACTTTCCAGACGCACCTCAGGAGGAGGCTTCTCTCAGCAATAGGTATGTAGGAGGGACCCCGAGTTCGCTGCCTCAAGGGCAATATACAGCGAGAAGCCCTAACTTGAAAGGAGGCCGGATTTCCTTGCAGTGGCTTGAATACAGGCTCGTTTTTCATCTCACAACATGAAGGGATGTTTGAATTCCCTGTGGAGACCTTAGAGAAAGCCCAAGGTCCCTGCCTCATTTTGACGGAATGCCTCACATCCCGCTGACACCTCGAGAGGCACGCGAAGTTCATTGTTTCAAAAGGTGACGATGCCTCACTCCTCTTGAATACTGATAGGAATCCCAAAATCACTGTGGCTACTGGAAAGGGTCCTTGGGTGCCCTGCCTCACCTCGAGAAGCGTCCCTTTTGCCCTGCCAAGCCTCGAAGAGATTCCTGAGGTGTCCCTCGTTACTAGACACGAGTCCTGACGTCACTGAAGAAACTCGTGTTTTGAAGGGCCATCCCCGCCGTAAGTCGAGAACATACCCCAGGTCCCCGCCGCAACTCGAGAAAAACCATGAGACTTCCCCCTAGAGGCGAGATGAGACCCCATTCCCCTGCAGTGCATGCAGAGCTATTCCGTGGTCCCATTCAAGCAAGTCAGGAGCTTCGACTTGCTTAATGGATCTCGAGACAGTCCCCAAGAACACTGTCACCAGGCTCGAAGGACCCTGAGGTCACCCCAGCAACGCAAAGCAGCTCCATGGGCCCCAAATCAACTCGAGATGAGGCCCGATTCCCCTGCATTGACTCCAGAGCCATTCCCCGTTCCCCATTCAACACGAACTGTGGCTCGACTTCCTTCAGGCAACTCCAGAGATACCCCGAGAACACTGTCCCAAGTCTAGAGGAACACCAACTTCAGCACAGCAACTCGAGGAATGCTCCGTGTACCCCAAATCGTCTCGAGATGAGAGCTGATTCCCTGGCTTAGGCTCAAGACGTATGCCAACTTTCCAGACGCACCTCAGGAGGAGGCTTCTCTCAGCAATAGGTATGTGGGAGGGACACCGAGTTCGCTGCCTCAAGGGCAATATACAGCGAGAAGCCCTAACTTGAAAGGAGGCCGGATTTCCTTGCAGTGGCTTGAATACAGGCTCGTTTTTCATCTCACAACATGAAGGGATGTCTGAATTCCCTGTGGAGACCTTAGAGAAAGCCCAAGGTCCCTGCCTCATTTTGACGGAATGCCTCACATCCCGCTGACACCTCAAGAGGCACGCGAAGTTCATTGTTTCAAAAGGTGACAATGCCTCACTCCTCTTGAATACTGATAGGAATCCCAAAATCCCTGTGGCTACTGGAAAGGTTCCTTGGGTGCCCTGACTCACCTCGAGAAGCGTCCCTTTTGCCCTGCCAAGACTCGAAGAGATTCCTGAGGTGTCCCTCGTTACTAGACAGGAGTCCTGACGTCACTGAAGAAACTCGTGTTTTGAAGGGCCATCCCCGCCGTAAGTCGAGAACATACCCCAGGTCCCCGCCGCAACTCGAGAAAAACCATGAGACTTCCCCCTAGAGGCGAGATGAGGCCCCATTCCCCTGCAGTGCATGCAGAGCTATTCCGTGGTCCCATTCAAGCAAGTCAGGAGCTTCGACTTGCTTAATGGATCTCGAGACAGTCCCCAAGAACACTGTCACCAGTCTCGACGGACCCTGAGGACACCCCAGCAACACAAAGCAGCTCCATGGGCCCCAAATCAACTCGAGATGAGGCCCGATTCCCCTGCATTGACTCCAGAGCCATTCCCCGTTCCCCATTCAACACGACCGGTGGCTCGACTTCCTTCAGGCAACTCCAGAGATGCCCCGAGAACATTGTCCCAAGTCTAGAGGAACACCAACTTCAGCACAGCAACTCGAGGAATGCTCCGTGTACCCCAAATCGTCTCGAGATGAGAGGTGATTCCCTGGCTTAGGCTCAAGACGTATGCCAACTTTCCAGACGCACCTCAGGAGGAGGCTTCTCTCAGCAATAGGTATGTGGGAGGGACCCCGATTTTGCTGCCTCAAGGGCAATATACAGCTAGAAGCCCTAACTTGAAAGGAGGCCGGATTTCCTTGCAGTGGCTTGAATACAGGCTCGTCTTTCATCTCACGACATGAAGGGATGTCTGAATCCCCTGTGGAGACCTTAGAGAAAGCCCTATGTAACTGCCTCATTTTGACGGAATGCCTCACATCCCGTTGACACCTCAAGAGCCACGCGAAGTTCATTGCTTCAAAGGTGACAATGCCTCACTCCTCTTGAATACTGATAGGAATACCAAAATCCCTGTGGCTACTGGAAAGGGTCCTTGGGTGCCCTGCCTCACCTCGAGAAGCGTCCCTTTTGCCCTGCCAAGCCTCGAAGAGATTCCTGAGGTGTCCCTCGTTACTAGACAGGAGTCCTGACGTCACTGAAGAAACTCGTGTTTTGAATGGCCATCCCCGCCGTAAGTCGAGAACATACCCCAGGTCCCCGCCGCAACTCGAGAAAAACCATGAGACTTCCGCCTAGAGGCGAGATGAGGACCCATTCCCCTGCAGTGCATGCAGAGCTATTCCGTGGTCCCATTCAAGCAAGCCAGGGGCTTCGACTTGCTTAATGGTTTTCGAGAAAGTCCCCAAGAACACTGTCACCAGTCTCGACGACCCTGAGGTCACCCCAGCAACGCAAAGCAGCTCCATGGGCCCCAAATCAACTCGAGATGAGGCCCGATTCCCCTGCATTGACTCCAGAGCCATTCCCCGTTCCCCATTCAACACGACCGGTGGCTCGACTTCCTTCAGGCAACTCCAGAGATGCCCCGAAAACACTGTCCCAAGTCTAGAGGAACACGAACTTCAGCAGGGCAACTCGATGAACGCTCCGTGTACCCCAAATCGTCTCGAGATGAGAGGTGATTCCCTGGCTTAGGCTCAAGACGTATGCCAACTTTCCAGACGCACCTCAGGAGGAGGCTTCTGTCAGCAATAGGTATGTGGGAGGGACCCCGAGTTCGCTGCCTCAAGGGCAATATACAGCGAGAAGCCCTAACTTGAAAGGAGGCCGGATTTCCTTGCAGTGGCTTGAATACAGGCTCGTCTTTCTTCTCACAACATTAAGGGATGTCTGAATCCCCTGTGGAGACCTTAGAGAAAGCCCTAGGTCCCTGCCTCATTTGGACGGAATGCCTCATATCCCGTTGACACCTCGAGAGGCACGCGGAGTTCATTGCTTCAAAACGTGACGATGCCTCACTCTTCTTGAATTCTGATAGGAATCCCAAAATCCCTGTGGCTACTGGAAAGGGTCCTTGGGTGCCCTGCCTCACCTCAAGAAGCGTCCCATTTGCACTGCCAAGCCTCGATGAGATTCCTGAGGTGTCCCTCATTACTAGACAGGAGTCCTGACGTCACTGAAGAAACTCGTGTTTTGAAGGGCCATCCCCGCCGTAAGTCGAGAACATACCCCAGGTCCCCGCCGCAACTCGAGAAAAACCATGAGACTTCCCCCTAGAGGCGAGATGAGGCCCCATTCCCCTGCAGTGCATGCAGAGCTATTCCGTGGTTCCATTCAAACAAGTCAGGAACTTCGACTTGCTTAATGGATCTCGAGACAGTCCCCAAGAACACTGTCACCAGTCTCGACGGACGCTGAGGTCACCCCAGCAACGCAAAGCAGATCCATGTGCCCCAAATCAACTCGAGATGAGGCCCGATTCCCTTGCATTGACTCCAGAGCCATTCCCCGTTCCCCATTCAACAAGACCGGTGGCTCGACTTCCTTCAGGCAACTCCAGAGATACCCCGAGAACACTGTCCCAAGTCTAGAGGAACACCAACTTCAGCACAGCAACTCGAGGAATGCTCCGTGTACCACAAATCGTCTCGAGATGAGAGCTGATTCCCTAGCTTAGGCTCAAGACGTATGCCAACTTTCCAGACGCACCTCAGGAGGAGGCTTCTCTCAGCAATAAGTATGTGGGAGGGACCCCGAGTTCGCTGCCTCAAGGGCAATATACAGCGAGAAGCCCTAACTTGAAAGGAGGCCGGATTTCCTTGCAGTGGCTTGAATACAGGCTCGTCTTTCATTTCACGACATGAAGGGATGTCTGAATCCCCTGTGGAGACCTTAGAGAAAGCCCTAGGTCCCTGCCTCATTTTGACGGAATGCCTCACATCCCGCTGACACCTCAAGAGGCACGCGAAGTTCATTGCTTCAAAAGGTGACAATGCCTCACTCCTCTTGAATACTGATAGGAATCCCAAAATCCCTGTGGCTAGTGGAAAGGGTCCTTGGGTGCCCTGCCTCACCTCGAGTAGCGTCCCTTTTGCCCTGCCAAGCCTCGAAGAGATTCCTGAGGTGTCCCTCGTTACTAGACAGGAGTCCTGACGTCACTGAAGAAACTCGTGTTTTGAGGGACATCCCCGCCGTAAGTCGAGAACATACCCCAGGTCCCCGCCGCAACTCGAGAAAAACCATGAGACTTCCCCCTAGAGGCGAGATGAGACCCCATTCCCCTGCAGTGCATGCAGAGCTATTCCGTGGTCCCATTCAAACAAGTCAGGAGCTTCGACTTGCTTAATGGATCTCGAGAGAGTCCTCAAGAACACTGTCACCAGTCTCGACGACCCTGAGGTCACCCCAGCAACGCAAAGCAGCTCCATGGGCCCCAAATCAACTCGAGATGAGGCCCGATTCCCCTGCATTGACTCCAGAGCCATTCCCCGTTCCCCATTCAACACGACCGGTGGCTCGACTTCCTTCAGGCAACTCCAGAGATGCCCCGAAAACACTGTCCCAAGTCTAGAGGAACACGAACTTCAGCAGGGCAACTCGATGAACGCTCCGTGTACCCCAAATCGTCTCGAGATGAGAGGTGATTCCCTGGCTTAGGCTCAAGACGTATGCCAACTTTCCAGACGCACCTCAGGAGGAGGCTTCTGTCAGCAATAGGTATGTGGGAGGGACCCCGAGTTCGCTGCCTCAAGGGCAATATACAGCGAGAAGCCCTAACTTGAAAGGAGGCCGGATTTCCTTGCAGTGGCTTGAATACAGGCTCGTCTTTCTTCTCACAACATTAAGGGATGTCTGAATCCCCTGTGGAGACCTTAGAGAAAGCCCTAGGTCCCTGCCTCATTTGGACGGAATGCCTCATATCCCGTTGACACCTCGAGAGGCACGCGGAGTTCATTGCTTCAAAACGTGACGATGCCTCACTCTTCTTGAATTCTGATAGGAATCCCAAAATCCCTGTGGCTACTGGAAAGGGTCCTTGGGTGCCCTGCCTCACCTCAAGAAGCGTCCCATTTGCACTGCCAAGCCTCGATGAGATTCCTGAGGTGTCCCTCATTACTAGACAGGAGTCCTGACGTCACTGAAGAAACTCGTGTTTTGAAGGGCCATCCCCGCCGTAAGTCGAGAACATACCCCAGGTCCCCGCCGCAACTCGAGAAAAACCATGAGACTTCCCCCTAGAGGCGAGATGAGGCCCCATTCCCCTGCAGTGCATGCAGAGCTATTCCGTGGTCCCATTCAAACAAGTCAGGAACTTCGACTTGCTTAATGGATCTCGAGACAGTCCCCAAGAACACTGTCACCAGTCTCGACGGACGCTGAGGTCACCCCAGCAACGCAAAGCAGATCCATGTGCCCCAAATCAACTCGAGATGAGGCCCGATTCCCTTGCATTGACTCCAGAGCCATTCCCCGTTCCCCATTCAACAAGACCGGTGGCTCGACTTCCTTCAGGCAACTCCAGAGATACCCCGAGAACACTGTCCCAAGTCTAGAGGAACACCAACTTCAGCACAGCAACTCGAGGAATGCTCCGTGTACCACAAATCGTCTCGAGATGAGAGCTGATTCCCTAGCTTAGGCTCAAGACGTATGCCAACTTTCCAGACGCACCTCAGGAGGAGGCTTCTCTCAGCAATAAGTATGTGGGAGGGACCCCGAGTTCGCTGCCTCAAGGGCAATATACAGCGAGAAGCCCTAACTTGAAAGGAGGCCGGATTTCCTTGCAGTGGCTTGAATACAGGCTCGTCTTTCATTTCACGACATGAAGGGATGTCTGAATCCCCTGTGGAGACCTTAGAGAAAGCCCTAGGTCCCTGCCTCATTTTGACGGAATGCCTCACATCCCGCTGACACCTCAAGAGGCACGCGAAGTTCATTGCTTCAAAAGGTGACAATGCCTCACTCCTCTTGAATACTGATAGGAATCCCAAAATCCCTGTGGCTACTGGAAAGGGTCCTTGGGTGCCCTGCCTCACCTCGAGTAGCGTCCCTTTTGCCCTGCCAAGCCTCGAAGAGATTCCTGAGGTGTCCCTCGTTACTAGACAGGAGTCCTGACGTCACTGAAGAAACTCGTGTTTTGAGGGACATCCCCGCCGTAAGTCGAGAACATACCCCAGGTCCCCGCCGCAACTCGAGAAAAACCATGAGACTTCCCCCTAGAGGCGAGATGAGACCCCATTCCCCTGCAGTGCATGCAGAGCTATTCCGTGGTCCCATTCAAACAAGTCAGGAGCTTCGACTTGCTTAATGGATCTCGAGACAGTCCTCAAGAACACTGTCACCAGTCTCGACGACCCTGAGGTCACCCCAGCAACGCAAAGCAGCTCCATGGGCCCCAAATCAACTCGAGATGAGGCCCGATTCCCCTGCATTGACTCCAGAGCCATTCCCCGTTCCCCATTCAACACGACCGGTGGCTCGACTTCCTTCAGGCAACTCCAGAGATGCCCCGAAAACACTGTCCCAAGTCTAGAGGAACACGAACTTCAGCAGGGCAACTCGATGAACGCTCCGTGTACCCCAAATCGTCTCGAGATGAGAGGTGATTCCCTGGCTTAGGCTCAAGACGTATGCCAACTTTCCAGACGCACCTCAGGAGGAGGCTTCTGTCAGCAATAGGTATGTGGGAGGGACCCCGAGTTCGCTGCCTCAAGGGCAATATACAGCGAGAAGCCCTAACTTGAAAGGAGGCCGGATTTCCTTGCAGTGGCTTGAATACAGGCTCGTCTTTCTTCTCACAACATTAAGGGATGTCTGAATCCCCTGTGGAGACCTTAGAGAAAGCCCTAGGTCCCTGCCTCATTTGGACGGAATGCCTCATATCCCGTTGACACCTCGAGAGGCACGCGGAGTTCATTGCTTCAAAACGTGACGATGCCTCACTCTTCTTGAATTCTGATAGGAATCCCAAAATCCCTGTGGCTACTGGAAAGGGTCCTTGGGTGCCCTGCCTCACCTCAAGAAGCGTCCCATTTGCACTGCCAAGCCTCGATGAGATTCCTGAGGTGTCCCTCATTACTAGACAGGAGTCCTGACGTCACTGAAGAAACTCGTGTTTTGAAGGGCCATCCCCGCCGTAAGTCGAGAACATACCCCAGGTCCCCGCCGCAACTCGAGAAAAACCATGAGACTTCCCCCTAGAGGCGAGATGAGGCCCCATTCCCCTGCAGTGCATGCAGAGCTATTCCGTGGTCCCATTCAAACAAGTCAGGAACTTCGACTTGCTTAATGGATCTCGAGACAGTCCCCAAGAACACTGTCACCAGTCTCGACGGACGCTGAGGTCACCCCAGCAACGCAAAGCAGATCCATGTGCCCCAAATCAACTCGAGATGAGGCCCGATTCCCTTGCATTGACTCCAGAGCCATTCCCCGTTCCCCATTCAACAAGACCGGTGGCTCGACTTCCTTCAGGCAACTCCAGAGATACCCCGAGAACACTGTCCCAAGTCTAGAGGAACACCAACTTCAGCACAGCAACTCGAGGAATGCTCCGTGTACCACAAATCGTCTCGAGATGAGAGCTGATTCCCTAGCTTAGGCTCAAGACGTATGCCAACTTTCCAGACGCACCTCAGGAGGAGGCTTCTCTCAGCAATAAGTATGTGGGAGGGACCCCGAGTTCGCTGCCTCAAGGGCAATATACAGCGAGAAGCCCTAACTTGAAAGGAGGCCGGATTTCCTTGCAGTGGCTTGAATACAGGCTCGTCTTTCATTTCACGACATGAAGGGATGTCTGAATCCCCTGTGGAGACCTTAGAGAAAGCCCTAGGTCCCTGCCTCATTTTGACGGAATGCCTCACATCCCGCTGACACCTCAAGAGGCACGCGAAGTTCATTGCTTCAAAAGGTGACAATGCCTCACTCCTCTTGAATACTGATAGGAATCCCAAAATCACTGTGGCTACTGGAAAGGGTCCTTGGGTGCCCTGCCTCACCTCGAGTAGCGTCCCTTTTGCCCTGCCAAGCCTCGAAGAGATTCCTGAGGTGTCCCTCGTTACTAGACAGGAGTCCTGACGTCACTGAAGAAACTCGTGTTTTGAGGGACATCCCCGCCGTAAGTCGAGAACATACCCCAGGTCCCCGCCGCAACTCGAGAAAAACCATGAGACTTCCCCCTAGAGGCGAGATGAGACCCCATTCCCCTGCAGTGCATGCAGAGCTATTCCGTGGTCCCATTCAAACAAGTCAGGAGCTTCGACTTGCTTAATGGATCTCGAGACAGTCCTCAAGAACACTGTCACCAGTCTCGACGGACCCTGAGGTCACCCCAGCAATGCAAAGCAGCTCCATGTGCCCCAAATCAACTCGAGATGAGGCTCGATTCCCCTGCATTGATTCCAGAGCCATTCCCTGTTCCCATTCAACACGAACGGTGGCTCGACTTCCTTCAGGCAACTCCAGAGATACCCCGAGAACACTGTCCCAAGTCTAGAGGAACACCAACTTCAGCACAGCAACTCGAGGAATGCTCCGTGTACACCAAATCATCTCGAGATGAGAGCTGATTCCCTGGCTTAGGCTCAAGACGTATGCCAACTTTCCAGACGCACCTCAGGAGGAGGCTTCTCTCAGCAATAGGTATGTGGGAGGGACCCCGAGTTCGCTGCCTCAAGGGCAATATACAGCGAGAAGCCCTAACTTGAAAGGAGGCCGGATTTCCTTGCAGTGGCTTGAATACAGGCTCGTCTTTCATCTCACAACATGAAGGGATGTCTGAATCCCATGTGGAGACCTTAGAGAAAGCCCTAGGTCCCTGCCTCATTTTGACGGAATGCCTCACATCCCGTTGACACCTCAAGAGGCACGCGATGTTCATTGCTTCAAAAGGTGACAATGCCTCACTCCTCTTGAATACTGATAGGAATCCCAAAATCCCTGTGGCTACTGGAAAGGGTCCTTGGGTGCCCTGCCTCACCTCGAGAAGCGTCCCTTTTGCCCTGGCAAGCCTTGAAGAGATTCCTGAGGTGTCCCTCGTTACTAGACAGGAGTCCTGACGTCACTGAAGAAACTCGTGTTTTGAAGGGCCATCCCCGCCGTAAGTCGAGAACATACCCCAGGTCCCCGCCGCAACTCGAGAAAAACCATGAGACTTCCCCCTAGAGGCGAGATGAGGCCCCATTCCCCTGCAGTGCATGCAGAGCTATTCCGTGGTCCCATTCAAGCAAGTCAGGAGCTTCGACTTGCTTAATGGTTCTCGAGACAGTCCCCAAGAACACTGTCACCAGCCTCGACGGACACTGAGGTCACCCCAGCAACGCAAAGCAGCTCCATGGGCCCCAAATCAACTCGAAATGAGGCCCGATTCCCCTGCATTGACTCCAGAGCCATTCCCCGTTCCCCATTCAACACGACCGGTGGCTCGACTTCCTTCAGGCAACTCAAGAGATGCCCCGAGAACACTGTCCCAAGTCTAGAGGAACACCAACTTCAGCACGGCAACTCGAGGAATGCTCCGTGTATCCCAAATCGTCTCGAGGTGAGGGGTGATTCTTGGCTTAGGCTCAAGACGTATGCCAACTTTCAAGACGCACCTCAGGAGGAGGCTTCTCTCAGCAATACGTATGTGGGAGGGACCCCGAGTTCGCTGCCTCAAGGGCAATATACAGTGAGAAGCCCTAACTTGAAAGGAGGCCGGATTTCCTTGCAGTGGCTTGAATACAGGCTCGTCTTTCATCTCACAACATGAAGGGATGTCTGAATCCCCTGTGGAGACCTTAGAGAAAGCCCTAGGTCCCTGCCTCATTTTGACGGAATGCCTCACATCCCGCTGACACCTCGAGAGGCACGCGGAGTTCATTGCTTCAAAAGGTGACGATGCCTGACTCCTCTTGAATACTGATAGGAATCCCAAAATCCCTGTGGCTACTGGAAAGGGTCCTTGGGTGCCCTGCCTCACCTCGAGAAGCGTCCCTTTTGCCCTGCCAAGCCTCGAAGAGATTCCTGAGGTGTCCCTCGTTACTAGACACTAGTCCTGACGTCACTGAAGAAACTCGTGTTTTGAAGGGCCATCCCCGCCGTAAGTCGAGAACATACCCCAGGTCCCCGCCGCAACTCGAGAAAAACCATGAGACTTCCCCCTAGAGGCGAGATGAGGCCCCATTCCCCTGCAGTGCATGCAGAGCTCTTCCGTGGTCCCATTCAAACAAGTCAGGAGCTTCGACTTGCTTAATGGATCTCGAGACAGTCGCCAAGAACATTGTCACCAGTCTCGACGGACCCTGAGGTCACCCCAGCAACGCAAAGCAGCTCCATGTGCCCCAAATCAACTGGAGATGAGGCCCGATTCCCCTGCATTGACTCCAGAGCCATTCCCCGTTCCCCATTCAACACGACCGGTGGCTCGACTTCCTTCAGGCAACTCCAGAGATACCCCGAGAACACTCTCCCAAGTCTAGAGGAACACCAACTTCAGCACAGCAACTCGAGGAATGCTCCGTGTACCCCAAATCCTCTCGAGATGAGAGCTGATTCCCTGGCTTAGGCTCAAGACGTATGCCAACTTTCCAGACGCACCTCAGGAGGAGGCTTCTCTCAGCAATAGGTATGTGGGAGGGACCCCGAGTTCGCTGCCTCAAGGGCAATATACAGCGAGAAGCCCTAACTTGAAAGGAGGCCGGATTTCCTTGCAGTGGCTTGAATACAGGCTGGTCTTTCATCTCACGACATGAAGGGATGTCTGAATCCCCTGTGGAGACCTTAGAGAAAGCCCTAGGTCCCTGCCTCATTTTGACGGAATGCCTCACATCCCGTTGACACCTCAAGAGGCACGCGAAGTTCATTGCTTCAAAAGGTGACAATGCCTCCCTCCTCTTGAATACTGATAGGAATCCCAAAATCCCTGTGGCTACTGGAAAGGGTCCTTGGGTGCCCTGCCTCACCTCGAGAAGCGTCCCTTTTGCCCTGCCAAGCCTCGAAGAGATTCCTGAGGTGTCCCTCGTTACTAGACAGGAGTCCTGACGTCACTGAAGAAACTCGTGTTTTGAAGGGCCATCCCCGCCGTAAGTCGAGAACATACCCCAGGTCCCCGCCGCAACTCGAGAAAAACCATGAGACTTCCCCCTAGAGGCGAGATGAGACCCCATTCCCCTGCAGTGCATGCAGAGCTATTCCGTGGTTCCATTCAAACAAGTCAGGAGCTTCGACTTGCTTAATGGTTCTCGAGACAGTCCCCAAGAACACTGTCACCAGTCTCGACGGACCCTGAGGTCACCCCAGCAACGCAAAGCAGCTCCATGGACCCCAAATCAACTCGAGATGAGGCCCGATTCCCCTGCATTGACTCCAGAGCCATTCCCGGTTCCCCATTCAACACGACCGGTGGCTCGACTTCCTTCAGGCAACTCCAGAGATGCCCCGAGAACACTGTCCCAAGTCTAGAGGAACACCAACTTCAGCACGGCAACTCGAGGAATGCTCCGTGTACCACAAATCGTCTCGAGGTGAGAGGTGATTCCTTGGCTTAGGCTCAAGACGTATGCCAACTTTCCAGACGCACCTCAGGAGGAGGCTTCTCTCAGCAATAGGTATGTGGGAGGGACCTCGAGTTCGCTGCCTCAAGGCCAATATACAGTGAGAAGCCCTAATTTGAAAGGAGGTCGGATTTCCTTGCAGTGGCTTGAATACAGGCTCGTCTTTCATCTCACAACATGAAGGGATGTCTGAATCCCCTGTGGAGACCTTAGAGAAAGCCCTAGGTCCCTGCCTCATTTAGACGCAATGCCTCACATCCCGTTGACACCTCGAGAGGCACGCGGAGTTCATTGCTTCAAAAGGTGACGATGCCTGACTCCTCTTGAATTCTGATAGGAATCCCAAAATCACTGTGGCTACTGGAAAGGGTTCATGGGTGCCCTGCCTCACCTCAAGAAGCGTCCCATTTGCACTGCCAAGCCTCGATGAGATTCCTGAGGTGTCCCTCGTTACTAGACAGGAGTCCTGACGTCACTGAAGAAACTCGTGTTTTGAAGGGCCATCCCCGCCGTAAGTCGAGAACATACCCCAGGTCCCCGCCGCAACTCGAGAAAAACCATGAGACTTCCCCCTAGAGGCGAGATGAGGCCCCATTCCCATGCAGTGCATGCAGAGCTATTCCGTGGTCCCAATCAAACAAGTCAGGAGCTTCAACTTGCTTAATGGATCTCGAGACAGTCCCCAAGAACACTGTCACCAGTCTCGACGGACGCTGAGGTCACCCCAGCAACGCAAAGCAGCTCCATGTGCCCCAAATCAACTCGAGATGAGGCCCGATTCCCCTGCATTGACTCCAGAGCCATTCCCAGTTCCCCATTCAACACGACCGGTGGCTCGACTTCCTTCAGGCAACTCCAGAGATACCCCGAGAACACTCTCCCAAGTCTAGAGGAACACCAACATCAGCACAGCAACTCGAGGAATGCTCCGTGTACCCCAAATCGTCTCGAGATGAGAGCTGATTCCCTGGCTTAGGCTCAAGACATATGCCAACTTTCCAGATGCACCTCAGGAGGAGGCTTCTCTCAGCAATAGGTATGTGGGAGGGACCCCGAGTTCGCTGCCTCAAGGGCAATATACAGCGAGAAGCCCTAACTTGAAAGGAGGCCGGATTTCCTTGCAGTGGCTTGAATACAGGCTCGTCTTTCATCTCACGACATGAAGGGATGTCTGAATCCCCTGTGGAGACCTTAGAGAAAGCCCTAGGTCCCTGCCTCATTTTGACGGAATGCCTCACATCCCGTTGACACCTCAAGAGGCACGCGAAGTTCATTGCTTCAAAAGGTGACAATGCCTCACTCCTCTTGAATACTGATAGGAATCCCAAAATCCCTGTGGCTACTGGAAATGGTCTTTGGGTGCCCTGCCTCACCTCGAGAAGCGTCCCTTTTGCCCTGCCAAGCCTCGAAGAGATTCCTGAGGTGTCCCTCGTTACTAGACACTAGTCCTGACGTCACTGAAGAAACTCGTGTTTTGAAGGGCCATCCCCGCCGTAAGTCGAGAACATACCCCAGGTCCCCGCCGCAACTCGAGAAAAACCATGAGACTTCCCCCTAGAGGCGAGATGAGGCCCCATTCCCCTGCAGTGCATGCAGAGCTATTCCGTGGTCCGATTCAAGCAAGTCAGGAGCTTCGACTTGCTTAATGGTTCTCGAGACAGTCCCCAAGAACACTGTCACCAGTCTCGACGGACCCTGAGGTCACCCCAGCAACGCAAAGCAGCTCCATGGGCCCCAAATCAACTCGAGATGAGGCCCGATTCCCCTGCATTGACTCCAGAGCCATTCCCCGTTCCCCATTCAACACGACCGGTGGCTCGACTTCCTTCAGGCAAGTCCAGAGATGCCCCGAGAACACTGTCCCAAGTCTAGAGGAACACCAACTTCAGCACGGCAACTCGAGGAATGCTCCGTGTACCCCAAATCGTCTCGAGATGAGAGCTGATTCCCTGGCTTAGGCTCAAGACGTATGCCAACTTTCCAGACGCACCTCAGGAGGAGGCTTCTCTCAGCAATAGGTATGTGGGAGGGACCCCGAGTTCGCTGCCTCAAGGGCAATATACAGCGAGAAGCCCTAACTTGAAAGGAGGCCGGATTTCCTTGCAGTGGCTTGAATACAGGCTCGTCTTTCATCTCACAACATGAAGGGATGTCTGAATCCCATGTGGAGACCTTAGAGAAAGCCCTAGGTCCCTGCCTCATTTTGACGGAATGCCTCACATCCCGTTGACACCTCAAGAGGCACGCGATGTTCATTGCTTCAAAAGGTGACAATGCCTCACTCCTCTTGAATACTGATAGGAATCCCAAAATCCCTGTGGCTACTGGAAAGGGTCCTTGGGTGCCCTGCCTCACCTCGAGAAGCGTCCCTTTTGCCCTGGCAAGCCTTGAAGAGATTCCTGAGGTGTCCCTCGTTACTAGACAGGAGTCCTGACGTCACTGAAGAAACTCGTGTTTTGAAGGGCCATCCCCGCCGTAAGTCGAGAACATACCCCAGGTCCCCGCCGCAACTCGAGAAAAACCATGAGACTTCCCCCTAGAGGCGAGATGAGGCCCCATTCCCCTGCAGTGCATGCAGAGCTATTCCGTGGTCCCATTCAAGCAAGTCAGGAGCTTCGACTTGCTTAATGGTTCTCGAGACAGTCCCCAAGAACACTGTCACCAGCCTCGACGGACACTGAGGTCACCCCAGCAACGCAAAGCAGCTCCATGGGCCCCAAATCAACTCGAAATGAGGCCCGATTCCCCTGCATTGACTCCAGAGCCATTCCCCGTTCCCCATTCAACACGACCGGTGGCTCGACTTCCTTCAGGCAACTCAAGAGATGCCCCGAGAACACTGTCCCAAGTCTAGAGGAACACCAACTTCAGCACGGCAACTCGAGGAATGCTCCGTGTACCCCAAATCGTCTCGAGGTGAGGGGTGATTCTTGGCTTAGGCTCAAGACGTATGCCAACTTTCAAGACGCACCTCAGGAGGAGGCTTCTCTCAGCAATACGTATGTGGGAGGGACCCCGAGTTCGCTGCCTCAAGGGCAATATACAGTGAGAAGCCCTAACTTGAAAGGAGGCCGGATTTCCTTGCAGTGGCTTGAATACAGGCTCGTCTTTCATCTCACAACATGAAGGGATGTCTGAATCCCCTGTGGAGACCTTAGAGAAAGCCCTAGGTCCCTGCCTCATTTTGACGGAATGCCTCACATCCCGCTGACACCTCGAGAGGCACGCGGAGTTCATTGCTTCAAAAGGTGACGATGCCTGACTCCTCTTGAATACTGATAGGAATCCCAAAATCCCTGTGGCTACTGGAAAGGGTCCTTGGGTGCCCTGCCTCACCTCGAGAAGCGTCCCTTTTGCCCTGCCAAGCCTCGAAGAGATTCCTGAGGTGTCCCTCGTTACTAGACACTAGTCCTGACGTCACTGAAGAAACTCGTGTTTTGAAGGGCCATCCCCGCCTTAAGTCGAGAACATACCCCAGGTCCCCGCCGCAACTCGAGAAAAACCATGAGACTTCCCCTTAGAGGCGAGATGAGGCCCCATTCCCCTGCAGTGCATGCAGAGCTCTTCCGTGGTCCCATTCAAACAAGTCAGGAGCTTCGACTTGCTTAATGGATCTCGAGACAGTCGCCAAGAACATTGTCACCAGTCTCGACGGACCCTGAGGTCACCCCAGCAACGCAAAGCAGCTCCATGTGCCCCAAATCAACTGGAGATGAGGCCCGATTCCCCTGCATTGACTCCAGAGCCATTCCCCGTTCCCCATTCAACACGACCGGTGGCTCGACTTCCTTCAGGCAACTCCAGAGATACCCCGAGAACACTCTCCCAAGTCTAGAGGAACAACAACTTCAGCACAGCAACTCGAGGAATGCTCCGTGTACCCCAAATCGTCTCGAGATGAGAGCTGATTCCCTGGCTTAGGCTCAAGACGTATGCCAACTTTCCAGACGCACCTCAGGAGGAGGCTTCTCTCAGCAATAGGTATGTGGGAGGGACCCCGAGTTCGCTGCCTCAAGGGCAATATACAGCGAGAAGCCCTAACTTGAAAGGAGGCCGGATTTCCTTGCAGTGGCTTGAATACAGGCTGGTCTTTCATCTCACGACATGAAGGGATGTCTGAATCCCCTGTGGAGACCTTAGAGAAAGCCCTAGGTCCCTGCCTCATTTTGACGGAATGCCTCACATCCCGTTGACACCTCAAGAGGCACGCGAAGTTCATTGCTTCAAAAGGTGACAATGCCTCACTCCTCTTGAATACTGATAGGAATCCCAAAATCCCTGTGGCTACTGGAAAGGGTCCTTGGGTGCCCTGCCTCACCTCGAGAAGCGTCCCTTTTGCCCTGCCAAGCCTCGAAGAGATTCCTGAGGTGTCCCTCGTTACTAGACAGGAGTCCTGACGTCACTGAAGAAACTCGTGTTTTGAAGGGCCATCCCCGCCGTAAGTCGAGAACATACCCCAGGTCCCCGCCGCAACTCGAGAAAAACCATGAGACTTCCCCCTAGAGGCGAGATGAGACCCCATTCCCCTGCAGTGCATGCAGAGCTATTCCGTGGTTCCATTCAAACAAGTCAGGAGCTTCGACTTGCTTAATGGTTCTCGAGACAGTCCCCAAGAACACTGTCACCAGTCTCGACGGACCCTGAGGTCACCCCAGCAACGCAAAGCAGCTCCATGGACGCCAAATCAACTCGAGATGAGGCCCGATTCCCCTGCATTGACTCCAGAGCCATTCCCGGTTCCCCATTCAACACGACCGGTGGCTCGACTTCCTTCAGGCAACTCCAGAGATGCCCCGAGAACACTGTCCCAAGTCTAGAGGAACACCAACTTCAGCACGGCAACTCGAGGAATGCTCCGTGTACCACAAATCGTCTCGAGGTGAGAGGTGATTCCTTGGCTTAGGCTCAAGACGTATGCCAACTTTCCAGACGCACCTCAGGTGGAGGCTTCTCTCAGCAATAGGTATGTGGGAGGGACCTCGAGTTCGCTGCCTCAAGGCCAATATACAGTGAGAAGCCCTAATTTGAAAGGAGGCCGGATTTCCTTGCAGTGGCTTGAATACAGGCTCGTCTTTCATCTCACAACATGAAGGGATGTCTGAATCCCCTGTGGAGACCTTAGAGAAAGCCCTAGGTCCCTGCCTCATTTAGACGCAATGCCTCACATCCCGTTGACACCTCGAGAGGCACGCGGAGTTCATTGCTTCAAAAGGTGACGATGCCTCACTCCTCTTGAATACTGATAGGAATCCCAAAATCCCTGTGGCTACTGGAAAGGGTCCTTGGGTGCCCTGCCTCACTTCGAGAAGCGTCCCTTTTGCCCTGCCAAGCCTCGAAGAGATTCCTGAGGTGTCCCTCGTTACTAGACAGGAGTCCTGACGTCACTGAAGAAACTCGTGTTTTGAAGGGCCATCCCCGCCGTAAGTCGAGAACATACCCCAGGTCCCCGCCGCAACTCGAGAAAAACCATGAGTCTTCCCCCTAGAGGCGAGATGAGGCCCCATTCCCCTGCAGTGCATGCAGAGCTATTCCGTGGTCCCATTCAAGCAAGTCAGGAGCTTCAACTTGCTTAATGGATCTCGAGACAGTCCCCAAGAACACTGTCACCAGTCTCGACGGACGCTGAGGTCACCCCAGCAACGCAAAGCAGCTCCATGTGCCCCAAATCAACTCGAGATGAGGCCCGATTCCCCTGCATTGACTCCAGAGCCATTCCCAGTTCCCCATTCAACACGACCGGTGGCTCGACTTCCTTCAGGCAACTCCAGAGATACCCCGAGAACACTCTCCCAAGTCTAGAGGAACACCAACATCAGCACAGCAACTCGAGGAATGCTCCGTGTACCCCAAATCGTCTCGAGATGAGAGCTGATTCCCTGGCTTAGGCTCAAGACATATGCCAACTTTCCAGATGCACCTCAGGAGGAGGCTTCTCTCAGCAATAGGTATGTGGGAGGGACCCCGAGTTCGCTGCCTCAAGGGCAATATACAGCGAGAAGCCCTAACTTGAAAGGAGGCCGGATTTCCTTGCAGTGGCTTGAATACAGGCTCGTCTTTCATCTCACGACATGAAGGGATGTCTGAATCCCCTGTGGAGACCTTAGAGAAAGCCCTAGGTCCCTGCCTCATTTTGACGGAATGCCTCACATCCCGTTGACACCTCAAGAGGCACGCGAAGTTCATTGCTTCAAAAGGTGACAATGCCTCACTCCTCTTGAATACTGATAGGAATCCCAAAATCCCTGTGGCTACTGGAAATGGTCTTTGGGTGCCCTGCCTCACCTCGAGAAGCGTCCCTTTTGCCCTGCCAAGCCTCGAAGAGATTCCTGAGGTGTCCCTCGTTACTAGACACTAGTCCTGACGTCACTGAAGAAACTCGTGTTTTGAAGGGCCATCCCCGCCGTAAGTCGAGAACATACCCCAGGTCCCCGCCGCAACTCGAGAAAAACCATGAGACTTCCCCCTAGAGGCGAGATGAGGCCCCATTCCCCTGCAGTGCATGCAGAGCTATTCCGTGGTCCGATTCAAGCAAGTCAGGAGCTTCGACTTGCTTAATGGTTCTCGAGACAGTCCCCAAGAACACTGTCACCAGTCTCGACGGACCCTGAGGTCACCCCAGCAACGCAAAGCAGCTCCATGGGCCCCAAATCAACTCGAGATGAGGCCCGATTCCCCTGCATTGACTCCAGAGCCATTCCCCGTTCCCCATTCAACACGACCGGTGGCTCGACTTCCTTCAGGCAACTCCAGAGATGCCCCGAGAACACTGTCCCAAGTCTAGAGGAACACCAACTTCAGCACGGCAACTCGAGGAATGCTCCGTGTACCCCAAATCGTCTCGAGATGAGAGCTGATTCCCTGGCTTAGGCTCAAGACGTATGCCAACTTTCCAGACGCACCTCAGGAGGAGGCTTCTCTCAGCAATAGGTATGTGGGAGGGACCCCGAGTTCGCTGCCTCAAGGGCAATATACAGCGAGAAGCCCTAACTTGAAAGGAGGCCGGATTTCCTTGCAGTGGCTTGAATACAGGCTCGTCTTTCATCTCACGACATGAAGGGATGTCTGAATCCCCTGTGGAGACCTTAGAGAAAGCCCTAGGTCCCTGCCTCATTTTGACGGAATGCCTCACATCCCGTTGACACCTCAAGAGGCACGCGAAGTTCATTGCTTCAAAAGGTGACAATGCCTCACTCCTCTTGAATACTGATAGGAATCCCAAAATCCCTGTGGATACTGGAAAGGGTCTTTGGGTGCCCTGCCTCACCTCGAGAAGCGTCCCTTTTGCCCTGCCAAGCCTCGAAGAGATTCCTGAGGTGTCCCTCGTTACTAGACACTAGTCCTGACGTCACTGAAGAAACTCGTGTTTTGAAGGGCGTTCCCCGCCGTAAGTCGAGAACATACCCCAGGTCCCCGCCGCAACTCGAGAAAAACCATGAGACTTCCCCCTAGAGGCGAGATGAGGCCCCATTCCCCTGCAGTGCATGCAGAGCTATTCCGTGGTCCGATTCAAGCAAGTCAGGAGCTTCGACTTGCTTAATGGTTCTCGAGACAGTCCCCAAGAACACTGTCACCAGTCTCGACGACCCTGAGGTCACCCCAGCAACGCAAAGCAGCTCCATGGGCCCCAAATCAACTCGAGATGAGGCCCGATTCCCCTGCATTGACTCCAGAGCCATTCCCCGTTCCCCATTCAACACGACCGGTGGCTCGACTTCCTTCAGGCAACTCCAGAGATGCCCCGAAAACACTGTCCCAAGTCTAGAGGAACACGAACTTCAGCACGGCAACTCGATGGACGCTCCGTGTACCCCAAATCGTCTCAAGATGAGAGGTGATTCCCTGGCTTAGGCTCAAGACGTATGCCAACTTTCCAGACGCACCTCAGGAGGAGGCTTCTGTCAGCAATAGGTATGTGGGAGGGACCCCGAGTTCGCTGCCTCAAGGGCAATATACAGCAAGAAGCCCTAACTTGAAAGGAGGCCGGATTTCCTTGCAGTGGCTTGAATACAGGCTCGTCTTTCTTCTCACAACATGAAGGGATGTCTGAATCCCCTGTGGAGACCTTAGAGAAAGCCCTATGTCCCTGCCTCATTTAGACGGAATGCCTCACATCCCGTTGACACCTCGAGAGGCACGCGGAGTTCATTGCTTCAAAAGGTGACGATGCCTCACTCCTCTTGAATTCTGATAAGAATCCCAAAATCCCTGTGGCTACTGGAAAGGGTCCTTGGGTGCCCTGCCTCACCTCAAGAAGCGTCCCATTTGCACTGCCAAGCCTCGATGAGATTCCTGAGGTGTCCCTCATTACTAGACAGGAGTCCTGACGTCACTGAAGAAACTCGTGTTTTGAAGGGCCATCCCCGCCGTAAGTCGAGAACATACCCCAGGTCCCCGCCGCAACTCGAGAAAAACCCTGAGACTTCCCCCTAGAGGCGAGATGAGGCCCCATTCCCCTGCAGTGCATGCAGAGCTATTCCGTGGTCCCATTCAAACAAGTCAGGAGCTTCGACTTGCTTAATGGATCTCGAGACAGTCCCCAAGAACACTGTCACCAGTCTCGACGGACGCTGAGGTCACCCCAGCAACGCAAAGCAGATCCATGTGCCCCAAATCAACTCGAGATGAGGCCCGATTCCCCTGCATTGACTCCAGAGCCATTCCCCGTTCCCCATTCAACACGACCGGTGGCTCGACTTCCTTCAGGCAACTGCAGAGATGCCCCGAGAACACTGTCCCAAGTCTAGAGGAACACCAACTTCAGCACGGCAACTCGAGGAATGCTCCGTGAACCCCAAATCGTGTCGAGATGAGAGGTGATTCCCTGGCTTAGGCTCAAGACGTATGCCAACTTTCCAGACGCACCTCAGGAGGAGGCTTCTCTCAGCAATAGGTATGTGGGAGGGACCCCGAGTTCGCTGCCTCAAGGGCAATATACAGCGAGAAGCCCTAACTTGAAAGGAGGCCGGATTTCCTTGCAGTGGCTTGAGTACAGGCTCGTCTTTCATCTCACAACATGAAGGGATGTCTGATTCCCCTGTGGAGACCTTAGAGAAAGCCCTAGGTCCCTGCCTCATTTTGACGGAATGCCTCACATCCCGTTGACACCTCAAGAGGCACGCGAAGTTCATTGCTTCAAAAGGTGAAAATGCCTCACTCCTCTTGAATACTGATAGGAATACCAAAATCACTTTGGTACTGGAAAGGGTCCGTGGGTGCCCTGCCTCACCTCGAGAAGCGTCCCTTTTGCCCTGCCAAGCCTTGAAGAGATTCCTGAGGTGTCCCTCGTTACTAGACAGGAGTCCTGACGTCACTGAAGAAACTCGTGTTTTGAAGGGCCATCCCCGCCGTAAGTCGAGAACATACCCCAGGTCCCCGCCGCAACTCGAGAAAAACCATGAGTCTTCCCCCTAGAGGCGAGATGAGGCCCCATTCCCCTGCAGTGCATGCAGAGCTATTCCGTGGTCCCATTCAAGCAAGTCAGGAGCTTCGACTTGCTTAATGGTTCTCGAGACAGTCCCCAAGAACACTGTCACCAGTCTCGACGGACCCTGAGGTCACCCCAGCAACGCAAAGCAGCTCCATGGGCCCCAAATCAACTCGAGATGAGGCCCGATTCCCCTGCATTGACTCCAGAGCCATTCCCCGTTCCCCATTCAACACGACCGGTGGCTCGACTTCCTTCAGGCAACTCCAGAGATGCCCCGAGAACACTGTCCCAAGTCTAGAGGAACACCAACTTCAGCACGGCAACTCGAGGAATGCTCCGTGTACCCCAAATCGTCTCGAGATGAGAGCTGATTCCCTGGCTTAGGCTCAAGATGTATGCCAACTTTCCAGACGCACCTCAGGAGGAGGCTTCTCTCAGCAATAAGTATGTGGGAGGGACCCCGAGTTCGCTGCCTCAAGGGCAATATACAGCGAGAAGCCCTAACTTGAAAGGAGGCCGGATTTCAATGCAGTGGCTTGAATACAGGCTCGTCTTTAATTTCACGACATGAAGGGATGTCTGAATCCCCTGTGGAGACCTTAGAGAAAGCCCTAGGTCCCTGCCTCATTTTGACGGAATGCCTCACATCCCGTTGACACCTCAAGAGGCACGCGAAGTTCATTGCTTCAAAAGGTGACAATGCCTCACTCCTCTTGAATACTGATAGGAATCCCAAAATCCCTGTGGCTACTGGAAAGGGTCCTTGGGTGCCCTGCCTCACTTCGAGAAGCGTCCCTTTTGCCCTGCCAAGCCTCGAAGAGATTCCTGAGGTGTCCCTCGTTACTAGACAGGAGTCCTGACGTCACTGAAGAAACTCGTGTTTTGAAGGGCCATCCCCGCCGTAAGTCGAGAACATACCCCAGGTCCCCGCCGCAACTCGAGAAAAACCATGAGTCTTCCCCCTAGAGGCGAGATGAGGCCCCATTCCCCTGCAGTGCATGCAGAGCTATTCCGTGGTCCCATTCAAGCAAGTCAGGAGCTTCCACTTGCTTAATGGTTCTCGAGACAGTCCCCAAGAACACTGTCACCAGTCTCGACGGACCCTGAGGTCACCCCAGCAACGCAAAGCAGCTCCATGGGCCCCAAATCAACTCGAGATGACGCCCGATTCCCCTGCATTGACTCCAGAGCCATTCCCCGTTCCCCATTCAACACGACCGGTGGCTCGACTTCCTTCAGGCAACTCCAGAGATGCCCGAGAACACTGTCCCAAGTCTAGAGGAACACCAACTTCAGCACGGCAACTCGAGGAATGCTCCGTGTACCACAAATCGTCTCGAGATGAGAGCTGATTCCCTGGCTTAGGCTCAAGATGTATGCCAACTTTCCAGACGCACCTCAGGAGGAGGCTTCTCTCAGCAATAAGTATGTGGGAGGGACCCCGAGTTCGCTGCCTCAAGGGCAATATACAGCGAGAAGCCCTAACTTGAAAGGAGGCCGGATTTCAATGCAGTGGCTTGAATACAGGCTCGTCTTTAATTTCACGACATGAAGGGGTGTCTGAATCCCCTGTGGAGACCTTAGAGAAAGCCCTAGGTCCCTGCCTCATTTTGACGGAATGCCTCACATCCCGTTGACACCTCAAGAGGCACGCGAAGTTCATTGCTTCAAAAGGTGACAATGCCTCACTCCTCTTGAATACTGATAGGAATCCCAAAATCCCTGTGGCTACTGGAAAGGGTCCTTGGGTGCCCTGCCTCACCTCGAGAAGCGTCCCTTTTGCCCTGCCAAGCCTCGAAGAGATTCCTGAGGTGTCCCTCGTTACTAGACAGGAGTCCTGACGTCACTGAAGAAACTCGTGTTTTGAAGGGCCATCCCCGCCGTAAGTCGAGAACATACCCCAGGTCCCCGCCGCAACTCGAGAAAAACCATGAGACTTCCCCCTAGAGGCGAGATGAGACCCCATTCCCCTGCAGTGCATGCAGAGCTATTCCATGGTCCCATTCAAACAAGTCAGGAGCTTCGACTTGCTTAATGGTTCTCGAGACAGTCCCCAAGAACACTGTCACCAGTCTCGACGGACCCTGAGGTCACCCCAGCAACGCAAAGCAGCTCCATGGGCCCCAAATCAACTCGAGATGAGGCCCGATTCCCCTGCATTGACTCCAGAGCCATTCCCGGTTCCCCATTCAACACGACCGGTGGCTCGACTTCCTTCAGGCAACTCCAGAGATGCCCCGAGAACACTGTCCCAAGTCTAGAGGAACACCAACTTCAGCACGGCAACTCGAGGAATGCTCCGTGTACCCCAAATCGTCTCGAGGTGAGAGGTGATTCTTTGGCTTAGGCTCAAGACGTATGCCAACTTTCCAGACGCACCTCAGGAGGAGGCTTCTCTCAGCAATAGGTATGTGGGAGGGACCCCGAGTTCGCTGCCTCAAGGCCAATATACAGTGAGAAGCCCTAATTTGAAAGGAGGCCGGATTTCCTTGCAGTGGCTTGAATACAGGCTCGTCTTTCATCTCACAACATGAAGGGATGTCTGAATCCCCTGTGGAGACCTTAGAGAAAGCCCTAGGTGCCTGCCTCATTTAGACGGAATGCCTCACATCCCGTTGACACCTCGAGAGGCACGCGGAGTTCATTGCTTCAAAAGGTGACGATGCCTGACTCCTCTTGAATTCTGATAGGAATCCCAAAATCACTGTGGCTACTGGAAAGGGTTCATGGGTGCCCTGCCTCACCTCAAGAAGCGTCCCATTTGCACTGCCAAGCCTCGATGAGATTCCTGAGGTGTCCCTCGTTACTAGACAGGAGTCCTGACGTCACTGAAGAAACTCGTGTTTTGAAGGGCCATCCCCGCCGTAAGTCGAGAACATACCCCAGGTCCCCGCCGCAACTCGAGAAAAACCATGAGACTTCCCCCTAGAGGCGAGATGAGGCCCCATTCCCCTGCAGTGCATGCAGAGCTATTCCGTGGTCCCATTCAAACAAGTCAGGAGCTTCGACTTGCTTAAAGGATCTCGAGACAGTCCCCAAGAACACTGTCACCAGTCTCGACGGACGCTGAGGTCACCCCAGCAACGCAAAGCAGCTCCATGTGCCCCAAATCAAATCGAGATGAGGCCCGATTCCCCTGCATTGACTCCAGAGCCATTCCCCGTTCCCCATTCAACACGACCGGTGGCTCGACTTCCTTCAGGCAACTCCAGAGATACCCCGAGAACACTCTCCCAAGTCTAGAGGGACACCAACATCAGCACAGCAACTCGAGGAATGCTCCGTGTACCCCAAATCGTCTCGAGATGAGAGCTGATTCCCTGGCTTAGGCTCAAGACATATGCCAACTTTCCAGATGCACCTCAGGAGGAGGCTTCTCTCAGCAATAGGTATGTGGGAGGGACCCCGAGTTCGCTGCCTCAAGGGCAATATACAGCGAGAAGCCCTAACTTGAAAGGAGGCCGGATTTCCTTGCAGTGGCTTGAATACAGGCTCGTCTTTCATCTCACGACATGAAGGGATGTCTGAATCCCCTGTGGAGACCTTAGAGAAAGCCCTAGGTCCCTGCCTCATTTTGACGGAATGCCTCACATCCCGTTGACACCTCAAGAGGCACGCGAAGTTCATTGCTTCAAAAGGTGACAATGCCTCACTCCTCTTGAATACTGATAGGAATCCCAAAATCCCTGTGGCTACTGGAAATGGTCTTTGGGTGCCCTGCCTCACCTCGAGAAGCGTCCCTTTTGCCCTGCCAAGCCTCGAAGAGATTCCTGAGGTGTCCCTCGTTACTAGACACTAGTCCTGACGTCACTGAAGAAACTCGTGTTTTGAAGGGCCATCCCCGCCGTAAGTCGAGAACATACCCCAGGTCCCCGCCGCAACTCGAGAAAAACCATGAGACTTCCCCCTAGAGGCGAGATGAGGCCCCATTCCCCTGCAGTGCATGCAGAGCTATTCCGTGGTCCGATTCAAGCAAGTCAGGAGCTTCGACTTGCTTAATGGTTCTCGAGACAGTCCCCAAGAACACTGTCACCAGTCTCGACGGACCCTGAGGTCACCCCAGCAACGCAAAGCAGCTCCATGGGCCCCAAATCAACTCGAGATGAGGCCCGATTCCCCTGCATTGACTCCAGAGCCATTCCCCGTTCCCCATTCAACACGACCGGTGGCTCGACTTCCTTCAGGCAACTCCAGAGATGCCCCGAGAACACTGTCCCAAGTCTAGAGGAACACCAACTTCAGCACGGCAACTCGAGGAATGCTCCGTGTACCCCAAATCGTCTCGAGATGAGAGCTGATTCCCTGGCTTAGGCTCAAGACGTATGCCAACTTTCCAGACGCACCTCAGGAGGAGGCTTCTCTCAGCAATAGGTATGTGGGAGGGACCCCGAGTTCGCTGCCTCAAGGGCAATATACAGCGAGAAGCCCTAACTTGAAAGGAGGCCGGATTTCCTTGCAGTGGCTTGAATACAGGCTCGTCTTTCATCTCACGACATGAAGGGATGTCTGAATCCCCTGTGGAGACCTTAGAGAAAGCCCTAGGTCCCTGCCTCATTTTGACGGAATGCCTCACATCCCGTTGACACCTCAAGAGGCACGCGAAGTTCATTGCTTCAAAAGGTGACAATGCCTCACTCCTCTTGAATACTGATAGGAATCCCAAAATCCCTGTGGATACTGGAAAGGGTCTTTGGGTGCCCTGCCTCACCTCGAGAAGCGTCCCTTTTGCCCTGCCAAGCCTCGAAGAGATTCCTGAGGTGTCCCTCGTTACTAGACAGGAGTCCTGACGTCACTGAAGAAACTCGTGTTTTGAAGGGCCATCCCCGCCGTAAGTCGAGAACATACCACAGGTCCCCGCCGCAACTCGAGAAAAAGCATGAGACTTGCCCCTAGAGGCGAGATGAGGCCCCATTCCCCTGCAGTGCATGCAGAGCTATTCCGTGGTCCCATTCAAGCAAGTCAGGAGCTTCGACTTGCTTAATGGATCTCGAGACAGTCCCCAAGAACACTGTCACCAGTCTCGACGGACCCTGAGGACACCCCAGCAACACAAAGCAGCTCCATGGGCCCCAAATCAACTCGAGATGAGGCCCGATTCCCCTGCATTGACTCCAGAGCCATTCCCCGTTCCCCATTCAACACGACCGGTGGCTCGTCTTCCTTCAGGCAACTCCAGAGATGCCCCAAGAACACTGTCCCAAGTCTAGAGGAACACCAACTTCAGCACGGCAACTCGAGGAATGCTCCGTGTACCCCAAATCGTCTCGAGATGAGAGGTGATTCCCTGGCTTAGGCTCAAGCCGTATGCCAACTTTCCAGACGCACCTCAGGAGGAGGCTTCTCTCAGCAATAGGTATGTGGGAGGGACCCCGAGTTCGCTGCCTCAAGGGCAATATACAGCGAGAAGCCCTAACTTGAAAGGAGGCCGGATTTCCTTGCAGTGGCTTGAATACAGACTCGTCTTTCATCTCACAACATGAAGGGATCTCTGAATCCCCTGTGGAGACCTTAGAGAAAGCCCTAGGTCCCTGCCTCATTTGGACGGAATGCCTCACATCCCGTTGACACCTCGAGAGGCACGCGGAGTTCATTGCTTCAAAAGGTGACGATGCCTGACTCCTCTTGAATTCTGATAGGAATCCCAAAATCACTGTCGCTACTGGAAAGGGTCCTTGCGTGCCCTGCCTCACCTCAAGAAGCGTCCCATTTGCACTGCCAAGCCTCGATGAGATTCCTGAGGTGTCCCTCGTTACTAGACAGGAGTCCTGACGTCACTGAAGAAACTCGTGTTTTGAAGGGCCATCCCCGCCGTAAGTCGAGAACATACCCCAGGTCCCCGCCGCAACTCGAGAAAAACCATGAGACTTCCCCCTAGAGGCGAGATGAGACCCCATTCCCCTGCAGTGCATGCAGAGCTATTCCGTGGTCCCATTCAAACAAGTCAGGAGCTTCGACTTGCTTAATGGATCTCGAGACAGTCCCCAAGAACACTGTCACCAGTCTCGACGGACCCTGAGGTCACCCCAGCAACGTAAAGCAGCTCCATGTGCCCCAAATCAACTCGAGATGAGGCCCGATTCCCCTGCATTGACTCCAGAGCCATTCCCCGTTCCCTATTCAACACGACCCGTGGCTCGACTTCCTTCAGGCAACTCCAGAGATACCCCGAGAACATTGTCCCAAGTCTAGAGGAACACCAACTTCAGCACAGCAACTCGAGGAATGCTCCGTGTACCCCAAATCGTCTCAAGATGAGACGTGATTCCCTGGCTTAGGCTCAAGACGTATGCCAACTTTCCAGACGCACCTCAGGAGGAGGCTTCTCTCAGCAATAGGTATGTGGGAGGGACCCCGAGTTTGCTGCCTCAAGGGCAATATACAGCTAGAAGCCCTAACTTGAAAGGGGCTGGATTTCCTTGCAGTGGCTTGAATACAGGCTCGTCTTTCATCTCACAACATGAAGGGATGTCTGAATCCCCTGTGGAGACCTTAGAGAAAGCCCTATGTCCCTGCCTCATTTTGACGGAATGCCTCACATCCCGTTGACACCTCAAGAGGCACGCGAAGTTCATTGCTTCAAAAGGTGACAATGCCTCACTCCTCTTGAATACTGATAGGAATCCCAAAATCCCTGTGGCTACTGGAAAGGGTCCTTGGGTGCCCTGCCTCACCTCGAGAAGCGTCCCTTTTGCCCTGCCAAGCCTCGAAGAGATTCCTGAGGTGTCCCTCGTTACTAGACAGGAGTCCTGACGTCACTGAAGAAACTCGTGTTTTGTATGGCCATCCCTGCCGTAAGTCGAGAACATAACCCAGGTCCCCGCCGCAACTCGAGAAAAACCATGAGACTTCCGCCTAGAGGCGAGATGAGGCCCCATTCCCCTGCAGTGCATGCAGAGCTATTCCGTGGTCCCATTCAAGCAAGCCAGGGGCTTCGACTTGCTTAATGGTTCTCGAGACAGTCCCCAAGAACACTGTCACCAGTCTCGACGACCCTGAGGTCACCCCAGCAACGCAAAGCAGCTCCATGGGCCCAAATCAACTCGAGATGAGGCCTGATTCCCCTGCATTGACTCCAGAGCCATTCCCCGTTCCCCATTCAACACGACCGGTGGCTCTACTTCCTTCAGGCAACTCCAGAGATGCCCCGAAAACACTGTCCCAAGTCTAGAGGAACACGAACTTCAGCACGGCAACTCGATGAACGCTCCGTGTACCCCAAATCGTCTCGAGGTGAGAGGTGATTCCCTGGCTTAGGCTCAAGACGTATGCCAACTTTCCAGACGCACCTCAGGAGGAGGCTTCTGTCAGCAATAGGTATGTGGGAGGGACCCCGAGTTCGCTGCCTCAAGGGCAATATACAGCGAGAAGCCCTAACTTGAAAGGAGGCCGGATTTCCTTGCAGTGGCTTGAATACAGGCTCGTCTTTCTTCTCACAACATGAAGGGATGTCTGAATCCCCTGTGGAGACCTTAGAGAAAGCCCTAGGTCCCTGCCTCATTTGGACGGAATGCCTCACATCCCGTTGACACCTCGAGAGGCACGCGGAGTTCATTGCTTCAAAAGGTGACAATGCCTCACTCCTCTTGAATTCTGATAAGAATCCCAAAATCCCTGTGGCTACTGGAAAGGGTCCTTGGGTGCCCTGCCTCACCTCAAGAAGCGTCCCATTTGCACTGCCAAGCCTCGATGAGATTCCTGAGGTGTCCCTCATTACTAGACAGGAGTCCTGACGTCACTGAAGAAACTCGTGTTTTGAAGGGCCATCCCCGCCGTAAGTCGAGAACATACCCCAGGTCCCCGCCGCAACTCGAGAAAAACCCTGAGACTTCCCCCTAGAGGCGAGATGAGGCCCCATTCCCCTGCAGTGCATGCAGAGCTATTCCGTGGTCCCATTCAAACAAGTCAGGAGCTTCGACTTGCTTAATGGATCTCGAGACAGTCCCCAAGAACACTGTCACCAGTCTCGACGGACGCTGAGGTCACCCCAGCAACGCAAAGCAGATCCATGTGCCCCAAATCAACTCGAGATGAGGCCCGATTCCCCTGCATTGATTCCAGAGCCATTCCCCGTTCCCCATTCAACACGACCGGTGGCTCGACTTCCTTCAGGCAACTGCAGAGATGCCCCGAGAACACTGTCCCAAGTCTAGAGGAACACCAACTTCAGCACGGCAACTCGAGGAATGCTCCGTGAACCCCAAATCGTCTCGAGATGAGAGGTGATTCCCTGGCTTAGGCTCAAGACGTATGCCAACTTTCCAGACGCACCTCAGGAGGAGGCTTCTCTCAGCAATAGGTATGTGGAAGGGACCCCGAGTTCGCTGCCTCAAGGGCAATATACAGCGAGAAGCCCTAACTTGAAAGGAGGCCGGATTTCCTTGCAGTGGCTTGAATACAGGCTCGTCTTTCATTTCACGACATGAAGGGATGTCTGAATCCACTGTGGAGACCTTAGAGAAAGCCCTAGGTCCCTGCCTCATTTAGACGGAATGCCTCACATCCCGTTGACACCTCGAGAGGCACGCGGAGTTCATTGCTTCAAAAGGTGACAATGCCTCACTCCTCTTGAATACTGATAGGAATCCCAAAATCCCTGTGGCTACTGGAAAGGGTCCTTGGGTGCCCTGCCTCACCTCGAGAAGCGTCCCTTTTGCCCTGCCAAGCCTCGAAGAGATTCCTGAGGTGTCCCTCGTTACTAGACACTAGTCCTGACGTCACTGAAGAAACTCGTGTTTTGAGGGCCATCCCCGCCGTAAGTCGAGAACATACCCCAGGTCCCCGCCGCAACTCGAGAAAAACCATGAGACTTCCCCCTAGAGGCGAGATGAGACCCCATTCCCCTGCAGTGCATGCAGAGCTATTCCGTGGTCCCATTCAAACAAGTCAGGAGCTTCGACTTGCTTAATGGATCTCGAGACAGTCCCCAAGAACACTGTCACCAGTCTCGACGGACCCTGAGGTCACCCCAGCAACGTAAAGCAGCTCCATGTGCCCCAAATCAACTCGAGATGAGGCCCGATTCCCCTGCATTGACTCCAGAGCCATTCCCCGTTCCCTATTCAACACGACCCGTGGCTCGACTTCCTTCAGGCAACTCCAGAGATACCCCGAGAACATTGTCCCAAGTCTAGAGGAACACCAACTTCAGCACAGCAACTCGAGGAATGCTCCGTGTACCCCAAATCGTCTCAAGATGAGACGTGATTCCCTGGCTTAGGCTCAAGACGTATGCCAACTTTCCAGACGCACCTCAGGAGGAGGCTTCTCTCAGCAATAGGTATGTGGGAGGGACCCCGAGTTTGCTGCCTCAAGGGCAATATACAGCTAGAAGCCCTAACTTGAAAGGGGCTGGATTTCCTTGCAGTGGCTTGAATACAGGCTCGTCTTTCATCTCACAACATGAAGGGATGTCTGAATCCCCTGTGGAGACCTTAGAGAAAGCCCTATGTCCCTGCCTCATTTTGACGGAATGCCTCACATCCCGTTGACACCTCAAGAGGCACGCGAAGTTCATTGCTTCAAAAGGTGACAATGCCTCACTCCTCTTGAATACTGATAGGAATCCCAAAATCCCTGTGGCTACTGGAAAGGGTCCTTGGGTGCCCTGCCTCACCTCGAGAAGCGTCCCTTTTGCCCTGCCAAGCCTCGAAGAGATTCCTGAGGTGTCCCTCGTTACTAGACAGGAGTCCTGACGTCACTGAAGAAACTCGTGTTTTGTATGGCCATCCCTGCCGTAAGTCGAGAACATAACCCAGGTCCCCGCCGCAACTCGAGAAAAACCATGAGACTTCCGCCTAGAGGCGAGATGAGGCCCCATTCCCCTGCAGTGCATGCAGAGCTATTCCGTGGTCCCATTCAAGCAAGCCAGGGGCTTCGACTTGCTTAATGGTTCTCGAGACAGTCCCCAAGAACACTGTCACCAGTCTCGACGACCCTGAGGTCACCCCAGCAACGCAAAGCAGCTCCATGGGCCCAAATCAACTCGAGATGAGGCCTGATTCCCCTGCATTGACTCCAGAGCCATTCCCCGTTCCCCATTCAACACGACCGGTGGCTCTACTTCCTTCAGGCAACTCCAGAGATGCCCCGAAAACACTGTCCCAAGTCTAGAGGAACACGAACTTCAGCACGGCAACTCGATGAACGCTCCGTGTACCCCAAATCGTCTCGAGGTGAGAGGTGATTCCCTGGCTTAGGCTCAAGACGTATGCCAACTTTCCAGACGCACCTCAGGAGGAGGCTTCTGTCAGCAATAGGTATGTGGGAGGGACCCCGAGTTCGCTGCCTCAAGGGCAATATACAGCGAGAAGCCCTAACTTGAAAGGAGGCCGGATTTCCTTGCAGTGGCTTGAATACAGGCTCGTCTTTCTTCTCACAACATGAAGGGATGTCTGAATCCCCTGTGGAGACCTTAGAGAAAGCCCTAGGTCCCTGCCTCATTTGGACGGAATGCCTCACATCCCGTTGACACCTCGAGAGGCACGCGGAGTTCATTGCTTCAAAAGGTGACAATGCCTCACTCCTCTTGAATTCTGATAAGAATCCCAAAATCCCTGTGGCTACTGGAAAGGGTCCTTGGGTGCCCTGCCTCACCTCAAGAAGCGTCCCATTTGCACTGCCAAGCCTCGATGAGATTCCTGAGGTGTCCCTCATTACTAGACAGGAGTCCTGACGTCACTGAAGAAACTCGTGTTTTGAAGGGCCATCCCCGCCGTAAGTCGAGAACATACCCCAGGTCCCCGCCGCAACTCGAGAAAAACCCTGAGACTTCCCCCTAGAGGCGAGATGAGGCCCCATTCCCCTGCAGTGCATGCAGAGCTATTCCGTGGTCCCATTCAAACAAGTCAGGAGCTTCGACTTGCTTAATGGATCTCGAGACAGTCCCCAAGAACACTGTCACCAGTCTCGACGGACGCTGAGGTCACCCCAGCAACGCAAAGCAGATCCATGTGCCCCAAATCAACTCGAGATGAGGCCCGATTCCCCTGCATTGATTCCAGAGCCATTCCCCGTTCCCCATTCAACACGACCGGTGGCTCGACTTCCTTCAGGCAACTGCAGAGATGCCCCGAGAACACTGTCCCAAGTCTAGAGGAACACCAACTTCAGCACGGCAACTCGAGGAATGCTCCGTGAACCCCAAATCGTCTCGAGATGAGAGGTGATTCCCTGGCTTAGGCTCAAGACGTATGCCAACTTTCCAGACGCACCTCAGGAGGAGGCTTCTCTCAGCAATAGGTATGTGGAAGGGACCCCGAGTTCGCTGCCTCAAGGGCAATATACAGCGAGAAGCCCTAACTTGAAAGGAGGCCGGATTTCCTTGCAGTGGCTTGAATACAGGCTCGTCTTTCATTTCACGACATGAAGGGATGTCTGAATCCACTGTGGAGACCTTAGAGAAAGCCCTAGGTCCCTGCCTCATTTAGACGGAATGCCTCACATCCCGTTGACACCTCGAGAGGCACGCGGAGTTCATTGCTTCAAAAGGTGACAATGCCTCACTCCTCTTGAATACTGATAGGAATCCCAAAATCCCTGTGGCTACTGGAAAGGGTCCTTGGGTGCCCTGCCTCACCTCGAGAAGCGTCCCTTTTGCCCTGCCAAGCCTCGAAGAGATTCCTGAGGTGTCCCTCGTTACTAGACACTAGTCCTGACGTCACTGAAGAAACTCGTGTTTTGAGGGCCATCCCCGCCGTAAGTCGAGAACATACCCCAGGTCCCCGCCGCAACTCGAGAAAAACCATGAGACTTCCCCCTAGAGCCGAGATGAGACCCCATTCCCCTGCAGTGCATGCAGAGCTATTCCGTGGTCCCATTCAAACAAGTCAGGAGCTTCGACTTGCTTAATGGATCTCGAGACAGTCCTCAAGAACACTGTCACCAGTCTCGATGGACCCTGAGGTCACCCCAGCAATGCAAAGCAGCTCCATGTGCCCCAAATCAACTCGAGATGAGGCTCGATTCCCCTGCATTGATTCCAGAGCCATTCCCTGTTCCCATTCAACACGAGGTGGCTCGACTTCCTTCAGGCAACTCCAGAGATACCCCGAGAACACTGTCCCAAGTCTAGAGGAACACCAACTTCAGCACAGCAACTCGAGGAATGCTCCGTGTACACCAAATCATCTCGAGATGAGAGCTGATTCCCTGGCTTGGGCTCAAGACGTATGCCAACTTTCCAGACGCACCTCAGGAGGAGGCTTCTCTCAGCAATAGGTATGTGGGAGGGACCCCGAGTTCGCTGCCTCAAGGGCAATATACAGCGAGAAGCCCTAACTTGAAAGGAGGCCGGATTTCCTTGCAGTGGCTTGAATACAGGATCGTCTTTCATCTCACAACATGAAGGGATGTCTGATTCCCCTGTAGAGACCTTAGAGAAAGCCCTAGGTCCCTGCCTCATTTTGACGGAATGCCTCACATCCCGTTGACACCTCAAGAGGCACGCGAAGTTCATTGCTTCAAAAGGTGACAATGCCTCACTCCTCTTGAATACTGATAGGAATACCAAAATCACTTTGGTACTGGAAAGGGTCCTTGGGTGCCCTGCCTCACCTCGAGAAGCGTCCCTTTTGCCCTGCCAAGCCTTGAAGAGATTCCTGAGGTGTCCCTCGTTACTAGACAGGAGTCCTGACGTCACTGAAGAAACTCGTGTTTTGAAGGGCCATCCCCGCCGTAAGTCGAGAACATACCCCAGGTCCCCGCCGCAACTCGAGAAAAACCATGAGATTTCCCCCTAGAGGCGAGATGAGGCCCCATTCCCCTGCAGTGCATGCAGAGCTATTGCGTGGTCCCATTCAAGCAAGTCAGGAGCTTCGACTTGCTTAATGGTTCTCGAGACAGTCCCCAAGAACACTGTCACCAGTCTCGACGGACCCTGAGGTCACCCCAGCAACGCAAAGCAGCTCCATGGGCCCCAAATCAACTCGAGATGAGGCCCGATTCCCCTGCATTGACTCCAGTGCCATTCCCCATTCCCCATTCAACACGACCGGTGGCTCGACTTCCTTCAGGCAACTCCAGAGATGCCCCGAGAACACTGTCCCAAGTCTAGAGGAACACCAACTTCAGCACGGCAACTCGAGGAATGCTCCGTGTACCCCAAATCGTCTCGAGATGAGAGCTGATTCCCTGGCTTAGGCACAAGACATATGCCAACTTTCAAGACGCACCTCAGGAGGAGGCTTCTCTCAGCAATAGGTATGTGGGAGGGACCCCGAGTTCGCTGCCTCAAGGGCAATATACAGCGAGAAGCCCTAACTTGAAAGGAGGCCGGATTTCCTTGCAGTGGCTTGAATACAGGCTCGTCTTTCATCTCACAACATGAAGGGATGTCTGAATCCCCTGTGGAGACCTTAGAGAAAGCCCTAGGTCCCTGCCTCATTTTGACGGAATGCCTCACATCCCGTTGACACCTCAAGAGGCACGCGAAGTTCATTGCTTCAAAAGGTGACAATGCCTCACTCCTCTTGAATACTGATAGGAATCCCAAAATCCCTGTGGCTACTGGAAAGGGTCTTGGGTGCCCTGCCTCACCTCAAGAAGCGTCCCTTTTGCCCTGCCAAGCCTCGAAGAGATTCCGGAGGTGTCCCTCGTTACTAGACAGGAGTCCTGACGTCACTGAAGAAACTCGTGTTTTGAAGGGCCATCCCCGCCGTAAGTCGAGAACATACCCCAGGTCCCCGCCGCAACTCGAGAAAAACCATGAGACTTCCCCCTAGAGGCGAGATGAGGCCCCATTCCCCTGCAGTGCATGCAGAACTATTCCGTGGTCCCATTCAAGCAAGTCAGGAGCTTCGACTTGCTTAATGGTTCTCGAGACAGTCCCCAAGAACACTGTCACCAGTCTCGACGGACCCTGAGGTCACCCCAGCAACGCAAAGCAGCTCCATGGGCCCCAAATCAACTCGAGATGTGGCCCGATTCCCCAGCATTGACTCCAGAGCCATTCCCGGTTCCCCATTCAACACGACCGGTGGCTCGACTTCCTTCAGGCAACTCCAGAGATGCCCCGAGAACACTGTCCCAAGTCTAGAGGAACACCAACTTCAGCACGGCAACTCGAGGAATGCTCCGTGTACCCCAAATCGTCTCGAGGTGAGAGGTGATTCCTTGGCTTAGGCTCAAGACGTATGCCAACTTTCCAGACGCACCTCAGGAGGAGGCTTCTCTCAGCAATAGGTATGTGGGAGGGACCCCGAGTTCGCTGCCTCAAGGGCAATATACATCGAGAAGCCCTAACTTGAAAGGAGGCCGGATTTCCTTGCAGTGGCTTGAATACAGGCTCGTCTTTGATCTCACAACATGAAGGGATGTCTGAATCCCCTGTGGAGACCATAGAGAAAGCCCTAGGTCCCTGCCTCATTTAGACGGAATGCCTCACATCCCGTTGACACCTCGAGAGGCACGCGGAGTTCATTGCTTCAAAAGGTGACGATGCCTGACTCCTCTTGAATTCTGATAGGAATCCCAAAATCCCTGTGGCTACTGGAAAGGGTTCATGGGTGCCCTGCCTCACCTCAAGAAGCGTCCCATTTGCACTGCCAAGCCTCGATGAGATTCCTGAGGTGTCCCTCGTTACTAGACAGGAGTCCTGACGTCACTGAAGAAACTCGTGTTTTGAAGGGCCATCCCCGCCGTAAGTCGAGAACATACCCCAGGTCCCCGCCGCAACTCGAGAAAAACCATGAGACTTCCCCCTAGAGGCGAGATGAGGCCCCCTTCCCCTGCAGTGCATGCAAAGCTCTTCCGTGGTCCCATTCAAACAAGTCAGGAGCTTCGACTTGCTTAATGGATCTCGAGAAAGTCCCCAAGAACACTGTCACCAGTCTCGACGGACCCTGAGGTCACCCCAGCAACGCAAAGCAGCTCCATGGGCCCCAAATCAACTCGAGATGAGGCCCGATTTCCCTGCATTGACTCCAGAGCCATTCCCCACTCCCCATTCAACACGACCGGTGGCTCGACTTCCTTCAGGCAACTCCAGAGATACCCCGAGAACACTCTCCCAAGTCTAGAGGAACACCAACTTCAGCACAGCAACTCGAGGAATGCTCCGTGTACCCCAAATCGTCTCGAGATGAGAGCTGATTCCCTGGCTTAGGCTCAAGACGTATGCCAACTTTCCAGACGCACCTCAGGAGGAGGCTTCTCTCAGCAATAGGTATGTGGGAGGGACCCCGAGTTCGCTGCCTCAAGGGCAATATACAGCGAGAAGCCCTAACTTGAAAGGAGGCCGGATTTCCTTGCAGTGGCTTGAATACAGGCTGGTCTTTCATCTCACGACATGAAGGGATGTCTGAATCCCCTGTGGAGACCTTAGAGAAAGCCCTAGGTCCCTGCCTCATTTTGACGGAATGCCTCACATCCCGTTGACACCTCAAGAGGCACGCGAAGTTCATTGCTTCAAAAGGTGACAATGCCTCACTCCTCTTGAATACTGATAGGAATCCCAAAATCCCTGTGGCTACTGGAAAGGGTCCTTGGGTGCCCTGCCTCACCTCGAGAAGCGTCCCTTTTGCCCTGCCAAGCCTCGAAGAGATTCCTGAGGTGTCCCTCGTTACTAGACACTAGTCCTGACGTCACTGAAGAAACTCGTGTTTTGAAGGGCGTTCCCCGCCGTAAGTCGAGAACATACCCCAGGTCCCCGCCGCAACTCGAGAAAAACCATGAGTCTTCCCCCTAGAGGCGAGATGAGGCCCCATTCCCTTGCAGTGCATGCAGAGCTATTCCGTGGTCCCATTCAAGCAAGTCAGGAGCTTCGACTTGCTTAATGGTTCTCGAGACAGTCCCCAAGAACACTGTCACCAGTCTCGACGGACCCTGAGGTCACCCCAGCAACGCAAAGCAGCTCCATGGGCCCCAAATCAACTCGAGATGAGGCCCGATTCCCCTGCATTGACTCCAGAGCCACTCCCGGTTCCCCATTCAACACGACCGGTGGCTCGACTTCCTTCAGGCAACTCCAGAGATGCCCCGAGAACACTGTCCCAAGTCTAGAGGAACACCAACTTCAGCACGGCAACTCGAGGAATGCTCCGTGTACCCCAAATCGTCTCGAGGTGAGAGGTGATTCCCTGGCTTAGGCTCAAGACGTATGCCAACTTTCCAGACGCAACTCAGGAGGAGGCTTCTCTCAGCAATAGGTATGTGGGAGGGACCCCGAGTTCGCTGCCTCAAGGGCAATATACAGCGAGAAGCCCTAACTTGAAAGGAGGCCGGATTTCCTTGCAGTGGCTTGAATACAGACTCGTCTTTCATCTCACAACATGAAGGGATGTCTGAATCATCTGTGGAGACCTTAGAGAAAGCCCTAGTTCCCTGCCTCATTTAGACGGAATGCCTCACATCCCGTTGACACCTCGAGAGGCACGCGGAGTTCATTTCTTCAAAAAGTGACGATGCCTGACTCCTCTTGAATTCTGATAGGAATCCCAAAATCACTGTGGCTACTGGAAAGGGTCCTTGGGTGCCCTGACTCACCTCGAGAAGCGTCCCTTTTGCACTGCCAAGCCTGGATGAGATTCCTGAGGTGTCCCTCGTTACTAGACAGGAGTCCTGACGTCACTGAAGAAACTCGTGTTTTGAAGGGCCATCCCCGCCGTAAGTCGAGAACATACCACAGGTCCCCGCCGCAACTCGAGAAAAAGCATGAGACTTGCCCCTAGAGGCGAGATGAGGCCCCATTCCCCTGCAGTGCATGCAGAGCTATTCCGTGGTCCCATTCAAGCAAGTCAGGAGCTTCGACTTGCTTAATGGATCTCGAGACAGTCCCCAAGAACACTGTCACCAGTCTCGACGGACCCTGAGGACACCCCAGCACCACAAAGCAGCTCCATGGGCCCCAAATCAACTCGAGATGAGGCCCGATTCCCCTGCATTGACTCCAGAGCCATTCCCCGTTCCCCATTCAACACGACCGGTGGCTCGACTTCCTTCAGGCAACTCCAGAGATGCCCCAAGAACACTGACCCAAGTCTAGAGGAACACCAACTTCAGCACGGCAACTCGAGGAATGCTCCGTGTACCCCAAATCGTCTCGAGATGAGAGGTGATTCCCTGGCTTAGGCTCAAGACGTATGCCAACTTTCCAGACGCACCTCAGGAGGAGGCTTCTCTCAGCAATAGGTATGTGGGAGGGACCCCGAGTTCGCTGCCTCAAGGGCAATATACAGCGAGAAGCCCTAACTTGAAAGGAGGCCGGATTTCCTTGCAGTGGCTTGAATACAGACTCGTCTTTCATCTCACAACATGAAGGGATCTCTGAATCCCCTGTGGAGACCTTAGAGAAAGCCCTAGGTCCCTGCCTCATTTGGACGGAATGCCTCACATCCCGTTGACACCTCGAGAGGCACGCGGAGTTCATTGCTTCAAAAGGTGACGATGCCTGACTCCTCTTGAATTCTGATAGGAATCCCCAAATCACTGTGGCTACTGGAAAGGGTCCTTGCGTGCCCTGCCTCACCTCAAGAAGCGTCCCATTTGCACTGCCAAGCCTCGATGAGATTCCTGAGGTGTCCCTCGTTACTAGACAGGAGTCCTGACGTCACTGAAGAAACTCGTGTTTTGAAGGGCCATCCCCGCCGTAAGTCGAGAACATACCCCAGGTCCCCGCCGCAACTCGAGAAAAACCATGAGACTTCCCCCTAGAGGCGAGATGAGACCCCATTCCCCTGCATTGCATGCAGAGCTATTCGGTGGTCCCATTCAAACAAGTCAGGAGCTTCGACTTGCTTAATGGATCTCGAGACAGTCCCCAAGAACACTGTCACCAGTCTCGACGGACCCTGAGGTCACCCCAGCAACGTAAAGCAGCTCCATGTGCCCCAAATCAACTCGAGATGAGGCCCGATTCCCCTGCATTGACTCCAGAGCCATTCCCCGTTCCCTATTCAACACGACCCGTGGCTCGACTTCCTTCAGGCAACTCCAGAGATACCCCGAGAACATTGTCCCACGTCTAGAGGAACACCAACTTCAGCACAGCAACTCGAGGAATGCTCCGTGTACCCCAAATCGTCTCGAGATGAGAGGTGATTCCCTGGCTTAGGCTCAAGACGTATGCCAACTTTCCAGACGCACCTCAGGAGGAGGCTTCTCTCAGCAATAGGTATGTGGGAGGGACCCCGAGTTTGCTGCCTCAAGGGCAATATACAGCTAGAAGCCCTAACTTGAAAGGGGCCGGATTTCCTTGCAGTGGCTTGAATACAGGCTCGTCTTTCATCTCACAACATGAAGGGATGTCTGAATCCCCTGTGGAGACCTTAGAGAAAGCCCTATGTCCCTGCCTCATTTTGACGGAATGCCTCACATCCCGTTGACACCTCAAGAGGCACGCGAAGTTCATTGCTTCAAAAGGTGACAATGCCTCACTCCTCTTGAATACTGATAGGAATCCCAAAATCCCTGTGGCTACTGGAAAGGGTCCTTGGGTGCCCTGCCTCACCTCGAGAAGCGTCCCTTTTGCCCTGCCAAGCCTCGAAGAGATTCCTGAGGTGTCCCTCGTTACTAGACAGGAGTCCTGACGTCACTGAAGAAACTCGTGTTTTGAATGGCCATCCCTGCCGTAAGTCGAGAACATAACCCAGGTCCCCGCCGCAACTCGAGAAAAACCATGAGACTTCCGCCTAGAGGCGAGATGAGGCCCCATTCCCCTGCAGTGCATGCAGAGCTATTCCGTGGTCCCATTCAAGCAAGCCAGGGGCTTCGACTTGCTTAATGGTTCTCGAGACAGTCCCCAAGAACACTGTCACCAGTCTCGAAGACCCTGAGGTCACCCCAGCAACGCAAAGCAGCTCAATGGGCCCAAATCAACTCGAGATGAGGCCTGATTCCCCTGCATTGACTCCAGAGCCATTCCCCGTTCCCCATTCAACACGACCGGTGGCTCGACTTACTTCAGGCAACTCCAGAGATGCCCCGAAAACACTGTCCCAAGTCTAGAGGAACACGAACTTCAGCACGGCAACTCGATGAACGCTCCGTGTACCCCAAATCGTCTCGAGATGAGAGGTGATTCCCTGGCTTAGGCTCAAGACGTATGCCAACTTTCCAGACGCACCTCAGGAGGAGGCTTCTGTCAGCAATAGGTATGTGGGAGGGACCCCGAGTTCGCTGCCTCAAGGGCAATATACAGCGAGAAGCCCTAACTTGAAAGGAGGCCGGATTTCCTTGCAGTGGCTTGAATACAAGCTCGTCTTTCTTCTCACAACATGAAGGGATGTCTGAATCCCCTGTGGAGACCTTAGAGAAAGCCCTAGGTCCCTGCCTCATTTGGACGGAATGCCTCACATCCCGTTGACACCTCGAGAGGCACGCGGAGTTCATTGCTTCAAAAGGTGACAATGCCTCACTCCTCTTGAATTCTGATAAGAATCCCAAAATCCCTGTGGCTACTGGAAAGGGTCCTTGGGTGCCCTGCCTCACCTCGAGAAGCGTCCCTTTTGCCCTGCCAAGCCTCGAAGAGATTCCTGAGGTGTCCCTCGTTACTAGACAGGAGTCCTGACGTCACTGAAGAAACTCGTGTTTTGAAGGGCCATCCCCGCCGTAAGTCGAGAACATACCCCAGGTCCCCGCCGCAACTCGAGAAAAACCATGAGACTTCCCCCTAGAGGCGAGATGAGGCCCCATTCCCCTGCAGTGCATGCAGAGCTATTGCGTGGTCCCATTCAAGCAAGTCAGGAGCTTCGACTTGCTTAATGGTTCTCGAGACAGTCCCCAAGAACACTGTCACCAGTCTCGACGGACCCTGAGGTCACCCCAGCAACGCACAGCAGCTCCATGGGCCCCAAATCAACTCGAGATGAGGCCCGATTCCCCTGCATTGACTCCAGTGCCATTCCCCATTCCCCATTCAACACGACCGGTGGCTCGACTTCCTTCAAGCAACTCCAGAGATGCCCCGAGAACACTGTCCCAAGTCTAGAGGAACACCAACTTCAGCACGGCAACTCGAGGAATGCTCCGTGTACCCCAAATCGTCTCGAGATGAGAGCTGATTCCCTGGCTTAGGCACAAGACGTATGCCAACTTTCAAAACGCACCTCAAGAGGAGGCTTCTCTCAGCAATAGGTATGTGGGAGGGACCCCGAGTTCGCTGCCTCAAGGGCAATATACAGCGAGAAGCCCTAACTTGAAAGGAGGCCGGATTTCCTTGCAGTGGCTTGAATACAGGCTCGTCTTTCATCTCACAACATGAAGGGATGTCTGAATTCCCTGTGGAGACCTTAGAGAAAGCCCTAGGTCCCTGCCTCATTTTGACGGAATGCCTCACATCCCGTTGACACCTCAAGAGGCACGCGAAGTTCATTGCTTCAAAAGGTGACAATGCCTCACTCCTCTTGAATACTGATAGGAATCCCAAAATCCCTGTGGCTACTGGAAAGGGTCCTTGGGTGCCCTGCCTCACCTCGAGAAGCGTCCCTTTTGCCCTGCCAAGCCTCGAAGAGATTCCTGAGGTGTCCCTCGTTACTAGACAGGAGTCCTGACGTCACTGAAGAAACTCGTGTTTTGAAGGGCCATCCCCGCCGTAAGTCGAGAACATACCCCAGGTCCCCGCCGCAACTCGAGAAAAACCATGAGACTTCCCCCTAGAGGCGAGATGAGGCCCCATTCCCCTGCAGTGCATGCAGAGCTATTCCGTGGTCCCATTCAAGCAAGTCAGGAGCTTCGACTTGCTTAATGGTTCTCGAGACAGTCCCCAAGAACACTGTCACCAGTCTCGACGGACCCTGAGGTCACCCCAGCAACGCAAAGCAGCTCCATGGGCCCCAAATCAACTCGAGATGAGGCCCGATTCCCCTGCATTGACTCCAGAGCCATTCCCGGTTCCCCATTCAACACGACCGGTGGCTCGACTTCCTTCAGGCAACTCCAGAGATGCCCCGAGAACACTGTCCCAAGTCTAGTGGAACACCAACTTCAGCACGGCAACTCGAGGAATGCTCCGTGTACAACAAATCGTCTCGAGGTGAGAGGTGATTCCTTGGCTTAGGCTCAAGACGTATGCCAACTTTCCAGACGCCCCTCAGGAGGAGGCTTCTCTCAGCAATAGGTATGTGGGAGGGACCCCGAGTTCGCTGCCTCAAGGGCAATATACATCGAGAAGCCCTAACTTGAAAGGAGGCCGGATTTCCTTGCAGTGGCTTGAATACAGGCTCGTCTTTGATCTCACAACATGAAGGGATGTCTGAATACCCTGTGGAGACCTTAGAGAAAACCCTAGGTCCCTGCCTCATTTAGACGGAATGCCTCACATCCCGTTGACACCTCGAGAGGCACGCGGAGTTCATTGCTTCAAAAGGTGACGATGCCTGACTCCTCTTGAATTCTGATAGGAATCCCAAAATCACTGTGGCTACTGGAAAGGGTTCATGGGTGCCCTGCCTCAACTCGAGAAGCGTCCCATTTGCACTGCCAAGCCTCGATGAGATTCCTGAGGTGTCCCTCGTTACTAGACAGGAGTCCTGACGTCACTGAAGAAACTCGTGTTTTGAAGGGCCATCCCCGCCGTAAGTCGAGAACATACCCCAGGTCCCCGCCGCAACTCGAGAAAAACCATGAGACTTACCCCTAGAGGCGAGATGAGGCCCCATTCCCCTGCAGTGCATGCAAAGCTCTTCCGTGGTCCCATTCAAACAAGTCAGGAGCTTCGACTTGCTTAATGGATCTCGAGACAGTCCCCAAGAACACTGTCACCAGTCTCGACGGACCCTGAGGTCACCCCAGCAACGCAAAGCAGCTCCATGGGCCCCAAATCAACTCGAGATGAGGCCAGATTCCCCTGCATTGACTCCAGAGCCATTCCCCGCTCCCCATTCAACACGACCGGTGGCTCAACTTCCTTCAGGCAACTCCAGAGATACCCCGAGAACACTCTCCCAAGTCTAGAGGAACACCAACTTCAGCACAGCAACTCGAGGAATGCTCCGTGTACCCCAAATCGTCTCGAGATGAGAGCTGATTCCCTGGCTTAGGCTCAAGACGTATGCCAACTTTCCAGACGCACCTCAGGAGGAGGCTTCTCTCAGCAATAGGTATGTGGGAGGGACCCCGAGTTCGCTGCCTCAAGGGCAATATACATCGAGAAGCCCTAACTTGAAAGGAGGCCGGATTTCCTTGCAGTGGCTTGAATACAGGCTCGTCTTTGATCTCACAACATGAAGGGATGTCTGAATACCCTGTGGAGACCTTAGAGAAAACCCTAGGTCCCTGCCTCATTTAGACGGAATGCCTCACATCCCGTTGACACCTCGAGAGGCACGCGGAGTTCATTGCTTCAAAAGGTGACGATGCCTGACTCCTCTTGAATTCTGATAGGAATCCCAAAATCACTGTGGCTACTGGAAAGGGTTCATGGGTGCCCTGCCTCAACTCGAGAAGCGTCCCATTTGCACTGCCAAGCCTCGATGAGATTCCTGAGGTGTCCCTCGTTACTAGACAGGAGTCCTGACGTCACTGAAGAAACTCGTGTTTTGAAGGGCCATCCCCGCCGTAAGTCGAGAACATACCCCAGGTCCCCGCCGCAACTCGAGAAAAACCATGAGACTTACCCCTAGAGGCGAGATGAGGCCCCATTCCCCTGCAGTGCATGCAAAGCTCTTCCGTGGTCCCATTCAAACAAGTCAGGAGCTTCGACTTGCTTAATGGATCTCGAGACAGTCCCCAAGAACACTGTCACCAGTCTCGACGGACCCTGAGGTCACCCCAGCAACGCAAAGCAGCTCCATGGGCCCCAAATCAACTCGAGATGAGGCCAGATTCCCCTGCATTGACTCCAGAGCCATTCCCCGCTCCCCATTCAACACGACCGGTGGCTCAACTTCCTTCAGGCAACTATAGAGATACCCCGAGAACACTCTCCCAAGTCTAGAGGAACACCAACTTCAGCACAGCAACTCGAGGAATGCTCCGTGTACCCCAAATCGTCTCGAGATGAGAGCTGATTCCCTGGCTTAGGCTCAAGACGTATGCCAACTTTCCAGACGCACCTCAGGAGGAGGCTTCTCTCAGCAATAGGTATGTGGGAGGGACCCCGAGTTCGCTGCCTCAAGGGCAATATACAGCGAGAAGCCCTAACTTGAAAGGAGGCCGGATTTCCTTGCAGTGGCTTGAATACAGGCTCGTCTTTCATCTCACGACATGAAGGGATGTCTGAATCCCCTGTGGAGACCTTAGAGAAAGCCCTAGGTCCCTGCCTCATTTTGACGGAATGCCTCACATCCCGTTGACACCTCAAGAGGCACGCGAAGTTCATTGCTTCAAAAGTTGACAATGCCTCACTCCTCTTGAATACTGATAGGAATCCCAAAATCCCTGTGGCTACTGGAAAGGGTCCTTGGGTGCCCTGCCTCACCTCGAGAAGCGTCCCTTTTGCCCTGCCAAGCCTCGAAGAGATTCCTGAGGTGTCCCTCGTTACTAGACACTAGTCCTGACGTCACTGAAGAAACTCGTGTTTTGAAGGGCGTTCCCTGCCGTAAGTCGAGAACATACCCCAGGTCCCCGCCGCAACTCGAGAAAAACCATGAGTCTTCCCCCTAGAGGCGAGATGAGGCCCCATTCCCTTGCAGTGCATGCAGAGCTATTCCGTGGTCCCATTCAAGCAAGTCAGGAGCTTCGACTTGCTTAATGGTTCTCGAGACAGTCCCCAAGAACACTGTCACCAGTCTCGACGGACCCTGAGGTCACCCCAGCAACGCAAAGCAGCTCCATGGGCCCCAAATCAACTCGAGATGAGGCCCGATTCCCCTGCATTGACTCCAGAGCCACTCCCGGTTCCCCATTCAACACGACCGGTGGCTCGACTTCCTTCAGGCAACTCCAGAGATGCCCCGAGAACACTGTCCCAAGTCTAGAGGAACACCAACTTCAGCACGGCAACTCGAGGAATGCTCCGTGTACCCCAAATCGTCTCGAGGTGAGAGGTGATTCCCTGGCTTAGGCTCAAGACGTATGCCAACTTTCCAGACGCAACTCAGGAGGACGCTTCTCTCAGCAATAGGTATGTGGGAGGGACCCCGAGTTCGCTGCCTCAAGGGCAATATACAGCGAGAAGCCCTAACTTGAAAGGAGGCCGGATTTCCTTGCAGTGGCTTGAATACAGACTCGTCTTTCATCTCACAACATGAAGGGTTGTCTGAATCATCTGTGGAGACCTTAGAGAAAGCCCTAGGTCCCTGCCTCATTTAGACGGAATGCCTCACATCCCGTTGACACCTCGAGAGGCACGCGGAGTTCATTTCTTCAAAAAGTGACGATGCCTGACTCCTCTTGAATTCTGATAGGAATCCCAAAATCACTGTGGCTACTGGAAAGGGTCCTTGGGTGCCCTGCCTCACCTCGAGAAGCGTCCCTTTTGCACTGCCAAGCCTGGATGAGATTCCTGAGGTGTCCCTCGTTACTAGACAGGAGTCCTGACGTCACTGAAGAAACTCGTGTTTTGAAGGGCCATCCCCGCCGTAAGTCGAGAACATACCACAGGTCCCCGCCGCAACTCGAGAAAAAGCATGAGACTTGCCCCTAGAGGCGAGATGAGGCCCCATTCCCCTGCAGTGCATGCAGAGCTATTCCGTGGTCCCATTCAAGCAAGTCAGGAGCTTCGACTTGCTTAATGGATCTCGAGACAGTCCCCAAGAACACTGTCACCAGTCTCGACGGACCCTGAGGACACCCCAGCAACACAAAGCAGCTCCATGGGCCCCAAATCAACTCGAGATGAGGCCCGATTCCCCTGCATTGACTCCAGAGCCATTCCCCGTTCCCCATTCAACACGACCGGTGGCTCGACTTCCTTCAGGCAACTCCAGAGATGCCCCAAGAACACTGTCCCAAGTCTAGAGGAACACCAACTTCAGCACGGCAACTCGAGGAATGCTCCGTGTACCCCAAATCGTCTCGAGATGAGAGGTGATTCCCTGGCTTAGGCTCAAGACGTATGCCAACTTTCCAGACGCACCTCAGGAGGAGGCTTCTCTCAGCAATAGGTATGTGGGAGGGACCCCGAGTTCGCTGCCTCAAGGGCAATATACAGCGAGAAGCCCTAACTTGAAAGGAGGCCGGATTTCCTTGCAGTGGCTTGAATACAGACTCGTCTTTCATCTCACAACATGAAGGGATCTCTGAATCCCCTGTGGAGACCTTAGAGAAAGCCCTAGGTCCCTGCCTCATTTGGACGGAATGCCTCACATCCCGTTGACACCTCGAGAGGCACGCGGAGTTCATTGCTTCAAAAGGTGACGATGCCTGACTCCTCTTGAATTCTGATAGGAATCCCAAAATCACTGTGGCTACTGGAAAGGGTCCTTGCGTGCCCTGCCTCACCTCAAGAAGCGTCCCATTTGCACTGCCAAGCCTCGATGAGATTCCTGAGGTGTCCCTCGTTACTAGACAGGAGTCCTGACGTCACTGAAGAAACTCGTGTTTTGAAGGGCCATCCCCGCCGTAAGTCGAGAACATACCCCAGGTCCCCGCCGCAACTCGAGAAAAACCATGAGACTTCCCCCTAGAGGCGAGATGAGACCCCATTCCCCTGCATTGCATGCAGAGCTATTCCGTGGTCCCATTCAAACAAGTCAGGAGCTTCGACTTGCTTAATGGATCTCGAGACAGTCCCCAAGAACACTGTCACCAGTCTCGACGGACCCTGAGGTCACCCCAGCAACGCAAAGCAGCTCCATGTGCCCCAAATCAACTCGAGATGAGGCCCGATTCCCCTGCATTGACTCCAGAGCCATTCCCCGTTCCCTATTCAACACGACCCGTGGCTCGACTTCCTTCAGGCAACTCCAGAGATACCCCGAGAACATTGTCCCAAGTCTAGAGGAACACCAACTTCAGCACAGCAACTCGAGGAATGCTCCGTGTACCCCAAATCGTCTCGAGATGAGAGGTGATTCCCTGGCTTAGGCTCAAGACGTATGCCAACTTTCCAGACGCACCTCAGGAGGAGGCTTCTCTCAGCAATAGGTATGTGGGAGGGACCCCGAGTTTGCTGCCTCAAGGGCAATATACAGCTAGAAGCCCTAACTTGAAAGGGGCCGGATTTCCTTGCAGTGGCTTGAATACAGGCTCGTCTTTCATCTCACAACATGAAGGGATGTCTGAATCCCCTGTGGAGACCTTAGAGAAAGCCCTATGTCCCTGCCTCATTTTGACGGAATGCCTCACATCCCGTTGACACCTCAAGAGGCACGCGAAGTTCATTGCTTCAAAAGGTGACAATGCCTCACTCCTCTTGAATACTGATAGGAATCCCAAAATCCCTGTGGCTACTGGAAAGGGTCCTTGGGTGCCCTGCCTCACCTCGAGAAGCGTCCCTTTTGCCCTGCCAAGCCTCGAAGAGATTCCTGAGGTGTCCCTCGTTACTAGACAGGAGTCCTGACGTCACTGAAGAAACTCGTGTTTTGAATGGCCTTCCCTGCCGTAAGTCGAGAACATAACCCAGGTCCCCGCCGCAACTCGAGAAAAACCATGAGACTTCCGCCTAGAGGCGAGATGAGGCCCCATTCCCCTGCAGTGCATGCAGAGCTATTCCGTGGTCCCATTCAAGCAAGCCAGGGGCTTCGACTTGCTTAATGGTTCTCGAGACAGTCCCCAAGAACACTGTCACCAGTCTCGACGACCCTGAGGTCACCCCAGCAACGCAAAGCAGCTCCATGGGCCCAAATCAACTCGAGATGAGGCCTGATTCCCCTGCATTGACTCCAGAGCCATTCCCCGTTCCCCATTCAACACGACCGGTGGCTCGACTTCCTTCAGGCAACTCCAGAGATGCCCCGAAAACACTGTCCCAAGTCTAGAGGAACACGAACTTCAGCACGGCAACTCGATGAACGCTCCGTGTACCCCAAATCGTCTCGAGATGAGAGGTGATTCCCTGGCTTAGGCTCAAGACGTATGCCAACTTTCCAGACGCACCTCAGGAGGAGGCTTCTGTCAGCAATAGGTATGTGGGAGGGACCCCGAGTTCGCTGCCTCAAGGGCAATATACAGCGAGAAGCCCTAACTTGAAAGGAGGCCGGATTTCCTTGCAGTGGCTTGAATACAGGCTCGTCTTTCTTCTCACAACATGAAGGGATGTCTGAATCCCCTGTGGAGACCTTAGAGAAAGCCCTAGGTCCCTGCCTCATTTGGACGGAATGCCTCACATCCCGTTGACACCTCGAGAGGCATGCGGAGTTCATTGCTTCAAAAGGTGACAATGCCTCACTCCTCTTGAATTCTGATAAGAATCCCAAAAGTCCTGTGGCTACTGGAAAGGGTCCTTGGGTGCCCTGCCTCACCTCAAGAAGCGTCCCATTTGCACTGCCAAGCCTCGATGAGATTCCTGAGGTGTCCCTCATTACTAGACAGGAGTCCTGACGTCACTGAAGAAACTCGTGTTTTGAAGGGCCATCCCCGCCGTAAGTCGAGAACATACCCCAGGTCCCCGCCGCAACTCGAGAAAAACCCTGAGACTTCCCCCTAGAGGCGAGATGAGGCCCCATTCCCCTGCAGTGCATGCAGAGCTATTCCGTGGTCCCATTCAAACAAGTCAGGAGCTTCGACTTGCTTAATGGATCTCGAGACAGTCCCCAAGAACACTGTCACCAGTCTCGACGGACGCTGAGGTCACCCCAGCAACGCAAAGCAGATCCATGTGCCCCAAATCAACTCGAGATGAGGCCCGATTCCCCTGCATTGACTCCAGAGCCATTCCCCGTTCCCCATTCAACACGACCGGTGGCTCGACTTCCTTCAGGAAACTGCAGAGATGCCCCGAGAACACTGTCCCAAGTCTAGAGGAACACCAACTTCAGCACGGCAACTCGAGGAATGCTCCGTGAACCGCAAATCGTCTCGAGATGAGAGGTGATTCCCTGGCTTAGGCTCAAGACGTATGCCAACTTTCCAGACGCACCTCAGGAGGAGGCTTCTCTCAGCAATAGGTATGTGGGAGGGACCCCGAGTTCGCTGCCTCAAGGGCAATATACAGCGAGAAGCCCTAACTTGAAAGGAGGCCGGATTTCCTTGCAGTGGCTTGAATACAGGCTCGTCTTTCATTTCACGACATGAAGGGATGCCTGAATCCCCTGTGGAGACCTTAGAGAAAGCCCTAGGTCCCTGCCTCATTTTGACGGAATGCCTCACATCCCGTTGACACCTCAAGAGGCACTCGAAGTTCATTGCTTCAAAAGGTGACAATGCCTGACTCCTCTTGAATACTGATAGGAATCCCAAAATCCCTGTGGCTACTGGAAAGGGTCCTTGGGTGCCCTGCCTCACCTCGAGAAGCGTCCCTTTTGCCCTGCCAAGCCTCGAAGAGATTCCTGAGGTGTCCCTCGTTACTAGACAGGAGTCCTGACGTCACTGAAGAAACTCGTGTTTTGAGGGCCATCCCCGCCGTAAGTCGAGAACATACCCCAGGTCCCCGCCGCAACTCGAGAAAAACCATGAGACTTCCCCCTAGAGGCGAGATGAGACCCCATTCCCCTGCAGTGCATGCAGAGCTATTCCGTGGTCCCATTCAAACAAGTCAGGAGCTTCGACTTGCTTAATGGATCTCGAGACAGTCCTCAAGAACACTGTCACCAGTCTCGATGGACCCTGAGGTCACCCCAGCAATGCAAAGCAGCTCCATGTGCCCCAAATCAACTCGAGATGAGGCTCGATTCCCCTGCATTGATTCCAGAGCCATTCCCTGTTCCCATTCAACACGAACGGTGGCTCGACTTCCTTCAGGCAACTCCAGAGATACCCCGAGAACACTGTCCCAAGTCTAGAGGAACACCAACTTCAGCACAGCAACTCGAGGAATGCTCCGTGTACACCGAATCATCTCGAGATGAGAGCTGATTCCCTGCCTTAGGCTCAAGACGTATGCCAACTTTCCAGACGCACCTCAGGAGGAGGCTTCTCTCAGCAATAGGTATGTGGGAGGGACCCCGAGTTCGCTGCCTCAAGGGCAATATACAGCGAGAAGCCCTAACTTGAAAGGAGGCTGGATTTCCTTGCAGTGGCTTGAATACAGGCTCGTCTTTCATCTCACAACATGAAGGGATGTCTGAATCCCCTGTGGAGACCTTAGAGAAAGCCCTAGGTCCCTGCCTCATTTTGACGGAATGCCTCACATCCCGTTGACACCTCAAGAGGCACGCGAAGTTCATTGCTTCAAAAGGTGACAATGTCTCACTCCTCTTGAATACTGATAGGAATACCAAAATCACTTTGGTACTGGAAAGGGTCCTTGGGTGCCCTGCCTCACCTCGAGAAGCGTCCCTTTTGCCCTGCCAAGCCTTGAAGAGATTCCTGAGGTGTCCCTCGTTACTAGACAGGAGTCCTGACGTCACTGAAGAAACTCGTGTTTTGAAGGGCCATCCCCGCCGTAAGTCGAGAACATACCCCAGGTCCCCGCCGCAACTCGAGAAAAACCATGAGACTTCCCCCTAGAGGCGAGATGAGGCCCCATTCCCCTGCAGTGCATGCAGAGCTATTCCGTGATCCCATTCAAACAAGTCAGGAGCTTCGACTTGCTTAATGGATCTCGAGACAGTCCCCAAGAACACTGTCACCAGTCTAGACGGACCCTGAGGTCACCCCAGCAACGCAAAGCAGCTCCATTTGCCCCAAATCAACTCGAGATGAGGACCGATTCCCCTGCATTGACTCCAGAGCCATTCCCCGTTCCCCATTCAACAGGACCGGTGGCTCGCTTTCCTTCAGGCAACTCCAGAGATGCCCCGAGAACACTGTCCCAAGTCTAGAGGAACACCAACTTCAGCACGGCAACTCGAGGAATGCTCCGTGTACCCCAAATCGTCTCGAGGTGAGAGGTGATTCTTGGCTTAGGCTCAAGACGTATGCCAACTTTCAAGACGCACCTCAGGAGGAGGCTTCTCTCAGCAATAGGTATGTGGGAGGGACCCCGAGTTCGCTGCCTCAAGGGCAATATACAGCGAGAAGCCCTAACTTGAAAGGAGGCCGGATTTCCTTGCAGTGGCTTGAATACAGGCTCGTCTTTCATCTCACAACATGAAGGGATGTCTGAATCCACTGTGGAGACCTTAGAGAAAGCCCTAGGTCCCTGCCTCATTTAGACGGAATGCCTCACATCCCGTTGACACCTCGAGAGGCACGCGGAGTTCATTGCTTCAAAAGGTGACAATGCCTCACTCCTCTTGAATACTGATAGGAATCCCAAAATCCCTGTGGCTACTGGAAAGGGTCCTTGGGTGCCCTGCCTCACCTCGAGAAGCGTCCCTTTTGCCCTGCCAAGCCTCGAAGAGATTCCTGAGGTGTCCCTCGTTACTAGACACTAGTCCTGACGTCACTGAAGAAACTCGTGTTTTGAAGGGCCATCCCCGCCGTAAGTCGAGAACATACCCCAGGTCCCCGCCGCAACTCGAGAAAAACCATGAGACTTCCCCCTAGAGGCGAGATGAGACCCCATTCCCCTGCAGTGCATGCAGAGCTATTCCGTGGTCCCATTCAAACAAGTCAGGAGCTTCGACTTGCTTAATGGATCTCGAGACAGTCCTCAAGAACACTGTCACCAGTCTCGATGGACCCTGAGGTCACCCCAGCAATGCAAAGCAGCTCCATGTGCCCCAAATCAACTCGAGATGAGGCTCGATTCCCCTGCATTGATTCCAGAGCCATTCCCTGTTCCCATTCAACACGAACGGTGGCTCGACTTCCTTCAGGCAACTCCAGAGATACCCCGAGAACACTGTCCCAAGTCTAGAGGAACACCAACTTCAGCACAGCAACTCGAGGAATGCTCCGTGTACACCAAATCATCTCGAGATGAGAGCTGATTCCCTGGCTTAGGCTCAAGACGTATGCCAACTTTCCAGACGCACCTCAGGAGGAGGCTTCTCTCAGCAATAGGTATGTGGGAGGGACCCCGAGTTCGCTGCCTCAAGGGCAATATACAGCGAGAAGCCCTAACTTGAAAGGAGGCCGGATTTCCTTGCAGTGGCTTGAATACAGGCTCGTCTTTCATCTCACAACATGAAGGGATGTCTGATTCCCCTGTGGAGACCTTAGAGAAAGCCCTAGGTCCCTGCCTCATTTTGACGGAATGCCTCACATCCCGTTGACACTTCAAGAGGCACGCGAAGTTCATTGCTTCAAAAGGTGACAATGCCTCACTCCTCTTGAATACTGATAGGAATACCAAAATCACTTTGGTACTGGAAAGGGTCCTTGGGTGCCTTGCCTCACCTCGAGAAGCGTCCCTTTTGCCCTGCCAAGCCTCGAAGAGATTCCTGAGGTGTCCCTCGTTACTAGACAGGAGTCCTGACGTCACTGAAGAAACTCGTGTTTTGAAGGGCCATCCCCGCCGTAAGTCGAGAACATACCCCAGGTCCCCGCCGCAACTCGAGAAAAACCATGAGACTTCCCCCTAGAGGCGAGATGAGGCCCCATTCCCCTGCAGTGCATGCAGAGCTATTCCGTGGTCCCATTCAAGCAAGTCAGGAGCTTCGACTTGCTTAATGGTTCTCGAGACAGTCCCCAAGAACACTGTCACCAGTCTCGAAGGACCATGAGGTCACCCCAGCAACGCAAAGCGGCTCCATGGGCCCCAAATCAACTCGAGATGAGGCCCGATTCCCCTGCATTGACTCCAGAGCCATTCCCCGTTCCCCATTCAACACGACCGGTGGCTCGACTTCCTTCAGGCAACTCCAGAGATGCCCCGAGAACACTGTCCCAAGTCTAGAGGAACACCAACTTCAGCACGGCAACTCGAGGAATGCTCCGTGTACCCCAAATCGTCTCGAGATGAGAGCTGATTCCCTGGCTTAGGCACAAGACGTATGCCAACTTTCAAGACGCACCTCAGGAGGAGGCTTCTCTCAGCAATAGGTAGGTGGGAGGGACCCCGAGTTCGCTGCCTCAAGGGCAATATATAGCGAGAAGCCCTAACTTGAAAGGAGGCCGGATTTCCTTGCAGTGGCTTGAATACAGGCTCGTCTTTCTTCTCACAACATGAAGGGATGTCTGAATCCCCTGTGGAGACCTTAGAGAAAGCCCTAGGTCCCTGCCTCATTTGGACGGAATGCCTCACATCCCGTTGACACCTCGAGAGGCACGCGGAGTTCATTGCTTCAAAAGGTGACAATGCCTCACTCCTCTTGAATTCTGATAAGAATCCCAAAATCCCTGTGGCTAATGGAAAGGGTCCTTGGGTGCCCTGCCTCACCTCAAGAAGCGTCCCATTTGCACTGCCAAGCCTCGATGAGATTCCTGAGGTGTCCCTCATTACTAGACAGGAGTCCTGACGTCACTGAAGAAACTCGTGTTTTGAAGGGCCATCCCCGCCGTAAGTCGAGAACATACCCCAGGTCCCCGCCGCAACTCGAGAAAAACCCTGAGACTTCCCCCTAGAGGCGAGATGAGGCCCCATTCCCCTGCAGTGCATGCAGAGCTATTCCGTGGTCCCATTCAAACAAGTCAGGAGCTTCGACTTGCTTAATGGATCTCGAGACAGTCCCCAAGAACACTGTCACCAGTCTCGACGGACGCTGAGGTCACCCCAGCAACGCAAAGCAGATCCATGTGCCCCAAATCAACTCGAGATGAGGCCCGATTCCCCTGCATTGACTCCAGAGCCATTCCCCGTTCCCCATTCAACACGACCGGTGGCTCGACTTCCTTCAGGAAACTGCAGAGATGCCCCGAGAACACTGTCCCAAGTCTAGAGGAACACCAACTTCAGCACGGCAACTCGAGGAATGCTCCGTGAACCGCAAATCGTCTCGAGATGAGAGGTGATTCCCTGGCTTAGGCTCAAGACGTATGCCAACTTTCCAGACGCACCTCAGGAGGAGGCTTCTCTCAGCAATAGGTATGTGGGAGGGACCCCGAGTTCGCTGCCTCAAGGGCAATATACAGCGAGAAGCCCTAACTTGAAAGGAGGCCGGATTTCCTTGCAGTGGCTTGAATACAGGCTCGTCTTTCATTTCACGACATGAAGGGATGCCTGAATCCCCTGTGGAGACCTTAGAGAAAGCCCTAGGTCCCTGCCTCATTTTGACGGAATGCCTCACATCCCGTTGACACCTCAAGAGGCACTCGAAGTTCATTGCTTCAAAAGGTGACAATGCCTGACTCCTCTTGAATACTGATAGGAATCCCAAAATCCCTGTGGCTACTGGAAAGGGTCCTTGGGTGCCCTGCCTCACCTCGAGAAGCGTCCCTTTTGCCCTGCCAAGCCTCGAAGAGATTCCTGAGGTGTCCCTCGTTACTAGACAGGAGTCCTGACGTCACTGAAGAAACTCGTGTTTTGAGGGCCATCCCCGCCGTAAGTCGAGAACATACCCCAGGTCCCCGCCGCAACTCGAGAAAAACCATGAGACTTCCCCCTAGAGGCGAGATGAGACCCCATTCCCCTGCAGTGCATGCAGAGCTATTCCGTGGTCCCATTCAAACAAGTCAGGAGCTTCGACTTGCTTAATGGATCTCGAGACAGTCCTCAAGAACACTGTCACCAGTCTCGATGGACCCTGAGGTCACCCCAGCAATGCAAAGCAGCTCCATGTGCCCCAAATCAACTCGAGATGAGGCTCGATTCCCCTGCATTGATTCCAGAGCCATTCCCTGTTCCCATTCAACACGAACGGTGGCTCGACTTCCTTCAGGCAACTCCAGAGATACCCCGAGAACACTGTCCCAAGTCTAGAGGAACACCAACTTCAGCACAGCAACTCGAGGAATGCTCCGTGTACACCAAATCATCTCGAGATGAGAGCTGATTCCCTGGCTTAGGCTCAAGACGTATGCCAACTTTCCAGACGCACCTCAGGAGGAGGCTTCTCTCAGCAATAGGTATGTGGGAGGGACCCCGAGTTCGCTGCCTCAAGGGCAATATACAGCGAGAAGCCCTAACTTGAAAGGAGGCCGGATTTCCTTGCAGTGGCTTGAATACAGGCTCGTCTTTCATCTCACAACATGAAGGGATGTCTGATTCCCCTGTGGAGACCTTAGAGAAAGCCCTAGGTCCCTGCCTCATTTTGACGGAATGCCTCACATCCCGTTGACACTTCAAGAGGCACGCGAAGTTCATTGCTTCAAAAGGTGACAATGCCTCACTCCTCTTGAATACTGATAGGAATACCAAAATCACTTTGGTACTGGAAAGGGTCCTTGGGTGCCCTGCCTCACCTCGAGAAGCGTCCCTTTTGCCCTGCCAAGCCTCGAAGAGATTCCTGAGGTGTCCCTCGTTACTAGACAGGAGTCCTGACGTCACTGAAGAAACTCGTGTTTTGAAGGGCCATCCCCGCCGTAAGTCGAGAACATACCCCAGGTCCCCGCCGCAACTCGAGAAAAACCATGAGACTTCCCCCTAGAGGCGAGATGAGGCCCCATTCCCCTGCAGTGCATGCAGAGCTATTCCGTGGTCCCATTCAAGCAAGTCAGGAGCTTCGACTTGCTTAATGGTTCTCGAGACAGTCCCCAAGAACACTGTCACCAGTCTCGAAGGACCATGAGGTCACCCCAGCAACGCAAAGCGGCTCCATGGGCCCCAAATCAACTCGAGATGAGGCCCGATTCCCCTGCATTGACTCCAGAGCCATTCCCCGTTCCCCATTCAACACGACCGGTGGCTCGACTTCCTTCAGGCAACTCCAGAGATGCCCGAGAACACTGTCCCAAGTCTAGAGGAACACCAACTTCAGCACGGCAACTCGAGGAATGCTCCGTGTACCCCAAATCGTCTCGAGATGAGAGCTGATTCCCTGGCTTAGGCACAAGACGTATGCCAACTTTCAAGACGCACCTCAGGAGGAGGCTTCTCTCAGCAATAGGTAGGTGGGAGGGACCCCGAGTTCGCTGCCTCAAGGGCAATATATAGCGAGAAGCCCTAACTTGAAAGGAGGCCGGATTTCCTTGCAGTGGCTTGAATACAGGCTCGTCTTTCTTCTCACAACATGAAGGGATGTCTGAATCCCCTGTGGAGACCTTAGAGAAAGCCCTAGGTCCCTGCCTCATTTGGACGGAATGCCTCACATCCCGTTGACACCTCGAGAGGCACGCGGAGTTCATTGCTTCAAAAGGTGACAATGCCTCACTCCTCTTGAATTCTGATAAGAATCCCAAAATCCCTGTGGCTAATGGAAAGGGTCCTTGGGTGCCCTGCCTCACCTCAAGAAGCGTCCCATTTGCACTGCCAAGCCTCGATGAGATTCCTGAGGTGTCCCTCATTACTAGACAGGAGTCCTGACGTCACTGAAGAAACTCGTGTTTTGAAGGGCCATCCCCGCCGTAAGTCGAGAACATACCCCAGGTCCCCGCCGCAACTCGAGAAAAACCCTGAGACTTCCCCCTAGAGGCGAGATGAGGCCCCATTCCCCTGCAGTGCATGCAGAGCTATTCCGTGGTCCCATTCAAACAAGTCAGGAGCTTCGACTTGCTTAATGGATCTCGAGACAGTCCCCAAGAACACTGTCACCAGTCTCGACGGACGCTGAGGTCACCCCAGCAACGCAAAGCAGATCCATGTGCCCCAAATCAACTCGAGATGAGGCCCGATTCCCCTGCATTGACTCCAGAGCCATTCCCCGTTCCCCATTCAACACGACCGGTGGCTCGACTTCCTTCAGGAAACTGCAGAGATGCCCCGAGAACACTGTCCCAAGTCTAGAGGAACACCAACTTCAGCACGGCAACTCGAGGAATGCTCCGTGAACCGCAAATCGTCTCGAGATGAGAGGTGATTCCCTGGCTTAGGCTCAAGACGTATGCCAACTTTCCAGACGCACCTCAGGAGGAGGCTTCTCTCAGCAATAGGTATGTGGGAGGGACCCCGAGTTCGCTGCCTCAAGGGCAATATACAGCGAGAAGCCCTAACTTGAAAGGAGGCCGGATTTCCTTGCAGTGGCTTGAATACAGGCTCGTCTTTCATTTCACGACATGAAGGGATGCCTGAATCCCCTGTGGAGACCTTAGAGAAAGCCCTAGGTCCCTGCCTCATTTTGACGGAATGCCTCACATCCCGTTGACACCTCAAGAGGCACTCGAAGTTCATTGCTTCAAAAGGTGACAATGCCTGACTCCTCTTGAATACTGATAGGAATCCCAAAATCCCTGTGGCTACTGGAAAGGGTCCTTGGGTGCCCTGCCTCACCTCGAGAAGCGTCCCTTTTGCCCTGCCAAGCCTCGAAGAGATTCCTGAGGTGTCCCTCGTTACTAGACAGGAGTCCTGACGTCACTGAAGAAACTCGTGTTTTGAGGGCCATCCCCGCCGTAAGTCGAGAACATACCCCAGGTCCCCGCCGCAACTCGAGAAAAACCATGAGACTTCCCCCTAGAGGCGAGATGAGACCCCATTCCCCTGCAGTGCATGCAGAGCTATTCCGTGGTCCCATTCAAACAAGTCAGGAGCTTCGACTTGCTTAATGGATCTCGAGACAGTCCTCAAGAACACTGTCACCAGTCTCGATGGACCCTGAGGTCACCCCAGCAATGCAAAGCAGCTCCATGTGCCCCAAATCAACTCGAGATGAGGCTCGATTCCCCTGCATTGATTCCAGAGCCATTCCCTGTTCCCATTCAACACGAACGGTGGCTCGACTTCCTTCAGGCAACTCCAGAGATACCCCGAGAACACTGTCCCAAGTCTAGAGGAACACCAACTTCAGCACAGCAACTCGAGGAATGCTCCGTGTACACCAAATCATCTCGAGATGAGAGCTGATTCCCTGGCTTAGGCTCAAGACGTATGCCAACTTTCCAGACGCACCTCAGGAGGAGGCTTCTCTCAGCAATAGGTATGTGGGAGGGACCCCGAGTTCGCTGCCTCAAGGGCAATATACAGCGAGAAGCCCTAACTTGAAAGGAGGCCGGATTTCCTTGCAGTGGCTTGAATACAGGCTCGTCTTTCATCTCACAACATGAAGGGATGTCTGATTCCCCTGTGGAGACCTTAGAGAAAGCCCTAGGTCCCTGCCTCATTTTGACGGAATGCCTCACATCCCGTTGACACTTCAAGAGGCACGCGAAGTTCATTGCTTCAAAAGGTGACAATGCCTCACTCCTCTTGAATACTGATAGGAATACCAAAATCACTTTGGTACTGGAAAGGGTCCTTGGGTGCCCTGCCTCACCTCGAGAAGCGTCCCTTTTGCCCTGCCAAGCCTCGAAGAGATTCCTGAGGTGTCCCTCGTTACTAGACAGGAGTCCTGACGTCACTGAAGAAACTCGTGTTTTGAAGGGCCATCCCCGCCGTAAGTCGAGAACATACCCCAGGTCCCCGCCGCAACTCGAGAAAAACCATGAGACTTCCCCCTAGAGGCGAGATGAGGCCCCATTCCCCTGCAGTGCATGCAGAGCTATTCCGTGGTCCCATTCAAGCAAGTCAGGAGCTTCGACTTGCTTAATGGTTCTCGAGACAGTCCCCAAGAACACTGTCACCAGTCTCGAAGGACCCTGAGGTCACCCCAGCAACGCAAAGCGGCTCCATGGGCCCCAAATCAACTCGAGATGAGGCCCGATTCCCCTGCATTGACTCCAGAGCCATTCCCCGTTCCCCATTCAACACGACCGGTGGCTCGACTTCCTTCAGGCAACTGCAGAGATGCCCCGAGAACACTGTCCCAAGTCTAGAGGAACACCAACTTCAGCACGGCAACTCGAGGAATGCTCCGTGAACCGCAAATCGTCTCGAGATGAGAGGTGATTCCCTGGCTTAGGCTCAAGACGTATGCCAACTTTCCAGACGCACCTCAGGAGGAGGCTTCTCTCAGCAATAGGTATGTGGGAGGGACCCCGAGTTCGCTGCCTCAAGGGCAATATACAGCGAGAAGCCCTAACTTGAAAGGAGGCCGGATTTCCTTGCAGTGGCTTGAATACAGGCTCGTCTTTCATTTCACGACATGAAGGGATGCCTGAATCCCCTGTGGAGACCTTAGAGAAAGCCCTAGGTCCCTGCCTCATTTTGACGGAATGCCTCACATCCCGTTGACACCTCAAGAGGCACGCGAAGTTCATTGCTTCAAAAGGTGACAATGCCTCACTCCTCTTGAATACTGATAGGAATCCCAAAATCCCTGTGGCTACTGGAAAGGGTCCTTGGGTGCCCTGCCTCACCTCGAGAAGCGTCCCTTTTGCCCTGCCAAGCCTCGAAGAGATTCCTGAGGTGTCCCTCGTTACTAGACAGGAGTCCTGACGTCACTGAAGAAACTCGTGTTTTGAGGGCCATCCCCGCCGTAAGTCGAGAACATACCCCAGGTCCCCGCCGCAACTCGAGAAAAACCATGAGACTTCCCCCTAGAGGCGAGATGAGACCCCATTCCCCTGCAGTGCATGCAGAGCTATTCCGTGGTCCCATTCAAACAAGTCAGGAGCTTTGACTTGCTTAATGGATCTCGAGACAGTCCTCAAGAACACTGTCACCAGTCTCGATGGACCCTGAGGTCACCCCAGCAATGCAAAGCAGCTCCATGTGCCCCAAATCAACTCGAGATGAGGCTCGATTCCCCTGCGTTGATTCCAGAGCCATTCCCTGTTCCCATTCAACACGAACAGTGGCTCGACTTCCTTCAGGCAACTCCAGAGATACCCCGAGAACACTGTCCCAAGTCTAGAGGAACACCAACTTCAGCACAGCAACTCGAGGAATGCTCCGTGTACACCGAATCATCTCGAGATGAGAGCTGATTCCCTGCCTTAGGCTCAAGACGTATGCCAACTTTCCAGACGCACCTCAGGAGGAGGCTTCTCTCAGCAATAGGTATGTGGGAGGGACCCCGAGTTCGCTGCCTCAAGGGCAATATACAGCGAGAAGCCCTAACTTGAAAGGAGGCTGGATTTCCTTGCAGTGGCTTGAATACAGGCTCGTCTTTCATCTCACAACATGAAGGGATGTCTGAATCCCCTGTGGAGACCTTAGAGAAAGCCCTAGGTCCCTGCCTCATTTTGACGGAATGCCTCACATCCCGTTGACACCTCAAGAGGCACGCGAAGTTCATTGCTTCAAAAGGTGACAATGCCTCACTCCTCTTGAATACTGATAGGAATACCAAAATCACTTTGGTACTGGAAAGGGTCCTTGGGTGCCCTGCCTCACCTCGAAAAGCGTCCCTTTTGCCCTGCCAAGCCTTGAAGAGATTCCTGAGGTGTCCCTCGTTACTAGACAGGAGTCCTGACGTCACTGAAGAAACTCGTGTTTTGAAGTGCCATCCCCGCCGTAAGTCGAGAACATACCCCAGGTCCCCGCCGCAACTCGAGAAAAACCATGAGACTTCCCCCTAGAGGCGAGATGAGGCCCCATTCCCCTGCAGTGCATGCAGAGCTATTCCGTGGTCCCATTCAAGCAAGTCAGGAGCTTCGACTTGCTTAATGGTTCTCGAGACAGTCCCCAAGAACACTGTCACCAGCCTCGACGGACCCTGAGGTCACCCCAGCAACGCAAAGCAGCTCCATGGGCCACAAATCAACTCGAGATGAGGCCCGATTCCCCTGCATTGACTCCAGAGCCATTCCCCGTTCCCCATTCAACACGACCGGTGGCTCGACTTCCTTCAGGCAACTCCAGAGATGCCCCGAGAACACTGTCCCAAGTCTAGAGGAACACCAACTTCAGCACGGCAACTCGAGGAATGCTCCGTGTACCCCAAATCGTCTCGAGGTGAGAGGTGATTCTTGGCTTAGGCTCAAGACGTATGCCAACTTTCAAGACACACCTCAGGAGGAGGCTTCTCTCAGCAATAGGTATGTGGGAGGGACCCCGAGTTCGCTGCCTCAAGGGCAATATACAGCGAGAAGCCCTAACTTGAAAGGAGGCCGGATTTCCTTGCTGTGGCTTGAATACAGGCTCGTCTTTCATCTCACAACATGAAGGGATGTCTGAATCCACTGTGGAGACCTTAGAGAAAGCCCTAGGTCCCTGCCTCATTTAGACGGAATGCCTCACATCCCGTTGACACCTCGAGAGGCACGCGGAGTTCATTGCTTCAAAAGGTGACAATGCCTCACTCCTCTTGAATACTGATAGGAATCCCAAAATCCCTGTGGCTACTGGAAAGGGTCCTTGGGTGCCCTGCCTCACCTCGAGAAGCGTCCCTTTTGCCCTGCCAAGCCTCGAAGAGATTCCTGAGGTGTCCCTCGATACTAGACACTAGTCCTGACGTCACTGAAGAAACTCGTGTTTTGAAGGGCCATCCCCGCCGTAAGTCGAGAACATACCCCAGGTCCCCGCCGCAACTCGAGAAAAACCATGAGACTTCCCCCTAGAGGCGAGATGAGACCCCATTCCCCTGCAGTGCATGCAGAGCTATTCCGTGGTCCCATTCAAACAAGTCAGGAGCTTCGACTTGCTTAATGGATCTCGAGACAGTCCTCAAGAACACTGTCACCAGTCTCGATGGACCCTGAGGTCACCCCAGCAATGCAAAGCAGCTCCATGTGCCCCAAATCAACTCGAGATGAGGCTCGATTCCCCTGCATTGATTCCAGAGCCATTCCCTGTTCCCATTCAACACGAACGGTGGCTCGACTTCCTTCAGGCAACTCCAGAGATACCCCGAGAACACTGTCCCAAGTCTAGAGGAACACCAACTTCAGCACAGCAACTCGAGGAATGCTCCGTGTACACCAAATCATCTCGAGATGAGAGCTGATTCCCTGGCTTAGGCTCAAGACGTATGCCAACTTTCCAGACGCACCTCAGGAGGAGGCTTCTCTCAGCAATAGGTATGTGGGAGGGACCCCGAGTTCGCTGCCTCAAGGGCAATATACAGCGAGAAGCCCTAACTTGAAAGGAGGCCGGATTTCCTTGCAGTGGCTTGAATACAGGCTCGTCTTTCATCTCACAACATGAAGGGATGTCTGATTCCCCTGTGGAGACCTTAGAGAAAGCCCTAGGTCCCTGCCTCATTTTGACGGAATGCCTCACATCCCGTTGACACTTCAAGAGGCACGCGAAGTTCATTGCTTCAAAAGGTGACAATGCCTCACTCCTCTTGAATACTGATAGGAATACCAAAATCACTTTGGTACTGGAAAGGGTCCTTGGGTGCCCTGCCTCACCTCGAGAAGCGTCCCTTTTGCCCTGCCAAGCCTCGAAGAGATTCCTGAGGTGTCCCTCGTTACTAGACAGGAGTCCTGACGTCACTGAAGAAACTCGTGTTTTGAAGGGCCATCCCCGCCGTAAGTCGAGAACATACCCCAGGTCCCCGCCGCAACTCGAGAAAAACCATGAGACTTCCCCCTAGAGGCGAGATGAGGCCCCATTCCCCTGCAGTGCATGCAGAGCTATTCCGTGGTCCCATTCAAGCAAGTCAGGAGCTTCGACTTGCTTAATGGTTCTCGAGACAGTCCCCAAGAACACTGTCACCAGTCTCGAAGGACCCTGAGGTCACCCCAGCAACGCAAAGCGGCTCCATGGGCCCCAAATCAACTCGAGATGAGGCCCGATTCCCCTGCATTGACTCCAGAGCCATTCCCCGTTCCCCATTCAACACGACCGGTGGCTCGACTTCCTTCAGGCAACTCCAGAGATGCCCCGAGAACACTGTCCCAAGTCTAGAGGAACACCAACTTCAGCACGGCAACTCGAGGAATGCTCCGTGTACCCCAAATCGTCTCGAGATGAGAGCTGATTCCCTGGCTTAGGCACAAGACGTATGCCAACTTTCCAGACGCACCTCAGGAGGAGGCTTCTCTCAGCAATAGGTAGGTGGGAGGGACCCCGAGTTCGCTGCCTCAAGGGCAATATATAGCGAGAAGCCCTAACTTGAAAGGAGGCCGGATTTCCTTGCAGTGGCTTGAATACAGGCTCGTCTTTCATCTCACAACATGAAGGGATGTCTGAATCCCCTGTGGAGACCTTAGAGAAAGCCCTAGGTCCCTGCCTCATTTAGACGGAATGCCTCACATCCCGTTGACACCTCGAGAGACACGCGGAGTTCATTGCATCAAAAGGTGACAATGCCTCACTCCTCTTGAATACTGATAGGAATCCCAAAATCCCTGTGGCTACTGGAAAGGGTCCTTGGGTGCCCTGCCTCACCTCGAGAAGCGTCCCTTTTGCCCTGCCAAGCCTCGAAGAGATTCCTGAGGTGTCCCTCGTTACTAGACACTAGTCCTGACGTCACTGAAGAAACTTGTGTTTTGAAGGGCCATCCCCGCCGTAAGTCGAGAACATACCCCAGGTCCCCGCCGCAACTCGAGAAAAACCATGAGACTTCCCCCTAGAGGCGAGATGAGACCCCATTCCCCTGCAGTGCATGCAGAGCTATTCCGTGGTCCCATTCAAACAAGTCAGGAGCTTCGACTTGCTTAATGGATCTCTAGACAGTCCTCAAGAACACTGTCACCAGTCTCGATGGACCCTGACGTCACCCCAGCAATGCAAAGCAGCTCCATGTGCCCCAAATCAACTCGAGATGAGGCTCGATTCCCCTGCATTGATTCCAGAGCCATTCCCTGTTCCCATTCAACACGAGGTGGCTCGACTTCCTTCAGGCAACTCCAGAGATACCCCGAGAACACTGTCCCAAGTCTAGAGGAACACCAACTTCAGCACAGCAACTCGAGGAATGCTCCGTGTACACCAAATCATCTCGAGATGAGAGCTGATTCCCTGGCTTAGGCTCAAGACGTATGCCAACTTTCCAGACGCACCTCAGGAGGAGGCTTCTCTCAGCAATAGGTATGTGGGAGGGACCCCGAGTTCGCTGCCTCAAGGGCAATATACAGCGAGAAGCCCTAACTTGAAAGGAGGCCGGATTTCCTTGCAGTGGCTTGAATACAGGATCGTCTTTCATCTCACAACATGAAGGGATGTCTGATTCCCCTGTGGAGACCTTAGAGAAAGCCCTAGGTCCCTGCCTCATTTTGACGGAATGCCTCACATCCCGTTGACACCTGAAGAGGCACGCGAAGTTCATTGCTTCAAAAGGTGACAATGCCTCACTCCTCTTGAATACTGATAGGAATACCAAAATCACTTTGGTACTGGAAAGGGTCCTTGGGTGCCCTGCCTCACCTCGAGAAGCGTCCCTTTTGCCCTGCCAAGCCTTGAAGAGATTCCTGAGGTGTCCCTCGTTACTAGACAGGAGTCCTGACGTCACTGAAGAAACTCGTGTTTTGAAGGGCCATCCCCGCCGTAAGTCGAGAACATACCCCAGGTCCCCGCCGCAACTCGAGAAAAACCATGAGATTTCCCCCTAGAGGCGAGATGAGGCCCCATTCCCCTGCAGTGCATGCAGAGCTATTGCGTGGTCCCATTCAAGCAAGTCATGAGCTTCGACTTGCTTAATGGTTCTCGAGACAGTCCCCAAGAACACTGTCACCAGTCTCGACGGACCCTGAGGTCACCCCAGCAACGCAAAGCAGCTCCATGGGCCCCAAATCAACTCGAGATGAGGCCCGATTCCCCTGCATTGACTCCAGTGCCATTCCCCATTCCCCATTCAACACGACCGGTGGCTCGACTTCCTTCAGGCAACTCCAGAGATGCCCCGAGAACACTGTCCCAAGTCTAGAGGAACACCAACTTCAGCACGGCAACTCGAGGAATGCTCCGTGTACCCCAAATCGTCTCGAGATGAGAGCTGATTCCCTGGCTTAGGCACAAGACGTATGCCAACTTTCAAGACGCACCTCAGGAGGAGGCTTCTCTCAGCAATAGGTATGTGGGAGGGACCCCGAGTTCGCTGCCTCAAGGGCAATATACAGCGAGAAGCCCTAACTTGAAAGGAGGCCGGATTTCCTTGCAGTGGCTTGAATACAGGCTCGTCTTTCATCTCACAACATGAAGGGATGTCTGAATCCCCTGTGGAGACCTTAGAGAAAGCCCTAGGTCCCTGCCTCATTTTGACGGAATGCCTCACATCCCGTTGACACCTCAAGAGGCACGCGAAGTTCATTGCTTCAAAAGGTGACAATGCCTCATTCCTCTTGAATACTGATAGGAATCCCAAAATCCCTGTGGCTACTGGAAAGGGTCCTTGGGTGCCCTGCCTCACCTCGAGAAGCGTCCCTTTTGCCCTGCCAAGCCTCGAAGAGATTCCTGAGGTGTCCCTCGTTACTAGACAGGAGTCCTGACGTCACTGAAGAAACTCGTGTTTTGAAGGGCCATCCCCGCCGTAAGTCGAGAACATACCCCAGGTCCCCGCCACAACTCGAGAAAAACCATGAGACTTCCCCCTAGAGGCGAGATGAGGCCCCATTCCCCTGCAGTGCATGCAGAGCTATTCCGTGGTCCCATTCAAGCAAGTCAGGAGCTTCGACTTGCTTAATGGTTCTCGAGACAGTCTCCAAGAACACTGTCACCAGTCTCGACGGACCCTGAGGTCACCCCAGCAACGCAAAGCAGCTCCATGGGCCCCAAATCAACTCGAGATGAGGCCCGATTCCCCTGCATTGACTCCAGAGCCATTCCCGGTTCCCCATTCAACACGACCGGTGGCTCGACTTCCTTCAGGCAACTCCAGAGATGCCCCGAGAACACTGTCCCAAGTCTAGAGGAACACCAACTTCAGCACGGCAACTCGAGGAATGCTCCGTGTACCCCAAATCGTCTCGAGGTGAGAGGTGATTCCTTGGCTTAGGCTCAAGACGTATGCCAACTTTCCAGACGCACCTCAGGAGGAGGCTTCTCTCAGCAATAGGTATGTGGGAGGGACCCCGAGTTCGCTGCCTCAAGGGCAATATACATCGAGAAGCCCTAACTTGAAAGGAGGCCGGATTTCCTTGCAGTGGCTTGAATACAGGCTCGTCTTTCATCTCACAACATGAAGGGATGTCTGAATCCCCTGTGGAGACCTTAGAGAAAGCCCTAGGTCCCTGCCTCATTTAGACGGAATGCCTCACATCCCGTTGACACCTCGAGAGGCACGCGGAGTTCATTGCTTCAAAAGGTGACGATGCCTGACTCCTCTTGAATTCTGATAGGAATCCCAAAATCCCTGCGGCTACTGGAAAGGGTTCATGGGTGCCCTGCCTCACCTCAAGAAGCGTCCCATTTGTACTGCCAAGCCTCGATGAGATTCCTGAGGTGTCCCTCGTTACTAGACAGGAGTCCTGACGTCACTGAAGAAACTCGTGTTTTGAAGGGCCATCCCCGCCGTAAGTCGAGAACATACCCCAGGTCCCCGCCGCAACTGGAGAAAAACCATGAGACTTCCCCCTAGAGGCAAGATGAGGCCCCATTCCCCTGCAGTGCATGCAAAGCTCTTCCGTGGTCCCATTCAAACAAGTCAGGAGCTTCGACTTGCTTAATGGATCTCGAGACAGTCCCCAAGAACACTGTCACCAGTCTCGACGGACCCTGAGGTCACCCCAGCAACGCAAAGCAGCTCCATGGGCCCCAAATCAACTCGAGATGAGGCCCGATTCCCCTGCATTGACTCCAGAGCCATTCCCCGCTCCCCATTCAACACGACCGGTGGCTCGACATCCTTCAGACAACTACAGAGATACCCCGAGAACACTCTCCCAAGTCTAGAGGAACACCAACTTCAGCACGGCAACTCGAGGAATGCTCCGTGTACCCCAAATCGTCTCGAGATGAGAGCTGATTCCCTGGCTTAGGCTCAAGACGTATGCCAACTTTCCAGACGCACCTCAGGAGGAGGCTTCTCTCAGCAATAGGTATGTGGGAGGGACCCCGAGTTCGCTGCCTCAAGGGCAATATACAGCGAGAAGCCCTAACTTGAAAGGAGGCCGGATTTCCTTGCAGTGGCTTGAATACAGGCTGGTCTTTCATCTCACGACATGAAGGGATGTCTGAATCCCCTGTGGAGACCTTAGAGAAAGCCCTAGGTCCCTGCCTCATTTGGACGGAATGCCTCACATCCCGTTGACACCTCAAGAGGCACGCGAAGTTCATTGCTTCAAAAGGTGACAATGCCTCACTCCTCTTGAATACTGATAGGAATCCCAAAATCCCTGTGGCTACTGGAAAGGGTCCTTGGGTGCCCTGCCTCACCTCGAGAAGCGTCCCTTTTGCCCTGCCAAGCCTCGAAGAGATTCCTGAGGTGTCCCTCGTTACTAGACACTAGTCCTGACGTCACTGAAGAAACTCGTGTTTTGAAGGGCGTTCCCCGCCGTAAGTCGAGAACATACACCAGGTCCCCGCCGCAACTCGAGAAAAACCATGAGTCTTCCCCCTAGAGGCGAGATGAGGCCCCATTCCCTTGCAGTGCATGCAGAGCTATTCCGTGGTCCCATTCAAGCAAGTCAGGAGCTTCGACTTGCTTAATGGTTCTCGAGACAGTCCCCAAGAACACTGTCACCAGTCTCGACGGACCCTGAGGTCACCCCAGCAACGCAAAGCAGCTCCATGTGCCCCAAATCAACTCGAGATGAGGCCCGATTCCCCTGCATTGACTCCAGAGCCATTCCCCGTTCCCCATTCAACACGACCGGTGGCTCGACTTCCTTCAGGCAACTCCAGAGATGCCCCGAGAACACTGTCCCAAGTCTAGAGGAACACCAACTTCAGCACGGCAACTCGAGGAATGCTCCGTGTACCCCAAATCGTCATGAGATGAGAGCTGATTCCCTGGCTTAGGCTCAAGACGTATGCTAACTTTCCAGACGCACCTCAGGAGGAGGCTTCTCTCAGCAATAAGTATTTGGGATGGACCCCGAGTTCGCTGCCTCAAGGGCAATATACAGCGAGAAGCCCTAACTTGAAAGGAGGCCGGATTTCCTTGCAGTGGCTTGAATACAGGCTCGTCTTTAATTTCACGACATGAAGGGATGTCTGAATCCCCTGTGGAGACCTTAGAGAAAGCCCTAGGTCCCTGCCTCATTTTGACGGAATGCCTCACATCCCGTTGACACCTCAAGAGGCACGCGAAGTTCATTGCTTCAAAAGGTGACAATGCCTCACTCCTCTTGAATACTGATAGGAATCCCAAAATCCCTGTGGCTACTGGAAAGGGTCCTTGGGTGCCCTGCCTCACCTCGAGAAGCGTCCCTTTTGCCCTGCCAAGCCTCGAAGAGATTCCTGAGGTGTCCCTCGTTACTAGACAGGAGTCCTGACGTCACTGAAGAAACTCGTGTTTTGAAGGGCCATCCCCGCCGTAAGTCGAGAACATACCCCAGGTCCCCGCCGCAACTCGAGAAAAACCATGAGACTTCCCCCTAGAGGCGAGATGAGACCCCATTCCCCTGCAGTGCATGCAGAGCTATTCCGTGGTCCCATTCAAACAAGTCAGGAGCTTCGACTTGCTTAATGGTTCTCGAGACAGTCCCCAAGAACACTGTCACCAGTCTCGACGGACCCTGAGGTCACCCCAGCAACGCAAAGCAGCTCCATGGGCCCCAAATCAACTCGAGATGAGGCCCGATTCCCCTGCATTGACTCCAGAGCCATTCCCGGTTCCCCATTCAACACGACCGGTGGCTCGACTTCCTTCAGGCAACTCCAGAGATGCCCCGAGAACACTGTCCCAAGTCTAGAGGAACACCAACTTCAGCACGGCAACTCGAGGAATGCTCCGTGTACCCCAAATCGTCTCGAGGTGAGAGGTGATTCCTTGGCTTAGGCTCAAGACGTATGCCAACTTTCCAGACGCACCTCAGGAGGAGGCTTCTCTCAGCAATAGGTATGTGGGAGGGACCCCGAGTTCGCTGCCTCAAGGCCAATATACAGTGAGAAGCCCTAATTTGAAAGGAGGCCGGATTTCCTTGCAGTGGCTTGAATACAGGCTCGTCTTTCATCTCACAACATGAAGGGATGTCTGAATCCCCTGTGGAGACCTTAGAGAAAGCCCTAGGTGCCTGCCTCATTTAGACGGAATGCCTCACATCCCGTTGACACCTCGAGAGGCACGCGGAGTTCATTGCTTCAAAAGGTGACGATGCCTGACTCCTCTTGAATTCTGATAGGAATCCCAAAATCACTGTGGCTACTGGAAAGGGTTCATGGGTGCCCTGCCTCACCTCAGGAAGCGTCCCATTTGCACTGCCAAGCCTCGATGAGATTCCTGAGGTGTCCCTCGTTACTAGACAGGAGTCCTGACGTCACTGAAGAAACTCGTGTTTTGAAGGGCCATCCCCGCCGTAAGTCGAGAACATACCCCAGGTCCCCGCCGCAACTCGAGAAAAACCATGAGACTTCCCCCTAGAGGCGAGATGAGGCCCCATTCCCCTGCAGTGCATGCAGAGCTATTCCGTGGTCCCATTCAAACAAGTCAGGAGCTTCGACTTGCTTAATGGATCTCGAGACAGTCCCCAAGAACACTGTCACCAGTCTCGACGCACCCTGAGGTCACCCCAGCAACGCAAAGCAGCTCGATGGGCCCCAAATCAACTCGAGATGAGGCCCGATTCCCCTGCATTGACTCCAGAGCCATTCCCCGCTCCCCATTCAACACGACCGGTGGCTCGACTTCCTTCAGGCAACTCCAGAGATACCCCGAGAACACTCTCCCAAGTCTAGAGGAACACCAACTTCAGCACAGCAACTCGAGGAATGCTCCGTGTAACCCAAATCGTCTCGAGATGAGAGCTGATTCCCTGGCTTAGGCTCAAGACGTATGCCAACTTTCCAGACGCACCTCAGGAGGAGGCTTCTCTCAGCAATAGGTATGTGGGAGGGACCCCGAGTTCGCTGCCTCAAGGGCAATATACAGCGAGAAGCCCTAACTTGAAAGGAGGCCGGATTTCCTTGCAGTGGCTTGAATACAGGCTGGTCTTTCATCTCACGACATGAAGGGATGTCTGAATCCCCTGTGGAGACCTTAGAGAAAGCCCTAGGTCCCTGCCTCATTTTGACGGAATGCCTCACATCCCGTTGACACCTCAAGAGGCACGCGAAGTTCATTGCTTCAAAAGGTGACAATGCCTCACTCCTCTTGAATACTGATAGGAATCCCAAAATCCCTGTGGCTACTGGAAAGGGTCCTTGGGTGCCCTGCCTCACCTCGAGAAGCGTCCCTTTTGCCCTGCCAAGCCTCGAAGAGATTCCTGAGGTGTCCCTCGTTACTAGACACTAGTCCTGACGTCACTGAAGAAACTCGTGTTTTGAAGGGCGTTCCCCGCCGTAAGTCGAGAACATACCCCAGGTCCCCGCCGCAACTCGAGAAAAACCATGAGTCTTCCCCCTAGAGGCGAGATGAGGCCCCATTCCCTTGCAGTGCATGCAGAGCTATTCCGTGGTCCCATTCAAGCAAGTCAGGAGCTTAGACTTGCTTAATGGTTCTCGAGACAGTCCCCAAGAACACTGTCACCAGTCTCGACGGACCCTGAGGTCACCCCAGCAACGCAAAGCAGCTCCATGGGCCCCAAATCAACTCGAGATGAGGCCCGATTCCCCTGCATTGACTCCAGAGCCATTCCCCGTTCCCCATTCAACACGACCGGTGGCTCGACTTCCTTCAGGCAACTCCAGAGATGCCCCGAGAACACTGTCCCAAGTCTAGAGGAACACCAACTTCAGCACGGCAACTCGAGGAATGCTCCGTGTACCCCAAATCGTCATGAGATGAGAGCTGATTCCCTGGCTTAGGCTCAAGACGTATGCCAACTTTCCAGACGCACCTCAGGAGGAGGCTTCTCTCAGCAATAGGTATGTGGGAGGGACCCCGAGTTCGCTGCCTCAAGGCCAATATACAGTGAGAAGCCCTAATTTGAAAGGAGGCCGGATTTCCTTGCAGTGGCTTGAATACAGGGTCGTCTTTCATCTCACAACATGAAGGGATGTCTGAATCCCCTGTGGAGACCTTAGAGAAAGCCCTAGGTGCCTGCCTCATTTAGACGGAATGCCTCACATCCCGTTGACACCTCGAGAGGCACGCGGAGTTCATTGCTTCAAAAGGTGACGATGCCTGACTCCTCTTGAATTCTGATAGGAATCCCAAAATCACTGTGGCTACTGGAAAGGGTTCATGGGTGCCCTGCCTCACCTCAAGAAGCGTCCCATTTGCACTGCCAAGCCTCGATGAGATTCCTGAGGGGTCCCTCGTTACTAGACAGGAGTCCTGACGTCACTGAAGAAACTCGTGTTTTGAAGGGCCATCCCCGCCGTAAGTCGAGAACATACCCCAGGTCCCCGCCGCAACTCGAGAAAAACCATGAGACTTCCCCCTAGAGGCGAGATGAGGCCCCATTCCCCTGCAGTGCATGCAGAGCTATTCCGTGGTCCCATTCAAACAAGTCAGGAGCTTCGACTTGCTTAATGGATCTCGAGACAGTCCCCAAGAACACTGTCACCAGTCTCGACGGACGCTGAGGTCACCCCAGCAACGCAAAGCAGCTCCATGTGCCCCAAATCAAATCGAGATGAGGCCCGATTCCCCTGCATTGACTCCAGAGCCATTCCCCGTTCCCCATTCAACACGACCGGTGGCTCGACTTCCTTCAGGCAACTCCAGAGATACCCCGAGAACACTCTCCCAAGTCTAGAGGAACACCAACTTCAGCACAGCAACTCGAGGAATGCTCCGTGTACCCCAAATCGTCTCGAGATGAGAGCTGATTCCCTGGCTTAGGCTCAAGACGTATGCCAACTTTCCAGACGCACCTCAGGAGGAGGCTTCTCTCAGCAATAGGTATGTGGGAGGGACCCCGAGTTCGCTGCCTCAAGGGCAATATACAGCGAGAAGCCCTAACTTGAAAGGAGGCCGGATTTCCTTGCAGTGGCTTGAATACAGGCTGGTCTTTCATCTCACGACATGAAGGGATGTCTGAATCCCCTGTGGAGACCTTAGAGAAAGCCCTAGGTCCCTGCCTCATTTTGACGGAATGCCTCACATCCCGTTGACACCTCAAGAGGCACGCGAAGTTCATTGCTTCAAAAGGTGACAATGCCTCACTCCTCTTGAATACTGATAGGAATCCCAAAATCCCTGTGGCTACTGGAAAGGGTCCTTGGGTGCCCTGCCTCACCTCGAGAAGCGTCCCTTTTGCCCTGCCAAGCCTCGAAGAGATTCCTGAGGTGTCCCTCGTTACTAGACACTAGTCCTGACGTCACTGAAGAAACTCGTGTTTTGAAGGGCGTTCCCCGCCGTAAGTCGAGAACATACCCCAGGTCCCCGCCGCAACTCGAGAAAAACCATGAGACTTCCCCCTAGAGGCGAGATTAGGCCCCATTCCCCTGCAGTGCATGCAGAGCTATTCCGTGGTCCCATTCAAGCAAGTCAGGAACTTCGACTTGCTTAATGGTTCTCGAGACAGTCCCCAAGAACACTGTCACCAGTCTCGACGGACCCTGAGGTCACCCCAGCAACGCAAAGCAGCTCCAAGGGCCCCAAATCAACTCGAGATGAGGCCCGATTCCCCTGCATTGACTCCAGAGCCATTCCCCGTTCCCCATTCAACACGACCGGTGGCTCGACTTCCTTCAGGCAATCCAGAGATGCCCCGAGAACACTGTCCCAAGTCTAGAGGAACACCAACTTCAGCACGGCAACTCGAGGAATGCTCCGTGTACTCCAAATCGTCTCGAGATGAGAGCTGATTCCCTGGCTTAGGCTCAAGACGTATGCCAACTTTCCAGACGCACCTCAGGAGGAGGCTTCTCTCAGCAATAGGTATGTGGGAGGGACCCTGAGTTCGCTGCCTCAAGGGCAATATACAGCGAGAAGCCCTAACTTGAAAGGAGGCCGGATTTCCTTGCAATGGCTTGAATACAGGATCGTCTTTCATTTCACGACATGAAGGGATGTCTGAATCCCCTGTGGAGACCTTAGAGAAAGCCCTAGCTCCCTGCCTCATTTTGACGGAATGCCTCACATCCCGTTGACACCTCAAGAGGCACGCGAAGTTCATTGCTTCAAAAGGTGACAATGCCTCACTCCTCTTGAATACTGATAGGAATCCCAAAATCCCTGTGGCTACTGGAAAGGGTCCTTGGGTGCCCTGCCTCACCTCGAGAAGCGTCCCTTTTGCCCTGCCAAGCCTCGAAGAGATTCCTGAGGTGTCCCTCGTTACTAGACAGGAGTCCTGACATCACTGAAGAAACTCGTGTTTTGAAGGGCCATCCCCGCCGTAAGTCGAGAACATACCCCAGGTCCCCGCCGCAACTCGCGAAAAACCATGAGACTTCCCCCTAGAGGAGAGATGAGGCCCCATTCCCCTGCAGTGCATGCAGAGCTATTCCGTGGTCCCATTCAAACAAGTCAGGAGCTTCGACTTGCTTAATGCTTCTCGAGACAGTCCCCAAGAACACTGTCACCAGTCTCGACGGACCCTGAGGTCACCCCAGCAACGCAAAGCAGCTCCATGGGCCCCAAATCAACTCGAGATGAGGCCCGATTCCCCTGCATTGACTCCAGAGCCATTCCCCGTTCCCCATTCAACACGACCGGTGGCTCGACTTCCTTCAGGCAACTCCAGAGATGCCCCGAGAACACTGTCCCAAGTCTAGAGGAACACCAACTTCAGCACGGCAACTCGAGGAATGCTCCGTGTACCCCAAATCGTCTCGAGATGAGAGCTGATTCCCTGGCTTAGGCACAAGACGTATGCCAACTTTCAAGACGCACCTCAGGAGGAGGCTTCTCTCAGCAATAGGTATGTGGGAGGGACCCCGAGTACGCTGCCTCAAGGGCAATATACAGCGAGAAGCCCTAACTTGAAAGGAGGCCGGATTTCCTTGCAGTGGCTTGAATACAGGCTCGTCTTTCATCTCACAACATGAAGGGATATCTGAATCCCCTGTGGAGACCTTAGAGAAAGCCCTAGGTCCCTGCCTCATTTTGACGGAATGCCTCACATCCCGTTGACACCTCAAGAGGCACGCGAAGTTCATTGCTTCAAAAGGTGACAATGCCTCACTCCTCTTGAATACTGATAGGAATCCCAAAATCCCTGTGGCTACTGGAAAGGGTCCTTGGGTGCCCTGCCTCACCTCGAGAAGCGTCCCTTTTGCCCTGCCAAGCCTCGAAGAGATTCCTGAGGTGTCCCTCGTTACTAGACAGGAGTCCTGACGTCACTGAAGAAACTCGTGTTTTGAAGGGCCATCCCCGCCGTAAGTCGAGAACATACCCCAGGTCCCCGCCGCAACTCGAGAAAAACCATGAGACTTCCCCCTAGAGGCGAGATGAGGCCCCATTCCCCTGCAGTGCATGCAGAGCTATTCCGTGGTCCCATTCAAGCAAGTCAGGAGCTTCGACTTGCTTAATGGTTATCGAGACAGTCCCCAAGAACACTGTCACCAGTCTCGACGGACCCTGAGGTCACCCCAGCAACGCAAAGCAGCTCCATGGGCCCCAAATCAACTCGAGATGAGGCCCGATTCCCCTGCATTGACTCCAGAGCCATTCCCCGTTCCCCATTCAACACGAACGGTGGCTCGACTTCCTTCAGGCAACTCCAGAGATGCCCCGAGAACGCTGTCTCAAGTCTAGAGGAACACCAACTTCAGCACGGCAACTCGATGAACGCTCCGTGTACCCCAAATCGTCTCAAGATGAGAGGTGATTCCCTGGCTTAGGCTCAAGACGTATGCCAACTTTCAAGACGCACCTCAGGAGGAGGCTTCTCTCAGCAATAGGTATGTGGGAGGGACCCCGAGTTCGCTGCCTCAAGGGCAATATACAGTGAGAAGCCCTAACTTGAAAGGAGTCCGGATTTCCTTGCAGTGGCTTGAATACAGGCTCGTCTTTCTTCTCACAACATGAAGGGATGTCTGAATCCCCTGTGGAGACCTTAGAGAAAGCCCTAGGTCCCTGCCTCATTTGGACGGAATGCCTCACATCCCGTTGACACCTCGAGAGGCTCGCGGAGTTCATTGCTTCAAAAGGTGACGATGCCTCACTCCTCTTGAATTCTGATAGGAATCCCAAAATCCCTGTGGCTACTGGAAAGGGTCCTTGGGTGCCCTGCCTCACCTCAAGAAGCGTCCCATTTGCACTGCCAAGCCTCGATGAGATTCCTGATGTGTCCCTCGTTACTAGACAGGAGTCCTGACGTCACTGAAGAAACTCGTGTTTTGAAGGGCCATCCCTGCCGTAAGTCGAGAACATACCCCAGGTCCCCGCCGCAACTCGAGAAAAACCATGAGACTTCCCCCTAGAGGCGAGATGAGACCCCATTCCCCTGCAGTGCATGCAGAGCTATTCCGTGGTCCCATTCAAACAAGTCAGGAGCTTCGACTTGCTTAATGGATCTCGAGACAGTCCTCAAGAACACTGTCACCAGGCTCGATGGACCCTGAGGTCACCCCAGCAACGCAAAGCAGCTCCATGTGCCCCAAATCAACTCGAGATTAGGCCCGATTCCCCTGCATTGATTCCAGAGCCATTCCCCGTTCCCATTCATCACGAACGGTGGCTCGACTTCCTTCAGGCAACTCCAGAGATGCCCCGAGAACACTGTCCCAAGTCTAGAGGAACACCAACTTCAGCACGGCAACTCGAGGAATGCTCCGTGTACCCCAAATCGTCTCGAGATGAGAGCTGATTCCCTGGCTTAGGCACAAAACGTATGCCAACTTTCAAGACGCACCTCAGGAGGAGGCTTCTCTCAGCAATAGGTATGTGGGAGGGACCCCGAGTTCGCTGCCTCAAGGGCAATATACAGCGAGAAGCCCTAACTTGAAAGGAGGCCGGATTTCCTTGCAGTGGCTTGAATACAGGCTCGTCTTTCATCTCACAACATGAAGGGATGTCTGAATCCCCTGTGGAGACCTTAGAGAAAGACCTAGGTCCCTGGCTCATTTTGACGGAATGCCTCACATCCCGTTGACACCTCAAGATGCACACGAAGTTCATTGCTTAAAAAGGTGACAATGCCTCACTCCTCTTGAATACTGATAGGAATCCCAAAATCCCTGTGGCTACTGGAAAGGGTCCTTGGGTGCCCTGCCTCACCTCGAGAAGCGTCCCTTTTGCCCTGCCAAGCCTCGAAGAGATTCCTGAGGTGTCCCTCGTTACTAGACAGGAGTCCTGACGTCACTGAAGAAACTCGTGTTTTGAAGGGCCATCCCCGCCGTAAGTCGAGAACATACCCCAGGTCCCCGCCGCAACTCGAGAAAAACCATGAGACTTCCCCCTAGAGGCGAGATGAGGCCCAATTCCCCTGCAGTGCATGCAGAGCTATTCCGTGGTCCCATTCAAACAAGTCAGGAGCTTCGACTTGCTTAATGCTTCTCGAGACAGTCCCCAAGAACACTGTCACCAGTCTCGACGGACCCTGAGGTCACCCCAGCAACGCAAAGCAGCTCCATGGGCCCCAAATCAACTCGAGATGAGGCCCGATTCCCCTGCATTGACTCCAGAGCCATTCCCCGTTCCCCATTCAACACGACCGGTGGCTCGACTTCCTTCAGGCAACTCCAGAGATGCCCCGAGAACACTGTCCCAAGTCTAGAGGAACACCAACTTCAGCACGGCAACTCTAGGAATGCTCCGTGTACCCCAAATCGTCTCGAGATGAGAGCTGATTCCCTGGCTTAGGCACAAGACGTATGCCAACTTTCAAGACGCACCTCAGGAGGAGGCTTCTCTCAGCAATAGGTATGTGGGAGGGACCCCGAGTTCGCTGCCTCAAGGCCAATATACAGTGAGAAGCCCTAATTTGAAAGGAGGCCGGATTTCCTTGCAGTGGCTTGAATACAGGCTCGTCTTTCATCTCACAACATGAAGGGATGTCTGAATCCCCTGTGGAGACCTTAGAGAAAGCCCTAGGTGCCTGCCTCATTTAGACGGAATGCCTCACATCCCGTTGACACCTCGAGAGGCACGCGGAGTTCATTGCTTCAAAAGGTGACGATGCCTGACTCCTCTTGAATTCTGATAGGAATCCCAAAATCACTGTGGCTACTGGAAAGGGTTCATGGGTGCCCTGCCTCACCTCAAGAAGCGTCCCATTTGCACTGCCAAGCCTCGATGAGATTCCTGAGGTGTCCCTCGTTACTAGACAGGAGTCCTGACGTCACTGAAGAAACTCGTGTTTTGAAGGGCCATCCCCGCCGTAAGTCGAGAACATACCCCAGGTCCCCGCCGCAACTCGAGAAAAACCATGAGACTTCCCCCTAGAGGCGAGATGAGGCCCCATTCCCCTGCAGTGCATGCAGAGCTATTCCGTGGTCCCATTCAAACAAGTCAGGAGCTTCGACTTGCTTAATGGATCTCGAGACAGTCCCCAAGAACACTGTCACCAGTCTCGACGGACCCTGAGGTCACCCCAGCAACGCAAAGCAGCTCCATGTGCCCCAAATCAAATCGAGATGAGGCCCGATTCCCCTGCATTGACTCCAGAGCCATTCCCCGTTCCCCATTCAACACGACCGGTGGCTCGACTTCCTTCAGGCAACTCCAGAGATACCCCGAGAACACTCTCCCAAGTCTAGAGGAACACCAACTTCAGCACAGCAACTCGAGGAATGCTCCGTGTACCCCAAATCGTCTCGAGATGAGAGCTGATTCCCTGGCTTAGGCTCAAGACGTATGCCAACTTTCCAGACGCACCTCAGGAGGAGGCTTCTCTCAGCAATAGGTATGTGGGAGGGACCCCGAGTTCGCTGCCTCAAGGGCAATATACAGCGAGAAGCCCTAACTTGAAAGGAGGCCGGATTTCCTTGCAGTGGCTTGAATACAGGCTGGTCTTTCATCTCACGACATGAAGGGATGTCTGAATCCCCTGTGGAGACCTTAGAGAAAGCCCTAGGTCCCTGCCTCATTTTGACGGAATGCCTCACATCCCGTTGACACCTCAAGAGGCACGCGAAGTTCATTGCTTCAAAAGGTGACAATGCCTCACTCCTCTTGAATACTGATAGGAATCCCAAAATCCCTGTGGCTACTGGAAAGGGTCCTTGGGTGCCCTGCCTCACCTCGAGAAGCGTCCCTTTTGCCCTGCCAAGCCTCGAAGAGATTCCTGAGGTGTCCCCCGTTACTAGACACTAGTCCTGACGTCACTGAAGAAACTCGTGTTTTGAAGGGCGTTCCCCGCCGTAAGTCGAGAACATACCCCAGGTCCCCGCCGCAACTCGAGAAAAACCATGAGACTTCCCCCTAGAGGCGAGATTAGGCCCCATTCCCCTGCAGTGCATGCAGAGCTATTCCGTGGTCCCATTCAAGCAAGTCAGGAGCTTCGACTTGCTTAATGGTTCTCGAGACAGTCCCCAAGAACACTGTCACCAGTCTCGACGGACCCTGAGGTCACCCCAGCAACGCAAAGCAGCTCCATGGGCCCCATATCAACTCGAGATGAGGCCCGATTCCCCTGCATTGACTCCAGAGCCATTCCCCGTTCCCCATTCAACACGACCGGTGGCTCGACTTCCTTCAGGCAATCCAGAGATGCCCCGAGAACACTGTCCCAAGTCTAGAGGAACACCAACTTCAGCACGGCAACTCGAGGAATGCTCCGTGTACTCCAAATCGTCTCGAGATGAGAGCTGATTCCCTGGCTTAGGCTCAAGACGTATGCCAACTTTCCAGACGCACCTCAGGAGGAGGCTTCTCTCAGCAATAGGTATGTGGGAGGGACCCCGAGTTCGCTGCCTCAAGGGCAATATACAGCGAGAAGCCCTAACTTGAAAGGAGGCCGGATTTCCTTGCAATGGCTTGAATACAGGATCGTCTTTCATTTCACGACATGAAGGGATGTCTGAATCCCCTGTGGAGACCTTAGAGAAAGCCCTAGCTCCCTGCCTCATTTTGACGGAATGCCTCACATCCCGTTGACACCTCAAGAGGCACGCGAAGTTCATTGCTTCAAAAGGTGACAATGCCTCACTCCTCTTGAATACTGATAGGAATCCCAAAATCCCTGTGGCTACTGGAAAGGGTCCTTGGGTGCCCTGCCTCACCTCGAGAAGCGTCCCTTTTGCCCTGCCAAGCCTCGAAGAGATTCCTGAGGTGTCCCTCGTTACTAGACAGGAGTCCTGACATCACTGAAGAAACTCGTGTTTTGAAGGGCCATCCCCGCCGTAAGTCGAGAACATACCCCAGGTCCCCGCCGCAACTCGCGAAAAACCATGAGACTTCCCCCTAGAGGAGAGATGAGGCCCCATTCCCCTGCAGTGCATGCAGAGCTATTCCGTGGTCCCATTCAAACAAGTCAGGAGCTTCGACTTGCTTAATGCTTCTCGAGACAGTCCCCAAGAACACTGTCACCAGTCTCGACGGACCCTGAGGTCACCCCAGCAACGCAAAGCAGCTCCATGGGCCCCAAATCAACTCGAGATGAGGCCCGATTCCCCTGCATTGACTCCAGAGCCATTCCCCGTTCCCCATTCAACACGACCGGTGGCTCGACTTCCTTCAGGCAACTCCAGAGATGCCCCGAGAACACTGTCCCAAGTCTAGAGGAACACCAACTTCAGCACGGCAACTCGAGGAATGCTCCGTGTACCCCAAATCGTCTCGAGATGAGAGCTGATTCCCTGGCTTAGGCACAAGACGTATGCCAACTTTCAAGACGCACCTCAGGAGGAGGCTTCTCTCAGCAATAGGTATGTGGGAGGGACCCCGAGTTCGCTGCCTCAAGGGCAATATACAGCGAGAAGCCCTAACTTGAAAGGAGGCCGGATTTCCTTGCAGTGGCTTGAATACAGGCTCGTCTTTCATCTCACAACATGAAGGGATATCTGAATCCCCTGTGGAGACCTTAGAGAAAGCCCTAGGTCCCTGCCTCATTTTGACGGAATGCCTCACATCCCGTTGACACCTCAAGAGGCACGCAAAGTTCATTGCTTCAAAAGGTGACAATGCCTCACTCCTCTTGAATACTGATAGGAATCCCAAAATCCCTGTGGCTACTGGAAAGGGTCCTTGGGTGCCCTGCCTCACCTCGAGAAGCGTCCCTTTTGCCCTGCCAAGCCTCGAAGAGATTCCTGAGGTGTCCCTCGTTACTAGACAGGAGTCCTGACGTCACTGAAGAAACTCGTGTTTTGAAGGGCCATCCCCGCCGTAAGTCGAGAACATACCCCAGGTCCCCGCCGCAACTCGAGAAAAACCATGAGACTTCCCCCTAGAGGCGAGATGAGGCCCCATTCCCCTGCAGTGCATGCAGAGCTATTCCGTGGTCCCATTCAAGCAAGTCAGGAGCTTCGACTTGCTTAATGGTTCTCGAGACAGTCCCCAAGAACACTGTCACCAGTCTCGACGGACCCTGAGGTCACCCCAGCAACGCAAAGCAGCTCCATGGGCCCCAAATCAACTCGAGATGAGGCCCGATTCCCCTGCATTGACTCCAGACCCATTCCCCGTTCCCCATTCAACACGACCGGTGGCTCGACTTCCTTCAGGCAACTCCAGAGATGCCCCGAGAACGCTGTCTCAAGTCTAGAGGAACACCAACTTCAGCACGGCAACTCGATGAACGCTCCGTGTACCCCAAATCGTCTCAAGATGAGAGGTGATTCCCTGGCTTAGGCTCAAGACGTATGCCAACTTTCAAGACGCACCTCAGGAGGAGGCTTCTCTCAGCAATAGGTATGTGGGAGGGACCCCGAGTTCGCTGCCTCAAGGGCAATATACAGTGAGAAGCCCTAACTTGAAAGGAGTCCGGATTTCCTTGCAGTGGCTTGAATACAGGCTCGTCTTTCTTCTCACAACATGAAGGGATGTCTGAATCCCCTGTGGAGACCTTAGAGAAAGCCCTAGGTCCCTGCCTCATTTGGACGGAATGCCTCACATCCCGTTGACACCTCGAGAGGCACGCGGAGTTCATTGCTTCAAAAGGTGACGATGCCTCACTCCTCTTGAATTCTGATAGGAATCCCAAAATCCCTGTGGCTACTGGAAAGGGTCCTTGGGTGCCCTGCCTCACCTCAAGAAGCGTCCCATTTGCACTGCCAAGCCTCGATGAGATTCCTGATGTGTCCCTCGTTACTAGACAGGAGTCCTGACGTCACTGAAGAAACTCGTGTTTTGAAGGGCCATCCCTGCCGTAAGTCGAGAACATACCCCAGGTCCCCGCCGCAACTCGAGAAAAACCATGAGACTTCCCCCTAGAGGCGAGATGAGACCCCATTCCCCTGCAGTGCATGCAGAGCTATTCCGTGGTCCCATTCAAACAAGTCAGGAGCTTCGACTTGCTTAATGGATCTCGAGACAGTCCTCAAGAACACTGTCACCAGGCTCGATGGACCCTGAGGTCACCCCAGCAACGCAAAGCAGCTCCATGTGCCCCAAATCAACTCGAGATTAGGCCCGATTCCCCTGCATTGATTCCAGAGCCATTCCCCGTTCCCATTCATCACGAACGGTGGCTCGACTTCCTTCAGGCAACTCCAGAGATGCCCCGAGAACACTGTCCCAAGTCTAGAGGAACACCAACTTCAGCACGGCAACTCGAGGAATGCTCCGTGTACCCCAAATCGTCTCGAGATGAGAGCTGATTCCCTGGCTTAGGCACAAGACGTATGCCAACTTTCAAGACGCACCTCAGGAGGAGGCTTCTCTCAGCAATAGGTATGTGGGAGGGACCCCGAGTTCGCTGCCTCAAGGGCAATATGCAGCGAGAAGCCCTAACTTGAAAGGAGGCCGGATTTCCTTGCAGTGGCTTGAATACAGGCTCGTCTTTCATCTCACAACATGAAGGGATGTCTGAATCCCCTGTGGAGACCTTAGAGAAAGACCTAGGTCCCTGGCTCATTTTGACAGAATGCCTCACATCCCGTTGACACCTCAAGATGCACACGAAGTTCATTGCTTAAAAAGGTGACAATGCCTCACTCCTCTTGAATACTGATAGGAATCCCAAAATCCCTGTGGCTACTGGAAAGGGTCCTTGGGTGCCCTGCCTCACCTCGAGAAGCGTCCCTTTTGCCCTGCCAAGCCTCGAAGAGATTCCTGAGGTGTCCCTCGTTACTAGACAGGAGTCCTGACGTCACTGAAGAAACTCGTGTTTTGAAGGGCCATCCCCGCCGTAAGTCGAGAACATACCCCAGGTCCCCGCCGCAACTCGAGAAAAACCATGAGACTTCCCCCTAGAGGCGAGATGAGGCCCCATTCCCCTGCAGTGCATGCAGAGCTATTCCGTGGTCCCATTCAAACAAGTCAGGAGCTTCGACTTGCTTAATGCTTCTCGAGACAGTCCCCAAGAACACTGTCACCAGTCTCGACGGACCCTGAGGTCACCCCAGCAACGCAAAGCAGCTCCATGGGCCCCAAATCAACTCGAGATGAGGCCCGATTCCCCTGCATTGACTCCAGAGCCATTCCCCGTTCCCCATTCAACACGACCGGTGGCTCGACTTCCTTCAGGCAACTCCAGAGATGCCCCGAGAACACTGTCCCAAGTCTAGAGGAACACCAACTTCAGCACGGCAACTCGAGGAATGCTCCGTGTACCCCAAATCGTCTCGAGATGAGAGCTGATTCCCTGGCTTAGGCACAAGACGTATGCCAACTTTCAAGACGCACCTCAGGAGGAGGCTTCTCTCAGCAATAGGTATGTGGGAGGGACCCCGAGTTCGCTGCCTCAAGGCCAATATACAGTGAGAAGCCCTAATTTGAAAGGAGGCCGGATTTCCTTGCAGTGGCTTGAATACAGGCTCGTCTTTCATCTCACAACATGAAGGGATGTCTGAATCCCCTGTGGAGACCTTAGAGAAAGCCCTAGGTGCCTGCCTCATTTAGACGGAATGCCTCACATCCCGTTGACACCTCGAGAGGCACGCGGAGTTCATTGCTTCAAAAGGTGACGATGCCTGACTCCTCTTGAATTCTGATAGGAATCCCAAAATCACTGTGGCTACTGGAAAGGGTTCATGGGTGCCCTGCCTCACCTCAAGAAGCGTCCCATTTGCACTGCCAAGCCTCGATGAGATTCCTGAGGTGTCCCTCGTTACTAGACAGGAGTCCTGACGTCACTGAAGAAACTCGTGTTTTGAAGGGCCATCCCCGCCGTAAGTCGAGAACATACCCCAGGTCCCCGCCGCAACTCGAGAAAAACCATGAGACTTCCCCCTAGAGGCGAGATGAGGCCCCATTCCCCTGCAGTGCATGCAGAGCTATTCCGTGGTCCCATTCAAACAAGTCAGGAGCTTCGACTTGCTTAATGGATCTCGAGACTGTCCCCAAGAACACTGTCACCAGTCTCGACGGACGCTGAGGTCACCCCAGCAACGCAAAGCAGCTCCATGTGCCCCAAATCAAATCGAGATGAGGCCCGATTCCCCTGCATTGACTCCAGAGCCATTCCCCGTACCCCATTCAACACGACCGGTGGCTCGACTTCCTTCAGGCAACTCCAGAGATACCCCGAGAACACTCTCCCAAGTCTAGAGGAACACCAACTTCAGCACAGCAACTCGAGGAATGCTCCGTGTACCCCAAATCGTCTCGAGATGAGAGCTGATTCCCTGGCTTAGGCTCAAGACGTATGCCAACTTTCCAGACGCACCTCAGGAGGAGGCTTCTCTCAGCAATACGTATGTGGGAGGGACCCCGAGTTCGCTGCCTCAAGGGCAATATACAGCGAGAAGCCCTAACTTGAAAGGAGGCCGGATTTCCTTGCATTGGCTTGAATACAGGCTGGTCTTTCATCTCACGACATGAAGGGATGTCTGAATCCCCTGTGGAGACCTTAGAGAAAGCCCTAGGTCCCTGCCTCATTTTGACGGAATGCCTCACATCCCGTTGACACCTCAAGAGGCACGCGAAGTTCATTGCTTCAAAAGGTGTCAATGCCTCACTCCTCTTGAATACTGATAGGAATCCCAAAATCCCTGTGGCTACTGGAAAGGGTCCTTGGGTGCCCTGCCTCACCTCGAGAAGCGTCCCTTTTGCCCTGCCAAGCCTCGAAGAGATTCCTGAGGTGTCCCTCGTTACTAGACAGGAGTCCTGACGTCACTGAAGAAACTCGTGTTTTGAAGGGCCATCCCCGCCGTAAGTCGAGAACATACCCCAGGTCCCCGCCGCAACTCGAGAAAAACCATGAGACTTCCCCCTAGAGGCGAGATGAGGCCCCATTCCCCTGCAGTGCATGCAGAGCTATTCCGTGGTCCCATTCAAGCAAGTCAGGAGCTTCGACTTGCTTAATGGTTCTCGAGACAGTCCCCAAGAACACTGTCACCAGTCTCGACGGACCCTGAGGTCACCCCAGCAACGCAAAGCAGCTCCATGGGCCCCAAATCAACTCGAGATGAGGCCCGATTCCCCTGCATTGACTCCAGAGCCATTCCCCGTTCCCCATTCAACACGACCGGTGGCTCGACTTCCTTCAGGCAACTCCAGAGATGCCCCGAGAACGCTGTCTCAAGTCTAGAGGAACACCAACTTCAGCACGGCAACTCGATGAACGCTCCGTGTACCCCAAATCGTCTCAAGATGAGAGGTGATTCCCTGGCTTAGGCTCAAGACGTATGCCAACTTTCAAGACGCACCTCAGGAGGAGGCTTCTCTCAGCAATAGGTATGTGGGAGGGACCCCGAGTTCGCTGCCTCAAGGGCAATATACAGCGAGAAGCCCTAACTTGAAAGGAGGCCGGATTTCCTTGCAGTGGCTTGAATACAGGCTCGTCTTTCTTCTCACAACATGAAGGGATGTCTGAATCCCCTGTGGAGACCTTAGAGAAAGCCCTAGGTCCCTGCCTCATTTGGACGGAATGCCTCACATCCCGTTGACACCTCGAGAGGCACGCGGAGTTCATTGCTTCAAAAGGTGACGATGCCTCACTCCTCTTGAATTCTGATAGGAATCCCAAAATCCCTGTGGCTACTGGAAAGGGTCCTTGGGTGCCCTGCCTCACCTCAAGAAGCGTCCCATTTGCACTGCCAAGCCTCGATGAGATTCCTGATGTGTCCCTCGTTACTAGACAGGAGTCCTGACGTCACTGAAGAAACTCGTGTTTTGAAGGGCCATCCCTGCCGTAAGTCGAGAACATACCCCAGGTCCCCGCCGCAACTCGAGAAAAACCATGAGACTTCCCCCTAGAGGCGAGATGAGACCCCATTCCCCTGCAGTGCATGCAGAGCTATTCCGTGGTCCCATTCAAACAAGTCAGGAGCTTCGACTTGCTTAATGGATCTCGAGACAGTCCTCAAGAACACTGTCACCAGGCTCGATGGACCCTGAGGTCACCCCAGCAACGCAAAGCAGCTCCATGTGCCCCAAATCAACTCGAGATTAGGCCCGATTCCCCTGCATTGATTCCAGAGCCATTCCCCGTTCCCATTCATCACGAACGGTGGCTCGACTTCCTTCAGGCAACTCCAGAGATGCCCCGAGAACACTGTCCCAAGTCTAGAGGAACACCAACTTCAGCACGGCAACTCGAGGAATGCTCCGTGTATCCCAAATCGTCTCGAGATGAGAGCTGATTCCCTGGCTTAGGCACAAGACGTATGCCAACTTTCAAGACGCACCTCAGGAGGAGGCTTCTCTCAGCAATAGGTATGTGGGAGGGACCCCGAGTTCGCTGCCTCAAGGGCAATATACAGCGAGAAGCCCTAACTTGAAAGGAGGCCGGATTTCCTTGCAGTGGCTTGAATACAGGCTCGTCTTTCATCTCACAACATGAAGGGATGTCTGAATCCCCTGTGGAGACCTTAGAGAAAGACCTAGGTCCCTGGCTCATTTTGACGGAATGCCTCACATCCCGTTGACACCTCAAGATGCACACGAAGTTCATTGCTTAAAAAGGTGACAATGCCTCACTCCTCTTGAATACTGATAGGAATCCCAAAATCCCTGTGGCTACTGGAAAGGGTCCTTGGGTGCCCTGCCTCACCTCGAGAAGCGTCCCTTTTGCCCTGCCAAGCCTCGAAGAGATTCCTGAGGTGTCCCTCGTTACTAGACAGGAGTCCTGACGTCACTGAAGAAACTCGTGTTTTGAAGGGCCATCCCCGCCGTAAGTCGAGAACATACCCCAGGTCCCCGCCGCAACTCGAGAAAAACCATGAGACTTCCCCCTAGAGGCGAGATGAGGCCCCATTCCCCTGCAGTGCATGCAGAGCTATTCCGTGGTCCCATTCAAACAAGTCAGGAGCTTCGACTTGCTTAATGCTTCTCGAGACAGTCCCCAAGAACACTGTCACCAGTCTCGACGGACCCTGAGGTCACCCCAGCAACGCAAAGCAGCTCCATGGGCCCCAAATCAACTCGAGATGAGGCCCGATTCCCCTGCATTGACTCCAGAGCCATTCCCCGTTCCCCATTCAACACGACCGGTGGCTCGACTTCCTTCAGGCAACTCCAGAGATGCCCCGAGAACACTGTCCCAAGTCTAGAGGAACACCAACTTCAGCACGGCAACTCGAGGAATGCTCCGTGTACCCCAAATCGTCTCGAGATGAGAGCTGATTCCCTGGCTTAGGCACAAGACGTATGCCAACTTTCAAGACGCACCTCAGGAGGAGGCTTCTCTCAGCAATAGGTATGTGGGAGGGACCCCGAGTTCGCTGCCTCAAGGCCAATATACAGTGAGAAGCCCTAATTTGAAAGGAGGCCGGATTTCCTTGCAGTGGCTTGAATACAGGCTCGTCTTTCATCTCACAACATGAAGGGATGTCTGAATCCCCTGTGGAGACCTTAGAGAAAGCCCTAGGTGCCTGCCTCATTTAGACGGAATGCCTCACATCCCGTTGACACCTCGAGAGGCACGCGGAGTTCATTGCTTCAAAAGGTGACGATGCCTGACTCCTCTTGAATTCTGATAGGAATCCCAAAATCACTGTGGCTACTGGAAAGGGTTCATGGGTGCCCTGCCTCACCTCAAGAAGCGTCCCATTTGCACTGCCAAGCCTCGATGAGATTCCTGAGGTGTCCCTCGTTACTAGACAGGAGTCCTGACGTCACTGAAGAAACTCGTGTTTTGAAGGGCCATCCCCGCCGTAAGTCGAGAACATACCCCAGGTCCCCGCCGCAACTCGAGAAAAACCATGAGACTTCCCCCTAGAGGCGAGATGAGGCCCCATTCCCCTGCAGTGCATGCAGAGCTATTCCGTGGTCCCATTCAAACAAGTCAGGAGCTTCGACTTGCTTAATGGATCTCGAGACTGTCCCCAAGAACACTGTCACCAGTCTCGACGGACGCTGAGGTCACCCCAGCAACGCAAAGCAGCTCCATGTGCCCCAAATCAAATCGAGATGAGGCCCGATTCCCCTGCATTGACTCCAGAGCCATTCCCCGTTCCCCATTCAACACGACCGGTGGCTCGACTTCCTTCAGGCAACTCCAGAGATACCCCGAGAACACTCTCCCAAGTCTAGAGGAACACCAACTTCAGCACAGCAACTCGAGGAATGCTCCGTGTACCCCAAATCGTCTCGAGATGAGAGCTGATTCCCTGGCTTAGGCTCAAGACGTATGCCAACTTTCCAGACGCACCTCAGGAGGAGGCTTCTCTCAGCAATACGTATGTGGGAGGGACCCCGAGTTCGCTGCCTCAAGGGCAATATACAGCGAGAAGCCCTAACTTGAAAGGAGGCCGGATTTCCTTGCAGTGGCTTGAATACAGGCTGGTCTTTCATCTCACGACATGAAGGGATGTCTGAATCCCCTGTGGAGACCTTAGAGAAAGCCCTAGGTCCCTGCCTCATTTTGACGGAATGCCTCACATCCCGTTGACACCTCAAGAGGCACGCGAAGTTCATTGCTTCAAAAGGTGACAATGCCTCACTCCTCTTGAATACTGATAGGAATCCCAAAATCCCTGTGGCTACTGGAAAGGGTCCTTGGGTGCCCTGCCTCACCTCGAGAAGCGTCCCTTTTGCCCTGCCAAGCCTCGAAGAGATTCCTGAGGTGTCCCTCGTTACTAGACACTAGTCCTGACGTCACTGAAGAAACTCGTGTTTTGAAGGGCGTTCCCCGCCGTAAGTCGAGAACATACCCCAGGTCCCCGCCGCAACTCGAGAAAAACCATGAGACTTCCCCCTAGAGGCGAGATTAGGCCCCATTCCCCTGCAGTGCATGCAGAGCTATTTCGTGGTCCCATTCAAACAAGTCAGGAGCTTCGACTTGCTTAATGGATCTCGAGACAGTCCTCAAGAACACTGTCACCAGGCTCGATGGACCCTGAGGTCACCCCAGCAACGCAAAGCAGCTCCTTGTGCCCCAAATCAACTCGAGATTAGGCCCGATTCCCCTGCATTGATTCCAGAGCCATTCCCCGTTCCCATTCATCACGAACGGTGGCTCGACTTCCTTCAGGCAACTCCAGAGATGCCCCGAGAACACTGTCCCAAGTCTAGAGGAACACCAACTTCAGCACGGCAACTCGAGGAATGCTCCGTGTACCCCAAATCGTCTCGAGATGAGAGCTGATTCCCTGGCTTAGGCACAAGACGTATGCCAACTTTCAAGACGCACCTCAGGAGGAGGCTTCTCTCAGCAATAGGTATGTGGGAGGGACCCCGAGTTCGCTGCCTCAAGGGCAATATACAGCGAGAAGCCCTAACTTGAAAGGAGGCCGGATTTCCTTGCAGTGGCTTGAATACAGGCTCGTCTTTCATCTCACAACATGAAGGGATGTCTGAATCCCCTGTGGAGACCTTAGAGAAAGACCTAGGTCCCTGGCTCATTTTGACGGAATGCCTCACATCCCGTTGACACCTCAAGATGCACACGAAGTTCATTGCTTAAAAAGGTGACAATGCCTCACTCCTCTTGAATACTGATAGGAATCCCAAAATCCCTGTGGCTACTGGAAAGGGTCCTTGGGTGCCCTGCCTCACCTCGAGAAGCGTCCATTTTGCCCTGCCAAGCCTCGAAGAGATTCCTGAGGTGTCCCTCGTTACTAGACAGGAGTCCTGACGTCACTGAAGAAACTCGTGTTTTGAAGGGCCATCCCCGCCGTAAGTCGAGAACATACCCCAGGTCCCCGCCGCAACTCGAGAAAAACCATGAGACTTCCCCCTAGAGGCGAGATGAGGCCCCATTCCCCTGCAGTGCATGCAGAGCTATTCCGTGGTCCCATTCAAACAAGTCAGGAGCTTCGACTTGCTTAATGCTTCTCGAGACAGTCCCCAAGAACACTTTCACCAGTCTCGACGGACCCTGAGGTCACCCCAGCAACGCAAAGCAGCTCCATGGGCCCCAAATCAACTCGAGATGAGGCCCGATTCCCCTGCATTGACTCCAGAGCCATTCCCCGTTCCCCATTCAACACGACCGGTGGCTCGACTTCCTTCAGGCAACCTCAGAGATGCCCCGAGAACACTGTCCCAAGTCTAGAGGAACACCAATTTCAGCACGGCAACTCGAGGAATGCTCCGTGTACCCCAAATCGTCTCGAGATGAGAGCTGATTCCCTGGCTTAGGCACAAGACGTATGCCAACTTTCAAGACGCACCTCAGGAGGAGGCTTCTCTCAGCAATAGGTATGTGGGAGGGACCCCGAGTTCGCTGCCTCAAGGCCAATATACAGTGAGAAGCCCTAATTTGAAAGGAGGCCGGATTTCCTTGCAGTGGCTTGAATACAGGCTCGTCTTTCATCTCACAACATGAAGGGATGTCTGAATTCCCTGTGGAGACCTTAGAGAAAGCCCTAGGTGCCTGCCTCATTTAGACGGAATGCCTCACATCCCGTTGACACCTCGAGAGGCACGCGGAGTTCATTGCTTCAAAAGGTGACGATGCCTGACTCCTCTTGAATTCTGATAGGAATCCCAAAATCACTGTGGCTACTGGAAAGGGTTCATGGGTGCCCTGCCTCACCTCAAGAAGCGTCCCATTTGCACTGCCAAGCCTCGATGAGATTCCTGAGGTGTCCCTCGTTACTAGACAGGAGTCCTGACGTCACTGAAGAAACTCGTGTTTTGAAGGGCCATCCCCGCCGTAAGTCGAGAACATACCCCAGGTCCCCGCCGCAACTCGAGAAAAACCATGAGACTTCCCCCTAGAGGCGAGATGAGGCTCCATTCCCCTGCAGTGCATGCAGAGCTATTCCGTGGTCCCATTCAAACAAGTCAGGAGCTTCGACTTGCTTAATGGATCTCGAGACTGTCCCCAAGAACACTGTCACCAGTCTCGACGGACGCTGAGGTCACCCCAGCAACGCAAAGCAGCTCCATGTGCCCCAAATCAAATCGAGATGAGGCCCGATTCCCCTGCATTGACTCCAGAGCCATTCCCCGTTCCCCATTCAACACGACCGGTGGCTCGACTTCCTTCAGGCAACTCCAGAGATACCCCGAGAACACTCTCCCAAGTCTAGAGGAACACCAACTTCAGCACAGCAACTCGAGGAATGCTCCGTGTACCCCAAATCGTCTCGAGATGAGAGCTGATTCCCTGGCTTAGGCTCAAGACGTATGCCAACTTTCCAGACGCACCTCACGAGGAGGCTTCTCTCAGCAATACGTATGTGGGAGGGACCCCGAGTTCGCTGCCTCAAGGGCAATATACAGCGAGAAGCCCTAACTTGAAAGGAGGCCGGATTTCCTTGCAGTGGCTTGAATACAGGCTGGTCTTTCATCTCACGACATGAAGGGATGTCTGAATCCCCTGTGGAGACCTTAGAGAAAGCCCTAGGTCCCTGCCTCATTTTGACGGAATGCCTCACATCCCGTTGACACCTCAAGAGGCACGCGAAGTTCATTGCTTCAAAAGGTGACAATGCCTCACTCCTCTTGAATACTGATAGGAATCCCAAAATCCCTGTGGCTACTGGAAAGGGTCCTTGGGTGCCCTGCCTCACCTCGAGAAGCGTCCCTTTTGCCCTGCCAAGCCTCGAAGAGATTCCTGAGGTGTCCCTCGTTACTAGACACTAGTCCTGACGTCACTGAAGAAACTCGTGTTTTGAAGGGCGTTCCCCGCCGTAAGTCGAGAACATACCCCAGGTCCCCGCCGCAACTCGAGAAAAACCATGAGACTTCCCCCTAGAGGCGAGATTAGGCCCCATTCCCCTGCAGTGCATGCAGAGCTATTCCGTGGTCCCATTCAAGCAAGTCAGGAGCTTCGACTTGCTTAATGGTTCTCGAGACAGTCCCCAAGAACACTGTCACCAGTCTCGACGGACCCTGAGGTCACCCCAGCAACGCAAAGCAGCTCCATGGGCCCCAAATCAACTCGAGATGAGGCCCGATTCCCCTGCATTGACTCCAGAGCCATTCCCCGTTCCCCATTCAACACGACCGGTGGCTTGACTTCCTTCAGGCAACTCCAGAGATGCCCCGAGAACACTGTCCCAAGTCTAGAGGAACACCAACTTCAGCACGGCAACTCGAGGAATGCTCCGTGTACTCCAAATCGTCTCGAGATGAGAGCTGATTCCCTGGCTTAGGCTCAAGACGTATGCCAACTTTCCAGACGCACCTCAGGAGGAGGCTTCTCTCAGCAATAGGTATGTGGGAGGGACCCCGAGTTCGCTGCCTCAAGGGCAATATACAGCGAGAAGCCCTAACTTGAAAGGAGGCCGGATTTCCTTGCAATGGCTTGAATACAGGATCGTCTTTCATTTCACGACATGAAGGGATGTCTGAATCCCCTGTGGAGACCTTAGAGAAAGCCCTAGGTCCCTGCCTCATTTTGACGGAATGCCTCACATCCCGTTGACACCTCAAGAGGCACGCGAAGTTCATTGCTTCAAAAGGTGACAATGCCTCACTCCTCTTGAATAATGATAGGAATCCCAAAATCCCTGTGGCTACTGGAAAGGGTCCTTGGGTGCCCTGCCTCACCTCGAGAAGCGTCCCTTTTGCCCTGCCAAGCCTCGAAGAGATTCCTGAGGTGTCCCTCGTTACTAGACAGGAGTCCTGACATCACTGAAGAAACTCGTGTTTTGAAGGGCCATCCCCGCCGTAAGTCGAGAACATACCCCAGGTCCCCGCCGCAACTCGAGAAAAACCATGAGACTTCCCCCTAGAGGAGAGATGAGACCCCATTCCCCTGCAGTGCATGCAGAGCTATTCCGTGGTCCCATTCAAACAAGTCAGGAGCTTCGACTTGCTTAATGGATCTCGAGACAGTCCTCAAGAACACTGTCACCAGTCTCGATGGACCCTGAGGTCACATCAGCAACGCAAAGCAGCTCCATGTGCCCCAAATCAACTCGAGATTAGGCCCGATTCCCCTGCATTGATTCCAGAGCCATTCCCCGTTCCCATTCATCACGAACGGTGGCTCGACTTCCTTCAGGCAACTCCAGAGATACCCCGAGAACACTGTCCCAAGTCTAGAGGAACACCAACTTCAGCACAGCAACTCGAGGAATGCTCCGTGTACACCAAATCGTCTCGAGATGAGAGCTGATTCCCTGGCTTAGGCTCAAGACGTATGCCAACTTTCCAGACACACCTCAGGAGGAGGCTTCTCTCAGCAATAGGTATGTGGGAGGGACCCCGAGTTCGCTGCCTCAAGGGCAATATACAGCGAGAAGCCCTAACTTGAAAGGAGGCCGGATTTCCTTGCAGTGGCTTGAATACAGGCTCGTCTTTCATCTCACAACATGAAGGGATGTCTGAATCCCCTGTGGAGACCTTAGAGAAAGCCCTAGGTCCCTGCCTCATTTTGACGGAATGCCTCACATCCCGTTGACACCTCAAGAGGCACGCGAAGTTCATTGCTTCAAAAGGTGACAATGCCTCACTCCTCTTGAATACTGATAGGAATCCCAAAATCACTTTGGTACTGGAAAGGGTCCTTGGGTGCCCTGCCTCACCTCGAGAAGCGTCCCTTTTGCCCTGCCAAGCCTCGAAGAGATTCCTGAGGTGTCCCTCGTTACTAGACAGGAGTCCTGACGTCACTGAAGAAACTCGTGTTTTGAAGGGCCATCCCCGCCGTAAGTCGAGAACATACCCCAGGTCCCCGCCGCAACTCGAGAAAAACCATGAGACTTCCCCCTAGAGGCGAGATGAGGCCCCACTCCCCTGCAGTGCATGCAGAGCTATTCCGTGGTCCCATTCAAACAAGTCAGGAGCTTCGACTTGCTTAATGGTTCTCGAGAGAGTCCCCAAGAACACTGTCACCAGTCTCGACGGACCCTCAGGTCACCCCAGCAACGCAAAGCAGCTCCATGGGCCCCAAATCAACTCGAGATGAGGCCCGATTCCCCTGCATTGACTCCAGAGCCATTCCCCGTTCCCCATTCAACACGACCGGTGGCTCGACTTCCTTCAGGCAACTCCAGAGATGCCCCGAGAACACTGTCCCAAGTCTAGAGGAACACCAACTTCAGCACGGCAACTCAAGGAATGCTCCGTGTACCCCAAATCGTCTCGAGATGAGAGCTGATTCCCTGGCTTAGGCACAAGACGTATGCCAACTTTCAAGACGCACCTCAGGAGGAGGCTTCTCTCAGCAATAGGTATGTGGGAGGGACCCCGAGTTCACTGCCTCAAGGGCAATATACAGCGAGAAGCCCTAACTTGAAAGGAGGCCGGATTTCCTTGCAGTGGCTTGAATACAGGCTCGTCTTTCATCTCACAACATGAAGGGATGTCTGAATCCACTGTGGAGACCTTAGAGAAAGACCTAGGTCCCTGGCTCATTTTGACGGAATGCCTCACATCCCGTTGACACCTCAAGATGCACACGAAGTTCATTGCTTAAAAAGGTGACAATGCCTCACTCCTCTTGAATACTGATAGGAATCCCAAAATCCCTGTGGCTACTGGAAAGGGTCCTTGGGTGCCCTGCCTCACCTCGAGAAGCGTCCCTTTTGCCCTGCCAAGCCTCGAAGAGATTCCTGAGGTGTCCCTCGTTACTAGACAGGAGTCCTGACGTCACTGAAGAAACTCGTGTTTTGAAGGGCCATCCCCGCCGTAAGTCGAGAACATACCCCAGGTCCCCGCCGCAACTCGAGAAAAACCATGAGACTTCCCCCTAGAGGCGAGATGAGGCCCCATTCCCCTGCAGTGCATGCAGAGCTATTCCGTGGTCCCATTCAAACAAGTCAGGAGCTTCGACTTGCTTAATGCTTCTCGAGACAGTCCCCAAGAACACTGTCACCAGGCTCGACGGACCCTGAGGTCACCCCAGCAACGCAAAGCAGCTCCATGGGCCCCAAATCAACTCGAGATGAGGCCCGATTCCCCTGCATTGACTCCAGAGCCATTCCCCGTTCCCCATTCAACACGACCGGTGGCTCGACTTCCTTCAGGCAACTCCAGAGATGCCTCGAGAACACTGTCCCAAGTCTAGAGGAACACCAACTTCAGCACGGCAACTCGAGGAATGCTCCGTGTACCCCAAATCGTCTCGAGATGAGAGCTGATTCCCTGGCTTATGCACAAGACGTATGCCAACTTTCAAGACGCACCTCAGGAGGTGGCTTCTCTCAGCAATAGGTATGTGGGAGGGACCCCGAGTTCGCTGCCTCAAGGGCAATATACAGCGAGAAGCCCTAACTTGAAAGGAGGCCGGATTTCCTTGCAGTGGCTTGAATACAGGCTCGTCTTTCATCTCACAACATGAAGGGATGTCTGAATCCCCTGTGGAGACCTTAGCGAAAGCCCTAGGTCCCTGCCTCATTTGGACGGAATGCCTCACATCCCGTTGACACCTCAAGAGGCACGCGAAGTTCATTGCTTCAAAAGGTGACGATGCCTGACTCCTCTTGAATACTGATAGGAATCCCAAAATCCCTGTGGCTACTGGAAAGGGTCCTTGGGTGCCCTGCCTCACCTCGAGAAGCGTCCCTTTGGCCCTGCCAAGCCTCGAAGAGATTCCTGAGGTGTCCCTCGTTAGTAGACAGGAGTCCTGACGTCACTGAAGAAACTCGTGTTTTGAAGGGCCATCCCCGCCGTAAGTCGAGAACATACCCCAGGTCCCCGCCGCAACTCGAGAAAAACCATGAGACTTCCCCCTAGAGGCGAGATGAGGCCCCATTCCCCTGCAGTGCATGCAGAGCTATTCCGTGGTCCCATTCAAACAAGTCAGGAGCTTCGACTTGCTTAATGCTTCTCGAGACAGTCCCCAAGAACACTGTCACCAGTCTCGACGGACCCTGAGGTCACCCCAGCAACGCAAAGCAGCTCCATGGGCCCCAAATCAACTCGAGATGAGGCCCGATTCCCCTGCATTGACTCCAGAGCCATTCCCCGTTCCCCATTCAACACGACCGGTGGCTCGACTTCCTTCAGGCAACTCCAGAGATGCCCCGAGAACACTGTCCCAAGTCTAGAGGAACACCAACTTCAGCACGGCAACTCGAGGAATGCTCCGTTTACCCCAAATCGTCTCGAGATGAGAGCTGATTCCCTGGCTTAGGCACAAGACGTATGCCAACTTTCAAGACGCACCTCAGGAGGAGGCTTCTCTCAGCAATAGGTATGTGGGAGGGACCCCGAGTTCGCTGCCTCAAGGCCAATATACAGTGAGAAGCCCTAATTTGAAAGGAGGCCGGATTTCCTTGCAGTGGCTTGAATACAGGCTCGTCTTTCATCTCACAACATGAAGGGATGTCTGAATCCCCTGTGGAGACCTTAGAGAAAGACCTAGGTGCCTGCCTCATTTAGACGGAATGCCTCACATCCCGTTGACACCTCGAGAGGCACGCGGAGTTCATTGCTTCAAAAGGTGACGATGCCTGACTCCTCTTGAATTCTGATAGGAATCCCAAAATCACTGTGGCTACTGGAAAGGGTTCATGGGTGCCCTGCCTCACCTCAAGAAGCGTCCCATTTGCACTGCCAAGCCTCGATGAGATTCCTGAGGTGTCCCTCGTTACTAGACAGGAGTCCTGACGTCACTGAAGAAACTCGTGTTTTGAAGGGCCATCCCCGCCGTAAGTCGAGAACATACCCCAGGTCCCCGCCGCAACTCGAGAAAAACCATGAGACTTCCCCCTAGAGGCGAGATGAGGCCCCATTCCCCTGCAGTGCATGCAGAGCTATTCCGTGGTCCCATTCAAACAAGTCAGGAGCTTCGACTTGCTTAATGGATCTCGAGACTGTCCCCAAGAACACTGTCACCAGTCTCGACGGACGCTGAGGTCACCCCAGCAACGCAAAGCAGCTCCATGTGCCCCAAATCAAATCGAGATGAGGCCCGATTCCCCTGCATTGACTCCAGAGCCATTCCCCGTTCCCCATTCAACACGACCGGTGGCTCGACTTCCTTCAGGCAACTCCAGAGATACCCCGAGAACACTCTCCCAAGTCTAGAGGAACACCAACTTCAGCACAGCAACTCGAGGAATGCTCCGTGTACCCCAAATCGTCTCGAGATGAGAGCTGATTCCCTGGCTTAGGCTCAAGACGTATGCCAACTTTCCAGACGCACCTCAGGAGGAGGCTTCTCTCAGCAATACGTATGTGGGAGGGACCCCGAGTTCGCTGCCTCAAGGGCAATATACAGCGAGAAGCCCTAACTTGAAAGGAGGCCGGATTTCCTTGCAGTGGCTTGAATACAGGCTGGTCTTTCATCTCACGACATGAAGGGATGTCTGAATCCCCTGTGGAGACCTTAGAGAAAGCCCTAGGTCCCTGCCTCATTTTGACGGAATGCCTCACATCCCGTTGACACCTCAAGAGGCACGCGAAGTTCATTGCTTCAAAAGGTGACAATGCCTCACTCCTCTTGAATACTGATAGGAATCCCAAAATCCCTGTGGCTACTGGAAAGGGTCCTTGGGTGCCCTGCCTCACCTCGAGAAGCGTCCCTTTTGCCCTGCCAAGCCTCGAAGAGATTCCTGAGGTGTCCCTCGTTACTAGACACTAGTCCTGACGTCACTGAAGAAACTTGTGTTTTGAAGGGCGTTCCCCGCCGTAAGTCGAGAACATACCCCAGGTCCCCGCCGCAACTCGAGAAAAACCATGAGACTTCCCCCTAGAGGCGAGATTAGGCCCCATTCCCCTGCAGTGCATGCAGAGCTATTCCGTGGTCCCATTCAAACAAGTCAGGAGCTTCGACTTGCTTAATGCTTCTCGAGACAGTCCCCAAGAACACTGTCACCAGTCTCGACGGACCCTGAGGTCACCCCAGCAATGCAAAGCAGCTCCATGGGCCCCAAATCAACTCGAGATGAGGCCCGATTCCCCTGCATTGACTCCAGAGCCATTCCCCGTTCCCCATTCAACACGACCGGTGGCTCGACTTCCTTCAGGCAACTCCAGAGATGCCCCGAGAACGCTGTCTCAAGTCTAGAGGAACACCAACTTCAGCACGGCAACTCGATGAACGCTCCGTGTACCCCAAATCGTCTCAAGATGAGAGGTGATTCCCTGGCTTAGGCTCAAGACGTATGCCAACTTTCAAGACGCACCTCAGGAGGAGGCTTCTCTCAGCAATAGGTATGTGGGAGGGACCCCGAGTTCACTGCCTCAAGGGCAATATACAGCGAGAAGCCCTAACTTGAAAGGAGGCCGGATTTCCTTGCAGTGGCTTGAATACAGGCTCGTCTTTCTTCTCACAACATGAAGGGATGTCTGAATCCCCTGTGGAGACCTTAGAGAAAGCCCTAGGTCCCTGCCTCATTTGGACGGAATGCCTCACATCCCGTTGACACCTCAAGATGCACACGAAGTTCATTGCTTAAAAAGGTGACAATGCCTCACTCCTTTGAATACTGATAGGAATCCCAAAATCCCTGTGGCTACTGGAAAGGGTCCTTGGGTGCCCTGCCTCACCTCGAGAAGCGTCCCTTTTGCCCTGCCAAGCCTCGAAGAGATTCCTGAGGTGTCCCTCGTTACTAGACAGGAGTCCTGACGTCACTGAAGAAACTCGTGTTTTGAAGGGCCATCCCCGCCGTAAGTCGAGATCATACCCCAGGTCCCCGCCGCAACTCGAGAAAAACCATGAGACTTCCCCCTAGAGGCGAGATGAGGCCCCATTCCCCTGCAGTGCATGCAGAGCTATTCCGTGGTCCCATTCAAACAAGTCAGGAGCTTCGACTTGCTTAATGGTTCTCGAGACAGTCCCCAAGAACACTGTCACCAGTCTCGACGGACCCTGAGGTCACCCCAGCAACGCAAAGCAGCTCCATGGGCCCCAAATCAACTCGAGATGAGGCCCGATTCCCCTGCATTGACTCCAGAGCCATTCCCCGTTCCCCATTCAACACGACCGGTGGCTTGACTTCCTTCAGGCAACTCCAGAGATGCCCCGAGAACACTGTCCCAAGTCTAGAGGAACACCAACTTCAGCAAGGCAACTCGAGGAATGCTCCGTGTACCCCAAATCGTCTCGAGATGAGAGCTGATTCCCTGGCTTAGGCACAAGACGTATGCCAACTTTCAAGACGCACCTCAGGAGGAGGCTTCTCTCAGCAATAGGTATGTGGGAGGGACCCCGAGTTCGCTGCCTCAAGGGCAATATACAGCGAGAAGCCCTAACTTGAAAGGAGGCCGGATTTCCTTGCAGTGGCTTGAATACAGGCTCGTCTTTCATCTCACAACATGAAGGGATGTCTGAATCCCCTGTGGAGACCTTAGCGAAAGCCCTAGGTCCCTGCCTCATTTTGACGGAATGCCTCACATCCCGTTGACACCTCAAGAGGCACGCGAAGTTCATTGCTTCAAAAGGTGACAATGCCTCACTCCTCTTGAATACTGATAGGAATCCCAAAATCCCTGTGGCTACTGGAAAGGGTCCTTGGGTGCCCTGCCTCACCTCGAGAAGCGTCCCTTTTGCCCTGCCAAGCCTCGAAGAGATTCCTGAGGTGTCCCTCGTTACTAGACAGGAGTCCTGACGTCACTGAAGAAACTCGTGTTTTGAAGGGCCATCCCCGCCGTAAGTCGAGAACATACCCCAGGTCCCCGCCGCAACTCGAGAAAAACCATGAGACTTCCCCCTAGAGGCGAGATGAGGCCCCATTCCCCTGCAGTGCATGCAGAGCTATTCCGTGGTCCCATTCAAGCAAGTCAGGAGCTTCGACTTGCTTAATGGTTCTCGAGACAGTCCCCAAGAACACTGTCACCAGTCTCGACGGACCCTGAGGTCACCCCAGCAACGCAAAGCAGCTCCATGTGCCCCAAATCAACTCGAGATGAGGCCCGATTCCCCTGCATTGACTCCAGAGCCATTCCCCGTTCCCCATTCAACACGACCGGTGGCTCGACTTCCTTCAGGCAACTCCAGAGATGCCCCGAGAACGCTGTCTCAAGTCTAGAGGAACACCAACTTCAGCACGGCAACTCGATGAACGCTCCGTGTACCCCAAATCGTCTCAAGATGAGAGGTGATTCCCTGGCTTAGGCTCAAGACGTATGCCAACTTTCAAGACGTACCTCAGGAGGAGGCTTCTCTCAGCAATAGGTATGTGGGAGGGACCCCGAGTTCGCTGCCTCAAGGGCAATATACAGCGAGAAGCCCTAACTTGAAAGGAGGCCGGATTTCCTTGCAGTGGCTTGAATACAGGCTCGTCTTTCTTCTCACAACATGAAGGGATGTCTGAATCCCCTGTGGAGACCTTAGAGAAAGCCCTAGGTCCCTGCCTCATTTGGACGGAATGCCTCACATCCCGTTGACACCTCAAGAGGCACGCGAAGTTCATTGCTTCAAAAGGTGACAATGCCTCACTCCTCTTGAATACTGATAGGAATACCAAAATCACTTTGGTACTGGAAAGGGTCCTTGGGTGCCCTGCCTCACCTCGAGAAGCGTCCCTTTTGCCCTGCCAAGCCTCGAAGAGATTCCTGAGGTGTCCCTCGTTACTAGACAGGAGTCCTGACGTCACTGAAGAAACTCGTGTTTTGAAGGGCCATCCCCGCCGTAAGTCGAGAACATACCCCAGGTCCCCGCCGCAACTCGAGAAAAACCATGAGACTTCCCCCTAGAGGCGAGATGAGGCCCCATTCCCCTGCAGTGCATGCAGAGCTATTCCGTGGTCCCATTCAAGCAAGTCAGGAGCTTCGACTTGCTTAATGGTTCTCGAGACAGTCCCCAAGAACACTGTCACCAGTCTCGACGGACCCTGAGGTCACCCCAGCAACGCAAAGCAGCTCCATGGGCCCCAAATCAACTCGAGATGAGGCCCGATTCCCCTGCATTGACTCCAGAGCCATTCCCCGTTCCCCATTCAACACGACCGGTGGCTCGACTTCCTTCAGGCAACTCCAGAGATGCCCCGAGAACACTGTCCCAAGTCTAGAGGAACACCAACTTCAGCACGGCAACTCGAGGAATGCTCCGTGTACCCCAAATCGTCTCGAGATGAGAGCTGATTCCCTGGCTTAGGCACAAGACGTATGCCAACTTTCAAGACGCACCTCAGGAGGAGGCTTCTCTCAGCAATAGGTATGTGGGAGGGACCCCAAGTTCGCTGCCTCAAGGGCAATATACAGCGAGAAGCCCTAATTTGAAAGGAGGCCGGATTTCCTTGCAGTGGCTTGAATACAGGCTCGTCTTTCATCTCACAACATGAAGGGATGTCTGAATCCCCTGTGGAGACTTTAGAGAAAGCCCTAGGTCCCTGGCTCATTTTGACGGAATGCCTCACATCCCGTTGACACCTCAAGAGGCACACGAAGTTCATTGCTTAAAAAGGTGACGATGCCTCACTCCTCTTGAATACTGATAGGAATCCCAAAATCCCTGTGGCTACTGGAAAGGGTCCTTGGGTGCCCTGACTCACCTCGAGAAGCGTCCCTTTTGCCCTGCCAAGCCTCGAAGAGATTCCTGAGGTGTCCCTCGTTACTAGACAGGAGTCCTGACGTCACTGAAGAAACTCGTGTTTTGAAGGGCCATCCCCGCCGTAAGTCGAGAACATACCCCAGGTCCCCGCCGCAACTCGAGAAAAACCATGAGACTTCCCCCTAGAGGCGAGATGAGGCCCCATTCCCCTGCAGTGCATGCAGAGCTATTCCGTGGTCCCATTCAAGCAAGTCAGGAGCTTCGACTTGCTTAATGGTTCTCGAGACAGTCCCCAAGAACACTGTCACCAGTATCGACGGACCCTGAGGTCACCCCAGCAACGCAAAGCAGCTCCATGGGCCCCAAATCAACTCGAGATGAGGCCCGATTCCCCTGCATTGACTCCAGAGCCATTCCCCGTTCCCCATTCAACACGACCGGTGGCTCGACTTCCTTCAGGCAACTCCAGAGATGCCCCGAGAACACTGTCCCAAGTCTAGAGGAACACCAACTTCAGCACGGCAACTCGAGGAATGCTCCGTGTACCCCAAATCGTCTCGAGGTGAGAGGTGATTCCCTGGCTTAGGCTCAAGACGTATGCCAACTTTCCAGACGCAACTCAGGAGGAGGCTTCTCTCAGCAATAGGTATGTGGGAGGGACCCCGAGTTCGCTGCCTCAAGGGCAATATACAGCGAGAAGCCCTAACTTGAAAGGAGGCCGGATTTCCTTGCAGTGGCTTGAATACAGACTCGTCTTTCATCTCACAACATGAAGGGATGTCTGAATCATCTGTGGAGACCTTAGAGAAAGCCCTAGGTCCCTGCCTCATTTAGACGGAATGCCTCACATCCCGTTGACACCTCGAGAGGCACGCGGAGTTCATTGCTTCAAAAAGTGACGATGCCTGACTCCTCTTGAATTCTGATAGGAATCCCAAAATCACTGTGGCTACTGGAAAGGGTCCTTGGGTGCCCTGCCTCACCTCGAGAAGCGTCCCTTTTGCACTGCCAAGCCTGGATGAGATTCCTGAGGTGTCCCTCGTTACTAGACAGGAGTCCTGACGTCACTGAAGAAACTCGTGTTTTGAAGGGCCATCCCCGCCGTAAGTCGAGAACATACCCCAGGTCCCCGCCGCAACTCGAGAAAAAGCATGAGACTTCCCCCTAGAGGCGAGATGAGGCCCCATTCCCCTGCAGTGCATGCAGAGCTATTCCGTGGTCCCATTCAAGCAAGTCAGGAGCTTCGACTTGCTTAATGGATCTCGAGACAGTCCCCAAGAACACTGTCACCAGTCTCGACGGACCCTGAGGACACCCCAGCAACACAAAGCAGCTCCATGGGCCCCAAATCAACTCGAGATGAGGCCCGATTCCCCTGCATTGACTCCAGAGCCATTCCCCGTTCCCCATTCAACACGACCGGTGGCTCGACTTCCTTCAGGCAACTCCAGAGATGCCCCAAGAACACTGTCCCAAGTCTAGAGGAACACCAACTTCAGCAAGGCAACTCGAGGAATGCTCCGTGTACCCCAAATCGTCTCGAGATGAGAGGTGATTCCCTGGCTTAGGCTCAAGACGTATGCCAACTTTCCAGACGCACCTCAGGAGGAGGCTTCTCTCAGCAATAGGTATGTGGGAGAGGCCCCGAGTTCGCTGCCTCAAGGGCAATATACAGCGAGAAGCCCTAACTTGAAAGGAGGCCGGATTTCCTTGCAGTGGCTTGAATACAGACTCGTCTTTCATCTCACAACATGAAGGGATCACTGAATCCCCTGTGGAGACCTTAGAGAAAGCCCTAGGTGCCTGCCTCATTTAGACGGAATGCCTCACATCCCGTTGACACCTCGAGAGGCACGCGGAGTTCATTGCTTCAAAAGGTGACGATGCCTGACTCCTCTTGAATTCTGATAGGAATCCCAAAATCACTGTGGCTACTGGAAAGGGTTCATGGGTGCCCTGCCTCACCTCAAGAAGCGTCCCATTTGCACTGCCAAGCCTCGATGAGATTCCTGAGGTGTCCCTCGTTACTAGACAGGAGTCCTGACGTCACTGAAGAAACTCGTGTTTTGAAGGGCCATCCCCGCCGTAAGTCGAGAACATACCCCAGGTCCCCGCCGCAACTCGAGAAAAACCATGAGACTTCCCCCTAGAGGCGAGATGAGGCCCCATTCCCCTGCAGTGCATGCAGAGCTATTCCGTGGTCCCATTCAAACAAGTCAGGAGCTTCGACTTGCTTAATGGATCTCGAGACAGTCCCCAAGAACACTGTCACCAGTCTCGACGGACCCTGAGGTCACCCCAGCAACGCAAAGCAGCTCCATGTGCCCCAAATCAAATCGAGATGAGGCCCGATTCCCCTGCATTGACTCCAGAGCCATTCCCCGTTCCCCATTCAACACGACCGGTGGCTCGACTTCCTTCAGGCAACTCCAGAGATACCCCGAGAACACTCTCCCAAGTCTACAGGAACACCAACTTCAGCACAGCAACTCGAGGAATGCTCCGTGTACCCCAAATCGTCTCGAGATGAGAGCTGATTCCCTGGCTTAGGCTCAAGACGTATGCCAACTTTCCAGACGCACCTCAGGAGGAGGCTTCTCTCAGCAATACGTATGTGGGAGGGACCCCGAGTTCGCTGCCTCAAGGGCAATATACAGCGAGAAGCCCTAACTTGAAAGGAGGCCGGATTTCCTTGCAGTGGCTTGAATACAGGCTGGTCTTTCATCTCACGACATGAAGGGATGTCTGAATCCCCTGTGGAGACCTTAGAGAAAGCCCTAGGTCCCTGCCTCATTTTGACGGAATGCCTCACATCCCGTTGACACCTCAAGAGGCACGCGAAGTTCATTGCTTCAAAAGGTGACAATGCCTCACTCCTCTTGAATACTGATAGGAATCCCAAAATCCCTGTGGCTACTGGAAAGGGTCCTTGGGTGCCCTGCCTCACCGCGAGAAGCGTCCCTTTTGCCCTGCCAAGCCTCGAAGAGATTCCTGAGGTGTCCCTCGTTACTAGACACTAGTCCTGACGTCACTGAAGAAACTCGTGTTTTGAAGGGCGTTCCCCGCCGTAAGTCGAGAACATACCCCAGGTCCCCGCCGCAACTCGAGAAAAACCATGAGACTTCCCCCTAGAGGCGAGATTAGGCCCCATTCCCCTGCAGTGCATGCAGAGCTATTCCGTGGTCCCATTCAAGCAAGTCAGGAGCTTCGACTTGCTTAATGGTTCTCGAGACAGTCCCCAAGAACACTGTCACCAGTCTCGACGGACCCTGAGGTCACCCCAGCAACGCAAAGCAGCTCCATGGGCCCCAAATCAACTCGAGATGAGGCCCGATTCCCCTGCATTGACTCCAGAGCCATTCCCCGTTCCCCATTCAACACGACCGGTGGCTCGACTTCCTTCAGGCAACTCCAGAGATGCCCCGAGAACACTGTCCCAAGTCTAGAGGAACACCAACTTCAGCACGGCAACTCGAGGAATGCTCCGTGTACTCCAAATCGTCTCGAGATGAGAGCTGATTCCCTGGCTTAGGCTCAGGACGTATGCCAACTTTCCAGACGCACCTCAGGAGGAGGCTTCTCTCAGCAATAGGTATGTGGGAGGGACCCCGAGTTCGCTGCCTCAAGGGCAATATACAGCGAGAAGCCCTAACTTGAAAGGAGGCCGGATTTCCTTGCAATGGCTTGAATACAGGATCGTCTTTCATTTCACGACATGAAGGGATGTCTGAATCCCCTGTGGAGACCTTAGAGAAAGCCCTAGGTCCCTGCCTCATTTTGACGGAATGCCTCACATCCCGTTGACACCTCAAGAGGCACGCGAAGTTCATTGCTTCAAAAGGTGACGATGCCTGACTCCTCTTGAATACTGATAGGAATCCCAAAATCCCTGTGGCTACTGGAAAGGGTCCTTGGGTGCCCTGCCTCACCTCGAGAAGCGTCCCTTTGGCCCTGCCAAGCCTTGAAGAGATTCCTGAGGTGTCCCTCGTTACTAGACAGGAGTCCTGACGTCACTGAAGAAACTCGTGTTTTGAAGGGCCATCCCCGCCGTAAGTCGAGAACATACCCCAGGTCCCCGCCGCAACTCGAGAAAAACCATGAGACTTCCCCCTAGAGGCGAGATGAGGCCCCATTCCCCTGCAGTGCATGCAGAGCTATTCCGTGGTCCCATTCAAGCAAGTCAGGAGCTTCGACTTGCTTAATGGTTCTCGAGACAGTCCCCAAGAACACTGTCACCAGTCTCGACGGACCCTGAGGTCACCCCAGCAACGCAAAGCAGCTCCATGGGCCCCAAATCAACTCGAGATGAGGCCCGATTCCCCTGCATTGACTCCAGAGCCATTCCCCGTTCCCCATTCAACACGACCGGTGGCTCGACTTCCTTCAGGCAACTCCAGAGAAGCCCCGAGAACGCTGTCTCAAGTCTAGAGGAACACCAACTTCAGCACGGCAACTCGATGAACGCTCCGTGTACCCCAAATCGTCTCAAGATGAGAGGTGATTCCCTGGCTTAGGCTCAAGACGTATGCCAACTTTCAAGACGCACCTCAGGAGGAGGCTTCTCTCAGCAATAGGTATGTGGGAGGGACCCCGAGTTCGCTGCCTCAAGGGCAATATACAGCGAGAAGCCCTAACTTGAAAGGAGGCCGGATTTCCTTGCAGTGGCTTGAATACAGGCTCGTCTTTCTTCTCACAACATGAAGGGATGTCTGAATCCCCTGTGGAGACCTTAGAGAAAGCCCTAGGTCCCTGCCTCATTTGGACGGAATGCCTCACATCCCGTTGACACCTCGAGAGGCACGCGGAGTTCATTGCTTCAAAAGGTGACGATGCCTCACTCCTCTTGAATTCTGATAGGAATCCCAAAATCCCTGTGGCTACTGGAAAGGGTCCTTGGGTGCCCTGCCTCACCTCAAGAAGCGTCCCATTTGCACTGCCAAGCCTCGATGAGATTCCTGATGTGTCCCTCGTTACTAGACAGGAGTCCTGACGTCACTGAAGAAACTCGTGTTTTGAAGGGCCATCCCTGCCGTAAGTCGAGAACATACCCCAGGTCCCCGCCGCAACTCGAGAAAAACCATGAGACTTCCCCCTAGAGGCGAGATGAGGCCCCATTCCCCTGCAGTGCATGCAGAGCTATTCCGTGGTCCCATTCAAACAAGTCAGGAGCTTCGACTTGCTTAATGCTTCTCGAGACAGTCCCCAAGAACACTGTCAGCAGTCTCGACGGACCCTGAGGTCACCCCAGCAACGCAAAGCAGCTCCATGGGCCCCAAATCAACTCGAGATGAGGCCCGATTCCCCTGCATTGACTCCAGAGCCATTCCCCGTTCCCCATTCAACACGACCGGTGGCTCGACTTCCTTCAGGCAACTCCAGAGATGCCCCGAGAACACTGTCCCAAGTCTAGAGGAACACCAACTTCAGCACGGCAACTCGAGGAATGCTCCGTGTACCCCAAATCGTCTCGAGATGAGAGCTGATTCCCTGGCTTAGGCACAAGACGTATGCCAACTTTCAAGACGCGCCTCAGGAGGAGGCTTCTCTCAGCAATAGGTATGTGGGAGGGACCCCGAGTTCGCTGCCTCAAGGGCAATATACAGCGAGAAGCCCTAACTTGAAAGGAGGCCGGATTTCCTTGCAGTGGCTTGAATACAGGCTCGTCTTTCATCTCACAACATGAAGGGATGTCTGAATCCCCTGTGGAGACCTTAGCGAAAGCCCTAGGTCCCTGCCTCATTTTGACGGAATGCCTCACATCCCGTTGACACCTCAAGAGGCACGCGAAGTTCATTGCTTCAAAAGGTGACAATGCCTGACTCCTCTTGAATACTGATAGGAATCCCAAAATCCCTGTGGCTACTGGAAAGGGTCCTTGGGTGCCCTGCCTCACCTCGAGAAGCGTCCCTTTTGCCCTGCCAAGCCTCGAATAGATTCCTGAGGTGTCCCTCGTTACTAGACAGGAGTCCTGACGTCACTGAAGAAACTCGTGTTTTGAAGGGCCATCCCCGCCGTAAGTCGAGAACATACCCCAGGTCCCCGCCGCAACTCGAGAAAAACCATGAGACTTCCCCCTAGAGGCGAGATGAGGCCCCATTCCCCTGCAGTGCATGCAGAGCTATTCCGTGGTCCCATTCAAGCAAGTCAGGAGCTTCGACTTGCTTAATGGTTCTCGAGACAGTCCCCAAGAACACTGTCACCAGTCTCGACGGACCCTGAGGTCACCCCAGCAACGCAAAGCAGCTCCATGGGCCCCAAATCAACTCGAGATGAGGCCCGATTCCCCTGCATTGACTCCAGAGCCATTCCCCGTTCCCCATTCAACACGACCGGTGGCTCGACTTCCTTCAGGCAACTCCAGAGATGCCCCGAGAACGCTGTCTCAAGTCTAGAGGAACACCAACTTCAGCACGGCAACTCGATAAACGCTCCGTGTACCCCAAATCGTCTCAAGATGAGAGGTGATTCCGTGGCTTAGGCTCAAGACGTATGCCAACTTTCAAGACGCACCTCAGGAGGAGGCTTCTCTCAGCAATAGGTATGTGGGAGGGACCCCGAGTTCGCTGCCTCAAGGGCAATATACAGCGAGAAGCCCTAACTTGAAAGGAGGCCGGATTTCCTTGCAGTGGCTTGAATACAGGCTCGTCTTTCTTCTCACAACATGAAGGGATGTCTGAATCCCCTATGGAGACCTTAGAGAAAGCCCTAGGTCCCTGCCTCATTTGGACGGAATGCCTCACATCCCGTTGACACCTCGAGAGGCACGCGGAGTTCATTGCTTCAAAAGGTGACGATGCCTCACTCCTCTTGAATTCTGATAGGAATCCCAAAATCCCTGTGGCTACTGGAAAGGGTCCTTGGGTGCCCTGCCTCACCTCAAGAAGCGTCCCATTTGCACTGCCAAGCCTCGATGAGATTCCTGATGTGTCCCTCGTTACTAGACAGGAGTCCTGACGTCACTGAAGAAACTCGTGTTTTGAAGGGCCATCCCTGCCGTAAGTCGAGAACATACCCCAGGTCCCCGCCGCAACTCGAGAAAAACCATGAGACTTCCCCCTAGAGGCGAGATGAGACCCCATTACCCTGCAGTGCATGCAGAGCTATTCCGTGGTCCCATTCAAACAAGTCAGGAGCTTCGACTTGCTTAATGGATCTCGAGACAGTCCTCAAGAACACTGTCACCAGTCTCGATGGACCCTGAGGTCACCCCAGCAACGCAAAGCAGCTCCATGTGCCCCAAATCAACTCGAGATTAGGCCCGATTCCCCTGCATTGATTCCAGAGCCATTCCCCGTTCCCATTCATCACGAACGGTGGCTCGACTTCCATCAGGCAACTCCAGAGATACCCCGAGAACACTGTCCCAAGTCTAGAGGAACACCAACTTCAGCACAGCAACTCGAGGAATGCTCCGTGTACACCAAATCGTCTCGAGATGAGAGCTGATTCCCTGGCTTAGGCTCAAGACGTATGCCAACTTTCCAGACGCACCTCAGGAGGAGGCTTCTCTCAGCAATAGGTATGTGGGAGGGACCCCGAGTTCGCTGCCTCAAGGGCAATATACAGCGAGAAGCCCTAACTTGAAAGGAGGCCGGATTTCCTTGCAGTGGCTTGAATACAGGCTCGTCTTTCATCTCACAACATGAAGGGATGTCTGAATCCCCTGTGGAGACCTTAGAGAAAGCCCTAGGTCCCTGCCTCATTTTGACGGAATGCCTCACATCCCGTTGACAGCTCAAGAGGCACGCGAAGTTCATTGCTTCAAAAGGTGACAATGCCTCACTCCTCTTGAATACTGATAGGAATACCAAAATCACTTTGGTACTGGAAAGGGTCCTTGGGTGCCCTGCCTCACCTCGAGAAGCGTCCCTTTTGCCCTGCCAAGCCTCGAAGAGATTCCTGAGGTGTCCCTCGTTACTAGACAGGAGTCCTGACGTCACTGAAGAAACTCGTGTTTTGAAGGGCCATCCCCGCCTTAAGTCGAGAACATACCCCAGGTCCCCGCCGCAACTCGAGAAAAACCATGAGACTTCCCCCTAGAGGCGAGATGAGGCCCCATTCCCCTGCAGTGCATGCAGAGCTATTCCGTGGTCCCATTCAAGCAAGTCAGGAGCTTCGACTTGCTTAATGGTTCTCGAGACAGTCCCCAAGAACACTGTCACCAGTCTCGACGGACCCTGAGGTCACCCCAGCAACGCAAAGCAGCTCCATGGGCCCCAAATCAACTCGAGATGAGGCCCGATTCCCCTGCATTGACTCCAGAGCCATTCCCCGTTCCCCATTCAACACGACCGGTGGCTCGACTTCCTTCAGGCAACTCCAGAGATGCCCCGAGAACACTGTCCCAAGTCTAGAGGAACACCAACTTCAGCACGGCAACTCGAGGAATGCTCCGTGTACCCCAAATCGTCTCGAGATGAGAGCTGATTCCCTGGCTTAGGCACAAGACGTATGCCAACTTTCAAGACGCACCTCAGGAGGAGGCTTCTCTCAGCAATAGGTATGTGGGAGGGACCCCAAGTTCGCTGCCTCAAGGGCAATATACAGCGAGAAGCCCTAACTTGAAAGGAGGCCGGATTTCCTTGCAGTGGCTTGAATACAGGGTCGTCTTTCATCTCACAACATGAAGGGATGTCTGAATCCCCTGTGGAGACCTTAGAGAAAGCCCTAGGTCCCTGGCTCATTTTGACGGAATGCCTCACATCCCGTTGACACCTCAAGAGGCACACGAAGTTCATTGCTTAAAAAGGTGACGATGCCTCACTCCTCTTGAATACTGATAGGAATCCCAAAATCCCTGTGGCTACTGGAAAGGGTCCTTGGGTGCCCTGACTCACCTCGAGAAGCGTCCCTTTTGCCCTGCCAAGCCTCGAAGAGATTCCTGAGGTGTCCCTCGTTACTAGACAGGAGTCCTGACGTCACTGAAGAAACTCGTGTTTTGAAGGGCCATCCCCGCCGTAAGTCGAGAACATACCCCAGGTCCCCGCCGCAACTCGAGAAAAACCATGAGACTTCCCCCTAGAGGCGAGATGAGGCCCCATTCCCCTGCAGTGCATGCAGAGCTATTCCGTGGTCCCATTCAAGCAAGTCAGGAGCTTCGACTTGCTTAATGGTTCTCGAGACAGTCCCCAAGAACACTGTCACCAGTCTCGACGGACCCTGAGGTCACCCCAGCAACGCAAAGCAGCTCCATGGGCCCCAAATCAACTCGAGATGAGGCCCGATTCCCCTGCATTGACTCCAGAGCCATTCCCGCTTCCCCATTCAACACGACCGGTGGCTCGACTTCCTTCAGGCAACTCCAGAGATGCCCCGAGAACACTGTCCCAAGTCTAGAGGAACACCAACTTCAGCACGGCAACTCGAGGAATGCTCCGTGTACCCCAAATCGTCTCGAGGTGAGAGGTGATTCCCTGGCTTAGGCTCAAGACATATGCCAACTTTCCAGACGCAACTCAGGAGGAGGCTTCTCTCAGCAATAGGTATGTGGGAGGGACCCCGAGTTCGCTGCCTCAAGGGCAATATACAGCGAGAAGCCCTAACTTGAAAGGAGGCCGGATTTCCTTGCAGTGGCTTGAATACAGACTCGTCTTTCATCTCACAAAATGAAGGGATGTCTGAATCATCTGTGGAGACCTTAGAGAAAGCCCTAGGTCCCTGCCTCATTTAGACGGAATGCCTCACATCCCGTTGACACCTCGAGAGGCACGCGTAGTTCATTGCTTCAAAAAGTGACGATGCCTGACTCCTCTTGAATTCTGATAGGAATCCCAAAATCACTGTGGCTACTGGAAAGGGTCCTTGGGTGCCCTGCCTCACCTCGAGAAGCGTCCCTTTTGCACTGCCAAGCCTGGATGAGATTCCTGAGGTGTCCCTCGTTACTAGACAGGAGTCCTGACGTCACTGAAGAAACTCGTGTTTTGAAGGGCCATCCCCGCCGTAAGTCGAGAACATACCACAGGTCCCCGCCGCAACTCGAGAAAAAGCATGAGACTTCCCCCTAGAGGCGAGATGAGGCCCCATTCCCCTGCAGTGCATGCAGAGCTATTCCGTGGTCCCATTCAAGCAAGTCAGGAGCTTCGACTTGCTTAATGGATCTCGAGACAGTCCCCAAGAACACTGTCACCAGTCTCGACGGACCCTGAGGACACCCCAGCAACACAAAGCAGCTCCATGGGCCCCAAATCAACTCGAGATGAGGCCCGATTCCCCTGCATTGACTCCAGAGCCATTCCCCGTTCCCCATTCAACACGACCGGTGGCTCGACTTCTTTCAGGCAACTCCAGAGATGCCCCAAGAACACTGTCACAAGTCTAGAGGAACACCAACTTCAGCAAGGCAACTCGAGGAATGCTCCGTGTACCCCAAATCGTCTCGAGATGAGAGGTGATTCCCTGGCTTAGGCTCAAGACGTATGCCAACTTTCCAGACGCACCTCAGGAGGAGGCTTCTCTCAGCAATAGGTATGTGGGAGGGACCCCGAGTTCGCTGCCTCAAGGGCAATATACAGCGAGAAGCCCTAACTTGAAAGGAGGCCGGATTTCCTTGCAGTGGCTTGAATACAGACTCGTCTTTCATCTCACAACATGAAGGGATCTCTGAATCCTCTGTGGAGACCTTAGAGAAAGCCCTAGGTCCCTGCCTCATTTGGACGGAATGCCTCACATCCCGTTGACACCTCGAGAGGCACGCGGAGTTCATTGCTTCAAAAGGTGACGATGCCTGACTCCTCTTGAATTCTGATAGGAATCCCAAAATCACTGTGGCTACTGGAAAGGGTCCTTGCGTGCCCTGCCTCACCTCAAGAAGCGTCCCATTTGCACTGCCAAGCCTCGATGAGATTCCTGAGGTGTCCCTCGTTACTAGACAGGAGTCCTGACGTCACTGAAGAAACTCGTGCTTTGAAGGGCCATCCCCGCCGTAAGTCGAGAACATACCCCAGGTCCCCGCCGCAACTCGAGAAAAACCATGAGACTTCCCCCTAGAGGCGAGATGAGACCCCATTCCCCTGCATTGCATGCAGAGCTATTCCGTGGTCCCATTCAAACAAGTCAGGAGCTTCGACTTGCTTAATGGATCTCGAGACAGTCCCCAAGAACACTGTCACCAGTCTCGACGGACCCTGAGGTCACCCCAGCAACGTAAAGCAGCTCCATGTGCCCCAAATCAACTCGAGATGAGGCCCGATTCCCCTGCATTGACCCCAGAGCCATTCCCCGTTCCCTATTCAACACGACCCGTGGCTCAACTTCCTTCAGGCAACTCCAGAGATACCCCGAGAACATTGTCCCACGTCTAGAGGAACACCAACTTCAGCACAGCAACTCGAGGAATGCTCCGTGTACCCCAAATCGTCTCGAGATGAGAGGTGATTCCCTGACTTAGGCTCAAGACGTATGCCAACTTTCCAGACGCACCTCAGGAGGAGGCTTCTCTCAGCAATAGGTATGTGGGAGGGACCCCGAGTTCGCTGCCTCAAGGGCAATATACAGCGAGAAGCCCTAACTTGAAAGGAGGCCGGATTTCCTTGCAGTGGCTTGAATACAGGCTCGTCTTTCATTTCACGACATGAAGGGATGTCTGAATCCCCTGTGGAGACCTTAGAGAAAGCCCTAGGTCCCTGCCTCATTTTGACGGAATGCCTCACATCCCGTTGACACCTCAAGAGGCACGCGAAGTTCATTGCTTCAAAAGGTGACAATGCCTCACTCCTCTTGAATACTGATAGGAATCCCAAAATCCCTGTGGCTACTGGAAAGGGTCCTTGGGTGCCCTGCCTCACCTCGAGAAGCGTCCCTTTTGCCCTGCCAAGCCTCGAAGAGATTCCTGAGGTGTCCCTCGTTACTAGACAGGAGTCCTGACGTCACTGAAGAAACTCGTGTTTTGAGGGCCATCCCCGCCGTAAGTCGAGAACATACCCCAGGTCCCCGCCGCAACTCGAGAAAAACCATGAGACTTCCCCCTAGAGGCGAGATGAGACCCCATTCCCCTGCAGTGCATGCAGAGCTATTCCGTGGTCCCATTCAAACAAGTCAGGAGCTTCGACTTGCTTAATGGATCTCGAGACAGTCCTCAAGAACACTGTCACCAGTCTCGATGGACCCTGAGGTCACCCCAGCAATGCAAAGCAGCTCCATGTGCCCCAAATCAACTCGAGATGAGGCTCGATTCCCCTGCATTGATTCCAGAGCCATTCCCTGTTCCCATTCAACACGAACGGTGGCTCGACTTCCTTCAGGCAACTCCAGAGATACCCCGAGAACACTGTCCCAAGTCTAGAGGAACACCAACTTCAGCACAGCAACTCGAGGAATGCTCCGTGTACACCAAATCATCTCGAGATGAGAGCTGATTCCCTGCCTTAGGCTCAAGACGTATGCCAACTTTCCAGACGCACCTCAGGAGGAGGCTTCTCTCAGCAATAGGTATGTGGGAGGGACCCCGAGTTCACTGCCTCAAGGGCAATATACAGCGAGAAGCCCTAACTTGAAAGGAGGCTGGATTTCCTTGCAGTGGCTTGAATACAGGCTCGTCTTTCATCTCACAACATGAAGGGATGTCTGAATCCCCTGTGGAGACCTTAGAGAAAGCCCTAGGTCCCTGCCTCATTTTGACGGAATGCCTCACATCCCGTTGACACCTCAAGAGGCCCGCGAAGTTCATTGCTTCAAAAGGTGACAATGCCTCACTCCTCTTGAATACTGATAGGAATACCAAAATCACTTTGGTACTGGAAAGGGTCCTTGGGTGCCCTGCCTCACCTCGAGAAGCGTCCCTTTTGCCCTGCCAAGCCTCGAAGAGATTCCTGAGGTGTCCCTCGTTACTAGACAGGAGTCCTGACGTCACTGAAGAAACTCGTGTTTTGAAGGGCCATCCCCGCCGTAAGTCGAGAACATACCCCAGGTCCCCGCCGCAACTCGAGAAAAACCATGAGACTTCCCCCTAGAGGCGAGATGAGGCCCCTTTCCCCTGCAGTGCATGCAGAGCTATTCCGTGGTCCCATTCAAGCAAGTCAGGAGCTTCGACTTGCTTAATGGATCTCGAGACAGTCCCCAAGAACACTGTCACCAGCCTCGACGGACCCTGAGGTCACCCCAGCAACGCAAAGCAGCTCCATGGGCCCCAAATCAACTCGAGATGAGGCCCGATTCCCCTGCATTGACTCCAGAGCCATTCCCCGTTCCCCATTCAACACGACCGGTGGCTCGACTTCCTTCAGGCAACTCCAGAGATGCCCCGAGAACACTGTCCCAAGTCTAGAGGAACACCAACTTCAGCACAGCAACTCGAGGAATGCTCCGTGTACCCCAAATCGTCTCGAGATGAGAGGTGATTCCCTGACTTAGGCTCAAGACGTATGCCAACTTTCCAGACGCACCTCAGGAGGAGGCTTCTCTCAGCAATAGGTATGTGGGAGGGACCCCGAGTTTGCTGCCTCAAGGGCAATATACAGCTAGAAGCCCTAACTTGAAAGGGGCCGGATTTCCTTGCAGTGGCTTGAATACAGGCTCGTCTTTCATCTCACAACATGAAGGGATGTCTGAATCCCCTGTGGAGACCTTAGAGAAAGCCCTATGTCCCTGCCTCATTTTGACGGAATGCCTCACATCCCGTTGACACCTCAAGAGGCACGCGAAGTTCATTGCTTCAAAAGGTGACAATGCCTGACTCCTCTTGAATACTGATAGGAATCCCAAAATCCCTGTGGCTACTGGAAAGGGTCCTTGGGTGCCCTGCCTCACCTCGAGAAGCGTCCCTTTTGCCCTGCCAAGCCTCGAATAGATTCCTGAGGTGTCCCTCGTTACTAGACAGGAGTCCTGACGTCACTGAAGAAACTCGTGTTTTGAAGGGCCATCCCCGCCGTAAGTCGAGAACATACCCCAGGTCCCCGCCGCAACTCGAGAAAAACCATGAGACTTCCCCCTAGAGGCGAGATGAGGCCCCATTCCCCTGCAGTGCATGCAGAGCTATTCCGTGGTCCCATTCAAGCAAGTCAGGAGCTTCGACTTGCTTAATGGTTCTCGAGACAGTCCCCAAGAACACTGTCACCAGTCTCGACGGACCCTGAGGTCACCCCAGCAACGCAAAGCAGCTCCATGGGCCCCAAATCAACTCGAGATGAGGCCCGATTCCCCTGCATTGACTCCAGAGCCATTCCCCGTTCCCCATTCAACACGACCGGTGGCTCGACTTCCTTCAGGCAACTCCAGAGATGCCCCGAGAACGCTGTCTCAAGTCTAGAGGAACACCAACTTCAGCACGGCAACTCGATAAACGCTCCGTGTACCCCAAATCGTCTCAAGATGAGAGGTGATTCCGTGGCTTAGGCTCAAGACGTATGCCAACTTTCAAGACGCACCTCAGGAGGAGGCTTCTCTCAGCAATAGGTATGTGGGAGGGACCCCGAGTTCGCTGCCTCAAGGGCAATATACAGCGAGAAGCCCTAACTTGAAAGGAGGCCGGATTTCCTTGCAGTGGCTTGAATACAGGCTCGTCTTTCTTCTCACAACATGAAGGGATGTCTGAATCCCCTATGGAGACCTTAGAGAAAGCCCTAGGTCCCTGCCTCATTTGGACGGAATGCCTCACATCCCGTTGACACCTCGAGAGGCACGCGGAGTTCATTGCTTCAAAAGGTGACGATGCCTCACTCCTCTTGAATTCTGATAGGAATCCCAAAATCCCTGTGGCTACTGGAAAGGGTCCTTGGGTGCCCTGCCTCACCTCAAGAAGCGTCCCATTTGCACTGCCAAGCCTCGATGAGATTCCTGATGTGTCCCTCGTTACTAGACAGGAGTCCTGACGTCACTGAAGAAACTCGTGTTTTGAAGGGCCATCCCTGCCGTAAGTCGAGAACATACCCCAGGTCCCCGCCGCAACTCGAGAAAAACCATGAGACTTCCCCCTAGAGGCGAGATGAGACCCCATTACCCTGCAGTGCATGCAGAGCTATTCCGTGGTCCCATTCAAACAAGTCAGGAGCTTCGACTTGCTTAATGGATCTCGAGACAGTCCTCAAGAACACTGTCACCAGTCTCGATGGACCCTGAGGTCACCCCAGCAACGCAAAGCAGCTCCATGTGCCCCAAATCAACTCGAGATTAGGCCCGATTCCCCTGCATTGATTCCAGAGCCATTCCCCGTTCCCATTCATCACGAACGGTGGCTCGACTTCCATCAGGCAACTCCAGAGATACCCCGAGAACACTGTCCCAAGTCTAGAGGAACACCAACTTCAGCACAGCAACTCGAGGAATGCTCCGTGTACACCAAATCGTCTCGAGATGAGAGCTGATTCCCTGGCTTAGGCTCAAGACGTATGCCAACTTTCCAGACGCACCTCAGGAGGAGGCTTCTCTCAGCAATAGGTATGTGGGAGGGACCCCGAGTTCGCTGCCTCAAGGGCAATATACAGCGAGAAGCCCTAACTTGAAAGGAGGCCGGATTTCCTTGCAGTGGCTTGAATACAGGCTCGTCTTTCATCTCACAACATGAAGGGATGTCTGAATCCCCTGTGGAGACCTTAGAGAAAGCCCTAGGTCCCTGCCTCATTTTGACGGAATGCCTCACATCCCGTTGACAGCTCAAGAGGCACGCGAAGTTCATTGCTTCAAAAGGTGACAATGCCTCACTCCTCTTGAATACTGATAGGAATACCAAAATCACTTTGGTACTGGAAAGGGTCCTTGGGTGCCCTGCCTCACCTCGAGAAGCGTCCCTTTTGCCCTGCCAAGCCTCGAAGAGATTCCTGAGGTGTCCCTCGTTACTAGACAGGAGTCCTGACGTCACTGAAGAAACTCGTGTTTTGAAGGGCCATCCCCGCCTTAAGTCGAGAACATACCCCAGGTCCCCGCCGCAACTCGAGAAAAACCATGAGACTTCCCCCTAGAGGCGAGATGAGGCCCCATTCCCCTGCAGTGCATGCAGAGCTATTCCGTGGTCCCATTCAAGCAAGTCAGGAGCTTCGACTTGCTTAATGGTTCTCGAGACAGTCCCCAAGAACACTGTCACCAGTCTCGACGGACCCTGAGGTCACCCCAGCAACGCAAAGCAGCTCCATGGGCCCCAAATCAACTCGAGATGAGGCCCGATTCCCCTGCATTGACTCCAGAGCCATTCCCCGTTCCCCATTCAACACGACCGGTGGCTCGACTTCCTTCAGGCAACTCCAGAGATGCCCCGAGAACACTGTCCCAAGTCTAGAGGAACACCAACTTCAGCACGGCAACTCGAGGAATGCTCCGTGTACCCCAAATCGTCTCGAGATGAGAGCTGATTCCCTGGCTTAGGCACAAGACGTATGCCAACTTTCAAGACGCACCTCAGGAGGAGGCTTCTCTCAGCAATAGGTATGTGGGAGGGACCCCAAGTTCGCTGCCTCAAGGGCAATATACAGCGAGAAGCCCTAACTTGAAAGGAGGCCGGATTTCCTTGCAGTGGCTTGAATACAGGGTCGTCTTTCATCTCACAACATGAAGGGATGTCTGAATCCCCTGTGGAGACCTTAGAGAAAGCCCTAGGTCCCTGGCTCATTTTGACGGAATGCCTCACATCCCGTTGACACCTCAAGAGGCACACGAAGTTCATTGCTTAAAAAGGTGACGATGCCTCACTCCTCTTGAATACTGATAGGAATCCCAAAATCCCTGTGGCTACTGGAAAGGGTCCTTGGGTGCCCTGACTCACCTCGAGAAGCGTCCCTTTTGCCCTGCCAAGCCTCGAAGAGATTCCTGAGGTGTCCCTCGTTACTAGACAGGAGTCCTGACGTCACTGAAGAAACTCGTGTTTTGAAGGGCCATCCCCGCCGTAAGTCGAGAACATACCCCAGGTCCCCGCCGCAACTCGAGAAAAACCATGAGACTTCCCCCTAGAGGCGAGATGAGGCCCCATTCCCCTGCAGTGCATGCAGAGCTATTCCGTGGTCCCATTCAAGCAAGTCAGGAGCTTCGACTTGCTTAATGGTTCTCGAGACAGTCCCCAAGAACACTGTCACCAGTCTCGACGGACCCTGAGGTCACCCCAGCAACGCAAAGCAGCTCCATGGGCCCCAAATCAACTCGAGATGAGGCCCGATTCCCCTGCATTGACTCCAGAGCCATTCCCGCTTCCCCATTCAACACGACCGGTGGCTCGACTTCCTTCAGGCAACTCCAGAGATGCCCCGAGAACACTGTCCCAAGTCTAGAGGAACACCAACTTCAGCACGGCAACTCGAGGAATGCTCCGTGTACCCCAAATCGTCTCGAGGTGAGAGGTGATTCCCTGGCTTAGGCTCAAGACATATGCCAACTTTCCAGACGCAACTCAGGAGGAGGCTTCTCTCAGCAATAGGTATGTGGGAGGGACCCCGAGTTCGCTGCCTCAAGGGCAATATACAGCGAGAAGCCCTAACTTGAAAGGAGGCCGGATTTCCTTGCAGTGGCTTGAATACAGACTCGTCTTTCATCTCACAAAATGAAGGGATGTCTGAATCATCTGTGGAGACCTTAGAGAAAGCCCTAGGTCCCTGCCTCATTTAGACGGAATGCCTCACATCCCGTTGACACCTCGAGAGGCACGCGTAGTTCATTGCTTCAAAAAGTGACGATGCCTGACTCCTCTTGAATTCTGATAGGAATCCCAAAATCACTGTGGCTACTGGAAAGGGTCCTTGGGTGCCCTGCCTCACCTCGAGAAGCGTCCCTTTTGCACTGCCAAGCCTGGATGAGATTCCTGAGGTGTCCCTCGTTACTAGACAGGAGTCCTGACGTCACTGAAGAAACTCGTGTTTTGAAGGGCCATCCCCGCCGTAAGTCGAGAACATACCACAGGTCCCCGCCGCAACTCGAGAAAAAGCATGAGACTTCCCCCTAGAGGCGAGATGAGGCCCCATTCCCCTGCAGTGCATGCAGAGCTATTCCGTGGTCCCATTCAAGCAAGTCAGGAGCTTCGACTTGCTTAATGGATCTCGAGACAGTCCCCAAGAACACTGTCACCAGTCTCGACGGACCCTGAGGACACCCCAGCAACACAAAGCAGCTCCATGGGCCCCAAATCAACTCGAGATGAGGCCCGATTCCCCTGCATTGACTCCAGAGCCATTCCCCGTTCCCCATTCAACACGACCGGTGGCTCGACTTCTTTCAGGCAACTCCAGAGATGCCCCAAGAACACTGTCACAAGTCTAGAGGAACACCAACTTCAGCAAGGCAACTCGAGGAATGCTCCGTGTACCCCAAATCGTCTCGAGATGAGAGGTGATTCCCTGGCTTAGGCTCAAGACGTATGCCAACTTTCCAGACGCACCTCAGGAGGAGGCTTCTCTCAGCAATAGGTATGTGGGAGGGACCCCGAGTTCGCTGCCTCAAGGGCAATATACAGCGAGAAGCCCTAACTTGAAAGGAGGCCGGATTTCCTTGCAGTGGCTTGAATACAGACTCGTCTTTCATCTCACAACATGAAGGGATCTCTGAATCCTCTGTGGAGACCTTAGAGAAAGCCCTAGGTCCCTGCCTCATTTGGACGGAATGCCTCACATCCCGTTGACACCTCGAGAGGCACGCGGAGTTCATTGCTTCAAAAGGTGACGATGCCTGACTCCTCTTGAATTCTGATAGGAATCCCAAAATCACTGTGGCTACTGGAAAGGGTCCTTGCGTGCCCTGCCTCACCTCAAGAAGCGTCCCATTTGCACTGCCAAGCCTCGATGAGATTCCTGAGGTGTCCCTCGTTACTAGACAGGAGTCCTGACGTCACTGAAGAAACTCGTGCTTTGAAGGGCCATCCCCGCCGTAAGTCGAGAACATACCCCAGGTCCCCGCCGCAACTCGAGAAAAACCATGAGACTTCCCCCTAGAGGCGAGATGAGACCCCATTCCCCTGCATTGCATGCAGAGCTATTCCGTGGTCCCATTCAAACAAGTCAGGAGCTTCGACTTGCTTAATGGATCTCGAGACAGTCCCCAAGAACACTGTCACCAGTCTCGACGGACCCTGAGGTCACCCCAGCAACGTAAAGCAGCTCCATGTGCCCCAAATCAACTCGAGATGAGGCCCGATTCCCCTGCATTGACCCCAGAGCCATTCCCCGTTCCCTATTCAACACGACCCGTGGCTCAACTTCCTTCAGGCAACTCCAGAGATACCCCGAGAACATTGTCCCACGTCTAGAGGAACACCAACTTCAGCACAGCAACTCGAGGAATGCTCCGTGTACCCCAAATCGTCTCGAGATGAGAGGTGATTCCCTGACTTAGGCTCAAGACGTATGCCAACTTTCCAGACGCACCTCAGGAGGAGGCTTCTCTCAGCAATAGGTATGTGGGAGGGACCCCGAGTTCGCTGCCTCAAGGGCAATATACAGCGAGAAGCCCTAACTTGAAAGGAGGCCGGATTTCCTTGCAGTGGCTTGAATACAGGCTCGTCTTTCATTTCACGACATGAAGGGATGTCTGAATCCCCTGTGGAGACCTTAGAGAAAGCCCTAGGTCCCTGCCTCATTTTGACGGAATGCCTCACATCCCGTTGACACCTCAAGAGGCACGCGAAGTTCATTGCTTCAAAAGGTGACAATGCCTCACTCCTCTTGAATACTGATAGGAATCCCAAAATCCCTGTGGCTACTGGAAAGGGTCCTTGGGTGCCCTGCCTCACCTCGAGAAGCGTCCCTTTTGCCCTGCCAAGCCTCGAAGAGATTCCTGAGGTGTCCCTCGTTACTAGACAGGAGTCCTGACGTCACTGAAGAAACTCGTGTTTTGAGGGCCATCCCCGCCGTAAGTCGAGAACATACCCCAGGTCCCCGCCGCAACTCGAGAAAAACCATGAGACTTCCCCCTAGAGGCGAGATGAGACCCCATTCCCCTGCAGTGCATGCAGAGCTATTCCGTGGTCCCATTCAAACAAGTCAGGAGCTTCGACTTGCTTAATGGATCTCGAGACAGTCCTCAAGAACACTGTCACCAGTCTCGATGGACCCTGAGGTCACCCCAGCAATGCAAAGCAGCTCCATGTGCCCCAAATCAACTCGAGATGAGGCTCGATTCCCCTGCATTGATTCCAGAGCCATTCCCTGTTCCCATTCAACACGAACGGTGGCTCGACTTCCTTCAGGCAACTCCAGAGATACCCCGAGAACACTGTCCCAAGTCTAGAGGAACACCAACTTCAGCACAGCAACTCGAGGAATGCTCCGTGTACACCAAATCATCTCGAGATGAGAGCTGATTCCCTGCCTTAGGCTCAAGACGTATGCCAACTTTCCAGACGCACCTCAGGAGGAGGCTTCTCTCAGCAATAGGTATGTGGGAGGGACCCCGAGTTCACTGCCTCAAGGGCAATATACAGCGAGAAGCCCTAACTTGAAAGGAGGCTGGATTTCCTTGCAGTGGCTTGAATACAGGCTCGTCTTTCATCTCACAACATGAAGGGATGTCTGAATCCCCTGTGGAGACCTTAGAGAAAGCCCTAGGTCCCTGCCTCATTTTGACGGAATGCCTCACATCCCGTTGACACCTCAAGAGGCCCGCGAAGTTCATTGCTTCAAAAGGTGACAATGCCTCACTCCTCTTGAATACTGATAGGAATACCAAAATCACTTTGGTACTGGAAAGGGTCCTTGGGTGCCCTGCCTCACCTCGAGAAGCGTCCCTTTTGCCCTGCCAAGCCTCGAAGAGATTCCTGAGGTGTCCCTCGTTACTAGACAGGAGTCCTGACGTCACTGAAGAAACTCGTGTTTTGAAGGGCCATCCCCGCCGTAAGTCGAGAACATACCCCAGGTCCCCGCCGCAACTCGAGAAAAACCATGAGACTTCCCCCTAGAGGCGAGATGAGGCCCCTTTCCCCTGCAGTGCATGCAGAGCTATTCCGTGGTCCCATTCAAGCAAGTCAGGAGCTTCGACTTGCTTAATGGATCTCGAGACAGTCCCCAAGAACACTGTCACCAGCCTCGACGGACCCTGAGGTCACCCCAGCAACGCAAAGCAGCTCCATGGGCCCCAAATCAACTCGAGATGAGGCCCGATTCCCCTGCATTGACTCCAGAGCCATTCCCCGTTCCCCATTCAACACGACCGGTGGCTCGACTTCCTTCAGGCAACTCCAGAGATGCCCCGAGAACACTGTCCCAAGTCTAGAGGAACACCAACTTCAGCACAGCAACTCGAGGAATGCTCCGTGTACCCCAAATCGTCTCGAGATGAGAGGTGATTCCCTGACTTAGGCTCAAGACGTATGCCAACTTTCCAGACGCACCTCAGGAGGAGGCTTCTCTCAGCAATAGGTATGTGGGAGGGACCCCGAGTTTGCTGCCTCAAGGGCAATATACAGCTAGAAGCCCTAACTTGAAAGGGGCCGGATTTCCTTGCAGTGGCTTGAATACAGGCTCGTCTTTCATCTCACAACATGAAGGGATGTCTGAATCCCCTGTGGAGACCTTAGAGAAAGCCCTATGTCCCTGCCTCATTTTGACGGAATGCCTCACATCCCGTTGACACCTCAAGAGGCACGCGAAGTTCATTGCTTCAAAAGGTGACAATGCCTCACTCCTCTTGAATACTGATAGGAATCCCAAAATCCCTGTGGCTACTGGAAAGGGTCCTTGGGTGCCCTGCCTCACCTCGAGAAGCGTCCCTTTTGCCCTGCCAAGCCTCGAAGAGATTCCTGAGGTGTCCCTCGTTACTAGACAGGAGTCCTGACGTCACTGAAGAAACTCGTGTTTTGAATGGCCATCCCTGCCGTAAGTCGAGAACATAACCCAGGTCCCCGCCGCAACTCGAGAAAAACCATGAGACTTCCGCCTAGAGGCGAGATGAGGCCCCATTCCCATGCAGTGCATGCAGAGCTATTCCGTGGTCCCATTCAAGCAAGCCAGGGGCTTCGACTTGCTTAATGGTTCTCGAGACAGTCCCCAAGAACACTGTCACCAGTCTCGACGACCCTGAGGTCACCCCAGCAACGCAAAGCAGCTCCATGGGCCCAAATCAACTCGAGATGAGGCCCGATTCCCCTGCATTGACTCCAGAGCCATTCCCCGTTCCCCATTCAACACGACCGGTGGCTCGACTTCCTTCAGGCAACTCCAGAGATGCCCCGAAAACACTGTCCCAAGTCTAGAGGAACACGAACTTCAGCACGGCAACTCGATGAACGCACCGTGTACCCCAAATCGTCTCGAGATGAGAGGTGATTCCCTGGCTTAGGCTCAAGACGTATGCCAACTTTCCAGACGCACCTCAGGAGGAGGCTTCTCTCAGCAATAGGTATGTGGGAGGGACCCCGAGTTCGCTGCCTCAAGGGCAATATACAGCGAGAAGCCCTAACTTGAAAGGAGGCCGGATTTCCTTGCAGTGGCTTGAATACAGGCTCGTCTTTCATTTCACGACATGAAGGGATGTCTGAATCCCCTGTGGAGACCTTAGAGAAAGCCCTAGGTCCCTGCCTCATTTTGACGGAATGCCTCACATCCCGTTGACACCTCAAGAGGCACGCGAAGTTCATTGCTTCAAAAGGTGACAATGCCTCACTCCTCTTGAATACTGATAGGAATCCCAAAATCCCTGTGGCTACTGGAAAGGGTCCTTGGGTGCCCTGCCTCACCTCGAGAAGCGTCCCTTTTGCCCTGCCAAGCCTCGAAGAGATTCCTGAGGTGTCCCTCGTTACTAGACAGGAGTCCTGACGTCACTGAAGAAACTCGTGTTTTGAGGGCCATCCCCGCCGTAAGTCGAGAACATACCCCAGGTCCCCGCCGCAACTCGAGAAAAACCATGAGACTTCCCCCTAGAGGCGAGATGAGACCCCATTCCCCTGCAGTGCATGCAGAGCTATTCCGTGGTCCCATTCAAACAAGTCAGGAGCTTCGACTTGCTTAATGGATCTCGAGACAGTCCTCAAGAACACTGTCACCAGTCTCGATGGACCCTGAGGTCACCCCAGCAATGCAAAGCAGCTCCATGTGCCCCAAATCAACTCGAGATGAGGCTCGATTCCCCTGCATTGATTCCAGAGCCATTCCCTGTTCCCATTCAACACGAACGGTGGCTCGACTTCCTTCAGGCAACTCCAGAGATACCCCGAGAACACTGTCCCAAGTCTAGAGGAACACCAACTTCAGCACAGCAACTCGAGGAATGCTCCGTGTACAACAAATCATCTCGAGATGAGAGCTGATTCCCTGCCTTAGGCTCAAGACGTATGCCAACTTTCCAGACGCACCTCAGGAGGAGGCTTCTCTCAGCAATAGGTATGTGGGAGGGACCCCGAGTTCACTGCCTCAAGGGCAATATACAGCGAGAAGCCCTAACTTGAAAGGAGGCTGGATTTCCTTGCAGTGGCTTGAATACAGGCTCGTCTTTCATCTCACAACATGAAGGGATGTCTGAATCCCCTGTGGAGACCTTAGAGAAAGCCCTAGGTCCCTGCCTCATTTTGACGGAATGCCTCACATCCCGTTGACACCTCAAGAGGCCCGCGAAGTTCATTGCTTCAAAAGGTGACAATGCCTCACTCCTCTTGAATACTGATAGGAATACCAAAATCACTTTGGTACTGGAAAGGGTCCTTGGGTGCCCTGCCTCACCTCGAGAAGCGTCCCTTTTGCCCTGCCAAGCCTCGAAGAGATTCCTGAGGTGTCCCTCGTTACTAGACAGGAGTCCTGACGTCACTGAAGAAACTCGTGTTTTGAAGGGCCATCCCCGCCGTAAGTCGAGAACATACCCCAGGTCCCCGCCGCAACTCGAGAAAAACCAGGAGACTTCCCCCTAGAGGCGAGATGAGGCCCCTTTCCCCTGCAGTGCATGCAGAGCTATTCCGTGGTCCCATTCAAGCAAGTCAGGAGCTTCGACTTGCTTAATGGATCTCGAGACAGTCCCCAAGAACACTGTCACCAGCCTCGACGGACCCTGAGGTCACCCCAGCAACGCAAAGCAGCTCCATGGGCCCCAAATCAACTCGAGATGAGGCCCGATTCCCCTGCATTGACTCCAGAGCCATTCCCCGTTCCCCATTCAACACGACCGGTGGCTCGACTTCCTTCAGGCAACTCCAGAGATGCCCCGAGAACACTGTCCCAAGTCTAGAGGAACACCAACTTCAGCACGGCAACTCGAGGAATGCTCCGTGTACCCCAAATCGTCTCGAGGTTAGAGGTGATTCTTGGCTTAGGCTCAACACGTATGCCAACTTTCAAGACGCACCTCAGGAGGAGGCTTCTCTCAGCAATAGGTATGTGGGAGGGACCCCGAGTTCGCTGCCTCAAGGGCAATATACAGCGAGAAGCCCTAACTTGAAAGGAGGCCGGATTTCCTTGCAGTGGCTTGAATACAGGCTCGTCTTTCATCTCACAACATGAAGGGATGTCTGAATCCACTGTGGAGACCTTAGAGAAAGCCCTAGGTCCCTGCCTCATTTAGACGGAATGCCTCACATCCCGTTGACACCTCGAGAGGCACGCGGAGTTCATTGCTTCAAAAGGTGACAATGCCTCACTCCTCTTGAATACTGATAGGAATCCCAAAATCCCTGTGGCTACTGGAAAGGGTCCTTGGGTGCCCTGCCTCACCTCGAGAAGCGTCCCTTTTGCCCTGCCAAGCCTCGAAGAGATTCCTGAGGTGTCCCTCGTTACTAGACACTAGTCCTGACGTCACTGAAGAAACTCGTGTTTTGAAGGGCCATCCCCGCCGTAAGTCGAGAACATACCCCAGGTCCCCGCCGCAACTCGAGAAAAACCATGAGACTTCCCCCTAGAGGCGAGATGAGACCCCATTCCCCTGCAGTGCATGCAGAGCTATTCCGTGGTCCCATTCAAACAAGTCAGGAGCTTCGACTTGCTTAATGGATCTCGAGACAGTCCTCAAGAACACTGTCACCAGTCTCGATGGACCCTGAGGTCACCCCAGCAATGCAAAGCAGCTCCATGTGCCCCAAATCAACTCGAGATGAGGCTCGATTCCCCTGCATTGATTCCAGAGCCATTCCCTGTTCCCATTCAACACGAACGGTGGCTCGACTTCCTTCAGGCAACTCCAGAGATACCCCGAGAACACTGTCCCAAGTCTAGAGGAACATCAACTTCAGCACAGCAACTCGAAAAATGCTCCGTGTACACCAAATCATCTCGAGATGAGAGCTGATTCCCTGGCTTAGGCTCAAGACGTATGCCAACTTTCCAGACGCACCTCAGGAGGAGGCTTCTCTCAGCAATAGGTATGTGGGAGGGACCCCGAGTTCGCTGCCTCAAGGGCAATATACAGCGAGAAGCCCTAACTTGAAAGGAGGCCGGATTTCCTTGCAGTGGCTTGAATACAGGCTCGTCTTTCATCTCACAACATGAAGGGATGTCTGATTCCCCTGTGGAGACCTTAGAGAAAGCCCTAGGTCCCTGCCTCATTTTGACGGAATGCCTCACATCCCGTTGACACTTCAAGAGGCACGCGAAGTTCATTGCTTCAAAAGGTGACAATGCCTCACTCCTCTTGAATACTGATAGGAATACCAAAATCACTTTGGTACTGGAAAGGGTCCTTGGGTGCCCTGCCTCACCTCGAGAAGCGTCCCTTTTGCCCTGCCAAGCCTCGAAGAGATTCCTGAGGTGTCCCTCGTTACTAGACAGGAGTCCTGACGTCACTGAAGAAACTCGTGTTTTGAAGGGCCATCCCCGCCGTAAGTCGAGAACATACCCCAGGTCCCCGCCGCAACTCGAGAAAAACCATGAGACTTCCCCCTAGAGGCGAGATGAGGCCCCATTCCCCTGCAGTGCATGCAGAGCTATTCCGTGGTCCCATTCAAGCAAGTCAGGAGCTTCGACTTGCTTAATGGTTCTCGAGACAGTCCCCAAGAACACTGTCACCAGTCTCGACGGACCCTGAGGTCACCCCAGCAACGCAAAGCGGCTCCATGGGCCCCAAATCAACTCGAGATGAGGCCCGATTCCCCTGCATTGACTCCAGAGCCATTCCCCGTTCCCCATTCAACACGACCGGTGGCTCGACTTCCTTCAGGCAACTCCAGAGATGCCCCGAGAACACTGTCCCAAGTCTAGAGGAACACCAACTTCAGCACGGCAACTCGAGGAATGCTCCGTGTACCCCAAATCGTCTCGAGATGAGAGCTGATTCCCTGGCTTAGGCACAAGACGTATGCCAACTTTCAAGATGCACCTCAGGAGGAGGCTTCTCTCAGCAATAGGTAGGTGGGAGGGACCCCGAGTTCGCTGCCTCAAGGGCAATATATAGCGAGAAGCCATAACTTGAAAGGAGGCCGGATTTCCTTGCAGTGGCTTGAATACAGGCTCGTCTTTCATCTCAAAACATGAAGGGATGTCTGAATCCCCTGTGGAGACCATAGAGAAAGCCCTAGGTCCCTGCCTCATTTAGACGGAATGCCTCACATCCCGTTGACACCTCGAGAGGCACGCGGAGTTCATTGCTTCAAAAGGTGACAATGCCTCACTCCTCTTGAATACTGATAGGAATCCCAAAATCCCTGTGGCTACTGGAAAGGGTCCTTGGGTGCCCTGCCTCACCTCGAGAAGCGTCCCTTTTGCCCTGCCAAGCCTCGAAGAGATTCCTGAGGTGTCCCTCGTTACTAGACACTAGTCCTGACGTCACTGAAGAAACTCGTGTTTTGAAGGGCCATCCCCGCCGTAAGTCGAGAACATACCCCAGGTCCCCGCCGCAACTCGAGAAAAACCATGAGACTTCCCCCTAGAGGCGAGATGAGACCCCATTCCCCTGCAGTGCATGCAGAGCTATTCCGTGGTCCCATTCAAACAAGTCAGGAGCTTCGACTTGCTTAATGGATCTCGAGACAGTCCTCAAGAACACTGTCACCAGTCTCGATGGACCCTGAGGTCACCCCAGCAATGCAAAGCAGCTCCATGTGCCCCAAATCAACTCGAGATGAGGCTCGATTCCCCTGCATTGATTCCAGAGCCATTCCCTGTTCCCATTCAACACGAGGTGGCTCGACTTCCTTCAGGCAACTCCAGAGATACCCCGAGAACACTGTCCCAAGTCTAGAGGAACACCAACTTCAGCACAGCAACTCGAGGAATGCTCCGTGTACACCAAATCATCTCGAGATGAGAGCTGATTCCCTGGCTTAGGCTCAAGACGTATGCCAACTTTCCAGACGCACCTCAGGAGGAGGCTTCTCTCAGCAATAGGTATGTGGGAGGGACCCCGAGTTCGCTGCCTCAAGGGCAATATACAGCGAGAAGCCCTAACTTGAAAGGAGGCCGGATTTCCTTGCAGTGGCTTGAATACAGGCTCGTCTTTCATCTCACAACATGAAGGGATGTCTGATTCCCCTGTGGAGACCTTAGAGAAAGCCCTAGGTCCCTGCCTCATTTTGACGGAATGCCTCACATCCCGTTGACACCTCAAGAGGCACGCGAAGTTCATTGCTTCAAAAGGTGACAATGCCTCACTCCTCTTGAATACTGATAGGAATACCAAAATCACTTTGGTACTGGAAAGGGTCCTTGGGTTCCCTGCCTCACCTCGAGAAGCGTCCCTTTTGCCCTGCCAAGCCTTGAAGAGATTCCTGAGGTGTCCCTCGTTACTAGACAGGAGTCCTGACGTCACTGAAGAAACTCGTGTTTTGAAGGGCCATCCCCGCCGTAAGTCGAGAACATACCCCAGGTCCCCGCCGCAACTCGAGAAAAACCATGAGATTTCCCCCTAGAGGCGAGATGAGGCCCCATTCCCCTGCAGTGCATGCAGAGCTATTGCGTGGTCCCATTCCAGCAAGTCAGGAGCTTCGACTTGCTTAATGGTTCTCGAGACAGTCCCCAAGAACACTGTCACCAGTCTCGACGGACCCTGAGGTCACCCCAGCAACGCAAAGCAGCTCCATGGGCCCCAAATCAACTCGAGATGAGGCCCGATTCCCCTGCATTGACTCCAGTGCCATTCCCCATTCCCCATTCAACACGACCGGTGGCTCGACTTCCTTCAGGCAACTCCAGAGATGCCCCGAGAACACTGTCCCAAGTCTAGAGGAACACCAATTTCAGCACGGCAACTCGAGGAATGCTCCGTGTACCCCAAATCGTCTCGAGATGAGAGCTGATTCCCTGGCTTAGGCACAAGACGTATGCCAACTTTCAAGACACAGCTCAGGAGGAGGCTTCTCTCAGCAATAGGTATGTGGGAGGGACCCCGAGTTCGCTGCCTCAAGGGCAATATACAGCGAGAAGCCCTAACTTGAAAGGAGGCCGGATTTCCTTGCAGTGGCTTGAATACAGGCTCGTCTTTCATCTCACAACATGAAGGGATGTCTGAATCCCCTGTGGAGACCTTAGAGAAAGCCCTAGGTCCCTGCCTCATTTTGACGGAATGCCTCACATCCCGTTGACACCTCAAGAGGCACGCGAAGTTCATTGCTTCAAAAGGTGACAATGCCTCACTCCTCTTGAATACTGATAGGAATCCCAAAATCCCTGTGGCTACTGGAAAGGGTCCTTGGGTGCCCTGCCTCACCTCGAGAAGCGTCCCTTTTGCCCTGCCAAGCCTCGAAGTGATTCCTGAGGTGTCCCTCGTTACTAGACAGGAGTCCTGACGTCACTGAAGAAACTCGTGTTTTGAAGGGCCATCCCCGCCGTAAGTCGAGAACATACCCCAGGTCCCCGCCGCAACTCGAGAAAAACCATGAGACTTCCCCCTAGAGGCGAGATGAGGCCCCATTCCCCTGCAGTGCATGCAGAGCTATTCCGTGGTCCCATTCAAGCAAGTCAGGAGCTTCGACTTGCTTAATGGTTCTCGAGACAGTCCCCAAGAACACTGTCACCAGTCTCGACGGACCCTGAGGTCACCCCAGCAACGCAAAGCAGCTCCATGGGCCCCAAATCAACTCGAGATGAGGCCCGATTCCCCTGCATTGACTCCAGAGCCATTCCCGGTTCCCCATTCAACACGACCGGTGGCTCGACTTCCTTCAGGCAACTCCAGAGATGCCCCGAGAACACTGTCCCAAGTCTAGAGGAACACCAACTTCAGCACGGCAACTCGAGGAATGCTCCGTGTACCCCAAATCGTCTCGAGGTGAGAGGTGATTCCTTGGCTTAGGCTCAAGACGTATGCCAACTTTCCAGACGCACCTCAGGAGGAGGCTTCTCTCAGCAATAGGTATGTGGGAGGGACCCCGAGTTCGCTGCCTCAAGGGCAATATACATCGAGAAGCCCTAACTTGAAAGGAGGCCGGATTTCCTTGCAGTGGCTTAAATACAGGCTCGTCTTTGATCTCACAACATGAAGGGATGTCTGAATCCCCTGTGGAGACCTTAGAGAAAGCCCTAGGTCCCTGCCTCATTTAGACGGAATGCCTCACATCCCGTTGACACCTCGAGAGGCACGCGGAGTTCATTGCTTCAAAAGGTGACGATGCCTGACTCCTCTTGAATTCTGATAGGAATCCCAAAATCCCTGTGGCTACTGGAAAGGGTTCATGGGTGCCCTGCCTCACCTCAAGAAGCGTCCCATTTGCACTGCCAAGCCTCGATGAGATTCCTGAGGTGTCCCTCGTTACTAGACAGGAGTCCTGACGTCACTGAAGAAACTCGTGTTTTGAAGGGCCATCCCCGCCGTAAGTCGAGAACATACCCCAGGTCCCCACCGCAACTCGAGAAAAACCATGAGACTTCCCCCTAGAGGCGAGATGAGGCCCCATTCCCCTGCAGTGCATGCAGAGCTCTTCCGTGGTCCCATTCAAACAAGTCAGGAGCTTCGACTTGCTTAATGGATCTCGAGACAGTCCCCAAGAACACTGTCACCAGTCTCGACGGACCCTGAGGTCACCCCAGCAACGCAAAGCAGCTCCATGGGCCCGAAATCAACTCGAGATGAGGCCCGATTCCCCTGCATTGACTCCAGAGCCATTCCCCGTTCCCCATTCAACACGACCGGTGGCTCGACTTCCTTCAGGCAACTCCAGAGATACCCCGAGAACACTCTCCCAAGTCTAGAGGAACACCAACTACAGCACAGCAACTCGAGGAATGCTCCGTGTACCCCAAATCGTCTCGAGATGAGAGCTGATTCCCTGGCTTAGGCTCAAGACGTATGCCAACTTTCCAGACGCACCTCAGGAGGAGGCTTCTCTCAGCAATAGGTATGTGGGAGGGACCCCGAGTTCGCTGCCTCAAGGGCAATATACAGCGAGAAGCCCTAACTTGAAAGGAGGCCGGATTTCCTTGCAGTGGCTTGAATACAGGCTGGTCTTTCATCTCACGACATGAAGGGATGTCTGAATCCCCTGTGGAGACCTTAGAGAAAGCCCTAGGTCCCTGCCTCATTTTGACGGAATGCCTCACATCCCGTTGACACCTCAAGAGGCACGCGAAGTTCATTGCTTCAAAAGGTGACAATGCCTCACTCCTCTTGAATACTGATAGAAATCCCAAAATCCCTGTGGCTACTGGAAAGGGTCCTTGGGTGCCCTGACTCACCTCGAGAAGCGTCCCTTTTGCCCTGCCAAGCCTCGAAGAGATTCCTGAGGTGTCCCTCGTTACTAGACACTAGTCCTGACGTCACTGAAGAAACTCGTGTTTTGAAGGGCGTTCCCCGCCGTAAGTCGAGAACATACCCCAGGTCCCCGCCGCAACTCGAGAAAAACCATGAGTCTTCCCCCTAGAGGCGAGATGAGGCCCCATTCCCCTGCAGTGCATGCAGAGCTATTGCGTGGTCCCATTCAAGCAAGTCAGGAGCTTCGACTTGCTTTATGGTTCTCGAGACAGTCCCCAAGAACACTGTCACCAGTCTCGACGGACCCTGAGGTCACCCCAGCAACGCAAAGCAGCTCCATGGGCCCCAAATCAACTCGAGATGAGGCCCGATTCCCCTGCATTGACTCCAGAGCCATTCCCCGTTCCCCATTCAACACGACCGGTGGCTCGACTTCCTTCAGGCAACTCCAGAGATGCCCCGAGAACACTGTCCCAAGTCTAGAGGAACACCAACTTCAGCACGGCAACTCGAGGAATGCTCCCTGTACTCCAAATCGTCTCGAGATGAGAGCTGATTCCCTGGCTTAGGCTCAAGACGTATGCCAACTTTCCAGACGCACCTCAGGAGGAGGCTTCTCTCAGCAATAGGTATGTGGGAGGGACCCCGAGTTCGCTGCCTCAAGGGCAATATACAGCGAGAAGCCCTAACTTGAAAGGAGGCCGGATTTCCTTGCAGTGGCTTGAATACAGGATCGTCTTTCATTTCACGACATGAAGGGATGTCTGAATCCCCTGTGGAGACCTTAGAGAAAGCCCTAGCTCCCTGCCTCATTTTGACGGAATGCCTCACATCCCGTTGACACCTCAAGAGGCACGCAAACTTCATTGCTTCAAAAGGTGACAATGCCTCACTCCTCTTGAATACTGATAGGAATCCCAAAATCACTTTGGTACTGGAAAGGGTCCTTGGGTGCCCTGCCTCACCTCGAGAAGCGTCCCTTTTGCCCTGCCAAGCCTCGAAGAGATTCCTGAGGTGTCCCTCGTTACTAGACAGGAGTCCTGACGTCACTGAAGAAACTCGTGTTTTGAAGGGCCATCCCCGCCGTAAGTCGAGAACATACCCCAGGTCCCCGCCGCAACTCGAGAAAAACCATGAGACTTCCCCCTAGAGGCGAGATGAGGCCCCATTCCCCTGCAGTGCATGCAGAGCTATTCCGTGGTCCCATTCAAGCAAGTCAGGAGCTTCGACTTGCTTAATGGTTCTCGAGACAGTCCCCAAGAACACTGTCACCAGTCTCGACGGACCCTGAGGTCACCCCAGCAACGCAAAGCAGCTCCATGGGCCCCAAATCTACTCGAGATGAGGCCCGATTCCCCTGCATTGACTCCAGAGCCATTCCCCGTTCCCCATTCAACACGACCGGTGGCTCGACTTCCTTCAGGCAACTCCAGAGATGCCCCGAGAACACTGTCCCAAGTCTAGAGGAACACCAACTTCAGCACGGCAACTCGAGGAATGCTCCGTGTACCCCAAATCGTCTCGAGATGAGAGGTGATTCCCTGGCTTAGGCACAAGACGTATGCCAACTTTCAAGACGCACCTCAGGAGGAGGCTTCTCTCAGCAATAGGTATGTGGGAGGGACCCCGAGTTCGCTGCCTCAAGGGCAATATACAGCGAGAAGCCCTAACTTGAAAGGAGGCCGGATTTCCTTGCAGTGGCTTGAATACAGGCTCGTCTTTCATCTCACAACATGAAGGGATGTCTGAATCCCCTGTGGAGACCTTAGAGAAAGCCCTAGGTCCCTGGCTCATTTTGACGGAATGCCTCACATCCCGTTGACACCTCAAGATGCACACGAAGTTCATTGCTTAAAAAGGTGACAATGCCTCACTCCTCTTGAATACTGATAGGAATCCCAAAATCCCTGTGGCTACTGGAAAGGGTCCTTGGGTGCCCTGCCTCACCTGGAGAAGCGTCCCTTTGGCCCTGCCAAGCCTCGAAGAGATTCCTGAGGTGTCCCTCGTTACTAGACAGGAGTCCTGACGTCACTGAAGAAACTCGTGTTTTGAAGGGCCATCCCCGCCGTAAGTCGAGAACATAACCCAGGTCCCCGCCGCAACTCGAGAAAAACCATGAGACTTCCCCCTAGAGGCGAGATGAGACCCCATTCCCCTGCAGTGCATGCAGAGCTATTCCGTGGTCCCATTCAAACAAGTCAGGAGCTTCGACTTGCTTAATGGTTCTCGAGACAGTCCCCAAGAACACTGTCACCAGTCTCGACGGACCCTGAGGTCACCCCAGCAACGCAAAGCAGCTCCATGGGCCCCAAATCAACTCGAGATGAGGCCCGATTCCCCTGCATTGATTCCAGAGCCATTCCCGGTTCCCCATTCAACACGACCGGTGGCTCGACTTCCTTCAGGCAACTCCAGAGATGCCCCGAGAACACAGTCCCAAGTCTAGAGGAACACCAACTTCAGCACGGCAACTCGAGGAATGCTCCGTGTACCTCAAATCGTCTCGAGGTGAGAGGTGATTCCTTGGCTTAGGCTCAAGACGTATGCCAACTATCCAGACGCACCTCAGGAGGAGGCTTCTCTCAGCAATAGGTATGTGGGAGGGACCCCGAGTTCGCTGCCTCAAGGCCAATATACAGTGAGAAGCCCTAATTTGAAAGGAGGCCGGATTTCCTTGCAGTGGCTTGAATACAGGCTCGTCTTTCATCTCACAACATGAAGGGATGTCTGAATCCCCTGTGGAGACCTTAGAGAAAGCCCTAGGTCCCTGCCTCATTTAGACGGAATGCCTCACATCCCGTTGACACCTCGAGAGGCACGCGGAGTTCATTGCTTCAAAAAGTGACGATGCCTGACTCCTCTTGAATTCTGATAGGAATCCCAAAATCACTGTGGCTACTGGAAAGGGTTCTTGGGTGCCCTGCCTCACCTCAAGAAGCGTCCCATTTGCACTGCCAAGCCTCGATGAGATTCCTGAGGTGTCCCTCGTTACTAGACAGGAGTCCTGACGTCACTGAAGAAACTCGTGTTTTGAAGGGCCATCCCCGCCGTAAGTCGAGAACATACCCCAGGTCCCCGCCGCAACTCGAGAAAAACCATGAGACTTCCCCCTAGAGGCGAGATGAGGCCCCATTCCCCTGCAGTGCATGCAGAGCTATTCCGTGGTCCCATTCAAGCAAGTCAGGAGCTTCGACTTGCTTAATGGTTCTCGAGACAGTCCCCAAGAACACTGTCACCAGTCTCGACGGACCCTGAGGTCACCCCAGCAACGCAAAGCAGCTCCATGGGCCCCAAATCAACTCGAGATGAGGCCCGATTCCCCTGCATTGACTGCAGAGCCATTCCCCGTTCCCCATTCAACACGACCGGTGGCTCGACTTCCTTCAGGCAACTCCAGAGATACCCCAAGAACACTCTCCCAAGTCTAGAGGAACACCAACTACAGCACAGCAACTCGAGGAATGCTCCGTGTACCCCAAATCGTCTCGAGATGAGAGCTGATTCCCTGGCTTAGGCTCAAGACGTATGCCAACTTTCCAGACGCACCTCAGGAGGAGGCTTCTCTCAGCAATAGGTATGTGGGAGGGACCCCGAGTTCGCTGCCTCAAGGGCAATATACAGCGAGAAGCCCTAACTTGAAAGGAGGCCGGATTTCCTTGCAGTGGCTTGAATACAGGCTCGTCTTTCATCTCACAACATGAAGGGATGTCTGAATCCCCTGTGGAGACCTTAGAGAAAGCCCTAGGTCCCTGCCTCATTTTCACGGAATGCCTCACATCCCGTTGACACCTCAAGAGGCACGCGAAGTTCATTGCTTCAAAAGGTGACAATGCCTCACTCCTCTTGAATACTGATAGGAATACCAAAATCACTTTGGTACTGGAAAGGGTCCTTGGGTGCCCTGCCTCACCTCGAGAAGCGTCCCTTTTGCCCTGCCAAGCCTCGAAGAGATTCCTGAGGTGTCCCTCGTTACTAGACAGGAGTCCTGACGTCACTGAAGAAACTCGTGTTTTGAAGGGCCATCCCCGCCGTAAGTCGAGAACATACCCCAGGTCCCCGCCGCAACTCGAGAAAAACCATGAGACTTCCCCCTAGAGGCGAGATGAGGCCCCATTCCCCTGCAGTGCATGCAGAGCTATTCCGTGGTCCCATTCAAGCAAGTCAGGAGCTTCGACTTGCTTAATGGTTCTCGAGACAGTCCCCAAGAACACTGTCACCAGTCTCGACGGACCCTGAGGTCACCACAGCAACGCAAAGCAGCTCCATGGGCCCCAAATCAACTCGAGATGAGGCCCGATTCCCCTGCATTGACTCCAGAGCCATTCCCCGTTCCCCATTCAACACGACCGGTGGCTCGACTTCCTTCAGGCAACTCCAGAGATGCCCCGAGAACACTGTCCCAAGTCTAGAGGAACACCAACTTCAGCACGGCAACTCGAGGAATGCTCCGTGTACCCCAAATCGTCTCGAGATGAGAGCTGATTCCCTGGCTTAAGCACAAGACGTATGCCAACTTTCAAGACGCACCTCAGGAGGAGGCTTCTCTCAGCAACAGGTATGTGGGAGGGACCCAAAGTTCGCTGCCTCAAGGGCAATATACAGCGAGAAGCCCTAACTTGAAAGGAGGCCGGATTTCCTTGCAGTGGCTTGAATACAGGCTCGTCTTTCTTCTCACAACATGAAGGGATGTCTGAATCCCCTGTGGAGACCTTAGAGAAAGCCCTAGGTCCCTGGCTCATTTTGACGGAATGCCTCACATCCCGTTGACACCTCAAGAGGCACACGAAGTTCATTGCTTAAAAAGGTGACGATGCCTCACTCCTCTTGAATACTGATAGGAATCCCAAAATCCCTGTGGCTACTGGAAAGGGTCCTTGGGTGCCCTGACTCACCTCGAGAAGCGTCCCTTTTGCCCTGCCAAGCCTCGAAGAGAATCCTGAGGTGTCCCTCGTTACTAGACAGGAGTCCTGACGTCACTGAAGAAACTCGTGTTTTGAAGGGCCATCCCTGCCGTAAGTCGAGAACATACCCCAGGTCCCCGCCGCAACTCGAGAAAAACCATGAGACTTCCCCCTAGAGGCGAGATGAGGCCCCATTCCCCTGCAGTGCATGCAGAGCTATTCCGTGGTCCCATTCAAGCAAGTCAGGAGCTTCGACTTGCTTAATGCTTCTCGAGACAGTCCCCAAGAACACTGTCACCAGTCTCGACGGACCCTGAGGTCACCCCAGCAACGCAAAGCAGCTCCATGGGCCCCAAATCAACTCGAGATGAGGCCCGATTCCCCTGCATTGACTCCAGAGCCATTCCCGGTTCCCCATTCAACACGACCGGTGGCTCGACTTCCTTCAGGCAACTCCAGAGATGCCCCGAGAACACTGTCCCAAGTCTAGAGGAACACCAACTTCAGCACGGCAACTCGAGGAATGCTCCGTGTACCCCAAATCGTCTCGAGGTGAGAGGTGATTCCCTGGCTTAGGCTCAAGACGTATGCCAACTTTCCAGACGCAACTCAGGAGGAGGCTTCTCTCAGCAATAGGTATGTGGGAGGGAGCCAGAGTTCGCTGCCTCAAGGGCAATATACAGCGAGAAGCCCTAACTTGAAAGGAGGCCGGATTTCCTTGCAGTGGCTTGAATACAGACTCGTCTTTCATCTCACAACATGAAGGGATGTCTGAATCATCTGTGGAGACCTTAGAGAAAGCCCTAGGTCCCTGCCTCATTTAGACGGAATGCCTCACATCCCGTTGACACCTCGAGAGGCACGCGGAGTTCATTGCTTCAAAAAGCGACGATGCCTGACTCCTCTTGAATTCTGATAGGAATCCCAAAATCACTGTGGCTACTGGAAAGGGTTCTTGGGTGCCCTGCCTCACCTCAAGAAGCGTCCCATTTGCACTGCCAAGCCTCGATGAGATTCCTGAGGTGTCCCTCGTTACTAGACAGGAGTCCTGAGGTCATTGAAGAAACTCGTGTTTTGAAGGGCCATCCCCGCCGTAAGTCGAGAACATACCCCAGGTCCCCGCCGCAACTCGAGAAAAACCATGAGACTTCCCCCTAGAGGCGAGATGAGGCCCCATTCCCCTGCAGTGCATGCAGAGCTATTCCGTGGTCCCATTCAAGCAAGTCAGGAGCTTCGACTTGCTTAATGGTTCTCGAGACAGTCCCCAAGAACACTGTCACCACTCTCGACGGACCCTGAGGTCACCCCAGCAACGCAAAGCAGCTCCATGGGCCCCAAATCAACTCGAGATGAGGCCCGATTCCCATGCATTGACTGCAGAGCCATTCCCCGTTCCCCATTCAACACGACCGGTGGCTCGACTTCCTTCAGGCAACTCCAGAGATACCCCGAGAACACTCTCCCAAGTCTAGAGGAACACCAACTTCAGCACAGCAACTCGAGGAATGCTCCGTGTACCCCAAATCGTCTCGAGATGAGAGCTGATTCCCTGGCTTAGGCTCAAGACGTATGCCAACTTTCCAGACGCACCTCAGGAGGAGGCTTCTCTCAGCAATATATATGTGGGAGGGACCCCGAGTTCGCTGCCTCAAGGGCAATATACAGCGAGAAGCCCTAATTTGAAAGGAGGCCGGATTTCCTTGCAGTGGCTTGAATACAGGCTCGTCTTTCATCTCACGACATGAAGGGATGTCTGAATCCCCTGTGGAGACCTTAGAGAAAGCCCTAGGTCCCTGCCTCATTTTGACGGAATGCCTCACATCCCGTTGACACCTCAAGAGGCACGCGAAGTTCATTGCTTCAAAAGGTGACAATGCCTCACTCCTCTTGAATACTGATAGGAATCCCAAAATCCCTGTGGCTACTGGAAAGGGTCCTTGGGTGCCCTGCCTCACCTCGAGAAGCGTCCCTTTTGCCCTGCCAAGCCTCGAAGAGATTCCTGAGGTGTCCCTCGTTACTAGACAGGAGTCCTGACGTCACTGAAGAAACTCGTGTTTTGAAGGGCCATCCCCGCCGTAAGTCGAGAACATACCCCAGGTCCCCGCCGCAACTCGAGAAAAACCATGAGACTTCCCCCTAGAGGCGAGATGAGGCCCCATTCCCCTGCAGTGCATGCAGAGCTATTCCGTGGTCCAATTCAAGCAAGTCAGGAGCTTCGACTTGCTTAATGTTTCTCGAGACAGTCCCCAAGAACACTGTCACCAGTCTCGACGGACCCTGAGGTCACCCCAGCAACGCAAAGCAGCTCCATGGGCCCCAAATCTACTCGAGATGAGGCCCGATTCCCCTGCATTGACTCCAGAGCCATTCCCCGTTCCCCATTCAACACGACCGGTGGCTCGACTTCCTTCAGGCAACTCCAGAGATGCCCCGAGAACACTGTCCCAAGTCTAGAGGAACACCAACTTCAGCACGGCAACTCGAGGAATGCTCCGTGTACCCCAAATCGTCTCGAGATGAGAGGTGATTCCCTGGCTTAGGCACAAGACGTATGCCAACTTTCAAGACGCACCTCAGGAGGAGGCTTCTCTCAGCAATAGGTATGTGGGAGGGACCCCGAGTTCGCTGCCTCAAGGGCAATATACAGCGAGAAGCCCTAACTTGAAAGGAGGCCGGATTTCCTTGCAGTGGCTTGAATACAGGCTCGTCTTTCATCTCACAACATGAAGGGATGTCTGAATCCCCTGTGGAGACCTTAGAGAAAGCCCTAGGTCCCTGCCTCATTTTGACGGAATGCCTCACATCCCGTTGACACCTCAAGAGGCACGCGAAGTTCATTGCTTCAAAAGGTGACAATGCCTCACTCCTCTTGAATACTGATAGGAATCCCAAAATCACTTTGGTACTGGAAAGGGTCCTTGGGTGCCTTGCCTCACCTCGAGAAGCGTCCCTTTGGCCCTGCCAAGCCTCGAAGAGATTCCTGAGGTGTCCCTCGTTACTAGACAGGAGTCCTGACGTCACTGAAGAAACTCGTGTTTTGAAGGGCCATCCCCGCCGTAAGTCGAGAACATACCCCAGGTCCCCGCCGCAACTCGAGAAAAACCATGAGACTTCCCCCTAGAGGCGAGATGAGACCCCATTCCCCTGCAGTGCATGCAGAGCTATTCCGTGGTCCCATTCAAACAAGTCAGGAGCTTCGACTTGCTTAATGGTTCTCGAGACAGTCCCCAAGAACACTGTCACCAGTCTCGACGGACCCTGAGGTCACCCCAGCAACGCAAAGCAGCTCCATGGGCCCCAAATCAACTCGAGATGAGGCCCGATTCCCCTGCATTGACTCCAGAGCCATTCCCGGTTCCCCATTCAACACGACCGGTGGCTCGACTTCCTTCAGGGAACTCCAGAGATGCCCCGAGAACACTGTCCCAAGTCTAGAGGAACACCAACTTCAGCACGGCAACTCGAGGAATGCTCCGTGTACCCCAAATCGTCTCGAGGTGAGAGGTGATTCCTTGGCTTAGGCTCAAGACGTATGCCAACTATCCAGACGCACCTCAGGAGGAGGCTTCTCTCAGCAATAGGTATGTGGGAGGGACCCCGAGTTCGCTGCCTCAAGGCCAATATACAGTGAGAAGCCCTAATTTGAAAGGAGGCCGGATTTCCTTGCAGTGGCTTGAATACAGGCTCGTCTTTCATCTCACAACATGAAGGGATGTCTGAATCCCCTGTGGAGACCTTAGAGAAAGCCCTAGGTCCCTGCCTCATTTAGACGGAATGCCTCACATCCCGTTGACACCTCGAGAGGCACGCGGAGTTCATTGCTTCAAAAAGTGACGATGCCTGACTCCTCTTGAATTCTGATAGGAATCCCAAAATCACTGTGGCTACTGGAAAGGGTTCTTGGGTGCCCCGCCTCACCTCGAGAAGCGTCCCTTTTGCCCTGCCAAGCCTCGAAGAGATTCCTGAGGTGTCCCTCGTTACTAGACAGGAGTCCTGACGTCACTGAAGAAACTCGTGTTTTGAAGGGCCATCCCCGCCGTAAGTCGAGAACATACCCCAGGTCCCCGCCGCAACTCGAGAAAAACCATGAGACTTCCCCCTAGAGGCGAGATGAGGCCCCATTCCCCTGCAGTGCATGCAGAGCTATTCCGTGGTCCCATTCAAGCAAGTCAGGAGCTTCGACTTGCTTAATGCTTCTCGGACAGTCCCCAAGAACACTGTCACCAGTCTCGACGGACCCTGAGGTCACCCCAGCAACGCAAAGCAGCTCCATGGGCCCCAAATCAACTCGAGATGAGGCCCGATTCCCCTGCATTGACTCCAGAGCCATTCCCCGTTCCCCATTCAACACGACCGGTGGCTCGACTTCCTTCAGGCAACTCCAGAGATGCCCCGAGAACACTGTCCCAAGTCTAGAGGAACACCAACTTCAGCACGGCAACTCGAGGAATGCTCCGTGTACCCCAAATCGTCTCGAGGTGAGAGGTGATTCCCTGGCTTAGGCTCAAGACGTATGCCAACTTTCCAGACGCAACTCAGGAGGAGGCTTCTCTCAGCAATAGGTATGTGGGAGGGAGCCAGAGTTCGCTGCCTCAAGGGCAATATACAGCGAGAAGCCCTAACTTGAAAGGAGGCCGGATTTCCTTGCAGTGGCTTGAATACAGACTCGTCTTTCATCTCACAACATGAAGGGATGTCTGAATCATCTGTGGAGACCTTAGAGAAAGCCCTAGGTCCCTGCCTCATTTAGACGGAATGCCTCACATCCCGTTGACACCTCGAGAGGCACGCGGAGTTCATTGCTTCAAAAAGCGACGATGCCTGACTCCTCTTGAATTCTGATAGGAATCCCAAAATCACTGTGGCTACTGGAAAGGGTTCTTGGGTGCCCTGCCTCACCTCAAGAAGCGTCCCATTTGCACTGCCAAGCCTCGATGAGATTCCTGAGGTGTCCCTCGTTACTAGACAGGAGTCCTGACGTCATTGAAGAAACTCGTGTTTTGAAGGGCCATCCCCGCCGTAAGTCGAGAACATACCCCAGGTCCCCGCCGCAACTCGAGAAAAACCATGAGACTTCCCCCTAGAGGCGAGATGAGGCCCCATTCCCCTGCAGTGCATGCAGAGCTATTCCGTGGTCCCATTCAAGCAAGTCAGGAGCTTCGACTTGCTTAATGGTTCTCGAGACAGTCCCCAAGAACACTGTCACCACTCTCGACGGACCCTGAGGTCACCCCAGCAACGCAAAGCAGCTCCATGGGCCCCAAATCAACTCGAGATGAGGCCCGATTCCCATGCATTGACTGCAGAGCCATTCCCCGTTCCCCATTCAACACGACCGGTGGCTCGACTTCCTTCAGGCAACTCCAGAGATACCCCGAGAACACTCTCCCAAGTCTAGAGGAACACCAACTTCAGCACAGCAACTCGAGGAATGCTCCGTGTACCCCAAATCGTCTCGAGATGAGAGCTGATTCCCTGGCTTAGGCTCAAGACGTATGCCAACTTTCCAGACGCACCTCAGGAGGAGGCTTCTCTCAGCAATATGTATGTGGGAGGGACCCCGAGTTCGCTGCCTCAAGGGCAATATACAGCGAGAAGCCCTAATTTGAAAGGAGGCCGGATTTCCTTGCAGTGGCTTGAATACAGGCTCGTCTTTCATCTCACGACATGAAGGGATGTCTGAATCCCCTGTGGAGACCTTAGAGAAAGCCCTAGGTCCCTGCCTCATTTTGACGGAATGCCTCACATCCCGTTGACACCTCAAGAGGCACGCGAAGTTCATTGCTTCAAAAGGTGACAATGCCTCACTCCTCTTGAATACTGATAGGAATCCCAAAATCCCTGTGGCTACTGGAAAGGGTCCTTGGGTGCCCTGCCTCACCTCGAGAAGCGTCCCTTTTGCCCTGCCAAGCCTCGAAGAGATTCCTGAGGTGTCCCTCGTTACTAGACAGGAGTCCTGACGTCACTGAAGAAACTCGTGTTTTGAAGGGCCATCCCCGCCGTAAGTCGAGAACATACCCCAGGTCCCCGCCGCAACTGGAGAAAAACCATGAGACTTCCCCCTAGAGGCGAGATGAGGCCCCATTCCCCTGCAGTGCATGCAGAGCTATTCCGTGGTCCAATTCAAGCAAGTCAGGAGCTTCGACTTGCTTAATGTTTCTCGAGACAATCCCCAAGAACACTGTCACCAGTCTCGACGGACCCTGAGGTCACCCCAGCAACGCAAAGCAGCTCCATGGGCCCCAAATCTACTCGAGATGAGGCCCGATTCCCCTGCATTGACTCCAGAGCCATTCCCCGTTCCCCATTCAACACGACCGGTGGCTCGACTTCCTTCAGGCAACTCCAGAGATGCCCCGAGAACACTGTCCCAAGTCTAGAGGAACACCAACTTCAGCACGGCAACTCGAGGAATGCTCCGTGTACCCCAAATCGTCTCGAGATGAGAGTGATTCCCTGGCTTAGGCACAAGACGTATGCCAACTTTCAAGACGCACCTCAGGAGGAGGCTTCTCTCAGCAATAGGTATGTGGGAGGGACCCCGAGTTCGCTGCCTCAAGGGCAATATACAGCGAGAAGCCCTAACTTGAAAGGAGGCCGGATTTCCTTGCAGTGGCTTGAATACAGGCTCGTCTTTCATCTCACAACATGAAGGGATGTCTGAATCCCCTGTGGAGACCTTAGAGAAAGCCCTAGGTCCCTGGCTCATTTTGACGGAATGCCTCACATCCCGTTGACACCTCAAGATGCACACGAAGTTCATTGCTTAAAAAGGTGACAATGCCTCACTCCTCTTGAATACTGATAGGAATCCCAAAATCCCTGTGGCTACTGGAAAGGGTCCTTGGGTGCCTTGCCTCACCTCGAGAAGCGTCCCTTTGGCCCTGCCAAGCCTCGAAGAGATTCCTGAGGTGTCCCTCGTTACTAGACAGGAGTCCTGACGTCACTGAAGAAACTCGTGTTTTGAAGGGCCATCCCCGCCGTAAGTCGAGAACATACCCCAGGTCCCCGCCGCAACTCGAGAAAAACCATGAGACTTCCCCCTAGAGGCGAGATGAGACCCCATTCCCCTGCAGTGCATGCAGAGCTATTCCGTGGTCCCATTCAAACAAGTCAGGAGCTTCGACTTGCTTAATGGTTCTCGAGACAGTCCCCAAGAACACTGTCACCAGTCTCGACGGACCCTGAGGTCACCCCAGCAACGCAAAGCAGCTCCATGGGCCCCAAATCAACTCGAGATGAGGCCCGATTCCCCTGCATTGACTCCAGAGCCATTCCCGGTTCCCCATTCAACACGACCGGTGGCTCGACTTCCTTCAGGGAACTCCAGAGATGCCCCGAGAACACTGTCCCAAGTCTAGAGGAACACCAACTTCAGCACGGCAACTCGAGGAATGCTCCGTGTACCCCAAATCGTCTCGAGGTGAGAGGTGATTCCTTGGCTTAGGCTCAAGACGTATGCCAACTATCCAGACGCACCTCAGGAGGAGGCTTCTCTCAGCAATAGGTATGTGGGAGGGACCCCGAGTTCGCTGCCTCAAGGCCAATATACAGTGAGAAGCCCTAATTTGAAAGGAGGCCGGATTTCCTTGCAGTGGCTTGAATACAGGCTCGTCTTTCATCTCACAACATGAAGGGATGTCTGAATCCCCTGTGGAGACCTTAGAGAAAGCCCTAGGTCCCTGCCTCATTTAGACGGAATGCCTCACATCCCGTTGACACCTCGAAAGGCACGCGGAGTTCATTGCTTCAAAAAGTGACGATGCCTGACTCCTCTTGAATTCTGATAGGAATCCCAAAATCACTGTGGCTACTGGAAAGGGTTCTTGGGTGCCTTGCCTCACCTCAAGAAGCGTCCCATTTGCACTGCCAAGCCTCGATGAGATTCCTGAGGTGTCCCTCGTTACTAGACAGGAGTCCTGACGTCACTGAAGAAACTCGTGTTTTGAAGGGCCATCCCCGCCGTAAGTCGAGAACATACCCCAGGTCCCCGCCGCAACTCGAGAAAAACCATGAGACTTCCCCCTAGAGGCGAGATGAGGCCCCATTCCCCTGCAGTGCATGCAGAGCTATTCCGTGGTCCCATTCAAGCAAGTCAGGAGCTTCGACTTGCTTAATGCTTCTCGAGACAGTCCCCAAGAACACTGTCACCACTCTCGACGGACCCTGAGGTCACCCCAGCAACGCAAAGCAGCTCCATGGGCCCCAAATCAACTCGAGATGAGGCCCGATTCCCATGCATTGACTGCAGAGCCATTCCCCGTTCCCCATTCAACACGACCGGTGGCTCGACTTCCTTCAGGCAACTCCAGAGATACCCCGAGAACACTCTCCCAAGTCTAGAGGAACACCAACTTCAGCACAGCAACTCGAGGAATGCTCCGTGTACCCCAAATCGTCTCGAGATGAGAGCTGATTCCCTGGCTTAGGCTCAAGACGTATGCCAACTTTCCAGACGCACCTCAGGAGGAGGCTTCTCTCAGCAATACGTATGTGGGAGGGACCCCGAGTTCGCTGCCTCAAGGGCAATATACAGCGAGAAGCCCTAACTTGAAAGGAGGCCGGATTTCCTTGCAGTGGCTTGAATACAGGCTGGTCTTTCATCTCACGACATGAAGGGATGTCTGAATCCCCTGTGGAGACCTTAGAGAAAGCCCTAGGTCCCTGCCTCATTTTGACGGAATGCCTCACATCCCGTTGACACCTCAAGAGGCACGCGAAGTTCATTGCTTCAAAAGGTGACAATGCCTCACTCCTCTTGAATACTGATAGGAATCCCAAAATCCCTGTGGCTACTGGAAAGGGTCCTTGGGTGCCCTGCCTCACCGCGAGAAGCGTCCCTTTTGCCCTGCCAAGCCTCGAAGAGATTCCTGAGGTGTCCCTCGTTACTAGACACTAGTCCTGACGTCACTGAAGAAACTCGTGTTTTGAAGGGCGTTCCCCGCCGTAAGTCGAGAACATACCCCAGGTCCCCGCCGCAACTCGAGAAAAACCATGAGACTTCCCCCTAGAGGCGAGATTAGGCCCCATTCCCCTGCAGTGCATGCAGAGTTATTCCGTGGTCCCATTCAAGCAAGTCAGGAGCTTCGACTTGCTTAATGGTTCTCGAGACAGTCCCCAAGAACACTGTCACCAGTCTCGACGGACCCTGAGGTCACCCCAGCAACGCAAAGCAGCTCCATGGGCCCCAAATCAACTCGAGATGAGGCCCGATTCCCCTGCATTGACTCCAGAGCCATTCCCCGTTCCCCATTCAACACGACCGGTGGCTCGACTTCCTTCAGGCAACTCCAGAGATGCCCCGAGAACACTGTCCCAAGTCTAGAGGAACACCAACTTCAGCACGGCAACTCGAGGAATGCTCCGTGTACTCCAAATCGTCTCGAGATGAGAGCTGATTCCCTGGCTTAGGCTCAGGACGTATGCCAACTTTCCAGACGCACCTCAGGAGGAGGCTTCTCTCAGCAATAGGTATGTGGGAGGGACCCCGAGTTCGCTGCCTCAAGGGCAATATACAGCGAGAAGCCCTAACTTGAAAGGAGGCCGGATTTCCTTGCAATGGCTTGAATACAGGATCGTCTTTCATTTCACGACATGAAGGGATGTCTGAATCCCCTGTGGAGACCTTAGAGAAAGCCCTAGCTCCCTGCCTCATTTTGACGGAATGCCTCACATCCCGTTGACACCTCAAGAGGCACGCGAAGTTCATTGCTTCAAAAGGTGACAATGCCTCACTCCTCTTGAATACTGATAGGAATCCCAAAATCCCTGTGGCTACTGGAAAGGGTCCTTGGGTGCCCTGCCTCACCTCGAGAAGCGTCCCTTTTGCCCTGCCAAGCCTCGAAGAGATTCCTGAGGTGTCCCTCGTTACTAGACAGGAGTCCTGACATCACTGAAGAAACTCGTGTTTTGAAGGGCCATCCCCGCCGTAAGTCGAGAACATAACCCAGGTCCCCGCCGCAACTCGAGAAAAACCATGAGACTTCCCCCTAGAGGAGAGATGAGACCCCATTCCCCTGCAGTGCATGCAGAGCTATTCCGTGGTCCCATTCAAACAAGTCAGGAGCTTCGACTTGCTTAATGGATCTCGAGACAGTCCTCAAGAACACTGTCACCAGTCTCGATGGACCCTGAGGTCACATCAGCAACGCAAAGCAGCTCCATGTGCCCCAAATCAACTCGAGATTAGGCCCGATTCCCCTGCATTGATTCCAGAGCCATTCCCCGTTCCCATTCATCACGAACGGTGGTTCGACTTCCTTCAGGCAACTCCAGAGATACCCCGAGAACACTGTCCCAAGTCTAGAGGAACACCAACTTCAGCACAGCAACTCGAGGAATGCTCCGTGTACACCAAATCGTCTCGAGATGAGAGCTGATTCCCTGGCTTAGGCTCAAGACGTATGCCAACTTTCCAGACACACCTCAGGAGGAGGCTTCTCTCAGCAATAGGTATGTGGGAGGGACCCCGAGTTCGCTGCCTCAAGGGCAATATACAGCGAGAAGCCCTAACTTGAAAGGAGGCCGGATTTCCTTGCAGTGGCTTGAATACAGGCTCGTCTTTCATCTCACAACATGAAGGGATGTCTGAATCCCCTGTGGAGACCTTAGAGAAAGCCCTAGGTCCCTGCCTCATTTTGACGGAATGCCTCACATCCCGTTGACACCTCAAGAGGCACGCGAAGTTCATTGCTTCAAAAGGTGACAATGCCTCACTCCTCTTGAATACTGATAGGAATCCCAAAATCACTTTGGTACTGGAAAGGGTCCTTGGGTGCCCTGCCTCACCTCGAGAAGCGTCCCTTTTGCCCTGCCAAGCCTCGAAGAGATTCCTGAGGTGTCCCTCGTTACTAGACAGGAGTCCTGACGTCACTGAAGAAACTCGTGTTTTGAAGGGCCATCCCCGCCGTAAGTCGAGAACATACCCCAGGTCCCCGCCGCAACTCGAGAAAAACCATGAGACTTCCCCCTAGAGGCGAGATGAGGCCCCATTCCCCTGCAGTGCATGCAGAGCTATTCCGTGGTCCCATTCAAACAAGTCAGGAGCTTCGACTTGCTTAATGGTTCTCGAGACAGTCCCCAAGAACACTGTCACCAGTCTCGACGGACCCTGAGGTCACCCCAGCAACGCAAAGCAGCTCCATGGGCCCCAAATCAACTCGAGATGAGGCCCGATTCCCGTGCATTGACTCCAGAGCCATTCCCCGTTCCCCATTCAACACGACCGGTGGCTCGACTTCCTTCAGGCAACTCCAGAGATGCCCCGAGAACACTGTCCCAAGTCTAGAGGAACACCAACTTCAGCACGGCAACTCGAGGAATGCTCCGTGTACCCCAAATCGTCTCGAGATGAGAGCTGATTCCCTGGCTTAGGCACAAGACGTATGCCAACTTTCAAGACGCACCTCAGGAGGAGGCTTCTCTCAGCAATAGGTATGTGGGAGGGACCCCGAGTTCGCTGCCTCAAGGGCAATATACAGCGAGAAGCCCTAACTTGAAAGGAGGCCGGATTTCCTTGCAGTGGCTTGAATACAGGCTCGTCTTTCATCTCCCAACATGAAGGGATGTCTGAATCCCCTGTGGAGACCTTAGAGAAAGACCTAGGTCCCTGGCTCATTTTGACGGAATGCCTCACATCCCGTTGACACCTCAAGATGCACGCGAAGTTCATTGCTTCAAAAGGTGACAATGCCTCACTCCTCTTGAATACTGATAGGAATCCCAAAATCCCTGTGGCTACTGGAAAGGGTGCTTGGGTGCCCTGCCTCACCTCGAGAAGCGTCCCTTTTGCCCTGCCAAGCCTCGAAGAGATTCCTGAGGTGTCCCTCGTTACTAGACAGGAGTCCTGACGTCACTGAAGAAACTCGTGTTTTGAAGGGCCATCCCCGCCGTAAGTCGAGAACATACCCCAGGTCCCCGCCGCAACTCGAGAAAAACCATGAGACTTCCCCCTAGAGGCGAGATGAGGCCCCATTCCCCTGCAGTGCATGCAGAGCTATTCCGTGGTCCCATTCAAACAAGTTAGGAGCTTCGACTTGCTTAATGCTTCTCGAGACAGTCCCCAAGAACACTGTCACCAGTCTCGACGGACACTGAGGTCACCCCAGCAACGCAAAGCAGCTCCATGGGCCCCAAATCAACTCGAGATGAGGCCCGATTCCCCTGCATTGACTCCAGAGCCATTCCCCGTTCCCCATTCAACACGACCGGTGGCTCGACTTCCTTCAGGCAACTCCAGAGATGCCCCGAGAACACTGTCCCAAGTCTAGAGGAACACCAACTTCAGCACGGCAACTCGAGGAATGCTCCGTGTACCCCAAATCGTCTCGAGATGAGAGCTGATTCCCTGGCTTAGGCACAAGACGTATGCCAACTTTCAAGACGCACCTCAGGAGGAGGCTTCTCTCAGCAATAGGTATGTGGGAGGGACCCCGAGTTCGCTGCCTCAAGGGCAATATACAGCGAGAAGCCCTAACTTGAAAGGAGGCCGGATTTCCTTGCAGTGGCTTGAATACAGGCTCGTCTTTCATCTCACAACATGAAGGGATGTCTGAATCCCCTGTGGAGACCTTAGCGAAAGCCCTAGGTCCCTGCCTCATTTTGACGGAATGCCTCACATCCCGTTGACACCTCAAGAGGCACGCGAAGTTCATTGCTTCAAAAGGTGACGATGCCTGACTCCTCTTGAATACTGATAGGAATCCCAAAATCCCTGTGGCTACTGGAAAGGGTCCTTGGGTGCCCTGCCTCACCTCGAGAAGCGTCCCTTTGGCCCTGCCAAGCCTTGAAGAGATTCCTGAGGTGTCCCTCGTTACTAGACAGGAGTCCTGACGTCACTGAAGAAACTCGTGTTTTGAAGGGCCATCCCCGCCGTAAGTCGAGAACATACCCCAGGTCCCCGCCGCAACTCGAGAAAAACCATGAGACTTCCCCCTAGAGGCGAGATGAGGCCCCATTCCCCTGCAGTGCATGCAGAGCTATTCCGTGGTCCCATTCAAGCAAGTCAGGAGCTTCGACTTGCTTAATGGTTCTCGAGACAGTCCCCAAGAACACTGTCACCAGTCTCGACGGACCCTGAGGTCACCCCAGCAACGCAAAGCAGCTCCATGGGCCCCAAATCAACTCGAGATGAGGCCCGATTCCCCTGCATTGACTCCAGAGCCATTCCCCGTTCCCCATTCAACACGACCGGTGGCTCGACTTCCTTCAGGCAACTCCAGAGAAGCCCCGAGAACGCTGTCTCAAGTCTAGAGGAACACCAACTTCAGCACGGCAACTCGATGAACGCTCCGTGTACCCCAAATCGTCTCAAGATGAGAGGTGATTCCCTGGCTTAGGCTCAAGACGTATGCCAACTTTCAAGACGCACCTCAGGAGGAGGCTTCTCTCAGCAATAGGTATGTGGGAGGGACCCCGAGTTCGCTGCCTCAAGGGCAATATACAGCGAGAAGCCCTAACTTGAAAGGAGGCCGGATTTCCTTGCAGTGGCTTGAATACAGGCTCGTCTTTCTTCTCACAACATGAAGGGATGTCTGAATCCCCTGTGGAGACCTTAGAGAAAGCCCTAGGTCCCTGCCTCATTTGGACGGAATGCCTCACATCCCGTTGACACCTCGAGAGGCACGCGGAGTTCATTGCTTCAAAAGGTGACGATGCCTCACTCCTCTTGAATTCTGATAGGAATCCCAAAATCCCTGTGGCTACTGGAAAGGGTCCTTGGGTGCCCTGCCTCACCTCAAGAAGCGTCCCATTTGCACTGCCAAGCCTCGATGAGATTCCTGATGTGTCCCTCGTTACTAGACAGGAGTCCTGACGTCACTGAAGAAACTCGTGTTTTGAAGGGCCATCCCTGCCGTAAGTCGAGAACATACCCCAGGTCCCCGCCGCAACTCGAGAAAAACCATGAGACTTCCCCCTAGAGGCGAGATGAGGCCCCATTCCCCTGCAGTGCATGCAGAGCTATTCCGTGGTCCCATTCAAACAAGTCAGGAGCTTCGACTTGCTTAATGCTTCTCGAGACAGTCCCCAAGAACACTGTCAGCAGTCTCGACGGACCCTGAGGTCACCCCAGCAACGCAAAGCAGCTCCATGGGCCCCAAATCAACTCGAGATGAGGCCCGATTCCCCTGCATTGACTCCAGAGCCATTCCCCGTTCCCCATTCAACACGACCGGTGGCTCGACTTCCTTCAGGCAACTCCAGAGATGCCCCGAGAACACTGTCCCAAGTCTAGAGGAACACCAACTTCAGCACGGCAACTCGAGGAATGCTCCGTGTACCCCAAATCGTCTCGAGATGAGAGCTGATTCCCTGGCTTAGGCACAAGACGTATGCCAACTTTCAAGACGCGCCTCAGGAGGAGGCTTCTCTCAGCAATAGGTATGTGGGAGGGACCCCGAGTTCGCTGCCTCAAGGGCAATATACAGCGAGAAGCCCTAACTTGAAAGGAGGCCGGATTTCCTTGCAGTGGCTTGAATACAGGCTCGTCTTTCATCTCACAACATGAAGGGATGTCTGAATCCCCTGTGGAGACCTTAGCGAAAGCCCTAGGTCCCTGCCTCATTTTGACGGAATGCCTCACATCCCGTTGACACCTCAAGAGGCACGCGAAGTTCATTGCTTCAAAAGGTGACAATGCCTGACTCCTCTTGAATACTGATAGGAATCCCAAAATCCCTGTGGCTACTGGAAAGGGTCCTTGGGTGCCCTGCCTCACCTCGAGAAGCGTCCCTTTTGCCCTGCCAAGCCTCGAATAGATTCCTGAGGTGTCCCTCGTTACTAGACAGGAGTCCTGACGTCACTGAAGAAACTCGTGTTTTGAAGGGCCATCCCCGCCGTAAGTCGAGAACATACCCCAGGTCCCCGCCGCAACTCGAGAAAAACCATGAGACTTCCCCCTAGAGGCGAGATGAGGCCCCATTCCCCTGCAGTGCATGCAGAGCTATTCCGTGGTCCCATTCAAGCAAGTCAGGAGCTTCGACTTGCTTAATGGTTCTCGAGACAGTCCCCAAGAACACTGTCACCTGTCTCGACGGACCCTGAGGTCACCCCAGCAACGCAAAGCAGCTCCATGGGCCCCAAATCAACTCGAGATGAGGCCCGATTCCCCTGCATTGACTCCAGAGCCATTCCCCGTTCCCCATTCAACACGACCGGTGGCTCGACTTCCTTCAGGCAACTCCAGAGATGCCCCGAGAACGCTGTCTCAAGTCTAGAGGAACACCAACTTCAGCACGGCAACTCGATGAACGCTCCGTGTACCCCAAATCGTCTCAAGATGAGAGATGATTCCCTGGCTTAGGCTCAAGACGTATGCCAACTTTCAAGACGCACCTCAGGAGGAGGCTTCTCTCAGCAATAGGTATGTGGGAGGGACCCCGAGTTCGCTGCCTCAAGGGCAATATACAGCGAGAAGCCCTAACTTGAAAGGAGGCCGGATTTCCTTGCAGTGGCTTGAATACAGGCTCGTCTTTCATCTCACAACATGAAGGGATGTCTGAATCCCCTGTGGAGACCTTAGAGAAAGCCCTAGGTCCCTGCCTCATTTGGACGGAATGCCTCACATCCCGTTGACACCTCGAGAGGCACGCGGAGTTCATTGCTTCAAAAGGTGACGATGCCTCACTCCTCTTGAATTCTGATAGGAATCCCAAAATCCCTGTGGCTACTGGAAAGGGTCCTTGGGTGCCCTGCCTCACCTCCAGAAGCGTCCCATTTGCACTGCCAAGCCTAGATGAGATTCCTGATGTGTCCCTCGTTACTAGACAGGAGTCCTGACGTCACTGAAGAAACTCGTGTTTTGAAGGGCCATCCCTGCCGTAAGTCGAGAACATACCCCAGGTCCCCGCCGCAACTCGAGAAAAACCATGAGACTTCCCCCTAGAGGCGAGATGAGACCCCATTACCCTGCAGTGCATGCAGAGCTATTCCGTGGTCCCATTCAAACAAGTCAGGAGCTTCGACTTGCTTAATGGATCTCGAGACAGTCCTCAAGAACACTGTCACCAGTCTCGATGGACCCTGAGGTCACCCCAGCAACGCAAAGCAGCTCCATGTGCCCCAAATCAACTCGAGATTAGGCCCGATTCCCCTGCATTGATTCCAGAGCCATTCCCCGTTCCCATTCATCACGAACGGTGGCTCGACTTCCATCAGGCAACTCCAGAGATACCCCGAGAACACTGTCCCAAGTCTAGAGGAACACCAACTTCAGCACAGCAACTCGAGGAATGCTCCGTGTACACCAAATCGTCTCGAGATGAGAGCTGATTCCCTGGCTTAGGCACAAGACGTATGCCAACTTTCCAGACGCACCTCAGGAGGAGGCTTCTCTCAGCAATAGGTATGTGGGAGGGACCCCGAGTTCGCTGCCTCAAGGGCAATATACAGCGAGAAGCCCTAACTTGAAAGGAGGCCGGATTTCCTTGCAGTGGCTTGAATACAGGCTCGTCTTTCATCTCACAACATGAAGGGATGTCTGAATCCCCTGTGGAGACCTTAGAGAAAGCCCTAGGTCCCTGCCTCATTTTGACGGAATGCCTCACATCCCGTTGACAGCTCAAGAGGCACGCGAAGTTCATTGCTTCAAAAGGTGACAATGCCTCACTCCTCTTGAATACTGATAGGAATACCAAAATCACTTTGGTACTGGAAAGGGTCCTTGGGTGCCCTGCCTCACCTCGAGAAGCGTCCCTTTTGCCCTGCCAAGCCTCGAAGAGATTCCTGAGGTGTCCCTCGTTACTAGACAGGAGTCCTGACGTCACTGAAGAAACTCGTGTTTTGAAGGGCCATCCCCGCCGTAAGTCGAGAACATACCCCAGGTCCCCGCCGCAACTCGAGAAAAACCATGAGACTTCCCCCTAGAGGCGAGATGAGGCCCCATTCCCCTGCAGTGCATGCAGAGCTATTCCGTGGTCCCATTCAAGCAAGTCAGGAGCTTCGACTTGCTTAATGGTTCTCGAGACAGTCCCCAAGAACACTGTCACCAGTCTCGACGGACCCTGAGGTCACCCCAGCAACGCAAAGCAGCTCCATGGGCCCCAAATCAACTCGAGATGAGGCCCGATTCCCCTGCATTGACTCCAGAGCCATTCCCCGTTCCCCATTCAACACGACCGGTGGCTCGACTTCCTTCAGGCAACTCCAGAGATGCCCCGAGAACACTGTCCCAAGTCTAGAGGAACACCAACTTCAGCACGGCAACTCGAGGAATGCTCCGTGTACCCCAAATCGTCTCGAGATGAGAGCTGATTCCCTGGCTTAGGCACAAGACGTATGCCAACTTTCAAGACGCACCTCAGGAGGAGGCTTCTCTCAGCAATAGGTATGTGGGAGGGACCCCAAGTTCGCTGCCTCAAGGGCAATATACAGCGAGAAGCCCTAACTTGAAAGGAGGCCGGATTTCCTTGCAGTGGCTTGAATACAGGCTCGTCTTTCATCTCACAACATGAAGGGATGTCTGAATCCCCTGTGGAGACCTTAGAGAAAGCCCTAGGTCCCTGGCTCATTTTGACGGAATGCCTCACATCCCGTTGACACCTCAAGAGGCACACGAAGTTCATTGCTTAAAAAGGTGACGATGCCTCACTCCTCTTGAATACTGATAGGAATCCCAAATTCCCTGTGGCTACTGGAAAGGGTCCTTGGGTGCCCTGACTCACCTCGAGAAGCGTCCCTTTTGCCCTGCCAAGCCTCGAAGAGATTCCTGAGGTGTCCCTCGTTACTAGACAGGAGTCCTGACGTCACTGAAGAAACTCGTGTTTTGAAGGGCCATCCCCGCCGTAAGTCGAGAACATACCCCAGGTCCCCGCCGCAACTCGAGAAAAACCATGAGACTTCCCCCTAGAGGCGAGATGAGGCCCCATTCCCCTGCAGTGCATGCAGAGCTATTCCGTGGTCCCATTCAAGCAAGTCAGGAGCTTCGACTTGCTTAATGGTTCTCGAGACAGTCCCCAAGAACACTGTCACCAGTCTCGACGGACCCTGAGGACACCCCAGCAACACAAAGCAGCTCCATGGGCCCCAAATCAACTCGAGATGAGGCCCGATTCCCCTGCATTGACTCCAGAGCCATTCCCCGTTCCCCATTCAACACGACCGGTGGCTCGACTTCCTTCAGGCAACTCCAGAGATGCCCCAAGAACACTGTCACAAGTCTAGAGGAACACCAACTTCAGCAAGGCAACTCGAGGAATGCTCCGTGTACCCCAAATCGTCTCGAGATGAGAGGTGATTCCCTGGCTTAGGCTCAAGACGTATGCCAACTTTCCAGACGCACCTCAGGAGGAGGCTTCTCTCAGCAATAGGTATGTGGGAGGGACCCCGAGTTCGCTGCCTCAAGGGCAATATACAGCGAGAAGCCCTAACTTGAAAGGAGGCCGGATTTCCTTGCAGTGGCTTGAATACAGACTCGTCTTTCATCTCACAACATGAAGGGATCTCTGAATCCTCTGTGGAGACCTTAGAGAAAGCCCTAGGTCCCTGCCTCATTTGGACGGAATGCCTCACATCCCGTTGACACCTCGAGAGGCACGCGGAGTTCATTGCTTCAAAAGGTGACGATGCCTGACTCCTCTTGAATTCTGATAGGAATCCCAAAATCACTGTGGCTACTGGAAAGGGTCCTTGCGTGCCCTGCCTCACCTCAAGAAGCGTCCCATTTGCACTGCCAAGCCTCGATGAGATTCCTGAGGTGTCCCTCGTTACTAGACAGGAGTCCTGACGTCACTGAAGAAACTCGTGCTTTGAAGGGCCATCCCCGCCGTAAGTCGAGAACATACCCCAGGTCCCCGCCGCAACTCGAGAAAAACCATGAGACTTCCCCCTAGAGGCGAGATGAGACCCCATTCCCCTGCATTGCATGCAGAGCTATTCCGTGGTCCCATTCAAACAAGTCAGGAGCTTCGACTTGCTTAATGGATCTCGAGACAGTCCCCAAGAACACTGTCACCAGTCTCGACGGACCCTGAGGTCACCCAGCAACGTAAAGCAGCTCCATGTGCCCCAAATCAACTCGAGATGAGGCCCGATTCCCCTGCATTGACCCCAGAGCCATTCCCCGTTCCCTATTCAACACGACCCGTGGCTCAACTTCCTTCAGGCAACTCCAGAGATACCCCGAGAACATTGTCCCACGTCTAGAGGAACACCAACTTCAGCACAGCAACTCGAGGAATGCTCCGTGTACCCCAAATCGTCTCGAGATGAGAGGTGATTCCCTGACTTAGGCTCAAGACGTATGCCAACTTTCCAGACGCACCTCAGGAGGAGGCTTCTCTCAGCAATAGGTATGTGGGAGGGACCCCGAGTTTGCTGCCTCAAGGGCAATATACAGCTAGAAGCCCTAACTTGAAAGGGGCCGGATTTCCTTGCAGTGGCTTGAATACAGGCTCGTCTTTCATCTCACAACATGAAGGGATGTCTGAATCCCCTGTGGAGACCTTAGAGAAAGCCCTATGTCCCTGCCTCATTTTGACGGAATGCCTCACATCCCGTTGACACCTCAAGAGGCACGCGAAGTTCATTGCTTCAAAAGGTGACAATGCCTCACTCCTCTTGAATACTGATAGGAATCCCAAAATCCCTGTGGCTACTGGAAAGGGTCCTTGGGTGCCCTGCCTCACCTCGAGAAGCGTCCCTTTTGCCCTGCCAAGCCTCGAAGAGATTCCTGAGGTGTCCCTCGTTACTAGACAGGAGTCCTGACGTCACTGAAGAAACTCGTGTTTTGAATGGCCATCCCTGCCGTAAGTCGAGAACATAACCCAGGTCCCCGCCGCAACTCGAGAAAAACCATGAGACTTCCGCCTAGAGGCGAGATGAGGCCCCATTCCCCTGCAGTGCATGCAGAGCTATTCCGTGGTCCCATTCAAGCAAGCCAGGGGCTTCGACTTGCTTAATGGTTCTCGAGACAGTCCCCAAGAACACTGTCACCAGTCTCGACGACCCTGAGGTCACCCCAGCAACGCAAAGCAGCTCCATGGGCCCAAATCAACTCGAGATGAGGCCCGATTCCCCTGCATTGACTCCAGAGCCATTCCCCGTTCCCCATTCAACACGACCGGTGGCTCGACTTCCTTCAGGCAACTCCAGAGATGCCCCGAAAACACTGTCCCAAGTCTAGAGGAACACGAACTTCAGCACGGCAACTCGATGAACGCTCCGTGTACCCCAAATCGTCTCGAGATGAGAGGTGATTCCCTGGCTTAGGCTCAAGACGTATGCCAACTTTCCAGACGCACCTCAGGAGGAGGCTTCTCTCAGCAATAGGTATGTGGGAGGGACCCCGAGTTCGCTGCCTCAAGGGCAATATACAGCGAAAAGCCCTAACTTGAAAGGAGGCCGGATTTCCTTGCAGTGGCTTGAATACAGGCTCGTCTTTCATTTCTCGACATGAAGGGATGTCTGAATCCCCTGTGGAGACCTTAGAGAAAGCCCTAGGTCCCTGCCTCATTTTGACGGAATGCCTCACATCCCGTTGACACCTCAAGAGGCACACGAAGTTCATTGCTTCAAAAGGTGACAATGCCTCACTCCTCTTGAATACTGATAGGAATCCCAAAATCCCTGTGGCTACTGGAAAGGGTCCTTGGGTGCCCTGCCTCACCTCGAGAAGCGTCCCTTTTGCCCTGCCAAGCCTCGAAGAGATTCCTGAGGTGTCCCTCGTTACTAGACAGGAGACCTGACGTCACTGAAGAAACTCGTGTTTTGAGGGCCATCCCCGCCGTAAGTCGAGAACATACCCCAGGTCCCCGCCGCAACTCGAGAAAAACCATGAGACTTCCCCCTAGAGGCGAGATGAGACCCCATTCCCCTGCAGTGCATGCAGAGCTATTCCGTGGTCCCATTCAAACAAGTCAGGAGCTTCGACTTGCTTAATGGATCTCGAGACAGTCCTCAAGAACACTGTCACCAGTCTCGATGGACCCTGAGGTCACCCCAGCAATGCAAAGCAGCTCCATGTGCCCCAAATCAACACGAGATGAGGCTCGATTCCCCTGCATTGATTCCAGAGCCATTCCCTGTTCCCATTCAACACGAACGGTGGCTCGACTTCCATCAGGCAACTCCAGAGATACCCTGAGAACACTGTCCCAAGTCTAGAGGAACACCAACTTCAGCACAGCAACTCGAGGAATGCTCCGTGTACACCAAATCATCTCGAGATGAGAGCTGATTCCCTGCCTTAGGCTCAAGACGTGTGCCAACTTTCCAGACGCACCTCAGGAGGAGGCTTCTCTCAGCAATAGGTATGTGGGAGGGACCCCGAGTTCGCTGCCTCAAGGGCAATATACAGCGAGAAGCCCTAACTTGAAAGGAGGCTGGATTTCCTTGCAGTGGCTTGAATACAGGCTCGTCTTTCATCTCACAACATGAAGGGATGTCTGAATCCCCTGTGGAGACCTTAGAGAAAGCCCTAGGTCCCTGCCTCATTTGGACGGAATGCCTCACATCCCGTTGACACCTCAAGAGGCCCGCGAAGTTCATTGCTTCAAAAGGTGACAATGCCTCACTCCTCTTGAATACTGATAGGAATACCAAAATCACTTTGGTACTGGAAAGGGTCCTTGGGTGCCCTGCCTCACCTCGAGAAGCGTCCCTTTTGCCCTGCCAAGCCTCGAAGAGATTCCTGAGGTGTCCCTCGTTACTAGACAGGAGTCCTGACGTCACTGAAGAAACTCGTGTTTTGAAGGGCCATCCCCGCCGTAAGTCGAGAACATACCCCAGGTCCCCGCCGCAACTCGAGAAAAACCATGAGACTTCCCCCTAGAGGCGAGATGAGGCCCCATTCCCCTGCAGTGCATGCAGAGCTATTCCGTGGTCCCATTCAAGCAAGTCAGGAGCTTCGACTTGCTTAATGGTTCTCGAGACAGTCCCCAAGAACACTGTCACCAGTCTCGACGGACCCTGAGGTCACCCCAGCAACGCAAAGCGGCTCCATGGGCCCCAAATCAACTCGAGATGAGGCCCGATTCCCCTGCATTGACTCCAGAGCCATTCCCCGTTCCCCATTCAACACGACCGGTGGCTCGACTTCCTTCAGGCAACTCCAGAGATGCCCCGAGAACACTGTCCCAAGTCTAGAGGAACACCAACTTCAGCACGGCAACTCGAGGAATGCTCCGTGTACCCCAAATCGTCTCGAGATGAGAGGTGATTCCCTGGCTTAGGCACAAGACGTATGCCAACTTTCAAGACGCACCTCAGGAGGAGGCTTCTCTCAGCAATAGGTAGGTGGGAGGGACCCCGAGTTCGCTGCCTCAAGGGCAATATATAGCGAGAAGCCATAACTTGAAAGGAGGCCGGATTTCCTTGCAGTGGCTTGAATACAGGCTCGTCTTTCATCTCAAAACATGAAGGGATGTCTGAATCCCCTGTGGAGACCATAGAGAAAGCCCTAGGTCCCTGCCTCATTTAGACGGAATGCCTCACATCCCGTTGACACCTCGAGAGGCACGCGGAGTTCATTGCTTCAAAAGGTGACAATGCCTCACTCCTCTTGAATACTGATAGGAATCCCAAAATCCCTGTGGCTACTGGAAAGGGTCCTTGGGTGCCCTGCCTCACCTCGAGAAGCGTCCCTTTTGCCCTGCCAAGCCTCGAAGAGATTCCTGACGTGTCCCTCGTTACTAGACACTAGTCCTGACGTCACTGAAGAAACTCGTGTTTTGAAGGGCCATCCCCGCCGTAAGTCGAGAACATACCCCAGGTCCCCGCCGCAACTCGAGAAAAACCATGAGACTTCCCCCTAGAGGCGAGATGAGACCCCATTCCCCTGCAGTGCATGCAGAGCTATTCCGTGGTCCCATTCAAACAAGTCAGGAGCTTCGACTTGCTTAATGGATCTCGAGACAGTCCTCAAGAACACTGTCACCAGTCTCGATGGACCCTGAGGTCACCCCAGCAATGCAAAGCAGCTCCATGTGCCCCAAATCAACTCGAGATGAGGCTCGATTCCCCTGCATTGATTCCAGAGCCATTCCCTGTTCCCATTCAACACGAGGTGGCTCGACTTCCTTCAGGCAACTCCAGAGATACCCCGAGAACACTGTCCCAAGTCTAGAGGAACACCAACTTCAGCACAGCAACTCGAGGAATGCTCCGTGTACAACAAATCATCTCGAGATGAGAGCTGATTCCCTGGCTTAGGCTCAAGACGTATGCCAACTTTCCAGACGCACCTCAGGAGGAGGCTTCTCTCAGCAATAGGTATGTGGGAGGGACCCCGAGTTCGCTGCCTCAAGGGCAATATACAGCGAGAAGACCTAACTTGAAAGGAGGCCGGATTTCCTTGCAGTGGCTTGAATACAGGCTCGTCTTTCATCTCACAACATGAAGGGATGTCTGATTCCCCTGTGGAGACCTTAGAGAAAGCCCTAGGTCCCTGCCTCATTTTGACGGAATGCCTCACATCCCGTTGACACCTCAAGAGGCACGCGAAGTTCATTGCTTCAAAAGGTGACAATGCCTCACTCCTCTTGAATACTGATAGGAATACCAAAATCACTTTGGTACTGGAAAGGGTCCTTGGGTTCCCTGCCTCACCTCGAGAAGCGTCCCTTTTGCCCTGCCAAGCCTTGAAGAGATTCCTGAGGTGTCCCTCGTTACTAGACAGGAGTCCTGACGTCACTGAAGAAACTCGTGTTTTGAAGGGCCATCCCCGCCGTAAGTCGAGAACATACCCCAGGTCCCCGCCGCAACTCGAGAAAAACCATGAGATTTCCCCCTAGAGGCGAGATGAGGCCCCATTCCCCTGCAGTGCATGCAGAGCTATTGCGTGGTCCCATTCAAGCAAGTCAGGAGCTTCGACTTGCTTAATGGTTCTCGAGACAGTCCCCAAGAACACTGTCACCAGTCTCGACGGACCCTGAGGTCACCCCAGCAACGCAAAGCAGCTCCATGGGCCCCAAATCAACTCGAGATGAGGCCCGATTCCCCTGCATTCACTCCAGTGCCATTCCCCATTCCCCATTCAACACGACCGGTGGCTCGACTTCCTTCAGGCAACTCCAGAGATGCCCCGAGAACACTGTCCCAAGTCTAGAGGAACACCAACTTCAGCACGGCAACTCGAGGAATGCTCCGTGTACCCCAAATCGTCTCGAGATGAGAGCTGATTCCCTGGCTTAGGCACAAGACGTATGCCAACTTTCAAGACACACCTCAGGAGGAGGCTTCTCTCAGCAATAGGTATGTGGGAGGGACCCCGAGTTCGCTGCCTCAAGGGCAATATACAGCGAGAAGCCCTAACTTGAAAGGAGGCCGGATTTCCTTGCAGTGGCTTGAATACAGGCTCGTCTTTCATCTCACAACATGAAGGGATGTCTGAATCCCCTGTGGAGACCTTAGAGAAAGCCCTAGGTCCCTGCCTCATTTTGACGGAATGCCTCACATCCCGTTGACACCTCAAGAGGCACGCGAAGTTCATTGCTTCAAAAGGTGACAATGCCTCACTCCTCTTGAATACTGATAGGAATCCCAAAATCCCTGTGGCTACTGGAAAGGGTCCTTGGGTGCCCTGCCTCACCTCGAGAAGCGTCCCTTTTGCCCTGCCAAGCCTCGAAGAGATTCCTGAGGTGTCCCTCGTTACTAGACAGGAGTCCTGACGTCACTGAAGAAACTCGTGTTTTGAAGGGCCATCCCCGCCGTAAGTCGAGAACATACCCCAGGTCCCCGCCGCAACTCGAGAAAAACCATGAGACTTCCCCCTAGAGGCGAGATGAGGCCCCATTCCCCTGCAGTGCATGCAGAGCTATTCCGTGGTCCCATTCAAGCAAGTCAGGAGCTTCGACTTGCTTAATGGTTCTCGAGACAGTCCCCAAGAACACTGTCACCAGTCTCGACGGACCCTGAGGTCACCCCAGCAACGCAAAGCAGCTCCATGGGCCCCAAATCAACTCGAGATGAGGCCCGATTCCCCTGCATTGACTCCAGAGCCATTCCCGGTTCCCCATTCAACACGACCGGTGGCTCGACTTCCTTCAGGCAACTCCAGAGATGCCCCGAGAACACTGTCCCAAGTCTAGAGGAACACCAACTTCAGCACGGCAACTCGAGGAATGCTCCGTGTACCCCAAATCGTCTCGAGGTGAGAGGTGATTCCTTGGCTTAGGCTCAAGACGTATGCCAACTTTCCAGACGCACCTCAGCAGGAGGCTTCTCTCAGCAATAGGTATGTGGGAGGGACCCCGAGTTCGCTGCCTCAAGGGCAATATACATCGAGAAGCCCTAACTTGAAAGGAGGCCGGATTTCCTTGCAGTGGCTTAAATACAGGCTCGTCTTTGATCTCACAACATGAAGGGATGTCTGAATCCCCTGTGGAGACCTTAGAGAAAGCCCTAGGTCCCTGCCTCATTTAGACGGAATGCCTCACATCCCGTTGACACCTCGAGAGGCACGCGGAGTTCATTGCTTCAAAAGGTGACGATGCCTGACTCCTCTTGAATTCTGATAGGAATCCCAAAATCCCTGTGGCTACTGGAAAGGGTTCATGGGTGCCCTGCCTCACCTCAAGAAGCGTCCCATTTGCACTGCCAAGCCTCGATGAGATTCCTGAGGTGTCCCTCGTTACTAGACAGGAGTCCTGACGTCACTGAAGAAACTCGTGTTTTGAAGGGCCATCCCCGCCGTAAGTCGAGAACATACCCCAGGTCCCCACCGCAACTCGAGAAAAACCATGAGACTTCCCCCTAGAGGCGAGATGAGGCCCCATTCCCCTGCAGTGCATGCAGAGCTCTTCCGTGGTCCCATTCAAACAAGTCAGGAGCTTCGACTTGCTTAATGGATCTCGAGACAGTCCCCAAGAACACTGTCACCAGTCTCGACGGACCCTGAGGTCACCCCAGCAACGCAAAGCAGCTCCATGGGCCCCAAATCAACTCGAGATGAGGCCCGATTCCCCTGCATTGACTCCAGAGCCATTCCCCGTTCCCCATTCAACACGACCGGTGGCTCGACTTCCTTCAGGCAACTCCAGAGATACCCCGAGAACACTCTCCCAAGTCTAGAGGAACACCAACTTCAGCACAGCAACTCGAGGAATGCTCCGTGTACCCCAAATCGTCTCGAGATGAGAGCTGATTCCCTGGCTTAGGCTCAAGACGTATGCCAACTTTCCAGACGCACCTCAGGAGGAGGCTTCTCTCAGCAATAGGTATGTGGGAGGGACCCCGAGTTCGCTGCCTCAAGGGCAATATACAGCGAGAAGCCCTAACTTGAAAGGAGGCCGGATTTCCTTGCAGTGGCTTGAATACAGGCTGGTCTTTCATCTCACGACATGAAGGGATGTCTGAATCCCCTGTGGAGACCTTAGAGAAAGCCCTAGGTCCCTGCCTCATTTTGACGGAATGCCTCACATCCCGTTGACACCTCAAGAGGCACGCGAAGTTCATTGCTTCAAAAGGTGACAATGCCTCACTCCTCTTGAATACTGATAGAAATCCCAAAATCCCTGTGGCTACTGGAAAGGGTCCTTGGGTGCCCTGACTCACCTCGAGAAGCGTCCCTTTTGCCCTGCCAAGCCTCGAAGATATTCCTGAGGTGTCCCTCGTTACTAGACACTAGTCCTGACGTCACTGAAGAAACTCGTGTTTTGAAGGGCGTTCCCCGCCGTAAGTCGAGAACATACCCCAGGTCCCCGCCGCAACTCGAGAAAAACCATGAGTCTTCCCGCTAGAGGCGAGATGAGGCCCCATTCCCCTGCAGTGCATGCAGAGCTATTGCGTGGTCCCATTCAAGCAAGTCAGGAGCTTCGACTTGCTTTATGGTTCTCGAGACAGTCCCCAAGAACACTGTCACCAGTCTCGACGGACCCTGAGGTCACCCCAGCAACGCAAAGCAGCTCCATGGGCCCCAAATCAACTCGAGATGAGGCCCGATTCCCCTGCATTGACTCCAGAGCCATTCCCCGTTCCCCATTCAACACGACCGGTGGCTCGACTTCCTTCAGGCAACTCCAGAGATGCCCCGAGAACACTGTCCCAAGTCTAGAGGAACACCAACTTCAGCACGGCAACTCGAGGAATGCTCCCTGTACTCCAAATCGTCTCGAGATGAGAGCTGATTCCCTGGCTTAGGCTCAAGACGTATGCCAACTTTCCAGACGCACCTCAGGAGGAGGCTTCTCTCAGCAATAGGTATGTGGGAGGGACCCCGAGTTCGCTGCCTCAAGGGCAATATACAGCGAGAAGCCCTAACTTGAAAGGAGGCCGGATTTCCTTGCAGTGGCTTGAATACAGGATCGTCTTTCATTTCACGACATGAAGGGATGTCTGAATCCCCTGTGGAGACCTTAGAGAAAGCCCTAGCTCCCTGCCTCATTTTGACGGAATGCCTCACATCCCGTTGACACCTCAAGAGGCACGCAAACTTCATTGCTTCAAAAGGTGACAATGCCTCACTCCTCTTGAATACTGATAGGAATCCCAAAATCACTTTGGTACTGGAAAGGGTCCTTGGGTGCCCTGCCTCACCTCGAGAAGCGTCCCTTTTGCCCTGCCAAGCCTCGAAGAGATTCCTGAGGTGTCCCTCGTTACTAGACAGGAGTCCTGACGTCACTGAAGAAACTCGTGTTTTGAAGGGCCATCCCCGCCGTAAGTCGAGAACATACCCCAGGTCCCCACCGCAACTCGAGAAAAACCATGAGACTTCCCCCTAGAGGCGAGATGAGGCCCCATTCCCCTGCAGTGCATGCAGAGCTATTCCGTGGTCCCATTCAAGCAAGTCAGGAGCTTCGACTTGCTTAATGGTTCTCGAGACAGTCCCCAAGAACACTGTCACCAGTCTCGACGGACCCTGAGGTCACCCCAGCATCGCAAAGCAGCTCCATGGGCCCCAAATCTACTCGAGATGAGGCCCGATTCCCCTGCATTGACTCCAGAGCCATTCCCCGTTCCCCATTCAACACGACCGGTGGCTCGACTTCCTTCAGGCAACTCCAGAGATGCCCCGAGAACACTGTCCCAAGTCTAGAGGAACACCAACTTCAGCACGGCAACTCGAGGAATGCTCCGTGTACCCCAAATCGTCTCGAGATGAGAGGTGATTCCCTGGCTTAGGCACAAGACGTATGCCAACTTTCAAGACGCACCTCAGGAGGAGGCTTCTCTCAGCAATAGGTATGTGGGAGGGACCCCGAGTTCGCTGCCTCAAGGGCAATATACAGCGAGAAGCCCTAACTTGAAAGGAGGCCGGATTTCCTTGCAGTGGCTTGAATACAGGCTCGTCTTTCATCTCACAACATGAAGGGATGTCTGAATCCCCTGTGGAGACCTTAGAGAAAGCCCTAGGTCCCTGGCTCATTTTGACGGAATGCCTCACATCCCGTTGACACCTCAAGATGCACACGAAGTTCATTGCTTAAAAAGGTGACAATGCCTCACTCCTCTTGAATACTGATAGGAATCCCAAAATCCCTGTGGCTACTGGAAAGGGTCCTTGGGTGCCCTGCCTCACCTCGAGAAGCGTCCCTTTGGCCCTGCCAAGCCTCGAAGAGATTCCTGAGGTGTCCCTCGTTACTAGACAGGAGTCCTGAAGTCACTGAAGAAACTCGTGTTTTGAAGGGCCATCCCCGCCGTAAGTCGAGAACATACCCCAGGTCCCCGCCGCAACTCGAGAAAAACCATGAGACTTCCCCCTAGAGGCGAGATGAGACCCCATTCCCCTGCAGTGCATGCAGAGCTATTCCGTGGTCCCATTCAAACAAGTCAGGAGCTTCGACTTGCTTAATGGTTCTCGAGACAGTCCCCAAGAACACTGTCACCAGTCTCGACGGACCCTGAGGTCACCCCAGCAACGCAAAGCAGCTCCATGGGCCCCAAATGAACTCGAGATGAGGCCCGATTCCCCTGCATTGATTCCAGAGCCATTCCCGGTTCCCCATTCAACACGACCGGTGGCTCGACTTCCTTCAGGCAACTCCAGAGATGCCCCGAGAACACAGTCCCAAGTCTAGAGGAACACCAACTTCAGCACGGCAACTCGAGGAATGCTCCGTGTACCTCAAATCGTCTCGAGGTGAGAGGTGATTCCTTGGCTTAGGCTCAAGACGTATGCCAACTATCCAGACGCACCTCAGGAGGAGGCTTCTCTCAGCAATAGGTATGTGGGAGGGACCCCGAGTTCGCTGCCTCAAGGCCAATATACAGTGAGAAGCCCTAATTTGAAAGGAGGCCGGATTTCCTTGCAGTGGCTTGAATACAGGCTCGTCTTTCATCTCACAACATGAAGGGATGTCTGAATCCCCTGTGGAGACCTTAGAGAAAGCCCTAGGTCCCTGCCTCATTTAGACGGAATGCCTCACATCCCGTTGACACCTCGAGAGGCACGCGGAGTTCATTGCTTCAAAAAGTGACGATGCCTGACTCCTCTTGAATTCTGATAGGAATCCCAAAATCACTGTGGCTACTGGAAAGGGTTCTTGGGTGCCCTGCCTCACCTCAAGAAGCGTCCCATTTGCACTGCCAAGCCTCGATGAGATTCCTGAGGTGTCCCTCGTTACTAGACAGGAGTCCTGACGTCACTGAAGAAACTCGTGTTTTGAAGGGCCATCCCCGCCGTAAGTCGAGAACATACCCCAGGTCCCCGCCGCAACTCGAGAAAAACCATGAGACTTCCCCCTAGAGGCGAGATGAGGCCCCATTCCCCTGCAGTGCATGCAGAGCTATTCCGTGGTCCCATTCAAGCAAGTCAGGAGCTTCGACTTGCTTAATGGTTCTCGAGACAGTCCCCAAGAACACTGTCACCAGTCTCGACGGACCCTGAGGTCACCCCAGCAACGCAAAGCAGCTCCATGGGCCCCAAATCAACTCGAGATGAGGCCCGATTCCCCTGCATTGACTGCAGAGCCATTCCCCGTTCCCCATTCAACACGACCGGTGGCTCGACTTCCTTCAGGCAACTCCAGAGATACCCCAAGAACACTCTCCCAAGTCTAGAGGAACACCAACTACAGCACAGCAACTCGAGGAATGCTCCGTGTACCCCAAATCGTCTCGAGATGAGAGCTGATTCCCTGGCTTAGGCTCAAGACGTATGCCAACTTTCCAGACGCACCTCAGGAGGAGGCTTCTCTCAGCAATATGTATGTGGGAGGGACCCCGAGTTCGCTGCCTCAAGGGCAATATACAGCGAGAAGCCCTAATTTGAAAGGAGGCCGGATTTCCTTGCAGTGGCTTGAATACAGGCTCGTCTTTCATCTCACGACATGAAGGGATGTCTGAATCCCCTGTGGAGACCTTAGAGAAAGCCCTAGGTCCCTGCCTCATTTTGACGGAATGCCTCACATCCCGTTGACACCTCAAGAGGCACGCGAAGTTCATTGCTTCAAAAGGTGACAATGCCTCACTCCTCTTGAATACTGATAGGAATCCCAAAATCCCTGTGGCTACTGGAAAGGGTCCTTGGGTGCCCCGCCTCACCTCGAGAAGCGTCCCTTTTGCCCTGCCAAGCCTCGAAGAGATTCCTGAGGTGTCCCTCGTTACTAGACAGGAGTCCTGACGTCACTGAAGAAACTCGTGTTTTGAAGGGCCATCCCCGCCGTAAGTCGAGAACATACCCCAGGTCCCCGCCGCAACTCGAGAAAAACCATGAGACTTCCCCCTAGAGGCGAGATGAGGCCCCATTCCCCTGCAGTGCATGCAGAGCTATTCCGTGGTCCAATTCAAGCAAGTCAGGAGCTTCGACTTGCTTAATGCTTCTCGAGACAGTCCCCAAGAACACTGTCACCAGTCTCGACGGACCCTGAGGTCACCCCAGCAACGCAAAGCAGCTCCATGGGCCCCAAATCAACTCGAGATGAGGCCCGATTCCCCTGCATTGACTCCAGAGCCATTCCCCGTTCCCCATTCAACACGACCGGTGGCTCGACTTCCTTCAGGCAACTCCAGAGATGCCCCGAGAACGCTGTCTCAAGTCTAGAGGAACACCAACTTCAGCACGGCAACTCGATGAACGCTCCGTGTACCCCCAATCGTCTCAAGATGAGAGGTGATTCCCTGGCTTAGGCTCAAGACGTATGCCAACTTTCAAGACGCACCTCAGGAGGAGGCTTCTCTCAGCAATAGGTATGTGGGAGGGACCCCGAGTTCGCTGCCTCAAGGGCAATATACAGCGAGAAGCCCTAACTTGAAAGGAGGCCGGATTTCCTTGCCGTGGCTTGAATACAGGCTCGTCTTTCTTCTCACAACATGAAGGGTTGTCTGAATCCCCTGTGGAGACCTTAGAGAAAGCCCTAGTTCCCTGCCTCATTTGGACGGAATGCCTCACATCCCGTTGACACCTCGAGAGGCACGCGGAGTTCATTGCTTCAAAAGGTGACGATGCCTCACTCCTCTTGAATTCTGATAGGAATCCCAAAATCCCTGTGGCTACTGGAAAGGGTCCTTGGGTGCCCTGCCTCACCTCAAGAAGCGTCCCATTTGCACTGCCAAGCCTCGATGAGATTCCTGAGGTGTCCCTCGTTACTAGACAGGAGTCCTGACGTCACTGAAGAAACTCGTGTTTTGAAGGGCCATCCCTGCCGTAAGTCGAGAACATACCCCAGGTCCCCGCCGCAACTCGAGAAAAACCATGAGACTTCCCCCTAGAGGCGAGATGAGACCCCATTCCCCTGCAGTGCATGCAGAGCTATTCCGTGGTCCCATTCAAACAAGTCAGGAGCTTCGACTTGCTTAATGGATCTCGAGACAGTCCTCAAGAACACTGTCACCAGTCTCGATGGACCCTGAGGTCACCCCAGCAACGCAAAGCAGCTCCATGTGCCCCAAATCAACTCGAGATTAGGCCCGATTCCCCTGCATTGATTCCAGAGCCATTCCCCGTTCCCATTCATCATGAACGGTGGCTCGACTTCCATCAGGCAACTCCAGAGATACCCCGAGAACACTGTCCCAAGTCTAGAGGAACACCAACTTCAGCACAGCAACTTGAGGAATGCTCCGTGTACAACAAATCGTCTCGAGATGAGAGCTGATTCCCTGGCTTAGGCTCAAGACGTATGCCAACTTTCCAGACGCACCTCAGGAGGAGGCTTCTCTCAGCAATAGGTATGTGGGAGGGACCCCGAGTTCGCTGCCTCAAGGGCAATATACAGCGAGAAGCCCTAACTTGAAAGGAGGCCGGATTTCCTTGCAGTGGCTTGAATACAGGCTCGTCTTTCATCTCACAACATGAAGGGATGTCTGAATCCCCTGTGGAGACCTTAGAGAAAGCCCTAGGTCCCTGCCTCATTTTCACGGAATGCCTCACATCCCGTTGACACCTCAAGAGGCACGCGAAGTTCATTGCTTCAAAAGGTGACAATGCCTCACTCCTCTTGAATACTGATAGGAATACCAAAATCACTTTGGTACTGGAAAGGGTCCTTGGGTGCCCTGCCTCACCTCGAGAAGCGTCCCTTTTGCCCTGCCAAGCCTCGAAGAGATTCCTGAGGTGTCCCTCGTTACTAGACAGGAGTCCTGACGTCACTGAAGAAACTCGTGTTTTGAAGGGCCATCCCCGCCGTAAGTCGAGAACATACCCCAGGTCCCCGCCGCAACTCGAGAAAAACCATGAGACTTCCCCCTAGAGGCGAGATGAGGCCCCATTCCCCTGCAGTGCATGCAGAGCTATTCCGTGGTCCCATTCAAGCAAGTCAGGAGCTTCGACTTGCTTAATGGTTCTCGAGACAGTCCCCAAGAACACTGTCACCACTCTCGACGGACCCTGAGGTCACCCCAGCAACGCAAAGCAGCTCCATGGGCCCCAAATCAACTCGAGATGAGGCCCGATTCCCATGCATTGACTGCAGAGCCATTCCCCGTTCCCCATTCAACACGACCGGTGGCTCGACTTCCTTCAGGCAACTCCAGAGATACCCCGAGAACACTCTCCCAAGTCTAGAGGAACACCAACTTCAGCACAGCAACTCGAGGAATGCTCCGTGTACCCCAAATCGTCTCGAGATGAGAGCTGATTCCCTGGCTTAGGCTCAAGACGTATGCCAACTTTCCAGACGCACCTCAGGAGGAGGCTTCTCTCAGCAATATGTATGTGGGAGGGACCCCGAGTTCGCTGCCTCAAGGGCAATATACAGCGAGAAGCCCTAATTTGAAAGGAGGCCGGATTTCCTTGCAGTGGCTTGAATACAGGCTCGTCTTTCATCTCACGACATGAAGGGATGTCTGAATCCCCTGTGGAGACCTTAGAGAAAGCCCTAGGTCCCTGCCTCATTTTGACGGAATGCCTCACATCCCGTTGACACCTCAAGAGGCACGCGAAGTTCATTGCTTCAAAAGGTGACAATGCCTCACTCCTCTTGAATACTGATAGGAATCCCAAAATCCCTGTGGCTACTGGAAAGGGTCCTTGGGTGCCCTGCCTCACCTCGAGAAGCGTCCCTTTTGCCCTGCCAAGCCTCGAAGAGATTCCTGAGGTGTCCCTCGTTACTAGACAGGAGTCCTGACGTCACTGAAGAAACTCGTGTTTTGAAGGGCCATCCCCGCCGTAAGTCGAGAACATACCCCAGGTCCCCGCCGCAACTCGAGAAAAACCATGAGACTTCCCCCTAGAGGCGAGATGAGGCCCCATTCCCCTGCAGTGCATGCAGAGCTATTCCGTGGTCCAATTCAAGCAAGTCAGGAGCTTCGACTTGCTTAATGCTTCTCGAGACAGTCCCCAAGAACACTGTCACCAGTCTCGACGGACCCTGAGGTCACCCCAGCAACGCAAAGCAGCTCCATGGGCCCCAAATCTACTCGAGATGAGGCCCGATTCCCCTGCATTGACTCCAGAGCCATTCCCCGTTCCCCATTCAACACGACCGGTGGCTCGACTTCCTTCAGGCAACTCCAGAGATGCCCCGAGAACACTGTCCCAAGTCTAGAGGAACACCAACTTCAGCACGGCAACTCGAGGAATGCTCCGTGTACCCCAAATCGTCTCGAGATGAGAGGTGATTCCCTGGCTTAGGCACAAGACGTATGCCAACTTTCAAGACGCACCTCAGGAGGAGGCTTCTCTCAGCAATAGGTATGTGGGAGGGACCCCGAGTTCGCTGCCTCAAGGGCAATATACAGTGAGAAGCCCTAACTTGAAAGGAGGCCGGATTTCCTTGCAGTGGCTTGAATACAGGCTCGTCTTTCATCTCACAACATGAAGGGATGTCTGAATCCCCTGTGGAGACCTTAGAGAAAGCCCTAGGTCCCTGGCTCATTTTGACGGAATGCCTCACATCCCGTTGACACCTCAAGATGCACACGAAGTTCATTGCTTAAAAAGGTGACAATGCCTCACTCCTCTTGAATACTGATAGGAATCCCAAAATCCCTGTGGCTACTGGAAAGGGTCCTTGGGTGCCTTGCCTCACCTCGAGAAGCGTCCCTTTGGCCCTGCCAAGCCTCGAAGAGATTCCTGAGGTGTCCCTCGTTACTAGACAGGAGTCCTGACGTCACTGAAGAAACTCGTGTTTTGAAGGGCCATCCCCGCCGTAAGTCGAGAACATACCCCAGGTCCCCGCCGCAACTCGAGAAAAACCATGAGACTTCCCCCTAGAGGCGAGATGAGACCCCATTCCCCTGCAGTGCATGCAGAGCTATTCCGTGGTCCCATTCAAACAAGTCAGGAGCTTCGACTTGCTTAATGGTTCTCGAGACAGTCCCCAAGAACACTGTCACCAGTCTCGACGGACCCTGAGGTCACCCCAGCAACGCAAAGCAGCTCCATGGGCCCCAAATCAACTCGAGATGAGGCCCGATTCCCCTGCATTGACTCCAGAGCCATTCCCGGTTCCCCATTCAACACGACCGGTGGCTCGACTTCCTTCAGGGAACTCCAGAGATGCCCCGAGAACACTGTCCCAAGTCTAGAGGAACACCAACTTCAGCACGGCAACTCGAGGAATGCTCCGTGTACCCCAAATCGTCTCGAGGTGAGAGGTGATTCCTTGGCTTAGGCTCAAGACGTATGCCAACTATCCAGACGCACCTCAGGAGGAGGCTTCTCTCAGCAATAGGTATGTGGGAGGGACCCCGAGTTCGCTGCCTCAAGGCCAATATACAGTGAGAAGCCCTAATTTGAAAGGAGGCCGGATTTCCTTGCAGTGGCTTGAATACAGGCTCGTCTTTCATCTCACAACATGAAGGGATGTCTGAATCCCCTGTGGAGACCTTAGAGAAAGCCCTAGGTCCCTGCCTCATTTAGACGGAATGCCTCACATCCCGTTGACACCTCGAGAGGCACGCGGAGTTCATTGCTTCAAAAAGTGACGATGCCTGACTCCTCTTGAATTCTGATAGGAATCCCAAAATCACTGTGGCTACTGGAAAGGGTTCTTGGGTGCCCTGCCTCACCTCAAGAAGCGTCCCATTTGCACTGCCAAGCCTCGATGAGATTCCTGAGGTGTCCCTCGTTACTAGACAGGAGTCCTGACGTCACTGAAGAAACTCGTGTTTTGAAGGGCCATCCCCGCCGTAAGTCGAGAACATACCCCAGGTCCCCGCCGCAACTCGAGAAAAACCATGAGACTTCCCCCTAGAGGCGAGATGAGGCCCCATTCCCCTGCAGTGCATGCAGAGCTATTCCGTGGTCCCATTCAAGCAAGTCAGGAGCTTCGACTTGCTTAATGCTTCTCGAGACAGTCCCCAAGAACACTGTCACCAGTCTCGACGGACCCTGAGGTCACCCCAGCAACGCAAAGCAGCTCCATGGGCCCCAAATCAACTCGAGATGAGGCCCGATTCCCCTGCATTGACTGCAGAGCCATTCCCCGTTCCCCATTCAACACGACCGGTGGCTCGACTTCCTTCAGGCAACTCCAGAGATACCCCAAGAACACTCTCCCAAGTCTAGAGGAACACCAACTACAGCACAGCAACTCGAGGAATGCTCCGTGTACCCCAAATCGTCTCGAGATGAGAGCTGATTCCCTGGCTTAGGCTCAAGACGTATGCCAACTTTCCAGACGCACCTCAGGAGGAGGCTTCTCTCAGCAATATGTATGTGGGAGGGACCCCGAGTTCGCTGCCTCAAGGGCAATATACAGCGAGAAGCCCTAACTTGAAAGGAGGCCGGATTTCCTTGCAGTGGCTTGAATACAGGCTCGTCTTTCATCTCACGACATGAAGGGATGTCTGAATCCCCTGTGGAGACCTTAGAGAAAGCCCTAGGTCCCTGCCTCATTTTGACGGAATGCCTCACATCCCGTTGACACCTCAAGAGGCACGCGAAGTTCATTGCTTCAAAAGGTGACAATGCCTCACTCCTCTTGAATACTGATAGGAATCCCAAAATCCCTGTGGCTACTGGAAAGGGTCCTTGGGTGCCCCGCCTCACCTCGAGAAGCGTCCCTTTTGCCCTGCCAAGCCTCGAAGAGATTCCTGAGGTGTCCCTCGTTACTAGACAGGAGTCCTGACGTCACTGAAGAAACTCGTGTTTTGAAGGGCCATCCCCGCCGTAAGTCGAGAACATACCCCAGGTCCCCGCCGCAACTCGAGAAAAACCATGAGACTTCCCCCTAGAGGCGAGATGAGGCCCCATTCCCCTGCAGTGCATGCAGAGCTATTCCGTGGTCCAATTCAAGCAAGTCAGGAGCTTCGACTTGCTTAATGCTTCTCGAGACAGTCCCCAAGAACACTGTCACCAGTCTCGACGGACCCTGAGGTCACCCCAGCAACGCAAAGCAGTTCCATGGGCCCCAAATCAACTCGAGATGAGGCCCGATTCCCCTGCATTGACTCCAGAGCCATTCCCCGTTCCCCATTCAACACGACCGGTGGCTCGACTTCCTTCAGGCAACTCCAGAGATGCCCCGAGAACGCTGTCTCAAGTCTAGAGGAACACCAACTTCAGCACGGCAACTCGATGAACGCTCCGTGTACCCCCAATCGTCTCAAGATGAGAGGTGATTCCCTGGCTTAGGCTCAAGACGTATGCCAACTTTCAAGACGCACCTCAGGAGGAGGCTTCTCTCAGCAATAGGTATGTGGGAGGGACCCCGAGTTCGCTGCCTCAAGGGCAATATACAGCGAGAAGCCCTAACTTGAAAGGAGGCCGGATTTCCTTGCCGTGGCTTGAATACAGGCTCGTCTTTCTTCTCACAACATGAAGGGTTGTCTGAATCCCCTGTGGAGACCTTAGAGAAAGCCCTAGTTCCCTGCCTCATTTGGACGGAATGCCTCACATCCCGTTGACACCTCGAGAGGCACGCGGAGTTCATTGCTTCAAAAGGTGACGATGCCTCACTCCTCTTGAATTCTGATAGGAATCCCAAAATCCCTGTGGCTACTGGAAAGGGTCCTTGGGTGCCCTGCCTCACCTCAAGAAGCGTCCCATTTGCACTGCCAAGCCTCGATGAGATTCCTGAGGTGTCCCTCGTTACTAGACAGGAGTCCTGACGTCACTGAAGAAACTCGTGTTTTGAAGGGCCATCCCTGCCGTAAGTCGAGAACATACCCCAGGTCCCCGCCGCAACTCGAGAAAAACCATGAGACTTCCCCCTAGAGGCGAGATGAGACCCCATTCCCCTGCAGTGCATGCAGAGCTATTCCGTGGTCCCATTCAAACAAGTCAGGAGCTTCGACTTGCTTAATGGATCTCAAGACAGTCCTCAAGAACACTGTCACCAGTCTCGATGGACCCTGAGGTCACCCCAGCAACGCAAAGCAGCTCCATGTGCCCCAAATCAACTCGAGATTAGGCCCGATTCCCCTGCATTGATTCCAGAGCCATTCCCCGTTCCCATTCATCACGAACGGTGGCTCGACTTCCATCAGGCAACTCCAGAGATACCCCGAGAACACTGTCCCAAGTCTAGAGGAACACCAACTTCAGCACAGCAACTTGAGGAATGCTCCGTGTACACCAAATCGTCTCGAGATGAGAGCTGATTCCCTGGCTTAGGCTCAAGACGTATGCCAACTTTCCAGACGCACCTCAGGAGGAGGCTTCTCTCAGCAATAGGTATGTGGGAGGGACCCCGAGTTCGCTGCCTCAAGGGCAATATACAGCGAGAAGCCCTAACTTGAAAGGAGGCCGGATTTCCTTGCAGTGGCTTGAATACAGGCTCGTCTTTCATCTCACAACATGAAGGGATGTCTGAATCCCCTGTGGAGACCTTAGAGAAAGCCCTAGGTCCCTGCCTCATTTTCACGGAATGCCTCACATCCCGTTGACACCTCAAGAGGCACGCGAAGTTCATTGCTTCAAAAGGTGACAATGCCTCACTCCTCTTGAATACTGATAGGAATACCAAAATCACTTTGGTACTGGAAAGGGTCCTTGGGTGCCCTGCCTCACCTCGAGAAGCGTCCCTTTTGCCCTGCCAAGCCTCGAAGAGATTCCTGAGGTGTCCCTCGTTACTAGACAGGAGTCCTGACGTCACTGAAGAAACTCGTGTTTTGAAGGGCCATCCCCGCCGTAAGTCGAGAACATACCCCAGGTCCCCGCCGCAACTCGAGAAAAACCATGAGACTTCCCCCTAGAGGCGAGATGAGGCCCCATTCCCCTGCAGTGCATGCAGAGCTATTCCGTGGTCCCATTCAAGCAAGTCAGGAGCTTCGACTTGCTTAATGGTTCTCGAGACAGTCCCCAAGAACACTGTCACCAGTCTCGACGGACCCTGAGGTCACCACAGCAACGCAAAGCAGCTCCATGGGCCCCAAATCAACTCGAGATGAGGCCCGATTCCCCTGCATTGACTCCAGAGCCATTCCCCGTTCCCCATTCAACACGACCGGTGGCTCGACTTCCTTCAGGCAACTCCAGAGATGCCCCGAGAACACTGTCCCAAGTCTAGAGGAACACCAACTTCAGCACGGCAACTCGAGGAATGCTCCGTGTACCCCAAATCGTCTCGAGATGAGAGCTGATTCCCTGGCTTAGGCACAAGACGTATGCCAACTTTCAAGACGCACCTCAGGAGGAGGCTTCTCTCAGCAACAGGTATGTGGGAGGGACCCCAAGTTCGCTGCCTCAAGGGCAATATACAGCGAGAAGCCCTAACTTGAAAGGAGGCCAGATTTCCTTGCAGTGGCTTGAATACAGGCTCGTCTTTCATCTCACAACATGAAGGGATGTCTGAATCCCCTGTGGAGACCTTAGAGAAAGCCCTAGGTCCCTGGCTCATTTTGACGGAATGCCTCACATCCCGTTGACACCTCAAGAGGCACACGAAGTTCATTGCTTAAAAAGGTGACGATGCCTCACTCCTCTTGAATACTGATAGGAATCCCAAAATACCTGTGGCTACTGGAAAGGGTCCTTGGGTGCCCTGACTCACCTCGAGAAGCGTCCCTTTTGCCCTGCCAAGCCTCGAAGAGATTCCTGAGGTGTCCCTCGTTACTAGACAGGAGTCCTGACGTCACTGAAGAAACTCGTGTTTTGAAGGGCCATCCCTGCCGTAAGTCGAGAACATACCCCAGGTCCCCGCCGCAACTCGAGAAAAACCATGAGACTTCCCCCTAGAGGCGAGATGAGGCCCCATTCCCCTGCAGTGCATGCAGAGCTATTCCGTGGTCCCATTCAAGCAAGTCAGGAGCTTCGACTTGCTTAATGCTTCTCGAGACAGTCCCCAAGAACACTGTCACCACTCTCGACGGACCCTGAGGTCACCCCAGCAACGCAAAGCAGCTCCATGGGCCCCAAATCAACTCGAGATGAGGCCCGATTCCCATGCATTGACTGCAGAGCCATTCCCCGTTCCCCATTCAACACGACCGGTGGCTCGACTTCCTTCAGGCAACTCCAGAGATACCCCGAGAACACTCTCCCAAGTCTAGAGGAACACCAACTTCAGCACAGCAACTCGAGGAATGCTCCGTGTACCCCAAATCGTCTCGAGATGAGAGCTGATTCCCTGGCTTAGGCTCAAGACGTATGCCAACTTTCCAGACGCACCTCAGGAGGAGGCTTCTCTCAGCAATATGTATGTGGGAGGGACCCCGAGTTCGCTGCCTCAAGGGCAATATACAGCGAGAAGCCCTAATTTGAAAGGAGGCCGGATTTCCTTGCAGTGGCTTGAATACAGGCTCGTCTTTCATCTCACGACATGAAGGGATGTCTGAATCCCCTGTGGAGACCTTAGAGAAAGCCCTAGGTCCCTGCCTCATTTTGACGGAATGCCTCACATCCCGTTGACACCTCAAGAGGCACGCGAAGTTCATTGCTTCAAAAGGTGACAATGCCTCACTCCTCTTGAATACTGATAGGAATCCCAAAATCCCTGTGGCTACTGGAAAGGGTCCTTGGGTGCCCTGCCTCACCTCGAGAAGCGTCCCTTTTGCCCTGCCAAGCCTCGAAGAGATTCCTGAGGTGTCCCTCGTTACTAGACAGGAGTCCTGACGTCACTGAAGAAACTCGTGTTTTGAAGGGCCATCCCCGCCGTAAGTCGAGAACATACCCCAGGTCCCCGCCGCAACTCGAGAAAAACCATGAGACTTCCCCCTAGAGGCGAGATGAGGCCCCATTCCCCTGCAGTGCATGCAGAGCTATTCCGTGGTCCAATTCAAGCAAGTCAGGAGCTTCGACTTGCTTAATGCTTCTCGAGACAGTCCCCAAGAACACTGTCACCAGTCTCGACGGACCCTGAGGTCACCCCAGCAACGCAAAGCAGCTCCATGGGCCCCAAATCTACTCGAGATGAGGCCCGATTCCCCTGCATTGACTCCAGAGCCATTCCCGGTTCCCCATTCAACACGACCGGTGGCTCGACTTCCTTCAGGCAACTCCAGAGATGCCCCGAGAACACTGTCCCAAGTCTAGAGGAACACCAACTTCAGCACGGCAACTCGAGGAATGCTCCGTGTACCCCAAATCGTCTCGAGATGAGAGGTGATTCCCTGGCTTAGGCACAAGACGTATGCCAACTTTCAAGACGCACCTCAGGAGGAGGCTTCTCTCAGCAATAGGTATGTGGGAGGGACCCCGAGTTCGCTGCCTCAAGGGCAATATACAGTGAGAAGCCCTAACTTGAAAGGAGGCCGGATTTCCTTGCAGTGGCTTGAATACAGGCTCGTCTTTCATCTCACAACATGAAGGGATGTCTGAATCCCCTGTGGAGACCTTAGAGAAAGCCCTAGGTCCCTGGCTCATTTTGACGGAATGCCTCACATCCCGTTGACACCTCAAGATGCACACGAAGTTCATTGCTTAAAAAGGTGACAATGCCTCACTCCTCTTGAATACTGATAGGAATCCCAAAATCCCTGTGGCTACTGGAAAGGGTCCTTGGGTGCCTTGCCTCACCTCGAGAAGCGTCCCTTTGGCCCTGCCAAGCCTCGAAGAGATTCCTGAGGTGTCCCTCGTTACTAGACAGGAGTCCTGACGTCACTGAAGAAACTCGTGTTTTGAAGGGCCATCCCCGCCGTAAGTCGAGAACATACCCCAGGTCCCCGCCGCAACTCGAGAAAAACCATGAGACTTCCCCCTAGAGGCGAGATGAGACCCCATTCCCCTGCAGTGCATGCAGAGCTATTCCGTGGTCCCATTCAAACAAGTCAGGAGCTTCGACTTGCTTAATGGTTCTCGAGACAGTCCCCAAGAACACTGTCACCAGTCTCGACGGACCCTGAGGTCACCCCAGCAACGCAAAGCAGCTCCATGGGCCCCAAATCAACTCGAGATGAGGCCCGATTCCCCTGCATTGACTCCAGAGCCATTCCCGGTTCCCCATTCAACACGACCGGTGGCTCGACTTCCTTCAGGGAACTCCAGAGATGCCCCGAGAACACTGTCCCAAGTCTAGAGGAACACCAACTTCAGCACGGCAACTCGAGGAATGCTCCGTGTACCCCAAATCGTCTCGAGGTGAGAGGTGATTCCTTGGCTTAGGCTCAAGACGTATGCCAACTATCCAGACGCACCTCAGGAGGAGGCTTCTCTCAGCAATATGTATGTGGGAGGGACCCCGAGTTCGCTGCCTCAAGGGCAATATACAGCGAGAAGCCCTAACTTGAAAGGAGGCCGGATTTCCTTGCAGTGGCTTGAATACAGGCTCGTCTTTCATCTCACGACATGAAGGGATGTCTGAATCCCCTGTGGAGACCTTAGAGAAAGCCCTAGGTCCCTGCCTCATTTTGACGGAATGCCTCACATCCCGTTGACACCTCAAGAGGCACGCGAAGTTCATTGCTTCAAAAGGTGACAATGCCTCACTCCTCTTGAATACTGATAGGAATCCCAAAATCCCTGTGGCTACTGGAAAGGGTCCTTGGGTGCCCCGCCTCACCTCGAGAAGCGTCCCTTTTGCCCTGCCAAGCCTCGAAGAGATTCCTGAGGTGTCCCTCGTTACTAGACAGGAGTCCTGACGTCACTGAAGAAACTCGTGTTTTGAAGGGCCATCCCCGCCGTAAGTCGAGAACATACCCCAGGTCCCCGCCGCAACTCGAGAAAAACCATGAGACTTCCCCCTAGAGGCGAGATGAGGCCCCATTCCCCTGCAGTGCATGCAGAGCTATTCCGTGGTCCAATTCAAGCAAGTCAGGAGCTTCGACTTGCTTAATGCTTCTCGAGACAGTCCCCAAGAACACTGTCACCAGTCTCGACGGACCCTGAGGTCACCCCAGCAACGCAAAGCAGCTCCATGGGCCCCAAATCAACTCGAGATGAGGCCCGATTCCCCTGCATTGACTCCAGAGCCATTCCCCGTTCCCCATTCAACACGACCGGTGGCTCGACTTCCTTCAGGCAACTCCAGAGATGCCCCGAGAACGCTGTCTCAAGTCTAGAGGAACACCAACTTCAGCACGGCAACTCGATGAACGCTCCGTGTACCCCCAATCGTCTCAAGATGAGAGGTGATTCCCTGGCTTTGGCTCAAGACGTATGCCAACTTTCAAGACGCACCTCAGGAGGAGGCTTCTCTCAGCAATAGGTATGTGGGAGGGACCCCGAGTTCGCTGCCTCAAGGGCAATATACAGCGAGAAGCCCTAACTTGAAAGGAGGCCGGATTTCCTTGCCGTGGCTTGAATACAGGCTCGTCTTTCTTCTCACAACATGAAGGGTTGTCTGAATCCCCTGTGGAGACCTTAGAGAAAGCCCTAGTTCCCTGCCTCATTTGGACGGAATGCCTCACATCCCGTTGACACCTCGAGAGGCACGCGGAGTTCATTGCTTCAAAAGGTGACGATGCCTCACTCCTCTTGAATTCTGATAGGAATCCCAAAATCCCTGTGGCTACTGGAAAGGGTCCTTGGGTGCCCTGCCTCACCTCAAGAAGCGTCCCATTTGCACTGCCAAGCCTCGATGAGATTCCTGAGGTGTCCCTCGTTACTAGACAGGAGTCCTGACGTCACTGAAGAAACTCGTGTTTTGAAGGGCCATCCCTGCCGTAAGTCGAGAACATACCCCAGGTCCCCGCCGCAACTCGAGAAAAACCATGAGACTTCCCCCTAGAGGCGAGATGAGACCCCATTCCCCTGCAGTGCATGCAGAGCTATTCCGTGGTCCCATTCAAACAAGTCAGGAGCTTCGACTTGCTTAATGGATCTCAAGACAGTCCTCAAGAACACTGTCACCAGTCTCGATGGACCCTGAGGTCACCCCAGCAACGCAAAGCAGCTCCATGTGCCCCAAATCAACTCGAGATTAGGCCCGATTCCCCTGCATTGATTCCAGAGCCATTCCCCGTTCCCATTCATCACGAACGGTGGCTCGACTTCCATCAGGCAACTCCAGAGATACCCCGAGAACACTGTCCCAAGTCTAGAGGAACACCAACTTCAGCACAGCAACTTGAGGAATGCTCCGTGTACACCAAATCGTCTCGAGATGAGAGCTGATTCCCTGGCTTAGGCTCAAGACGTATGCCAACTTTCCAGACGCACCTCAGGAGGAGGCTTCTCTCAGCAATAGGTATGTGGGAGGGACCCCGAGTTCGCTGCCTCAAGGGCAATATACAGCGAGAAGCCCTAACTTGAAAGGAGGCCGGATTTCCTTGCAGTGGCTTGAATACAGGCTCGTCTTTCATCTCACAACATGAAGGGATGTCTGAATCCCCTGTGGAGACCTTAGAGAAAGCCCTAGGTCCCTGCCTCATTTTCACGGAATGCCTCACATCCCGTTGACACCTCAAGAGGCACGCGAAGTTCATTGCTTCAAAAGGTGACAATGCCTCACTCCTCTTGAATACTGATAGGAATACCAAAATCACTTTGGTACTGGAAAGGGTCCTTGGGTGCCCTGCCTCACCTCGAGAAGCGTCCCTTTTGCCCTGCCAAGCCTCGAAGAGATTCCTGAGGTGTCCCTCGTTACTAGACAGGAGTCCTGACGTCACTGAAGAAACTCGTGTTTTGAAGGGCCATCCCCGCCGTAAGTCGAGAACATACCCCAGGTCCCCGCCGCAACTCGAGAAAAACCATGAGACTTCCCCCTAGAGGCGAGATGAGGCCCCATTCCCCTGCAGTGCATGCAGAGCTATTCCGTGGTCCCATTCAAGCAAGTCAGGAGCTTCGACTTGCTTAATGGTTCTCGAGACAGTCCCCAAGAACACTGTCACCAGTCTCGACGGACCCTGAGGTCACCACAGCAACGCAAAGCAGCTCCATGGGCCCCAAATCAACTCGAGATGAGGCCCGATTCCCCTGCATTGACTCCAGAGCCATTCCCCGTTCCCCATTCAACACGACCGGTGGCTCGACTTCCTTCAGGCAACTCCAGAGATGCCCCGAGAACACTGTCCCAAGTCTAGAGGAACACCAACTTCAGCACGGCAACTCGAGGAATGCTCCGTGTACCCCAAATCGTCTCGAGATGAGAGCTGATTCCCTGGCTTAGGCACAAGACGTATGCCAACTTTCAAGACGCACCTCAGGAGGAGGCTTCTCTCAGCAACAGGTATGTGGGAGGGACCCCAAGTTCGCTGCCTCAAGGGCAATATACAGCGAGAAGCCCTAACTTGAAAGGAGGCCGGATTTCCTTGCAGTGGCTTGAATACAGGCTCGTCTTTCATCTCACAACATGAAGGGATGTCTGAATCCCCTGTGGAGACCTTAGAGAAAGCCCTAGGTCCCTGGCTCATTTTGACGGAATGCCTCACATCCCGTTGACACCTCAAGAGGCACACGAAGTTCATTGCTTAAAAAGGTGACGATGCCTCACTCCTCTTGAATACTGATAGGAATCCCAAAATACCTGTGGCTACTGGAAAGGGTCCTTGGGTGCCCTGACTCACCTCGAGAAGCGTCCCTTTTGCCCTGCCAAGCCTCGAAGAGATTCCTGAGGTGTCCCTCGTTACTAGACAGGAGTCCTGACGTCACTGAAGAAACTCGTGTTTTGAAGGGCCATCCCTGCCGTAAGTCGAGAACATACCCCAGGTCCCCGCCGCAACTCGAGAAAAACCATGAGACTTCCCCCTAGAGGCGAGATGAGGCCCCATTCCCCTGCAGTGCATGCAGAGCTATTCCGTGGTCCCATTCAAGCAAGTCAGGAGCTTCGACTTGCTTAATGCTTCTCGAGACAGTCCCCAAGAACACTGTCACCACTCTCGACGGACCCTGAGGTCACCCCAGCAACGCAAAGCAGCTCCATGGGCCCCAAATCAACTCGAGATGAGGCCCGATTCCCATGCATTGACTGCAGAGCCATTCCCCGTTCCCCATTCAACACGACCGGTGGCTCGACTTCCTTCAGGCAACTCCAGAGATACCCCGAGAACACTCTCCCAAGTCTAGAGGAACACCAACTTCAGCACAGCAACTCGAGGAATGCTCCGTGTACCCCAAATCGTCTCGAGATGAGAGCTGATTCCCTGGCTTAGGCTCAAGACGTATGCCAACTTTCCAGACGCACCTCAGGAGGAGGCTTCTCTCAGCAATATGTATGTGGGAGGGACCCCGAGTTCGCTGCCTCAAGGGCAATATACAGCGAGAAGCCCTAATTTGAAAGGAGGCCGGATTTCCTTGCAGTGGCTTGAATACAGGCTCGTCTTTCATCTCACGACATGAAGGGATGTCTGAATCCCCTGTGGAGACCTTAGAGAAAGCCCTAGGTCCCTGCCTCATTTTGACGGAATGCCTCACATCCCGTTGACACCTCAAGAGGCACGCGAAGTTCATTGCTTCAAAAGGTGACAATGCCTCACTCCTCTTGAATACTGATAGGAATCCCAAAATCCCTGTGGCTACTGGAAAGGGTCCTTGGGTGCCCTGCCTCACCTCGAGAAGCGTCCCTTTTGCCCTGCCAAGCCTCGAAGAGATTCCTGAGGTGTCCCTCGTTACTAGACAGGAGTCCTGACGTCACTGAAGAAACTCGTGTTTTGAAGGGCCATCCCCGCCGTAAGTCGAGAACATACCCCAGGTCCCCGCCGCAACTCGAGAAAAACCATGAGACTTCCCCCTAGAGGCGAGATGAGGCCCCATTCCCCTGCAGTGCATGCAGAGCTATTCCGTGGTCCAATTCAAGCAAGTCAGGAGCTTCGACTTGCTTAATGCTTCTCGAGACAGTCCCCAAGAACACTGTCACCAGTCTCGACGGACCCTGAGGTCACCCCAGCAACGCAAAGCAGCTCCATGGGCCCCAAATCTACTCGAGATGAGGCCCGATTCCCCTGCATTGACTCCAGAGCCATTCCCGGTTCCCCATTCAACACGACCGGTGGCTCGACTTCCTTCAGGCAACTCCAGAGATGCCCCGAGAACACTGTCCCAAGTCTAGAGGAACACCAACTTCAGCACGGCAACTCGAGGAATGCTCCGTGTACCCCAAATCGTCTCGAGATGAGAGGTGATTCCCTGGCTTAGGCACAAGACGTATGCCAACTTTCAAGACGCACCTCAGGAGGAGGCTTCTCTCAGCAATAGGTATGTGGGAGGGACCCCGAGTTCGCTGCCTCAAGGGCAATATACAGTGAGAAGCCCTAACTTGAAAGGAGGCCGGATTTCCTTGCAGTGGCTTGAATACAGGCTCGTCTTTCATCTCACAACATGAAGGGATGTCTGAATCCCCTGTGGAGACCTTAGAGAAAGCCCTAGGTCCCTGGCTCATTTTGACGGAATGCCTCACATCCCGTTGACACCTCAAGATGCACACGAAGTTCATTGCTTAAAAAGGTGACAATGCCTCACTCCTCTTGAATACTGATAGGAATCCCAAAATCCCTGTGGCTACTGGAAAGGGTCCTTGGGTGCCTTGCCTCACCTCGAGAAGCGTCCCTTTGGCCCTGCCAAGCCTCGAAGAGATTCCTGAGGTGTCCCTCGTTACTAGACAGGAGTCCTGACGTCACTGAAGAAACTCGTGTTTTGAAGGGCCATCCCCGCCGTAAGTCGAGAACATACCCCAGGTCCCCGCCGCAACTCGAGAAAAACCATGAGACTTCCCCCTAGAGGCGAGATGAGACCCCATTCCCCTGCAGTGCATGCAGAGCTATTCCGTGGTCCCATTCAAACAAGTCAGGAGCTTCGACTTGCTTAATGGTTCTCGAGACAGTCCCCAAGAACACTGTCACCAGTCTCGACGGACCCTGAGGTCACCCCAGCAACGCAAAGCAGCTCCATGGGCCCCAAATCAACTCGAGATGAGGCCCGATTCCCCTGCATTGACTCCAGAGCCATTCCCGGTTCCCCATTCAACACGACCGGTGGCTCGACTTCCTTCAGGGAACTCCAGAGATGCCCCGAGAACACTGTCCCAAGTCTAGAGGAACACCAACTTCAGCACGGCAACTCGAGGAATGCTCCGTGTACCCCAAATCGTCTCGAGGTGAGAGGTGATTCCTTGGCTTAGGCTCAAGACGTATGCCAACTATCCAGACGCACCTCAGGAGGAGGCTTCTCTCAGCAATATGTATGTGGGAGGGACCCCGAGTTCGCTGCCTCAAGGGCAATATACAGCGAGAAGCCCTAACTTGAAAGGAGGCCGGATTTCCTTGCAGTGGCTTGAATACAGGCTCGTCTTTCATCTCACGACATGAAGGGATGTCTGAATCCCCTGTGGAGACCTTAGAGAAAGCCCTAGGTCCCTGCCTCATTTTGACGGAATGCCTCACATCCCGTTGACACCTCAAGAGGCACGCGAAGTTCATTGCTTCAAAAGGTGACAATGCCTCACTCCTCTTGAATACTGATAGGAATCCCAAAATCCCTGTGGCTACTGGAAAGGGTCCTTGGGTGCCCCGCCTCACCTCGAGAAGCGTCCCTTTTGCCCTGCCAAGCCTCGAAGAGATTCCTGAGGTGTCCCTCGTTACTAGACAGGAGTCCTGACGTCACTGAAGAAACTCGTGTTTTGAAGGGCCATCCCCGCCGTAAGTCGAGAACATACCCCAGGTCCCCGCCGCAACTCGAGAAAAACCATGAGACTTCCCCCTAGAGGCGAGATGAGGCCCCATTCCCCTGCAGTGCATGCAGAGCTATTCCGTGGTCCAATTCAAGCAAGTCAGGAGCTTCGACTTGCTTAATGCTTCTCGAGACAGTCCCCAAGAACACTGTCACCAGTCTCGACGGACCCTGAGGTCACCCCAGCAACGCAAAGCAGCTCCATGGGCCCCAAATCAACTCGAGATGAGGCCCGATTCCCCTGCATTGACTCCAGAGCCATTCCCCGTTCCCCATTCAACACGACCGGTGGCTCGACTTCCTTCAGGCAACTCCAGAGATGCCCCGAGAACGCTGTCTCAAGTCTAGAGGAACACCAACTTCAGCACGGCAACTCGATGAACGCTCCGTGTACCCCCAATCGTCTCAAGATGAGAGGTGATTCCCTGGCTTTGGCTCAAGACGTATGCCAACTTTCAAGACGCACCTCAGGAGGAGGCTTCTCTCAGCAATAGGTATGTGGGAGGGACCCCGAGTTCGCTGCCTCAAGGGCAATATACAGCGAGAAGCCCTAACTTGAAAGGAGGCCGGATTTCCTTGCCGTGGCTTGAATACAGGCTCGTCTTTCTTCTCACAACATGAAGGGTTGTCTGAATCCCCTGTGGAGACCTTAGAGAAAGCCCTAGTTCCCTGCCTCATTTGGACGGAATGCCTCACATCCCGTTGACACCTCGAGAGGCACGCGGAGTTCATTGCTTCAAAAGGTGACGATGCCTCACTCCTCTTGAATTCTGATAGGAATCCCAAAATCCCTGTGGCTACTGGAAAGGGTCCTTGGGTGCCCTGCCTCACCTCAAGAAGCGTCCCATTTGCACTGCCAAGCCTCGATGAGATTCCTGAGGTGTCCCTCGTTACTAGACAGGAGTCCTGACGTCACTGAAGAAACTCGTGTTTTGAAGGGCCATCCCTGCCGTAAGTCGAGAACATACCCCAGGTCCCCGCCGCAACTCGAGAAAAACCATGAGACTTCCCCCTAGAGGCGAGATGAGACCCCATTCCCCTGCAGTGCATGCAGAGCTATTCCGTGGTCCCATTCAAACAAGTCAGGAGCTTCGACTTGCTTAATGGATCTCAAGACAGTCCTCAAGAACACTGTCACCAGTCTCGATGGACCCTGAGGTCACCCCAGCAACGCAAAGCAGCTCCATGTGCCCCAAATCAACTCGAGATTAGGCCCGATTCCCCTGCATTGATTCCAGAGCCATTCCCCGTTCCCATTCATCACGAACGGTGGCTCGACTTCCATCAGGCAACTCCAGAGATACCCCGAGAACACTGTCCCAAGTCTAGAGGAACACCAACTTCAGCACAGCAACTTGAGGAATGCTCCGTGTACACCAAATCGTCTCGAGATGAGAGCTGATTCCCTGGCTTAGGCTCAAGACGTATGCCAACTTTCCAGACGCACCTCAGGAGGAGGCTTCTCTCAGCAATAGGTATGTGGGAGGGACCCCGAGTTCGCTGCCTCAAGGGCAATATACAGCGAGAAGCCCTAACTTGAAAGGAGGCCGGATTTCCTTGCAGTGGCTTGAATACAGGCTCGTCTTTCATCTCACAACATGAAGGGATGTCTGAATCCCCTGTGGAGACCTTAGAGAAAGCCCTAGGTCCCTGCCTCATTTTCACGGAATGCCTCACATCCCGTTGACACCTCAAGAGGCACGCGAAGTTCATTGCTTCAAAAGGTGACAATGCCTCACTCCTCTTGAATACTGATAGGAATACCAAAATCACTTTGGTACTGGAAAGGGTCCTTGGGTGCCCTGCCTCACCTCGAGAAGCGTCCCTTTTGCCCTGCCAAGCCTCGAAGAGATTCCTGAGGTGTCCCTCGTTACTAGACAGGAGTCCTGACGTCACTGAAGAAACTCGTGTTTTGAAGGGCCATCCCCGCCGTAAGTCGAGAACATACCCCAGGTCCCCGCCGCAACTCGAGAAAAACCATGAGACTTCCCCCTAGAGGCGAGATGAGGCCCCATTCCCCTGCAGTGCATGCAGAGCTATTCCGTGGTCCCATTCAAGCAAGTCAGGAGCTTCGACTTGCTTAATGGTTCTCGAGACAGTCCCCAAGAACACTGTCACCAGTCTCGACGGACCCTGAGGTCACCACAGCAACGCAAAGCAGCTCCATGGGCCCCAAATCAACTCGAGATGAGGCCCGATTCCCCTGCATTGACTCCAGAGCCATTCCCCGTTCCCCATTCAACACGACCGGTGGCTCGACTTCCTTCAGGCAACTCCAGAGATGCCCCGAGAACACTGTCCCAAGTCTAGAGGAACACCAACTTCAGCACGGCAACTCGAGGAATGCTCCGTGTACCCCAAATCGTCTCGAGATGAGAGCTGATTCCCTGGCTTAGGCACAAGACGTATGCCAACTTTCAAGACGCACCTCAGGAGGAGGCTTCTCTCAGCAACAGGTATGTGGGAGGGACCCCAAGTTCGCTGCCTCAAGGGCAATATACAGCGAGAAGCCCTAACTTGAAAGGAGGCCGGATTTCCTTGCAGTGGCTTGAATACAGGCTCGTCTTTCATCTCACAACATGAAGGGATGTCTGAATCCCCTGTGGAGACCTTAGAGAAAGCCCTAGGTCCCTGGCTCATTTTGACGGAATGCCTCACATCCCGTTGACACCTCAAGAGGCACACGAAGTTCATTGCTTCAAAAGGTGACGATGCCTCACTCTTCTTGAATACTGATAGGAATCCCAAAATCCCTGTGGCTACTGGAAAGGGTCCTTGGGTGCCCTGACTCACCTCGAGAAGCGTCCCTTTTGCCCTGCCAAGCCTCGAAGAGATTCCTGAGGTGTCCCTCGTTACTAGACAGGAGTCCTGACGTCACTGAAGAAACTCGTGTTTTGAAGGGCCATCCCTGCCGTAAGTCGAGAACATACCCCAGGTCCCCGCCGCAACTCGAGAAAAACCATGAGACTTCCCCCTAGAGGCGAGATGAGGCCCCATTCCCCTGCAGTGCATGCAGAGCTATTCCGTGGTCCCATTCAAGCAAGTCAGGAGCTTCGACTTGCTTAATGCTTCTCGAGACAGTCCCCAAGAACACTGTCACCAGTCTCGACGGACCCTGAGGTCACCCCAGCAACGCAAAGCAGCTCCATGGGCCCCAAATCTACTCGAGATGAGGCCCGATTCCCCTGCATTGACTCCAGAGCCATTCCCGGTTCCCCATTCAACACGACCGGTGGCTCGACTTCCTTCAGGCAACTCCAGAGATGCCCCGAGAACACTGTCCCAAGTCTAGAGGAACACCAACTTCAGCACGGCAACTCGAGGAATGCTCCGTGTACCCCAAATCGTCTCGAGGTGAGAGGTGATTCCCTGGCTTAGGCTCAAGACGTATGCCAACTTTCCAGACGCAACTCAGGAGGAGGCTTCTCTCAGCAATAGGTATGTGGGAGGGAGCCAGAGTTCGCTGCCTCAAGGGCAATATACAGCGAGAAGCCCTAACTTGAAAGTAGGCCGGATTTCCTTGCAGTGGCTTGAATACAGACTCGTCTTTCATCTCACAACATGAAGGGATGTCTGAATCATCTGTGGAGACCTTAGAGAAAGCCCTAGGTCCCTGCCTCATTTAGACGGAATGCCTCACATCCCGTTGACACCTCGAGAGGCACGCGGAGTTCATTGCTTCCAAAAGCGACGATGCCTGACTCCTCTTGAATTCTGATAGGAATCCCAAAATCACTGTGGCTACTGGAAAGGGTTCTTGGGTGCCCTGCCTCACCTCAAGAAGCGTCCCATTTGCACTGCCAAGCCTCGATGAGATTCCTGAGGTGTCCCTCGTTACTAGACAGGAGTCCTGACGTCATTGAAGAAACTCGTGTTTTGAAGGGCCATCCCCGCCGTAAGTCGAGAACATACCCCAGGTCCCCGCCGCAACTCGAGAAAAACCATGAGACTTCCCCCTAGAGGCGAGATGAGGCCCCATTCCCCTGCAGTGCATGCAGAGCTATTCCGTGGTCCCATTCAAGCAAGTCAGGAGCTTCGACTTGCTTAATGGTTCTCGAGACAGTCCCCAAGAACACTGTCACCACTCTCGACGGACCCTGAGGTCACCCCAGCAACGCAAAGCAGCTCCATGGGCCCCAAATCAACTCGAGATGAGGCCCGATTCCCATGCATTGACTGCAGAGCCATTCCCCGTTCCCCATTCAACACGACCGGTGGCTCGACTTCCTTCAGGCAACTCCAGAGATACCCCGAGAACACTCTCCCAAGTCTAGAGGAACACCAACTTCAGCACAGCAACTCGAGGAATGCTCCGTGTACCCCAAATCGTCTCGAGATGAGAGCTGATTCCCTGGCTTAGGCTCAAGACGTATGCCAACTTTCCAGACGCACCTCAGGAGGAGGCTTCTCTCAGCAATATGTATGTGGGAGGGACCCCGAGTTCGCTGCCTCAAGGGCAATATACAGCGAGAAGCCCTAATTTGAAAGGAGGCCGGATTTCCTTGCAGTGGCTTGAATACAGGCTCGTCTTTCATCTCACGACATGAAGGGATGTCTGAATCCCCTGTGGAGACCTTAGAGAAAGCCCTAGGTCCCTGCCTCATTTTAACGGAATGCCTCACATCCAGTTGACACCTCAAGAGGCACGCGAAGTTCATTGCTTCAAAAGGTGACAATGCCTCACTCCTCTTGAATACTGATAGGAATCCCAAAATCCCTGTGGCTACTGGAAAGGGTCCTTGGGTGCCCTGCCTCACCTCGAGAAGCGTCCCTTTTGCCCTGCCAAGCCTCGAAGAGATTCCTGAGGTGTCCCTCGTTACTAGACAGGAGTCCTGACGTCACTGAAGAAACTCGTGTTTTGAAGGGCCATCCCCGCCGTAAGTCGAGAACATACCCCAGGTCCCCGCCGCAACTCGAGAAAAACCATGAGACTTCCCCCTAGAGGCGAGATGAGGCCCCATTCCCCTGCAGTGCATGCAGAGCTATTCCGTGGTCCAATTCAAGCAAGTCAGGAGCTTCGACTTGCTTAATGCTTCTCGAGACAGTCCCCAAGAACACTGTCACCAGTCTCGACGGACCCTGAGGTCACCCCAGCAACGCAAAGCAGCTCCATGGGCCCCAAATCAACTCGAGATGAGGCCCGATTCCCCTGCATTGACTCCAGAGCCATTCCCCGTTCCCCATTCAACACGACCGGTGGCTCGACTTCCTTCAGGAAACTCCAGAGATGCCCCGAGAACACTGTCCCAAGTCTAAAGGAACACCAACTTCAGTACAGCAACTCGAGGAATGCTCCATGTACCCCAAATCATCTCGAGATGAGAGCTGATTCAGTGGCTTAGGCTCAAGACGTATGCCAAATTTCCAGACGCACCTCAGGAGGAGGCTTCTCTCAGCAATAGGTATGTGGGAGGGACCCCGAGTTCGCTGCCTCAAGGGCAATATACAGCGAGAAGCCCTAACTTGAAAGGAGGCCGGATTTCCTTGCCGTGGCTTGAATACAGGCTCGTCTTTCATCTCACAACATGAAGGGATGTCTGAATCCCCTGTGGAGACCTTAGAGAAAGCCCTAGGTCCCTGCCTCATTTTGACGGAATGCCTCACATCCCGTTGACACCTCAAGAGGCACGCGAAGTTCATTGCTTCAAAAGGTGACAATGCCTGACTCCTCTTGAATACTGATAGGAATCCCAAAATCCCTGTGGCTACTGGAAAGGGTCCTTGGGTGCCCTGCCTCACCTCGAGAAGCGTCCCTTTTGCCCTGCCAAGCCTCGAAGAGATTCCTGAGGTGTCCCTCGTTACTAGACAGGAGTCCTGACGTCACTGACGAAACTCGTGTTTTGAAGGGCCATCCCCGCCGTAAGTCGAGAACATACCCCAGGTCCCCGCCGCAACTCGAGAAAAACCATGAGACTTCCCCCTAGAGGCGAGATGAGGCCCCATTCCCCTGCAGTGCATGCAGAGCTATTCCGTGGTCCCATTCAAGCAAGTCAGGAGCTTCGACTTGCTTAATGCTTCTCGAGACAGTCCCCAAGAACACTGTCACCAGTCTCGACGGACCCTGAGGTCACCCCAGCAACGCAAAGCAGCTCGATGGGCCCCAAATCAACTCGAGATGAGGCCCGATTCCCCTGCATTGACTCCAGAGCCATTCCCCGTTCCCCATTCAACACGACCGGTGGCTCGACTTCCTTCAGGCAACTCCAGAGATGCCCCGAGAACACTGTCTCAAGTCTAGAGGAACACCAACTTCAGCACGGCAACTCGATGAACGCTCCGTGTACCCCAAATCGTCTCAAGATGAGAGGTGATTCCCTGGCTTAGGCTCAAGACGTATGCCAACTTTCAAGACGCACCTCAGGAGGAGGCTTCTCTCAGCAATAGGTATGTGGGAGGGACCCCGAGTTCGCTGCCTCAAGGGCAATATACAGCGAGAAGCCCTAACTTGAAAGGAGGCCGGATTTCCTTGCAGTGGCTTGAATACAGGCTCGTCTTTCTTCTCACAACATGAAGGGGTGTCTGAATCCCCTGTGGAGACCTTAGAGAAAGCCCTAGGTCCCTGCCTCATTTGGACGGAATGCCTCACATCCCGTTGACACCTCGAGAGGCACGCGGAGTTCATTGCTTCAAAAGGTGACGATGCGTCACTCCTCTTGAATTCTGATAGGAATCCCAAAATCCCTGTGGCTACTGGAAAGGGTCCTTGGGTGCCCTGCCTCACTTCAAGAAGCGTCCCATTTGCACTGCCAAGCCTCGATGAGATTCCTGAGGTGTCCCTCGTTACTAGACAGGAGTCCTGACGTCACTGAAGAAACTCGTGTTTTGAAGGGCCATCCCCGCCATAAGTCGAGAACATACCCCAGGTCCCCGCCGCAACTCGAGAAAAACCATGAGACTTCCCCCTAGAGGCGAGATGAGACCCCATTCCCCTGCAGTGCATGCAGAGCTATTCCGTGGTCCCATTCAAACAAGTCAGGAGCTTCGACTTGCTTAATGGATCTCTAGACAATCCCCAAGAACACTGTCACCAGTCTCGACGGAACCTGAGGTCACCCCAGCAACGCAAAGCAGCTCCATGTGCCCCAAATCAACTCGAGATGAGGCCCGATTCCCCTGCATTGACTCCAGAGCCATTCCCCGTTCCCCATTCAACACGAACTGTGGCTCGACTTCCTTCAGGCAACTCCAGAGATACCCCGAGAACACTGTCCCAAGTCTAGAGGAACACCAACTTCAGCACGGCAACTCGAGGAATGCTCCGTGTACCCCAAATCGTCTCGAGATGAGAGCTGATTCCCTGGCTTAGGCTCAAGACGTATGCCAACTTTCCAGACGCACCTCAGGAGGAGGCTTCTCTCAGCAATAGGTATGTGGGAGGGACACCGAGTTCGCTGCCTCAAGGGCAATATACAGCGAGAAGCCCTAACTTGAAAGGAGGCTGGATTTCCTTGCAGTGGCTTGAATACAGGCTCGTTTTTCACCTCACAACATGAAGGGATGTCTGAATCCCCTGTGGAGTCCTTAGAGAAAGCCCAAGTTCCCTGCCTCATTTTGACGGAATGCCTCACATCCCGCTGACACCTCAAGAGGCATGCGAAGTTCATTGTTTCAAAAGGTGACAATGCCTCACTCCTCTTGAATACTGATAGGAATCCCAAAATCACTGTGGCTACTGGAAAGGGTCCTTGGGTGCCCTGACTCACCTCGAGAAGCGTCCCTTTTGCCCTGCCAAGCCTCGAAGAGATTCCTGAGGTGTCCCTCGTTACTAGACAGGAGTCCTGACGTCACTGAAGAAACTCGTGTTTTGAAGGGCCATCCCCGCCGTAAGTCGAGAACATACCCCAGGTCCCCGCCGCAACTCGAGAAAAACCATGAGACTTCCCGCTAGAGGCGAGATGAGACCCCATTCCCCTGCAGTGCATGCAGAGCTATTCCGTGGTCCCATTCAAGCAAGTCAGGAGCTTCGACTTGCTTAATGGATCTCGAGACAGTCCCCAAGAACACTGTCACCAGTCTCGACGGACACTGAGGACACCCCAGCAACACAAAGCAGCTCCATGGGCCCCAAATCAACTCGAGATGAGGCCCGATTCCCCTGCATTGACTCCAGAGCCATTCCCCGTTCCCCATTCAACACGACCGGTGGCTCGACTTCCTTCAGGCAACTCCAGAGATGCCCCGAGAACACTGTCCCAAGTCTAGAGGAACACCAACTTCAGCACGGCAACTCGAGGAATGCTCCGTGTACCCCAAATCGTCTCGAGATGAGAGCTGATTCCCTGGCTTAGGCTCAAGACGTATGCCAACTTTCCAGACGCACCTCAGGAGGAGGCTTCTCTCAGCAATAGGTATGTGGGAGGGACCCCGAGTTCGCTGCCTCAAGGGCAATATACAGCGAGAAGCCCTAACTTGAAAGGAGGCCGGATTTCCTTGCAGTGGCTTGAATACAGGCTCGTCTTTCATCTCACAACATGAAGGGATCTCTGAATCCCCTGTGGAGACCTTAGAGAAAGCCCTAGGTCCCTGCCTCATTTGGACGGAATGCCTCACATCCCGTTGACACCTCGAGAGGCACGCGGAGTTCATTGCTTCAAAAGGTGACGATGCCTGACTCCTCTTGAATTCTGATAGGAATCCCAAAATCACTGTGGCTACTGGAAAGGGTCCTTGCGTGCCCTGCCTCACCTCAAGAAGCGTCCCATTTGCACTGCCAAGCCTCGATGAGATTCCTGAGCTGTCCCTCGTTACTAGACAGGAGTCCTGACGTCACTGAAGAAACTCGTGTTTTGAAGGGCCATCCCCGCCGTAAGTCGAGAACATACCCCAGGTCCCCGCCGCAACTCGAGAAAAACCATGAGACTTCCCCCTAGAGGCGAGATGAGACCCCATTCCCCTGCAGTGCATGCAGAGCTATTCCGTGGTCCCATTCAAACAAGTCAGGAGCTTCGACTTGCTTAATGGATCTCGAGACAGTCCCCAAGAACACTGTCACCAGTCTCGACGGACCCTGAGGTCACCCCAGCAACGCAAAGCAGCTCCATGGGCCCCAAATCAACTCGAGATGAGGCCCGATTCCCCTGCATTGACTCCAGAGCCATTCCCCGTTCCCCATTCAACACGACCGGTGGCTCGACTTCCTTCAGGCAACTCCAGAGATGCCCCGAGAACACTGTCTCAAGTCTAGAGGAACACCAACTTCAGCACGGCAACTCGATGAACGCTCCGTGTACCCCAAATCGTCTCAAGATGAGAGGTGATTCCCTGGCTTAGGCTCAAGACGTATGCCAACTTTCAAGACGCACCTCAGGAGGAGGCTTCTCTCAGCAATAGGTATGTGGGAGGGACCCCGAGTTCGCTGCCTCAAGGGCAATATACAGCGAGAAGCCCTAACTTGAAAGGAGGCCGGATTTCCTTGCAGTGGCTTGAATACAGGCTCGTCTTTCTTCTCACAACATGAAGGGATGTCTGAATCCCCTGTGGAGACCTTAGAGAAAGCCCTAGGTCCCTGCCTCATTTGGACGGAATGCCTCACATCCCGTTGACACCTCGAGAGGCACGCGGAGTTCATTGCTTGAAAAGGTGACGATGCCTCACTCCTCTTGAATTCTGATAGGAATCCCAAAATCCCTGTGGCTACTGGAAAGGGTCCTTGGGTGCCCTGCCTCACCTCAAGAAGCGTCCCATTTGCACTGCCAAGCCTCGATGAGATTCCTGAGGTGTCCCTCGTTACTAGACAGGAGTCCTGACGTCACTGAAGAAACTCGTGTTTTGAAGGGCCATCCCCGCCGTAAGTCGAGAACATACCCCAGGTCCCCGCCGCAACTCGAGAAAAACCATGAGACTTCCCCCTAGAGGCGAGATGAGACCCCATTCCCCTGCAGTGCATGCAGAGCTATTCCGTGGTCCCATTCAAACAAGTCAGGAGCTTCGACTTGCTTAATGGATCTCGAGACAATCCCCAAGAACACTGTCACCAGTCTCGACGGAACCTGAGGTCACCCCAGCAACGCAAAGCAGCTCCATGTGCCCCAAATCAACTCGAGATGAGGCCCGATTCCCCTGCATTGACTCCAGAGCCATTCCCCGTTCCCCATTCAACACGAACTGTGGCTCGACTTCCTTCAGGCAACTCCAGAGATACCCCGAGAACACTGTCCCAAGTCTAGAGGAACACCAACTTCAGCACGGCAACTCGAGGAATGCTCCGTGTACCCCAAATCGTCTCGAGATGAGAGCTGATTCCCTGGCTTAGGCTCAAGACGTATGCCAACTTTCCAGACGCACCTCAGGAGGAGGCTTCTCTCAGCAATAGGTATGTGGGAGGGACACCGAGTTCGCTGCCTCAAGGGCAATATACAGCGAGAAGCCCTAACTTGAAAGGAGGCTGGATTTCCTTGCAGTGGCTTGAATACAGGCTCGTTTTTCATCTCACAACATGAAGGGATGTCTGAATCCCCTGTGGAGACCTTAGAGAAAGCCCAAGTTCCCTGCCTCATTTTGACGGAATGCCTCACATCCCGCTGACACATCAAGAGGCACGCGAAGTTCATTGTTTCAAAAGGTGACAATGCCTCACTCCTCTTGAATACTGATAGGAATCCCAAAATCACTGTGGCTACTGGAAAGGGTCCTTGGGTGCCCTGACTCACCTCGAGAAGCGTCCCTTTTGCCCTGCCAAGACTCGAAGAGATTCCTGAGGTGTCCCTCGTTACTAGACAGGAGTCCTGACGTCACTGAAGAAACTCGTGTTTTGAAGGGCCATCCCCGCCGTAAGTCGAGAACATACCCCAGGTCCCCGCCGCAACTCGAGAAAAACCATGAGACTTCCCGCTAGAGGCGAGATGAGACCCCATTCCCCTGAAGTGCATGCAGAGCTATTCCGTGGTCCCATTCAAGCAAGTCAGGAGCTTCAACTTGCTTAATGGATCTCGAGACAGTCCCCAAGAACACTGTCACCAGTCTCGACGGACCCTGAGGACACCCCAGCAACACAAAGCAGCTCCATGGGCCCCAAATCAACTCAAGATGAGGCCCGATTCCCCTGCATTGACTCCAGAGCCATTCCCCGTTCCCCATTCAACACGACCGGTGGCTCGACTTCCTTCAGGCAACTCCAGAAATGCCCCGAGAACACTGTCCCAAGTCTAGAGGAACACCAACTTCAGCACGGCAACTCGAGGAATGCTCCGTGTACCACAAATCGTCTCGAGATGAGAGCTGATTCCCTGGCTTAGGCTCAAGACGTATGCCAACTTTCCAGACGCACCTCAGGAGGAGGCTTCTCTCAGCAATAGGTATGTGGGAGGGACCCCGAGTTCGCTGCCTCAAGGGCAATATACAGCGAGAAGCCCTAACTTGAAAGGAGGCCGGATTTCCTTGCAGTGGCTTGAATACAGGCTCGTCTTTCATCTCACAACATGAAGGGATCTCTGAATCCCCTGTGGAGACCTTAGAGAAAGCCCTAGGTCCCTGCCTCATTTGGACGGAATGCCTCACATCCCGTTGACACCTCGAGAGGCACGCGGAGTTCATTGCTTCAAAAGGTGACGATGCCTGACTCCTCTTGAATTCTGATAGGAATCCCAAAATCACTGTGGCTACTGGAAAGGGTCCTTGCGAGCCCTGCCTCACCTCAAGAAGCGTCCCATTTGCACTGCCAAGCCTCGATGAGATTCCTGAGGTGTCCCTCGTTACTAGACAGGAGTCCTGACGTCACTGAAGAAACTCGTGTTTTGAAGGGCCATCCCCGCCGTAAGTCGAGAACATACCCCAGGTCCCCGCCGCAACTCGAGAAAAACCATGAGACTTTCCCCTAGAGGCGAGATGAGACCCCATTCCCCTGCAGTGCATGCAGAGCTCTTCCGTGGTCCCATTCAAACAAGTCAGGAGCTTCGACTTGCTTAATGGATCTCGAGACAGTCCCCCAGAACACTGTCACCAGTCTCGACGGACCCTGAGGTCACCCCAGCAACGCAAAGCAGCTCCATGTGCCCCAAATCAACTCGAGATAAGGCCCGATTCCCCTGCATTGACTCCAGAGCCATTCCCCGTTCCCCATTCAACACGACCGGTGGCTCGACTTCCTTCAGGCAACTCCAGAGATGCCCCGAGAACACTGTCTCAAGTCTAGAGGAACACCAACTTCAGCACGGCAACTCGATGAACGCTCCGTGTACCCCAAATCGTCTCAAGATGAGAGGTGATTCCCTGGCTTAGGCTCAAGACGTATGCCAACTTTCAAGACGCACCTCAGGAGGAGGCTTCTCTCAGCAATAGGTATGTGGGAGGGACCCCGAGTTCGCTGCCTCAAGGGCAATATACAGCGAGAAGCCCTAACTTGAAAGGAGGCCGGATTTCCTTGCAGTGGCTTGAATACAGGCTCGTCTTTCTTCTCACAACATGAAGGGATGTCTGAATCCCCTGTGGAGACCTTAGAGAAAGCCCTAGGTCCCTGCCTCATTTGGACGGAATGCCTCACATCCCGTTGACACCTCGAGAGGCACGCGGAGTTCATTGCTTCAAAAGGTGACGATGCGTCACTCCTCTTGAATTCTGATAGGAATCCCAAAATCCCTGTGGCTACTGGAAAGGGTCCTTGGGTGCCCTGCCTCACCTCAAGAAGCGTCCCATTTGCACTGCCAAGCCTCGATGAGATTCCTGAGGTGTCCCTCGTTACTAGACAGGAGTCCTGACGTCACTGAAGAAACTCGTGTTTTGAAGGGCCATCCCCGCCATAAGTCGAGAACATACCCCAGGTCCCCGCCGCAACTCGAGAAAAACCATGAGACTTCCCCCTAGAGGCGAGATGAGACCCCATTCCCCTGCAGTGCATGCAGAGCTATTCCGTGGTCCCATTCAAACCAGTCAGGAGCTTCGACTTGCTTAATGGATCTCTAGACAATCCCCAAGAAAACTGTCACCAGTCTCGACGGAACCTGAGGTCACCCCAGCAACGCAAAGCAGCTCCATGTGCCCCAAATCAACTCGAGATGAGGCCCGATTCCCCTGCATTGACTCCAGAGCCATTCCCCGTTCCCCATTCAACACGAACTGTGGCTCGACTTCCTTCAGGCAACTCCAGAGATACCCCGAGAACACTGTCCCAAGTCTAGAGGAACACCAACTTCAGCACGGCAACTCGAGGAATGCTCCGTGTACCCCAAATCGTCTCGAGATGAGAGCTGATTCCCTGGCTTAGGCTCAAGACGTATGCCAACTTTCCAGACGCACCTCAGGAGGAGGCTTCTCTCAGCAATAGGTATGTGGGAGGGACACCGAGTTCGCTGCCTCAAGGGCAATATACAGCGAGAAGCCCTAACTTGAAAGGAGGCTGGATTTCCTTGCAGTGGCTTGAATACAGGCTCGTTTTTCATCTCACAACATGAAGGGATGTCTGAATCCCCTGTGGAGACCTTAGAGAAAGCCCAAGTTCCCTGCCTCATTTTGACGGAATGCCTCACATCCCGCTGACACCTCAAGAGGCATGCGAAGTTGATTGTTTCAAAAGGTGACAATGCCTCACTCCTCTTGAATACTGATAGGAATCCCAAAATCACTGTGGCTACTGGAAAGGGTCCTTGGGTGCCCTGACTCACCTCGAGAAGCGTCCCTTTTGCCCTGCCAAGCCTCGAAGAGATTCCTGAGGTGTCCCTCGTTACTAGACAGGAGTCCTGACGTCACTGAAGAAACTCGTGTTTTGAAGGGCCATCCCCGCCGTAAGTCGAGAACATACCCCAGGTCCCCGCCGCAACTCGAGAAAAACCATGAGACTTCCCCCTAGAGGCGAGATGAGACCCCATTCCCCTGCAGTGCATGCAGAGCTATTCCGTGGTCCCATTCAAACAAGTCAGGAGCTTCGACTTGCTTAATGGATCTCGAGACAGTCCCCAAGAACACTGTCACCAGTCTCGACGGACCCTGAGGTCACCCCAGCAACGCAAAGCAGCTCCATGGGCCCCAAATCAACTCGAGATGAGGCCCGATTCCCCTGCATTGACTCCAGAGCCATTCCCCGTTCCCCATTCAACACGAACTGTGGCTCGACTTCCTTCAGGCAACTCCAGAGATACCCCGAGAACACTGTCCCAAGTCTAGAGGAACACCAACTTCAGCACGGCAACTCGAGGAATGCTCCGTGTACCCCAAATCGTCTCGAGATGAGAGCTGATTCCCTGGCTTAGGCTCAAGACGTATGCCAACTTTCCAGACGCACCTCAGGAGGAGGCTTCTCTCAGCAATAGGTATGTGGGAGGGACACCGAGTTCGCTGCCTCAAGGGCAATATACAGCGAGAAGCCCTAACTTGAAAGGAGGCTGGATTTCCTTGCAGTGGCTTGAATACAGGCTCGTTTTTCATCTCACAACATGAAGGGATGTCTGAATCCCCTGTGGAGACCTTAGAGAAAGCCCAAGTTCCCTGCCTCATTTTGACGGAATGCCTCACATCCCGCTGACACCTCAAGAGGCACGCGAAGTTCATTGTTTCAAAAGGTGACAATGCCTCACTCCTCTTGAATACTGATAGGAATCTCAAAATCACTGTGGCTACTGGAAAGGGTCCTTGGGTGCCCTGACTCACCTCGAGAAGCGTCCCTTTTGCCCTGCCAAGACTCGAAGAGATTCCTGAGGTGTCCCTCGTTACTAGACAGGAGTCCTGACGTCACTGAAGAAACTCGTGTTTTGAAGGGCCATCCCCACCGTAAGTCGAGAACATACCCCAGGTCCCCGCCGCAACTCGAGAAAAACCATGAGACTTCCCGCTAGAGGCGAGATGAGACCCCATTCCCCTGAAGTGCATGCAGAGCTATTCCGTGGTCCCATTCAAGCAAGTCAGGAGCTTCGACTTGCTTAATGGATCTCGAGACAGTCCCCAAGAACACTGTCACCAGTCTCGACGGACCCTGAGGACACCCCAGCAACACAAAGCAGCTCCATGGGCCCCAAATCAACTCAAGATGAGGCCCGATTCCCCTGCATTGACTCCAGAGCCATTCCCCGTTCCCCATTCAACACGACCGGTGGCTCGACTTCCTTCAGGCAACTCCAGAAATGCCCCGAGAACACTGTCCCAAGTCTAGAGGAACACCAACTTCAGCACGGCAACTCGAGGAATGCTCCGTGTACCACAAATCGTCTCGAGATGAGAGCTGATTCCCTGGCTTAGGCTCAAGACGTATGCCAACTTTCCAGACGCACCTCAGGAGGAGGCTTCTCTCAGCAATAGGTATGTGGGAGGGACCCCGAGTTCGCTGCCTCAAGGGCAATATACAGCGAGAAGCCCTAACTTGAAAGGAGGCCGGATTTCCTTGCAGTGGCTTGAATACAGGCTCGTCTTTCATCTCACAACATGAAGGGATCTCTGAATCCCCTGTGGAGACCTTAGAGAAAGCCCTAGGTCCCTGCCTCATTTGGACGGAATGCCTCACATCCCGTTGACACCTCGAGAGGCACGCGGAGTTCAGTGCTTCAAAAGGTGACGATGCCTGACTCCTCTTGAATTCTGATAGGAATCCCAAAATCACTGTGGCTACTGGAAAGGGTCCTTGCGTGCCCTGCCTCACCTCAAGAAGCGTCCCATTTGCACTGCCAAGCCTCGATGAGATTCCTGAGGTGTCCCTCGTTACTAGACAGGAGTCCTGACGTCACTGAAGAAACTCGTGTTTTGAAGGGCCATCCCCGCCGTAAGTCGAGAACATACCCCAGGTCCCCGCCGCAACTCGAGAAAAACCATGAGACTTCCCCCTAGAGGCGAGATGAGACCCCATTCCCCTGCAGTGCATGCAGAGCTATTCCGTGGTCCCATTCAAACAAGTCAGGAGCTTCGACTTGCTTAATGGATCTCGAGACAGTCCCCAAGAACACTGTCACCAGTCTCGACGGACCCTGAGGTCACCCCAGCAACGCAAAGCAGCTCCATGTGCCCCAAATCAACTCGAGATAAGGCCCGATTCCCCTGCATTGACTCCAGAGCCATTCCCCGTTCCCTATTCAACACGACCCGTGGCTCGACTTCCTTCAGGCAACTCCAGAGATACCCCGAGAACATTGTCCCAAGTCTAGAGGAACACCAACTTCAGCACAGCAACTCGAGGAATGCTCCGTGTACCCCAAATCGTCTCGAGATGAGAGGTGATTCCCTGGCTTAGGCTCAAGACGTATGCCAACTTTCCAGACGCACCTCAGGAGGAGGCTTCTCTCAGCAATAGGTATGTGGGAGGGACCCCGAGTTCGCTGCCTCAAGGGCAATATACAGCGAGAAGCCCTAACTTGAAAGGAGGCCGGATTTCCTTGCAGTAGCTTGAATACAGGCTCGTCTTTCATCTCACAACATGAAGGGATGTCTGAATCCCCTGTGGAGACCTTAGAGAAAGCCCTAGGTCCCTGCCTCATTTTGACGGAATGCCTCACATCCCGTTGACACCTCAAGAGGCACGCGAAGTTCATTGCTTCAAAAGGTGACAATGCCTCACTCCTCTTGAATACTGATAGGAATCCCAAAATCCCTGTGGCTACTGGAAAGGGTCCTTGGGTGCCCTGCCTCACCTCGAGAAGCGTCCCTTTTGCCCTGCCAAGCCTCGAAGAGATTCCTGAGGTGTCCCTCGTTACTAGACAGGAGTCCTGACGTCACTGAAGAAACTCGTCTTTTGAAGGGCCATCCCTGCCGTAAGTCGAGAACATAACCCAGGTCCCTGCCGCAACTCGAGAAAAACCATGAGACTTCCGCCTAGAGTCGAGATGAGGCCCCATTCCCCTGCAGTGCATGCAGAGCTATTCCGTGGTCCCATTCAAGCAAGCCAGGGGCTTCGACTTGCTTAATGGTTCTCGAGACAGACCCCAAGAACACTGTCACCAGTCTCGACGACCCTGAGGTCACCCCAGCAACGCAAAGCAGCTCCATGGGCCCCAAATCAACTCGAGATGAGGCCCGATTCCACTGCATTGACTCCAGAGCCATTCCCCGTTCCCCATTCAACACGACCGGTGGCTCGACTTCCTTCAGGCAACTCCAGAGATGCCCCGAAAACACTGTCCCAAGTCTAGAGGAACACGAACTTCAGCACGGCAACTCGATGAACGCTCCGTGTACCCCAAATCGTCTCGAGATGAGAGGTGATTCCCTGGCTTAGGCTCAAGACGTATGCCAACTTTCAAGACGCACCTCAGGAGGAGGCTTCTCTCAGCAATAGGTATGTGGGAGGGACCCCGATTTCGCTGCCTCAAGGGCAATATACAGCGAGAAGCCCTAACTTGAAAGGAGGCCGGATTTCCTTGCAGTTGCTTGAATACAGGCTCGTCTTTCTTCTCACAACATGAAGGGATGTCTGAATCCCCTGTGGAGACCTTAGAGAAGCCCTAGGTCCCTGCCTCATTTGGACGGAATGCCTCACATCACGTTGACACCTCGAGAGGCACGCGGAGTTCATTGCTTCAAAAGGTGACGATGCCTCACTCCTCTTGAATTCTGATAGGAATCCCAAAATCCCTGTGGCTACTGGAAAGGGTCCTTGGGTGCCCTGCCTCACCTCAAGAAGTGTCCCATTTGCACTGCCAAGCCTCGATGAGATTCCTGAGGTGTCCCTCGTTACTAGACAGGAGTCCTGACGTCACTGAAGAAACTCGTGTTTTGAAGGGCCATCCCCGCCGTAAGTCGAGAACATACCCCAGGTCCTCGCCGCAACTCGAGAAAAACCATGAGACTTCCCCCTAGAGGCGAGATGAGGCCCCATTCCCCTGCAGTGCATGCAGAGCTATTCCGTGGTCCCATTCAAACAAGTCAGGAGCTTCGACTTGCTTAATGGATCTCGAGACAGTCCCCAAGAACACTGTCACCAGTCTCGACGGACGCTGAGGTCACCCCAGCAACACAAAGCAGCTCCATGTGCCCCAAATCAACTCGAGATGAGGCCCGATTCCCCTGCATTGACTCCAGAGCCATTCCCCGTTCCCCATTCAACAAGACCGGTGGCTCGACTTCCTTCAGGCAACTCCAGAGATACCCCGAGAACACTGTCCCAAGTCTAGAGGAACACCAACTTCAGCACAGCAACTCGAGGAATGCTCCGTGTACCCCAAATCGTCTCGAGATGAGAGCTGATTCCCTGGCTTAGGCTCAAGACGTATGCCAACTTTCCAGACGCACCTCAGGAGGAGGCTTCTCTCAGCAATAGGTATGTGGGAGGGACCCCGAGTTCGCTGCCTCAAGGGCAATATACAGCGAGAAGCCCTAACTTGAAAGGAGGCCGGATTTCCTTGCAGTGGCTTGAATACAGGCTCGTCTTTCATTTCACGACATGAAGGGATGTCTGAATCCCCTGTGTAGACCTTAGAGAAAGCCCTAGCTCCCTGCCTCATTTTGACGGAATGCCTCACATCCCGTTGACACCTCAAGAGGCACGCGAAGTTCATTGCTTAAAAAGGTGACAATGCCTCACTCCTCTTGAATACTGATAGGAATCCCAAAATCCCTGTGGCTACTGGAAAGGGTCCTTGGGTGCCCTGCCTCACCTCGAGAAGCGTCCCTTTTGCCCTGCCAAGCCTCGAAGAGATTCCTGAGGTGTCCCTCGTTACTAGACAGGAGTCCTGACGTTACTGAAGAAACTCGTGTTTTGAAGGGCCATCCCCGCCGTAAGTCGAGAACATACCCCAGGTCCCCGCCGCAACTCGAGAAAAACCATGAGACTTCCCCCTAGAGGCGGGATGAGGCCCCATTCCCCTGCAGTGCATGCAGAGTTATTCCGTGGTCCCATTCAAGCAAGTCAGGAGCTTCGACTTGCTTAATGGTTCTCGAGACAGTCCCCAAGAACACTGTCACCAGTCTCGAAGGACCCTGAGGTCACCCCAGCAACGCAAAGCAGCTCCATGGGCCCCAAATCAACTCGAGATGAGGCCCGATTCCCCTGCATTGACTCCAGAGCCATTCCCCGTTCCCCATTCAACACGACCGGTGGCTCGACTTCCTTCAGGCAACTCCAGAGATGCCCCGAGAACACTGTCCCAAGTCTAGAGGAACACCAACTTCAGCACGGCAACTCGAGGAATGCTCCGTGTACCCCAAATCGTCTCGAGATGAGAGCTGATTCCCTGGCTTAGGCACAAGACGTATGCCAACTTTCAAGACGCACCTCAGGAGGAGGCTTCTCTCAGCAATAGGTATGTGGGAGGGACCCCGAGTTCGCTGCCTCAAGGGCAACATACAGCGAGAAGCCCTAACTTGAAAGGAGGCCGGATTTCCTTGCAGTGGCTTGAATACAGGCTCGTCTTTCATCTCACAACATGAAGGGATGTCTGAATCCCCTGTGGAGACCTTAGAGAAAGCCCTAGGTCCCTGCCTCATTTTGACGGAATGCCTCACATCCCGTTGACACCTCAAGAGGCACGCGAAGTTCATTGCTTCAAAAGGTGACAATGCCTCACTCCTCTTGAATACTGATAGGAATCCCAAAATCCCTGTGGCTACTGGAAAGGGTCCTTGGGTGCCCTGCCTCACCTCGAGAAGCGTCCCTTTTGCCCTGCCAAGCCTCGAAGAGATTCCTGAGGTGTCCCTCGTTACTAGACAGGAGTCCTGACGTCACTGAAGAAACTCGTGTTTTGAAGGGCCATCCCCGCCGTAAGTCGAGAACATACCCCAGGTCCCCGCCGCAACTCGAGAAAAACCATGAGACTTCCCCCTAGAGGCGAGATGAGGCCCCATTCCCCTGCAGTGCATGCAGAGTTATTCCGTGGTCCCATTCAAGCAAGTCAGGAGCTTCGACTTGCTTAATGGTTCTCGAGACAGTCCCCAAGAACACTGTCACCAGTCTCGACGGACCCTGAGCTCACCCCAGCAACGCAAAGCAGCTCCATGGGCCCCAAATCAACTCGAGATGAGGCCCGATTCCCCTGCATTGACTCCAGAGCCATTCCCGGTTCCCCATTCAACACGACCGGTGGCTCGACTTCCTTCAGGCAACTCCAGAGATGCCCCGAGAACACTGTCCCAAGTCTAGAGGAACACCAACTTCAGCACGGCAACTCGAGGAATGCTCCGTGTACCCCAAATCGTCTCGAGGTGAGAGGTGATTCCTTGGCTTAGGCTCAAGACGTATGCCAACTTTCCAGACGCACCTCAGGAGGAGGCTTCTCTCAGCAATAGGTATGTGGGAGGGACCCCGAGTTCGCTGCCTCAAGGGCAATATACAGCGAGAAGCCCTAACTTGAAAGGAGGCCGGATTTCCTTGCAGTGGCTTGAATACAGGCTCGTCTTTCATCTCACAACATGAAGGGATGTCTGAATCCCCTGTGGAGACCTTAGAGAAAGCCCTAGGTCCCTGCCTCATTTAGACGGAATGCCTCACATCCCGTTGACACCTCGAGAGGCACGCGGAGTTCATTGCTTCAAAAGGTGACGATGCCTGACTCCTCTTGAATTCTGATAGGAATCCCAAAATCACTGTGGCTACTGGAAAGGGTTCATGGGTGCCCTGCCTCACCTCAAGAAGCGTCCCATTTGCACTGCCAAGCCTCGATGAGATTCCTGAGGTGTCCCTCGTTACTAGACAGGACTCCTGACGTCACTGAAGAAACTCGTGTTTTGAAGGGCCATCCCCGCCGTAAGTCGAGAACATACCCCAGGTCCCCGCCGCAACTCGAGAAAAACCATGAGACTTCCCCCTAGAGGCGGGATGAGGCCCCATTCCCCTGCAGTGCATGCAGAGTTATTCCGTGGTCCCATTCAAGCAAGTCAGGAGCTTCGACTTGCTTAATGGTTCTCGAGACAGTCCCCAAGAACACTGTCACCAGTCTCGAAGGACCCTGAGGTCACCCCAGCAACGCAAAGCAGCTCCATGGGCCCCAAATCAACTCGAGATGAGGCCCGATTCCCCTGCATTGACTCCAGAGCCATTCCCCGTTCCCCATTCAACACGACCGGTGGCTCGACTTCCTTCAGGCAACTCCAGAGATGCCCCGAGAACACTGTCCCAAGTCTAGAGGAACACCAACTTCAGCACGGCAACTCGAGGAATGCTCGGTGTACCCCAAATCGTCTCGAGATGAGAGCTGATTCCCTGGCTTAGGCACAAGACGTATGCCAACTTTCAAGACGCACCTCAGGAGGAGGCTTCTCTCAGCAATAGGTATGTGGGAGGGACCCCGAGTTCGCTGCCTCAAGGGCAACATACAGCGAGAAGCCCTAACTTGAAAGGAGGCCGGATTTCCTTGCAGTGGCTTGAATACAGGCTCGTCTTTCATCTCACAACATGAAGGGATGTCTGAATCCCCTGTGGAGACCTTAGAGAAAGCCCTAGGTCCCTGCCTCATTTTGACGGAATGCCTCACATCCCGTTGACACCTCAAGAGGCACGCGAAGTTCATTGCTTCAAAAGGTGACAATGCCTCACTCCTCTTGAATACTGATAGGAATCCCAAAATCCCTGTGGCTACTGGAAAGGGTCCTTGGGTGCCCTGCCTCACCTCGAGAAGCGTCCCTTTTGCCCTGCCAAGCCTCGAAGAGATTCCTGAGGTGTCCCTCGTTACTAGACAGGAGTCCTGACGTCACTGAAGAAACTCGTGTTTTGAAGGGCCATCCCCGCCGTAAGTCGAGAACATACCCCAGGTCCCCGCCGCAACTCGAGAAAAACCATGAGACTTCCCCCTAGAGGCGAGATGAGGCCCCATTCCCCTGCAGTGCATGCAGAGCTATTCCGTGGTCCCATTCAAGCAAGTCAGGAGCTTCGACTTGCTTAATGGTTCTCGAGACAGTCCCCAAGAACACTGTCACCAGTCTCGACGGACCCTGAGCTCACCCCAGCAACGCAAAGCAGCTCCATGGGCCCCAAATCAACTCGAGATGAGGCCCGATTCCCCTGCATTGACTCCAGAGCCATTCCCGGTTCCCCATTCAACACGACCGGTGGCTCGACTTCCTTCAGGCAACTCCAGAGATGCCCCGAGAACACTGTCCCAAGTCTAGAGGAACACCAACTTCAGCACGGCAACTCGAGGAATGCTCCGTGTACCCCAAATCGTCTCGAGGTGAGAGGTGATTCCTTGGCTTAGGCTCAAGACGTATGCCAACTTTCCAGACGCACCTCAGGAGGAGGCTTCTCTCAGCAATAGGTATGTGGGAGGGACCCCGAGTTCGCTGCCTCAAGGGCAATATACAGCGAGAAGCCCTAACTTGAAAGGAGGCCGGATTTCCTTGCAGTGGCTTGAATACAGGCTCGTCTTTCATCTCACAACATGAAGGGATGTCTGAATCCCCTGTGGAGACCTTAGAGAAAGCCCTAGGTCCCTGCCTCATTTAGACGGAATGCCTCACATCCCGTTGACACCTCGAGAGGCACGCGGAGTTCATTGCTTCAAAAGGTGACGATGCCTGACTCCTCTTGAATTCTGATAGGAATCCCAAAATCACTGTGGCTACTGGAAAGGGTTCATGGGTGCCCTGCCTCACCTCAAGAAGCGTCCCATTTGCACTGCCAAGCCTCGATGAGATTCCTGAGGTGTCCCTCGTTACTAGACAGGACTCCTGACGTCACTGAAGAAACTCGTGTTTTGAAGGGCCATCCCCGCCGTAAGTCGAGAACATACCCCAGGTCCCCGCCGCAACTCGAGAAAAACAATGAGACTTCCCCCTAGGGGCGAAATGAGGCCCCATTCCCCTGCAGTGCATGCAGAGCTATTCCGTGGTCCCATTCAAACAAGTCAGGAGCTTCGACTTGCTTAATGGATCTCGAGACAGTCCCCAAGAACACTGTCACCAGTCTCGACGGACCCTGAGGTCACCCCAGCAACGCAAAGCAGCTCCATGTGCCCCAAATCAACTCGAGGTGAGGCCCGATTCCCCTGCATTGACTCCAGAGCCATTCCCCGTTCCCCATTCAACACGACCGGTGGCTCGACTTCCTTCAGGCAACTCCAGAGATACCCCGAGAACACTCTCCCAAGTCTAGAGGAACACCAACTTCAGCACAGCAACTCGAGGAATGCTCCGTGTACCCCAAATCGTCTCGAGATGAGAGCTGATTCCCTGGCTTAGGCTCAAGACGTATGCCAACTTTCCAGACGCACCTCAGGAGGAGGCTTCTCTCAGCAATAGGTATGTGGGAGGGACCCCGAGTTCGCTGCCTCAAGGGCAATATACAGCGAGAAGCCCTAACTTGAAAGGAGGCCGGATTTCCTTGCAGTGGCTTGAATACAGGCTCGTCTTTCATCTCACGACATGAAGGGATGTCTGAATCCCCTGTGGAGACCTTAGAGAAAGCCCTAGGTCCCTGCCTCATTTTGACGGAATGCCTCACATCCCGTTGACACCTCAAGAGGCACGCGAAGTTCATTGCTTCAAAAGGTGACAATGCCTCACTCCTCTTGAATACGGATAGGAATCCCAAAATCCCTGTGGCTACTGGAAAGGGTCCTTGGGTGCCCTGCCTCACCTCGAGAAGCGTCCCTTTTGCCCTGCCAAGCCTCGAAGAGATTCCTGAGGTGTCCCTCGTTACTAGACAGGAGTCCTGACGTCACTGAAGAAACTCGTGTTTTGAAGGGCCATCCCCGCCGTAAGTCGAGAACATACCCCAGGTCCCCGCCGCAACTCGAGAAAAACCATGAGACTTCCCCCTAGAGGCGAGATGAGACCCCATTCGCCTGCAGTGCATGCAGAGCTATTCCGTGGTCCCATTCAAACAAGTCAGGAGCTTCAACTTGCTTAATGGATCTCGAGACAGTCCTCAAGAACACTGTCACCAGTCTCGATGGACCCTGAGGTTACCCCAGCAACGCAAAGCAGCTCCATGTGCCCCAAATCAACTCGAGATGAGGCCCGATTCCCCTGCATTGATTCCAGAGCCATTCCCCGTTCCCATTCATCACGAACGGTGGCTCGACTTCCTTCAGGCAACTCCAGAGATGCCCCGAGAACACTGTCCCAAGTCTAGAGGAACACCAACTTCAGCACGGCAACTCGAGGAATGCTCCGTGTACCCCAAATCGTCTCGAGGTGAGAGGTGATTCCTTGGCTTAGGCTCAAGACGTATGCCAACTTTCCAGACGCACCTCAGGAGGAGGCTTCTCTCAGCAATAGGTATGTGGGAGGGACCCCGAGTTCGCTGCCTCAAGGGCAATATACAGCGAGAAGCCCTAACTTGAAAGGAGGCCGGATTTCCTTGCAGTGGCTTGAATACAGGCTCGTCTTTCATCTCACAACATGAAGGGATGTCTGAATCCCCTGTGGAGACCTTAGAGAAAGCCCTAGGTCCCTGCCTCATTTAGACGGAATGCCTCACATCCCGTTGACACCTCGAGAGGCACGCGGAGTTCATTGCTTCAAAAGGTGACGATGCCTGACTCCTCTTGAATTCTGATAGGAATCCCAAAATCACTGTGGCTACTGGAAAGGGTTCATGGATGCCCTGCCTCACCTCAAGAAGCGTCCCATTTGCACTGCCATGCCTCGATGAGATTCCTGAGGTGTCCCTCATTACTAGACAGGAGTCCTGACGTCACTGAATAAACTCGTGTTTTGAAGGGCCATCCCCGCCGTAAGTCGAGAACATACCGCAGGTCCCCGCCGCAACTCGAGAAAAACCATGAGACTTCCCCCTAGAGGCGAGATGAGGCCCCATTCCCCTGCAGTGCATGCAGAGCTATTCCGTGGTCCCATTCAAACAAGTCAGGAGCTTCGACTTGCTTAATGGATCTCGAGACAGTCCCCAAGAACACTGTCACCAGTCTCGACGGACGCTGAGGTCACCCCAGCAACGCAAAGCAGCTCCATGTGCCCCAAATCAACTCGAGATGAGGCCCGATTCCCCTGCATTGACTCCAGAGCCATTCCCCGTTCCCCATTCAACACGACCGGTGGCTCGACTTCCTTCAGGCAACTCCAGAGATACCCCGAGAACACTCTCCCAAGTCTAGAGGAACACCAACTTCAGCACAGCAACTCGAGGAATGCTCCGTTTACCCCAAATCGTCTCGAGATGAGAGCTGATTCCCTGGCTTAGGCTCAAGACGTATGCCAACTTTCCAGACGCACCTCAGGAGGAGGCTTCTCTCAGCAATAGGTATGTGGGAGGGACCCCGAGTTCGCTGCCTCAAGGGCAATATACAGCGAGAAGCCCTAACTTGAAAGGAGGCCGGATTTCCTTGCAGTGGCTTGAATACAGGCTCGTCTTTCTTCTCACAACATGAAGGGATGTCTGAATCCCCTGTGGAGACCTTAGAGAAAGCCCTAGGTCCCTGCCTCATTTTGACGGAATGCCTCACATCCCGTTGACACCTCGAGAGGCACGCGGAGTTCATTGCTTCAAAAGGTGACAATGCCTCACTCCTCTTGAATTCTGATAGGAATCCCAAAATCCCTGTGGCTACTGGAAAGGGTCCTTGGGTGCCCTGCCTCACCTCAAGAAGCGTCCCATTTGCACTGCCAAGCCTCGATGAGATTCCTGAGGTGTCCCTCGTTACTAGACAGGAGTCCTGACGTCACTGAAGAAACTCGTGTTTTGAAGGGCCATCCCCGCCGTAAGTCGAGAACATACCCCAGGTCCCCGCCGCAACTCGAGAAAAACCATGAGACTTCCCCCTAGAGTCGAGATGAGGCCCCATTCCCCTGCAGTGCATGCAGAGCTATTCCGTGGTCCCATTCAAACAAGTCAGGAGCTTCGACTTTCTTAATGGATCTCGAGACAGTCCCCAAGAACACTGTCACCAGTCTCGACGGACGCTGAGGTCACCCCAGCAACGCAAAGCAGCTCCATGTGCCCCAAATCAACTAGAGAAGAGACCCGATTCTCCTGCATTGACAACAGAGCCATTCCCCGTTCCCCATTCAACAAGACCGGTGGCTCGACTTCCTTCAGGCAACTCCAGAGATACCCCGAGAACACTGTCCCAAGTCTAGAGGAACAACAACTTCAGCACAGCAACTCGAGGAATGCTCCGTGTACCACAAATCGTCTCGAGATGAGAGGTGATTCCCTGGCTTAGGCTCAAGACGTATGCCAACTTTTCAGACGCACCTCAGGAGGAGGCTTCTCTCAGCAATAGGTATGTGGGAGGGACCCCGAGTTCGCTGCCTCAAGGGCAATATACAGCGAGAAGCCCTAACTTGAAAGGAGGCCGGATTTCCTTGCAGTGGCTTGAATACAGGCTCGTCTTTCATTTCACGACATGAAGGGATGTCTGAATCCCTTGTGGAGACCTTAGAGAAAGCCCTAGGTCCCTGCCTCATTTTGACGGAATGCCTCACATCCCGTTGACACCTCAAGAGGCACGCGAAGTTCATTGCTTCAAAAGGTGACAATGCCTCACTCCTCTTGAATACTGATAGGAATCCCAGAATCCCTGTGGCTACTGGAAAGGGTCCTTGGGTGCCCTGCCTCACCTCGAGAAGCGTCCCTTTTGCCCTGCCAAGCCTCGAAGAGATTCCTGAGGTGTCCCTCGTTACTAGACAGGAGTCCTGACGTCACTGAAGAAACTCGTGTTTTGAAGGGCCATCCCTGCCGTAAGTCGAGAACATACCCCAGGTCCCCACCGCAACTCGAGAAAAACCATGAGACTTCCCCCTAGAGGCGAGATGAGGCCCCATTCCCCTGCAGTGCATGCAGAGCTATTCCGTGGTCCCATTCAAACAAATCAGGAGCTTCGACTTGCTTAATGGTTCTCGAGACAGTCCCCAAGAACACTGTCACCAGTCTCGACGGACCCTGAGCTCACCCCAGCAACGCAAAGCAGCTCCATGGGCCCCAAATCAACTCGAGATGAGGCCCGATTCCCCTGCTTTGACTCCAGAGCCATTCCCGGTTCCCCATTCAACACGACCGGTGGCTCGACTTCCTTCAGGCAACTCCAGAGATGCCCCGAGAACACTGTCCCAAGTCTAGAGGAACACCAACTTCAGCACGGCAACTCGAGGAATGCTCCGTGTACCCCAAATCGTCTCGAGGTGAGAGGTGATTCCTTGGCTTAGGCTCAAGACGTATGCCAACTTTCCAGACGCACCTCAGGAGGAGGCTTCTCTCAGCAATAGGTATGTGGGAGGGACCCCGAGTTCGCTGCCTCAAGGGCAATATACAGCGAGAAGCCCTAACTTGAAAGGAGGCCGGATTTCCTTGCAGTGGCTTGAATACAGGCTCGTCTTTCATCTCACAACATGAAGGGATGTCTGAATCCCCTGTGGAGACCTTAGAGAAAGCCCTAGGTCCCTGCCTCATTTAGACGGAATGCCTCACATCCCGTTGACACCTCGAGAGGCACGCGGAGTTCATTGCTTCAAAAGGTGACGATGCCTGACTCCTCTTGAATTCTGATAGGAATCCCAAAATCACTGTGGCTACTGGAAAGGGTTCATGGGTGCCCTGCCTCACTTCAAGAAGCGTCCCATTTGCACTGCCAAGCCTCGATGAGATTCCTGAGGTGTCCCTCGTTACTAGACAGGAGTCCTGACGTCACTGAAGAAACTCGTGTTTTGAAGGGCCATCCCCGCCGTAAGTCGAGAACATACCCCAGGTCCCCGCCGCAACTCGAGAAAAACCATGAGACTTCCCCCTAGAGGCGAGATTAGGCCCCATTCCCCTGCAGTGCATGCAGAGCTATTCCGTGGTCCCATTCAAACAAGTCAGGAGCTTCGACTTGCTTAATGGATCTCGAGACAGTCCCCAAGAACACTGTCACCAGTCTCGACGGACGCTGAGGTCACCCCAGCAACGCAAAGCAGCACCATGTGCCCCAAATCAACTCGAGATGAGGCCCGATTCCCCTGCATTGACTCCAGAGCCATTCCCCGTTCCCCATTCAACACGACCGGTGGCTCGACTTCCTTCAGGCAACTCCAGAGATGCCCCGAGAACACTGTCCCAAGTCTAGAGGAACACCAACTTCAGCACGGCAACTCGAGGAATGCTCCGTGTACCCCAAATCGTCTCGAGATGAGACGTGATTCCCTGGCTTAGGCTCAAGACGTATGCCAACTTTCCAGACGCACCTCAGGAGGAGGCTTCTCTCAGCAATAGGTATGTGGGAGGGACCCCGAGTTCGCTGCCTCAAGGGCAATATACAGCGAGAAGCCCTAACTTGAAAGGAGGCCGGATTTCCTTGCAGTGGCTTGAATACCGGCTCGTCTTTCATTTCACGACATGAAGGGATGTCTGAATCCCCTGTGGAGACCTTAGAGAAAGCCCTACGTCCCTGCCTCATTTTGACGGAATGCCTCACATCCCGTTGACACCTCAAGAGGCACGCGAAGTTCATTGCTTCAAAAGGTGACAATGCCTCACTCCTCTTGAATACTGATATTAATCCCAAAATCCCTGTGGCTACTGGAAAGGGTCCTTGGGTGCCCTGCCTCACCTCGAGAAGCGTCCCTTTTGCCCTGCCAAGCCTCGAAGAGATTCCTGAGGTGTCCCTCGTTACTAGACAGGAGTCCTGACGTCACTGAAGAAACTCGTGTTTTGAAGGGCCATCCCCGCCGTAAGTCGAGAACATACCCCAGGTCCCCGCCGCAACTCGAGAAAAACCATGAGACTTCCCCCTAGAGGCGAGATGAGGCCCCATTCCCCTGCAGTGCATGCAGAGCTATTCCGTGGTCCCATTCAAGCAAGTCAGGAGCTTCGACTTGCTTAATGGATCTCGAGACAGTCCCCAAGAACACTGTCACCAGTCTAGACGGACCCTGAGGTCACCCCAGCAACGCAAAGCAGCTCCATGGGCCCCAAATCAACTCGAGATGAGGCCCGATTCCCCTGCATTGACCCCAGAGCCATTCCCCGTTCCCCATTCAACACGACCGGTGGCTCGACTTCCTTCAGGCAACTCCAGAGATGCCCCGAGAACACTGTCCCAAGTCTAGAGGAACACCAACTTCAGCACGGCAACTCGAGGAATGCTCCGTGTACCCCAAATCGTCTCGAGATGAGAGCTGATTCCCTGGCTTAGGCACAAGACGTATGCCAACTTTCAAGACGCACCTCAGGAGGAGGCTTCTCTCAGCAATAGGTATGTGGGAGGGACCCCGAGTTCGCTGCCTCAAGGGCAATATACAGCGAGAAGCCCTAACTTGAAAGGAGGCCGGATTTCCTTGCAGTGGCTTGAATACAGGCTCGTCTTTCATCTCACAACATGAAGGGATGTCTGAATCCCCTGTGGAGACCTTAGAGAAAGCCCTAGGTCCCTGCCTCATTTTGACGGAATGCCTCACATCCCGTAGACACCTCAAGAGGCACGCGAAGTTCATTGCTTAAAAAGGTGACAATGCCTCACTCCTCTTGAATACTGATAGGAATCCCAAAATCCCTGTGGCTACTGGAAAGGGTCCTTGGGTGCCCTGCCTCACCTCGAGAAGCGTCCCTTTTGCCCTGCCAAGCCTCGAAGAGATTCCTGAGGTGTCCCTCGTTACTAGACAGGAGTCCTGACGTCACTGAAGAAACTCGTGTTTTGAAGGGCCATCCCCGCCGTAAGTCGAGAACATACACCAGGTCCCCGCCGCAACTCGAGAAAAACCATGAGACTTCCCCCTAGAGGCGAGATGAGGCCCCATTCCCCTGCAGTGCATGCAGAGCTATTCCGTGGTCCCATTCAAGCAAGTCAGGAGCTTCGACTTGCTTAATGGTTCTCGAGACAGTCCCCAAGAACACTGTCACCAGTCTCGCCGGACCCTAAGGTCACCCCAGCAACGCAAAGCAGCTCCATGGGCCCCAAATCAACTCGAGATGAGGCCCGATTCCCCTGCATTGACTCCAGAGCCATTCCCGGTTCCCCATTCAACACGACCGGTGGCTCGACTTCCTTCAGGCAACTCCAGAGATGCCCCGAGAACACTGTCCCAAGTCTAGAGGAACACCAACTTCAGCACGGCAACTCGAGGAATGCTCCGTGTACCCCAAATCGTCTCGAGTTGAGAGGTGATTCCCTGGCTTAGGCTCAAGACGTATGCCAACTTTCCAGACGCACCTCAGGAGGAGGCTTCTCTCAGCAATAGGTATGTGGGAGGGACCCCGAGTTCGCTGCCTCAAGGGCAATATACAGAGAGAAGCTCTAACTTGAAAGGAGGCCGGATTTCCTTGCAGTGGCTTGAATACAGGCTCGTCTTTCATCTCACAACATGAAGGGATGTCTGAATCCCCTGTGGAGACCTTAGAGAAAGCCCTAGGTCCCTGCCTCATTTAGACGGAATGCCTAACATCCCGTTGACACCTCGAGAGGCACGCGGAGTTCATTGCTTCAAAAGGTGACGATGCCTGACTCCTCTTGAATACTGATAGGAATCCCAAAATCACTGTGGCTACTGGAAAGGGTTCTTGGGTGCCCTGCCTCACCTCAAGAAGCGTCCCATTTGCACTGCCAAGCCTCGATGAGATTCCTGAGGTGTCCCTCATTACTAGACAGGAGTCCTGACGTCACTGAAGAAACTCGTGTTTTGAAGGGCCATCCCCGCCGTAAGTCGAGAACATACCCCAGGTCCCCGCCGCAACTCGAGAAAAACCATGAGACTTCCCCCTAGAGGTGAGATGAGGCCCCATTCCCCTGCAGTGCATGTAGAGCTATTCTGTGGTCCCATTCAAACAAGTCAGGAGCTTCGACTTGCTTAATGGATCTCGAGACAGTCCCCAAGATCACTGTCACCCGTCTCGACGGACGCTGAGGTCAACCCAGCAACGCAAAGCAGATCCATGTGCCCCAAATCAACTCGAGATGAGGCCCGATTCCCCTGCATTGACTCCAGAGCCATTCCCCGTTCCCCATTCAACACGACCGGTGGCTCGACTTCCTTCAGGCAACTCCAGAGATACCCCGAGAACACTCTCCCAAGTCTAGAGGAACACCAACTTCAGCACAGCAACTCGAGGAATGCTCCGTGTACCACAAATCGTCTCGAGATGAGAGCTGATTCCCTGGCTTAGGCTCAAGACGTATGCCAACTTTCCAGACGCACCTCAGGAGGAGGCTTCTCTCAGCAATAGGTATGTGGGAGGGACCCCGAGTTCGCTGCCTCAAGGGCAATATACAGCGAGAAGCCCTAACTTGAAAGGAGGCCGGATTTCCTTGCAGTGGCTTGAATACAGGCTCGTCTTTCATCTCACAACATGAAGGGATGTCTGAATCCCCTGTGGAGACCTTAGAGAAAGCCCTAGGTCCCTGCCTCATTTAGACGGAATGCCTCACATCCCGTTGACACCTCGAGAGGCACGCGGAGTTCATTGCTTCAAAAGGTGACGATGCCTGACTCCTCTTGAATTCTGATAGGAATCCCAAAATCACTGTGGCTACTGGAAAGGGTTCATGGGTGCCCTGCCTCACCTCAAGAAGCGTCCCATTTGCACTGCCAAGCCTCGATGAGATTCCTGAGGTGTCCCTCGTTACTAGACAGGAGTCCTGACGTCACTGAAGAAACTCGTGTTTTGAAGGGCCATCCCCGCCGTAAGTCGAGAACATACCCCAGGTCCCCGCCGCAACTCGAGAAAAACCATGAGACTTCCCCCTAGAGTCGAGATGAGGCCCCATTCCCCTGCAGTGCATGCAGAGCTATTCCGTGGTCCCATTCAAACAAGTCAGGAGCTTCGACTTGCTTAATGGATCTCGAGACAGTCCCCAAGAACACTGTCACCAGTCTCGACGGACGCTGAGGTCACCCCAGCAACGCAAAGCAGCTCCATGTGCCCCAAATCAACTCGAGATGAGGCCCGATTCCCCTGCATTGACTCCAGAGCCATTCCCCGTTCCCCATTCAACACGACCGGTGGCTCCACTTCCTTCAGACAACTCCAGAGATGCCCCGAGAACACTGTCCCAAGTCTAGAGGAACACCAACTTCAGCACGGCAACTCGAGGAATGCTCCGTGTACCCCAAATCGTCTCGAGATGAGAGGTGATTCCCTGGCTTAGGCTCAAGACGTATGCCAAGTTTCAAGACGCACCTCAGGAGGAGGCTTCTCTCAGCAATAGGTATGTGGGAGGGACCTCGAGTTCGCTGCCTCAAGGGCAATATACAGCGAGAAGCCCTAACTTGAAAGGAGGCCGGATTTCCTTGCAGTGGCTTGAATACAGGCTCGTCTTTCATTTCACGACATGAAGGGATGTCTGAATCCCCTGTGGAGACCTTAGAGAAAGCCCTAGGTCCCTGCCTCATTTTGACGGAATGCCTCACATCCCGTTGACACCTCAAGAGGCACGCGAAGTTCATTGCTTCAAAAGGTGACAATGCCTCACTCCTCTTGAATACTGATAGGAATCCCAAAATCCCTGTGGCTACTGGAAAGGGTCCTTGGGTGCCCTGCCTCACCTCGAGAAGCGTCCCTTTTGCCCTGCCAAGCCTCGAAGAGATTCCTGAGGTGTCCCTCGTTACTAGACAGGAGTCCTGACGTCACTGAAGAAACTCGTGTTTTGAAGGGCCATCCCCGCCGTAAGTCGAGAACATACACCAGGTCCCCGCCGCAACTCGAGAAAAACCATGAGACTTCCCCCTAGAGGCGAGATGAGGCCCCATTCCCCTGCAGTGCATGCAGAGCTATTCCGTGGTCCCATTCAAGCAAGTCAGGAGCTTCGACTTGCTTAATGGTTCTCGAGACAGTCCCCAAGAACACTGTCACCAGTCTCGCCGGACCCTAAGGTCACCCAGCAACGCAAAGCAGCTCCATGGGCCCCAAATCAACTCGAGATGAGGCCCGATTCCCCTGCATTGACTCCAGAGCCATTCCCGGTTCCCCATTCAACACGACCGGTGGCTCGACTTCCTTCAGGCAACTCCAGAGATGCCCCGAGAACACTGTCCCAAGTCTAGAGGAACACCAACTTCAGCACGGCAACTCGAGGAATGCTCCGTGTACCCCAAATCGTCTCGAGTTGAGAGGTGATTCCCTGGCTTAGGCTCAAGACGTATGCCAACTTTCCAGACGCACCTCAGGAGGAGGCTTCTCTCAGCAATAGGTATGTGGGAGGGACCCCGAGTTCGCTGCCTCAAGGGCAATATACAGAGAGAAGCTCTAACTTGAAAGGAGGCCGGATTTCCTTGCAGTGGCTTGAATACAGGCTCGTCTTTCATCTCACAACATGAAGGGATGTCTGAATCCCCTGTGGAGACCTTAGAGAAAGCCCTAGGTCCCTGCCTCATTTAGACGGAATGCCTAACATCCCGTTGACACCTCGAGAGGCACGCGGAGTTCATTGCTTCAAAAGGTGACGATGCCTGACTCCTCTTGAATACTGATAGGAATCCCAAAATCACTGTGGCTACTGGAAAGGGTTCTTGGGTGCCCTGCCTCACCTCAAGAAGCGTCCCATTTGCACTGCCAAGCCTCGATGAGATTCCTGAGGTGTCCCTCATTACTAGACAGGAGTCCTGACGTCACTGAAGAAACTCGTGTTTTGAAGGGCCATCCCCGCCGTAAGTCGAGAACATACCCCAGGTCCCCGCCGCAACTCGAGAAAAACCATGAGACTTCCCCCTAGAGGTGAGATGAGGCCCCATTCCCCTGCAGTGCATGTAGAGCTATTCTGTGGTCCCATTCAAACAAGTCAGGAGCTTCGACTTGCTTAATGGATCTCGAGACAGTCCCCAAGAACACTGTCACCCGTCTCGACGGACGCTGAGGTCAACCCAGCAACGCAAAGCAGATCCATGTGCCCCAAATCAACTCGAGATGAGGCCCGATTCCCCTGCATTGACTCCAGAGCCATTCCCCGTTCCCCATTCAACACGACCGGTGGCTCGACTTCCTTCAGGCAACTCCAGAGATACCCCGAGAACACTCTCCCAAGTCTAGAGGAACACCAACTTCAGCACAGCAACTCGAGGAATGCTCCGTGTACCACAAATCGTCTCGAGATGAGAGCTGATTCCCTGGCTTAGGCTCAAGACGTATGCCAACTTTCCAGACGCACCTCAGGAGGAGGCTTCTCTCAGCAATAGGTATGTGGGAGGGACCCCGAGTTCGCTGCCTCAAGGGCAATATACAGCGAGAAGCCCTAACTTGAAAGGAGGCCGGATTTCCTTGCAGTGGCTTGAATACAGGCTCGTCTTTCATCTCACAACATGAAGGGATGTCTGAATCCCCTGTGGAGACCTTAGAGAAAGCCCTAGGTCCCTGCCTCATTTAGACGGAATGCCTCACATCCCGTTGACACCTCGAGAGGCACGCGGAGTTCATTGCTTCAAAAGGTGACGATGCCTGACTCCTCTTGAATTCTGATAGGAATCCCAAAATCACTGTGGCTACTGGAAAGGGTTCATGGGTGCCCTGCCTCACCTCAAGAAGCGTCCCATTTGCACTGCCAAGCCTCGATGAGATTCCTGAGGTGTCCCTCGTTACTAGACAGGAGTCCTGACGTCACTGAAGAAACTCGTGTTTTGAAGGGCCATCCCCGCCGTAAGTCGAGAACATACCCCAGGTCCCCGCCGCAACTCGAGAAAAACCATGAGACTTCCCCCTAGAGTCGAGATGAGGCCCCATTCCCCTGCAGTGCATGCAGAGCTATTCCGTGGTCCCATTCAAACAAGTCAGGAGCTTCGACTTGCTTAATGGATCTCGAGACAGTCCCCAAGAACACTGTCACCAGTCTCGACGGACGCTGAGGTCACCCCAGCAACGCAAAGCAGCTCCATGTGCCCCAAATCAACTCGAGATGAGGCCCGATTCCCCTGCATTGACTCCAGAGCCATTCCCCGTTCCCCATTCAACACGACCGGTGGCTCGACTTCCTTCAGACAACTCCAGAGATGCCCCGAGAACACTGTCCCAAGTCTAGAGGAACACCAACTTCAGCACGGCAACTCGAGGAATGCTCCGTGTACCCCAAATCGTCTCGAGATGAGAGGTGATTCCCTGGCTTAGGCTCAAGACGTATGCCAAGTTTCAAGACGCACCTCAGGAGGAGGCTTCTCTCAGCAATAGGTATGTGGGAGGGACCCCGAGTTCGCTGCCTCAAGGGCAATATACAGCGAGAAGCCCTAACTTGAAAGGAGGCCGGATTTCCTTGCAGTGGCTTGAATACAGGCTCGTCTTTCATTTCACGACATGAAGGGATGTCTGAATCCCCTGTGGAGACCTTAGAGAAAGCCCTAGGTCCCTGCCTCATTTTGACGGAATGCCTCACATCCCGTTGACACCTCAAGAGGCACGCGAAGTTCATTGCTTCAAAAGGTGACAATGCCTCACTCCTCTTGAATACTGATAGGAATCCCAAAATCCCTGTGGCTACTGGAAAGGGTCCTTGGGTGCCCTGCCTCACCTCGAGAAGCGTCCCTTTTGCCCTGCCAAGCCTCGAAGAGATTCCTGAGGTGTCCCTCGTTACTAGACAGGAGTCCTGACGTCACTGAAGAAACTCGTGTTTTGAAGGGCCATCCCCGCCGTAAGTCGAGAACATACCCCAGGTCCCCGCCGCAACTCGAGAAAAACCATGAGACTTCCCCCTAGAGGCGAGATGAGGCCCCATTCCCCTGCAGTGCATGCAGAGCTATTCCGTGGTCCCATTCAAGCAAGTCAGGAGCTTCGACTTGCTTAATGGTTCTCGAGACAGTCCCCAAGAACACTGTCACCAGTCTCGACGGACCCTGAGGTCACCCCAGCAACGCAAAGCAGTTCCATGGGCCCCAAATCAACTCAAGATGAGGCCCGATTCCCCTGCATTGACCCCAGAGCCATTCCGCGTTCCCCATTCAACACGACCGGTGGCTCGACTTCCTTCAGGCAACTCCAGAGATGCCCCGAGAACACTGTCCCAAGTCTAGAGGAACACCAACTTCAGCACGGCAACTCGAGGAATGCTCCGTGTACCCCAAATCGTCTCGAGATGAGAGCTGATTCCCTGGCTTAGGCACAAGACGTATGCCAACTTTCAAGACGCACCTCAGGAGGAGGCTTCTCTCAGCAATAGGTATGTGGGAGGGACCCCGAGTTCGCTGCCTCAAGGGCAATATACAGCGAGAAGCCCTAACTTGAAAGGAGGCCGGATTTCCTTGCAGTGGCTTGAATACAGGCTCGTCTTTCATCTCACAACATGAAGGGATGTCTGAATCCCCTGTGGAGACCTTAGAGAAAGCCCTAAGTCCGTGCCTCATTTTGACGGAATGCCTCACATCCCGTAGACACCTCAAGAGGCACGCGAAGTTCATTGCTTAAAAAGGTGACAATGCCTCACTCCTCTTGAATACTGATAGGAATCCCAAAATCCCTGTGGCTACTGGAAAGGGTCCTTGGGTGCCCTGCCTCACCTCGAGAAGCGTCCCTTTTGCCCTGCCAAGCCTCGAAGAGATTCCTGAGGTGTCCCTCGTTACTAGACAGGAGTCCTGACGTCACTGAAGAAACTCGTGTTTTGAAGGGCCATCCCCGCCGTAAGTCGAGAACATACCCCAGGTCCCCGCCGCAACTCGAGAAAAACCATGAGACTTCCCCCTAGAGGCGAGATGAGGCCCCATTCCCCTACAGTGCATGCAGAGCTATTCCGTGGTCCAATTCAAGCAAGTCAGGAGCTTCGACTTGCTTAATGGTTCTCGAGATAGTCCCCAAGAACACTGTCACCAGTCTCGACGGACCCTGAGGTCACCCCAGCAACGCAAAGCAGCTCCATGGGACCCAAATCAACTCGAGATGAGGCCCGATTCCCCTGCATTGACTCCAGAGCCATTCCCCGTTCCCCATTCAACACGACCGGTGGCTCGACTTCCTTCAGGCAACTCCAGAGATGCCCCGAGAACACTGTCCCAAGTCTAGAGGAACACCAACTTCAGCACGGCAACTCGAGGAATGCTCCGTGTACCCCAAATCGTCTCGAGATGAGAGCTGATTCCCTGGCTTAGGCACAAGACGTATGCCAACTTTCAAGACGCACCTCAGGAGGAGGCTTCTCTCAGCAATAGGTATGTGGGAGGGACCCCGAGTTCGCTGCCTCAAGGGCAATATACAGCGAGAAGCCCTAACTTGAAAGCAGGCCGGATTTCCTTGCAGTGGCTTGAATACAGGCTCGTCTTTCACCTCACAACATGAAGGGATGTCTGAATCCCCTGTGGAGACCTTAGAGAAAGCCCTAGGTCCCTGCCTCATTTTGACGGAATGCCTCACATCCCGTTGACACCTCAAGAGGCACGCGAAGTTCATTGCTTAAAAAGGTGACAATGCCTCACTCCTCTTGAATACTGATAGGAATCCCAAAATCCCTGTGGCTACTGGAAAGGGTCCTTGGGTGCCCTGCCTCACCTCGAGAAGCGTCCCTTTTGCCCTGCCAAGCCTCGAAGAGATTCCTGAGGTGTCCCTCGTTACTAGACAGGATTCCTGACGTCACTGAAGAAACTCGTGTTTTGAAGGGCCATCCCCGCCGTAAGTCGAGAACATACCCCAGGTCCCCGCCGCAACTCGAGAAAAACCATGAGACTTCCCCCTAGAGGCGAGATGAGGCCCCATTCCCCTGCAGTGCATGCAGAGCTATTCCGTGGTCCCATTCAAGCAAGTCAGGAGCTTCGACTTGCTTAATGGTTCTCGAGACAGTCCCCAAGAACACTGTCACCAGTCTCGACGGACCCTGAGGTCACCCCAGCAACGCAAAGCAGCTCCATGGGCCCCAAATCAACTCGAGATGAGGCCCGATTCCCCTGCATTGACTCCAGAGCCATTCCCGGTTCCCCATTCAACACGACCGGTGGCTCGACTTCCTTCAGGCAACTCCAGAGATGCCCCGAGAACACTGTCCCAAGTCTAGAGGAACACCAACTTCAGCACGGCAACTCGAGGAATGCTCCGTGTACCCCAAATCGTCTCGAGATGAGAGGTGATTCCCTGGCTTAGGCTCAAGACGTATGCCAACTTTCCAGACGCACCTCAGGAGGAGGCTTCTCTCAGCAATAGGTATGTGGGAGGGACCCCGAGTTCGCTGCCTCAAGGGCAATATACAGCGAGAAGCTCTAACTTGAAAGGAGGCCGGATTTCCTTGCAGTGGCTTGAATACAGGCTCGTCTTTCATCTCACAACATGAAGGGATGTCTGAATCCCCTGTGGAGACCTTAGAGAAAGCCCTAGATCCCTGCCTCATTTAGACGGAATGCCTCACATCCCGTTGACACCTCGAGAGGCACGCGGAGTTCATTGCTTCAAAAGGTGACGATGCCTGACTCCTCTTGAATTCTGATAGGAATCCCAAAATCACTGTCGCTACTGGAAAGGGTTCTTGGGTGCCCTGCCTCACCTCAAGAAGCGTCCCATTTGCACTGCCAAGCCTCGATGAGATTCCTGAGGTGTCCCTCGTTACTGGACAGGAGTCCTGACGTCACTGAAGAAACTCGTGTTTTGAAGGGCCATCCCCGCCGTAAGTGGAGAACATACCCCAGGTCCCCGCCGCAACTCGAGAAAAACCATGAGACTTCCCCCTAGAGGCGAGATGAGGCCCCATTCCCCTGCAGTGCATGTAGAGCTATTCCGTGGTCCCATTCAAACAAGTCAGGAGCTTCGACTTGCTTAATGGTCTCGAGACAGTCCCCAAGAACACTGTCACCCGTCTCGACGGACGCTGAGGTCAACCCAGCAACGCAAAGCAGCTCCATGTGCCCCAAATCAACTCGAGATGAGGCCCGATTCCCCTGCATTGACTCCAGAGACATTCCCCGTTCCCCATTCAACACGACCGGTGGCTCGACTTCCTTCAGGCAACTCCAGAGATACACCGAGAACACTCTCCCAAGTCTAGAGGAACACCAACTTCAGCACAGCAACTCGAGGAATGCTCCGTGTACCACAAATCGTCTCGAGATGAGAGCTGATTCCCTGGCTTAGGCTCAAGACGTATGCCAACTTTCCAGACGCACCTCAGGAGGAGGCTTCTCTCAGCAATAGGTATGTGGGAGGGACCCCGAGTTCGCTGCCTCAAGGGCAATATACAGCGAGAAGCCCTAACTTGAAAGGAGGCCGGATTTCCTTGCATTGGCTTGAATACAGGCTCGTCTTTCATCTCACGACATGAAGGGATGTCTGAATCGCCTGTGGAGACCTTAGAGAAAGCCCTAGGTCCCTGCCTCATTTTGACGGAATGCCTCACATCCCGTTGACACCTCAAGAGGCACTCGAAGTTCATTGCTTCAAAAGGTGACAATGCCTCACTCCTCTTGAATATTGATAGGAATCCCAAAATCCCTGTGGCTACTGGAAAGGGTCCTTGGGTGCCCTGCCTCACCTCGAGAAGCGTCCCTTTTGCCCTGCCAAGCCTCGAAGAGATTCCTGAGGTGTCCCTCGTTACTAGACACTAGTCCTGACGTCACTGAAGACACTCGTGTTTTGAAGGCCATCCCCGCCGTAAGTCGAGAACATACCCCAGGTCCCCGCCGCAACTCGAGAAAAACCATGAGACTTCCCCCTAGAGGCGAGATGAGGCCCCATTCCCCTGCAGTGCATGCAGAGCTATTCCGTGGTCCCATTCAAACAAGTCAGGAGCTTCGACTTGCTTAATGGATCTCAAGACAGTCCCCAAGAACACTGTCACCCGTCTCGACGGACGCTGAGGTCACCCCAGCAACGCAAAGCAGCTCCATGTGCCCCAAATCAACTCGAGATGAGGCCCGATTCCCCTGCATTGACTCCAGAGCCATTCCCCGTTCCCCATTCAACACGACCGGTGGCTCGACTTCCTTCAGACAACTCCAGAGATGCCCCGAGAACACTGTCCCAAGTCTAGAGGAACACCAACTTCAGCACGGCAACTCGAGGAATGCTCCGTGTACCCCAAATCGTCTCGAGATGAGAGGTGATTCCCTGGCTTAGGCTCAAGACGTATGCCAACTTTCCAGACGCACCTCAGGAGGAGGCTTCTCTCAGCAATAGGTATGTGGGAGGGACCCCGAGTTCGCTGCCTCAAGGGCAATATACAGCGAGAAGCCCTAACTTGAAAGGAGGCCGGATTTCCTTGCAGTGGCTTGAATACAGGCTCGTCTTTCATTTCACGACATGAAGGGATGTCTGAATCCCCTGTGGAGACCTTAGAGAAAGCCCTAGGTCCCTGCCTCATTTTGACGGAATGCCTCACATCCCGTTGACACCTCAAGAGGCACGCGAAGTTCATTGCTTCAAAAGGTGACAATGCCTCACTCCTCTTGAATACTGATAGGAATCCCAAAATCCCTGTGGCTACTGGAAAGGGTCCTTGGGTGCCCTGCCTCACCTCGAGAAGCGTCCCTTTTGCCCTGCCAAGCCTCGAAGAGATTCCTGAGGTGTCCCTTGTTACTAGACAGGAGTCCTGACGTCACTGAAGAAACTCGTGTTTTGAAGGGCCATCCCCGCCGTAAGTCGAGAACATACCCCAGGTCCCCGCCGCAACTCGAGAAAAACCATGAGACTTCCCCCTAGAGGCGAGATGAGGCCCCATTCCCCTGCAGTGCATGCAGAGCTATTCCGTGGTCCCATTCAAGCAAGTCAGGAGCTTCGACTTGCTTAATGGTTCTCGAGACAGTCCCCAAGAACACTGTCACCAGTCTCGACGGACCCTGAGGTCACCCCAGCAACGCAAAGCAGCTCCATGGGACCCAAATCAACTCGAGATGAGGCCCGATTCCCCTGCATTGACACCAGAGCCATTCCCCGTTCCCCATTCAACACGACCGGTGGCTCGACTTCCTTCAGGCAACTCCAGAGATGCCCCGAGAACACTGTCCCAAGTCTAGAGGAACACCAACTTCAGCACGGCAACTCGAGGAATGTTCCGTGTACCCCAAATCGTCTCGAGATGAGAGCTGATTCCCTGGCTTAGGCACAAGACGTATGCCAACTTTCAAGACGCACCTCAGGAGGAGGCTTCTCTCAGCAATAAATATGTGGGAGGGACCCCGAGTTCGCTGCCTCAAGGGCAATATACAGCGAGAAGCCCTAACTTGAAAGGAGGCCGGATTTCCTTGCAGTGGCTTGAATACAGGCTGGTCTTTCATCTCACGACATGAAGGGATGTCTGAATCCCCTGTGGAGACCTTAGAGAAAGCCCTAGGTCCCTGCCTCATTTTGACGGAATGCCTCACATCCCGTTGACACCTCAAGAGGCACGCGAAGTTCATTGCTTAAAAATGTGACAATGCCTCACTCTTCTTGAATACTGATAGGAATCCCAAAATCCCTGTGGCTACTGGAAAGGGTCCTTGGGTGCCCTGCCTCACCTCGAGAAGCGTCCCTTTTGCCCTGCCAAGCCTCGAAGAGATTCCTGAGGTGTCCCTCGTTACTAGACAGGATTCCTGACGTCACTGAAGAAACTCGTGTTTTGAAGGGCCATCCCCGCCGTAAGTCGAGAACATACCCCAGGTCCCCGCCGCAACTCGAGAAAAACCATGAGACTTCCCCCTAGAGGCGAGATGAGGCCCCATTCCCCTGCAGTGCATGCAGAGCTATTCCGTGGTCCCATTCAAGCAAGTCAGGAGCTTCGACTTGCTTAATGGTTCTCGAGACAGTCCCCAAGAACACTGTCACCAGTCTCGACGGACCCTGAGGTCACCCCAGCAACGCAAAGCAGCTCCATGGGCCCCAAATCAACTCGAGATGAGGCCCGATTCCCCTGCATTGACTCCAGAGCCATTCCCGGTTCCCCATTCAACACGACCGGTGGCTCGACTTCCTTCAGGCAACTCCAGAGATGCCCCGAGAACACTGTCCCAAGTCTAGAGGAACACCAACTTCAGCACGGCAACTCGAGGAATGCTCCGTGTACCCCAAATCGTCTCGAGATGAGAGGTGATTCCCTGGCTTAGGCTCAAGACGTATGCCAACTTTCCAGACGCACCTCAGGAGGAGGCTTCTCTCAGCAATAGGTATGTGGGAGGGACCCCGAGTTCGCTGCCTCAAGGGCAATATATAGCGAGAAGCTCTAACTTGAAAGGAGGCCGGATTTCCTTGCAGTGGCTTGAATACAGGCTCGTCTTTCATCTCACAACATGAAGGGATGTCTGAATCCCCTGTGGAGACCTTAGAGAAAGCCCTAGATCCCTGCCTCATTTAGACGGAATGCCTCACATCCCGTTGACACCTCGAGAGGCACGCGGAGTTCATTGCTTCAAAAGGTGACGATGCCTGACTCCTCTTGAATTCTGATAGGAATCCCAAAATCACTGTGGCTACTGGAAAGGGTTCTTGGGTGCCCTGCCTCACCTCAAGAAGCGTCCCATTTGCACTGCCAAGCCTCGATGAGATTCCTGAGGTGTCCCTCGTTACTAGACAGGAGTCCTGACGTCACTGAAGAAACTCGTGTTTTGAAGGGCCATCCCCGCCGTAAGTGGAGAACATACCCCAGGTCCCCGCCGCAACTCGAGAAAAACCATGAGACTTCCCCCTAGAGGCGAGATGAGGCCCCATTCCCCTGCAGTGCATGTAGAGCTATTCCGTGGTCCCATTCAAACAAGTCAGGAGCTTCGACTTGCTTAATGGTCTCGAGACAGTCCCCAAGAACACTGTCACCCGTCTCGACGGACGCTGAGGTCAACCCAGCAACGCAAAGCAGCTCCATGTGCCCCAAATCAACTCGAGATGAGGCCCGATTCCCCTGCATTGACTCCAGAGACATTCCCCGTTCCCCATTCAACACGACCGGTGTCTCGACTTCCTTCAGGCAACTCCAGAGATACCCCGAGAACACTCTCCCAAGTCTAGAGGAACACCAACTTCAGCACAGCAACTCGAGGAATGCTCCGTGTACCCCAAATCGTCTCGAGATGAGAGCTGATTCCCTGGCTTAGGCTCAAGACGTATGCCAACTTTCCAGACGCACCTCAGGAGGAGGCTTCTCTCAGCAATATGTATGTGGGAGGGACCCCGAGTTCGCTGCCTCAAGGGCAATATACAGCGAGAAGCCCTAACTTGAAAGGAGGCCGGATTTCCTTGCATTGGCTTGAATACAGGCTCGTCTTTCATCTCACGACATGAAGGGATGTCTGAATCGCCTGTGGAGACCTTAGAGAAAGCCCTAGGTCCCTGCCTCATTTTGACGGAATGCCTCACATCCCGTTGACACCTCAAGAGGCACTCGAAGTTCATTGCTTCAAAAGGTGACAATGCCTCACTCCTCTTGAATACTGATAGGAATCCCAAAATCCCTGTGGCTACTGGAAAGGGTCCTTGGGTGCCCTGCCTCACCTCGAGAAGCGTCCCTTTTGCCCTGCCAAGCCTCGAAGAGATTCCTGAGGTGTCCCTCGTTACTAGACACTAGTCCTGACGTCACTGAAGACACTCGTGTTTTGAAGGCCATCCCCGCCGTAAGTCGAGAACATACCCCAGGTCCCCGCCGCAACTCGAGAAAAACCATGAGACTTCCCCCTAGAGGCGAGATGAGGCCCCATTCCCCTGCAGTGCATGCAGAGCTATTCCGTGGTCCCATTCAAACAAGTCAGGAGCTTCGACTTGCTTAATGGATCTCAAGACAGTCCCCAAGAACACTGTCACCAGTCTCGACGGACGCTGAGGTCACCCCAGCAACGCAAAGCAGCTCCATGTGCCCCAAATCAACTCGAGATGAGGCCCGATTCCCCTGCATTGACTCCAGAGCCATTCCCCGTTCCCCATTCAACACGACTGGTGGCTCGACTTCCTTCAGACAACTCCAGAGATGCCCCGAGAACACTGTCCCAAGTCTAGAGGAACACCAACTTCAGCACGGCAACTCGAGGAATGCTCCGTGTACCCCAAATCGTCTCGAGATGAGAGGTGATTCCCTGGCTTAGGCTCAAGACGTATGCCAACTTTCCAGACGCACCTCAGGAGGAGGCTTCTCTCAGCAATAGGTATGTGGGAGGGACCCCGAGTTCGCTGCCTCAAGGGCAATATACAGCGAGAAGCCCTAACTTGAAAGGAGGCCGGATTTCCTTGCAGTGGCTTGAATACAGGCTCGTCTTTCATTTCACGACATGAAGGGATGTCTGAATCCCCTGTGGAGACCTTAGAGAAAGCCCTAGGTCCCTGCCTCATTTTGACGGAATGCCAAACATCCCGTTGACACCTCAAGAGGCACGCGAAGTTCATTGCTTCAAAAGGTGACAATGCCTCACTCCTCTTGAATACTGATAGGAATCCCAAAATCCCTGTGGCTACTGGAAAGGGTCCTTGGGTGCCCTGCCTCACCTCGAGAAGTGTCCCTTTTGCCCTGTCAAGCCTCGAAGAGATTCCTGAGGTGTCCCTTGTTACTAGACAGGAGTCCTGACGTCACTGAAGAAACTCGTGTTTTGAAGGGCCATCCCCGCCGTAAGTCGAGAACATACCCCAGGTCCCCGCCGCAACTCGAGAAAAACCATGAGACTTCCCCCTAGAGGCGAGATGAGGCCCCATTCCCCTGCAGTGCATGCAGAGCTATTCCGTGGTCCCATTCAAGCAAGTCAGGAGCTTCGACTTGCTTAATGGTTCTCGAGACAGTCCCCAAGAACACTGTCACCAGTCTCGACGGACCCTGAGGTCACCCCAGCAACGCAAAGCAGCTCCATGGGACCCAGATCAACTCGAGATGAGGCCCGATTCCCCTGCATTGACTCCAGAGCCATTCCCCGTTCCCCATTCAACACGACCGGTGGCTCGACTTCCTTCAGGCAACTCCAGAGATGCCCCGAGAACACTGTCCCAAGTCTAGAGGAACACCAACTTCAGCACGGCAACTCGAGGAATGCTCCGTGTACCCCAAATCGTCTCGAGATGAGAGCTGATTCCCTGGCTTAGGCACAAGACGTATGCCAACTTTCCAGACGCACCTCAGGAGGAGGCTTCTCTCAGCAATAGGTATGTGGGAGGGACCCCGAGTTCGCTGCCTCAAGGGCAATATACAGCGAGAAGCCCTAACTTGAAAGGAGGCCGGATTTCCTTGCAGTGGCTTGAATACAGGCTCGTCTTACATCTCACAACATGAAGGGATGTCTGAATCCCCTGTGGAGACCTTAGAGAAAGCCCTAGGTCCCTGACTCATTTTGACGGAATGCCTCACATCCCGTTGACACCTCAAGAGGCACGCGAAGTTCATTGCTTAAAAAGGTGACAATGCCTCACTCCTCTTGAATACTGATAGGAATCCCAAAATCCCTGTGGCTACTGGAAAGGGTCCTTGGGTGCCCTGCCTCACCTCGAGAAGCCTCCCTTTTGCCCTGCCAAGCCTCGAAGAGATTCCTGAGGTGTCCCTCGTTACTAGACAGGAGTCCTGACGTCACTGAAGAAACTCGTGTTTTGAAGGGCCATCCCCGCCGTAAGTCGAGAACACACCCCAGGTCCCCGCCGCAACTCGAGAAAAACCATGAGACTTCCCCCTAGAGGCGAGATGAGGCCCCATTCCCCTGCAGTGCATGCAGAGCTATTCCGTGGTCCCATTCAAGCAAGTCAGGAGCTTCGACTTGCTTAATGGTTCTCGAGACAGTCCCCAAGAACACTGTCACCAGTCTCGACGGACCCTGAGGTCACCCCAGCAACGCAAAGCAGCTCCATGGGCCCCAAATCAACTCGAGATGAGGCCCGATTCCCCTGCATTGACTCCAGAGCCATTCCCCGTTCCCCATTCAACACGACCGGTGGCTCGACTTCCTTCAGGCAACTCCAGAGATGCCCCGAGAACACTGTCCCAAGTCTAGAGGAACACCAACTTCAGCACGGCAACTCGAGGAATGCTCCGTGTACCCCAAATCGTCTCGAGATGAGAGGTGATTCCCTGGCTTAGGCTCAAGACGTATGCCAAGTTTCAAGACGCACCTCAGGAGGAGGCTTCTCTCAGCAATTGGTATGTGGGAGGGACCCCGAGTTCGCTGCCTCAAGGGCAATATACAGCGAGAAGCCCTAACTTGAAAGGAGGCCGGATTTCCTTGCAGTGGCTTGAATACAGGCTCGTCTTTCATCTCACAACATGAAGGGATGTCTGAATCCCCTGTGGAGACCTTAGCGAAAGCCCTAGGTCTCTGCCTCATTTTGACGGAATGCCTCACATCCCGTTGACACCTCAAGAGGCACGCGGAGTTCTTTGCTTCAAAAGGTGACAATGCCTGACTCCTCTTGAATACTGATAGGAATCCCAAAATCCCTGTGGCTACTGGAAAGGGTCCTTGGGTGCCCTGCCTCACCTCGAGAAGCGTCCCTTTTGCCCTGCCAAGCCTCGAAGAGATTCCTGAGGTGTCCCTCGTTACTAGACACTAGTCCTGACGTCACTGAAGAAACTCGTGTTTTGAAGGGCCATCCCCGCCGTAAGTCGAGAACATACCCCAGGTCCCCGCCGCAACTCGAGAAAAACCATGAGACTTCCCCCTAGAGGCGAGATGAGGCCCCATTCCCCTGCAGTGCATGCAGAGCTATTCCGTGGTCCCATTCAAGCAAGTCAGGAGCTTCGACTTGCTTAATGGTTCTCGAGACAGTCCCCAAGAACACTGTCACCAGTCTCGACGGACCCTGAGGTCACCCCAGCAACGCAAAGCTGATCCATGGGACCCAAATCAACTCGAGATGAGGCCCGATTCCCCTGCATTGACTCCAGAGCCATTCCCCGTTCCCCATTCAACACGACCGGTGGCTCGACTTCCTTCAGGCAACTCCAGAGATGCCCCGAGAACACTGTCCCAAGTCTAGAGGAACACCAACTTCAGCACGGCAACTCGAGGAATGCTCCGTGTACCCCAAATCGTCTCGAGATGAGAGCTGATTCCCTGGCTTAGGCACAAGACGTATGCCAACTTTCAAGACGCACCTCAGGAGGAGGCTTCTCTCAGCAATAGGTATGTGGGAGGGACCCCGAGTTCGCTGCCTCAAGGGCAATATACAGCGAGAAGCCCTAACTTGAAAGGAGGCCGGATTTCCTTGCAGTGGCTTGAATACAGGCTCGTCTTTCATCTCACAACATGAAGGGATGTCTGAATCCCCTGTGGAGACCTTAGAGAAAGCCCTAGGTCCCTGCCTCATTTTGACGGAATGCCTCACATCCCGTTGACACCTCAAGAGGCACGCGAAGTTCATTGCTTAAAAAGGTGACAATGCCTCACTCCTCTTGAATACTGATAGGAATCCCAAAATCCCTGTGGCTACTGGAAAGGGTCCTTGGGTGCCCTGCCTCACCTCGAGAAGCGTCCCTTTTGCCCTGCCAAGCCTCGAAGAGATTCCTGAGGTGTCCCTCGTTACTAGACAGGAGTCCTGACGTCACTGAAGAAACTCGTGTTTTGAAGGGCCATCCCCGCCGTAAGTCGAGAACATACCCCAGGTCCCCGCCGCAACTCGAGAAAAACCATGAGACTTCCCCCTAGAGGCGAGATGAGGCCCCATTCCCCTGCAGTGCATGCAGAGCTATTCCGTGGTCCCATTCAAGCAAGTCAGGAGCTTCGACTTGCTTAATGGTTCTCGAGACAGTCCCCAAGAACACTGTCACCAGTCTCGACGGACCCTGAGGACACCCCAGCAATGCAAAGCAGCTCCATGGGCCCCAAATCAACTCGAGATGAGGCCCGGTTCCCCTGCATTGACTCCAGAGCCATTCCCCGTTCCCCATTCAACACGACCGGTGGCTCGACTTCCTTCAGGCAACTCCAGAGATGCCCCGAGAACACTGTCCCAAGTCTAGAGGAACACCAACTTCAGCACGGCAACTCAAGGAATGCTCCGTGTACCCCAAATCGTCTCGAGATGAGAGCTGATTCCCTGGCTTAGGCTCAAGACGTATGCCAAGTTTCAAGATGCACCTCAGGAGGAGGCTTCTCTCAGCAATAGGTATGTGGGAGGGACCCCGAGTTCGCTGCCTCAAGGGCAATATACAGCGAGAAGCCCTAACTTGAAAGGAGGCCGGATTTCCTTGCAGTGGCTTGAATACAGGCTCGTCTTTCATCTCACAACATGAAGGGATGTCTGAATCCCCTGTGGAGACCTTAGCGAAAGCCCTAGGTCCCTGCCTCATTTTGACGGAATGCCTCACATCCCGTTGACACCTCAAGAGGCACGCGGAGTTCTTTGCTTCAAAAGGTGACAATGCCTGACTCCTCTTGAATACTGATAGGAATTCCAAAATCCCTGTGGCTACTGGAAAGGGTCCTTGGGTGCCCTGCCTCACCTCGAGAAGCGTCCCTTTTGCCCTGCCAAGCCTCGAAGAGATTCCTGAGGTGTCCCTCGTTACTAGACAGGAGTCCTGACGTCACTGAAGAAACTCGTGTTTTGAAGGGCCATCCCCGCCGTAAGTCGAGAACATACCCCAGGTCCCCGCCGCAACTCGAGAAAAACCATGAGACTTCCCCCTAGAGGCGAGATGAGGCCCCATTCCCCTGCAGTGCATGCAGAGCTATTCCGTGGTCCCATTCAAGCAAGTCAGGAGCTTCGACTTGCTTAATGGTTCTCGAGACAGTCCCCAAGAACACTGTCACCAGTCTCGACGGACCCTGAGGTCACCCCAGCAACGCAAAGCAGCTCCATGGGCCCCAAATCAACTCGAGATGAGGCCCGATTCCCCTGCATTGACTGCAGAGCCATTCCCCGTTCCCCATTCAACACGACCGGTGGCTCGACTTCCTTCAGGCAACTCCAGAGATGCCCCGAGAACACTGTCCCAAGTCTAGAGGAACACCAACTTCAGCACGGCAACTCGAGGAATGCTCCGTGTACCCCAAATCGTCTCGAGATGAGAGCTGATTCCCTGGCTTAGGCTCAAGACGTATGCCAACTTTCAAGACGCACCTCAGGAGGAGGCTTCTCTCAGCAATAGGTATGTGGGAGGGACCCGGAGTTCGCTGCCTCAAGGGCAATATACAGCGAGAAGCCCTAACTTGAAAGGAGGCCGGATTTCCTTGCAGTGGCTTGAATACAGACTCATCTTTCATCTCACAACATGAAGGGATGTCTGAATCCCCTGTGGAGACCTTAGAGAAAGCCCTAGGTCCCTGCCTCATTTGGACGGAATGCCTCACATCCCGTTGACACCTCGAGAGGCACGCGGAGTTCATTGCTTCAAAAGGTGACGATGCCTGACTCCTCTTGAATTCTGATAGGAATCCCAAAATCACTGTGGCTACTGGATAGGGTCCTTGCGTGCCCTGCCTCACCTCAAGAAGCGTCCCATTTGCACTGCCAAGCCTCGATGAGATTCCTGAGGTGTCCCTCGTTACTAGACAGGAGTCCTGATGTCACTGAAGAAACTCGTGTTTTGAAGGGCCATCCCCGCCGTAAGTCGAGAACATACCCCAGGTCCCTGCCGCAACTCGAGAAAAACCATGAGACTTCCCCCTAGAGGCGAGATGAGACCCCATTCCCCTGCAGTGCATGCAGAGCTATTCGGTGGTCCCATTCAAACAAGTCAGGAGCTTCGACTTGCTTAATGGATCGCGAGACAGTCCTCAAGAACATTGTCACCAGTCTCGATGGAACCTGAGGTCACCCCAGCAACGCAAAGCAGCTCCATGTGCCCCAATTCAACTCGAGATGAGGCCCGATTCCCCTGCATTGACTCCAGAGCCATTCCCAGTTCCCCATTCAACACGAACGGTGGCTCGACTTCCTTCAGGCAACTCCAGAGATGCCCCGAGAACACTGTCCCAAGTCTAGAGGAACACCAACTTCAGCACAGCAACTCGAGGAATGCTCCGTGTACCACAAATCGTCTCGAGATGAGAGCTGATTCCCTGGCTTAGGCTCAAGACGTATGCCAACTTTCCAGACGCACCTCAGGAGGAGGCTTCTCTCAGCAGTAGGTATGTGGGAGGGACCCCGAGTTCGCTGCCTCAAGGGCATTATACAGCGAGAAGCCCTAACTTGAAAGGAGGCCGTATTTCCTTGCAGTGGCTTGAATACAGGCTCGTCTTTCATCTCACAACATGAAGGGGTGTCTGAATCCCCTGTGGAGACCTTAGAGAAAGCCCTAGGTCCCTGCCTCATTTAGACGGAATGCCTTACATCCCGTTGACACCTCGAGAGGCACGCGGAGTTCATTGCTTCAAAAGGTGACGATGCCTGACTCCTCTTGAATTCTGATAGGAATCCCAAAATCACTGTGGCTACTGGAAAGGGTTCATGGGTGCCCTGCCTCACCTCAAGAATCGTCCCATTTGCACTGCCAAGCCTCTATGAGATTCCTGAGGTGTCCCTCGTTACTAGACAGGAGTCCTGACGTCACTGAAGAAACTCGTGTTTTGATGGGCCATCCCCGCCGTAAGTCGAGAACATACCCCAGGTCCCCGCCGCAACTCGAGAAAAACCATGAGACTTCCCCCTAGAGGCGAGATGAGGCCCCATTCCCCTGCAGTGCATGCAGAGCTATTCCGTGGTCCCATTCAAGCAAGTCAGGATCTTCGACTTGCTTAATGGTTCTCGAGACAGTCCCCAAGAACACTGTCACCAGTCTCGACGGACCCTGAGGTCACCCCAGCAACGCAAAGCAGCTCCATGGGCCCCAAATCAACTCGAGATGAGGCCCGATTCCCCTGCATTGACTCCAGAGCCATTCCCCGTTCCCCATTCAACACGACCGGTGGCTCGACTTCCTTCAGGCAACTCCAGAGATGCCCCGAGAACACTGTCCCAAGTCTAGAGGATCACCAACTTCAGCACGGCAACTCGAGGAATGCTCCGTGTACCCCAAATCGTCTCGAGATGAGAGCTGATTCCCTGGCTTAGGCACAAGACGTATGCCAACTTTCATGACGCACCTCAGGAGGAGGCTTCTCTCAGCAATAGGTATGTGGGAGGGACCCCGAGTTCGCTGCCTCAAGGGCAATATACAGCGAGAAGCCCTAACTTGAAAGGAGGCCGGATTTCCTTGCAGTGGCTTGAATACAGGCTCGTCTTTCATCTCACAACATGAAGGGATGTCTGAATCCCCTGTGGAGACCTTAGAGAAAGCCCTAGGTCCCTGCCTCATTTTGACGGAATGCCTCACATCCCGTTGACACCTCAAGAGGCACGCGAAGTTCATTGCTTAAAAAGGTGACAATGCCTCACTCCTCTTGAATACTGATAGGAATCCCAAAATCCCTGTGGCTACTGGAAAGGGTCCTTGGGTGCCCTGCCTCACCTCGAGAAGCGTCCCTTTTGCCCTGCCAAGCCTCGAAGAGATTCCTGAGGTGTCCCTCGTTACTAGACAGGAGTCCTGACGTCACTGAAGAAACTCGTGTTTTGAAGGGCCATCCCCGCCGTAAGTCGAGAACATACCCCAGGTCCCCGCCGCAACTCGAGAAAAACCATGAGACTTCCCCCTAGAGGCGAGATGAGGCCCCATTCCCCTGCAGTGCATGCAGAGCTATTCCGTGGTCCCATTCAAGCAAGTCAGGAGCTTCGACTTGCTTAATGGTTCTCGAGACAGTCCCCAAGAACACTGTCACCAGTCTCGACGGACCCTGAGGTCACCCCAGCAACGCAAAGCAGCTCCATGGGCCCCAAATCAACTCGAGATGAGGCCCGATTCCCCTGCATTGACTCCAGAGCCATTCCCCGTTCCCCATTCAACACGACCGGTGGCTCGACTTCCTTCAGGCAACTCCAGAGATGCCCCGAGAACACTGTCCCAAGTCTAGAGGAACACCAACTTCAGCACGGCAACTCGAGGAATGCTCCGTGTACCCCAAATCGTCTCGAGATGAGAGGTGATTCCCTGGCTTAGGCTCAAGACGTATGCCAAGTTTCAAGACGCACCTCAGGAGGAGGCTTCTCTCAGCAATTGGTATGTGGGAGGGACCCCGAGTTCGCTGCCTCAAGGGCAATATACAGCGAGAAGCCCTAACTTGAAAGGAGGCCGGATTTCCTTGCAGTGGCTTGAATACAGGCTCGTCTTTCATCTCACAACATGAAGGGATGTCTGAATCCCCTGTGGAGACCTTAGCGAAAGCCCTAGGTCTCTGCCTCATTTTGACGGAATGCCTCACATCCCGTTGACACCTCAAGAGGCACGCGGAGTTCTTTGCTTCAAAAGGTGACAATGCCTGACTCCTCTTGAATACTGATAGGAATCCCAAAATCCCTGTGGCTACTGGAAAGGGTCCTTGGGTGCCCTGCCTCACCTCGAGAAGCGTCCCTTTTGCCCTGCCAAGCCTCGAAGAGATTCCTGAGGTGTCCCTCGTTACTAGACACTAGTCCTGACGTCACTGAAGAAACTCGTGTTTTGAAGGGCCATCCCCGCCGTAAGTCGAGAACATACCCCAGGTCCCCGCCGCAACTCGAGAAAAACCATGAGACTTCCCCCTAGAGGCGAGATGAGGCCCCATTCCCCTGCAGTGCATGCAGAGCTATTCCGTGGTCCCATTCAAGCAAGTCAGGAGCTTCGACTTGCTTAATGGTTCTCGAGACAGTCCCCAAGAACACTGTCACCAGTCTCGACGGACCCTGAGGTCACCCCAGCAACGCAAAGCTGATCCATGGGACCCAAATCAACTCGAGATGAGGCCCGATTCCCCTGCATTGACTCCAGAGCCATTCCCCGTTCCCCATTCAACACGACCGGTGGCTCGACTTCCTTCAGGCAACTCCAGAGATGCCCCGAGAACACTGTCCCAAGTCTAGAGGAACACCAACTTCAGCACGGCAACTCGAGGAATGCTCCGTGTACCCCAAATCGTCTCGAGATGAGAGCTGATTCCCTGGCTTAGGCACAAGACGTATGCCAACTTTCAAGACGCACCTCAGGAGGAGGCTTCTCTCAGCAATAGGTATGTGGGAGGGACCCCGAGTTCGCTGCCTCAAGGGCAATATACAGCGAGAAGCCCTAACTTGAAAGGAGGCCGGATTTCCTTGCAGTGGCTTGAATACAGGCTCGTCTTTCATCTCACAACATGAAGGGATGTCTGAATCCCCTGTGGAGACCTTAGAGAAAGCCCTAGGTCCCTGCCTCATTTTGACGGAATGCCTCACATCCCGTTGACACCTCAAGAGGCACGCGAAGTTCATTGCTTAAAAAGGTGACAATGCCTCACTCCTCTTGAATACTGATAGGAATCCCAAAATCCCTGTGGCTACTGGAAAGGGTCCTTGGGTGCCCTGCCTCACCTCGAGAAGCGTCCCTTTTGCCCTGCCAAGCCTCGAAGAGATTCCTGAGGTGTCCCTCGTTACTAGACAGGAGTCCTGACGTCACTGAAGAAACTCGTGTTTTGAAGGGCCATCCCCGCCGTAAGTCGAGAACATACCCCAGGTCCCCGCCGCAACTCGAGAAAAACCATGAGACTTCCCCCTAGAGGCGAGATGAGGCCCCATTCCCCTGCAGTGCATGCAGAGCTATTCCGTGGTCCCATTCAAGCAAGTCAGGAGCTTCGACTTGCTTAATGGTTCTCGAGACAGTCCCCAAGAACACTGTCACCAGTCTCGACGGACCCTGAGGACACCCCAGCAATGCAAAGCAGCTCCATGGGCCCCAAATCAACTCGAGATGAGGCCCGGTTCCCCTGCATTGACTCCAGAGCCATTCCCCGTTCCCCATTCAACACGACCGGTGGCTCGACTTCCTTCAGGCAACTCCAGAGATGCCCCGAGAACACTGTCCCAAGTCTAGAGGAACACCAACTTCAGCACGGCAACTCAAGGAATGCTCCGTGTACCCCAAATCGTCTCGAGATGAGAGCTGATTCCCTGGCTTAGGCTCAAGACGTATGCCAAGTTTCAAGATGCACCTCAGGAGGAGGCTTCTCTCAGCAATAGGTATGTGGGAGGGACCCCGAGTTCGCTGCCTCAAGGGCAATATACAGCGAGAAGCCCTAACTTGAAAGGAGGCCGGATTTCCTTGCAGTGGCTTGAATACAGGCTCGTCTTTCATCTCACAACATGAAGGGATGTCTGAATCCCCTGTGGAGACCTTAGCGAAAGCCCTAGGTCCCTGCCTCATTTTGACGGAATGCCTCACATCCCGTTGACACCTCAAGAGGCACGCGGAGTTCTTTGCTTCAAAAGGTGACAATGCCTGACTCCTCTTGAATACTGATAGGAATTCCAAAATCCCTGTGGCTACTGGAAAGGGTCCTTGGGTGCCCTGCCTCACCTCGAGAAGCGTCCCTTTTGCCCTGCCAAGCCTCGAAGAGATTCCTGAGGTGTCCCTCGTTACTAGACAGGAGTCCTGACGTCACTGAAGAAACTCGTGTTTTGAAGGGCCATCCCCGCCGTAAGTCGAGAACATACCCCAGGTCCCCGCCGCAACTCGAGAAAAACCATGAGACTTCCCCCTAGAGGCGAGATGAGGCCCCATTCCCCTGCAGTGCATGCAGAGCTATTCCGTGGTCCCATTCAAGCAAGTCAGGAGCTTCGACTTGCTTAATGGTTCTCGAGACAGTCCCCAAGAACACTGTCACCAGTCTCGACGGACCCTGAGGTCACCCCAGCAACGCAAAGCAGCTCCATGGGCCCCAAATCAACTCGAGATGAGGCCCGATTCCCCTGCATTGACTGCAGAGCCATTCCCCGTTCCCCATTCAACACGACCGGTGGCTCGACTTCCTTCAGGCAACTCCAGAGATGCCCCGAGAACACTGTCCCAAGTCTAGAGGAACACCAACTTCAGCACGGCAACTCGAGGAATGCTCCGTGTACCCCAAATCGTCTCGAGATGAGAGCTGATTCCCTGGCTTAGGCTCAAGACGTATGCCAACTTTCAAGACGCACCTCAGGAGGAGGCTTCTCTCAGCAATAGGTATGTGGGAGGGACCCGGAGTTCGCTGCCTCAAGGGCAATATACAGCGAGAAGCCCTAACTTGAAAGGAGGCCGGATTTCCTTGCAGTGGCTTGAATACAGACTCATCTTTCATCTCACAACATGAAGGGATGTCTGAATCCCCTGTGGAGACCTTAGAGAAAGCCCTAGGTCCCTGCCTCATTTGGACGGAATGCCTCACATCCCGTTGACACCTCGAGAGGCACGCGGAGTTCATTGCTTCAAAAGGTGACGATGCCTGACTCCTCTTGAATTCTGATAGGAATCCCAAAATCACTGTGGCTACTGGATAGGGTCCTTGCGTGCCCTGCCTCACCTCAAGAAGCGTCCCATTTGCACTGCCAAGCCTCGATGAGATTCCTGAGGTGTCCCTCGTTACTAGACAGGAGTCCTGATGTCACTGAAGAAACTCGTGTTTTGAAGGGCCATCCCCGCCGTAAGTCGAGAACATACCCCAGGTCCCTGCCGCAACTCGAGAAAAACCATGAGACTTCCCCCTAGAGGCGAGATGAGACCCCATTCCCCTGCAGTGCATGCAGAGCTATTCGGTGGTCCCATTCAAACAAGTCAGGAGCTTCGACTTGCTTAATGGATCGCGAGACAGTCCTCAAGAACATTGTCACCAGTCTCGATGGAACCTGAGGTCACCCCAGCAACGCAAAGCAGCTCCATGTGCCCCAATTCAACTCGAGATGAGGCCCGATTCCCCTGCATTGACTCCAGAGCCATTCCCAGTTCCCCATTCAACACGAACGGTGGCTCGACTTCCTTCAGGCAACTCCAGAGATGCCCCGAGAACACTGTCCCAAGTCTAGAGGAACACCAACTTCAGCACAGCAACTCGAGGAATGCTCCGTGTACCACAAATCGTCTCGAGATGAGAGCTGATTCCCTGGCTTAGGCTCAAGACGTATGCCAACTTTCCAGACGCACCTCAGGAGGAGGCTTCTCTCAGCAGTAGGTATGTGGGAGGGACCCCGAGTTCGCTGCCTCAAGGGCATTATACAGCGAGAAGCCCTAACTTGAAAGGAGGCCGTATTTCCTTGCAGTGGCTTGAATACAGGCTCGTCTTTCATCTCACAACATGAAGGGGTGTCTGAATCCCCTGTGGAGACCTTAGAGAAAGCCCTAGGTCCCTGCCTCATTTAGACGGAATGCCTTACATCCCGTTGACACCTCGAGAGGCACGCGGAGTTCATTGCTTCAAAAGGTGACGATGCCTGACTCCTCTTGAATTCTGATAGGAATCCCAAAATCACTGTGGCTACTGGAAAGGGTTCATGGGTGCCCTGCCTCACCTCAAGAATCGTCCCATTTGCACTGCCAAGCCTCTATGAGATTCCTGAGGTGTCCCTCGTTACTAGACAGGAGTCCTGACGTCACTGAAGAAACTCGTGTTTTGATGGGCCATCCCCGCCGTAAGTCGAGAACATACCCCAGGTCCCCGCCGCAACTCGAGAAAAACCATGAGACTTCCCCCTAGAGGCGAGATGAGGCCCCATTCCCCTGCAGTGCATGCAGAGCTATTCCGTGGTCCCATTCAAGCAAGTCAGGATCTTCGACTTGCTTAATGGTTCTCGAGACAGTCCCCAAGAACACTGTCACCAGTCTCGACGGACCCTGAGGTCACCCCAGCAACGCAAAGCAGCTCCATGGGCCCCAAATCAACTCGAGATGAGGCCCGATTCCCCTGCATTGACTCCAGAGCCATTCCCCGTTCCCCATTCAACACGACCGGTGGCTCGACTTCCTTCAGGCAACTCCAGAGATGCCCCGAGAACACTGTCCCAAGTCTAGAGGATCACCAACTTCAGCACGGCAACTCGAGGAATGCTCCGTGTACCCCAAATCGTCTCGAGATGAGAGCTGATTCCCTGGCTTAGGCACAAGACGTATGCCAACTTTCATGACGCACCTCAGGAGGAGGCTTCTCTCAGCAATAGGTATGTGGGAGGGACCCCGAGTTCGCTGCCTCAAGGGCAATATACAGCGAGAAGCCCTAACTTGAAAGGAGGCCGGATTTCCTTGCAGTGGCTTGAATACAGGCTCGTCTTTCATCTCACAACATGAAGGGATGTCTGAATCCCCTGTGGAGACCTTAGAGAAAGCCCTAGGTCCCTGCCTCATTTTGACGGAATGCCTCACATCCCGTTGACACCTCAAGAGGCACGCGAAGTTCATTGCTTAAAAAGGTGACAATGCCTCACTCCTCTTGAATACTGATAGGAATCCCAAAATCCCTGTGGCTACTGGAAAGGGTCCTTGGGTGCCCTGCCTCACCTCGAGAAGCGTCCCTTTTGCCCTGCCAAGCCTCGAAGAGATTCCTGAGGTGTCCCTCGTTACTAGACAGGAGTCCTGACGTCACTGAAGAAACTCGTGTTTTGAAGGGCCATCCCCGCCGTAAGTCGAGAACATACCCCAGGTCCCCGCCGCAACTCGAGAAAAACCATGAGACTTCCCCCTAGAGGCGAGATGAGGCCCCATTCCCCTGCAGTGCATGCAGAGCTATTCCGTGGTCCCATTCAAGCAAGTCAGGAGCTTCGACTTGCTTAATGGTTCTCGAGACAGTCCCCAAGAACACTGTCACCAGTCTCGACGGACCCTGAGGACACCCCAGCAATGCAAAGCAGCTCCATGGGCCCCAAATCAACTCGAGATGAGGCCCGATTCCCCTGCATTGACTCCAGAGCCATTCCCCGTTCCCCATTCAACACGACCGGTGGCTCGACTTCCTTCAGGCAACTCCAGAGATGCCCCGAGAACACTGTCCCAAGTCTAGAGGAACACCAACTTCAGCACGGCAACTCAAGGAATGCTCCGTGTACCCCAAATCGTCTCGAGATGAGAGCTGATTCCCTGGCTTAGGCTCAAGACGTATGCCAAGTTTCAAGACGCACCTCAGGAGGAGGCTTCTCTCAGCAATAGGTATGTGGGAGGGACCCCGAGTTCGCTGCCTCAAGGGCAATATACAGCGAGAAGCCCTAACTTGAAAGGAGGCCGGATTTCCTTGCAGTGGCTTGAATACAGGCTCGTCTTTCATCTCACAACATGAAGGGATGTCTGAATCCCCTGTGGAGACCTTAGCGAAAGCCCTAGGTCCCTGCCTCATTTTGACGGAATGCCTCACATCCCGTTGACACCTCAAGAGGCACGCGGAGTTCTTTGCTTCAAAAGGTGACAATGCCTGACTCCTCTTGAATACTGATAGGAATCCCAAAATCCCTGTGGCTACTGGAAAGGGTCCTTGGGTGCCCTGCCTCACCTCGAGAAGCGTCCCTTTTGCCCTGCCAAGCCTCGAAGAGATTCCTGAGGTGTCCCTCGTTACTAGACAGGAGTCCTGACGTCACTGAAGAAACTCGTGTTTTAAAGGGCCATCCCCGCCGTAAGTCGAGAACATACCCCAGGTCCCCGCCGCAACTCGAGAAAAACCATGAGACTTCCCCCTAGAGGCGAGATGAGGCCCCATTCCCCTGCAGTGCATGCAGAGCTATTCCGTGGTCCCATTCAAGCAAGTCAGGAGCTTCGACTTGCTTAATGGTTCTCGAGACAGTCCCCAAGAACACTGTCACCAGTCTCGACGGACCCTGAGGTCACCCCAGCAACGCAAAGCAGCTCCATGGGCCCCAAATCAACTCGAGATGAGGCCCGATTCCCCTGCATTGACTGCAGAGCCATTCCCCGTTCCACATTCAACACGACCGGTGGTTCGACTTCCTTCAGGCAACTCCAGAGATGCCCCGAGAACACTGTCCCAAGTCTAGAGGAACACCAACTTCAGCACGGCAACTCGAGGAATGCTCCGTGTACCCCAAATCGTCTCGAGATGCGAGCTGATTCCCTGGCTTAGGCTCAAGACGTATGCCAACTTTCAAGACGCACCTCAGGAGGAGGCTTCTCTCAGCAATAGGTATGTGGGATGGACCCCGAGTTCGCTGCCTCAAGGGCAATATACAGCGAGAAGCCCAAACTTGAAAGGAGGCCGGATTTCCTTGCAGTGTCTTGAATACAGACTCGTCTTTCATCTCACAACATGAAGGGATGTCTGAATCCCCTGTGGAGACCTTAGAGAAAGCCCTAGGTCCCTGCCTCATTTGGACGGAATGCCTCACATCCCGTTGACACCTCGAGAGGCACGCGGAGTTCATTGCTTCAAAAGGTGACGATGCCTGACTCCTCTTGAATTCTGATAGGAATCCCAAAATCACTGTGGCTACTGGATAGGGTCCTTGCGTGCCCTGCCTCACCTCAAGAAGCGTCCCATTTGCACTGCCAAGCCTCGATGAGATTCCTGAGGTGTCCCTCGTTACTAGACAGGAGTCCTGATGTCACTGAAGAAACTCGTGTTTTGAAGGGCCATCCCCGCCGTAAGTCGAGAACATACCCCAGGTCCCTGCCGCAACTCGAGAAAAACCATGAGACTTCCCCCTAGAGGCGAGATGAGACCCCATTCCCCTGCAGTGCATGCAGAGCTATTCGGTGGTCCCATTCAAACAAGTCAGGAGCTTCGACTTGCTTAATGGATCGCGAGACAGTCCTCAAGAACATTGTCACCAGTCTCGATGGAACCTGAGGTCACCCCAGCAACGCAAAGCAACTCCATGTGCCCCAATTCAACTCGAGATGAGGCCCGATTCCCCTGCATTGACTCCAGAGCCATTCCCAGTTCCCCATTCAACACGAACGGTGGCTCGACTTCCTTCAGGCAACTCCAGAGATGCCCCGAGAACACTGTCCCAAGTCTAGAGGAACACCAACTTCAGCACAGCAACTCGAGGAATGCTCCGTGTACCACAAATCGTCTCGAGATGAGAGCTGATTCCCTGGCTTAGGCTCAAGACGTATGCCAACTTTCCAGACGCACCTCAGGAGGAGGCTTCTCTCAGCAGTAGGTATGTGGGAGGGACCCCGAGTTCGCTGCTTCAAGGGCAATATACAGCGAGAAGCCCTAACTTGAAAGGAGGCCGTATTTCCTTGCAGTGGCTTGAATACATGCTCGTCTTTCATCTCACAACATGAAGGGGTGTCTGAATCCCCTGTGGAGACCTTAGAGAAAGCCCTAGGTCCCTGCCTCATTTAGACGGAATGCCTTACATCCCGTTGACACCTCGAGAGGCACGCGGAGTTCATTGCTTCAAAAGGTGACGATGCCTGACTCCTCTTGAATTCTGATAGGAATCCCAGAATCACTGTGGCTACTGGAAAGGGTTCATGGGTGCCCTGCCTCACCTCAAGAATCGTCCCATTTGCACTGCCAAGCCTCGATGAGATTCCTGAGGTGTCCCTCGTTACTAGACAGGAGTCCTGACGTCACTGAAGAAACTCGTGTTTTGATGGGCCATCCCCGCCGTAAGTCGAGAACATACCCCAGGTCCCCGCCGCAACTCGAGAAAAACCATGAGACTTCCCCCTAGAGGCGAGATGAGGCCCCATTCCCCTGCAGTGCATGCAGAGCTATTCCGTTGTCCCATTCAAGCAAGTCAGGATCTTCGACTTGCTTAATGGTTCTCGAGACAGTCCCCAAGAACACTGTCACCAGTCTCGACGGACCCTGAGGTCACCCCAGCAACGCAAAGCAGCTCCATGGGCCCCAAATCAACTCGAGATGAGGCCCGATTCCCCTGCATTGACTCCAGAGCCATTCCCCGTTCCCCATTCAACACGACCGGTGGCTCGACTTCCTTCAGGCAACTCCAGAGATGCCCCGAGAACACTGTCCCAAGTCTAGAGGATCACCAACTTCAGCACGGCAACTCGAGGAATGCTCCGTGTTCCCCAAATCGTCTCGAGATGAGAGCTGATTCCCTGGCTTAGGCACAAGACGTATGCCAACTTTCAAGACGCACCTCAGGAGGAGGCTTCTCTCAGCAATAGGTATGTGGGAGGGACCCCGAGTTCGCTGCCTCAAGGGCAATATACAGCGAGAAGCCCTAACTTGAAAGGAGGCCGGATTTCCTTGCAGTGGCTTGAATACAGGCTCGTCTTTCATCTCACAACATGAAGGGATGTCTGAATCCCCTGTGGAGACCTTAGAGAAAGCCCTAGGTCCCTGCCTCATTTTGCCGGAATGCCTCACATCCCGTTGACACCTCAAGAGGCACGCGAAGTTCATTGCTTCAAAAGGTGACAATGCCTCACTCCTCTTGAATACTGATAGGAATACCAAAATCACTTTGGTACTGGAAAGGGTCCTTGGGTGCCCTGCCTCACCTCGAGAAGCGTCCCTTTTGCCCTGCCAAGCCTCGAAGAGATTCCTGAGGTGTCCCTCGTTACTAGACAGGAGTCCTGACGTCACTGAAGAAACTCGTGTTTTGAAGGGCCATCCCCGCCGTAAGTCGAGAACATACCCCAGGTCCCCGCCGCAACTCGAGAAAAACCATGAGACTTCCCCCTAGAGGCGAGATGAGGCCCCATTCCCCTGCAGTGCATGCAGAGCTATTCCGTGGTCCCATTCAAGCAAGTCAGGAGCTTCGACTTGCTTAATGGTTCTCGAGACAGTCCCCAAGAACACTGTCACCAGTCTCGACGGACCCTGAGGTCACCCCAGCAACGCAAAGCAGCTCCATGGGCCCCAAATCAACTCGAGATGAGGCCCGATTCCCCTGCATTGACTCCAGAGCCATTCCCGGTTCCCCATTCAACACGACCGGTGGTTCGACTTCCTTCAGGCAACTCAGAGATGCCCCGAGAACACTGTCCCAAGTCTAGAGGAACACCAACTTCAGCACGGCAACTCGAGGAATGCTCCGTGTACCCCAAATCGTCTCGAGATGAGAGGTGATTCCCTGGCTTAGGCTCAAGACGTATGCCAACTTTCCAGACGCACCTCAGGAGGAGGCTTCTCTCAGCAATAGGTATGTGGGAGGGACCCCGAGTTCGCTGCCTCAAGGGCAATATACAGCGAGAAGCTCTAACTTGAAAGGAGGCCGGATTTCCTTGCAGTGGCTTGAATACAGGTTCGTCTTTCATCTCACAACATGAAGGGATGTCTGAATCCCCTGTGGAGACATTAGAGAAAGCCCTAGATCCCTGCCTCATTTAGACGGAATGCCTCACATCCCGTTGACACCTCGAGAGGCACGCGGAGTTCATTGCTTCAAAAGGTGACGATGCCTGACTCCTCTTGAATTCTGATAGGAATCCCAAAATCACTGTGGCTTCTGGAAAGGGTTCTTGGGTGCCCTGCCTCACCTCAAGAAGCGTCCCATTTGCACTGCCAAGCCTCGATGAGATTCCTGAGGTGTCCCTCGTTACTAGACAGGAGTCCTGACGTCACTGAAGAAACTCGTGTTTTGAAGGGCCATCCCCGCCGTAAATCGACAACATACTCCAGGTCCCCGCCGCAACTCGAGAAAAACCATGAGACTTCCCCCTAGAGGCGAGATGAGGCCCCATTCCCCTGCAGTGCATGTAGAGCTATTCCGTGGTCCCATTCAAACAAGTCAGGAGCTTCGACTTGCTTAATGGATCTCGAGAGAGTCCCCAAGAACACTGTCACCCGTCTCGACGGACGCTGAGGTCAACCCAGCAACGCAAAGCAGCTCCATGTGCCCCAAATCAACTCGAGATGAGGCCCGATTCCCCTGCATTGACTCCAGAGACATTCCCCGTTCCCCATTCATCACGACCGGTGGCTCGACTTCCTTCAGGCAACTCCAGAGATACCCCGAGAACACTCTCCCAAGTCTAGAGGAACACCAACTTCAGCACAGCAACTCGAGGAATGCTCCGTGTACCCCAAATCATCTCGAGATGAGAGCTGATTCCCTGGCTTAGGCTCAAGACGTATGCCAACTTTCCAGACGCACCTCAGGAGGAGGCTTCTCTCAGCAATAGGTATGTGGGAGGGACCCCGAGTTCGCTGCCTCAAGGGCAATATACAGCGAGAAGCCCTAACTTGAAAGGAGGCCGGATTTCCTTGCAGTGGCTTGAATACAGGCTCGTCTTTCATCTCACGACATGAAGGGATGTCTGAATCCCCTGTGGAGACCTTAGAGAAAGCCCTAGGTCCCTGCCTCATATTGACGGAGTGCCTCACATCCCGTTGACACCTCAAGAGGCACGCGAAGTTCATTGCTTCAAAAGGTGACAATGCCTCACTCCTCTTGAATACTGATAGGAATCCCAAAATCCCTGTGGCTACTGGAAAGGGTCCTTGGGTGCCCTGCCTCACCTCGAGAAGCGTCCCTTTTGCCCTGCCAAGCCTCGAAGAGATTCCTGAGGTGTCCCTCGTTACTAGACAGGAGTCCTGACGTCACTGAAGAAACTCGTGTTTTGAAGGGCCATCCCCGCTGTAAGTCGAGAACATACCCCAGGTCCCCGCCGCAACTCGAGAAAAACCATGAGACTTCCCCCTAGAGGCGAGATGAGGCCCCATTCCCCTGCAGTGCATGCAGAGCTATTCCGTGGTCCCATTCAAGCAAGTCAGGATCTTCGACTTGCTTAATGGTTCTCGAGACAGTCCCCAAGAACACTGTCACCAGTCTCGACCGACCCTGAGGTCACCCCAGCAACGCAAAGCAGCTCCATGGGCCCCAAATCAACTCGAGATGAGGCCCGATTCCCCTGCATTGACTCCAGAGCCATTCCCCGTTCCCCATTCAACACGACCGGTGGCTCGACTTCCTTCAGGCAACTCCAGAGTTGCCCCGAGAACACTGTCCCAAGTCTAGAGGAACACCAACTTCAGCACGGCAACTCGAGGAATGCTCCGTGTACCCCAAATCGTCTCGAGATGAGAGGTGATTCCCTGGCTTAGGCTCAAGACGTATGCCAAGTTTCAAGACGCACCTCAGGAGGAGGCTTCTCTAAGCAATAGGTATGTGGGAGGGACCCCGAGTTCGCTGCCTCAAGGGCAATATACAGCGAGAAGCCCTAACTTGAAAGGAGGCCGGATTTCCTTGCAGTGGCTTGAATACAGGCTCGTCTTTCATCTCACAACATGAAGGGATGTCTGAATCCCCTGTGGAGACCTTAGCGAAAGCCCTAGGTCCCTGCCTCATTTTGATGGAATGCCTCACATCCCGTTGACACCTCAAGAGGCACGCGAAGTTCATTGCTTCAAAATGTGACAATGCCTGACTCCTCTTGAATACTGATAGGAATCCCAAAATCCCTGTGGCTACTGGAAAGGGTCCTTGGGTGCCCTGCCTCACCTCGAGAAGCGTCCCTTTTGCCCTGCCAAGCCTCGAAGAGATTCCTGAGGTGTCCCTCGTTACTAGACAGGAGTCTGGACGTCACTGAAGAAACTCGTGTTTTGAAGGGCCATCCCCGCCGTAAGTCGAGAACATACCCCAGGTCCCCGCCGCAACTCGAGAAAAACCATGAGTCTTCCCCCTAGAGGCGAGATGAGGCCCCATTCCCCTGCAGTGCATGCAGAGCTATTCCGTGGTCCCATTCAAGCAAGTCAGGAGCTTCGACTTGCTTAATGGTTCTCGAGACAGTCCCCAAGAACACTGTCACCAGTCTCGACGGACCCTGAGGTCACCCTAGCAACGCAAAGCAGCTCCATGGGCCCCAAATCAACTCGAGATGAGGCCCGATTCCCCTGCATTGACTCCAGAGCCATTCCCCGTTCCCCATTCAACACGACCGGTGGCTCGACTTCCTTCAGGCAACTCCAGAGATGCCCCGAGAACAGTGTCCCAAGTCTAGAGGAACACCAACTTCAGCACGGCAACTCGAGGAATGCTCCGTGTACCCCAAATCGTCTCGAGATGAGAGCTGATTCCCTGGCTTAGGCTCAAGACGTATGCCAACTTTCAAGACGCAACTCAGGAGGAGGCTTCTCTCAGCAATAGGTATGTGGGAGGGACCCCGAGTTCGCTGCCTCAAGGGCAATATACAGCGAGAAGCCCTAACTTGAAAGGAGGCCGGATTTCCTTGCAGTGGCTTGAATACAGACTCGTCTTTCATCTCACAACATGAAGGGATGTCTGAATCCCCTGTGGAGACCTTAGAGAAAGCCCTAGGTCCCTGCCTCATTTGGACGGAATGCCTCACATCCCGTTGACACCTCGAGAGGCACGCGGAGTTCATTGCTTCAAAAGGTGACAATGCCTCACTCCTCTTGAATACTGATAGGAATACCAAAATCCCTGTGGCTACTGGAAAGGGTCCTTGGGTGCCCTGCCACACCTCGGGAAGCGTCCCTTTTGCCCTGCCAAGCCTCGAAGAGATTCCTGAGGTGTCCCTCGTTACTAGACAGGAGTCCTGACGTCACTGAAGAAACTCGTGTTTTGAAGGGCCATCCCCGCCGTAAGTCGAGAACATACCCCAGGTCCCCGCCGCAACTCGAGAAAAACCATGAGACTTCCCCCTAGAGGCGAGATGAGGCCCCATTCCCCTGCAGTGCATGCAGAGCTATTCCGTGGTCCCATTCAAGCAAGTCAGGAGCTTCGACTTGCTTAATGGTTCTCGAGACAGTCCCCAAGAACACTGTCACCAGTCTCGACGGACCGTGAGGTCACCCCAGCAACGCAAAGCAGCTCCATGGGCCCCAAATCAACTCGAGATGAGGCCCGATTCCCCTGCATTGACTCCAGAGCCATTCCCGTTTCCCCATTCAACACAACCGGTGGCTCGACTTCCTTCAGGCAACTCCAGAGATGCCCCGAGAACACTGTCCCAAGTCTAGAGGAACACCAACTTCAGCACGGCAAATCGAGGAATGCTCCGTGTACACCAAATCGTCTCGAGGTGAGAGGTGATTCCCTGGCTTAGGCTCAAGACGTATGCCAACTTTCCAGACGCACCTCAGGAGGAGGCTTCTCTCAGCAATAGGTATGTGGGAGGGACCCCGAGTTCGCTGCCTCAAGGGCAATATACAGCGAGAAGCTCTAACTTGAAAGGAGGCCGGATTTCCTTGCAGTGGCTTGAATACAGGCTCGTCTTTCATCTCACAACATGAAGGGATGTCTGAATCCCCTGTGGAGACCTTAGAGAAAGCCCTAGGTCCCTGCCTCATTTAGACGGAATGCCTCACATCCCGTTGACACCTCGAGAGGCACGCGGAGTTCATTGCTTCAAAAGGTGACGATGCCTGACTCCTCTTGAATTCTGATAGGAATCCCAAAATCACTGTGGCTACTGGAAAGGGTTCTTGGGTGCCCTGCCTCACCTCAAGAAGCGTCCCATTTGCACTGCCAAGCCTCGATGAGATTCCTGAGGTGTCCCTCGTTACTAGACAGGAGTGCTGACGTCACTGAAGAAACTCGTGTTTTGAAGGGCCATCCCCGCCGTAAGTCGAGAACATACCCCAGGTCCCCGCCGCAACTCGAGAAAAACCATGAGACTTCCCCCTAGAGGCGAGATGAGGCCCCATTCCCCTGCAGTGCATGCAGAGCTATTCCGTGGTCCCATTCAAACAAGTCAGGAGCTTCGACTTGCTTAATGGATCTCGAGACAGTCCCCAAGAACACTGTCACCCGTCTTGACGGACGCTGAGGTCAACCCAGCAACGCAAAGCAGCTCCATGTGCCCCAAATCAACTCGAGATGAGGCCCGATTCCCCTGCATTGACTCCAGAGACATTCCCCGTTCCCCATTCAACACGACCGGTGGCTCGACTTCCTTCAGGCAACTCCAGAGATACCCCGAGAACACTCTCCCAAGTCTAGAGGAACACCAACTTCAGCACAGCAACTCGAGGAATGCTCCGTGTACCCCAAATCGTCTCGAGATGAGAGCTGATTCCCTGGCTTAGGCTCAAGACGTATGCCAACTTTCCAGACGCACCTCAGGAGGAGGCTTCTCTCAGCAATAGGTATGTGGGAGGGACCCCGAGTTCGCTGCCTCAAGGGCAATATACAGCGAGAAGCCCTAACTTGATAGGAGGCCGGATTTCCTTGCAGTGGCTTGAATACAGGCTCGTCTTTCATCTCACGACATGAAGGGATGTCTGAATCCCCTGTGGAGACCTTAGAGAAAGCCCTAGGTCCCTGCCTCATTTTGACGGAATGCCTCACATCCCGTTGACACCTCAAGAGGCACGCGAAGTTCATTGCTTCAAAAGGTGACAATGCCTCACTCCTCTTGAATACTGATAGGAATCCCAAAATCCCTGTGGCTACTGGAAAGGGTCCTTGGGTGCCCTGCCTCACCTCGAGAAGCGTCCCTTTTGCCCTGCCAAGCCTCGAAGAGATTCCTGAGGTGTCCCTCGTTACTAGACAGGAGTCCTGACGTCACTGAAGAAACTCGTGTTTTGAAGGGCCATCCCCGCCGTAAGTCGAGAACATACCTCAGGTCCCCGCCGCAACTCGAGAAAAACCATGAGACTTCCCCCTAGAGGCGAGATGAGGCCCCATTCCCCTGCAGTGCATGCAGAGCTATTCCGTGGTCCCATTCAAGCAAGTCAGGAGCTTCGACTTGCTTAATGGTTCTCGAGACAGTCCCCAAGAACACTGTCACCAGTCTCGACGGACCCTGAGGTCACCCCAGCAACGCAAAGCAGCTCCATGGGCCCCAAATCAACTCGAGATGAGGCCCGATTCCCCTGCATTGACTCCAGAGCCATTCCCTGTTCCCCATTCAACACGACCGGTGGCTCGACTTCCTTCAGGCAACTCCAGAGATGCCCCGAGAACACTGTCCCAAGTCTAGAGGAACACCAACTTCAGCACGGCAACTCGAGGAATGCTCCGTGTACCCCAAATCGTCTCGAGATGAGAGGTGATTCCCTGGCTTAGGCTCAAGACGTATGCCAACATTCAAGACGCACTTCAGGAGGAGGCTTCTCAGCAATAGGTATGTGGGAGGGACCCCGAGTTCGCTGCATCAAGGGCAATATACAGCGAGAAGCCCTAACTTGAAAGGAGGCCGGATTTCCTTGCAGTGGCTTGAATACAGACTCGTCTTTCATCTCACAACATGAAGGGATGTCTGAATCCCCTGTGGAGACCTTAGAGAAAGACCTAGGTCCCTGCCTCATTTGGACTGAATGCCTCACATCCCGTTGAAACCTCGAGAGGCACGCGGAGTTCATTGCTTCAAAAGGTGACGATGCCTGACTCCTCTTGAATTCTGATAGGAATCCCCAAATCACTGTGGCTACTGGAAAGGGTCCTTGCGTGCCCTGCCTCACCTCAAGAAGCGTCCCATTTGCACTGCCAAGCCTCGATGAGATTCCTGAGGTGTCCCTCGTTACTAGACAGGAGTCCTGACGTCACTGAAGAAACTCGTGTTTTGAAGGGCCATCCCCGCCGTAAGTCGAGAACATACCCCAGGTCCCCGCCGCAACTCGAGAAAAACCATGAGACTTCCCCATAGAGGCGAGATGAGACCCCATTCCCCTGCAGTGCATGCAGAGCTATTCCGTGGTCCCATTCAAACAAGTCAGGAGCTTCGACTTGCTTAATGGATCTCGAGACAGTCCTCAAGAACATTGTCACCAGTCTCGATGGAACCTGAGGTCACCCCAGCAACGCAAAGCAGCTCCATGTGCCCCAAATCAAATCGAGATGAGGCCCGATTCCCCTGCATTGACTCCAGAGCCATTCCCCGTTCCCCATTCAACACGAACGGTGGCTCGACTTCCTTCAGGCAACTCCAGAGATACCCCGAGAACACTGTCCCAAGTCTAGAGGAACACCAACTTCTGCACAGCAACTCGAGGAATGCTCCGTGTACCCCAAATCGTCTCGAGATGACAGCTGATTCCCTGGCTTAGGCTCAAGACGTATGCCAACTTTCCAGACGCACCTCAGGAGGAGGCTTCTCTCAGCAATAGGTATGTGGGAGGGACCCCGAGTTCGCTGCCTCAAGGGCAATATACAGCGAGAAGCCCTAACTTGAAAGGAGGCCGGATTTCCTTGCAGTGGCTTGAATACAGGCTCGTCTTTCATCTCACAACATGAAGGGATGTCTGAATCCCCTGTGGAGACCTTAGAGAAAGCCCAAGGCCCCTGCCTCATTTTGACGGAATGCCTCACATCCCCTTGACACCTCAAGAGGCACGCGAAGTTCATTGTTTCAAAAGGTGACAATGCCTCACTCCTCTTGAATACTGATAGGAATCCCAAAATCACTGTGGCTACTGGAAAGGGTCCTTGGGTGCCCTGCCTCACCTCGAGAAGCGTCCCGTTTGCCCTGCCAAGCCTCGAAGAGATTCCTGAGGTGTCCCTCGTTACTAGACAGGAGTCCTGACGTCACTGAAGAAACTCGTGTTTTGAATTGCCATCCCCGCCGTAAGTCGAGAACATACCCCAGGTCCCCGCCGCAACTCGAGAAAAACCATGAGACTTCCCCCTAGAGGCGAGATGAGACCCCATTCCCCTGCAGTGCATGCAGAGCTATTCCGTGGTCCCATTCAAGCAACTCAGGAGCTTCGACTTGCTTAATGGATCTCGAGACAGTCCCCAAGAACACTGTCACCAGTCTCCACGGACCCTGAGGTCACCCCAGCAACACAAAGCAGCTCCATGGGCCCCAAATCAACTCGAGATGAGGCCCGATTCCCCTGCATTGACTCCAGAGCCATTCCCCGTTCCCCATTCAACACGACCGGTGGCTCGACTTCCTTCAGGCAACTCCAGAGATGCCCCGAGAACACTGTCCCAAGTCTAGAGGAACACCAACTTCAGCACGGCAACTCGAGGAATGCTCCGTGTACCCCAAATCGTCTCGAGATGAGAGGTGATTCCCTGGCTTAGGCTCAAGACGTATGCCAACTTTCAAGACGCACCTCAGGAGGAGGCTTCTCTCAGCAATAGGTATGTGGGAGGGACCCCGAGTTCACTGCCTCAAGGGCAATATACAGCGAGAAGCCCTAACTTGAAAGGAGGCCGGATTTCCTTGCAGTGGCTTGAATACAGACTCGTCTTTCATCTCACAACATGAAGGGATGTCTGAATCGCCTGTGGAGACCTTAGAGAAAGCCCTAGGTCCCTGCCTCATTTGGACGGAATGCCTCACATCCCGTTGGCACCTCGAGAGGCACGCGGAGTTCATTGCTTCAAAAGGTGACGATGCCTGACTCCTCTTGAATTCTGATAGGAATCCCAAAATCACTGTGGCTACTGGAAAGGGTCCTTGCGTGCCCTGCCTCACCTCAATAAGCGTCCCATTTGCACTGCCAAGCCTCGATGAGATTCCTGAGGTGTCCCTCGTTATTAGGCAGGAGTCCTGACGTCACTGAAGAAACTCGTGTTTTGAAGGGCCATCCCCGCGGTAAGTTGAGAACATACCCCAGGTCCCCGCCGCAACTCGAGAAAAACCATGAGACTTCCCCCTAGAGGCGAGATGAGGCCCCATTCCCCTGCAGTGCATGCAGAGCTATTCCGTGGTCCCATTCAAGCAACTCAGGAGCTTCGACTTGCTTAATGGATCTCGAGACAGTCCCCAAGAACACTGTCACCAGTCTCGACGGACGCTGAGGTCACCCCAGCAACGCAAAGCAGATCCATGTGCCCCAAATCAACTCGAGATGAGGCCCGATTCCCCTGCATTGACTCCAGAGCCATTCCCCGTTCCCCATTCAACACGACCGGTGGCTCGACTTCCTTCAGGCAACTCCAGAGATACCCCGAGAACACTCTCCCAAGTCTAGAGGAACACCAACTTCAGCACAGCAACTCGAGGAATGCTCCGTGTACCACAAATCGTCTCGAGATGAGAGCTGATTCCCTGGCTTAGGCTCAAGACGTATGCCAACTTTCCAGACGCACCTCAGGAGGAGGCTTCTCTCAGCAATAGGTATGTGGGAGGGACCCCGAGTTCGCTGCCTCAAGGGCAATATACAGCGAGAAGCCCTAACTTGAAAGGAGGCCGGATTTCCTTGCAGTGGCTTGAATACAGGCTCGTCTTTCATCTCACAACATGAAGGGATGTCTGAATCCCCTGTGGAGACCTTAGAGAAAGCCCTAGGTCCCTGCCTCATTTAGACGGAATGCCTCACATCCCGTTGACACCTCGAGAGGCACGCGGAGTTCATTGCTTCAAAAGGTGACGATGCCTGACTCCTCTTGAATTCTGATAGGAATCCCAAAATCACTGTGGCTACTGGAAAGGGTTCATGGGTGCCCTGCCTCACCTCAAGAAGCGTCCCATTTGCACTGCCAAGCCTCGATGAGATTCCTGAGGTGTCCCTCGTTAGTAGACAGGAGTCCTGACGTCACTGAAGAAACTCGTGTTTTGAAGGGCCATCCCCGCCGTAAGTCGAGAACATACCCCAGGTCCCCGCCGCAACTCGAGAAAAACCATGAGACTTCCCCCTAGAGGCGAGATGAGGCCCCATTCCCCTGCAGTGCATGCAGAGCTATTCCGTGGTCCCATTCAAACAAGTCAGGAGCTTCGACTTGCTTAATGGATCTCGACACAGTCCCCAAGAACACTGTCACCAGTCTCGACGGACGCTGAGGTCACCCCAGCAACACAAAGCAGCTCCATGGCCCCAAATCAACTCGAGATGAGGCCCGATTCCCCTGCATTGACTCCAGAGCCATTCCCCGTTCCCCATTCAACACGACCGGTGGCTCGACTTCCTTCAGACAACTCCAGAGATGCCCCGAGAACACTGTCCCAAGTCTAGAGGAACACCAACTTCAGCACGGCAACTCGAGGAATGCTCCGTGTACCCCAAATCGTCTCGAGATGAGAGGTGATTCCCTGGCTTAGGCTCAAGACGTATGCCAACTTTCCAGACGCACCTCAGGAGGAGGCTTCTCGCAGCAATAGGTATGTGGGAGGGACCCCGAGTTCGCTGCCTCAAGGGCAATATACAGCGAGAAGCCCTAACTTGAAAGGAGGCCGGATTTCCTTGCAGTGGCTTGAATACAGGCTCGTCTTTCACCTCACAACATGAAGGGATGTCTGAATCCCCTGTGGAGACCTTAGAGAAAGCCCTAGGTCCCTGCCTCATTTTGACGGAATGCCTCACATCCCGTTGACACCTCAAGAGGCACGCGAAGTTCATTGCTTCAAAAGGTGACAATGCCTGACTCCTCTTGAATTCTGATAGGAATCCCAAAATCACTGTGGCTACTGGAAAGGGTCCTTGGGTGCCCTGCCTCACCTCGAGAAGCGTCCCGTTTGCCCTGCCAAGCCTCGAAGAGATTCCTGAGGTGTCCCTCGTTACTAGACAGGAGTCCTGACGTCACTGAAGAAACTCGTGTTTTGAATTGCCATCCCCGCCGTAAGTCGAGAACATACCCCAGGTCCCCGCCGCAACTCGAGAAAAACCATGAGACTTCCCCCTAGAGGCGAGATGAGGCCCCATTCCCCTGCAGTGCATGCAGAGCTATTCCGTGGTCCCATTCAAGCAAGTCAGGAGCTTCGACTTGCTTAATGGATCTCGAGACAGTCCCCAAGAACACTGTCACCAGTCTCCACGGACCCTGAGGTCACCCCAGCAACACAAAGCAGCTCCATGGGCCCCAAATCAACTCGAGATGAGGCCCGATTCCCCTGCATTGACTCCAGAGCCATTCCCCGTTCCCCATTCAACACGACCGGTGGCTCGACTTCCTTCAGGCAACTCCAGAGATGCCCCGAGAACACTGTCCCAAATCTAGAGGAACACCAACTTCAGCACGGCAACTCGAGGAATGCTCCGTGTACCCCAAATCGTCTCGAGATGAGAGGTGATTCCCTGGCTTAGGCTCAAGACGTATGCCAACTTTCAAGACGCACCTCAGGAGGAGGCTTCTCTCAGCAATAGGTATGTGGGAGGGACCCCGAGTTCACTGCCTCAAGGGCAATATACAGCGAGAAGCCCTAACTTGAAAGGAGGCCGGATTTCCTTGCAGTGGCTTGAATACAGACTCGTCTTTCATCTCACAACATGAAGGGATGTCTGAATCGCCTGTGGAGACCTTAGAGAAAGCCCTAGGTCCCTGCCTCATTTGGACGGAATGCCTCACATCCCGTTGACACCTCGAGAGGCACGCGGAGTTCATTGCTTCAAAAGGTGACGATGCCTGACTCCTCTTGAATTCTGATAGGAATCCCAAAATCACTGTGGCTACTGGAAAGGGTTCATGGGTGCCCTGCCTCACCTCAAGAAGCGTCCCATTTGCACTGCCAAGCCTCGATGAGATTCCTGAGGTGTCCCTCGTTACTAGACAGGAGTCCTGACGTCACTGAAGAAACTCGTGTTTTGAAGGGCCATCCCCGCCGTAAGTCGAGAACATACCCCAGGTCCCCGCCGCAACTCGAGAAAAACCATGAGACTTCCCCCTAGAGGCGAGATGAGGCCCCATTCCCCTGCAGTGCATGCAGAGCTATTCCGTGGTACCATTCAAACAAGTCAGGAGCTTCGACTTGCTTAATGGATCTCGAGACAGTCCCCAAGAACACTGTCACCAGTCTCGACGGACGCTGAGGTCACCCCAGCAACGCAAAGCAGCTCCATGTGCCCCAAATCAACTCGAGATGAGGCCCGATTCCCCTGCATTGACTCCAGAGCCATTCCCCGTTCCCCATTCAACACGACCGGTGGCTCGACTTCCTTCAGACAACTCCAGAGATGCCCCGAGAACACTATCCCAAGTCTAGAGGAACACCAACTTCAGCACGGCAACTCGAGGAATGCTCCGTGTACCCCAAATCGTCTCGAGATGAGAGGTGATTTCCTGGCTTAGGCTCAAGACGTATGCCAACTTTCCAGACGCACCTCAGGAGGAGGCTTCTCTCAGCAATAGGTATGTGGGAGGGACCCCGAGTTCGCTGCCTCAAGGGCAATATACAGCGAGAAGCCCTAACTTGAAAGGAGGCCGGATTTCCTTGCAGTGGCTTGAATACAGGCTCGTCTTTCATTTCACGACATGAAGGGATGTCTGAATCCCCTGTGGAGACCTTAGAGAAAGCCCTAGGTCCCTGCCTCATTTTGACGGAATGCCTCACATCCCGTTGACACCTCAAGAGGCACGCGAAGTTCATTGCTTCAAAAGGTGACAATGCCTTACTCCTCTTGAATACTGATAGGAATCCCAAAATCCCTGTGGCTACTGGAAAGGGTCCTTGGGTGCCCTGCCTCACCTCGAGAAGCGTCCCTTTTGCCCTGCCAAGCCTCGAAGAGATTCCTGAGGTGTCCCTCGTTACTAGACAGGAGTCCTGACGTCACTGAAGAAACTCGTGTTTTGAAGGGCCATCCCCGCCGTAAGTCGAGAACATATCCCAGGTCCCCGCCGCAACTCGAGAAAAACCATGAGACTTCCCCCTAGAGGCGAGATGAGGCCCCATTCCCCTGCAGTGCATGCAGAGCTATTCCGTGGTCCCATTCAAGCAAGTCAGGAGCTTCGACTTGCTTAATGGTTCTCGAGACAGTCCCCAAGAACACTGTCACCAGTTTCGACGGACCCTGAGGTCACCCCAGCAACGCAAAGCAGCTCCATGGGACCCAAATCAACTCGAGATGAGGCCCGATTCCCCTGCATTGACTCCAGAGCCATTCCCCGTTCCCCATTCAACACGACCGGTGGCTCGACTTCCTTCAGGCAACTCCAGAGATGCCCCGAGAACACTGTCCCAAGTCTAGAGGAACACCAACTTCAGCACGGCAACTCGAGGAATGCTCCGTGTACCCCAAATCGTCTCGAGATGAGACCTGATTCCCTGGCTTAGGCACAAGACGTATGCCAACTTTCAAGACGCACCTCAGGAGGAGGCTTCTCTCAGCAATAGGTATGTGGGAGGGACCCCGAGTTCGCTGCCTCAAGGGCAATATACAGCGAGAAGCCCTAACTTGAAAGGAGGCCGGATTTCCTTGCAGTGGCTTGAATACAGGCTCGTCTTTCACCTCACAACATGAAGGGATGTCTGAATCCCCTGTGGAGACCTTAGAGAAAGCCCTAGGTCCCTGCCTCATTTTGACGGAATGCCTCACATCCCGTTGACACCTCAAGAGGCACGCGAAGTTCATTGCTTCAAAAGGTGACAATGCCTCACTCCTCTTGAATACTGATAGGAATCCCAAAATCCCTGTGGCTACTGGAAAGGGTCCTTGGGTGCCCTGCCTCACCTCGAGAAGCGTCCCTTTTGCCCTGCCAAGCCTCGAAGAGATTCCTGAGGTGTCCCTCGTTACTAGACAGGAGTCTGGACGTCACTGAAGAAACTCGTGTTTTGAAGGGCCATCCCCGCCGTAAGTCGAGAACATACCCCAGGTCCCCGCCGCAACTCGAGAAAAACCATGAGACTTCCCCCTAGAGGCGAGATGAGGCCCCATTCCCCTGCAGTGCATGTAGAGCTATTCCGTGGTCCCATTCAAACAAGTCAGGAGCTTCGACTTGCTTAATGGTCGCGAGACAGTCCCCAAGAACACTGTCACCCGTCTCGACGGACGCTGAGGTCAACCCAGCAACGCAAAGCAGCTCCATGTGCCCCAAATCAACTCGAGATGAGGCCCGATTCCCCTGCATTGACTCCAGAGACATTCCCCGTTCCCCATTCAACACGACCGGTGGCTCGACTTCCTTCAGGCAACTCCAGAGATACCCCGAGAACACTCTCCCAAGTCTAGAGGAACACCAACTTCAGCACAGCAACTCGAGGAATGCTCCGTGTACCCCAAATCGTCTCGAGATGAGAGCTGATTCCCTGGCTTAGGCTCAAGACGTATGCCAACTTTCCAGACGCACCTCAGGAGGAGGCTTCTCTCAGCAATAGGTATGTGGGAGGGACCCCGAGTTCGCTGCCTCAAGGGCAATATACAGCGAGAAGCCCTAACTTGAAAGGAGGCCGGATTTCCTTGCAGTGGCTTGAATACAGGCTCGTCTTTCATCTCACGACATGAAGGGATGTCTGAATCCCCTGTGGAGACCTTAGAGAAAGCCCTAGGTCCCTGCCTCATTTTGACGGAATGCCTCACATCCCGTTGAAACCTCAAGAGGCACGCGAAGTTCATTGCTTCAAAAGGTGACAATGCCTGACTCCTCTTGAATGCTGATAGGAATCCCAAAATCCCTGTGGCTACTGGAAAGGGTCCTTGGGTGCCCTGCCTCACCTCGAGAAGCGTCCCTTTTGCCCTGCCAAGCCTCGAAGAGATTCCTGAGGTGTCCCTCGTTACTAGACAGGAGTCTGGACGTCACTGAAGAAACTCGTGTTTTGAAGGGCCATCCCCGCCGTAAGTCGAGAACATACCCCAGGTCCCCGCCGCAACACGAGAAAAACCATGAGACTTCCCCCTAGAGGCGAGATGAGGCCCCATTCCCCTGCAGTGCATGCAGAGCTATTCCGTGGTCCCATTCAAGCAAGTCAGGAGCTTCGACTTGCTTAATGGTTCTCGAGACAGTCCCCAAGAACACTGTCACCAGTCTCGACGGACCCTGAGGTCACCACAGCAACGCAAAGCAGCTCCATGGGCCCCAAATCAACTCGAGATGAGGCCCGATTCCCCTGCATTGACTCCAGAGCCATTCCCCGTTCCCCATTCAACACGACCGGTGGCTCGACTTCCTTCAGGCAACTCCAGAGATGCCCCGAGAACACTGTCCCAAGTCTAGAGGAACGCCAACTTCAGCACGGCAACTCGAGGAATGCTCCGTGTACCCCAAATCGTCTCGAGATGAGAGGTGATTCCCTGGCTTAGGCTCAAGACGTATGCCAACTTTCAAGACGCAACTCAGGAGGAGGCTTCTCTCAGCAATAGGTATGTGGGAGGGACCCCGAGTTCGCTGCCTCAAGGGCAATATACAGCGAGAAGCCCTAACTTGAAAGGAGGCCGGATTTCCTTGCAGTGGCTTGAATACAGAATCGTCTTTCATCTCACAACATGAAGGGATGTCTGAATCCCCTGTGGAGACCTTAGAGAAAGCCCTAGGTCCCTGCCTCATTTGGACGGAATGCCTCACATCCCGTTGACACCTCGAGAGGCACGCGGAGTTCATTGCTTCAAAAGGTGACGATGCCTGACTCCTCTTGAATTCTGATAGGAATCCCAAAAATCACTGTGGCTACTGGAAAGGGTCCTTGCGTTCCCTGCCTCACCTCGAGAAGCGTCCCGTTTGCCCTGCCAAGCCTCGAAGAGATTCCTGAGGTGTCCCTCGTTACTAGACAGGAGTCCTGATGTCACTGAAGATACTCGTGTTTTGAATTGCCATCCCCGCCGTAAGTCGAGAACAGACCCCAGGCCCCGCCGCAACTCGAGAAAAACCATGAGACTTCCCCCTAGAGGCGAGATGAGGCCCCATTCCCCTGCAGTGCATGCAGAGCTATTCCGTGGTCCCATTCAAGCAAGTCAGGAGCTTCGACTTGCTTAATGGATCTCGAGACAGTCCCCAAGAACACTGTCACCAGTCTCGACGGACCCTGAGGTCACCCCAGCAACACAAAGCAGCTCCATGGGCCCCAAATCAACTCGAGATGAGGCCCGATTCCCCTGCATTGACTCCAGAGCGATTCCCCGTTCCCCATTCAACACGACCGGTGGCTCGACTTCCTTCAGGCAACTCCAGAGATGCCCCGAGAACACTGTCCCAAGTCTAGAGGAACACCAACTTCAGCACGGCAACTCGAGGAATGCTCCGTGTACCCCAAATCGTCTCGAGATGAGAGGTGATTCCCTGGCTTAGGCTCAAGACGTATGCCAACTTTCAAGACGCACCTCAGGAGGAGGCTTCTCTCAGCAATAGGTATGTGGGAGGGACCCCGAGTTCGCTGCCTCAAGGGCAATATACAGCGAGAAGCCCTAACTTGAAAGGAGGCCGGATTTCCTTGCAGTGGCTTGAATACAGGCTCGTCTTTCATTTCACGACATGAAGGGATGTCTGAATCCCCTGTGGAGACCTTAGAGAAAGCCCTAGGTCCCTGCCTCATTTTGACGGAATGCCTCACATCCCGTTGACACCTCAAGAGGCACGCGAAGTTCATTGCTTCAAAAGGTGACAATGCCTTACTCCTCTTGAATACTGATAGGAATCCCAAAATCCCTGTGGCTACTGGAAAGGGTCCTTGGGTGCCCTGCCTCACCTCGAGAAGCGTCCCTTTTGCCCTGCCAAGCCTCGAAGAGATTCCTGAGGTGTCCCTCGTTACTAGACAGGAGTCCTGACGTCACTGAAGAAACTCGTGTTTTGAAGGGCCATCCCCGCCGTAAGTCGAGAACATATCCCAGGTCCCCGCCGCAACTCGAGAAAAACCATGAGACTTCCCCCTAGAGGCGAGATGAGGCCCCATTCCCCTGCAGTGCATGCAGAGCTATTCCGTGGTCCCATTCAAGCAAGTCAGGAGCTTCGACTTGCTTAATGGTTCTCGAGACAGTCCCCAAGAACACTGTCACCAGTTTCGACGGACCCTGAGGTCACCCCAGCAACGCAAAGCAGCTCCATGGGACCCAAATCAACTCGAGATGAGGCCCGATTCCCCTGCATTGACTCCAGAGCCATTCCCCGTTCCCCATTCAACACGACCGGTGGCTCGACTTCCTTCAGGCAACTCCAGAGATGCCCCGAGAACACTGTCCCAAGTCTAGAGGAACACCAACTTCAGCACGGCAACTCGAGGAATGCTCCGTGTACCCCAAATCGTCTCGAGATGAGACCTGATTCCCTGGCTTAGGCACAAGACGTATGCCAACTTTCAAGACGCACCTCAGGAGGAGGCTTCTCTCAGCAATAGGTATGTGGGAGGGACCCCGAGTTCGCTGCCTCAAGGGCAATATACAGCGAGAAGCCCTAACTTGAAAGGAGGCCGGATTTCCTTGCAGTGGCTTGAATACAGGCTCGTCTTTCACCTCACAACATGAAGGGATGTCTGAATCCCCTGTGGAGACCTTAGAGAAAGCCCTAGGTCCCTGCCTCATTTTGACGGAATGCCTCACATCCCGTTGACACCTCAAGAGGCACGCGAAGTTCATTGCTTCAAAAGGTGACAATGCCTCACTCCTCTTGAATACTGATAGGAATCCCAAAATCCCTGTGGCTACTGGAAAGGGTCCTTGGGTGCCCTGCCTCACCTCGAGAAGCGTCCCTTTTGCCCTGCCAAGCCTCGAAGAGATTCCTGAGGTGTCCCTCGTTACTAGACAGGAGTCTGGACGTCACTGAAGAAACTCGTGTTTTGAAGGGCCATCCCCGCCGTAAGTCGAGAACATACCCCAGGTCCCCGCCGCAACTCGAGAAAAACCATGAGACTTCCCCCTAGAGGCGAGATGAGGCCCCATTCCCCTGCAGTGCATGTAGAGCTATTCCGTGGTCCCATTCAAACAAGTCAGGAGCTTCGACTTGCTTAATGGTCGCGAGACAGTCCCCAAGAACACTGTCACCCGTCTCGACGGACGCTGAGGTCAACCCAGCAACGCAAAGCAGCTCCATGTGCCCCAAATCAACTCGAGATGAGGCCCGATTCCCCTGCATTGACTCCAGAGACATTCCCCGTTCCCCATTCAACACGACCGGTGGCTCGACTTCCTTCAGGCAACTCCAGAGATACCCCGAGAACACTCTCCCAAGTCTAGAGGAACACCAACTTCAGCACAGCAACTCGAGGAATGCTCCGTGTACCCCAAATCGTCTCGAGATGAGAGCTGATTCCCTGGCTTAGGCTCAAGACGTATGCCAACTTTCCAGACGCACCTCAGGAGGAGGCTTCTCTCAGCAATAGGTATGTGGGAGGGACCCCGAGTTCGCTGCCTCAAGGGCAATATACAGCGAGAAGCCCTAACTTGAAAGGAGGCCGGATTTCCTTGCAGTGGCTTGAATACAGGCTCGTCTTTCATCTCACGACATGAAGGGATGTCTGAATCCCCTGTGGAGACCTTAGAGAAAGCCCTAGGTCCCTGCCTCATTTTGACGGAATGCCTCACATCCCGTTGAAACCTCAAGAGGCACGCGAAGTTCATTGCTTCAAAAGGTGACAATGCCTGACTCCTCTTGAATGCTGATAGGAATCCCAAAATCCCTGTGGCTACTGGAAAGGGTCCTTGGGTGCCCTGCCTCACCTCGAGAAGCGTCCCTTTTGCCCTGCCAAGCCTCGAAGAGATTCCTGAGGTGTCCCTCGTTACTAGACAGGAGTCTGGACGTCACTGAAGAAACTCGTGTTTTGAAGGGCCATCCCCGCCGTAAGTCGAGAACATACCCCAGGTCCCCGCCGCAACACGAGAAAAACCATGAGACTTCCCCCTAGAGGCGAGATGAGGCCCCATTCCCCTGCAGTGCATGCAGAGCTATTCCGTGGTCCCATTCAAGCAAGTCAGGAGCTTCGACTTGCTTAATGGTTCTCGAGACAGTCCCCAAGAACACTGTCACCAGTCTCGACGGACCCTGAGGTCACCACAGCAACGCAAAGCAGCTCCATGGGCCCCAAATCAACTCGAGATGAGGCCCGATTCCCCTGCATTGACTCCAGAGCCATTCCCCGTTCCCCATTCAACACGACCGGTGGCTCGACTTCCTTCAGGCAACTCCAGAGATGCCCCGAGAACACTGTCCCAAGTCTAGAGGAACGCCAACTTCAGCACGGCAACTCGAGGAATGCTCCGTGTACCCCAAATCGTCTCGAGATGAGAGGTGATTCCCTGGCTTAGGCTCAAGACGTATGCCAACTTTCAAGACGCAACTCAGGAGGAGGCTTCTCTCAGCAATAGGTATGTGGGAGGGACCCCGAGTTCGCTGCCTCAAGGGCAATATACAGCGAGAAGCCCTAACTTGAAAGGAGGCCGGATTTCCTTGCAGTGGCTTGAATACAGAATCGTCTTTCATCTCACAACATGAAGGGATGTCTGAATCCCCTGTGGAGACCTTAGAGAAAGCCCTAGGTCCCTGCCTCATTTGGACGGAATGCCTCACATCCCGTTGACACCTCGAGAGGCACGCGGAGTTCATTGCTTCAAAAGGTGACGATGCCTGACTCCTCTTGAATTCTGATAGGAATCCCAAAAATCACTGTGGCTACTGGAAAGGGTCCTTGCGTTCCCTGCCTCACCTCGAGAAGCGTCCCGTTTGCCCTGCCAAGCCTCGAAGAGATTCCTGAGGTGTCCCTCGTTACTAGACAGGAGTCCTGATGTCACTGAAGATACTCGTGTTTTGAATTGCCATCCCCGCCGTAAGTCGAGAACAGACCCCAGGCCCCGCCGCAACTCGAGAAAAACCATGAGACTTCCCCCTAGAGGCGAGATGAGGCCCCATTCCCCTGCAGTGCATGCAGAGCTATTCCGTGGTCCCATTCAAGCAAGTCAGGAGCTTCGACTTGCTTAATGGATCTCGAGACAGTCCCCAAGAACACTGTCACCAGTCTCGACGGACCCTGAGGTCACCCCAGCAACACAAAGCAGCTCCATGGGCCCCAAATCAACTCGAGATGAGGCCCGATTCCCCTGCATTGACTCCAGAGCGATTCCCCGTTCCCCATTCAACACGACCGGTGGCTCGACTTCCTTCAGGCAACTCCAGAGATGCCCCGAGAACACTGTCCCAAGTCTAGAGGAACACCAACTTCAGCACGGCAACTCGAGGAATGCTCCGTGTACCCCAAATCGTCTCGAGATGAGAGGTGATTCCCTGGCTTAGGCTCAAGACGTATGCCAACTTTCAAGACGCACCTCAGGAGGAGGCTTCTCTCAGCAATAGGTATGTGGGAGGGACCCCGAGTTCGCTGCCTCAAGGGCAATATACAGCGAGAAGCCCTAACTTGAAAGGAGGCCGGATTTCCTTGCAGTGGCTTGAATACAGGCTCGTCTTTCATCTCACGACATGAACGGATGTCTGAATAACCTGTGGAGAACTTAGAGAAAGCCCTAGGTCCCTGCCTCATTTTGACGGAATGCCTCACATCCCGTTGACACCTCAAGAGGCACGCGAAGTTCATTGCTTCAAAAGGTGACAATGCCTCACTCCTCTTGAATACTGATAGGAATACCAAAATCCCTGTGGCTACTGGAAAGGGTCCTTGGGTGCCCTGCCACACCTCGGGAAGCGTCCCTTTTGCCCTGCCAAGCCTCGAAGAGATTCCTGAGGTGTCCCTCGTTACTAGACAGGAGTCCTGACGTCACTGAAGAAACTCGTGTTTTGAAGGGCCATCCCCGCCGTAAGTCGAGAACATACCCCAGGTCCCCGCCGCAACTCGAGAAAAACCATGAGACTTCCCCCTAGAGGCGAGATGAGGCCCCATTCCCCTGCAGTGCATGCAGAGCTATTCCGTGGTCCCATTCAAGCAAGTCAGGAGCTTCGACTTGCTTAATGGTTCTCGAGACAGTCCCCAAGAACACTGTCACCAGTCTCGACGGACCCTGAGGTCACCCCAGCAACGCAAAGCAGCTCCATGGGCCCCAAATCAACTCGAGATGAGGCCCGATTCCCCTGCATTGACTCCAGAGCCATTCCCGTTTCCCCATTCAACACGACCGGTGGCTCGGCTTCCTTCAGGCAACTCCAGAGATACCCCGAGAACACTGTCCCAAGTCTAGAGGAACACCAACTTCAGCACAGCAACTCGAGGAATGCTCCGTGTACCCCAAATCGTCTCGAGATGAGAGCTGATTCCCTGGCTTAGGCTCAAGACGTATGCCAACTTTCCAGACGCACCTCAGGAGGAGGCTTCTCTCAGCAATAGGTATGTGGGAGGGACCCCGAGTTCGCTGCCTCAAGGGCAATATACAGCGAGAAGCCCTAACTTGATAGGAGGCCGGATTTCCTTGCAGTGGCTTGAATACAGGCTCGTCTTTCATCTCACGACATGAAGGGATGTCTGAATCCCCTGTGGAGACCTTAGAGAAAGCCCTAGGTCCCTGCCTCATTTTGACGGAATGCCTCACATCCCGTTGACACCTCAAGAGGCACGCGAAGTTCATTGCTTCAAAAGGTGACAATGCCTCACTCCTCTTGAATACTGATAGGAATCCCAAAATCCCTGTGGCTACTGGAAAGGGTCCTTGGGTGCCCTGCCTCACCTCGAGAAGCGTCCCTTTTGCCCTGCCAAGCCTCGAAGAGATTCCTGAGGTGTCCCTCGTTACTAGACAGGAGTCCTGACGTCACTGAAGAAACTCGTGTTTTGAAGGGCCATCCCCGCCGTAAGTCGAGAACATACCTCAGGTCCCCGCCGCAACTCGAGAAAAACCATGAGACTTCCCCCTAGAGGCGAGATGAGGCCCCATTCCCCTGCAGTGCATGCAGAGCTATTCCGTGGTCCCATTCAAGCAAGTCAGGAGCTTCGACTTGCTTAATGGTTCTCGAGACAGTCCCCAAGAACACTGTCACCAGTCTCGACGGACCCTGAGGTCACCCCAGCAACGCAAAGCAGCTCCATGGGCCCCAAATCAACTCGAGATGAGGCCCGATTCCCCTGCATTGACTCCAGAGCCATTCCCTGTTCCCCATTCAACACGACCGGTGGCTCGACTTCCTTCAGGCAACTCCAGAGATGCCCCGAGAACACTGTCCCAAGTCTAGAGGAACACCAACTTCAGCACGGCAACTCGAGGAATGCTCCGTGTACCCCAAATCGTCTCGAGATGAGAGGTGATTCCCTGGCTTAGGCTCAAGACGTATGCCAACATTCAAGACGCACTTCAGGAGGAGGCTTCTCAGCAATAGGTATGTGGGAGGGACCCCGAGTTCGCTGCATCAAGGGCAATATACAGCGAGAAGCCCTAACTTGAAAGGAGGCCGGATTTCCTTGCAGTGGCTTGAATACAGACTCGTCTTTCATCTCACAACATGAAGGGATGTCTGAATCCCCTGTGGAGACCTTAGAGAAAGACCTAGGTCCCTGCCTCATTTGGACTGAATGCCTCACATCCCGTTGAAACCTCGAGAGGCACGCGGAGTTCATTGCTTCAAAAGGTGACGATGCCTGACTCCTCTTGAATTCTGATAGGAATCCCAAAATCACTGTGGCTACTGGAAAGGGTCCTTGCGTGCCCTGCCTCACCTCAAGAAGCGTCCCATTTGCACTGCCAAGCCTCGATGAGATTCCTGAGGTGTCCCTCGTTACTAGACAGGAGTCCTGACGTCACTGAAGAAACTCGTGTTTTGAAGGGCCATCCCCGCCGTAAGTCGAGAACATACCCCAGGTCCCCGCCGCAACTCGAGAAAAACCATGAGACTTCCCCCTAGAGGCGAGATGAGACCCCATTCCCCTGCAGTGCATGCAGAGCTATTCCGTGGTCCCATTCAAACAAGTCAGGAGCTTCGACTTGCTTAATGGATCTCGAGACAGTCCTCAAGAACATTGTCACCAGTCTCGATGGAACCTGAGGTCACCCCAGCAACGCAAAGCAGCTCCATGTGCCCCAAATCAAATCGAGATGAGGCCCGATTCCCCTGCATTGACTCCAGAGCCATTCCCCGTTCCCCATTCAACACGAACGGTGGCTCGACTTCCTTCAGGCAACTCCAGAGATACCCCGAGAACACTGTCCCAAGTCTAGAGGAACACCAACTTCTGCACAGCAACTCGAGGAATGCTCCGTGTACCCCAAATCGTCTCGAGATGACAGCTGATTCCCTGGCTTAGGCTCAAGACGTATGCCAACTTTCCAGACGCACCTCAGGAGGAGGCTTCTCTCAGCAATAGGTATGTGGGAGGGACCCCGAGTTCGCTGCCTCAAGGGCAATATACAGCGAGAAGCCCTAACTTGAAAGGAGGCCGGATTTCCTTGCAGTGGCTTGAATACAGGCTCGTCTTTCATCTCACAACATGAAGGGATGTCTGAATCCCCTGTGGAGACCTTAGAGAAAGCCCAAGGCCCCTGCCTCATTTTGACGGAATGCCTCACATCCCCTTGACACCTCAAGAGGCACGCGAAGTTCATTGTTTCAAAAGGTGACAATGCCTCACTCCTCTTGAATACTGATAGGAATCCCAAAATCACTGTGGCTACTGGAAAGGGTCCTTGGGTGCCCTGCCTCACCTCGAGAAGCGTCCCGTTTGCCCTGCCAAGCCTCGAAGAGATTCCTGAGGTGTCCCTCGTTACTAGACAGGAGTCCTGACGTCACTGAAGAAACTCGTGTTTTGAATTGCCATCCCCGCCGTAAGTCGAGAACATACCCCAGGTCCCCGCCGCAACTCGAGAAAAACCATGAGACTTCCCCCTAGAGGCGAGATGAGACCCCATTCCCCTGCAGTGCATGCAGAGCTATTCCGTGGTCCCATTCAAGCAACTCAGGAGCTTCGACTTGCTTAATGGATCTCGAGACAGTCCCCAAGAACACTGTCACCAGTCTCCACGGACCCTGAGGTCACCCCAGCAACACAAAGCAGCTCCATGGGCCCCAAATCAACTCGAGATGAGGCCCGATTCCCCTGCATTGACTCCAGAGCCATTCCCCGTTCCCCATTCAACACGACCGGTGGCTCGACTTCCTTCAGGCAACTCCAGAGATGCCCCGAGAACACTGTCCCAAGTCTAGAGGAACACCAACTTCAGCACGGCAACTCGAGGAATGCTCCGTGTACCCCAAATCGTCTCGAGATGAGAGGTGATTCCCTGGCTTAGGCTCAAGACGTATGCCAACTTTCAAGACGCACCTCAGGAGGAGGCTTCTCTCAGCAATAGGTATGTGGGAGGGACCCCGAGTTCACTGCCTCAAGGGCAATATACAGCGAGAAGCCCTAACTTGAAAGGAGGCCGGATTTCCTTGCAGTGGCTTGAATACAGACTCTTCTTTCATCTCACAACATGAAGGGATGTCTGAATCGCCTGTGGAGACCTTAGAGAAAGCCCTAGGTCCCTGCCTCATTTGGACGGAATGCCTCACATCCCGTTGGCACCTCGAGAGGCACGCGGAGTTCATTGCTTCAAAAGGTGACGATGCCTGACTCCTCTTGAATTCTGATAGGAATCCCAAAATCACTGTGGCTACTGGAAAGGGTCCTTGCGTGCCCTGCCTCACCTCAATAAGCGTCCCATTTGCACTGCCAAGCCTCGATGAGATTCCTGAGGTGTCCCTCGTTATTAGGCAGGAGTCCTGACGTCACTGAAGAAACTCGTGTTTTGAAGGGCCATCCCCGCGGTAAGTTGAGAACATACCCCAGGTCCCCGCCGCAACTCGAGAAAAACCATGAGACTTCCCCCTAGAGGCGAGATGAGGCCCCATTCCCCTGCAGTGCATGCAGAGCTATTCCGTGGTCCCATTCAAGCAACTCAGGAGCTTCGACTTGCTTAATGGATCTCGAGACAGTCCCCAAGAACACTGTCACCAGTCTCGACGGACGCTGAGGTCACCCCAGCAACGCAAAGCAGATCCATGTGCCCCAAATCAACTCGAGATGAGGCCCGATTCCCCTGCATTGACTCCAGAGCCATTCCCCGTTCCCCATTCAACACGACCGGTGGCTCGACTTCCTTCAGGCAACTCCAGAGATACCCCGAGAACACTCTCCCAAGTCTAGAGGAACACCAACTTCAGCACAGCAACTCGAGGAATGCTCCGTGTACCACAAATCGTCTCGAGATGAGAGCTGATTCCCTGGCTTAGGCTCAAGACGTATGCCAACTTTCCAGACGCACCTCAGGAGGAGGCTTCTCTCAGCAATAGGTATGTGGGAGGGACCCCGAGTTCGCTGCCTCAAGGGCAATATACAGCGAGAAGCCCTAACTTGAAAGGAGGCCGGATTTCCTTGCAGTGGCTTGAATACAGGCTCGTCTTTCATCTCACAACATGAAGGGATGTCTGAATCCCCTGTGGAGACCTTAGAGAAAGCCCTAGGTCCCTGCCTCATTTAGACGGAATGCCTCACATCCCGTTGACACCTCGAGAGGCACGCGGAGTTCATTGCTTCAAAAGGTGACGATGCCTGACTCCTCTTGAATTCTGATAGGAATCCCAAAATCACTGTGGCTACTGGAAAGGGTTCATGGGTGCCCTGCCTCACCTCAAGAAGCGTCCCATTTGCACTGCCAAGCCTCGATGAGATTCCTGAGGTGTCCCTCGTTACTAGACAGGAGTCCTGACGTCACTGAAGAAACTCGTGTTTTGAAGGGCCATCCCCGCCGTAAGTCGAGAACATACCCCAGGTCCCCGCCGCAACTCGAGAAAAACCATGAGACTTCCCCCTAGAGGCGAGATGAGGCCCCATTCCCCTGTAGTGCATGCAGAGCTATTCCGTGGTCCCATTCAAACAAGTCAGGAGCTTCGACTTGCTTAATGGATCTCGAGACAGTCCCCAAGAACACTGTCACCAGTCTCGACGGACGCTGAGGTCACCCCAGCAACACAAAGCAGCTCCATGGCCCCAAATCAACTCGAGATGAGGCCCGATTCCCCTGCATTGACTCCAGAGCCATTCCCCGTTCCCCATTCAACACGACCGGTGGCTCGACTTCCTTCAGACAACTCCAGAGATGCCCCGAGAACACTGTCCCAAGTCTAGAGGAACACCAACTTCAGCACGGCAACTCGAGGAATGCTCCGTGTACCCCAAATCGTCTCGAGATGAGAGGTGATTCCCTGGCTTAGGCTCAAGACGTATGCCAACTTTCCAGACGCACCTCAGGAGGAGGCTTCTCGCAGCAATAGGTATGTGGGAGGGACCCCGAGTTCGCTGCCTCAAGGGCAATATACAGCGAGAAGCCCTAACTTGAAAGGAGGCCGGATTTCCTTGCAGTGGCTTGAATACAGGCTCGTCTTTCACCTCACAACATGAAGGGATGTCTGAATCCCCTGTGGAGACCTTAGAGAAAGCCCTAGGTCCCTGCCTCATTTTGACGGAATGCCTCACATCCCGTTGACACCTCAAGAGGCACGCGAAGTTCATTGCTTCAAAAGGTGACAATGCCTGACTCCTCTTGAATTCTGATAGGAATCCCAAAATCACTGTGGCTACTGGAAAGGGTCCTTGGGTGCCCTGCCTCACCTCGAGAAGCGTCCCGTTTGCCCTGCCAAGCCTCGAAGAGATTCCTGAGGTGTCCCTCGTTACTAGACAGGAGTCCTGACGTCACTGAAGAAACTCGTGTTTTGAATTGCCATCCCCGCCGTAAGTCGAGAACATACCCCAGGTCCCCGCCGCAACTCGAGAAAAACCATGAGACTTCCCCCTAGAGGCGAGATGAGGCCCCATTCCCCTGCAGTGCATGCAGAGCTATTCCGTGGTCCCATTCAAGCAACTCAGGAGCTTCGACTTGCTTAATGGATCTCGAGACAGTCCCCAAGAACACTGTCACCAGTCTCCACGGACCCTGAGGTCACCCCAGCAACACAAAGCAGCTCCATGGGCCCCAAATCAACTCGAGATGAGGCCCGATTCCCCTGCATTGACTCCAGAGCCATTCCCCGTTCCCCATTCAACACGACCGGTGGCTCGACTTCCTTCAGGCAACTCCAGAGATGCCCCGAGAACACTGTCCCAAATCTAGAGGAACACCAACTTCAGCACGGCAACTCGAGGAATGCTCCGTGTACCCCAAATCGTCTCGAGATGAGAGGTGATTCCCTGGCTTAGGCTCAAGACGTATGCCAACTTTCAAGACGCACCTCAGGAGGAGGCTTCTCTCAGCAATAGGTATGTGGGAGGGACCCCGAGTTCACTGCCTCAAGGGCAATATACAGCGAGAAGCCCTAACTTGAAAGGAGGCCGGATTTCCTTGCAGTGGCTTGAATACAGACTCGTCTTTCATCTCACAACATGAAGGGATGTCTGAATCGCCTGTGGAGACCTTAGAGAAAGCCCTAGGTCCCTGCCTCATTTGGACGGAATGCCTCACATCCCGTTGACACCTCGAGAGGCACGCGGAGTTCATTGCTTCAAAAGGTGACGATGCCTGACTCCTCTTGAATTCTGATAGGAATCCCAAAATCACTGTGGCTACTGGAAAGGGTTCATGGGTGCCCTGCCTCACCTCAAGAAGCGTCCCATTTGCACTGCCAAGCCTCGATGAGATTCCTGAGGTGTCCCTCGTTACTAGACAGGAGTCCTGACGTCACTGAAGAAACTCGTGTTTTGAAGGGCCATCCCCGCCGTAAGTCGAGAACATACCCCAGGTCCCCGCCGCAACTCGAGAAAAACCATGAGACTTCCCCCTAGAGGCGAGATGAGGCCCCATTCCCCTGCAGTGCATGCAGAGCTATTCCGTGGTACCATTCAAACAAGTCAGGAGCTTCGACTTGCTTAATGGATCTCGAGACAGTCCCCAAGAACACTGTCACCAGTCTCGACGGACGCTGAGGTCACCCCAGCAACGCAAAGCAGCTCCATGTGCCCCAAATCAACTCGAGATGAGGCCCGATTCCCCTGCATTGACTCCAGAGCCATTCCCCGTTCCCCATTCAACACGACCGGTGGCTCGACTTCCTTCAGACAACTCCAGAGATGCCCCGAGAACACTATCCCAAGTCTAGAGGAACACCAACTTCAGCACGGCAACTCGAGGAATGCTCCGTGTACCCCAAATCGTCTCGAGATGAGAGGTGATTTCCTGGCTTAGGCTCAAGACGTATGCCAACTTTCCAGACGCACCTCAGGAGGAGGCTTCTCTCAGCAATAGGTATGTGGGAGGGACCCCGAGTTCGCTGCCTCAAGGGCAATATACAGCGAGAAGCCCTAACTTGAAAGGAGGCCGGATTTCCTTGCAGTGGCTTGAATACAGGCTCGTCTTTCATTTCACGACATGAAGGGATGTCTGAATCCCCTGTGGAGACCTTAGAGAAAGCCCTAGGTCCCTGCCTCATTTTGACGGAATGCCTCACATCCCGTTGACACCTCAAGAGGCACGCGAAGTTCATTGCTTCAAAAGGTGACAATGCCTTACTCCTCTTGAATACTGATAGGAATCCCAAAATCCCTGTGGCTACTGGAAAGGGTCCTTGGGTGCCCTGCCTCACCTCGAGAAGCGTCCCTTTTGCCCTGCCAAGCCTCGAAGAGATTCCTGAGGTGTCCCTCGTTACTAGACAGGAGTCCTGACGTCACTGAAGAAACTCGTGTTTTGAAGGGCCATCCCCGCCGTAAGTCGAGAACATATCCCAGGTCCCCGCCGCAACTCGAGAAAAACCATGAGACTTCCCCCTAGAGGCGAGATGAGGCCCCATTCCCCTGCAGTGCATGCAGAGCTATTCCGTGGTCCCATTCAAGCAAGTCAGGAGCTTCGACTTGCTTAATGGTTCTCGAGACAGTCCCCAAGAACACTGTCACCAGTTTCGACGGACCCTGAGGTCACCCCAGCAACGCAAAGCAGCTCCATGGGACCCAAATCAACTCGAGATGAGGCCCGATTCCCCTGCATTGACTCCAGAGCCATTCCCCGTTCCCCATTCAACACGACCGGTGGCTCGACTTCCTTCAGGCAACTCCAGAGATGCCCCGAGAACACTGTCCCAAGTCTAGAGGAACACCAACTTCAGCACGGCAACTCGAGGAATGCTCCGTGTACCCCAAATCGTCTCGAGATGAGACCTGATTCCCTGGCTTAGGCACAAGACGTATGCCAACTTTCAAGACGCACCTCAGGAGGAGGCTTCTCTCAGCAATAGGTATGTGGGAGGGACCCCGAGTTCGCTGCCTCAAGGGCAATATACAGCGAGAAGCCCTAACTTGAAAGGAGGCCGGATTTCCTTGCAGTGGCTTGAATACAGGCTCGTCTTTCACCTCACAACATGAAGGGATGTCTGAATCCCCTGTGGAGACCTTAGAGAAAGCCCTAGGTCCCTGCCTCATTTTGACGGAATGCCTCACATCCCGTTGACACCTCAAGAGGCACGCGAAGTTCATTGCTTCAAAAGGTGACAATGCCTCACTCCTCTTGAATACTGATAGGAATCCCAAAATCCCTGTGGCTACTGGAAAGGGTCCTTGGGTGCCCTGCCTCACCTCGAGAAGCGTCCCTTTTGCCCTGCCAAGCCTCGAAGAGATTCCTGAGGTGTCCCTCGTTACTAGACAGGAGTCTGGACGTCACTGAAGAAACTCGTGTTTTGAAGGGCCATCCCCGCCGTAAGTCGAGAACATACCCCAGGTCCCCGCCGCAACTCGAGAAAAACCATGAGACTTCCCCCTAGAGGCGAGATGAGGCCCCATTCCCCTGCAGTGCATGTAGAGCTATTCCGTGGTCCCATTCAAACAAGTCAGGAGCTTCGACTTGCTTAATGGTCGCGAGACAGTCCCCAAGAACACTGTCACCCGTCTCGACGGACGCTGAGGTCAACCCAGCAACGCAAAGCAGCTCCATGTGCCCCAAATCAACTCGAGATGAGGCCCGATTCCCCTGCATTGACTCCAGAGACATTCCCCGTTCCCCATTCAACACGACCGGTGGCTCGACTTCCTTCAGGCAACTCCAGAGATACCCCGAGAACACTCTCCCAAGTCTAGAGGAACACCAACTTCAGCACAGCAACTCGAGGAATGCTCCGTGTACCCCAAATCGTCTCGAGATGAGAGCTGATTCCCTGGCTTAGGCTCAAGACGTATGCCAACTTTCCAGACGCACCTCAGGAGGAGGCTTCTCTCAGCAATAGGTATGTGGGAGGGACCCCGAGTTCGCTGCCTCAAGGGCAATATACAGCGAGAAGCCCTAACTTGAAAGGAGGCCGGATTTCCTTGCAGTGGCTTGAATACAGGCTCGTCTTTCATCTCACGACATGAAGGGATGTCTGAATCCCCTGTGGAGACCTTAGAGAAAGCCCTAGGTCCCTGCCTCATTTTGACGGAATGCCTCACATCCCGTTGAAACCTCAAGAGGCACGCGAAGTTCATTGCTTCAAAAGGTGACAATGCCTGACTCCTCTTGAATGCTGATAGGAATCCCAAAATCCCTGTGGCTACTGGAAAGGGTCCTTGGGTGCCCTGCCTCACCTCGAGAAGCGTCCCTTTGGCCCTGCCAAGCCTCGAAGAGATTCCTGAGGTGTCCCTCGTTACTAGACAGGAGTCTGGACGTCACTGAAGAAACTCGTGTTTTGAAGGGCCATCCCCGCCGTAAGTCGAGAACATACCCCAGGTCCCCGCCGCAACACGAGAAAAACCATGAGACTTCCCCCTAGAGGCGAGATGAGGCCCCATTCCCCTGCAGTGCATGCAGAGCTATTCCGTGGTCCCATTCAAGCAAGTCAGGAGCTTCGACTTGCTTAATGGTTCTCGAGACAGTCCCCAAGAACACTGTCACCAGTCTCGACGGACCCTGAGGTCACCCCAGCAACGCAAAGCAGCTCCATGGGCCCCAAATCAACTCGAGATGAGGCCCGATTCCCCTGCATTGACTCCAGAGCCATTCCCCGTTCCCCATTCAACACGACCGGTGGCTCGACTTCCTTCAGGCAACTCCAGAGATGCCCCGAGAACACTGTCCCAAGTCTAGAGGAACGCCAACTTCAGCACGGCAACTCGAGGAATGCTCCGTGTACCCCAAATCGTCTCGAGATGAGAGGTGATTCCCTGGCTTAGGCTCAAGACGTATGCCAACTTTCAAGACGCAACTCAGGAGGAGGCTTCTCTCAGCAATAGGTATGTGGGAGGGACCCCGAGTTCGCTGCCTCAAGGGCAATATACAGCGAGAAGCCCTAACTTGAATGGAGGCCGGATTTCCTTGCAGTGGCTTGAATACAGAATCGTCTTTCATCTCACAACATGAAGGGATGTCTGAATCCCCTGTGGAGACCTTAGAGAAAGCCCTAGGTCCCTGCCTCATTTGGACGGAATGCCTCACATCCCGTTGACACCTCGAGAGGCACGCGGAGTTCATTGCTTCAAAAGGTGACGATGCCTGACTCCTCTTGAATTCTGATAGGAATCCCAAAAATCACTGTGGCTACTGGAAAGGGTCCTTGCGTTCCCTGCCTCACCTCGAGAAGCGTCCCGTTTGCCCTGCCAAGCCTCGAAGAGATTCCTGAGGTGTCCCTCGTTACTAGACAGGAGTCCTGACGTCACTGAAGATACTCGTGTTTTGAATTGCCATCCCCGCCGTAAGTCGAGAACAGACCCCAGGCCCCGCCGCAACTCGAGAAAAACCATGAGACTTCCCCCTAGAGGCGAGATGAGGCCCCATTCCCCTGCAGTGCATGCAGAGCTATTCCGTGGTCCCATTCAAGCAAGTCAGGAGCTTCGACTTGCTTAATGGATCTCGAGACAGTCCCCAAGAACACTGTCACCAGTCTCGACGGACCCTGAGGTCACCCCAGCAACACAAAGCAGCTCCATGGGCCCCAAATCAACTCGAGATGAGGCCCGATTCCCCTGCATTGACTCCAGAGCGATTCCCCGTTCCCCATTCAACACGACCGGTGGCTCGACTTCCTTCAGGCAACTCCAGAGATGCCCCGAGAACACTGTCCCAAGTCTAGAGGAACACCAACTTCAGCACGGCAACTCGAGGAATGCTCCGTGTACCCCAAATCGTCTCGAGATGAGAGGTGATTCCCTGGCTTAGGCTCAAGACGTATGCCAACTTTCAAGACGCACCTCAGGAGGAGGCTTCTCTCAGCAATAGGTATGTGGGAGGGACCCCGAGTTCGCTGCCTCAAGGGCAATATACAGCGAGAAGCCCTAACTTGAAAGGAGGCCGGATTTCCTTGCAGTGGCTTGAATACAGGCTCGTCTTTCATCTCACGACATGAACGGATGTCTGAATAACCTGTGGAGAACTTAGAGAAAGCCCTAGGTCCCTGCCTCATTTTGACGGAATGCCTCACATCCCGTTGACACCTCAAGAGGCACGCGAAGTTCATTGCTTCAAAAGGTGACAATGCCTCACTCCTCTTGAATACTGATAGGAATACCAAAATCCCTGTGGCTACTGGAAAGGGTCCTTGGGTGCCCTGCCACACCTCGGGAAGCGTCCCTTTTGCCCTGCCAAGCCTCGAAGAGATTCCTGAGGTGTCCCTCGTTACTAGACAGGAGTCCTGACGTCACTGAAGAAACTCGTGTTTTGAAGGGCCATCCCCGCCGTAAGTCGAGAACATACCCCAGGTCCCCGCCGCAACTCGAGAAAAACCATGAGACTTCCCCCTAGAGGCGAGATGAGGCCCCATTCCCCTGCAGTGCATGCAGAGCTATTCCGTGGTCCCATTCAAGCAAGTCAGGAGCTTCGACTTGCTTAATGGTTCTCGAGACAGTCCCCAAGAACACTGTCACCAGTCTCGACGGACCCTGAGGTCACCCCAGCAACGCAAAGCAGCTCCATGGGCCCCAAATCAACTCGAGATGAGGCCCGATTCCCCTGCATTGACTCCAGAGCCATTCCCGTTTCCCCATTCAACACGACCGGTGGCTCGGCTTCCTTCAGGCAACTCCAGAGATACCCCGAGAACACTGTCCCAAGTCTAGAGGAACACCAACTTCAGCACAGCAACTCGAGGAATGCTCCGTGTACCCCAAATCGTCTCGAGATGAGAGCTGATTCCCTGGCTTAGGCTCAAGACGTATGCCAACTTTCCAGACGCACCTCAGGAGGAGGCTTCTCTCAGCAATAGGTATGTGGGAGGGACCCCGAGTTCGCTGCCTCAAGGGCAATATACAGCGAGAAGCCCTAACTTGAAAGGAGGCCGGATTTCCTTGCAGTGGCTTGAATACAGACTCGTCTTTTATCTCACAACATGAAGGGATGTCTGAATCCCCTGTGGAGACCTTAGAGAAAGCCCTAGGTCCCTGCCTCATTTAGACGGAATGCCTCACATCCCGTTGACACCTCGAGAGGCACGCGGAGTTCATTGCTTCAAAAGATGACGATGCCTGACTCCTCTTGAATTCTGATAGGAATCCCAAAATCACTGTGGCTACTGGAAAGGGTCCTTGCGTGCCCTGCCTCACCTCAAGAAGCGTCCCATTTGCACTGCCAAGCCTCGATGAGATTCCTGAGGTGTCCCTCGTTATTAGGCAGGAGTCCTGACGTCACTGAAGAAACTCGTGTTTTGAAGGGCCATCCCCGCGGTAAGTTGAGAACATACCCCAGGTCCCCGCCGCAACTCGAGAAAAACCATGAGACTTCCCCCTAGAGGCGAGATGAGGCCCCATTCCCCTGCAGTGCATGCAGAGCTATTCCGTGGTCCCATTCAAGCAAGTCAGGAGCTTCGACTTGCTTAATGGTTCTCGAGACAGTCCCCAAGAACACTGTCACCAGTCTCGACGGACCCTGAGGTCACCCCAGCAACGCAAAGCAGCTCCATGGGCCCCAAATCAACTCGAGATGAGGCCCGATTCCCCTGCATTGACTCCAGAGCCATTCCCGTTTCCCCATTCAACACGACCGGTGGCTCGGCTTCCTTCAGGCAACTCCAGAGATGCCCCGAGAACACTGTCCCAAGTCTAGAGGAACACCAACTTCAGCACGGCAACTCGAGGAATGCTCCGTGTACCCCAAATCGTCTCGAGGTGAGAGGTGATTCCCTGGCTTAGGCTCAAGACGTATGCCAACTTTCCAGACGCACCTCAGGAGGAGGCTTCTCTCAGCAATAGGTATGTGGGAGGGACCCCGAGTTCGCTGCCTCAAGGGCAATATACAGCGAGAAGCTCTAACTTGAAAGGAGGCCGGATTTCCTTGCAGTGGCTTGAATACAGGCTCGTCTTTCATCTCACAACATGAAGGGATGTCTGAATCCCCTGTTGAGACCTTAGAGAAAGCCCTAGGTCCCTGCCTCATTTAGACGGAATGCCTCACATCCCGTTGACACCTCGAGAGGCACGCGGAGTTCATTGCTTCAAAAGGTGACGATGCCTGACTCCTCTTGAATTCTGATAGGAATCCCAAAATCACTGTGGCTACTGGAAAGGGTTCTTGGGTGCCCTGCGTCACCTCAAGAAGCGTCGCATTTGCACTGCCAAGCCTCGATGAGATTCCTGAGGTGTCCCTCGTTACTAGACAGGAGTCCTGACGTCACTGAAGAAACTCGTGTTTTGAAGGGCCATCCCCGCCGTAAGTCGAGAACATATCCCAGGTCCCCGCCGCAACTCGAGAAAAACCATGAGACTTCCCCCTAGAGGCGAGATGAGGCCCCATTCCCCTGCAGTGCATGCAGAGCTATTCCGTGGTCCCATTCAAGCAAGTCAGGAGCTTCGACTTGCTTAATGGTTCTCGAGACAGTCCCCAAGAACACTGTCACCAGTTTCGACGGACCCTGAGGTCACCCCAGCAACGCAAAGCAGCTCCATGGGACCCAAATCAACTCGAGATGAGGCCCGATTCCCCTGCATTGACTCCAGAGCCATTCCCCGTTCCCCATTCAACACGACCGGTGGCTCGACTTCCTTCAGGCAACTCCAGAGATGCCCCGAGAACACTGTCCCAAGAGTAGAGGAACACCAACTTCAGCACGGCAACTCGAGGAATGCTCCGTGTACCCCAAATCGTCTCGAGGTGAGAGGTGATTCCCTGGCTTAGGCTCAAGACGTATGCCAACTTTCCAGACGCACCTCAGGAGGAGGCTTCTCTCAGCAATAGGTATGTGGGAGGGACCCCGAGTTCGCTGCCTCAAGGGCAATATACAGCGAGAAGCCCTAACTTGAAAGGAGGCCGGATTTCCTTGCAGTGGCTTGAATACAGGCTCGTCTTTCATCTCACAACATGAAGGGATGTCTGAATCCCCTGTGGAGACCTTAGAGAAAGCCCTAGGTCCCTGCCTCATTTTGACGGAATGCCTCACATCCCGTTGACACCTCAAGAGGCACGCGAAGTTCATTGCTTCAAAAGGTGACAATGCCTCACTCCTCTTGAATACTGATAGGAATCCCAAAATCCCTGTGGCTACTGGAAAGGGTCCTTGGGTGCCCTGCCACACCTCGGGAAGCGTCCCTTTTGCCCTGCCAAGCCTCGAAGAGATTCCTGAGGTGTCCCTCGTTACTAGACAGGAGTCCTGACGTCACTGAAGAAACTCGTGTTTTGAAGGGCCATCCCCGCCGTAAGTCGAGAACATACCCCAGGTCCCCGCCGCAACTCGAGAAAAACCATGAGACTTCCCCCTAGAGGCGAGATGAGGCCCCATTCCCCTGCAGTGCATGCAGAGCTATTCCGTGGTCCCATTCAAACAAGTCAGGAGCTTCGACTTGCTTAATGGATCTCGAGACAGTCCCCAAGAACACTGTCACCAGTCTCGACGGACGCTGAGGTCACCCCAGCAACACAAAGCAGCTCCATGGCCCCAAATCAACTCGAGATGAGGCCCGATTCCCCTGCATTGACTCCAGAGCCATTCCCCGTTCCCCATTCAACACGACCGGTGGCTCGACTTCCTTCAGACAACTCCAGAGATGCCCCGAGAACACTGTCCCAAGTCTAGAGGAACACCAACTTCAGCACGGCAACTCGAGGAATGCTCCGTGTACCCCAAATCGTCTCGAGATGAGAGGTGATTCCCTGGCTTAGGCTCAAGACGTATGCCAACTTTCCAGACGCACCTCAGGAGGAGGCTTCTCGCAGCAATAGGTATGTGGGAGGGACCCCGAGTTCGCTGCCTCAAGGGCAATATACAGCGAGAAGCCCTAACTTGAAAGGAGGCCGGATTTCCTTGCAGTGGCTTGAATACAGGCTCGTCTTTCACCTCACAACATGAAGGGATGTCTGAATCCCCTGTGGAGACCTTAGAGAAAGCCCTAGGTCCCTGCCTCATTTTGACGGAATGCCTCACATCCCGTTGACACCTCAAGAGGCACGCGAAGTTCATTGCTTCAAAAGGTGACAATGCCTGACTCCTCTTGAATTCTGATAGGAATCCCAAAATCACTGTGGCTACTGGAAAGGGTCCTTGGGTGCCCTGCCTCACCTCGAGAAGCGTCCCGTTTGCCCTGCCAAGCCTCGAAGAGATTCCTGAGGTGTCCCTCGTTACTAGACAGGAGTCCTGACGTCACTGAAGAAACTCGTGTTTTGAATTGCCATCCCCGCCGTAAGTCGAGAACATACCCCAGGTCCCCGCCGCAACTCGAGAAAAACCATGAGACTTCCCCCTAGAGGCGAGATGAGGCCCCATTCCCCTGCAGTGCATGCAGAGCTATTCCGTGGTCCCATTCAAGCAACTCAGGAGCTTCGACTTGCTTAATGGATCTCGAGACAGTCCCCAAGAACACTGTCACCAGTCTCCACGGACCCTGAGGTCACCCCAGGAACACAAAGCAGCTCCATGGGCCCCAAATCAACTCGAGATGAGGCCCGATTCCCCTGCATTGACTCCAGAGCCATTCCCCGTTCCCCATTCAACACGACCGGTGGCTCGACTTCCTTCAGGCAACTCCAGAGATGCCCCGAGAACACTGTCCCAAATCTAGAGGAACACCAACTTCAGCACGGCAACTCGAGGAATGCTCCGTGTACCCCAAATCGTCTCGAGATGAGAGGTGATTCCCTGGCTTAGGCTCAAGACGTATGCCAACTTTCAAGACGCACCTCAGGAGGAGGCTTCTCTCAGCAATAGGTATGTGGGAGGGACCCCGAGTTCACTGCCTCAAGGGCAATATACAGCGAGAAGCCCTAACTTGAAAGGAGGCCGGATTTCCTTGCAGTGGCTTGAATACAGGCTCGTCTTTCATCTCACAACATGAAGGGATGTCTGAATCGCCTGTGGAGACCTTAGAGAAAGCCCTAGGTCCCTGCCTCATTTGGACGGAATGCCTCACATCCCGTTGACACCTCGAGAGGCACGCGGAGTTCATTGCTTCAAAAGGTGACGATGCCTGACTCCTCTTGAATTCTGATAGGAATCCCAAAATCACTGTGGCTACTGGAAAGGGTTCATGGGTGCCCTGCCTCACCTCAAGAAGCGTCCCATTTGCACTGCCAAGCCTCGATGAGATTCCTGAGGTGTCCCTCGTTACTAGACAGGAGTCCTGACGTCACTGAAGAAACTCGTGTTTTGAAGGGCCATCCCCGCCGTAAGTCGAGAACATACCCCAGGTCCCCGCCGCAACTCGAGAAAAACCATGAGACTTCCCCCTAGAGGCGAGATGAGGCCCCATTCCCCTGCAGTGCATGCAGAGCTATTCCGTGGTACCATTCAAACAAGTCAGGAGCTTCGACTTGCTTAATGGATCTCGAGACAGTCCCCAAGAACACTGTCACCAGTCTCGACGGACGCTGAGGTCACCCCAGCAACGCAAAGCAGCTCCATGTGCCCCAAATCAACTCGAGATGAGGCCCGATTCCCCTGCATTGACTCCAGAGCCATTCCCCGTTCCCCATTCAACACGACCGGTGGCTCGACTTCCTTCAGACAACTCCAGAGATGCCCCGAGAACACTATCCCAAGTCTAGAGGAACACCAACTTCAGCACGGCAACTCGAGGAATGCTCCGTGTACCCCAAATCGTCTCGAGATGAGAGGTGATTTCCTGGCTTAGGCTCAAGACGTATGCCAACTTTCCAGACGCACCTCAGGAGGAGGCTTCTCTCAGCAATAGGTATGTGGGAGGGACCCCGAGTTCGCTGCCTCAAGGGCAATATACAGCGAGAAGCCCTAACTTGAAAGGAGGCCGGATTTCCTTGCAGTGGCTTGAATACAGGCTCGTCTTTCATTTCACGACATGAAGGGATGTCTGAATCCCCTGTGGAGACCTTAGAGAAAGCCCTAGGTCCCTGCCTCATTTTGACGGAATGCCTCACATCCCGTTGACACCTCAAGAGGCACGCGAAGTTCATTGCTTCAAAAGGTGACAATGCCTTACTCCTCTTGAATACTGATAGGAATCCCAAAATCCCTGTGGCTACTGGAAAGGGTCCTTGGGTGCCCTGCCTCACCTCGAGAAGCGTCCCTTTTGCCCTGCCAAGCCTCGAAGAGATTCCTGAGGTGTCCCTCGTTACTAGACAGGAGTCCTGACGTCACTGAAGAAACTCGTGTTTTGAAGGGCCATCCCCGCCGTAAGTCGAGAACATATCCCAGGTCCCCGCCGCAACTCGAGAAAAACCATGAGACTTCCCCCTAGAGGCGAGATGAGGCCCCATTCCCCTGCAGTGCATGCAGAGCTATTCCGTGGTCCCATTCAAGCAAGTCAGGAGCTTCGACTTGCTTAATGGTTCTCGAGACAGTCCCCAAGAACACTGTCACCAGTTTCGACGGACCCTGAGGTCACCCCAGCAACGCAAAGCAGCTCCATGGGACCCAAATCAACTCGAGATGAGGCCCGATTCCCCTGCATTGACTCCAGAGCCATTCCCCGTTCCCCATTCAACACGACCGGTGGCTCGACTTCCTTCAGGCAACTCCAGAGATGCCCCGAGAACACTGTCCCAAGTCTAGAGGAACACCAACTTCAGCACGGCAACTCGAGGAATGCTCCGTGTACCCCAAATCGTCTCGAGATGAGACCTGATTCCCTGGCTTAGGCACAAGACGTATGCCAACTTTCAAGACGCACCTCAGGAGGAGGCTTCTCTCAGCAATAGGTATGTGGGAGGGACCCCGAGTTCACTGCCTCAAGGGCAATATACAGCGAGAAGCCCTAACTTGAAAGGAGGCCGGATTTCCTTGCAGTGGCTTGAATACAGGCTCGTCTTTCATCTCACAACATGAAGGGATGTCTGAATCGCCTGTGGAGACCTTAGAGAAAGCCCTAGGTCCCTGCCTCATTTGGACGGAATGCCTCACATCCCGTTGACACCTCGAGAGGCACGCGGAGTTCATTGCTTCAAAAGGTGACGATGCCTGACTCCTCTTGAATTCTGATAGGAATCCCAAAATCACTGTGGCTACTGGAAAGGGTTCATGGGTGCCCTGCCTCACCTCAAGAAGCGTCCCATTTGCACTGCCAAGCCTCGATGAGATTCCTGAGGTGTCCCTCGTTACTAGACAGGAGTCCTGACGTCACTGAAGAAACTCGTGTTTTGAAGGGCCATCCCCGCCGTAAGTCGAGAACATACCCCAGGTCCCCGCCGCAACTCGAGAAAAACCATGAGACTTCCCCCTAGAGGCGAGATGAGGCCCCATTCCCCTGCAGTGCATGCAGAGCTATTCCGTGGTACCATTCAAACAAGTCAGGAGCTTCGACTTGCTTAATGGATCTCGAGACAGTCCCCAAGAACACTGTCACCAGTCTCGACGGACGCTGAGGTCACCCCAGCAACGCAAAGCAGCTCCATGTGCCCCAAATCAACTCGAGATGAGGCCCGATTCCCCTGCATTGACTCCAGAGCCATTCCCCGTTCCCCATTCAACACGACCGGTGGCTCGACTTCCTTCAGACAACTCCAGAGATGCCCCGAGAACACTATCCCAAGTCTAGAGGAACACCAACTTCAGCACGGCAACTCGAGGAATGCTCCGTGTACCCCAAATCGTCTCGAGATGAGAGGTGATTTCCTGGCTTAGGCTCAAGACGTATGCCAACTTTCCAGACGCACCTCAGGAGGAGGCTTCTCTCAGCAATAGGTATGTGGGAGGGACCCCGAGTTCGCTGCCTCAAGGGCAATATACAGCGAGAAGCCCTAACTTGAAAGGAGGCCGGATTTCCTTGCAGTGGCTTGAATACAGGCTCGTCTTTCATTTCACGACATGAAGGGATGTCTGAATCCCCTGTGGAGACCTTAGAGAAAGCCCTAGGTCCCTGCCTCATTTTGACGGAATGCCTCACATCCCGTTGACACCTCAAGAGGCACGCGAAGTTCATTGCTTCAAAAGGTGACAATGCCTTACTCCTCTTGAATACTGATAGGAATCCCAAAATCCCTGTGGCTACTGGAAAGGGTCCTTGGGTGCCCTGCCTCACCTCGAGAAGCGTCCCTTTTGCCCTGCCAAGCCTCGAAGAGATTCCTGAGGTGTCCCTCGTTACTAGACAGGAGTCCTGACGTCACTGAAGAAACTCGTGTTTTGAAGGGCCATCCCCGCCGTAAGTCGAGAACATATCCCAGGTCCCCGCCGCAACTCGAGAAAAACCATGAGACTTCCCCCTAGAGGCGAGATGAGGCCCCATTCCCCTGCAGTGCATGCAGAGCTATTCCGTGGTCCCATTCAAGCAAGTCAGGAGCTTCGACTTGCTTAATGGTTCTCGAGACAGTCCCCAAGAACACTGTCACCAGTTTCGACGGACCCTGAGGTCACCCCAGCAACGCAAAGCAGCTCCATGGGACCCAAATCAACTCGAGATGAGGCCCGATTCCCCTGCATTGACTCCAGAGCCATTCCCCGTTCCCCATTCAACACGACCGGTGGCTCGACTTCCTTCAGGCAACTCCAGAGATGCCCCGAGAACACTGTCCCAAGTCTAGAGGAACACCAACTTCAGCACGGCAACTCGAGGAATGCTCCGTGTACCCCAAATCGTCTCGAGATGAGACCTGATTCCCTGGCTTAGGCACAAGACGTATGCCAACTTTCAAGACGCACCTCAGGAGGAGGCTTCTCTCAGCAATAGGTATGTGGGAGGGACCCCGAGTTCGCTGCCTCAAGGGCAATATACAGCGAGAAGCCCTAACTTGAAAGGAGGCCGGATTTCCTTGCAGTGGCTTGAATACAGGCTCGTCTTTCACCTCACAACATGAAGGGATGTCTGAATCCCCTGTGGAGACCTTAGAGAAAGCCCTAGGTCCCTGCCTCATTTTGACGGAATGCCTCACATCCCGTTGACACCTCAAGAGGCACGCGAAGTTCATTGCTTCAAAAGGTGACAATGCCTCACTCCTCTTGAATACTGATAGGAATCCCAAAATCCCTGTGGCTACTGGAAAGGGTCCTTGGGTGCCCTGCCTCACCTCGAGAAGCGTCCCTTTTGCCCTGCCAAGCCTCGAAGAGATTCCTGAGGTGTCCCTCGTTACTAGACAGGAGTCTGGACGTCACTGAAGAAACTCGTGTTTTGAAGGGCCATCCCCGCCGTAAGTCGAGAACATACCCCAGGTCCCCGCCGCAACTCGAGAAAAACCATGAGACTTCCCCCTAGAGGCGAGATGAGGCCCCATTCCCCTGCAGTGCATGTAGAGCTATTCCGTGGTCCCATTCAAACAAGTCAGGAGCTTCGACTTGCTTAATGGTCGCGAGACAGTCCCCAAGAACACTGTCACCCGTCTCGACGGACGCTGAGGTCAACCCAGCAACGCAAAGCAGCTCCATGTGCCCCAAATCAACTCGAGATGAGGCCCGATTCCCCTGCATTGACTCCAGAGACATTCCCCGTTCCCCATTCAACACGACCGGTGGCTCGACTTCCTTCAGGCAACTCCAGAGATACCCCGAGAACACTCTCCCAAGTCTAGAGGAACACCAACTTCAGCACAGCAACTCGAGGAATGCTCCGTGTACCCCAAATCGTCTCGAGATGAGAGCTGATTCCCTGGCTTAGGCTCAAGACGTATGCCAACTTTCCAGACGCACCTCAGGAGGAGGCTTCTCTCAGCAATAGGTATGTGGGAGGGACCCCGAGTTCGCTGCCTCAAGGGCAATATACAGCGAGAAGCCCTAACTTGAAAGGAGGCCGGATTTCCTTGCAGTGGCTTGAATACAGGCTCGTCTTTCATCTCACGACATGAAGGGATGTCTGAATCCCCTGTGGAGACCTTAGAGAAAGCCCTAGGTCCCTGCCTCATTTTGACGGAATGCCTCACATCCCGTTGAAACCTCAAGAGGCACGCGAAGTTCATTGCTTCAAAAGGTGACAATGCCTGACTCCTCTTGAATGCTGATAGGAATCCCAAAATCCCTGTGGCTACTGGAAAGGGTCCTTGGGTGCCCTGCCTCACCTCGAGAAGCGTCCCTTTGGCCCTGCCAAGCCTCGAAGAGATTCCTGAGGTGTCCCTCGTTACTAGACAGGAGTCTGGACGTCACTGAAGAAACTCGTGTTTTGAAGGGCCATCCCCGCCGTAAGTCGAGAACATACCCCAGGTCCCCGCCGCAACACGAGAAAAACCATGAGACTTCCCCCTAGAGGCGAGATGAGGCCCCATTCCCCTGCAGTGCATGCAGAGCTATTCCGTGGTCCCATTCAAGCAAGTCAGGAGCTTCGACTTGCTTAATGGATCTCGAGACAGTCCCCAAGAACACTGTCACCAGTCTCGACGGACCCTGAGGTCACCCCAGCAACGCAAAGCAGCTCCATGGGCCCCAAATCAACTCGAGATGAGGCCCGATTCCCCTGCATTGACTCCAGAGCCATTCCCCGTTCCCCATTCAACACGACCGGTGGCTCGACTTCCTTCAGGCAACTCCAGAGATGCCCCGAGAACACTGTCCCAAGTCTAGAGGAACGCCAACTTCAGCACGGCAACTCGAGGAATGCTCCGTGTACCCCAAATCGTCTCGAGATGAGAGGTGATTCCCTGGCTTAGGCTCAAGACGTATGCCAACTTTCAAGACGCAACTCAGGAGGAGGCTTCTCTCAGCAATAGGTATGTGGGAGGGACCCCGAGTTCGCTGCCTCAAGGGCAATATACAGCGAGAAGCCCTAACTTGAAAGGAGGCCGGATTTCCTTGCAGTGGCTTGAATACAGAATCGTCTTTCATCTCACAACATGAAGGGATGTCTGAATCCCCTGTGGAGACCTTAGAGAAAGCCCTAGGTCCCTGCCTCATTTGGACGGAATGCCTCACATCCCGTTGACACCTCGAGAGGCACGCGGAGTTCATTGCTTCAAAAGGTGACGATGCCTGACTCCTCTTGAATTCTGATAGGAATCCCAAAAATCACTGTGGCTACTGGAAAGGGTCCTTGCGTTCCCTGCCTCACCTCGAGAAGCGTCCCGTTTGCCCTGCCAAGCCTCGAAGAGATTCCTGAGGTGTCCCTCGTTACTAGACAGGAGTCCTGACGTCACTGAAGATACTCGTGTTTTGAATTGCCATCCCCGCCGTAAGTCGAGAACAGACCCCAGGCCCCGCCGCAACTCGAGAAAAACCATGAGACTTCCCCCTAGAGGCGAGATGAGGCCCCATTCCCCTGCAGTGCATGCAGAGCTATTCCGTGGTCCCATTCAAGCAAGTCAGGAGCTTCGACTTGCTTAATGGATCTCGAGACAGTCCCCAAGAACACTGTCACCAGTCTCGACGGACCCTGAGGTCACCCCAGCAACACAAAGCAGCTCCATGGGCCCCAAATCAACTCGAGATGAGGCCCGATTCCCCTGCATTGACTCCAGAGCGATTCCCCGTTCCCCATTCAACACGACCGGTGGCTCGACTTCCTTCAGGCAACTCCAGAGATGCCCCGAGAACACTGTCCCAAGTCTAGAGGAACACCAACTTCAGCACGGCAACTCGAGGAATGCTCCGTGTACCCCAAATCGTCTCGAGATGAGAGGTGATTCCCTGGCTTAGGCTCAAGACGTATGCCAACTTTCAAGACGCACCTCAGGAGGAGGCTTCTCTCAGCAATAGGTATGTGGGAGGGACCCCGAGTTCGCTGCCTCAAGGGCAATATACAGCGAGAAGCCCTAACTTGAAAGGAGGCCGGATTTCCTTGCAGTGGCTTGAATACAGGCTCGTCTTTCATCTCACGACATGAACGGATGTCTGAATAACCTGTGGAGAACTTAGAGAAAGCCCTAGGTCCCTGCCTCATTTTGACGGAATGCCTCACATCCCGTTGACACCTCAAGAGGCACGCGAAGTTCATTGCTTCAAAAGGTGACAATGCCTCACTCCTCTTGAATACTGATAGGAATACCAAAATCCCTGTGGCTACTGGAAAGGGTCCTTGGGTGCCCTGCCACACCTCGGGAAGCGTCCCTTTTGCCCTGCCAAGCCTCGAAGAGATTCCTGAGGTGTCCCTCGTTACTAGACAGGAGTCCTGACGTCACTGAAGAAACTCGTGTTTTGAAGGGCCATCCCCGCCGTAAGTCGAGAACATACCCCAGGTCCCCGCCGCAACTCGAGAAAAACCATGAGACTTCCCCCTAGAGGCGAGATGAGGCCCCATTCCCCTGCAGTGCATGCAGAGCTATTCCGTGGTCCCATTCAAGCAAGTCAGGAGCTTCGACTTGCTTAATGGTTCTCGAGACAGTCCCCAAGAACACTGTCACCAGTCTCGACGGACCCTGAGGTCACCCCAGCAACGCAAAGCAGCTCCATGGGCCCCAAATCAACTCGAGATGAGGCCCGATTCCCCTGCATTGACTCCAGAGCCATTCCCGTTTCCCCATTCAACACGACCGGTGGCTCGGCTTCCTTCAGGCAACTCCAGAGATACCCCGAGAACACTGTCCCAAGTCTAGAGGAACACCAACTTCAGCACAGCAACTCGAGGAATGCTCCGTGTACCCCAAATCGTCTCGAGATGAGAGCTGATTCCCTGGCTTAGGCTCAAGACGTATGCCAACTTTCCAGACGCACCTCAGGAGGAGGCTTCTCTCAGCAATAGGTATGTGGGAGGGACCCCGAGTTCGCTGCCTCAAGGGCAATATACAGCGAGAAGCCCTAACTTGAAAGGAGGCCGGATTTCCTTGCAGTGGCTTGAATACAGACTCGTCTTTCATCTCACAACATGAAGGGATGTCTGAATCCCCTGTGGAGACCTTAGAGAAAGCCCTAGGTCCCTGCCTCATTTAGACGGAATGCCTCACATCCCGTTGACACCTCGAGAGGCACGCGGAGTTCATTGCTTCAAAAGATGACGATGCCTGACTCCTCTTGAATTCTGATAGGAATCCCAAAATCACTGTGGCTACTGGAAAGGGTCCTTGCGTGCCCTGCCTCACCTCAAGAAGCGTCCCATTTGCACTGCCAAGCCTCGATGAGATTCCTGAGGTGTCCCTCGTTATTAGGCAGGAGTCCTGACGTCACTGAAGAAACTCGTGTTTTGAAGGGCCATCCCCGCGGTAAGTTGAGAACATACCCCAGGTCCCCGCCGCAACTCGAGAAAAACCATGAGACTTCCCCCTAGAGGCGAGATGAGGCCCCATTCCCCTGCAGTGCATGCAGAGCTATTCCGTGGTCCCATTCAAGCAAGTCAGGAGCTTCGACTTGCTTAATGGTTCTCGAGACAGTCCCCAAGAACACTGTCACCAGTCTCGACGGACCCTGAGGTCACCCCAGCAACGCAAAGCAGCTCCATGGGCCCCAAATCAACTCGAGATGAGGCCCGATTCCCCTGCATTGACTCCAGAGCCATTCCCGTTTCCCCATTCAACACGACCGGTGGCTCGGCTTCCTTCAGGCAACTCCAGAGATGCCCCGAGAACACTGTCCCAAGTCTAGAGGAACACCAACTTCAGCACGGCAACTCGAGGAATGCTCCGTGTACCCCAAATCGTCTCGAGGTGAGAGGTGATTCCCTGGCTTAGGCTCAAGACGTATGCCAACTTTCCAGACGCACCTCAGGAGGAGGCTTCTCTCAGCAATAGGTATGTGGGAGGGACCCCGAGTTCGCTGCCTCAAGGGCAATATACAGCGAGAAGCTCTAACTTGAAAGGAGGCCGGATTTCCTTGCAGTGGCTTGAATACAGGCTCGTCTTTCATCTCACAACATGAAGGGATGTCTGAATCCCCTGTTGAGACCTTAGAGAAAGCCCTAGGTCCCTGCCTCATTTAGACGGAATGCCTCACATCCCGTTGACACCTCGAGAGGCACGCGGAGTTCATTGCTTCAAAAGGTGACGATGCCTGACTCCTCTTGAATTCTGATAGGAATCCCAAAATCACTGTGGCTACTGGAAAGGGTTCTTGGGTGCCCTGCGTCACCTCAAGAAGCGTCGCATTTGCACTGCCAAGCCTCGATGAGATTCCTGAGGTGTCCCTCGTTACTAGACAGGAGTCCTGACGTCACTGAAGAAACTCGTGTTTTGAAGGGCCATCCCCGCCGTAAGTCGAGAACATATCCCAGGTCCCCGCCGCAACTCGAGAAAAACCATGAGACTTCCCCCTAGAGGCGAGATGAGGCCCCATTCCCCTGCAGTGCATGCAGAGCTATTCCGTGGTCCCATTCAAGCAAGTCAGGAGCTTCGACTTGCTTAATGGTTCTCGAGACAGTCCCCAAGAACACTGTCACCAGTTTCGACGGACCCTGAGGTCACCCCAGCAACGCAAAGCAGCTCCATGGGACCCAAATCAACTCGAGATGAGGCCCGATTCCCCTGCATTGACTCCAGAGCCATTCCCCGTTCCCCATTCAACACGACCGGTGGCTCGACTTCCTTCAGGCAACTCCAGAGATGCCCCGAGAACACTGTCCCAAGTCTAGAGGAACACCAACTTCAGCACGGCAACTCGAGGAATGCTCCGTGTACCCCAAATCGTCTCGAGGTGAGAGGTGATTCCCTGGCTTAGGCTCAAGACGTATGCCAACTTTCCAGACGCACCTCAGGAGGAGGCTTCTCTCAGCAATAGGTATGTGGGAGGGACCCCGAGTTCGCTGCCTCAAGGGCAATATACAGCGAGAAGCCCTAACTTGAAAGGAGGCCGGATTTCCTTGCAGTGGCTTGAATACAGGCTCGTCTTTCATCTCACAACATGAAGGGATGTCTGAATCCCCTGTGGAGACCTTAGAGAAAGCCCTAGGTCCCTGCCTCATTTTGACGGAATGCCTCACATCCCGTTGACACCTCAAGAGGCACGCGAAGTTCATTGCTTCAAAAGGTGACAATGCCTCACTCCTCTTGAATACTGATAGGAATCCCAAAATCCCTGTGGCTACTGGAAAGGGTCCTTGGGTGCCCTGCCACACCTCGGGAAGCGTCCCTTTTGCCCTGCCAAGCCTCGAAGAGATTCCTGAGGTGTCCCTCGTTACTAGACAGGAGTCCTGACGTCACTGAAGAAACTCGTGTTTTGAAGGGCCATCCCCGCCGTAAGTCGAGAACATACCCCAGGTCCCCGCCGCAACTCGAGAAAAACCATGAGACTTCCCCCTAGAGGCGAGATGAGGCCCCATTCCCCTGCAGTGCATGCAGAGCTATTCCGTGGTCCCATTCAAGCAAGTCAGGAGCTTCGACTTGCTTAATGGTTCTCGAGACAGTCCCCAAGAACACTGTCACCAGTCTCGACGGACCCTGAGGTCACCCCAGCAACGCAAAGCAGCTCCATGGGACCCAAATCAACTCGAGATGAGGCCCGATTCCCCTGCATTGACTCCAGAGCCATTCCCGTTTCCCCATTCAACACGACCGGTGGCTCGACTTCCTTCAGGCAACTCCAGAGATGCCCCGAGAACACTGTCCCAAGTCTAGAGGAACACCAACTTCAGCACGGCAACTCGAGGAATGCTCCGTGTACCCCAAATCGTCTCGAGGTGAGAGGTGATTCCCTGGCTTAGGCTCAAGACGTATGCCAACTTTCCAGACGCACCTCAGGAGGAGGCTTCTCTCAGCAATAGGTATGTGGGAGGGACCCCGAGTTCGCTGCCTCAAGGGCAATATACAGCGAGAAGCTCTAACTTGAAAGGAGGCCGGATTTCCTTGCAGTGGCTTGAATACAGGCTCGTCTTTCATCTCACAACATGAAGGGATGTCTGAATCCCCTGTGGAGACCTTAGAGAAAGCCCTAGGTCCCTGCCTCATTTAGACGGAATGCCTCACATCCCGTTGACACCTCGAGAGGCACGCGGAGTTCATTGCTTCAAAAGGTGACGATGCCTGACTCCTCTTGAATTCTGATAGGAATCCCAAAATCACTGTGGCTACTGGAAAGGGTTCTTGGGTGCCCTGCCTCACCTCAAGAAGCGTTCCATTTGCACTGCCAAGCCTCGATGAGATTCCTGAGGTGTCCCTCGTTACTAGACAGGAGTGCTGACGTCACTGAAGAAACTCGTGTTTTGAAGGGCCATCCCCGCCGTAAGTCGAGAACATACCCCAGGTCCCCGCCGCAACTCGAGAAAAACCATGAGACTTCCCCCTAGAGGCGAGATGAGGCCCCATTCCCCTGCAGTGCATGTAGAGCTATTCCGTGGTCCCATTCAAACAAGTCAGGAGCTTCGACTTGCTTAATGGATCTCGAGACAGTCCCCAAGAACACTGTCACCCGTCTTGACGGACGCTGAGGTCAACCCAGCAACGCAAAGCAGCTCCATGTGCCCCAAATCAACTCGAGATGAGGCCCGATTCCCCTGCATTGACTCCAGAGACATTCCCCGTTCCCCATTCAACACGACCGGTGGCTCGACTTCCTTCAGGCAACTCCAGAGATACCCCGAGAACACTCTCCCAAGTCTAGAGGAACACCAACTTCAGCACAGCAACTCGAGGAATGCTCCGTGTACCCCAAATCGTCTCGAGATGAGAGCTGATTCCCTGGCTTAGGCTCAAGACGTATGCCAACTTTCCAGACGCACCTCAGGAGGAGGCTTCTCTCAGCAATAGGTATGTGGGAGGGACCCCGAGTTCGCTGCCTCAAGGGCAATATACAGCGAGAAGCCCTAACTTGATAGGAGGCCGGATTTCCTTGCAGTGGCTTGAATACAGGCTCGTCTTTCATCTCACGACATGAAGGGATGTCTGAATCCCCTGTGGAGACCTTAGAGAAAGCCCTAGGTCCCTGCCTCATTTTGACGGAATGCCTCACATCCCGTTGACACCTCAAGAGGCACGCGAAGTTCATTGCTTCAAAAGGTGACAATGCCTCACTCCTCTTGAATACTGATAGGAATCCCAAAATCCCTGTGGCTACTGGAAAGGGTCCTTGGGTGCCCTGCCTCACCTCGAGAAGCGTCCCTTTTGCCCTGCCAAGCCTCGAAGAGATTCCTGAGGTGTCCCTCGTTACTAGACAGGAGTCCTGACGTCACTGAAGAAACTCGTGTTTTGAAGGGCCATCCCCGCCGTAAGTCGAGAACATACCCCAGGTCCCCGCCGCAACTCGAGAAAAACCATGAGACTTCCCCCTAGAGGCGAGATGAGGCCCCATTCCCCTGCAGTGCATGCAGAGCTATTCCGTGGTCCCATTCAAGCAAGTCAGGAGCTTCGACTTGCTTAATGGTTCTCGAGACAGTCCCCAAGAACACTGTCACCAGTCTCTACGGACCCTGAGGTCACCCCAGCAACGCAAAGCAGCTCCATGGGACCCAAATCAACTCGAGATGAGGCCCGATTCCCCTGCATTGACTCCAGAGCCATTCTCTGTTCCCCATTCAACACGACCGGTGGCTCGACTTCCTTCAGGCAACTCCAGAGATGCCCCGAGAACACTGTCCCAAGTCTAGAGGAACACCAACTTCAGCACGGCAACTCGAGGAATGCTCCGTGTACCCCAAATCGTCTCGAGATGAGAGGTGATTCCCTGGCTTAGGCTCAAGACGTATGCCAACATTCAAGACGCACCTCAGGAGGAGGCTTCTCAGCAATAGGTATGTGGGAGGGACCCCGAGGTCGCTGCCTCAAGGGCAATATACAGCGAGAAGCCCTAACTTGAAAGGAGGCCGGATTTCCTTGCAGTGGCTTGAATACAGACTCGTCTTTCATCTCACAACATGAAGGGATGTCTCAATCCCCTGTGGAGAACTTAGAGAAAGACCTAGGTCAATGCCTCATTTGGACGGAATGCCTCACATCCCGTTGACACCTCGAGAGGCACGCGGAGTTCATTGCTTCAAAAGGTGACGATGCCTGACTCCTCTTGAATTCTGATAGGAATCCCCAAATCACTGTGGCTACTGGAAAGGGTCCTTGCGTGCCCTGCCTCACCTCAAGAAGCGTCCCATTTGCACTGCCAAGCCTCGATGAGATTCCTGAGGTGTCCCTCGTTACTAGACAGGAGTCCTGATGTCACTGAAGAAACTCGTGTTTTGAAGGGCCATCCCCGCCGTAAGTCGAGAACATACCCCAGGTCCCCGCCGCAACTCGAGAAAAACCATGAGACTTCCCCCTAGAGGCGAGATGAGACCCCATTCCCCTGCAGTGCATGCAGAGCTATTCCGTGGTCCCATTCAAACAAGTCAGGAGCTTCGACTTGCTTAATGGATCTCGAGACAGTCCTCAAGAACATTGTCACCAGTCTCGATGGAACCTGAGGTCACCCCAGCAACGCAAAGCAGCTCCATGTGCCCCAAATCAACTCGAGATGAGGCCCGATTCCCCTGCATTGACTCCAGAGCCATTCCCCGTTCCCCATTCAACACGAACGGTGGCTCGACTTCCTTCAGGCAACTCCAGAGATACCCCGAGAACACTGTCCCAAGTCTAGAGGAACACCAACTTCAGCACAGCAACTCGAGGAATGCTCCGTGTACCCCAAATCGTCTCGAGATGACAGCTGATTCCCTGGCTTAGGCTCAAGACGTATGCCAACTTTCCAGACGCACCTCAGGAGGAGGCTTCTCTCAGCAATAGGTATGTGGGAGGGACCCCGAGTTCGCTGCCTCAAGGGCAATATACAGCGAGAAGCCCTAACTTGAAAGGAGGCCGGATTTCCTTGCAGTGGCTTGAATACAGGCTCGTCTTTCATCTCACAACATGAAGGGATGTCTGAAACCCCTGTGAAGACCTTAGAGAAAGCCCAAGGCCCCTGCCTCATTTTGACGGAATGCCTCACATCCCGTTGACACCTCAAGAGGCACGCGAAGTTCATTGTTTCAAAAGGTGACAATGCCTCACTCCTCTTGAATACTGATAGGAATCCCAAAATCACTGTGGCTACTGGAAAGGGTCCTTGGGTGCCCTGCCTCACCTCGAGAAGCGTCCCGTTTGCCCTGCCAAGCCTTGAAGAGATTCCTGAGGTGTCCCTCGTTACTAGACAGGAGTCCTGACGTCACTGAAGAAACTCGTGTTTTGAATTGCCATCCCCGCCGTAAGTCGAGAACATACCCCAGGTCCCCGCCGCAACTCGAGAAAAACCATGAGACTTCCCCCTAGAGGCGAGATGAGGCCCCATTCCCCTGCAGTGCATGCAGAGCTATTCCGTGGTCCCATTCAAGCAACTCAGGAGCTTCGACTTGCTTAATGGATCTCGAGACAGTCCCCAAGAACACTGTCACCAGTCTCCACGGACCCTGAGGTCACCCCAGCAACACAAAGCAGCTCCATGGGCCCCAAATCAACTCGAGATGAGGCCCGATTCCCCTGCATTGACTCCAGAGCCATTCCCCGTTCCCCATTCAACACGACCGGTGGCTCGACTTCCTTCAGGCAACTCCAGAGATGCCCCGAGAACACTGTCCCAAGTCTAGAGGAACACCAACTTCAGCACGGCAACTCGAGGAATGCTCCGTGTACCCCAAATCGTCTCGAGATGAGAGGTGATTCCCTGGCTTAGGATCAAGACGTATGCCAACTTTCAAGACGCACCTCAAGAGGAGGCTTCTCTCAGCAATAGGTATGTGGGAGGGACCCCGAGTTCACTGCCTCAAGGGCAATATACAGCGAGAAGCCCTAACTTGAAAGGAGGCCGGATTTCCTTGCAGTGGCTTGAATACAGACTCGTCTTTCATCTCACAACATGAAGGGATGTCTGAATCGCCTGTGGAGACCTTAGAGAAAGCCCTAGGTCCCTGCCTCATTTGGACGGAATGCCTCACATCCCGTTGGCACCTCGAGAGGCACGCGGAGTTCATTGCTTCAAAAGGTGACGATGCCTGACTCCTCTTGAATTCTGATAGGAATCCCAAAATCACTGTGGCTACTGGAAAGGGTCCTTGCGTGCCCTGCCTCACCTCAAGAAGCGTCCCATTTGCACTGCCAAGCCTCGATGAGATTCCTGAGGTGTCCCTCGTTATTAGGCAGGAGTCCTGACGTCACTGAAGAAACTCGTGTTTTGAAGGGCCATCCCCGCGGTAAGTTGAGAACATACCCCAGGTCCCCGCCGCAACTCGAGAAAAACCATGAGACTTCCCCCTAGAGGCGAGATGAGGCCCCATTCCCCTGCAGTGCATGCAGAGCTATTCCGTGGTCCCATTCAAGCAACTCAGGAGCTTCGACTTGCTTAATGGATCTCGAGACAGTCCCCAAGAACACTGTCACCAGTCTCGACGGACGCTGAGGTCAACCCAGCAACGCAAAGCAGATCCATGTGCCCCAAATCAACTCGAGATGAGGCCCGATTCCCCTGCATTGACTCCAGAGCCATTCCCCGTTCCCCATTCAACAAGACCGGTGGCTCGACTTCCTTCAGGCAACTCCAGAGATACCCCGAGAACACTCTCCCAAGTCTAGAGGAACACCAACTTCAGCACAGCAACTCGAGGAATGCTCCGTGTACCCCAAATCGTCTCGAGATGAGAGCTGATTCCCTGGCTTAGGCTCAAGACGTATGCCAACTTTCCAGACGCACCTCAGGAGGAGGCTTCTCTCAGCAATAGGTATGTGGGAGGGACCCCGAGTTCGCTGCCTCAAGGGCAATATACAGCGAGAAGCCCTAACTTGATAGGAGGCCGGATTTCCTTGCAGTGGCTTGAATACAGGCTCGTCTTTCATCTCACGACATGAAGGGATGTCTGAATCCCCTGTGGAGACCTTAGAGAAAGCCCTAGGTCCCTGCCTCATTTTGACGGAATGCCTCACATCCCGTTGACACCTCAAGAGGCACGCGAAGTTCATTGCTTCAAAAGGTGACAATGCCTCACTCCTCTTGAATACTGATAGGAATCCCAAAATCCCTGTGGCTACTGGAAAGGGTCCTTGGGTGCCCTGCCTCACCTCGAGAAGCGTCCCTTTTGCCCTGCCAAGCCTCGAAGAGATTCCTGAGGTGTCCCTCGTTACTAGACAGGAGTCCTGACGTCACTGAAGAAACTCGTGTTTTGAAGGGCCATCCCCGCCGTAAGTCGAGAACATACCCCAGGTCCCCGCCGAAACTCGAGAAAAACCATGAGACTTCCCCCTAGAGGCGAGATGAGGCCCCATTCCCCTGCAGTGCATGCAGAGCTATTCCGTGGTCCCATTCAAGCAAGTCAGGAGCTTCGACTTGCTTAATGGTTCTCGAGACAGTCCCCAAGAACACTGTCACCAGTCTCTACGGACCCTGAGGTCACCCCAGCAACGCAAAGCAGCTCCATGGGACCCAAATCAACTCGAGATGAGGCCCGATTCCCCTGCATTGACTCCAGAGCCATTCTCTGTTCCCCATTCAACACGACCGGTGGCTCGACTTCCTTCAGGCAACTCCAGAGATGCCCCGAGAACACTGTCCCAAGTCTAGAGGAACACCAACTTCAGCACGGCAACTCGAGGAATGCTCCGTGTACCCCAAATCGTCTCGAGATGAGAGGTGATTCCCTGGCTTAGGCTCAAGACGTATGCCAACATTCAAGACGCACCTCAGGAGGAGGCTTCTCAGCAATAGGTATGTGGGAGGGACCCCGAGGTCGCTGCCTCAAGGGCAATATACAGCGAGAAGCCCTAACTTGAAAGGAGGCCGGATTTCCTTGCAGTGGCTTGAATACAGACTCGTCTTTCATCTCACAACATGAAGGGATGTCTCAATCCCCTGTGGAGAACTTAGAGAAAGACCTAGGTCAATGCCTCATTTGGACGGAATGCCTCACATCCCGTTGACACCTCGAGAGGCACGCGGAGTTCATTGCTTAAAAAGGTGACGATGCCTGACTCCTCTTGAATTCTGATAGGAATCCCCAAATCACTGTGGCTACTGGAAAGGGTCCTTGCGTGCCCTGCCTCACCTCAAGAAGCGTCCCATTTGCACTGCCAAGCCTCGATGAGATTCCTGAGGTGTCCCTCGTTACTAGACAGGAGTCCTGATGTCACTGAAGAAACTCGTGTTTTGAAGGGCCATCCCCGCCGTAAGTCGAGAACATACCCCAGGTCCCCGCCGCAACTCGAGAAAAACCATGAGACTTCCCCCTAGAGGCGAGATGAGACCCCATTCCCCTGCAGTGCATGCAGAGCTATTCCGTGGTCCCATTCAAACAAGTCAGGAGCTTCGACTTGCTTAATGGATCTCGAGACAGTCCTCAAGAACATTGTCACCAGTCTCGATGGAACCTGAGGTCACCCCAGCAACGCAAAGCAGCTCCATGTGCCCCAAATCAACTCGAGATGAGGCCCGATTCCCCTGCATTGACTCCAGAGCCATTCCCCGTTCCCCATTCAACACGAACGGTGGCTCGACTTCCTTCAGGCAACTCCAGAGATACCCCGAGAACACTGTCCCAAGTCTAGAGGAACACCAACTTCAGCACAGCAACTCGAGGAATGCTCCGTGTACCCCAAATCGTCTCGAGATGACAGCTGATTCCCTGGCTTAGGCTCAAGACGTATGCCAACTTTCCAGACGCACCTCAGGAGGAGGCTTCTCTCAGCAATAGGTATGTGGGAGGGACCCCGAGTTCGCTGCCTCAAGGGCAATATACAGCGAGAAGCCCTAACTTGAAAGGAGGCCGGATTTCCTTGCAGTGGCTTGAATACAGGCTCGTCTTTCATCTCACAACATGAAGGGATGTCTGAATCCCCTGTGGAGAACTTAGAGAAAGCCCAAGGCCCCTGCCTCATTTTGACGGAATGCCTCACATCCCGTTGACACCTCAAGAGGCACGCGAAGTTCATTGTTTCAAAAGGTGACAATGCCTCACTCCTCTTGAATACTGATAGGAATCCCAAAATCACTGTGGCTACTGGAAAGGGTCCTTGGGTGCCCTGCCTCACCTCGAGAAGCGTCCCGTTTGCCCTGCCAAGCCTTGAAGAGATTCCTGAGGTGTCCCTCGTTACTAGACAGGAGTCCTGACGTCACTGAAGAAACTCGTGTTTTGAATTGCCATCCCCGCCGTAAGTCGAGAACATACCCCAGGTCCCCGCCGCAACTCGAGAAAAACCATGAGACTTCCCCCTAGAGGCGAGATGAGGCCCCATTCCCCTGCAGTGCATGCAGAGCTATTCCGTGGTCCCATTCAAGCAACTCAGGAGCTTCGACTTGCTTAATGGATCTCGAGACAGTCCCCAAGAACACTGTCACCAGTCTCCACGGACCCTGAGGTCACCCCAGCAACACAAAGCAGCTCCATGGGCCCCAAATCAACTCGAGATGAGGCCCGATTCCCCTGCATTGACTCCAGAGCCATTCCCCGTTCCCCATTCAACACGACCGGTGGCTCGACTTCCTTCAGGCAACTCCAGAGATGCCCCGAGAACACTGTCCCAAGTCTAGAGGAACACCAACTTCAGCACGGCAACTCGAGGAATGCTCCGTGTACCCCAAATCGTCTCGAGATGAGAGGTGATTCCCTGGCTTAGGCTCAAGACGTATGCCAACTTTCAAGACGCACCTCAAGAGGAGGCTTCTCTCAGCAATAGGTATGTGGGAGGGACCCCGAGTTCACTGCCTCAAGGGCAATATACAGCGAGAAGCCCTAACTTGAAAGGAGGCCGGATTTCCTTGCAGTGGCTTGAATACAGACTCGTCTTTCATCTCACAACATGAAGGGATGTCTGAATCGCCTGTGGAGACCTTAGAGAAAGCCCTAGGTCCCTGCCTCATTTGGACGGAATGCCTCACATCCCGTTGGCACCTCGAGAGGCACGCGGAGTTCATTGCTTCAAAAGGTGACGATGCCTGACTCCTCTTGAATTCTGATAGGAATCCCAAAATCACTGTGGCTACTGGAAAGGGTCCTTGCGTGCCCTGCCTCACCTCAAGAAGCGTCCCATTTGCACTGCCAAGCCTCGATGAGATTCCTGAGGTGTCCCTCGTTATTAGGCAGGAGTCCTGACGTCACTGAAGAAACTCGTGTTTTGAAGGGCCATCCCCGCGGTAAGTTGAGAACATACCCCAGGTCCCCGCCGCAACTCGAGAAAAACCATGAGACTTCCCCCTAGAGGCGAGATGAGGCCCCATTCCCCTGCAGTGCATGCAGAGCTATTCCGTGGTCCCATTCAAGCAACTCAGGAGCTTCGACTTGCTTAATGGATCTCGAGACAGTCCCCAAGAACACTGTCACCAGTCTCGACGGACGCTGAGGTCAACCCAGCAACGCAAAGCAGATCCATGTGCCCCAAATCAACTCGAGATGAGGCCCGATTCCCCTGCATTGACTCCAGAGCCATTCCCCGTTCCCCATTCAACAAGACCGGTGGCTCGACTTCCTTCAGGCAACTCCAGAGATACCCCGAGAACACTCTCCCAAGTCTAGAGGAACACCAACTTCAGCACAGCAACTCGAGGAATGCTCCGTGTACCCCAAATCGTCTCGAGATGAGAGCTGATTCCCTGGCTTAGGCTCAAGACGTATGCCAACTTTCCAGACGCACCTCAGGAGGAGGCTTCTCTCAGCAGTAGGTATGTGGGAGGGACCCCGAGTTCGCTGCCTCAAGGGCAATATACAGCGAGAAGCCCTAACTTGAAAGGAGGCCGGATTTCCTTGCAGTGGCTTGAATACAGGCTCGTCTTTCATCTCACGACATGAAGGGATGTCTGAATCCCCTGTGTAGACCTTAGAGAAAGCCCTAGGTCCCTGCCTCATTTTGACGGAATGCCTCACATCCCGTTGAAACCTCAAGAGGCACGCGAAGTTCATTGCTTCAAAAGGTGACAATGCCTGACTCCTCTTGAATACTGATAGGAATCCCAAAATCCCTGTGGCTACTGGAAAGGGTCCTTGGGTGCCCTGCCTCACCTCGAGAAGCGTCCCTTTTGCCCTGCCAAGCCTCGAAGAGATTCCTGAGGTGTCCCTCGTTACTAGACAGGAGTCTGGACGTCACTGAAGAAACTCGTGTTTTGAAGGGCCATCCCCGCCGTAAGTCGAGAACATACCCCAGGTCCCCGCCGCAACTCGAGAAAAACCATGAGACTTCCCCCTAGAGGCGAGATGAGGCCCCATTCCCCTGCAGTGCATGCAGAGCTATTCCGTGGTCCCATTCAAGCAAGTCAGGAGCTTCGACTTGCTTAATGGTTCTCGAGACAGTCCCCAAGAACACTGTCACGAGTCTCGACGGACCCTGAGGTCACCCTAGCAACGCAAAGCAGCTCCATGGGCCCCAAATCAACTCGAGATGAGGCCCGATTCCCCTGCATTGACTCCAGAGCCATTCCCCGTTCCCCATTCAACACGACCGGTGGCTCGACTTCCTTCAGGCAACTCCAGAGATGCCCCGAGAACACTGTCCCAAGTCTAGAGGAACGCCAACTTCAGCACGGCAACTCGAGGAATGCTCCGTGAACCCCAAATCGTCTCGAGATGAGAGGTGATTCCCTGGCTTAGGCTCAAGACGTATGCCAACTTTCAAGACGCAACTCAGGAGGAGGCTTCTCTCAGCAATAGGTATGTGGGAGGGACCCCGAGTTCGCTGCCTCAAGGGCAATATACAGCGAGAAGCCCTAACTTGAAAGGAGGCCGGATTTCCTTGCAGTGGCTTGAATACAGAATCGTCTTTCATCTCACAACATGAAGGGATGCCTGAATCCCCTGTGGAGACCTTAGAGAAAGCCCTAGGTCCCTGCCTCATTTGGACGGAATGCCTCACATCTCGTTGACACCTCGAGAGGCACGCGGAGTTCATTGCTTCAAAAGGTGACGATGCCTGACTCCTCTTGAATTCTGATAGGAATCCCAAAAATCACTGTGGCTACTGGAAAGGGTCCTTGCATGCCCTGCCTCACCTCGAGAAGCGTCCCGTTTGCCCTGCCAAGCCTCGAAGAGATTCCTGAGGTGTCCCTCGTTACTAGACAGGAGTCCTGACGTCACTGAAGATACTCGTGTTTTGAATTGCCATCCCCGCCTTAAGTCGAGAACAGACCCCAGGTCCCCGCCGCAACTCGAGAAAAACCATGAGACTTCCCCCTAGAGGCGAGATGAGGCCCCATTCCCCTGCAGTGCATGCAGAGCTATTCCGTGGTCCCATTCAAGCAACTCAGGAGCTTCGACTTGCTTAATGGATCTCGAGACAGTCCCCAAGAACACTGTCACCAGTCTCGACGGACCCTGAGGTCACCCCAGCAACACAAAGCAGCTCCATGGGCCCCAAATCAACTCGAGATGAGGCCCGATTCCCCTGCATTGACTCCAGAGCGATTCCCCGTTCCCCATTCAACACGACCGGTGGCTTGACTTCCTTCAGGCAACTCCAGAGATGCCCCGAGAACACTGTCCCAAGTCTAGAGGAACACCAACTTCAGCACGGCAACTCGAGGAATGCTCCGTGTACCCCAAATCGTCTCGAGATGAGAGGTGATTCCCTGGCTTAGGCTCAAGACGTATGCCAACTTTCAAGACGCACCTCAGGAGGAGGCTTCTCTCAGCAATAGGTATGTGGGAGGGACCCCGAGTTCGCTGCCTCAAGGGCAATATACAGCGAGAAGCCCTAACTTGAAAGGAGGCCGGATTTCCTTGCAGTGGCTTGAATACAGGCTCGTCTTTCATCTCACGACATGAACGGATGTCTGAATCCCCTGTGGAGACCTTAGAGAAAGCCCTAGGTCCCTGCCTCATTTTGACGGAATGCCTCACATCCCGTTGACACCTCGAGAGGCACGCGGAGTTCATTGCTTCAAAAGGTGACGATGCCTGACTCCTCTTGAATTCTGATAGGAATCCCAAAATCACTGTGGCTACTGGAAAGGGTTCTTGGGTGCCCTGCCTCACCTCAAGAAGCGTCGCATTTGCACTGCCAAGCCTCGATGAGATTCCTGAGGTGTCCCTCGTTACTAGACAGGAGTCCTGACGTCACTGAAGAAACTCGTGTTTTGAAGGGCCATCCCCGCCGTAAGTCGAGAACATACCCCAGGTCCCCGCCGCAACTCGAGAAAAACCATGAGACTTCCCCCTAGAGGCGAGATGAGGCCCCATTCCCCTGCAGTGCATGTAGAGCTATTCCGTGGTCCCATTCAAACAAGTCAGGAGCTTCGACTTGCTTAATGGATCTCGAGACAGTCCCCAAGAACACTGTCACCCGTCTTGACGGACGCTGAGGTCAACCCAGCAACGCAAAGCAGCTCCATGTGCCCCAAATCAACTCGAGATGAGGCCCGATTCCCCTGCATTGACTCCAGAGACATTCCCCGTTCCCCATTCAACACGACCGGTCGCTCGACTTCCTTCAGGCAACTCCAGAGATACCCCGAGAACACTCTCCCAAGTCTAGAGGAACACCAACTTCAGCACAGCAACTCGAGGAATGCTCCGTGTACCCCAAATCATCTCGAGATGAGAGCTGATTCCCTGGCTTAGGCTCAAGACGTATGCCAACTTTCCAGACGCACCTCAGGAGGAGGCTTCTCTCAGCAATAGGTATGTGGGAGGGACCCCGAGTTCGCTGCCTCAAGGGCAATATACAGCGAGAAGCCCTAACTTGATAGGAGGCCGGATTTCCTTGCAGTGGCTTGAATACAGGCTCGTCTTTCATCTCACGACATGAAGGGATGTCTGAATCCCCTGTGGAGACCTTAGAGAAAGCCCTAGGTCCCTGCCTCATTTTGACGGAATGCCTCACATCCCGTTGACACCTCAAGAGGCACGCGAAGTTCATTGCTTCAAAAGGTGACAATGCCTCACTCCTCTTGAATACTGATAGGAATCCCAAAATCCCTGTGGCTACTGGAAAGGGTCCTTGGGTGCCCTGCCTCACCTCGAGAAGCGTCCCTTTTGCCCTGCCAAGCCTCGAAGAGATTCCTGAGGTGTCCCTCGTTACTAGACAGGAGTCCTGACGTCACTGAAGAAACTCGTGTTTTGAAGGGCCATCCCCGCCGTAAGTCGAGAACATACCCCAGGTCCCCGCCGCAACTCGAGAAAAACCATGAGACTTCCCCCTAGAGGCGAGATGAGGCCCCATTCCCCTGCAGTGCATGCAGAGCTATTCCGTGGTCCCATTCAAGCAAGTCAGGAGCTTCGACTTGCTTAATGGTTCTCGAGACAGTCCCCAAGAACACTGTCACCAGTCTCTACGGACCCTGAGGTCACCCCAGCAACGCAAAGCAGCTCCATGGGCCCCAAATCAACTCGAGATGAGGCCCGATTCCCCTGCATTGACACCAGAGCCATTCCCTGTTCCCCATTCAACACGACCGGTGGCTCGACTTCCTTCAGGCAACTCCAGAGATGCCCCGAGAACACTGTCCCAAGTCTAGAGGAACACCAACTTCAGCACGGCAACTCGAGGAATGCTCCGTGTACCCCAAATCGTCTCGAGATGAGAGGTGATTCCCTGGCTTAGGCTCAAGACGTATGCCAACATTCAAGACGCACCTCAGTAGGAGGCTTCTCAGCAATAGGTATGTGGGAGGGACCCCGAGTTCGCTGCCTCAAGGGCAATATACAGCGAGAAGCCCTAACTTGAAAGGAGGCCGGATTTCCTTGCAGTGGCTTGAATACAGACTCGTCTTTCATCTCACAACATGAAGGGATGTCTGAATCCCCTGTGGAGACCTTAGAGAAAGACCTAGGTCCCTGCCTCATTTGGACGGAATGCCTCACATCCCGTTGACACCTCGAGAGGCACGCGGAGTTCATTGCTTCAAAAGGTGACGATGCCTGACTCCTCTTGAATTCTGATAGGAATCCCCAAATCACTGTGGCTACTGGAAAGGGTCCTTGCGTGCCCTGCCTCACCTCAAGAAGCGTCCCATTTGCACTGCCAAGCCTCGATGAGATTCCTGAGGTGTCCCTCGTTACTAGACAGGAGTCCTGATGTCACTGAAGAAACTCGTGTTTTGAAGGGCCATCCCCGCCGTAAGTCGAGAACATACCCCAGGTCCCCGCCGCAACTCGAGAAAAACCATGAGACTTCCCCCTAGAGGCGAGATGAGACCCCATTCCCCTGCAGTGCATGCAGAGCTATTCCGTGGTCCCATTCAAACAAGTCAGGAGCTTCGACTTGCTTAATGGATCTCGAGACAGTCCTCAAGAACATTGTCACCAGTCTCGATGGAACCTGAGGTCACCCCAGCAACGCAAAGCAGCTCCATGTGCCCCAAATCAACTCGAGATGAGGCCCGATTCCCCTGCATTGACTCCAGAGCCATTCCCCGTTCCCCATTCAACACGAACGGTGGCTCGACTTCCTTCAGGCAACTCCAGAGATACCCCGAGAACACTGTCCCAAGTCTAGAGGAACACCAACTTCAGCACAGCAACTCGAGGAATGCTCCGTGTACCCCAAATCGTCTCGAGATGACAGCTGATTCCCTGGCTTAGGCTCAAGACGTATGCCAACTTTCCAGACGCACCTCAGGAGGAGGCTTCTCTCAGCAATAGGTATGTGGGAGGGACCCCGAGTTCGCTGCCTCAAGGGCAATATACAGCGAGAAGCCCTAACTTGAAAGGAGGCCGGATTTCCTTGCAGTGGCTTGAATACAGGCTCGTCTTTCATCTCACAACATGAAGGGATGTCTGAATCCCCTGTGGAGACCTTAGAGAAAGCCCAAGGCCCCTGCCTCATTTTGACGGAATGCCTCACATCCCGTTGACACCTCAAGAGGCACGCGAAGTTCATTGTTTCAAAAGGTGACAATGCCTCACTCCTCTTGAATACTGATAGGAATCCCAAAATCACTGTGGCTACTGGAAAGGGTCCTTGGGTGCCCTGCCTCACCTCGAGAAGCGTCCCGTTTGCCCTGCCAACCCTCGAAGAGATTCCTGAGGTGTCCCTCGTTACTAGACAGGAGTCCTGACGTCACTGAAGAAACTCGTGTTTTGAATTGCCATCCCCGCCGTAAGTCGAGAACATACCCCAGGTCCCCGCCGCAACTCGAGAAAAACCATGAGACTTCCCCCTAGAGGCGAGATGAGGCCCCATTCCCCTGCAGTGCATGCAGAGCTATTCCGTGGTCCCATTCAAGCAACTCAGGAGCTTCGACTTGCTTAATGGATCTCGAGACAGTCCCCAAGAACACTGTCACCAGTCTCCACGGACCCTGAGGTCACCCCAGCAACACAAAGCAGCTCCATGGGCCCCAAATCAACTCGAGATGAGGCCCGATTCCCCTGCATTGACTCCAGAGCCATTCCCCGTTCCCCATTCAACACGACCGGTGGCTCGACTTCCTTCAGGCAACTCCAGAGATGCCCCGAGAACACTGTCCCAAGTCTAGAGGAACACCAACTTCAGCACGGCAACTCGAGGAATGCTCCGTGTACCCCAAATCGTCTCGAGATGAGAGGTGATTCCCTGGCTTAGGCTCAAGACGTATGCCAACTTTCAAGACGCACCTCAGGAGGAGGCTTCTCTCAGCAATAGGTATGTGGGAGGGACCCCGAGTTCACTGCCTCAAGGGCAATATACAGCGAGAAGCCCTAACTTGAAAGGAGGCCGGATTTCCTTGCAGTGGCTTGAATACAGACTCTTCTTTCATCTCACAACATGAAGGGATGTCTGAATCGCCTGTGGAGACCTTAGAGAAAGCCCTAGGTCCCTGCCTCATTTGGACGGAATGCCTCACATCCCGTTGACACCTCGAGAGGCACGCGGAGTTCATTGCTTCAAAAGGTGACGATGCCTGACTCCTCTTGAATTCTGATAGGAATCCCAAAATCACTGTGGCTACTGGAAAGGGTCCTTGCGTGCCCTGCCTCACCTCAAGAAGCGTCCCATTTGCACTGCCAAGCCTCGATGAGATTCCTGAGGTGTCCCTCGTTATTAGACAGGAGTCCTGACGTCACTGAAGAAACTCGTGTTTTGAAGGGCCATCCCCGCGGTAAGTTGAGAACATACCCCAGGTCCCCGCCGCAACTCGAGAAAAACCATGAGACTTCCCCCTAGAGGCGAGATGAGGCCCCATTCCCCTGCAGTGCATGCAGAGCTATTCCGTGGTCCCATTCAAGCAACTCAGGAGCTTCGACTTGCTTAATGGATCTCGAGACAGTCCCCAAGAACACTGTCACCAGTCTCGACGGACGCTGAGGTCAACCCAGCAACACAAAGCAGATCCATGTGCCCCAAATCAACTCGAGATGAGGCCCGATTCCCCTGCATTGACTCCAGAGCCATTCCCCGTTCCCCATTCAACACGACCGGTGGCTCGACTTCCTTCAGGCAACTCCAGAGATACCCCGAGAACACTCTCCCAAGTCTAGAGGAACACCAACTTCAGCACAGCAACTCGAGGAATGCTCCGTGTACCACAAATCGTCTCGAGATGAGAGCTGATTCCCTGGCTTAGGCTCAAGACGTATGCCAACTTTCCAGACGCACCTCAGGAGGAGGCTTCTCTCAGCAATAGGTATGTGGGAGGGACCCCGAGTTCGCTGCCTCAAGGGCAATATACAGCGAGAAGCCCTAACTTGAAAGGAGGCCGGATTTCCTTGCAGTGGCTTGAATACAGGCTCGTCTTTCATCTCACAACATGAAGGGATGTCTGAATCCCCTGTGGAGACCTTAGAGAAAGCCCTAGGTCCCTGCCTCATTTAGACGGAATGCCTCACATCCCGTTGACACCTCGAGAGGCACGCGGAGTTCATTGCTTCAAAAGGTGACGATGCCTGACTCCTCTTGAATTCTGATAGGAATCCCAAAATCACTGTGGCTACTGGAAAGGGTTCATGGGTGCCCTGCCTCACCTCATGAAGCGTCCCATTTGCACTGCCAAGCCTCGATGAGATTCCTGAGGTGTCCCTCGTTACTAGACAGGAGTCCTGACGTCACGGAAGAAACTCGTGTTTTGAAGGGCCATCCCCGCCGTAAGTCGAGAACATACCCCAGGTCCCCGCCGCAACTCGAGAAAAACCATGAGACTTCCCCCTAGAGGCGAGATGAGGCCCCATTCCCCTGCAGTGCATGCAGAGCTATTCCGTGATCCCATTCAAACAAGTCAGGAGCTTCGACTTGCTTAATGGATCTCGAGACAGTCCCCAAGAACACTGTCACCAGTCTCGACGGACGCTGAGGTCACCCCAGCAACGCAAAGCAGCTCCATGTGCCCCAAATCAACTCGAGATGAGGCCCGATTCCCCTGCATTGACTCCAGAGCCATTCCCCGTTCCCCATTCAACACGACCGGTGGCTCGACTTCCTTCAGACAACTCCAGAGATGCCCCGAGAACACTGTCCCAAGTCTAGAGGAACACCAACTTCAGCACGGCAACTCGAGGAATGCTCCGTGTACCCCAAATCGTCTCGAGATGAGAGGTGATTCCCTGGCTTAGGCTCAAGACGTATGCCAACTTTCCAGACGCACCTCAGGAGGAGGCTTCTCTCAGCAATAGGTATGTGGGAGGGACCCCGAGTTCGCTGCCTCAAGGGCAATATACAGCGAGAAGCCCTAACTTGAAAGGAGGCCGGATTTCCTTGCAGTGGCTTGAATACAGGCTCGTCTTTCATTTCACGACATGAAGGGATGTCTGAATCCCCTGTGGAGACCTTAGAGAAAGCCCTAGGTCCCTGCCTCATTTTGACGGAATGCCTCACATCCCGTTGACACCTCAAGAGGCACGCGAAGTTCATTGCTTCAAAAGGTGACAATGCCTCACTCCTCTTGAATACTGATAGGAATCCCAAAATCCCTGTGGCTACTGGAAAGGGTCCTTGGGTGCCCTGCCTCACCTCGAGAAGCGTCCCTTTTGCACTGCCAAGCCTCGAAGAGATTCCTGAGGTGTCCCTCGTTACTAGACAGGAGTCCTGACGTCACTGAAGAAACTCGTGTTTTGAAGGGCCATCCCCGCCGTAAGTCGAGAACATACCCCAGGTCCCCGCCGCAACTCGAGAAAAACCATGAGACTTCCCCCTAGAGGCGAGATGAGGCCCCATTCCCCTGCAGTGCATGCAGAGCTATTCCGTGGTCCCATTCAAGCAAGTCAGGAGCTTCGACTTGCTTAATGGTTCTCGAGACAGTCCCCAAGAACACTGTCACCAGTTTCGACGGACCCTGAGGTCACCCAGCAACGCAAAGCAGCTCCATGGGACCCAAATCAACTCGAGATGAGGCCCGATTCCCCTGCATTGACTCCAGAGCCATTCCCCGTTCCCCATTCAACACGACCGGTGGCTCGACTTCCTTCAGGCAACTCCAGAGATGCCCCGAGAACACTGTCCCAAGTCTAGAGGAACACCAACTTCAGCACGGCAACTCGAGGAATGCTCCGTGTACCCCAAATCGTCTCGAGATGAGACCTGATTCCCTGGCTTAGGCACAAGACGTATGCCAACTTTCAAGACGCACCTCAGGAGGAGGCTTCTCTCAGCAATAGGTATGTGGGAGGGACCCCGAGTTCGCTGCCTCAAGGGCAATATACAGCGAGAAGCCCTAACTTGAAAGGAGGCCGGATTTCCTTGCAGTGGCTTGAATACAGGCTCGTCTTTCACCTCACAACATGAAGGGATGTCTGAATCCCCTGTGGAGACCTTAGAGAAAGCCCTAGGTCCCTGCCTCATTTTGACGGAATGCCTCACATCCCGTTGACACCTCAAGAGGCACGCGAAGTTCATTGCTTCAAAAGGTGACAATGCCTGACTCCTCTTGAATACTGATAGGAATCCCAAAATCCCTGTTTCTACTGGAAAGGGTCCTTGGGTGCCCTGCCTCACCTCGAGAAGCGTCCCTTTTGCCCTGCCAAGACTCGAAGAGATTCCTGAGGTGTCCCTCGTTACTAGACACTAGTCCTGACGTCACTGAAGAAACTCGTGTTTTGAAGGGCCATCCCCGCCGTAAGTCGAGAACATACCCCAGGTCCCCGCCGCAACTCGAGAAAAACCATGAGACTTCCCCCTAGAGGCGAGATGAGGCCCCATTCCCCTGCAGTGCATGCAGAGCTATTCCGTGGTCCCATTCAAGCAAGTCAGGAGCTTCGACTTGCTTAATGGATCTCAAGACAGTCCCCAAGAACACTGTCACCAGTCTCGACGGACGCTGAGGTCACCCCAGCAACGCAAAGCAGCTCCATGTGCCCCAAATCAACTCGAGATGAGGCCCGATTCCCCTGCATTGACTCCAGAGCCATTCCCCGTTCCCCATTCAACACGACCGGTGGCTCGACTTCCTTCAGACAACTCCAGAGAAGCCCCGAGAACACTGTCCCAAGTCTAGATGAACACCAACTTCAGCACGGCAACTCGAGGAATGCTCCGTGTACCCCAAATCGTCTCGAGATGAGAGGTGATTCCCTGGCTTAGGCTCAAGACGTATGCCAACTTTCCAGACGCACCTCAGGAGGAGGCTTCTCTCAGCAATAGGTATGTGGGAGGGACCCCGAGTTCGCTGCCTCAAGGGCAATATACAGCGAGAAGCCCTAACTTGAAAGGAGGCCGGATTTCCTTGCAGTGGCTTGAATACAGGCTCGTCTTTCATTTCACGACATGAAGGGATGTCTGAATCCCCTGTGGAGACCTTAGAGAAAGCCCTAGGTCCCTGCCTCATTTTGACGGAATGCCTCACATCCCGTTGACACCTCAAGAGGCACGCGAAGTTCATTGCTTCAAAAGGTGACAATGCCTCACTCCTCTTGAATACTGATAGGAATCCCAAAATCCCTGTGGCTACTGGAAAGGGTCCTTGGGTGCCCTGCCTCACCTCGAGAAGCGTCCCTTTTGCCCTTCCAAGCCTCGAAGAGATTCCTGAGGTGTCCCTCGTTACTAGACAGGAGTCCTGACGTCACTGAAGAAACTCGTGTTTTGAAGGGCCATCCCCGCCGTAAGTCGAGAACATACCCCAGGTCCCCGCCGCAACTCGAGAAAAACCATGAGACTTCCCCCTAGAGGCGAGATGAGGCCCCATTCCCCTGCAGTGCATGCAGAGCTATTCCGTGGTCCCATTCAAGCAAGTCAGGAGCTTCGACTTGCTTAATGGATCTCAAGACAGTCCCCAAGAACACTGTCACCAGTCTCGACGGACGCTGAGGTCACCCCAGCAACGCAAAGCAGCTCCATGTGCCCCAAATCAACTCGAGATGAGGCCCGATTCCCCTGCATTGACTCCAGAGCCATTCCCCGTTCCCCATTCAACACGACCGGTGGCTCGACTTCCTTCAGACAACTCCAGAGATGCCCCGAGAAAACTGTCCCAAGTCTAGAGGAACACCAACTTCAGCAAGGCAACTCGAGGAATGCTCCGTGTACCCCAAATCGTCTCGAGATGAGAGGTGATTCCCTGGCTTAGGCTCAAGACGTATGCCAACTTTCCAGACGCACCTCAGGAGGAGGCTTCTCTCAGCAATAGGTATGTGGGAGGGACCCCGAGTTCGCTGCCTCAAGGGCAATATACAGCGAGAAGCCCTAACTTGAAAGGAGGCCGGATTTCCTTGCAGTGGCTTGAATACAGGCTCGTCTTTCATTTCACGACATGAAGGGATGTCTGAATCCCCTGTGGAGACCTTAGAGAAAGCCCTAGGTCCCTGCCTCATTTTGACGGAATGCCTCACATCCCGTTGACACCTCAAGAGGCACGCGAAGTTCATTGCTTCAAAAGGTGACAATGCCTCACTCCTCTTGAATACTGATAGGAATCCCAAAATCCCTGTGGCTACTGGAAAGGGTCCTTGGGTGCCCTGCCTCACCTCGAGAAGCGTCCCTTTTGCCCTGCCAAGCCTCGAAGAGATTCCTGAGGTGTCCCTCGTTACTAGACAGGAGTCCTGACGTCACTGAAGAAACTCGTGTTTTGAAGGGCGTTCCCCGCCGTAAGTCGAGAACATACCCCAGGTCCCCGCCGCAACTCGAGAAAAACCATGAGACTTCCCCCTAGAGGCGAGATGAGGCCCCATTCCCCTGCAGTGCATGCAGAGCTATTCCGTGGTCCCATTCAAGCAAGTCAGGAGCTTCAACTTGCTTAATGGTTCTCGAGACAGTCCCCAAGAACACTGTCACCAGTCTCGACGGACCCTGAGGTCACCCCAGCAACGCAAAGCAGCTCCATGGGACCCAAATCAACTCGAGATGAGGCCCGATTCCCCTGCATTGACTCCAGAGCCATTCCCCGTTCCCCATTCAACACGACCGGTGGCTCGACTTCCTTCAGGCAACTCCAGAGATGCCCCGAGAACACTGTCCCAAGTCTAGAGGAACACCAACTTCAGCACGGCAACTCGAGGAATGCTCCGTGTACCCCAAATCGTCTCGAGATGAGAGGTGATTCCCTGGCTTAGGCTCAAGACGTATGCCAACTTTCCATACGCACCTCAGGAGGAGGCTTCTCTCAGCAATAGGTATGTGGGAGGGACACCGAGTTCGCTGCCTCAAGGGCAATATACAGCGAGAAGCCCTAACTTGAAAGGAGGCCGGATTTCCTTGCAGTGGCTTGAATACAGGCTCGTCTTTCATCTCACAACATGAAGGGATGTCTGAATCCCCTGTGGAGACCTTAGAGAAAGCCCTAGGTCCCTGCCTCATTTTGACGGAATGCCTCACATCCCGTTGACACCTCAAGAGGCACGCGAAGTTCATTGCTTAAAAAGGTGACAATGCCTCACTCCTCTTGAATACTGATAGGAATCCCAAAATCCCTGTGGCTACTGGAAAGGGTCCTTGGGTGCCCTGCCTCACCTCGAGAAGCGTCCCTTTTGCCCTGCCAAGCCTCGAAGAGATTCCTGAGGTGTCCCTCGTTACTAGACATGAGTCCTGACGTCACTGAAGAAACTCGTGTTTTGAAGGGCGTTCCCCGCCGTAAGTCGAGAACATACCCCAGGTCCCCGCCGCAACTCGAGAAAAACCATGAGACTTCCCCCTAGAGGCGAGATGAGGCCCCATTCCCCTGCAGTGCATGCAGAGCTATTCCGTGGTCCCATTCAAGCAAGTCAGGAGCTTCGACTTGCTTAATGGTTCTCGAGACAGTCCCCAAGAACACTGTCACCAGTCTCGACGGACCCTGAGGTCACCCCAGCAACGCAAAGCAGCTCCATGGGCCCCAAATCAACTCGAGATGAGGCCCGATTCCCCTGCATTGACTCCAGAGCAATTCCCGGTTCCCCATTCAACACGACCGGTGGCTCGACTTCCTTCAGGCAACTCCAGAGATGCCCCGAGAACACTGTCCCAAGTCTAGAGGAACACCAACTTCAGCACGGCAACTCGAGGAATGCTCCTTGTACCCCAAATCGTCTCGAGATGAGAGGTGATTCCCTGGCTTAGGCTCAAGACGTATGCCAAGTTTCAAGACGCACCTCAGGAGGAGGCTTCTCTCAGCAATAGGTATGTGGGAGGGACCCCGAGTTCGCTGCCTCAAGGGCAATATACAGCGAGAAGCCCTAACTTGAAAGGATGCCGGATTTCCTTGCAGTGGCTTGAATACAGGCTCGTCTTTCATCTCACAATATGAAGGGATGTCTGAATCCCCTGTGGAGACCTTAGCGAAAGCCCTAGGTCCCTGCCTCATTTTGACGGAATGCCTCACATCCCGTTGACACCTCAAGAGGAACGCGGAGTTCTTTGCTTCAAAAGGTGACAATGCCTGACTCCTCTTGAATACTGATAGGAATCCCAAAATCCCTGTGGCTACTGGAAAGGGTCCTTGGGTGCCCTGCCTCACCTCGAGAAGCGTCCCTTTTGCCCTGCCAAGCCTCGAAGAGATTCCTGAGGTGTCCCTCGTTACTAGACACTAGTCCTGACGTCACTGAAGAAACTCGTGTTTTGAAGGGCCATCCCCGCCGTAAGTCGAGAACATACCCCAGGTCCCCGCCGCAACTCGAGAAAAACCATGAGACTTCCCCCTAGAGGCGAGATGAGGCCCCATTCCCCTGCAGTGCATGCAGAGCTATTCCGTGGTCCCATTCAAGCAAGTCAGGAGCTTCGACTTGCTTAATGGTTCTCGAGACAGTCCCCAAGAACACTGTCACCAGTCTCGACGGACCCTGAGGTCACCCCAGCAACGCAAGGCAGCTCCATGGGACGCAAATCAACTCGAGATGAGGCCCGATTCCCCTGCATTGACTCCAGAGCCATTCCCCGTTCCCCATTCAACACGACCGGTGGCTCGACTTCCTTCAGGCAACTCCAGAGATGCCCCGAGAACACTGTCCCAAGTCTAGAGGAACACCAACTTCAGCACGGCAACTCGAGGAATGCTCCGTGTACCCCAAATCGTCTCGAGATGAGAGCTGATTCCCTGGCTTAGGCACAAGACGTATGCCAACTTTCAAGACGCACCTCAGGAGGAGGCTTCTCTCAGCAATAGGTATGTGGGAGGGACCCCGAGTTCGCTGCCTCAAGGGCAATATACAGCGAGAAGCCCTAACTTGAAAGGAGGCCGGATTTCCTTGCAGTGGCTTGAATACAGGCTCGTCTTTCATCTCACAACATGAAGGGATGTCTGAATCCCCTGTGGAGACCTTAGAGAAAGCCCTAGGTCCCTGCCTCATTTTGACGGAATGCCTCACATCCCGTTGACACCTCAAGAGGGACGCGAAGTTCATTGCTTCAAAAGGTGACAATGCCTGACTCCTCTTGAATACTGATAGGAATCCCAAAATCCCTGTGGCTACTGGAAAGGGTCCTTGGGTGCCCTGCCTCACCTCGAGAAGCGTCCCTTTTGCCCTGCCAAGCCTCGAAGAGATTCCTGAGGTGTCCCTCGTTACTAGACAGGAGTCCTGACGTCACTGAAGAAACTCGTGTTTTGAAGGGCCATCCCCGCCGTAAGTCGAGAACATACGCCAGGTCCCCGCCGCAACTCGAGAAAAACCATGAGACTTCCCCCTAGAGGCGAGATGAGGCCCCATTCCCCTGCAGTGCATGCAGAGCTATTCCGTGGTCCCATTCAAGCAACTCAGGAGCTTCGACTTGCTTAATGGTTCTCGAGACAGTCCCCAAGAACACTGTCACCAGTCTCGACGGACCCTGAGGTCACCCCAGCAACGCAAAGCAGCTCCATGGGCCCCAAATCAACTCGAGATGAGGCCCGATTCCCCTGCATTGACTCCAGAGGCATTCCCGGTTCCCCATTCAACACGACCGGTGGCTCGACTTCCTTCAGGCAACTCCAGAAATGCCCCGAGAACACTGTCCCAAGTCTAGAGGAACACCAACTTCAGCACGGCAACTCGAGGAATGCTCCGTGTACCCCAAATCGTCTCGAGATGAGAGGTGATTCCCTGGCTTAGGCTCAAGACGTATGCCAACTTTCCAGACGCACCTCAGGAGGAGGCTTCTCTCAGCAATAGGTATGTGGGAGGGACCCCGAGTTCGCTGCCTCAAGGGCAATATACAGCGAGAAGCTCTAACTTGAAAGGAGGCCGGATTTCCTTGCAGTGGCTTGAATACAGGCTCGTCTTTCATCTCACAACATGAAGGGATGTCTGAATCCCCTGTGGAGACCTTAGAGAAAGCCCTAGATCCCTGCCTCATTTAGACGGAATGCCTCACATCCCGTTGACACCTCGAGAGGCACGCGGAGTTCATTGCTTCAAAAGGTGACGATGCCTGACTCCTCTTGAATTCTGATAGGAATCCCAAAATCACTGTGGCTACTGGAAAGGGTTCTTGGGTGCCCTGCCTCACCTCAAGAAGCGTCCCATTTGCACTGCCAAGCCTCGATGAGATTCCTGAGGTGTCCCTCGTTACTAGACAGGAGTCCTGACGTCACTGAAGAAACTCGTGTTTTGAAGGGCCATCCCCGCCGTAAGTGGAGAACATACCCCAGGTCCCCGCCGCACCTCGAGAAAAACCATGAGACTTCCCCCTAGAGGCGAGATGAGGCCCCATTCCCCTGCAGTGCATGCAGAGCTATTCCGTGATCCCATTCAAACAAGTCAGGAGCTTCGACTTGCTTAATGGATCTCGAGACAGTCCCCAAGAACACTGTCACCAGTCTCGACGGACGCTGAGGTCACCCCAGCAACGCAAAGCAGCTCCATGTGCCCCAAATCAACTCGAGATGAGGCCCGATTCCCCTGCATTGACTCCAGAGCCATTCCCCGTTCCCCATTCAACACGACCCGTGGCTCGACTTCCTTCAGACAACTCCAGAGATGCCCCGAGAACACTGTCCCAAGTCTAGAGGAACACCAACTTCAGCACGGCAACTCGAGGAATGCTCCGTGTACCCCAAATCGTCTCGAGATGAGAGGTGATTCCCTGGCTTAGGCTCAAGACGTATGCCAACTTTCCAGACGCACCTCAGGAGGAGGCTTCTCTCAGCAATAGGTATGTGGGAGGGACCCCGAGTTCGCTGCCTCAAGGGCAATATACAGCGAGAAGCCCTAACTTGAAAGGAGGCCGGATTTCCTTGCAGTGGCTTGAATACAGGCTCGTCTTTCATTTCACGACATGAAGGGATGTCTGAATCCCCTGTGGAGACCTTAGAGAAAGCCCTAGGTCCCTGCCTCATTTTGACGGAATGCCTCACATCCCGTTGACACCTCAAGAGGCACGCGAAGTTCATTGCTTCAAAAGGTGACAATGCCTCACTCCTCTTGAATACTGATAGGAATCCCAAAATCCCTGTGGCTACTGGAAAGGGTCCTTGGGTGCCCTGCCTCACCACGAGAAGCGTCCCTTTTGCACTGCCAAGCCTCGAAGAGATTCCTGAGGTGTCCCTCGTTACTAGACAGGAGTCCTGACGTCACTGAAGAAACTCGTGTTTTGAAGGGCCATCCCCGCCGTAAGTCGAGAACATACCCCAGGTCCCCGCCGCAACTCGAGAAAAACCATGAGACTTCCCCCTAGAGGCGAGATGAGGCCCCATTCCCCTGCAGTGCATGCAGAGCTATTCCGTGGTCCCATTCAAGCAAGTCAGGAGCTTCGACTTGCTTAATGGTTCTCGAGACAGTCCCCAAGAACACTGTCACCAGTTTCGACGGACCCTGAGGTCACCCAGCAACGCAAAGCAGCTCCATGGGACCCAAATCAACTCGAGATGAGGCCCGATTCCCCTGCATTGACTCCAGAGCCATTCCCCGTTCCCCATTCAACACGACCGGTGGCTCGACTTCCTTCAGGCAACTCCAGAGATGCCCCGAGAACACTGTCCCAAGTCTAGAGGAACACCAACTTCAGCACGGCAACTCGAGGAATGCTCCGTGTACCCCAAATCGTCTCGAGATGAGACCTGATTCCCTGGCTTAGGCACAAGACGTATGCCAACTTTCAAGACGCACCTCAGGAGGAGGCTTCTCTCAGCAATAGGTATGTGGGAGGGACCCCGAGTTCGCTGCCTCAAGGGCAATATACAGCGAGAAGCCCTAACTTGAAAGGAGGCCGGATTTCCTTGCAGTGGCTTGAATACAGGCTCGTCTTTCACCTCACAACATGAAGGGATGTCTGAATCCCCTGTGGAGACCTTAGAGAAAGCCCTAGGTCCCTGCCTCATTTTGACGGAATGCCTCACATCCCGTTGACACCTCAAGAGGCACGCGAAGTTCATTGCTTCAAAAGGTGACAATGCCTGACTCCTCTTGAATACTGATAGGAATCCCAAAATCCCTGTTTCTACTGGAAAGGGTCCTTGGGTGCCCTGCCTCACCTCGAGAAGCGTCCCTTTTGCCCTGCCAAGACTCGAAGAGATTCCTGAGGTGTCCCTCGTTACTAGACACTAGTCCTGACGTCACTGAAGAAACTCGTGTTTTGAAGGGCCATCCCCGCCGTAAGTCGAGAACATACCCCAGGTCCCCGCCGCAACTCGAGAAAAACCATGAGACTTCCCCCTAGAGGCGAGATGAGGCCCCATTCCCCTGCAGTGCATGCAGAGCTATTCCGTGGTCCCATTCAAGCAAGTCAGGAGCTTCGACTTGCTTAATGGATCTCAAGACAGTCCCCAAGAACACTGTCACCAGTCTCGACGGACGCTGAGGTCACCCCAGCAACGCAAAGCAGCTCCATGTGCCCCAAATCAACTCGAGATGAGGCCCGATTCCCCTGCATTGACTCCAGAGCCATTCCCCGTTCCCCATTCAACACGACCGGTGGCTCGACTTCCTTCAGACAACTCCAGAGAAGCCCCGAGAACACTGTCCCAAGTCTAGATGAACACCAACTTCAGCACGGCAACTCGAGGAATGCTCCGTGTACCCCAAATCGTCTCGAGATGAGAGGTGATTCCCTGGCTTAGGCTCAAGACGTATGCCAACTTTCCAGACGCACCTCAGGAGGAGGCTTCTCTCAGCAATAGGTATGTGGGAGGGACCCCGAGTTCGCTGCCTCAAGGGCAATATACAGCGAGAAGCCCTAACTTGAAAGGAGGCCGGATTTCCTTGCAGTGGCTTGAATACAGGCTCGTCTTTCATTTCACGACATGAAGGGATGTCTGAATCCCCTGTGGAGACCTTAGAGAAAGCCCTAGGTCCCTGCCTCATTTTGACGGAATGCCTCACATCCCGTTGACACCTCAAGAGGCACGCGAAGTTCATTGCTTCAAAAGGTGACAATGCCTCACTCCTCTTGAATACTGATAGGAATCCCAAAATCCCTGTGGCTACTGGAAAGGGTCCTTGGGTGCCCTGCCTCACCTCGAGAAGCGTCCCTTTTGCCCTTCCAAGCCTCGAAGAGATTCCTGAGGTGTCCCTCGTTACTAGACAGGAGTCCTGACGTCACTGAAGAAACTCGTGTTTTGAAGGGCCATCCCCGCCGTAAGTCGAGAACATACCCCAGGTCCCCGCCGCAACTCGAGAAAAACCATGAGACTTCCCCCTAGAGGCGAGATGAGGCCCCATTCCCCTGCAGTGCATGCAGAGCTATTCCGTGGTCCCATTCAAGCAAGTCAGGAGCTTCGACTTGCTTAATGGATCTCAAGACAGTCCCCAAGAACACTGTCACCAGTCTCGACGGACGCTGAGGTCACCCCAGCAACGCAAAGCAGCTCCATGTGCCCCAAATCAACTCGAGATGAGGCCCGATTCCCCTGCATTGACTCCAGAGCCATTCCCCGTTCCCCATTCAACACGACCGGTGGCTCGACTTCCTTCAGACAACTCCAGAGATGCCCCGAGAAAACTGTCCCAAGTCTAGAGGAACACCAACTTCAGCAAGGCAACTCGAGGAATGCTCCGTGTACCCCAAATCGTCTCGAGATGAGAGGTGATTCCCTGGCTTAGGCTCAAGACGTATGCCAACTTTCCAGACGCACCTCAGGAGGAGGCTTCTCTCAGCAATAGGTATGTGGGAGGGACCCCGAGTTCGCTGCCTCAAGGGCAATATACAGCGAGAAGCCCTAACTTGAAAGGAGGCCGGATTTCCTTGCAGTGGCTTGAATACAGGCTCGTCTTTCATTTCACGACATGAAGGGATGTCTGAATCCCCTGTGGAGACCTTAGAGAAAGCCCTAGGTCCCTGCCTCATTTTGACGGAATGCCTCACATCCCGTTGACACCTCAAGAGGCACGCGAAGTTCATTGCTTCAAAAGGTGACAATGCCTCACTCCTCTTGAATACTGATAGGAATCCCAAAATCCCTGTGGCTACTGGAAAGGGTCCTTGGGTGCCCTGCCTCACCTCGAGAAGCGTCCCTTTTGCCCTGCCAAGCCTCGAAGAGATTCCTGAGGTGTCCCTCGTTACTAGACAGGAGTCCTGACGTCACTGAAGAAACTCGTGTTTTGAAGGGCGTTCCCCGCCGTAAGTCGAGAACATACCCCAGGTCCCCGCCGCAACTCGAGAAAAACCATGAGACTTCCCCCTAGAGGCGAGATGAGGCCCCATTCCCCTGCAGTGCATGCAGAGCTATTCCGTGGTCCCATTCAAGCAAGTCAGGAGCTTCAACTTGCTTAATGGTTCTCGAGACAGTCCCCAAGAACACTGTCACCAGTCTCGACGGACCCTGAGGTCACCCCAGCAACGCAAAGCAGCTCCATGGGACCCAAATCAACTCGAGATGAGGCCCGATTCCCCTGCATTGACTCCAGAGCCATTCCCCGTTCCCCATTCAACACGACCGGTGGCTCGACTTCCTTCAGGCAACTCCAGAGATGCCCCGAGAACACTGTCCCAAGTCTAGAGGAACACCAACTTCAGCACGGCAACTCGAGGAATGCTCCGTGTACCCCAAATCGTCTCGAGATGAGAGGTGATTCCCTGGCTTAGGCTCAAGACGTATGCCAACTTTCCATACGCACCTCAGGAGGAGGCTTCTCTCAGCAATAGGTATGTGGGAGGGACACCGAGTTCGCTGCCTCAAGGGCAATATACAGCGAGAAGCCCTAACTTGAAAGGAGGCCGGATTTCCTTGCAGTGGCTTGAATACAGGCTCGTCTTTCATCTCACAACATGAAGGGATGTCTGAATCCCCTGTGGAGACCTTAGAGAAAGCCCTAGGTCCCTGCCTCATTTTGACGGAATGCCTCACATCCCGTTGACACCTCAAGAGGCACGCGAAGTTCATTGCTTAAAAAGGTGACAATGCCTCACTCCTCTTGAATACTGATAGGAATCCCAAAATCCCTGTGGCTACTGGAAAGGGTCCTTGGGTGCCCTGCCTCACCTCGAGAAGCGTCCCTTTTGCCCTGCCAAGCCTCGAAGAGATTCCTGAGGTGTCCCTCGTTACTAGACATGAGTCCTGACGTCACTGAAGAAACTCGTGTTTTGAAGGGCGTTCCCCGCCGTAAGTCGAGAACATACCCCAGGTCCCCGCCGCAACTCGAGAAAAACCATGAGACTTCCCCCTAGAGGCGAGATGAGGCCCCATTCCCCTGCAGTGCATGCAGAGCTATTCCGTGGTCCCATTCAAGCAAGTCAGGAGCTTCGACTTGCTTAATGGTTCTCGAGACAGTCCCCAAGAACACTGTCACCAGTCTCGACGGACCCTGAGGTCACCCCAGCAACGCAAAGCAGCTCCATGGGCCCCAAATCAACTCGAGATGAGGCCCGATTCCCCTGCATTGACTCCAGAGCAATTCCCGGTTCCCCATTCAACACGACCGGTGGCTCGACTTCCTTCAGGCAACTCCAGAGATGCCCCGAGAACACTGTCCCAAGTCTAGAGGAACACCAACTTCAGCACGGCAACTCGAGGAATGCTCCTTGTACCCCAAATCGTCTCGAGATGAGAGGTGATTCCCTGGCTTAGGCTCAAGACGTATGCCAAGTTTCAAGACGCACCTCAGGAGGAGGCTTCTCTCAGCAATAGGTATGTGGGAGGGACCCCGAGTTCGCTGCCTCAAGGGCAATATACAGCGAGAAGCCCTAACTTGAAAGGATGCCGGATTTCCTTGCAGTGGCTTGAATACAGGCTCGTCTTTCATCTCACAATATGAAGGGATGTCTGAATCCCCTGTGGAGACCTTAGCGAAAGCCCTAGGTCCCTGCCTCATTTTGACGGAATGCCTCACATCCCGTTGACACCTCAAGAGGAACGCGGAGTTCTTTGCTTCAAAAGGTGACAATGCCTGACTCCTCTTGAATACTGATAGGAATCCCAAAATCCCTGTGGCTACTGGAAAGGGTCCTTGGGTGCCCTGCCTCACCTCGAGAAGCGTCCCTTTTGCCCTGCCAAGCCTCGAAGAGATTCCTGAGGTGTCCCTCGTTACTAGACACTAGTCCTGACGTCACTGAAGAAACTCGTGTTTTGAAGGGCCATCCCCGCCGTAAGTCGAGAACATACCCCAGGTCCCCGCCGCAACTCGAGAAAAACCATGAGACTTCCCCCTAGAGGCGAGATGAGGCCCCATTCCCCTGCAGTGCATGCAGAGCTATTCCGTGGTCCCATTCAAGCAAGTCAGGAGCTTCGACTTGCTTAATGGTTCTCGAGACAGTCCCCAAGAACACTGTCACCAGTCTCGACGGACCCTGAGGTCACCCCAGCAACGCAAGGCAGCTCCATGGGACGCAAATCAACTCGAGATGAGGCCCGATTCCCCTGCATTGACTCCAGAGCCATTCCCCGTTCCCCATTCAACACGACCGGTGGCTCGACTTCCTTCAGGCAACTCCAGAGATGCCCCGAGAACACTGTCCCAAGTCTAGAGGAACACCAACTTCAGCACGGCAACTCGAGGAATGCTCCGTGTACCCCAAATCGTCTCGAGATGAGAGCTGATTCCCTGGCTTAGGCACAAGACGTATGCCAACTTTCAAGACGCACCTCAGGAGGAGGCTTCTCTCAGCAATAGGTATGTGGGAGGGACCCCGAGTTCGCTGCCTCAAGGGCAATATACAGCGAGAAGCCCTAACTTGAAAGGAGGCCGGATTTCCTTGCAGTGGCTTGAATACAGGCTCGTCTTTCATCTCACAACATGAAGGGATGTCTGAATCCCCTGTGGAGACCTTAGAGAAAGCCCTAGGTCCCTGCCTCATTTTGACGGAATGCCTCACATCCCGTTGACACCTCAAGAGGGACGCGAAGTTCATTGCTTCAAAAGGTGACAATGCCTGACTCCTCTTGAATACTGATAGGAATCCCAAAATCCCTGTGGCTACTGGAAAGGGTCCTTGGGTGCCCTGCCTCACCTCGAGAAGCGTCCCTTTTGCCCTGCCAAGCCTCGAAGAGATTCCTGAGGTGTCCCTCGTTACTAGACAGGAGTCCTGACGTCACTGAAGAAACTCGTGTTTTGAAGGGCCATCCCCGCCGTAAGTCGAGAACATACGCCAGGTCCCCGCCGCAACTCGAGAAAAACCATGAGACTTCCCCCTAGAGGCGAGATGAGGCCCCATTCCCCTGCAGTGCATGCAGAGCTATTCCGTGGTCCCATTCAAGCAACTCAGGAGCTTCGACTTGCTTAATGGTTCTCGAGACAGTCCCCAAGAACACTGTCACCAGTCTCGACGGACCCTGAGGTCACCCCAGCAACGCAAAGCAGCTCCATGGGCCCCAAATCAACTCGAGATGAGGCCCGATTCCCCTGCATTGACTCCAGAGGCATTCCCGGTTCCCCATTCAACACGACCGGTGGCTCGACTTCCTTCAGGCAACTCCAGAAATGCCCCGAGAACACTGTCCCAAGTCTAGAGGAACACCAACTTCAGCACGGCAACTCGAGGAATGCTCCGTGTACCCCAAATCGTCTCGAGATGAGAGGTGATTCCCTGGCTTAGGCTCAAGACGTATGCCAACTTTCCAGACGCACCTCAGGAGGAGGCTTCTCTCAGCAATAGGTATGTGGGAGGGACCCCGAGTTCGCTGCCTCAAGGGCAATATACAGCGAGAAGCTCTAACTTGAAAGGAGGCCGGATTTCCTTGCAGTGGCTTGAATACAGGCTCGTCTTTCATCTCACAACATGAAGGGATGTCTGAATCCCCTGTGGAGACCTTAGAGAAAGCCCTAGATCCCTGCCTCATTTAGACGGAATGCCTCACATCCCGTTGACACCTCGAGAGGCACGCGGAGTTCATTGCTTCAAAAGGTGACGATGCCTGACTCCTCTTGAATTCTGATAGGAATCCCAAAATCACTGTGGCTACTGGAAAGGGTTCTTGGGTGCCCTGCCTCACCTCAAGAAGCGTCCCATTTGCACTGCCAAGCCTCGATGAGATTCCTGAGGTGTCCCTCGTTACTAGACAGGAGTCCTGACGTCACTGAAGAAACTCGTGTTTTGAAGGGCCATCCCCGCCGTAAGTGGAGAACATACCCCAGGTCCCCGCCGCACCTCGAGAAAAACCATGAGACTTCCCCCTAGAGGCGAGATGAGGCCCCATTCCCCTGCAGTGCATGTAGAGCTATTCCGTGGTCCCATTCAAACAAGTCAGGAGCTTCGACTTGCTTAATGGTCTCGAGACAGTCCCCAAGAACACTGTCACCCGTCTCGACGGACGCTGAGGTCAACCCAGCAACGCAAAGCAGCTCCATGTGCCCCAAATCAACTCGAGATGAGGCCCGATTCCCCTGCATTGACTCCAGAGACATTCCCCGTTCCCCATTCAACACGACCGGTGGCTCGACTTCCTTCAGGCAACTCCAGAGATACCCCGAGAACACTCTCCCAAGTCTAGAGGAACACCAACTTCAGCACAGCAACTCGAGGAATGCTCCGTGTACCCCAAATCGTCTCGAGATGAGAGCTGATTCCCTGGCTTAGGCTCAAGACGTATGCCAACTTTCCAGACGCACCTCAGGAGGAGGCTTCTCTCAGCAATAGGTATGTGGGAGGGACCCCGAGTTCGCTGCCTCAAGGGCAATATACAGCGAGAAGCCCTAACTTGAAAGGAGGCCGGATTTCCTTGCAGTGGCTTGAATACAGGCTCGTCTTTCATCTCACAACATGAAGGGATGTCTGAATCCCCTGTGGAGACCTTAGAGAAAGCCCTAGGTCCCTGCCTCATTTTGACGGAATGCCTCACATCCCGTTGACACCTCAAGAGGCACGCGAAGTTCATTGCTTCAAAAGGTGACAATGCCTCACTCCTCTTGAATACTGATAGGAATCCCAAAATCCCTGTGGCTACTGGAAAGGGTCCTTGGGTGCCCTGCCTCACCTCGAGAAGCGTCCCTTTTGCCCTGCCAAGCCTCGAAGTGATTCCTGAGGTGTCCCTCGTTACTAGACACTAGTCCTGACGTCACTGAAGAAACTCGTGTTTTGAAGGGCCATCCCCGCCGTAAGTCGAGAACATACCCCAGGTCCCCGCCGCAACTCGAGAAAAACCATGAGACTTCCCCCTATAGGCGAGATGAGGCCCCATTCCCCTGCAGTGCATGCAGAGCTATTCCGTGGTCCCATTCAAGCAAGTCAGGAGCTTCGACTTGCTTAATGGATCTCGAGACAGTCCCCAAGAACACTGTCACCAGTCTCGACGGACCCTGAGGTCACCCCAGCAACGCAAGGCAGCTCCATGGGCCCCAAATCAACTCGAGATGAGGCCCGATTCCCCTGCATTGACTCCAGAGCCATTCCCCGTTCCCCATTCAACACGACCGGTGGCTCGACTTCCTTCAGGCAACTCCAGAGATGCCCCAAGAACACTGTCCCAAGTCTAGAGGAACACCAACTTCAGCACGGCAACTCGAGGAATGCTCCGTGTACCCCAAATCGTCTCGAGATGAGAGCTGATTCCCTGGCTTAGGCACAAGACGTATGCCAAGTTTCAAGACGCACCTCAGGAGGAGGCTTCTCTCAGCAATAGGTATGTGGGAGGGACCCCGAGTTCGCTGCCTCAAGGGCAATATACAACGAGAAGCCCTAACTTGAAAGGAGGCCGGATTTCCTTGCAGTGGCTTGAATACAGGCTCGTCTTTCATCTCACAACATGAAGGGATGTCTGAATCCCCTGTGGAGACCTTAGAGAAAGCCCTAGGTCCCTGCCTCATTTTGACGGAATGCCTCACATCCCGTTGACACCTCAAGAGGCACGCGAAGTTCATTGCTTCAAAAGGTGACAATGCCTCACTCCTCTTGAATACTGATAGGAATCCCAAAATCCCTGTGGCTACTGGAAAGGGTCCTTGGGTGCCCTGCCTCACCTCGAGAAGCGTCCCTTTTGCCCTGCCAAGCCTCGAAGAGATTCCTGAGGTGTCCCTCGTTACTAGACAGGAGTCCTGACGTCACTGAAGAAACTCGTGTTTTGAAGGGCCATCCCCGCCGTAAGTCGAGAACATACCCCAGGTCCCCGCCGCAACTCGAGAAAAACCATGAGACTTCCCCCTAGAGGCGAGATGAGGCCCCATTCCCCTGCAGTGCATGCAGAGCTATTCCGTGGTCCCATTCAAGCAAGTCAGGAGCTTCGACTTGCTTAATGGTTCTCGAGACAGTCCCCAAGAACACTGTCACCAGTCTCGACGGACCCTGAGGTCACCCCAGCAACGCAAAGCAGCTCCATGGGCCCCAAATCAACTCGAGATGAGGCCCGATTCCCCTGCATTGACTCCAGAGCCATTCCCCGTTCCCCATTCAACACGACCGGTGGCTCGACTTCCTTCAGGCAACTCCAGAGATGCCCCGAGAACACTGTCCCAAGTCTAGAGGAACACCAACTTCAGCACGGCAACTCGAGGAATGCTCCGTGTACTCCAAATCGTCTCGAGATGAGAGGTGATTCCCTGGCTTAGGCTCAAGACGTATGCCAACTTTCCAGACGCACCTCAGGAGGAGGCTTCTCTCAGCAATAGGTATGTGGGAGGGACCCCGAGTTCGCTGCCTCAAGGGCAATATACAGCGAGAAGCTCTAACTTGAAAGGAGGCCGGATTTCCTTGCAGTGGCTTGAATACAGGCTCGTCTTTCATCTCACAACATGAAGGGATGTCTGAATCCCCTGTGGAGACCTTAGAGAAAGCCCTAGATCCCTGCCTCAGTTAGACGGAATGCCTCACATCCCGTTCACAACTCGAGAGGCACGCGGAGTTCATTGCTTCAAAAGGTGACGATGCCTGACTCCTCTTGAATTCTGATAGGAATCCCAAAATCACTGTGGCTTCTGGAAAGGGTTCTTGGGTGCCCTGCCTCACCTCAAGAAGCGTCCCATTTGCACTGCCAAGCCTCGATGAGATTCCTGAGGTGTCCCTCGTTACTAGACAGGAGTCCTGACGTCACTGAAGAAACTCGTGTTTTGAAGGGCCATCCCCGCCGTAAGTGGAGAACATACTCCAGGTCCCCGCCGCAACTCGAGAAAAACCATGAGACTTCCCCCTAGACGCGAGATGAGGCCCCATTCCCCTGCAGTGCATGTAGAGCTATTCCGTGGTCCCATTCAAACAAGTCAGGAGCTTCGACTTGCTTAATGGATCTCGAGACAGTCCCCAAGAACACTGTCACCCGTCTCGACGGACGCTGAGGTCAACCCAGCAACGCAAAGCAGCTCCATGTGCCCCAAATCAACTCGAGATGAGGCCCGATTCCCCTGCATTGACTCCAGAGACATTCCCCGTTCCCCATTCAACACGACCGGTGGCTCGACTTCCTTCAGGCAACTCCAGAGATACCCCGAGAACACTCTCCCAAGTCTAGAGGAACACCAACTTCAGCACAGCAACTCGAGGAATGCTCCGTGTACCTCAAATCGTCTCGAGATGAGAGCTGATTCCCTGGCTTAGGCTCAAGACGTATGCCAACTTTCCAGACGCAACTCAGGAGGAGGCTTCTCTCAGCAATAGGTATGTGGGAGGGACCCCGAGTTCGCTGCCTCAAGGGCAATATATAGCGAGAAGCCCTAACTTTAAAGGAGGCCGGATTTCCTTGCAGTGGCTTGAATACAGGCTCGTCTTTCATCTCACGACATGAAGGGATGTCTGAATCCCCTGTGGAGACCTTAGAGAAAGCCCTAGGTCCCTGCCTCATTTTGACGGAATGCCTCACATCCCGTTGACACCTCAAGAGGCACGCGAAGTTCATTGCTTCAAAAGGTGACAATGCCTGACTCCTCTTGAATACTGATAGGAATCCCAAAATCCCTGTGGCTACTGGAAAGGGTCCGTGGGTGCCCTGCCTCACCTCGAGAAGCGTCCCTTTTGCCCTGCCAAGCCTCGAAGAGATTCCTGAGGTGTCCCTCGTTACTAGACACTAGTCCTGACGTCACTGAAGAAACTCGTGTTTTGAAGGGCCATCCCCGCCGTAAGTCGAGAACATACCCCAGGTCCCCGCCGCAACTCGAGAAAAACCATGAGACTTCCCCCTAGAGGCGAGATGAGGCCCCATTCCCCTGCAGTGCATGCAGAGCTATTCCGTGGTCCCATTCAAGCAAGTCAGGATCTTCGACTTGCTTAATGGTTCTCGAGACAGTCCCCAAGAACACTGTCACCAGTCTCTCGAACCCTGAGGTCACCCCAGCAACGCAAAGCAGCTCCATGGGCCCCAAATCAACTAGAGATGAGGCCCGATTCCCCTGCATTGACTCCAGAGCCATTCCCCGTTCCCCATTCAACACGACCGGTGGCTCGACTTCCTTCAGGCAACTCCAGAGTTGCCCCGAGAACACTGTCCCAAGTCTAGAGGAACACCAACTTCAGCACGGCAACTCGAGGAATGCTCCGTGTACCCCAAATCGTCTCGAGATGAGAGGTGATTCCCTGGCTTAGGCTCAAGACGTATGCCAAGTTTCAAGACGCACCTCAGGAGGAGGCTTCTCTAAGCAATAGGTATGTGGGAGGGACCCCGAGTTCGCTGCCTCAAGGGCAATATACAGCGAGAAGCCCTAACTTGAAAGGAGGCCGGATTTCCTTGCAGTGGCTTGAATACAGGCTCGTCTTTCATCTCACAACATGAAGGGATGTCTGAATCCCCTGTGGAGACCTTAGCGAAAGCCCTAGGTCCCTGCCTCATTTTGACGGAATGCCTCACATCCCGTTGACACCTCAAGAGGCACGCGAAGTTCATTGCTTCAAAAGGTGACAATGCCTGACTCCTCTTGAATACTGATAGGAATCCCAAAATCCCTGTGGCTACTGGAAAGGGTCCTTGGGTGCCCTGCCTCACCTCGAGAAGCGTCCCTTTTGCCCTGCCAAGCCTCGAAGAGATTCCTGAGGTTTCCCTCGTTACTAGACAGGAGTCTGGACGTCACTGAAGAAACTCGTGTTTTGAAGGGCCATCCCCGCCGTAAGTCGAGAACATACCCCAGGTCCCCGCCGCAACTCGAGAAAAACCATGAGACTTCCCCCTAGAGGCGAGATGAGGCCCCATTCCCCTGCAGTGCATGCAGAGCTATTCCGTGGTCCCATTCAAGCAAGTCAGGAGCTTCGACTTGCTTAATGGTTCTCGAGAGAGTCCCCAAGAACACTGTCACCAGTCTCGACGGACCCTGAGGTCACCCTAGCAACGCAAAGCAGCTCCATGGGCCCCAAATCAACTCGAGATGAGGCCCGATTCCCCTGCATTGACTCCAGAGCCATTCCCCGTTCCCCATTCAACACGACCGGTGGCTCGACTTCCTTCAGGCAACTCCAGAGATGCCCCGAGAACACTGTCCCAAGTCTAGAGGAACACCAACTTCAGCACGGCAACTCGAGGATTGCTCCGTGTACCCCAAATCGTCTCGAGATGAGAGGTGATTCCCTGGCTTAGGCTCAAGACGTATGCCAACTTTCAAGACGCAACTCAGGAGGAGGCTTCTCTCAGCAATAGGTATGTGGGAGGGACCCCGAGTTCGCTGCCTCAAGGGCAATATACAGCGAGAAGCCCTAACTTGAAAGGAGGCCGGATTTCCTTGCAGTGGCTTGAATACAGACTCGTCTTTCATCTCACAACATGAAGGGATGTCTGAATCCCCTGTGGAGACCTTAGAGAAAGTCCTAGGTCCCTGCCTCATTTGGACGGAATGCCTCACATCCCGTTGACACCTCGAGAGGCACGCGGAGTTCATTGCTTCAAAAGGTGACGATGCCTGACTCCTCTTGAATTCTGATAGGAATCCCAAAAATCACTGTGGCTACTGGAAAGGGTCCTTGCGTGCCCTGCCTCACCTCGAGAAGCGTCCCGTTTGCCCTGCCAAGCCTCGAAGAGATTCCTGAGGTGTCCCTCGTTACTAGACAGGAGTCCTGACGTCACTGAAGAAACTCGTGTTTTGAATTGCCATCCCCGCCGTAAGTCGAGAACAGACCCCAGGTCCCCGCCGCAACTCGAGAAAAACCATGAGACTTCCCCCTAGAGGCGAGATGAGGCCCCATTCCCCTGCAGTGCATGCAGAGCTATTCCATGGTCCCATTCAAGCAAGTCAGGAGCTTCGACTTGCTTAATGGTTCTCGAGACAGTCCCCAAGAACACTGTCACCAGTCTCGACGGACCCTGAGGTCACCCCAGCAACGCAAAGCAGCTCCATGGGCCCCAAATCAACTAAAGATGAGGCCCGATTCCCCTGCATTGACCCCAGAGCCATTCCCCGTTCCCCATTCAACACGACCGGTGGCTCGACTTCCTTCAGGCAACTCCAGAGATGCCCCGAGAACACTCTCCCAAGTCTAGAGGAACACCAACTTCAGCACAGCAACTCGAGGAATGCTCCGTGTACCCCAAATCGTCTCGAGATGAGAGCTGATTCCCTGGCTTAGGCTCAAGACGTATGCCAACTTTCCAGACGCACCTCAGGAGGAGGCTTCTCTCAGCAATAGGTATGTGGGAGGGACCCCGAGTTCGCTGCCTCAAGGGCAATATACAGCGAGAAGCCCTAACTTGATAGGAGGCCGGATTTCCTTGCAGTGGCTTGAATACAGGCTCGTCTTTCATCTCACGACATGAAGGGATGTCTGAATCCCCTGTGGAGACCTTAGAGAAAGCCCTAGGTCCCTGCCTCATTTTGACGGAATGCCTCACATCCCGTTGACACCTCAAGAGGCACGCGAAGTTCATTGCTTCAAAAGGTGACAATGCCTCACTCCTCTTGAATACTGATAGGAATCCCAAAATCCCTGTGGCTACTGGAAAGGGTCCTTGGGTGCCCTGCCTCACCTCGAGAAGCGTCCCTTTTGCCCTGCCAAGCCTCGAAGAGATTCCTGAGGTGTCCCTCGTTACTAGACAGGAGTCCTGACGTCACTGAAGAAACTCGTGTTTTGAAGGGCCATCCCCGCCGTAAGTCGAGAACATACCCCAGGTCCCCGCCGCAACTCGAGAAAAACCATGAGACTTCCCCCTAGAGGCGAGATGAGGCCCCATTCCCCTGCAGTGCATGCAGAGCTATTCCGTGGTCCCATTCAAGCAAGTCAGGAGCTTCGACTTGCTTAATGGTTCTCGAGACAGTCCCCAAGAACACTGTCACCAGTCTCTACGGACCCTGAGGTCACCCCAGCAACGCAAAGCAGCTCCATGGGCCCCAAATCAACTCGAGATGAGGCCCGATTCCCCTGCATTGACTCCAGAGCCATTCCCTGTTCCCCATTCAACACGACCGGTGGCTCGACTTCCTTCAGGCAACTCCAGAGATGCCCCGAGAACACTGTCCCAAGTCTAGAGGAACACCAACTTCAGCACGGCAACTCGAGGAATGCTCCGTGTACCCCAAATCGTCTCGATTTCAGAGGTAATTCCCTGGCTTAGGCTCAAGACGTATGCCAACTTTCAAGACGCACCTCAGGAGGAGGCTTCTCAGCAATAGGTATGTGGGAGGGACCCCGAGTTCGCTGCCTCAAGGGCAATATACAGCGAGAAGCCCTAACTTGAAAGGAGGCCGGATTTCCTTGCAGTGGCTTGAATACAGGCTCGTCTTTCATCTCACAACATGAAGGGATGTCTGAATCCCCTGTGGAGACCTTAGAGAAAGACCTAGGTCCCTGCCTCATTTGGACGGAATGCCTCACATCCCGTTGACACCTCGAGAGGCACGCGGAGTTCATTGCTTCAAAAGGTGACGATGCCTGACTCCTCTTGAATTCTGATAGGAATCCCCAAATCAATGTGGCTACTGGAAAGGGTCCTTGGGTGCCCTGCCTCACCTCAAGAAGCGTCCCATTTGCACTGCCAAGCCTCGATGAGATTCCTGAGGTGTCCCTCGTTACTAGACAGGAGTCCTGATGTCACTGAAGAAACTCGTGTTTTGAAGGGCCATCCCCGCCGTAAGTCGAGAACATACCCCAGGTCCCCGCCGCAACTCGAGAAAAACCATGAGACTTCCCCCTAGAGGCGAGATGAGACCCCATTCCCCTGCAGTGCATGCAGAGCTATTCCGTGGTCCCATTCAAACAAGTCAGGAGCTTCGACTTGCTTAATGGATCTCGAGACAGTTCTCAAGAACATTGTCACCAGTCTCGATGGAACCTGAGGTCACCCCAGCAACGCAAAGCAGCTCCATGTGCCCCAAATCAACTCGAGATGAGGCCCGATTCCCCTGCATTGACTCCAGAGCAATTCCCCGTTCCCCATTCAACACGAACGGTGGCTCGACTTCCTTCAGGCAACTCCAGAGATACCCCGAGAACACTGTCCCAAGTCTAGAGGAACACCAACTTCAGCACAGCAACTCGAGGAATGCTCCGTGTACCCCAAATCGTCTCGAGATGACAGCTGATTCCCTGGCTTAGGCTCAAGACGTATGCCAACTTTCCAGACGCACCTCAGGAGGAGGCTTCTCTCAGCAATAGGTATGTGGGAGGGACACCGAGTTCGCTGCCTCAAGGGCAATATACAGCGAGAAGCCCTAACTTGAAAGGAGGCCGGATTTCCTTGCAGTGGCTTGAATACAGGCTCGTCTTTCATCTCACAACATGAAGGGATGTCTGAATCCCCTGTGGAGACCTTAGAGAAAGCCCAAGGCCCCTGCCTCATTTTGACGGAATGCCTCACATCCCGTTGACACCTCAAGAGGCACGCGAAGTTCATTGTTTCAAAAGGTGACAATGCCTCACTCCTCTTGAATACTGATAGGAATCCCAAAATCACTGTGGCTCCTGGAAAGGGTCCTTGGGTGCCCTGCCTCACCTCGAGAAGCGTCCCGTTTGCCCTGCCAAGCCTCGAAGAGATTCCTGAGTTGTCCCTCGTTGCTAGGCAGGAGTCCTGACGTCACTGAAGAAACTCGTGTTTTGAATTGCCATCCCCGCCGTAAGTCGAGAACATACCCCAGGTCCCCGCCGCACCTCGAGAAAAACCATGAGACTTCCCCCTAGAGGCGAGATGAGGCCCCATTCCCCTGCAGTGCATGCAGAGCTATTCCGTGGTCCCATTCAAGCAACTCAGGAGCTTCGACTTGCTTAATGGATCTCGAGACAGTCCCCAAGAACACTGTCACCAGTCTCCACGGACCCTGAGGTCACCCCAGCAACACAAAGCAGCTCCATGGGCCCCAAATCAACTCGAGATGAGGCCCGATTCCCCTGCATTGACTCCAGAGCCATTCCCCGTTCCCCATTCAACACGACCGGTGGCTCGACTTCCTTCAGGCAACTCCAGAGATGCCCCGAGAACACTGTCCCAAGTCTAGAGGAACACCAACTTCAGCACGGCAACTCGAGGAATGCTCCGTGTACCACAAATCGTCTCGAGATGAGAGGTGATTCCCTGGCTTAGGCTCAAGACGTATGCCAACTTTCAAGACGCACCTCAGGAGGAGGCTTCTCTCAGCAATAGGTATGTGGGAAGGACCCCGAGTTCACTGCCTCAAGGGCAATATACAGCGAGAAGCCCTGACTTGAAAGGAGGCCGGATTTCCTTGCAGTTGCTTGAATACAGACTCGTCTTTCATCTCACAACATGAAGGGATGTCTGAATCCCCTGTGGAGACCTTAGAGAAAGCCCTAGGTCCCTGCCTCATTTGGACGGAATGCCTCACATCCCGTTGACACCTCGAGAGGCACGCGGAGTTCATTGCTTCAAAAGGTGACGATGCCTGACTCCTCTTGAATTCTGATAGGAATCCCAAAATCACTGTGGCTACTGGAAAGGGTCCTTGCGTGCCCTGCCTCACCTCAAGAAGCGTCCCATTTGCACTGCCAAGCCTCGATGAGATTCCTGAGGTGTCCCTCGTTATTAGACAGGAGTCCTGACGTCACTGAAGAAACTCGTGTTTTGAAGGGCCATCCCCGCCGTAAGTTGAGAACATACCCCAGGTCCCCGCCGCAACTCGAGAAAAACCATGAGACTTCCCCCTAGAGGCGAGATGAGGCCCCATTCCCCTGCAGTGCATGCAGAGCTATTCCGTGGTCCCATTCAAGCAACTCAGGAGCTTCGACTTGCTTAATGGATCTCGAGACAGTCCCCAAGAACACTGTCACCAGTCTCCACGGACCCTGAGGTCACCCCAGCAACACAAAGCAGCTCCATGGGCCCCAAATCAACTCGAGATGAGGCCCGATACCCCTGCATTGACTCCAGAGCCATTCCCCGTTCCCCATTCAACATGACCGGTGGCTCGACTTCCTTCAGGCAACTCCAGAGATGCCCCGAGAACACTGTCCCAAGTCTAGAGGAACACCAACTTCAACACGGCAACTCGAGGAATGCTCCGTGTACCCCAAATCGTCTCGAGATGAGAGGTGATTCCCTGGCTTAGGCTCAAGACGTATGCCAACTTTCAAGACGCACTTCAGGAGGAGGCTTCTCTCAGCAATAGGTATGTGGGAGGGACCCCGAGTTCACTGCCTCAAGGGCAATATACAGCGAGAAGCCCTAACTTGAAAGGAGGCCGGATTTCCTTGCAGTGGCTTGAATACAGACTCGTCTTTCATCTCACAACATGAAGGGATGTCTGAATCCCCTGTGGAGACCTTAGAGAAAGCCCTAGGTACCTGCCTCATTTGGACAGAATGCCTCACATCCCGTTGACACCTCGAGAGGCACGCAGAGTTCATTGCTTCAAAACGTGACGATGCCTGACTCCTCTTGAATACTGATAGGAATCCCAAAATCCCTGTGGCTACTGGAAAGGGTCCTTGGGTGCCCTGCCTCACCTCGAGAAGCGTCCCTTTTGCCCTGCCAAGCCTCGAAGAGATTCCTGAGGTGTCCCTCGTTACTAGACAGGAGTCCTGACGTCACTGAAGAAACTCGTGTTTTGAAGGGCCATCCCCGCCGTAAGTCGAGAACATACCCCAGGTCCCCGCCGCAACTCGAGAAAAACCATGAGACTTCCCCCTAGAGGCGAGATGAGGCCCCATTCCCCTGCAGTGCATGCAGAGCTATTCCGTGGTCCCATTCAAGCAAGTCAGGAGCTTCGACTTGCTTAATGGATCTCGAGACAGTCCCCAAGAACACTGTCACCAGTCTCGACGGACCCTGTGGTCACCCCAGCAACACAAAGCAGCTCCATGGGCCCCAAATCAACTCGAGATGAGGCCCGATTCCCTTGCATTGACTCCAGAGCCATTCCCCGTTCCCCATTCAACACGACCGGTGGCTCGACTTCCTTCAGGCAACTCCAGAGATGCCCCGAGAACACTGTCCCAAGCCTAGAGGAACACCAACTTCAGCACGGCAACTCGAGGAATGCTCCGTGTACCCCAAATCGTCTCGAGATGAGAGGTGATTCCCTGGCTTAGGCTCAAGACGTATGCCAACTTTCAAGACGCACCTCAGGAGGAGGCTTCTCTCAGCAATAGGTATGTGGGAGGGACCCCGAGTTCACTGCCTCAAGGGCAATATACAGCGAGAAGCCCTAACTTGAAAGGAGGCCGGATTTCCTTGCAGTGGCTTGAATACAGGCTCGTCTTTCTTCTCACAACATGAAGGGATGTCTTAATCCCCTGTGGAGACCTTAGAGAAAGCCCAAGGTACCTGCCTCATTTGGACGGAATGCCTCACATCCCGCTGACACATCAAGAGGCACGCGAAGTTCATTGTTTCAAAAGGTGACAATGCCTCACTCCTCTTGAATACTGATAGGAATGCCAAAATCACTGTGGCTACTGGAAAGGGTCCTTGGGTGCCCTGCCTCAGCTCGAGAAGCGTCCCGTTTGCCCTGCCAAGCCTCGAAGAGATTCCTGAGGTGTCCCTCGTTACTAGACAGGACTCCTGACGTCACTGAAGTAACTCGTGTTTTGAATTGCCATCCCCGCCGTAAGTCGAGAACATACCCCAGGTCCCCGCCGCAACTCGAGAAAAACCATGAGACTTCCCCCTAGAGGCGAGATGAGGCCCCATTCCCCTGCAGTGCATGCAGAGCTATTCCGTGGTCCCATTCAAGCAACTCAGGAGCTTCGACTTGCTTAATGGATCTCGAGACAGTCCCCAAGAACACTGTCACCAGTCTCGACGGACCCTGAGGTCACCCCAGCAACACAAAGCAGCTCCATGGGCCCCAAATCAACTCGAGATGAGGCCCGATTCCCCTGCATTGACTCCAGAGCCATTCCCCGTTCCCCATTCAACACGACCGGTGGCTCGACTTCCTTCAGGCAACTCCAGAGATGCCCCGAGAACACTGTCCCAAGTCTAGAGGAACACCAACTTCAGCACGGCAACTCGAGGAATGCTCCGTGTACCCCAAATCGTCTCGAGATGAGAGGTGATTCCCTGGCTTAGGCTCAAGACGTATGCCAACTTTCAAGACGCACCTCAGGAGGAGGCTTCTCTCAGCAATAGGTATGTGGGAGGGACCCCGAGTTCGCTGCCTCAAGGGCAATATACAGCGAGAAGCCCTAACTTGAAAGGAGGCCGGATTTCCTTGCAGTGGCTTGAATACAGACTCGTCTTTCATCTCACAACATGAAGGGATGTCTGAATCCCCTGTGGAGACCTTAGAGAAAGCCCTAGGTCCCTGCCTCATTTGGACGGAATGCCTCACATCCCGTTGACACCTCGAGAGGCACGCAGAGTTCATTGCTTCAAAACGTGACGATGCCTGACTCCTCTTGAATACTGATAGGAATTCCAATATCCATGTGGCTACTGGAAAGGGTCCTTGGGTGCCCTGCCTCACCTCGAGAAGCGTCCCTTTTGCCCTGCCAAGCCTCGAAGAGATTCCTGAGGTGTCCCTCGTTACTAGACAGGAGTCCTGACGTCACTGAAGAAACTCGTGTTTTGAAGGGCCATCCCCGCCGTAAGTCGAGAACATACCCCAGGTCCCCGCCGCAACTCGAGAAAAACCATGAGACTTCCCCCTAGAGGCGAGATGAGACCCCATTCCCCTGCAGTGCATGCAGAGCTATTCCGTGGTCCCATTCAAACAAGTCAGGAGCTTCGACTTGCTTAATGGATCTCGAGACAGTCCCCAAGAACACTGTCACCAGTCTCGACGGACCCTGAGGTCACCCCAGCAACGCAAAGCAGCTCCGTGGGCCCCAAATCAACTCGAGATGAGGCCCGATTCCCCTGCATTGACTCCAGAGCCATTCCCCGTTCCCCATTCAACACGACCGGTGGCTCGACTTCCTTCAGGCAACTCCAGAGATGCCCCGAGAACACTGTCCCAAGTCTAGAGGAACACCAACTTCAGCACGGCAACTCGAGGAATGCTCCGTGTACCCCAAATCGTCTCGAGATGAGAGGTGATTCCCTGGCTTAGGCTCAAGACGTATGCCAACTTTCAAGACGCACCTCAGGAGGAGGCTTCTCTCAGCAATAGGTATGTGGGAGGGACCCCGAGTTCGCTGCCTCAAGGGCAATATACAGCGAGAAGCCCTAACTTGAAAGGAGGCCGGATTTCCTTGCAGTGGCTTGAATACAGGCTCGTCTTTCTTCTCACAACATGAAGGGATGTCTTAATCCCCTGTGGATACCTTAGAGAAAGCCCAAGGTCCCTGCCTCATTTGGACGGAATGCCTCACATCCCGCTGACACCTCAAGAGGCACGCGAAGTTCATTGTTTCAAAAGGTGACAATGCCTCACTCCTCTTGAATACTGATAGGAATCCCAAAATCACTGTGGCTACTGGAAAGGGTCCTTGGGTGCCCTGCCTCAGCTCGAGAAGCGTCCCGTTTGCCCTGCCAAGCCTCGAAGAGATTCCTGAGGTGTCCCTCGTTACTAGACAGGAGTCCTGACGTCACTGAAGAAACTCGTGTTTTGAATTGCCATCCCCGCCGTAAGTCGAGAACATACCCAGGTCCCCGCCGCAACTCGAGAAAAACCATGAGACTTCCCCCTAGAGGCGAGATGAGGCCCCATTCCCCTGCAGTGCATGCAGAGCTATTCCGTGGTCCCATTCAAGCAACTCAGGAGCTTCGACTTGCTTAATGGATCTCGAGACAGTCCCCAAGAACACTGTCACCAGTCTCGACGGACCCTGAGGTCACCCCAGCAACACAAAGCAGCTCCATGGGCCCCAAATCAACTCGAGATGAGGCCCGATTCCCCTGCATTGACTCCAGAGCCATTCCCTGTTCCCCATTCAACACGACCGGTGGCTCGACTTCCTTCAGGCAACTCCAGAGATGCCCCGAGAACACTGTCCCAAGTCTAGAGGAACACCAACTTCAGCACGGCAACTCGAGGAATGCTCCGTGTACCCCAAATCGTCTCGAGATGAGAGGTGATTCCCTGGCTTAGGCTCAAGACGTATGCCAAGTTTCAAGACGCACCTCAGGAGGAGGCTTCTCTCAGCAATAGGTATGTGGGAGGGACCCCGAGTTCGCTGCCTCAAGGGCAATATACAGCGAGAAGCCCTAACTTGAAAGGAGGCCGGATTTCCTTGCAGTGGCTTGAATACAGGCTCGTCTTTCATCTCACGACATGAACGGATGTCTGAATCCCCTGTGGAGACCTTAGAGAAAGCCCTAGGTCCCTGCCTCATTTGGACGGAATGCCTCACATCCCGTTGACACCTCGAGAGGCACGCGGAGTTCATTGCTTCAAAAGGTGACGATTCCTGACTCCTCTTGAATTCTGATAGGAATCCCAAAATCACAGTGGCTACTGGAAAGGGTCCTTGCGTGCCCTGCCTCACCTCAAGAAGCGTCCCATTTGCACTGCCAAGCCTCGATGAGATTCCTGAGGTGTCCCTCGTTACTAGACAGGAGTCCTGATGTCACTGAAGAAACTCGTGTTTTGAAGGGCCATCCCCGCCGTAAGTCGAGAACATACCCCAGGTCCCCGCCGCAACTCGAGAAAAACCATGAGACTTCCCCCTAGAGGCGAGATGAGACCCCATTCCCCTGCAGTGCATGCAGAGCTATTCCGTGGTCCCATTCAAACAAGTCAGGAGCTTCGACTTGCTTAATGGATCTCGAGACAGTCCTCAAGAACATTGTCACCAGTCTCGATGGAACCTGAGGTCACCCCAGCAACGCAAAGCAGCTCCATGTGCCCCAAATCAACTCGAGATGAGGCCCGATTCCCCTGCATTGACTCCAGAGCCATTCCCCGTTCCCCATTCAACACGACCGGTGGCTCGACTTCCTTCAGGCAACTCCAGAGATGCCCCGAGAACACTGTCCCAAGTCCAGAGGAACACCAACTTCAGCACGGCAATTCGAGGAATGCTCCGTGTACCCCAAATCGTCTCGAGATGAGAGGTGATTCCCTGGCTTAGGCTCAAGACGTATGCCAACTTTCAAGACGCACCTCAGGAGGAGGCTTCTCTCAGCAATAGGTATGTGGGAGGGACCCCGAGTTCGCTGCCTCAAGGGCAATATACAGCGAGAAGCCCTAACTTGAAAGGAGGCCGGATTTCCTTGCAGTGGCTTGAATACAGGCTCGTCTTTGATCTCAAACATGAAGGGATGTCTGAATCCCCTGTGGAGACCTTAGAGAAAGCCCTAGGTCCCTGCCTCATTTGGACGGAATGCCTCACATCCCGTTGACACCTCGAGAGGCACGCGGAGTTCATTACTTCAAAAGGTGACGATGCCTGACTCCTCTTGAATTCTGATAGGAATCCCAAAATCACTGTGGCTACTGGAAAGGGTCCTTGCGTGCCCTGCCTCACCTCAAGAAGCGTCCCATTTGCACTGCCAAGCCTCGATGAGATTCCTGAGGTTTCCCTCGTTACTAGACAGGAGTCCTGATGTCACTGAAGAAACTCGTGTTTTGAAGGGCCATCCCCGCCGTAAGTCGAGAATATACCCCAGGTCCCCGCCGCAACTCGAGAAAAACCATGAGACTTCCCCCTAGAGGCGAGATGAGACCCCATTCCCCTGCAGTGCATGCAGAGCTATTCCGTGGTCCCATTCAAACAAGTCAGGAGCTTCGACTTGCTTAATGGATCTCGAGACAGTCCTCAAGAACACTGTCACCAGTCTCGACGGACCCTGAGGTCACCCCAGCAACGCAAAGCAGCTCCATGGGCCCCAAATCAACTCGAGATGAGGCCCGATTCCCCTGCATTGACTCCAGAGCCATTCCCCGTTCCCCATTCAACACGACCGGTGGCTCGACTTCCATCAGGCAACTCCAGAGATGCCCCGAGAACACTGTCCCAAGTCCAGAGGAACACCAACTTCAGCACGGCAACTCGAGGAATGCTCCGTGTACCCCAAATCGTCTCGAGATGAGAGCTGATTCCCTGGCTTAGGCTCAAGACGTATGCCAACTTTCAAGACGCACCTCAGGAGGAGGCTTCTCTCAGCAATAGGTATGTGGGAGGGACCCCGAGTTCGCTGCCTCAAGGGCAATATACAGCGAGAAGCCCTAACTTGAAAGGAGGCCGGATTTCCTTGCAGTGGCTTGAATACAGACTCGTCTTTCATCTCACAACATGAAGGGATGTCTGAATCCCCTGTGGAGACCTTAGAGAAAGCCCTAGGTCCCTGCCTCATTTGGACGGAATGCCTCACATCCCGTTGACACCTCGAGAGGCACGCGGAGTTCATTGCTTCAAAAGGTGACGATGCCTGACTCCTCTTGAATTCTGATAGGAATCCCAAAATCACTGTGGCTACTGGAAAGGGTCCTTGCGTGCCCTGCCTCACCTCAAGAAGCGTCCCATTTGCACTGCCAAGCCTCGAAGAGATTCCTGAGGTGTCCCTCGTTACTAGACAGGAGTCCTGATGTCACTGAAGAAACTCGTGTTTTGAAGGGCCATCCCCGCCGTAAGTCGAGATCATACCCCAGGTCCCCGCCGCAACTCGAGAAAAACCATGAGACTTCCCCCTAGAGGCGAGATGAGACCCCATTCCCCTGCAGTGCATGCAGAGCTATTCCGTGGTCCCATTCAAACAAGTCAGGAGCTTCGACTTGCTTAATGGATCTCGAGACAGTCCTCAAGAACATTGTCACCAGTCTCGATGGAACCTGAGGTCACCCCAGCAACGCAAAGCAGCTCCATGTGCCCCAATTCAACTCGAGATGAGGCCCGATTCCCCTGCATTGACTCCAGAGCCATTCCCAGTTCCCCATTCAACACGAACGGTGGCTCGACTTCCTTCAGGCAACTCCAGAGATGCCCCGAGAACACTGTCCCAAGTCTAGAGGAACACCAACTTCAGCACAGCAACTCGAGGAATGCTCCGTGTACCACAAATCGTCTCGAGATGAGAGCTGATTCCCTGGCTTAGGCTCAAGACGTATGCCAACTTTCCAGACGCACCTCAGGAGGAGGCTTCTCTCAGCAATAGGTATGTGGGAGGGACCCCGAGTTCGCTGCCTCAAGGGCAATATACAGCGAGAAGCCCTAACTTGAAAGGAGGCCGGATTTCCTTGCAGTGGCTTGAATACAGGCTCGTCTTTCATCTCACAACATGAAGGGGTGTCTGAATCCCCTGTGGAGACCTTAGAGAAAGCCCTAGGTCCCTGCCTCATTTAGACGGAATGCCTTACATCCCGTTGACACCTCGAGAGGCACGCGGAGTTCATTGCTTCAAAAGGTGACGATGCCTGACTCCTCTTGAATTCTGATAGGAATCCCAAAATCACTGTGGCTACTGGAAAGGGTTCATGGGTGCCCTGCCTCACCTCAAGAAGAGTCCCATTTGCATTGCCAAGCCTCGATGAGATTCCTGAGGTGTCCCTCGTTACTAGACAGGAGTCCTGACGTCACTGAAGAAACTCGTGTTTTGAAGGGCCATCCCCGCCGTAAGTCGAGAACATACCCTAGGTCCCCGCCGCAACTCGAGAAAAACCATGAGACTTCCCCCTAGAGGCGAGATGAGGCCCCATTCCCCTGCAGTGCATGCAGAGCTATTCCGTGGTCCCATTCAAGCAAGTCAGGAGCTTCGACTTGCTTAATGGTTCTCGAGACAGTCCCCAAGAACACTGTCACCAGTCTCGACGGACCCTGAGGTCACCCCAGCAACGCAAAGCAGCTCCATGGGCCCCAAATCAACTCGAGATGAGGCCCGATTCCCCTGCATTGACTCCAGAGCCATTCCCCGTTCCCCATTCAACACGACCGGTGGCTCGACTTCCTTCAGGCAACTCCAGAGATGCCCCGAGAACACTGTCCCAAGTGTAGAGGAACACCAACTTCAGCACGGCAACTCGAGGAATGCTCCGTGTACCCCAAATCGTCTCGAGATGAGAGCTGATTCCCTGGCTTAGGCACAAGACGTATGCCAACTTTCAAGACGCACCTCAGGAGGAGGCTTCTCTCAGCAATAGGTATGTGGGAGGGACCCCGAGTTCGCTGCCTCAAGGGCAATATACAGCGAGAAGCCCTAACTTGAAAGGAGGCCGGATTTCCTTGCAGTGGCTTGAATACAGGCTCGTCTTTCATCTCAGGACATGAAGGGATGTCTGAATCACCTGTGGAGACCTTAGAGAAAGCCCTAGGTCCCTGCCTCATTTTGACGGAATGCCTCACATCCCGTTGACACCTCAAGAGGCACGCGAAGTTCATTGCTTCAAAAGGTGACAATGCCTCACTCTTCTTGAATACTGATAGGAATCCCAAAATCCCAGTGGCTACTGGAAAGGGTCCTTGGGTGCCCTGCCTCACCTCGAGAAGCGTCCCTTTTGCCCTGCCAAGCCTCGAAGAGATTCCTGAGGTGTCCCTCGTTACTAGACAGGAGTCTGGACGTCACTGAAGAAACTCGTGTTTTGAAGGGCCATCCCCGCCGTAAGTCGATAACATACCCCAGGTCCCCGCCGCAACTCGAGAAAAACCATGAGACTTCCCCCTAGAGGCGAGATGAGGCCCCATTCCCCTGCAGTGCATGCAGAGCTATTCCGTGGTCCCATTCAAGCAAGTCAGGAGCTTCGACTTGCTTAATGGTTCTCGAGACAGTCCCCAAGAACACTGTCACCAGTCTCGACGGACCCTGAGGTCACCCTAGCAACGCAAAGCAGCTCCATGGGCCCCAAATCAACTCGAGATGAGGCCCGATTCCCCTGCATTGACTCCAGAGCCATTCCCCGTTCCCCATTCAACACGACCGGTGGCTCGACTTCCTTCAGGCAACTCCAGAGATGCCCCGAGAACACTGTCCCAAGTCTAGAGGAACACCAACTTCAGCACGGCAACTCGAGGAATGCTCCGTGTACCCCAAATCGTCTCGAGATGAGAGGTGATTCCCTGGCTTAGGCTCAAGACGTATGCCAACTTTCAAGACGCAACTCAGGAGGAGGCTTCTCTCAGCAATAGGTATGTGGGAGGGACCCCGAGTTCGCTGCCTCAAGGGCAATATACAGCGAGAAACCCTAACTTGAAAGGAGGCCGGATTTCCTTGCAGTGGCTTGAATACAGACTCGTCTTTCATCTCACAACATGAAGGGATGTCTGAATCCCCTGTGGAGACCTTAGAGAAAGCCCTAGGTCCCTGCCTCATTTGGACGGAATGCCTCACATCCCGTTGACACCTCGAGAGGCACGCGGAGTTCATTGCTTCAAAAGGTGACGATGCCTGACTCCTCTTGAATTCTGATAGGAATCCCAAAAATCACTGTGGCTACTGGAAAGGGACCTTGCGTGCCCTGCCTCACCTCGAGAAGCGTCCCGTTTGCCCTGCCAAGCCTCGAAGAGATTCCTGAGGTGTCCCTCGTTACTAGACAGGAGTCCTGACGTCACTGAAGAAACTCGTGTTTTGAATTGCCAACCCCGCCGTAAGTCGAGAACAGACCCCAGGTCCCCGCCGCAACTCGAGAAAAACCATGAGACTTCCCCCTAGAGGCGAGATGAGGCCCCATTCCCCTGCAGTGCATGCAGAGCTATTCCGTGGTCCCATTCAAGCAAGTCAGGAGCTTCGACTTGCTTAATGGTTCTCGAGACAGTCCCCAAGAACACTGTCACCAGTCTCGACGGACCCTGAGGTCACCCCAGCAACGCAAAGCAGCTCCATGGGCCCCAAATCAACTCAAGATGAGGCCCGATTCCCCTGCATTGACCCCAGAGCCATTCCCCGTTCCCCATTCAACACGACCGGTGGCTCGACTTCCTTCAGGCAACTCCAGAGATGCCCCGAGAACACTGTCCCAAGTCTAGCGGAACACCAATTTCAGCACGGCAACTCGAGGAATGCTCCGTGTACCCAAAATCGTCTCGAGATGAGAGGTGATTCCCTGGCTTAGGCTCAAGACGTATGCCAACTTTCAAGACGCACCTCAGGAGGAGGCTTCTCTCAGCAATAGGTATGTGGGAGGGACCCCGAGTTCGCTGCCTCAAGGGCAATATACAGCGAGAAGCCCTAACTTGAAAGGAGGCCGGATTTCCTTGCAGTGGCTTGAATACAGGCTCGTCTTTCATCTCACGACATGAAGGGATGTCTGAATCCCCTGTGGAGACCTTAGAGAAAGCCCTAGGTCCCTGCCTCATTTGGACGGAATGCCTCACATCCCGTTGACACCTCGAGAGGCACGCGGAGTTCATTGCTTCAAAAGGTGACGATGCCTGACTCCTCTTGAATTCTGATAGGAATCCCAAAAATCACTGTGGCTACTGGAAAGGGTCCTTGCGTGCCCTGCCTCACCTCGAGAAGCGTCCCGTTTGCCCTGCCAAGCCTCGAAGAGATTCCTGAGGTGTCCCTCGTTACTAGACAGGAGTCCTGATGTCACTGAAGAAACTCGTGTTTTGAAGGGCCATCCCCGCCGTAAGTCGAGAACATACCCCAGGTCCCCGCCGCAACTCGAGAAAAACCATGAGACTTCCCCCTAGAGGCGAGATGAGACCCCATTCCCCTGCAGTGCATGCAGAGCTATTCCGTGGTCCCATTCAAACAAGTCAGGAGCTTCGACTTGCTTAATGGATCTCGAGACAGTCCTCAAGAACATTGTCACCAGTCTCGATGGAACCTGAGGTCACCCCAGCAACGCAAAGCAGCTCCATGTGCCCCAATTCAACTCGAGATGAGGCCCGATTCCCCTGCATTGACTCCAGAGCCATTCCCCGTTCCCCATTCAACACGAACGGTGGCTCGACTTCCTTCAGGCAACTCCAGAGATGCCCCGAGAACACTGTCCCAAGTCTAGAGGAACACCAACTTCAGCACAGCAACTCGAGGAATGCTCCGTGTACCACAAATCGTCTCGAGATGAGAGCTGATTCCCTGGCTTAGGCTCAAGACGTATGCCAACTTTCCAGACGCACCTCAGGAGGAGGCTTCTCTCAGCAATAGGTATGTGGGAGGGACCCCGAGTTCGCTGCCTCAAGGGCAATATACAGCGAGAAGCCCTAACTTGAAAGGAGGCCGGATTTCCTTGCAGTGGCTTGAATACAGGCTCGTCTTTCATCCCACAACATGAAGGGGTGTCTGAATCCCCTGTGGAGACCTTAGAGAAAGCCCTAGGTCCCTGCCTCATTTAGACGGAATGCCTTACATCCCGTTGACACCTCGAGAGGCACGCGGAGTTCATTGCTTCAAAAGGTGACGATGCCTGACTCCTCTTGAATTCTGATAGGAATCCCAAAAATCACTGTGGCTACTGGAAAGGGACCTTGCGTGCCCTGCCTCACCTCGAGAAGCGTCCCGTTTGCCCTGCCAAGCCTCGAAGAGATTCCTGAGGTGTCCCTCGTTACTAGACAGGAGTCCTGACGTCACTGAAGAAACTCGTGTTTTGAATTGCCAACCCCGCCGTAAGTCGAGAACAGACCCCAGGTCCCCGCCGCAACTCGAGAAAAACCATGAGACTTCCCCCTAGAGGCGAGATGAGGCCCCATTCCCCTGCAGTGCATGCAGAGCTATTCCGTGGTCCCATTCAAGCAAGTCAGGAGCTTCGACTTGCTTAATGGTTCTCGAGACAGTCCCCAAGAACACTGTCACCAGTCTCGACGGACCCTGAGGTCACCCCAGCAACGCAAAGCAGCTCCATGGGCCCCAAATCAACTCAAGATGAGGCCCGATTCCCCTGCATTGACCCCAGAGCCATTCCCCGTTCCCCATTCAACACGACCGGTGGCTCGACTTCCTTCAGGCAACTCCAGAGATGCCCCGAGAACACTGTCCCAAGTCTAGCGGAACACCAATTTCAGCACGGCAACTCGAGGAATGCTCCGTGTACCCAAAATCGTCTCGAGATGAGAGGTGATTCCCTGGCTTAGGCTCAAGACGTATGCCAACTTTCAAGACGCACCTCAGGAGGAGGCTTCTCTCAGCAATAGGTATGTGGGAGGGACCCCGAGTTCGCTGCCTCAAGGGCAATATACAGCGAGAAGCCCTAACTTGAAAGGAGGCCGGATTTCCTTGCAGTGGCTTGAATACAGGCTCGTCTTTCATCTCACGACATGAAGGGATGTCTGAATCCCCTGTGGAGACCTTAGAGAAAGCCCTAGGTCCCTGCCTCATTTGGACGGAATGCCTCACATCCCGTTGACACCTCGAGAGGCACGCGGAGTTCATTGCTTCAAAAGGTGACGATGCCTGACTCCTCTTGAATTCTGATAGGAATCCCAAAAATCACTGTGGCTACTGGAAAGGGTCCTTGCGTGCCCTGCCTCACCTCGAGAAGCGTCCCGTTTGCCCTGCCAAGCCTCGAAGAGATTCCTGAGGTGTCCCTCGTTACTAGACAGGAGTCCTGATGTCACTGAAGAAACTCGTGTTTTGAAGGGCCATCCCCGCCGTAAGTCGAGAACATACCCCAGGTCCCCGCCGCAACTCGAGAAAAACCATGAGACTTCCCCCTAGAGGCGAGATGAGACCCCATTCCCCTGCAGTGCATGCAGAGCTATTCCGTGGTCCCATTCAAACAAGTCAGGAGCTTCGACTTGCTTAATGGATCTCGAGACAGTCCTCAAGAACATTGTCACCAGTCTCGATGGAACCTGAGGTCACCCCAGCAACGCAAAGCAGCTCCATGTGCCCCAATTCAACTCGAGATGAGGCCCGATTCCCCTGCATTGACTCCAGAGCCATTCCCCGTTCCCCATTCAACACGAACGGTGGCTCGACTTCCTTCAGGCAACTCCAGAGATGCCCCGAGAACACTGTCCCAAGTCTAGAGGAACACCAACTTCAGCACAGCAACTCGAGGAATGCTCCGTGTACCACAAATCGTCTCGAGATGAGAGCTGATTCCCTGGCTTAGGCTCAAGACGTATGCCAACTTTCCAGACGCACCTCAGGAGGAGGCTTCTCTCAGCAATAGGTATGTGGGAGGGACCCCGAGTTCGCTGCCTCAAGGGCAATATACAGCGAGAAGCCCTAACTTGAAAGGAGGCCGGATTTCCTTGCAGTGGCTTGAATACAGGCTCGTCTTTCATCCCACAACATGAAGGGGTGTCTGAATCCCCTGTGGAGACCTTAGAGAAAGCCCTAGGTCCCTGCCTCATTTAGACGGAATGCCTTACATCCCGTTGACACCTCGAGAGGCACGCGGAGTTCATTGCTTCAAAAGGTGACGATGCCTGACTCCTCTTGAATTCTGATAGGAATCCCAAAATCACTGTGGCTACTGGAAAGGGTTCATGGGTGCCCTGCCTCACCTCAAGAAGAGTCCCATTTGCATTGCCAAGCCTCGATGAGATTCCTGAGGTGTCCCTCGTTACTAGACAGGAGTCCTGACGTCACTGAAGAAACTCGTGTTTTGAAGGGCCATCCCCGCCGTAAGTCGAGAACATACCCTAGGTCCCCGCCGCAACTCGAGAAAAACCATGAGACTTCCCCCTAGAGGCGAGATGAGGCCCCATTCCCCTGCAGTGCATGCAGAGCTATTCCGTGGTCCCATTCAAGCAAGTCAGGAGCTTCGACTTGCTTAATGGTTCTCGAGACAGTCCCCAAGAACACTGTCACCAGTCTCGACGGACCCTGAGGTCACCCCAGCAACGCAAAGCAGCTCCATGGGCCCCAAATCAACTCGAGATGAGGCCCGATTCCCCTGCATTGATTCCAGAGCCATTCCCCGTTCCCCATTCAACACGACCGGTGGCTCGACTTCCTTCAGGCAACTCCAGAGATGCCCCGAGAACACTGTCCCAAGTTTAGAGGAACACCAACTTCAGCTCGGCAACTCGAGGAATGCTCCGTGTACCCCAAATCGTCTCGAGATGAGAGCTGATTCCCTGGCTTAGGCACAAGACGTATGCCAACTTTCAAGACGCACCTCAGGAGGAGGCTTCTCTCAGCAATAGGTATGTGGGAGGGACCCCGAGTTCGCTGCCTCAAGGGCAATATACAGCGAGAAGCCCTAACTTGAAAGGAGGCCGGATTTCCTTGCAGTGGCTTGAATACAGGCTCGTCTTTCATCTCACGACATGAAGGGATGTCTGAATCCCCTGTGGAGACCTTAGAGAAAGCCCTAGGTCCCTGCCTCATTTTGACGGAATGCCTCACATCCCGTTGACACCTCAAGAGGCACGCGAAGTTCATTGCTTCAAAAGGTGACAATGCCTCACTCCTCTTGAATACTGATAGGAATCCCAAAATCCCTGTGGCTACTGGAAAGGGTCCTTGGGTGCCCTGCCTCACCTCGAGAAGCGTCCCTTTTGCCCTGCCAAGCCTCGAAGAGATTCCTGAGGTGTCCCTCGTTACTAGACACTAGTCCTGACGTCACTGAAGAAACTCGTGTTTTGAAGGGCCATCCCCGCCGTAAGTCGAGAACATACCCCAGGTCCCTGCCGCAACTCGAGAAAAACCATGAGACTTCCCCCTAGAGGCGAGATGAGGCCCCATTCCCCTGCAGTGCATGCAGAGCTATTCCGTGGTCCCATTCAAGCAAGTCAGGATCTTCGACTTGCTTAATGGTTCTCGAGACAGTCCCCAAGAACACTGTCACCAGTCTCGACGGACCCTGAAGTCACCCCAGCAACGCAAAGCAGCTCCATGGGCCCCAAATCAACTCGAGATGAGGCCCGATTCCCCTGCATTGACTCCAGAGCCATTCCCCGTTCCCCATTCAACACGACCGGTGGCTCGACTTCCTTCAGGCAACTCCAGAGTTGCCCCGAGAACACTGTCCCAAGTCTAGAGGAACACCAACTTCAGCACGGCAACTCGAGGAATGCTCCGTGTACCCCAAATCGTCTCGAGATGAGAGGTGATTCCCTGGCTTAGGCTCAAGACGTATGCCAAGTTTCAAGACGCACCTCAGGAGGAGGCTTCTCTCAGCAATAGGTATGTGGGAGGGACCCCGAGTTCGCTGCCTCAAGGGCAATATACAGCGAGAAGCCCTATCTTGAAAGGAGGCCGGATTTCCTTGCAGTGGCTTGAATACAGGCTCGTCTTTCATCTCACAACATGAAGGGATGTCTGAATCCCCTGTGGAGACCTTAGAGAAAGCCCTAGGTCCCTGCCTCATTTGGACGGAATGCCTCACATCCCGTTGACACCTCGAGAGGCACGCGGAGTTCATTGCTTCAAAAGGTGACGATGCCTGACTCCTCTTGAATTCTGATAGGAATCCCAAAAATCACTGTGGCTACTGGAAAGGGTCCTTGCGTGCCCTGCCTCACCTCGAGAAGCGTCCCGTTTGCCCTGCCAAGCCTCGAAGAGATTCCTGAGGTGTCCCTCGTTACTAGACAGGAGTCCTGACGTCACTGAAGAAACTCGTGTTTTGAATTGCCAACCCCGCCGTAAGTCGAGAACAGACCCCAGGTCCCCGCCGCAACTCGAGAAAAACCATGAGACTTCCCCCTAGAGGCGAGATGAGGCCCCATTCCCCTGCAGTGCATGCAGAGCTATTCCGTGGTCCCATTCAAGCAAGTCAGGAGCTTCGACTTGCTTAATGGTTCTCGAGACAGTCCCCAAGAACACTGTCACCAGTCTCGACGGACCCTGAGGTCACCCCAGCAACGCAAAGCAGCTCCATGGGCCCCAAATCAACTCAAGATGAGGCCCGATTCCCCTGCATTGACCCCAGAGCCATTCCCCGTTCCCCATTCAACACGACCGGTGGCTCGACTTCCTTCAGGCAACTCCAGAGATGCCCCGAGAACACTGTCCCAAGTCTAGAGGAACACCAATTTCAGCACGGCAACTCGAGGAATGCTCCGTGTACCCAAAATCGTCTCGAGATGAGAGGTGATTCCCTGGCTTAGGCTCAAGACGTATGCCAACTTTCAAGACGCACCTCAGGAGGAGGCTTCTCTCAGCAATAGGTATGTGGGAGGGACCCCGAGTTCGCTGCCTCAAGGGCAATATACAGCGAGAAGCCCTAACTTGAAAGGAGGCCGGATTTCCTTGCAGTGGCTTGAATACAGGCTCGTCTTTCATCTCACGACATGAAGGGATGTCTGAATCCCCTGTGGAGACCTTAGAGAAAGCCCTAGGTCCCTGCCTCATTTGGACGGAATGCCTCACATCCCGTTGACACCTCGAGAGGCACGCGGAGTTCATTGCTTCAAAAGGTGACGATGCCTGACTCCTCTTGAATTCTGATAGGAATCCCAAAAATCACTGTGGCTACTGGAAAGGGTCCTTGCGTGCCCTGCCTCACCTCGAGAAGCGTCCCGTTTGCCCTGCCAAGCCTCGAAGAGATTCCTGAGGTGTCCCTCGTTACTAGACAGGAGTCCTGACGTCACTGAAGAAACTCGTGTTTTGAATTGCCATCCCCGCCGTAAGTCGAGAACATACCCCATGTCCCCGCCGCAACTCGAGAAAAACCATGAGACTTCCCCCTAGAGGCGAGATGAGGCCCCATTTCCCTGCAGTGCATGTAGAGCTATTCCGTGGTCCCATTCAAACAAGTCAGGAGCTTCGACTTGCTTAATGGATCTCGAGACAGTCCCCAAGAACACTGTCACCAGTCTCGACGGACCCTGAGGTCACCCCAGCAACACAAAGCAGCTCCATGGGCCCCAAATCAACTCGAGATGAGGCCCGATTCCCCTGCATTGACTCCAGAGCCATTCCCCGTTCCCCATTCAACACGACCGGTGGCTCGACTTCCTTCAGGCAACTCCAGAGATGCCCCGAGAACACTGTCCCAAGTCTAGAGGAACACCAACTTCAGCACGGCAACTCGAGGAATGCTCCGTGTACCCCAAATCGTCTCGAGATGAGAGGTGATTCCCTGGCTTAGGCTCAAGACGTATGCCAACTTTCAAGACGCACCTCAGGAGGAGGCTTCTCTCAGCAATAGGTATGTGGGAGGGACCCCGAGTTCGCTGCCTCAAGGGCAATATACAGCGAGAAGCCCTAACTTGAAAGGAGGCCGGATTTCCTTGCAGTGGCTTGAATACAGACTCGTCTTTCATCTCACAACATGAAGGGATGTCTGAATCCCCTGTGGAGACCTTAGAGAAAGCCCTAGGTCCCTGCCTCATTTGGACGGAATGCCTCACATCCCGTTGACACCTCGAGAGGCACGCAGAGTTCATTGCTTCAAAACGTGACGATGCCTGACTCCTCTTGAATACTGATAGGAATTCCAATATCCATGTGGCTACTGGAAAGGGTCCTTGGGTGCCCTGCCTCACCTCGAGAAGCGTCCCTTTTGCCCTGCCAAGCCTCGAAGAGATTCCTGAGGTGTCCCTCGTTACTAGACAGGAGTCCTGACGTCACTGAAGAAACTCGTGTTTTGAAGGGCCATCCCCGCCGTAAGTCGAGAACATACCCCAGGTCCCCGCCGCAACTCGAGAAAAACCATGAGACTTCCCCCTAGAGGCGAGATGAGACCCCATTCCCCTGCAGTGCATGCAGAGCTATTCCGTGGTCCCATTCAAACAAGTCAGGAGCTTCGACTTGCTTAATGGATCTCGAGACAGTCCCCAAGAACACTGTCACCAGTCTCGACGGACCCTGAGGTCACCCCAGCAACGCAAAGCAGCTCCGTGGGCCCCAAATCAACTCGAGATGAGGCCCGATTCCCCTGCATTGACTCCAGAGCCATTCCCCGTTCCCCATTCAACACGACCGGTGGCTCGACTTCCTTCAGGCAACTCCAGAGATGCCCCGAGAACACTGTCCCAAGTCTAGAGGAACACCAACTTCAGCACGGCAACTCGAGGAATGCTCCGTGTACCCCAAATCGTCTCGAGATGAGAGGTGATTCCCTGGCTTAGGCTCAAGACGTATGCCAACTTTCAAGACGCACCTCAGGAGGAGGCTTCTCTCAGCAATAGGTATGTGGGAGGGACCCCGAGTTCGCTGCCTCAAGGGCAATATACAGCGAGAAGCCCTAACTTGAAAGGAGGCCGGATTTCCTTGCAGTGGCTTGAATACAGGCTCGTCTTTCTTCTCACAACATGAAGGGATGTCTTAATCCCCTGTGGATACCTTAGAGAAAGCCCAAGGTCCCTGCCTCATTTGGACGGAATGCCTCACATCCCGCTGACACCTCAAGAGGCACGCGAAGTTCATTGTTTCAAAAGGTGACAATGCCTCACTCCTCTTGAATACTGATAGGAATCCCAAAATCACTGTGGCTACTGGAAAGGGTCCTTGGGTGCCCTGCCTCAGCTCGAGAAGCGTCCCGTTTGCCCTGCCAAGCCTCGAAGAGATTCCTGAGGTGTCCCTCGTTACTAGACAGGAGTCCTGACGTCACTGAAGAAACTCGTGTTTTGAATTGCCATCCCCGCCGTAAGTCGAGAACATACCCAGGTCCCCGCCGCAACTCGAGAAAAACCATGAGACTTCCCCCTAGAGGCGAGATGAGGCCCCATTCCCCTGCAGTGCATGCAGAGCTATTCCGTGGTCCCATTCAAGCAACTCAGGAGCTTCGACTTGCTTAATGGATCTCGAGACAGTCCCCAAGAACACTGTCACCAGTCTCGACGGACCCTGAGGTCACCCCAGCAACACAAAGCAGCTCCATGGGCCCCAAATCAACTCGAGATGAGGCCCGATTCCCCTGCATTGACTCCAGAGCCATTCCCTGTTCCCCATTCAACACGACCGGTGGCTCGACTTCCTTCAGGCAACTCCAGAGATGCCCCGAGAACACTGTCCCAAGTCTAGAGGAACACCAACTTCAGCACGGCAACTCGAGGAATGCTCCGTGTACCCCAAATCGTCTCGAGATGAGAGGTGATTCCCTGGCTTAGGCTCAAGACGTATGCCAAGTTTCAAGACGCACCTCAGGAGGAGGCTTCTCTCAGCAATAGGTATGTGGGAGGGACCCCGAGTTCGCTGCCTCAAGGGCAATATACAGCGAGAAGCCCTAACTTGAAAGGAGGCCGGATTTCCTTGCAGTGGCTTGAATACAGGCTCGTCTTTCATCTCACGACATGAACGGATGTCTGAATCCCCTGTGGAGACCTTAGAGAAAGCCCTAGGTCCCTGCCTCATTTGGACGGAATGCCTCACATCCCGTTGACACCTCGAGAGGCACGCGGAGTTCATTGCTTCAAAAGGTGACGATTCCTGACTCCTCTTGAATTCTGATAGGAATCCCAAAATCACAGTGGCTACTGGAAAGGGTCCTTGCGTGCCCTGCCTCACCTCAAGAAGCGTCCCATTTGCACTGCCAAGCCTCGATGAGATTCCTGAGGTGTCCCTCGTTACTAGACAGGAGTCCTGATGTCACTGAAGAAACTCGTGTTTTGAAGGGCCATCCCCGCCGTAAGTCGAGAACATACCCCAGGTCCCCGCCGCAACTCGAGAAAAACCATGAGACTTCCCCCTAGAGGCGAGATGAGACCCCATTCCCCTGCAGTGCATGCAGAGCTATTCCGTGGTCCCATTCAAACAAGTCAGGAGCTTCGACTTGCTTAATGGATCTCGAGACAGTCCTCAAGAACATTGTCACCAGTCTCGATGGAACCTGAGGTCACCCCAGCAACGCAAAGCAGCTCCATGTGCCCCAAATCAACTCGAGATGAGGCCCGATTCCCCTGCATTGACTCCAGAGCCATTCCCCGTTCCCCATTCAACACGACCGGTGGCTCGACTTCCTTCAGGCAACTCCAGAGATGCCCCGAGAACACTGTCCCAAGTCCAGAGGAACACCAACTTCAGCACGGCAATTCGAGGAATGCTCCGTGTACCCCAAATCGTCTCGAGATGAGAGGTGATTCCCTGGCTTAGGCTCAAGACGTATGCCAACTTTCAAGACGCACCTCAGGAGGAGGCTTCTCTCAGCAATAGGTATGTGGGAGGGACCCCGAGTTCGCTGCCTCAAGGGCAATATACAGCGAGAAGCCCTAACTTGAAAGGAGGCCGGATTTCCTAGCAGTGGCTTGAATACAGGCTCGTCTTTGATCTCAAACATGAAGGGATGTCTGAATCCCCTGTGGAGACCTTAGAGAAAGCCCTAGGTCCCTGCCTCATTTGGACGGAATGCCTCACATCCCGTTGACACCTCGAGAGGCACGCGGAGTTCATTACTTCAAAAGGTGACGATGCCTGACTCCTCTTGAATTCTGATAGGAATTCCAAAATCACTGTGGCTACTGGAAAGGGTCCTTGCGTACCCTGCCTCACCTCAAGAAGCGTCCCATTTGCACTGCCAAGCCTCGATGAGATTCCTGAGGTTTCCCTCGTTACTAGACAGGAGTCCTGATGTCACTGAAGAAACTCGTGTTTTGAAGGGCCATCCCCGCCGTAAGTCGAGAATATACCCCAGGTCCCCGCCGCAACTCGAGAAAAACCATGAGACTTCCCCCTAGAGGCGAGATGAGACCCCATTCCCCTGCAGTGCATGCAGAGCTATTCCGTGGTCCCATTCAAACAAGTCAGGAGCTTCGACTTGCTTAATGGATCTCGAGACAGTCCTCAAGAACACTGTCACCAGTCTCGACGGACCCTGAGGTCACCCCAGCAACGCAAAGCAGCTCCATGGGCCCCAAATCAACTCGAGATGAGGCCCGATTCCCCTGCATTGACTCCAGAGCCATTCCCCGTTCCCCATTCAACACGACCGGTGGCTCGACTTCCATCAGGCAACTCCAGAGATGCCCCGAGAACACTGTCCCAAGTCCAGAGGAACACCAACTTCAGCACGGCAACTCGAGGAATGCTCCGTGTACCCCAAATCGTCTCGAGATGAGAGCTGATTCCCTGGCTTAGGCTCAAGACGTATGCCAACTTTCAAGACGCACCTCAGGAGGAGGCTTCTCTCAGCAATAGGTATGTGGGAGGGACCCCGAGTTCGCTGCCTCAAGGGCAATATACAGCGAGAAGCCCTAACTTGAAAGGAGGCCGGATTTCCTTGCAGTGGCTTGAATACAGACTCGTCTTTCATCTCACAACATGAAGGGATGTCTGAATCCCCTGTGGAGACCTTAGAGAAAGCCCTAGGTCCCTGCCTCATTTGGACGGAATGCCTCACATCCCGTTGACACCTCGAGAGGCACGCGGAGTTCATTGCTTCAAAAGGTGACGATGCCTGACTCCTCTTGAATTCTGATAGGAATCCCAAAATCACTGTGGCTACTGGAAAGGGTCCTTGCGTGCCCTGCCTCACCTCAAGAAGCGTCCCATTTGCACTGCCAAGCCTCGAAGAGATTCCTGAGGTGTCCCTCGTTACTAGACAGGAGTCCTGATGTCACTGAAGAAACTCGTGTTTTGAAGGGCCATCCCCGCCGTAAGTCGAGATCATACCCCAGGTCCCCGCCGCAACTCGAGAAAAACCATGAGACTTCCCCCTAGAGGCGAGATGAGACCCCATTCCCCTGCAGTGCATGCAGAGCTATTCCGTGGTCCCATTCAAACAAGTCAGGAGCTTCGACTTGCTTAATGGATCTCGAGACAGTCCTCAAGAACATTGTCACCAGTCTCGATGGAACCTGAGGTCACCCCAGCAACGCAAAGCAGCTCCATGTGCCCCAATTCAACTCGAGATGAGGCCCGATTCCCCTGCATTGACTCCAGAGCCATTCCCAGTTCCCCATTCAACACGAACGGTGGCTCGACTTCCTTCAGGCAACTCCAGAGATGCCCCGAGAACACTGTCCCAAGTCTAGAGGAACACCAACTTCAGCACAGCAACTCGAGGAATGCTCCGTGTACCACAAATCGTCTCGAGATGAGAGCTGATTCCCTGGCTTAGGCTCAAGACGTATGCCAACTTTCCAGACGCACCTCAGGAGGAGGCTTCTCTCAGCAATAGGTATGTGGGAGGGACCCCGAGTTCGCTGCCTCAAGGGCAATATACAGCGAGAAGCCCTAACTTGAAAGGAGGCCGGATTTCCTTGCAGTGGCTTGAATACAGGCTCGTCTTTCATCTCACAACATGAAGGGGTGTCTGAATCCCCTGTGGAGACCTTAGAGAAAGCCCTAGGTCCCTGCCTCATTTAGACGGAATGCCTTACATCCCGTTGACACCTCGAGAGGCACGCGGAGTTCATTGCTTCAAAAGGTGACGATGCCTGACTCCTCTTGAATTCTGATAGGAATCCCAAAATCACTGTGGCTACTGGAAAGGGTTCATGGGTGCCCTGCCTCACCTCAAGAAGAGTCCCATTTGCATTGCCAAGCCTCGATGAGATTCCTGAGGTGTCCCTCGTTACTAGACAGGAGTCCTGACGTCACTGAAGAAACTCGTGTTTTGAAGGGCCATCCCCGCCGTAAGTCGAGAACATACCCTAGGTCCCCGCCGCAACTCGAGAAAAACCATGAGACTTCCCCCTAGAGGCGAGATGAGGCCCCATTCCCCTGCAGTGCATGCAGAGCTATTCCGTGGTCCCATTCAAGCAAGTCAGGAGCTTCGACTTGCTTAATGGTTCTCGAGACAGTCCCCAAGAACACTGTCACCAGTCTCGACGGACCCTGAGGTCACCCCAGCAACGCAAAGCAGCTCCATGGGCCCCAAATCAACTCGAGATGAGGCCCGATTCCCCTGCATTGACTCCAGAGCCATTCCCCGTTCCCCATTCAACACGACCGGTGGCTCGACTTCCTTCAGGCAACTCCAGAGATGCCCCGAGAACACTGTCCCAAGTGTAGAGGAACACCAACTTCAGCACGGCAACTCGAGGAATGCTCCGTGTACCCCAAATCGTCTCGAGATGAGAGCTGATTCCCTGGCTTAGGCACAAGACGTATGCCAACTTTCAAGACGCACCTCAGGAGGAGGCTTCTCTCAGCAATAGGTATGTGGGAGGGACCCCGAGTTCGCTGCCTCAAGGGCAATATACAGCGAGAAGCCCTAACTTGAAAGGAGGCCGGATTTCCTTGCAGTGGCTTGAATACAGGCTCGTCTTTCATCTCAGGACATGAAGGGATGTCTGAATCACCTGTGGAGACCTTAGAGAAAGCCCTAGGTCCCTGCCTCATTTTGACGGAATGCCTCACATCCCGTTGACACCTCAAGAGGCACGCGAAGTTCATTGCTTCAAAAGGTGACAATGCCTCACTCTTCTTGAATACTGATAGGAATCCCAAAATCCCAGTGGCTACTGGAAAGGGTCCTTGGGTGCCCTGCCTCACCTCGAGAAGCGTCCCTTTTGCCCTGCCAAGCCTCGAAGAGATTCCTGAGGTGTCCCTCGTTACTAGACACTAGTCCTGACGTCACTGAAGAAACTCGTGTTTTGAAGGGCCATCCCCGCCGTAAGTCGAGAACATAACCCAGGTCCCTGCCGCAACTCGAGAAAAACCATGAGACTTCCCCCTAGAGGCGAGATGAGGCCCCATTCCCCTGCAGTGCATGCAGAGCTATTCCGTGGTCCCATTCAAGCAAGTCAGGATCTTCGACTTGCTTAATGGTTCTCGAGACAGTCCCCAAGAACACTGTCACCAGTCTCGACGGACCCTGAGGTCACCCCAGCAACGCAAAGCAGCTCCATGGGCCCCAAATCAACTCGAGATGAGGCCCGATTCCCCTGCATTGACTCCAGAGCCATTCCCCGTTCCCCATTCAACACGACCGGTGGCTCGACTTCCTTCAGGCAACTCCAGAGTTGCCCCGAGAACACTGTCCCAAGTCTAGAGGAACACCAACTTCAGCACGGCAACTCGAGGAATGCTCCGTGTACCCCAAATCGTCTCGAGATGAGAGGTGATTCCCTGGCTTAGGCTCAAGACGTATGCCAACTTTCCAGACGCACCTCAGGAGGAGGCTTCTCTCAGCAATAGGTATGTGGGAGGGACCCCGAGTTCGCTGCCTCAAGGGCAATATACAGCGAGAAGCCCTAACTTGAAAGGAGGCCGGATTTCCTTGCAGTGGCTTGAATACAGGCTCGTCTTTCATCTCACAACATGAAGGGATGTCTGAATCCCCTGTGGAGACCTTAGCGAAAGCCCTAGGTCCCTGCCTCATTTTGACGGAATGCCTCACATCCCGTTGACACCTCAAGAGGCACGCGAAGTTCATTGCTTCAAAAGGTGACAATGCCTGACTCCTCTTGAATACTGATAGGAATCCCAAAATCCCTGTGGCTACTGGAAAGGGTCCTTGGGTGCCCTGCCTCACCTCGAGAAGCGTCCCTTTTGCCCTGCCAAGCCTCGAAGAGATTCCTGAGGTGTCCCTCGTTACTAGACAGGAGTCTGGACGTCACTGAAGAAACTCGTGTTTTGAAGGGCCATCCCCGCCGTAAGTCGATAACATACCCCAGGTCCCCGCCGCAACTCGAGAAAAACCATGAGACTTCCCCCTAGAGGCGAGATGAGGCCCCATTCCCCTGCAGTGCATGCAGAGCTATTCCGTGGTCCCATTCAAGCAAGTCAGGAGCTTCGACTTGCTTAATGGTTCTCGAGACAGTCCCCAAGAACACTGTCACCAGTCTCGACGGACCCTGAGGTCACCCTAGCAACGCAAAGCAGCTCCATGGGCCCCAAATCAACTCGAGATGAGGCCCGATTCCCCTGCATTGACTCCAGAGCCATTCCCCGTTCCCCATTCAACACGACCGGTGGCTCGACTTCCTTCAGGCAACTCCAGAGATGCCCCGAGAACACTGTCCCAAGTCTAGAGGAACACCAACTTCAGCACGGCAACTCGAGGAATGCTCCGTGTACCCCAAATCGTCTCGAGATGAGAGGTGATTCCCTGGCTTAGGCTCAAGACGTATGCCAACTTTCAAGACGCAACTCAGGAGGAGGCTTCTCTCAGCAATAGGTATGTGGGAGGGACCCCGAGTTCGCTGCCTCAAGGGCAATATACAGCGAGAAACCCTAACTTGAAAGGAGGCCGGATTTCCTTGCAGTGGCTTGAATACAGACTCGTCTTTCATCTCACAACATGAAGGGATGTCTGAATCCCCTGTGGAGACCTTAGAGAAAGCCCTAGGTCCCTGCCTCATTTGGACGGAATGCCTCACATCCCGTTGACACCTCGAGAGGCACGCGGAGTTCATTGCTTCAAAAGGTGATGATGCCTGACTCCTCTTGAATTCTGATAGGAATCCCAAAAATCACTGTGGCTACTGGAAAGGGACCTTGCGTGCCCTGCCTCACCTCGAGAAGCGTCCCGTTTGCCCTGCCAAGCCTCGAAGAGATTCCTGAGGTGTCCCTCGTTACTAGACAGGAGTCCTGACGTCACTGAAGAAACTCGTGTTTTGAATTGCCAACCCCGCCGTAAGTCGAGAACAGACCCCAGGTCCCCGCCGCAACTCGAGAAAAACCATGAGACTTCCCCCTAGAGGCGAGATGAGGCCCCATTCCCCTGCAGTGCATGCAGAGCTATTCCGTGGTCCCATTCAAGCAAGTCAGGAGCTTCGACTTGCTTAATGGTTCTCGAGACAGTCCCCAAGAACACTGTCACCAGTCTCGACGGACCCTGAGGTCACCCCAGCAACGCAAAGCAGCTCCATGGGCCCCAAATCAACTCAAGATGAGGCCCGATTCCCCTGCATTGACCCCAGAGCCATTCCCCGTTCCCCATTCAACACGACCGGTGGCTCGACTTCCTTCAGGCAACTCCAGAGATGCCCCGAGAACACTGTCCCAAGTCTAGCGGAACACCAATTTCAGCACGGCAACTCGAGGAATGCTCCGTGTACCCAAAATCGTCTCGAGATGAGAGGTGATTCCCTGGCTTAGGCTCAAGACGTATGCCAACTTTCAAGACGCACCTCAGGAGGAGGCTTCTCTCAGCAATAGGTATGTGGGAGGGACCCCGAGTTCGCTGCCTCAAGGGCAATATACAGCGAGAAGCCCTAACTTGAAAGGAGGCCGGATTTCCTTGCAGTGGCTTTAATACAGGCTCGTCTTTCATCTCACGACATGAAGGGATGTCTGAATCCCCTGTGGAGACCTTAGAGAAAGCCCTAGGTCCCTGCCTCATTTGGACGGAATGCCTCACATCCCGTTGACACCTCGAGAGGCACGCGGAGTTCATTGCTTCAAAAGGTGACGATGCCTGACTCCTCTTGAATTCTGATAGGAATCCCAAAAATCACTGTGGCTACTGGAAAGGGTCCTTGCGTGCCCTGCCTCACCTCGAGAAGCGTCCCGTTTGCCCTGCCAAGCCTCGAAGAGATTCCTGAGGTGTCCCTCGTTACTAGACAGGAGTCCTGATGTCACTGAAGAAACTCGTGTTTTGAAGGGCCATCCCCGCCGTAAGTCGAGAACATACCCCAGGTCCCCGCCGCAACTCGAGAAAAACCATGAGACTTCCCCCTAGAGGCGAGATGAGACCCCATTCCCCTGCAGTGCATGCAGAGCTATTCCGTGGTCCCATTCAAACAAGTCAGGAGCTTCGACTTGCTTAATGGATCTCGAGACAGTCCTCAAGAACATTGTCACCAGTCTCGATGGAACCTGAGGTCACCCCAGCAACGCAAAGCAGCTCCATGTGCCCCAATTCAACTCGAGATGAGGCCCGATTCCCCTGCATTGACTCCAGAGCCATTCCCCGTTCCCCATTCAACACGAACGGTGGCTCGACTTCCTTCAGGCAACTCCAGAGATGCCCCGAGAACACTGTCCCAAGTCTAGAGGAACACCAACTTCAGCACAGCAACTCGAGGAATGCTCCGTGTACCACAAATCGTCTCGAGATGAGAGCTGATTCCCTGGCTTAGGCTCAAGACGTATGCCAACTTTCCAGACGCACCTCAGGAGGAGGCTTCTCTCAGCAATAGGTATGTGGGAGGGACCCCGAGTTCGCTGCCTCAAGGGCAATATACAGCGAGAAGCCCTAACTTGAAAGGAGGCCGGATTTCCTTGCAGTGGCTTGAATACAGGCTCGTCTTTCATCCCACAACATGAAGGGGTGTCTGAATCCCCTGTGGAGACCTTAGAGAAAGCCCTAGGTCCCTGCCTCATTTAGACGGAATGCCTTACATCCCGTTGACACCTCGAGAGGCACGCGGAGTTCATTGCTTCAAAAGGTGACGATGCCTGACTCCTCTTGAATTCTGATAGGAATCCCAAAATCACTGTGGCTACTGGAAAGGGTTCATGGGTGCCCTGCCTCACCTCAAGAAGAGTCCCATTTGCATTGCCAAGCCTCGATGAGATTCCTGAGGTGTCCCTCGTTACTAGACAGGAGTCCTGACGTCACTGAAGAAACTCGTGTTTTGAAGGGCCATCCCCGCCGTAAGTCGAGAACATACCCTAGGTCCCCGCCGCAACTCGAGAAAAACCATGAGACTTCCCCCTAGAGGCGAGATGAGGCCCCATTCCCCTGCAGTGCATGCAGAGCTATTCCGTGGTCCCATTCAAGCAAGTCAGGAGCTTCGACTTGCTTAATGGTTCTCGAGACAGTCCCCAAGAACACTGTCACCAGTCTCGACGGACCCTGAGGTCACCCCAGCAACGCAAAGCAGCTCCATGGGCCCCAAATCAACTCGAGATGAGGCCCGATTCCCCTGCATTGATTCCAGAGCCATTCCCCGTTCCCCATTCAACACGACCGGTGGCTCGACTTCCTTCAGGCAACTCCAGAGATGCCCCGAGAACACTGTCCCAAGTTTAGAGGAACACCAACTTCAGCTCGGCAACTCGAGGAATGCTCCGTGTACCCCAAATCGTCTCGAGATGAGAGCTGATTCCCTGGCTTAGGCACAAGACGTATGCCAACTTTCAAGACGCACCTCAGGAGGAGGCTTCTCTCAGCAATAGGTATGTGGGAGGGACCCCGAGTTCGCTGCCTCAAGGGCAATATACAGCGAGAAGCCCTAACTTGAAAGGAGGCCGGATTTCCTTGCAGTGGCTTGAATACAGGCTCGTCTTTCATCTCACGACATGAAGGGATGTCTGAATCCCCTGTGGAGACCTTAGAGAAAGCCCTAGGTCCCTGCCTCATTTTGACGGAATGCCTCACATCCCGTTGACACCTCAAGAGGCACGCGAAGTTCATTGCTTCAAAAGGTGACAATGCCTCACTCCTCTTGAATACTGATAGGAATCCCAAAATCCCTGTGGCTACTGGAAAGGGTCCTTGGGTGCCCTGCCTCACCTCGAGAAGCGTCCCTTTTGCCCTGCCAAGCCTCGAAGAGATTCCTGAGGTGTCCCTCGTTACTAGACACTAGTCCTGACGTCACTGAAGAAACTCGTGTTTTGAAGGGCCATCCCCGCCGTAAGTCGAGAACATACCCCAGGTCCCTGCCGCAACTCGAGAAAAACCATGAGACTTCCCCCTAGAGGCGAGATGAGGCCCCATTCCCCTGCAGTGCATGCAGAGCTATTCCGTGGTCCCATTCAAGCAAGTCAGGATCTTCGACTTGCTTAATGGTTCTCGAGACAGTCCCCAAGAACACTGTCACCAGTCTCGACGGACCCTGAGGTCACCCCAGCAACGCAAAGCAGCTCCATGGGCCCCAAATCAACTCGAGATGAGGCCCGATTCCCCTGCATTGACTCCAGAGCCATTCCCCGTTCCCCATTCAACACGACCGGTGGCTCGACTTCCTTCAGGCAACTCCAGAGTTGCCCCGAGAACACTGTCCCAAGTCTAGAGGAACACCAACTTCAGCACGGCAACTCGAGGAATGCTCCGTGTACCCCAAATCGTCTCGAGATGAGAGGTGATTCCCTGGCTTAGGCTCAAGACGTATGCCAAGTTTCAAGACGCACCTCAGGAGGAGGCTTCTCTCAGCAATAGGTATGTGGGAGGGACCCCGAGTTCGCTGCCTCAAGGGCAATATACAGCGAGAAGCCCTATCTTGAAAGGAGGCCGGATTTCCTTGCAGTGGCTTGAATACAGGCTCGTCTTTCATCTCACAACATGAAGGGATGTCTGAATCCCCTGTGGAGACCTTAGCGAAAGCCCTAGGTCCCTGCCTCATTTTGACGGAATGCCTCACATCCCGTTGACACCTCAAGAGGCACGCGAAGTTCATTGCTTCAAAAGGTGACAATGCCTGACTCCTCTTGAATACTGATAGGAATCCCAAAATCCCTGTGGCTACTGGAAAGGGTCCTTGGGTGCCCTGCCTCACCTCGAGAAGCGTCCCTTTTGCCCTGCCAAGCCTCGAAGAGATTCCTGAGGTGTCCCTCGTTACTAGACAGGAGTCTGGACGTCACTGAAGAAACTCGTGTTTTGAAGGGCCATCCCGGCCGTAAGTCGAGAACATACCCCAGGTCCCCGCCGCAACTCGAGAAAAACCATGAGACTTCCCCCTAGAGGCGAGATGAGTTCCCATTCCCCTGCAGTGCATGCAGAGCTATTCCGTGGTCCCATTCAAGCAAGTCAGGAGCTTCGACTTGCTTAATGGTTCTCGAGACAGTCCCCAAGAACACTGTCACCAGTCTCGACGGACCCTGAGGTCACCCTAGCAACGCAAAGCAGCTCCATGGGCCCCAAATCAACTCGAGATGAGGCCCGATTCCCCTGCATTGACTCCAGAGCCATTCCCCGTTCCCCATTCAACACGACCGGTGGCTCGACTTCCTTCAGGCAACTCCAGAGATGCCCCGAGAACACTGTCCCAAGTCTAGAGGAACACCAACTTCAGCACGGCAACTCGAGGAATGCTCCGTGTACCCCAAATCGTCTCGAGATGAGAGGTGATTCCCTGGCTTAGGCTCAAGACTTATGCCAACTTTCAAGACGCAACTCAGGAGGAGGCTTCTCTCAGCAATAGTTATGTGGGAGGGACCCCGAGTTCGCTGCCTCAAGGGCAATATACAGCGAGAAACCCTAACTTGAAAGGAGGCCGTATTTCCTTGCAGTGGCTTGAATACAGACTCGTCTTTCATCTCACAACATGAAGGGATGTCTGAATCCCCTGTGGAGACCTTAGAGAAAGCCCTAGGTCCCTGCCTCATTTGGACGGAATGCCTCACATCCCGTTGACACCTCGAGAGGCACGCGGAGTTCATTGCTTCAAAAGGTGACGATGCCTGACTCCTCTTGAATTCTGATAGGAATCCCAAAAATCACTGTGGCTACTGGAAAGGGTCCTTGCGTGCCCTGCCTCACCTCGAGAAGCGTCCCGTTTGCCCTGCCAAGCCTCGAAGAGATTCCTGAGGTGTCCCTCGTTACTAGACAGGAGTCCTGACGTCACTGAAGAAACTCGTGTTTTGAATTGCCAACCCCGCCGTAAGTCGAGAACAGACCCCAGGTCCCCGCCGCAACTCGAGAAAAACCATGAGACTTCCCCCTAGAGGCGAGATGAGGCCCCATTCCCCTGCAGTGCATGCAGAGCTATTCCGTGGTCCCATTCAAGCAAGTCAGGAGCTTCGACTTGCTTAATGGTTCTCGAGACAGTCCCCAAGAACACTGTCACCAGTCTCGACGGACCCTGAGGTCACCCCAGCAACGCAAAGCAGCTCCATGGGCCCCAAATCAACTCAAGATGAGGCCCGATTCCCCTGCATTGACCCCAGAGCCATTCCCCGTTCCCCATTCAACACGACCGGTGGCTCGACTTCCTTCAGGCAACTCCAGAGATGCCCCGAGAACACTGTCCCAAGTCTAGAGGAACACCAATTTCAGCACGGCAACTCGAGGAATGCTCCGTGTACCCAAAATCGTCTCGAGATGAGAGGTGATTCCCTGGCTTAGGCTCAAGACGTATGCCAACTTTCAAGACGCACCTCAGGAGGAGGCTTCTCTCAGCAATAGGTATGTGGGAGGGACCCCGAGTTCGCTGCCTCAAGGGCAATATACAGCGAGAAGCCCTAACTTGAAAGGAGGCCGGATTTCCTTGCAGTGGCTTGAATACAGGCTCGTCTTTCATCTCACGACATGAAGGGATGTCTGAATCCCCTGTGGAGACCTTAGAGAAAGCCCTAGGTCCCTGCCTCATTTGGACGGAATGCCTCACATCCCGTTGACACCTCAAGAGGCACGCGAAGTTTATTGTTTCAAAAGGTGACAATGCCTCACTCCTCTTGAATACTGATAGGAATCCCAAAATCACTGTGGCTACTGGAAAGGGTCCTTGGGTGCCCTGCCTCACCTCGAGAAGCGTCCCGTTTGCCCTGCCAAGCCTCGAAGAGATTCCTGAGGTGTCCCTCGTTACTAGACAGGAGTCCTGACGTCACTGAAGAAACTCGTGTTTTGAATTGCCATCCCCGCCGTAAGTCGAGAGCATAACCCAGGTCCCCGCCGCAACTCGAGAAAAACCATGAGACTTCCCCCTAGAGGCGAGATGAGGCCCCATTCCCCTGCTGTGCACGCAGAGCTATTCCGTGGTCCCATTCATGCAAGTCAGGAGCTTCGACTTGCTTAATGGATCTCGAGACAGTCCCCAAGAACACTGTCACCAGTCTCGACGGACCCTGAGGTCACCCCAGCAACACAAAGCAGCTCCATGGGCCCCAAATCAACTCGAGATGAGGCCCGATTCCCCTGCATTGACTCCAGAGCGATTCCCCGTTCCCCATTCAACACGACCGGTGGCTCGACTTCCTTCAGGCAACTCCAGAGATGCCCCGAGAACACTGTCCCAAGTCTAGAGGAACACCAACTTCAGCACGGCAACTCGAGGAATGCTCCGTGTACCCCAAATCGTCTCGAGATGAGAGCTGATTCCCTGGCTTAGGCTCAAGACGTATGCCAACTTTCCAGACGCACCTCAGGAGGAGGCTTCTCTCAGCAATAGGTATGTGGGAGGAACCCCGAGTTCGCTGCCTCAAGGGCAATATACAGCGAGAAGCCCTAACTTGAAAGGAGGCCGGATTTCCTTGCAGTGGCTTGAATACAGGCTCGTCTTTCTTCTCACAACATGAAGGGATGTCTGAATCCCCTGTGGAGACCTTAGAGAAAGCCCAAGGTCCCTGCCTCATTTGGACGGAATGCCTCACATCCCGCTGACACCTCAAGAGGCACGCGAAGTTCATTGTTTCAAAAGGTGACAATGCCTCACTCCTCTTGAATACTGATAGGAATCCCAAAATCACTGTGGCTACTGGAAAGGGTCCTTGGGTGCCCTGCCTCACCTCGAGAAGCGTCCCGTTTGCCCTGCCAAGCCTCGAAGAGATTCCTGAGGTGTCCCTCGTTACTAGACAGGAGTCCTGACGTCACTGAAGAAACTCGTGTTTTGAAGGGCCATCCACGCCGTAAGTCGAGAACATACCCCAGGTCCCCGCCGCAACTCGAGAAAAACCATGAGACTTCCCCCTAGAGGCGAGATGAGGCCCCATTCCCCTGCAGTGCATGCAGAGCTATTCCGTGGTCCCATTCAAGCAAGTCAGGAGCTTCGACTTGCTTAATTGTTCTCGAGACAGTCCCCAAGAACACTGTCACCAGTCTCGACGGACCCTGAGGTCACCCCAGCAACGCAAAGCAGCTCCATGGGCCCCAAATCAACTCGAGATGAGGCCCGATTCCCCTGCATTGACTCCAGAGCCATTCCCCGTTCCCCATTCAACACGACCGGTGGCTCGACTTCCTTCAGGCAACTCCAGAGATGCCCCGAGAACACTGTCCCAAGTCTAGAGGAACACCAACTTCAGCACGGCAACTCGAGGAATGCTCCGTGTACCCCAAATCGTCTCGAGATGAGAGGTGATTCCCTGGCTTAGGCTCAAGACGTATGCCAACTTTCAAGACGCACCTCAGGAGGAGGCTTCTCTCAGCAATAGGTATGTGGGAGGGACCCCGAGTTCGCTGCCTCAAGGGCAATATACAGCGAGAAGCCCTAACTTGAAAGGAGGCCGGATTTCCTTGCAGTGGCTTGAATACAGACTCGTCTTTCATCTCACAACATGAAGGGATGTCTGAATCCCCTGTGGAGACCTTAGAGAAAGCCCTAGGTCCCTGCCTCATTTGGACGGAATGCCTCACATCCCGTTGACACCTCGAGAGGCACGCAGAGTTCATTGCTTCAAAACGTGACGATGCCTGACTCCTCTTGAATACTGATAGGAATCCCAAAATCCATGTGGCTACTGGAAAGGGTCCTTGGGTGCCCTGTCTCACCTCGAGAAGCGTCCCTTTTGCCCTGCCAAGCCTCGAAGAGATTCCTGAGGTGTCCCTCGTTACTAGACAGGAGTCCTGACGTCACTGAAGAAACTCGTGTTTTGAAGGGCCATCCCCGCCGTAAGTCGAGAACATACCCCAGGTCCCCGCCGCAACTCGAGAAAAACCATGAGACTTCCCCCTAGAGGCGAGATGAGACCCCATTCCCCTGCAGTGCATGCAGAGCTATTCCGTGGTCCCATTCAAACAAGTCAGGAGCTTCGACTTGCTTAATGGATCTCGAGACAGTCCCCAAGAACACTGTCACCAGTTTCGACGGACCCTGAGGTCACCCCAGCAACGCAAAGCAGCTCCATGGGCCCCAAATCAACTCGAGATGAGGCCCGATTCCCCTGCATTGACTCCAGAGCCATTCCCCGTTCCCCATTCAACACGACCGGTGGCTCGACTTCCTTCAGGCAACTCCAGAGATGCCCCGAGAACACTGTCCCAAGTCCAGAGGAACACCAACTTCAGCACGGCAATTCGAGGAATGCTCCGTGTACCCCAAATCGTCTCGAGATGAGAGGTGATTCCCTGGCTTAGGCTCAAGACGTATGCCAACTTTCCAGACGCACCTCAGGAGGAGGCTTCTCTCAGCAATAGGTATGTGGGAGGGACCCCGAGTTCGCTGCCTCAAGGGCAATATACAGCGAGAAGCCCTAACTTGAAAGGAGGCCGGATTTCCTTGCAGTGGCTTGAATACAGGCTCGTCTTTCATCTCACAACATGAAGGGATGTCTGAATCCCCTGTGGAGACCTTAGAGAAAGCCTTAGGTCCCTGCCTCATTTTGACGGAATGCCTCACATCCCATTGACACCTCAAGAGGCACGCGAAGTTCATTGCTTCAAAAGGTGACAATGCCTCACTCCTCTTGAATACTGATAGGAATCCCAAAATCCCTGTGGCTACTGGAAAGGGTCCTTGGGTGCCCTGCCTCACCTCGAGAAGCATCCCTTTTGCCCTGCCAAGCCTCGAAGTGATTCCTGAGGTGTCCCTCGTTACTAGACAGGAGTCCTGACGTCACTGAAGAAACTCGTGTTTTGAAGGGCCATCCCCGCCGTAAGTCGAGAACATACCCCAGGTCCCCGCCGCAACTCGAGAAAAACCATGAGACTTCCCCCTAGAGGCGAGATGAGACCCCAATCCCCTGCAGTGCATGCAGAGCTATTCCGTGGTCCCATTCAAACAAGTCAGGAGCTTCGACTTGCTTAATGGATCTCGAGACAGTCCTCAAGAACACTGTCACCAGTCTCGATGGACCCTGTGGTCACCCCAGCAACGCAAAGCAGCTCCATGTGCCCCAAATCAAATCGAGATGAGGCCCGATTCCCCTGCATTGATTCCAGAGCCATTCCCCGTTCCCCATTCAACACGAACGGTGGCTCGACTTCCTTCAGGCATTCCAGAGATACCCCGAGAACACTGTCCCAAGTCTAGAGGAACACCAACTTCAGCACAGCAACTCGAGGAATGCTCCGTGTACCCCAAATCGTCTCGAGATGAGAGCTGATTCCCTGGCTTAGGCTCAAGACGTATGCCAACTTTCTAGACGCACCTCAGGAGGAGGCTTCTCTCAGCAATAGGTATGTGGGAGGAACACCGAGTTCGCTGCCTCAAGGGCAATATACAGCGAGAAGCCCTAACTTGAAAGGAGGCCGGATTTCCTTGCAGTGGTTTGAATACAGGCTCGTCTTTCATCTCACAACATGAAGGGATGTCTGAATCCCCTATGGAGACCTTAGAGAAAGCCCTAGGTCCCTGCCTCATTTTGACGGAATGCCTCACATCCCGTTGACACCTCAAGAGGCACGCGAAGTTCATTGCTTCAAAAGGTGACAATGCCTCACTCCTCTTGAATACTGATAGGAATCCCAAAATCCCTGTGGCTACTGGAAAGGGTCCTTGGGTGCCCTGGCTGACCTCGAGAAGCGTCCCTTTTGCCCTGCCAAGCCTCGAAGAGATTCCTGAGGTGTCCCTCGTTACTAGACAGGAGTCCTGACGTCACTGAAGAAACTCGTGTTTTGAAGGGCCATCCCCGCCGTAAGTCGAGAACATACCCCAGGTCCCCGCCGCAACTCGAGAAAAAACATGAGACTTCCCCCTAGAGGCGAGATGAGGCCCCATTCCCCTGCTGTGCATGCAGAGCTATTCCGTGGTCCCATTCAAGCAAGTCAGGAGCTTCGACTTGCTTAATGGATCTCGAGACAGTCCCCAAGAACACTGTCACAAGTCTCGACAGACCCTGAGGTCACCCCAGCAACACAAAGCAGCTCCATGGGCCCCAAATCAACTCGAGATGAGGCGCGATTCCCCTGCATTGACTCCAGAGCCATTCCCCGTTCCCCATTCAACACGACCGGTGGCTCGACTTCTTTCAGGCAACTCCAGAGATACCCCGAGAACACTGTCCCAAGTCTAGAGGAACACCAACTTCAGCACAGCAACTCGAGGAATGCTCCGTGTACCCCAAATCGTCTCGAGGTGAGAGCTGATTCCCTGACTAGGCTCAAGCCGTATGCCAACTTTCAAGACGCACCTCAGGAGGAGGCTTCTCTCAGCAATAGGTATGTGGGAGGGACACCGAGTTCGCTGCCTCAAGGGCAATATACAGCGAGAAGCCCTAACTTGAAAGGAGGCCGGATTTCCTTGCAGTGGCTTGAATACAGGCTCGTCTTTCATCTCACAACATGAAGGGATGTCTGAATCCCCTGTGGAGACCTTAGAGAAAGCCCTAGGTCCCTGCCTCATTTTGACGGAATGCCTCACATCCCGTTGACACCTCAAGAGGCACGCGAAGTTCATTGCTTCAAAAGGTGACAATGGCTCACTCCTCTTGAATTCTGATAGGAATCCCAAAATCCCTGTGGCTACTGGAAAGGGTCCTTGGGTGCCCTTCCTCACATCGAGAAGCGTCCCTTTTGCCCTGCCAAGCCTCGAAGAGATTCCAGAGGTGTCCCTCGTTACTAGACAGTAGTCCTGATGTCACTGAAGAAACTCGTGTTTTGAAGGGCCATCCCCGCCTTAAGTCGAGAACATACCCCAGGTCCCCGCCGCAACTCGAGAAAAACCATGAGACTTCCCCCTAGAGGCGAGATGAGGCCCCATTCCCCTGCAGTGCATGCAGAGCTATTCCGTGGTCCCATTCAAGCAAGTCAGGAGCTTCGACTTGCTTAATGGTTCTCGAGACAGTCCCCAAGAACACTGTCACCAGTCTCGACGGACCCTGAGGTCACCCCAGCAACGCAAAGCAGCTCCATGTGCCCCAAATCAACTCGAGATGAGGCCCGATTCCCCTGCATTGATTCCAGAGCCATTCCCCGTTCCCCATTCAACACGAACGGTGGCTCGACTTCCTTCAGGCATTCCAGAGATACCCCGAGAACACTGTCCCAAGTCTAGAGGAACACCAACTTCAGCACAGCAACTCGAGGAATGCTCCGTGTACCCCAAATCGTCTCGAGATGAGAGCTGATTCCCTGGCTTAGGCTCAAGACGTATGCCAACTTTCCAGACGCACCTCAGGAGGAGGCTTCTCTCAGCAATAGGTATGTGGGAGGGACACCGAGTTCGCTGCCTCAAGGGCAATATACAGCGAGAAGCCCTAACTTGAAAGGAGGCCGGATTTCCTTGCAGTGGCTTGAATACAGGCTCGTCTTTCATCTCACAACATGAAGGGATGTCTGAATCCCCTATGGAGACCTTAGAGAAAGCCCTAGGTCCCTGCCTCATTTTGACGGAATGCCTCACATCCCGTTGACACCTCAAGAGGCACGCGAAGTTCATTGCTTCAAAAGGTGACAATGCCTCACTCCTCTTGAATACTGATAGGAATCCCAAAATCCCTGTGGCTACTGGAAAGGGTCCTTGGGTGCCCTGGCTGACCTCGAGAAGCGTCCCTTTTGCCCTGCCAAGCCTCGAAGAGATTCCTGAGGTGTCCCTCGTTACTAGACAGGAGTCCTGACGTCACTGAAGAAACTCGTGTTTTGAAGGGCCATCCCCGCCGTAAGTCGAGAACATACCCCAGGTCCCCGCCGCAACTCGAGAAAAAACATGAGACTTCCCCCTAGAGGCGAGATGAGGCCCCATTCCCCTGCTGTGCATGCAGAGCTATTCCGTGGTCCCATTCAAGCAAGTCAGGAGCTTCGACTTGCTTAATGGCTCTCGAGACAGTCCCCAAGAACACTGTCACAAGTCTCGACAGACCCTGAGGTCACCCCAGCAACACAAAGCAGCTCCATGGGCCCCAAATCAACTCGAGATGAGGCGCGATTCCCCTGCATTGACTCCAGAGCCATTCCCCGTTCCCCATTCAACACGACCGGTGGCTCGACTTCTTTCAGGCAACTCCAGAGATACCCCGAGAACACTGTCCCAAGTCTAGAGGAACACCAACTTCAGCACAGCAACTCGAGGAATGCTCCGTGTACCCCAAATCGTCTCGAGGTGAGAGCTGATTCCCTGACTTAGGCTCAAGCCGTATGCCAACTTTCAAGACGCACCTCAGGAGGAGGCTTCTCTCAGCAATAGGTATGTGGGAGGGACACCGAGTTCGCTGCCTCAAGGGCAATATACAGCGAGAAGCCCTAACTTGAAAGGAGGCCGGATTTCCTTGCAGTGGCTTGAATACAGGCTCGTCTTTCATCTCACAACATGAAGGGATGTCTGAATCCCCTGTGGAGACCTTAGAGAAAGCCCTAGGTCCCTGCCTCATTTTGACGGAATGCCTCACATCCCGTTGACACCTCAAGAGGCACGCGAAGTTCATTGCTTCAAAAGGTGACAATGGCTCACTCCTCTTGAATTCTGATAGGAATCCCAAAATCCCTGTGGCTACTGGAAAGGGTCCTTGGGTGCCCTTCCTCACATCGAGAAGCGTCCCTTTTGCCCTGCCAAGCCTCGAAGAGATTCCAGAGGTGTCCCTCGTTACTAGACAGGAGTCCTGACGTCACTGAAGAAACTCGTGTTTTGAAGGGCCATCCCCTCCGTAAGTCGAGAACATACCCCAGGTCCCCGCCGCAACTCGAGAAAAACCATGAGACTTCCCCCTAGAGGCGAGATGAGGCCCCATTCCCCTGCAGTGCATGCAGAGCTATTCCGTGGTCCCATTCAAGCAAGTCAGGAGCTTCGACTTGCTTAATGGTTCTCGAGACAGTCCCCAAGAACACTGTCACCAGTCTCGACGGACCCTGAGGTCACCCCAGCAACACAAAGCAGCTCCATGTGCCCCAAATCAACTCGAGATGAGGCCCGATTCCCCTGCATTGACTCGAGAGCCATTCCCCGTTCCCCATTCAACACTACCGGTGGCTCGACTTCCTTCAGGCAACTCCAGAGATACCCCGAGAACACTGTCCCAAGTCTAGAGGAACACCAACTTCAGCACAGCAACTCGAGGAATGCTCCTTGTACCCCAAATCATCTCGAGATGAGAGGTGATTCCCTGGCTTAGGCTCAAGATGTAAGCCAACTTTCCAGAAGCACCTCAGGAGGAGGCTTCTCTCAGCAATAGGTATGTGGGAGGGACCCCGAGTTCGCTGCCTCAAGGGCAATATACAGCGAGAAGCCCTAACTTGAATGGAGGCCGGATTTCCTTGCAGTGACTTGAATACAGGCTCGTCTTTCATCTCACAACATGAAGGGATGTCTGAATCCCCTGTGGAGACCTTAGAGAAAGCCCTAGGTCCCTGCCTCATTTTGACGGAATGCCTCACATCCCGTTGACACCTCAAGAGGCACGCGAAGTTCATTGCTTCAAAAGGTGACAATGCCTCACTCCTCTTGAATACTGATAGGAAACCCAAAATCCCTGTGGCTACTGGAAAGGGTCCTTGGGTGCCCTGCCTCACCTCGAGAAGCGTCCCTTTTGCCCTGCCAAGCCTCGAAGAGATTCCTGAGGTGTCCCTCATTACTAGACAGGAGTCCTGACGTCACTGAAGAAACTCGTGTTTTGAAGGGCCATCCCCGCCGTAAGTCGAGAACATACCCCAGGTCCCCGCCGCAACTCGAGAAAAACCATGAGACTTCCCCCTAGAGGCGAGATGAGGCCCCATTCCCCTGCAGTGCATGCAGAGCTTCCGTGGTCCCATTCAAGCAAGTCAGGAGCTTCGACTTGCTTAATGGTTCTCGAGACAGTCCCCAAGAACACTGTCACCAGTCTCGACGGACGCTGAGGTCACCCCAGCAACGCAAAGCGGCTCCATGGACCCCAAATCAACTCGAGATGAGGCCCGATTCCCCTGCATTGACTCCAGAGCCATTCCCGTTTCCCCATTCAACACGACCGGTGGCTCGACTTCCTTCAGGCAACTCCAGAGATGCCCCGAGAACACTGTCCGAAGTCTAGAGGAACACCAACTTCAGCACAGCAACTCGAGGAATGTTCCGTGCACCCCAAATCGTCTCGAGATGAGAGCTGATTCCCTGGCTTAGGCTCAAGACGTATGCCAACTTTAAAGACGCATCTCAGGAGGAGGCTTCTCTCAGCAATAGGTATTTGGGAGGGACCCCGAGTTCGCTGCCTCAAGGGCAATATACAGCGAGAAGCCCTAACTTGAAAGGAGGCCGGATTTCCTTGCAGTGGCTTGAATACAGGCTCGTCTTTGATCTCACAACATGAAGGGATGTCTGAATGCCCTTTGGAGATCTTAGAGAAAGCCCTAGGTCCCTGCCTCATTTGGACGTAATGCCTCACATCCCGTTAACACCTCGAGAGGCACGCGGAGTTCATTGCTTCAAAAGGTGACGATGCCTGACTCCTCTTGAATACTGATAGGAATCCCAAAATCCCTGTGGCTACTGGAAAGTGTCTTGGGTGCCCTGACTCACCTCGAGAAGCGTCCCTTTTGCCCTGCCAAGCCTCGAAGAGATTCCTGAGCTTTCCCACGTTACTAGACAGGAGTCCTGACGTCACTGAAGAAACTCGTGTTTTGAAGGGCCATCCCCGCCGTAAGTCGAGAACATACCCCAGGTCCCCGCCGCAACTCGAGAAAAACCATGAGACTTCCCCCTAGAGGCGTGATGAGACCCCATTCCCCTGCAGTGCATGCAGAGCTATTCCGTGGTCCCATTCAAACAAGTCAGGAGCTTCGACTTGCTTAATGGATCTCGAGACAGTCCCCAAGAACACTGTCACCAGTCTCGACGGACGCTGAGGTCACCCCAGCAACGCAAATCCGCTCCATGTGCCCCAAATCAACTCGAGATGAGGCCCGATTCCCCTGCATTGAATCCAGAGCCATTCCCCGTTCCCCATTCAACACGACCGGTGCCTCGACTTCCTTCAGGCAACTCCAGAGATGCCCCGAGAACACTGTCCCAAGTCTAGAGGAACACCAACTTCAGCACGGCAACTCGAGGAATGCTCCGTGTACCCCAAATCGTCTCGAGATGAGAGGTGATTCCCTGGCTTAAGCTCAAGACGTATGCCAACTTTCCAGACGCACCTCAGGAGGAGGCTTCTCTCAGCAATAGGTATGTGGGAGGGACCCCGAGTTCGCTGCCTCAAGGGCAATATACAGCGAGAAGCCCTAACTTGAAAGGAGGCCGGATTTCCTTGCAGTGGCTTGAATACAGGCTCGTCTTTCATCTCACAACATGAAGGGATGTCTGAATCCCCTGTGGAGACCTTAGAGAAAGCCCTAGGTCCCTGCCTCAATTTTGACGGAATGCCTCACATCCCGTTGACACCTCAAGAGGCACGCGAACTTCATTGCTTCAAAAGGTGACAATGCCTCACTCCTCTTGAATACTGATAGGAAACCCAAAATCCCTGTGGCTACTGGAAAGGGTCCTTGGGTGCCCTGCCTCACCTCAAGAAGCGTCCCTTTTGCCCTGCCAAGCCTCGAAGAGATTCCTGAGGTGTCCCTCATTACTAGACAGGAGTCCTGACGTCACTGAAGAAACTCGTGTTTTGAAGGGCCATCCCCGCCGTAAGTCGAGAACATACCCCAGGTCCCCGCCGCAACTCGAGAAAAACCATGAGACTTCCCCCTAGAGGCGAGATGAGGCCCCATTCCCCTGCAGTGCATGCAGAGCTTCCGTGGTCCCATTCAAGCAAGTCAGGAGCTTCGACTTGCTTAATGGTTCTCGAGACAGTCCCCAAGAACACTGTCACCAGTCTCGACGGACGCTAAGGTCACCCCAGCAACGCAAAGCGGCTCCATGGACCCCAAATCAACTCGAGATGAGGCCCGATTCCCCTGCATTGACTCCAGAGCCATTCCCCGTTCCCCATTCAACACGACCGGTGGCTCGACTTCCTTCAGGCAACTCCAGAGATGCCCCGAGAACACTGTCCGAAGTCTAGAGGAACACCAACTTCAGCACAGCAACTCGAGGAAAGCTCCGTGTATCCCAAATCGTCTCGAGATGAGAGCTGATTCCCTGGCTTAGGCTCAAGACGTATGCCAACTTTCAAGACGCATCTCAGGAGGAGGCTTCTCTCAGCAATACGTATTTGGGAGGGACCCCGAGTTCGCTGCCTCAAGGGCAATATACAGCGAGAAGCCCTAACTTGAAAGGAGGCCGGATTTCCTTGCAGTGGCTTGAATACAGGCTCGTCTTTGATCGCACAACATGAAGGGATGTCTGAATGCCCTGTGGAGATCTTAGAGAAAGCCCTAGGTCCCTGCCTCATTTGGACGTAATGCCTCACATCCCGTTGACACGTCGAGAGGCACGCGGAGTACATTGCTTCAAAAGGTGACGATGCCTGACTCCTCTTGAATACTGATAGGAATCCCAAAATCCCTGTGGCTACTGGAAAGTGTCTTGGGTGCCCTGACTCACCTCGAGAAGCGTCCCTTTTTCCCTGCCAAGCCTCGAAGAGATTCCTGAGCTTTCCCTCGTTACTAGACAGGAGTCCTGACGTCACTGAAGAAACTCCTGTTTTGAAGGGCCATCCCCGCCGTAAGTCGAGAACATACCCCAGGTCCCCGCCGCAACTCGAGAAAAACCATGAGACTTCCCCCTAGAGGCGTGATGAGACCCCATTCCCCTGCAGTGCATGCAGAGCTATTCCGTGGTCCCATTCAAACAAGTCAGGAGCTTCGACTTGCTTAATGGATCTCGAGACAGTCCCCAAGAACACTGTCACCAGTCTCGACGGACGCTGAGGTCACCCCAGCAACGCAAAGCCGCTCCATGTGCCCCAAATCAACTCGAGATGAGGCCCGATTCCCCTGCGTTGACTCCAGAGCCATTCCCCGTTCCCCATTCAACACGACCGGTGGCTCGACTTCCTTCAGGCAACTCCAGAGATGCCCCGAAAACACTGTCCCAAGTCTAGAGGAACACCAACTTCAGCACGGCAACTCGAGGAATGCTCCGTGTACCCCAAATCGTCTCGAGATGAGAGGTGATTCCCTGGCTTAGGCTCAAGACGTATGCCAACTTTCCAGACGCACCTCAGGAGGAGGCTTCTCTCAGCAATAGGTATGTGGGAGGGACCCCGAGTTCGCTGCCTCAAGGGCAATATACAGCGAGAAGCCCTAACTTGAAAGGAGGCCGGATTTCCTTGCAGTGGCTTGAATACAGGCTCGTCTTTCATCTCACAACATGAAGGGATGTCTGAATCCCCTGTGGAGACCTTAGAGAAAGCCCTAGGTCCCTGCCTCATTTGGACGGAATGCCTCACATCCCGTTGACACCTCGAGAGGCACGCGGAGTTCATTGCTTCAAAAGGTGACGATGCCTGACTCCTCTTGAATTCTGATAGGAATCCCAAAATCACTGTGGCTACTGGAAAGGGTCCTTGCGTGCCCTGCCTCACCTCAAGAAGCGTCCCATTTGCACTGCCAAGCCTCGATGAGATTCCTGAGGTGTCCCTCGTTACTAGACAGGCGTCCTGACGTCACTGAAGAAACTCGTGTTTTGAAGGGCCATCCCCGCCGTAAGTCGAGAACATACCCCATGTCCCCGCCGCAACTCGAGAAAAACCATGAGACTTCCCCCTAGAGGCGAGATGAGGCCCCATTCCCCTGCAGTGCATGTAGAGCTATTCCGTGGTCCCATTCAAACAAGTCAGGAGCTTCGACTTGCTTAATGGATCTCGAGACAGTCCCCAAGAACACTGTCACCAGTCTCGACGGACGCTGAGGTCAACCCAGCAACGCAAAGCAGCTCCATGTGCCCCAAATCAACTCGAGATGAGGCCCGATTCCCCTGCATTGACTCCAGAGCCATTCCCCGTTCCCCATTCAACACGACCGGTGGCTCGACTTCCTTCAGGCAACTCCAGAGATGCCCCGAGAACACTGTCCGAAGTCTAGAGGAACACCAACTTCAGCACAGCAACTCGAGGAAAGCTCCGTGTATCCCAAATCGTCTCGAGATGAGAGCTGATTCCCTGGCTTAGGCTCAAGACGTATGCCAACTTTCAAGACGCATCTCAGGAGGAGGCTTCTCTCAGCAATACGTATTTGGGAGGGACCCCGAGTTCGCTGCCTCAAGGGCAATATACAGCGAGAAGCCCTAACTTGAAAGGAGGCCGGATTTCCTTGCAGTGGCTTGAATACAGGCTCGTCTTTGATCGCACAACATGAAGGGATGTCTGAATGCCCTGTGGAGATCTTAGAGAAAGCCCTAGGTCCCTGCCTCATTTGGACGTAATGCCTCACATCCCGTTGACACGTCGAGAGGCACGCGGAGTACATTGCTTCAAAAGGTGACGATGCCTGACTCCTCTTGAATACTGATAGGAATCCCAAAATCCCTGTGGCTACTGGAAAGTGTCTTGGGTGCCCTGACTCACCTCGAGAAGCGTCCCTTTTTCCCTGCCAAGCCTCGAAGAGATTCCTGAGCTTTCCCTCGTTACTAGACAGGAGTCCTGACGTCACTGAAGAAACTCCTGTTTTGAAGGGCCATCCCCGCCGTAAGTCGAGAACATACCCCAGGTCCCCGCCGCAACTCGAGAAAAACCATGAGACTTCCCCCTAGAGGCGTGATGAGACCCCATTCCCCTGCAGTGCATGCAGAGCTATTCCGTGGTCCCATTCAAACAAGTCAGGAGCTTCGACTTGCTTAATGGATCTCGAGACAGTCCCCAAGAACACTGTCACCAGTCTCGACGGACGCTGAGGTCACCCCAGCAACGCAAAGCCGCTCCATGTGCCCCAAATCAACTCGAGATGAGGCCCGATTCCCCTGCGTTGACTCCAGAGCCATTCCCCGTTCCCCATTCAACACGACCGGTGGCTCGACTTCCTTCAGGCAACTCCAGAGATGCCCCGAAAACACTGTCCCAAGTCTAGAGGAACACCAACTTCAGCACGGCAACTCGAGGAATGCTCCGTGTACCCCAAATCGTCTCGAGATGAGAGGTGATTCCCTGGCTTAGGCTCAAGACGTATGCCAACTTTCCAGACGCACCTCAGGAGGAGGCTTCTCTCAGCAATAGGTATGTGGGAGGGACCCCGAGTTCGCTGCCTCAAGGGCAATATACAGCGAGAAGCCCTAACTTGAAAGGAGGCCGGATTTCCTTGCAGTGGCTTGAATACAGGCTCGTCTTTCATCTCACAACATGAAGGGATGTCTGAATCCCCTGTGGAGACCTTAGAGAAAGCCCTAGGTCCCTGCCTCATTTGGACGGAATGCCTCACATCCCGTTGACACCTCGAGAGGCACGCGGAGTTCATTGCTTCAAAAGGTGACGATGCCTGACTCCTCTTGAATTCTGATAGGAATCCCAAAATCACTGTGGCTACTGGAAAGGGTCCTTGCGTGCCCTGCCTCACCTCAAGAAGCGTCCCATTTGCACTGCCAAGCCTCGATGAGATTCCTGAGGTGTCCCTCGTTACTAGACAGGCGTCCTGACGTCACTGAAGAAACTCGTGTTTTGAAGGGCCATCCCCGCCGTAAGTCGAGAACATACCCCATGTCCCCGCCGCAACTCGAGAAAAACCATGAGACTTCCCCCTAGAGGCGAGATGAGGCCCCATTCCCCTGCAGTGCATGTAGAGCTATTCCGTGGTCCCATTCAAACAAGTCAGGAGCTTCGACTTGCTTAATGGATCTCGAGACAGTCCCCAAGAACACTGTCACCAGTCTCGACGGACGCTGAGGTCAACCCAGCAACGCAAAGCAGCTCCATGTGCCCCAAATCAACTCGAGATGAGGCCCGATTCCCCTGCATTGACTCCAGAGACATTCCCCGTTCCCCATTCAACACGACCGGTGGCTCGACTTCCTTCAGGCAACTGCAGAGATGCCCCGATAACACTCTCCCAAGTCTAGAGGAACACCAACTTCAGCACAGCAACTCGAGGAATGCTCCGTGTACCCCAAATCGTCTCGAGATGAGAGCTGATTCCCTGGCTTAGGCTCAAGACGTATGCCAACTTTCCAGACGCACCTCAGGAGGAGGCTTCTCTCAGCAATAGGTATGTGGGAGCGACCCCGAGTTCGCTGCCTCAAGGGCAATATACAGCGAGAAGCCCTAACTTGATAGGAGGCCGGATTTCCTTGCAGTGGCTTGAATACAGGCTCGTCTTTCATCTCACGACATGAAGGGATGTCTGAATCCCCTGTGGAGACCTTAGAGAAAGCCCTAGGTCCCTGCCTCATTTTGACGGAATGCCTCACATCCCGTTGACACCTCAAGAGGCACGCGAAGTTCATTGCTTCAAAAGGTGACAATGCCTCACTCCTCTTGAATACTGATAGGAATCCCAAAATCCCTGTGGCTACTGGAAAGGGTCCTTGGGTGCCCTGCCTCACCTCGAGAAGCGTCCCTTTTGCCCTGCCAAGCCTCGAAGAGATTCCTGAGGTGTCCCTCGTTACTAGACAGTAGTCCTGACGTCACTGAAGAAACTCGTGTTTTGAAGGGCCATCCCCGCCGTAAGTCGAGAACATACCCCAGGTCCCCGCCGCAACTCGAGAAAAACCATGAGACTTCCCCCTAGAGGCGAGATGAGGCCCCATTCCCCTGCAGTGCATGCAGAGCTATTCCGTGGTCCCATTCAAGCAAGTCAGGAGCTTCGACTTGCTTAATGGTTCTCGAGACAGTCCCCAAGAACACTGTCACCAGTCTCTACGGACCCTGAGGTCACCCCAGCAACGCAAAGCAGCTCCATGGGCCCCAAATCAACTCGAGATGAGGCCCGATTCCCCTGCATTGACTCCAGAGCCATTCCCTGTTCCCCATTCAACACGACCGGTGGCTCGACTTCCTTCAGGCAACTCCAGAGATGCCCCGAGAACACTGTCCCAAGTCTAGAGGAACACCAACTTCAGCACGGCAACTCGAGGAATGCTCCGTGTACCCCAAATCGTCTCGAGATGAGAGCTGATTCCCTGGCTTAGGCTCAAGACGTATGCCAACTTTCAAGACGCACCTCAGGAGGAGGCGTCTCAGCAATAGGTATGTGGGAGGGACCCCGAATTCGCTGCCTCAAGGGCAATATACAGCGAGAAGCCCTAACTTGAAAGGAGGCTGGATTTCCTTGCAGTGGCTTGAATACAGACTCGTCTTTCATCTCACAACATGAAGGGATGTCTGAATCCCCTGTGGAGACCTTAGAGAAAGCCCTAGGTCCCTGCCTCATTTGGACGGAATGCCTCACATCCCGTTGACACCTCGAGAGGCACGCGGAGTTCATTGCTTCAAAAGGTGACGATGCCTGACTACTCTTGAATTCTGATAGGAATCCCCAAATCACTGTGGCTACTGGAAAGGGTCCTTGCGTGCCCTACCTCACCTCAAGAAGCGTCCCATTTGCACTGCCAAGCCTCGATGAGATTCCTGAGGTGTCCCTCGTTACTAGACAGGAGTCCTGATGTCACTAAAGAAACTCGTGTTTTGAAGGGCCATCCCCGCCGTAAGTCGAGAACATACCCCAGGTCCCCGCCGCAACTCGAGAAAAACCATGAGACTTCCCCCTAGAGGCGAGATGAGACCCCATTCCCCTGCAGTGCATGCAGAGCTATTCCGTGGTCCCATTCAAACAAGTCAGGAGCTTCGACTTGCTTAATGGATCTCGAGACAGTCCTCAAGAACATTGTCACCAGTCTCGATGGAACCTGAGGTCACCCCAGCAACGCAAAGCAGCTCCATGTGCCCCAAATCAACTCGAGATGAGGCCCGATTCCCCTGCATTGACTCCAGAGCCATTCCCCGTTCCCCATTCAACACGAACGGTGGCTCGACTTCCTTCAGGCAACTCCAGAGATACCCCGAGAACACTGTCCCAAGTCTAGAGGAACACCAACTTCAGCACGGCAAATCGAGGAATGCTCCGTGTACCCCAAATCGTCTCGAGATGAGAGGTGATTCCCTGGCTTAGGCTCAAGACGTATGCCAACTTTCAAGACGCACCTCAGGAGGAGGCTTCTCTCAGCAATAGGTATGTGGGAGGGACCCCGAGTTCGCAGCCTCAAGGGCAATATACAGCGAGAAGCCCTAACTTGAAAGCAGGCCGGATTTCCTTGCAGTGGCTTGAATACAGGCTCGTCTTTGATCTCACAACATGAAGGGATGTCTGAATCCCCTGTGGAGACCTTAGAGAAAGACCTAGGTCCCTGCCTCAATTGGACGGAATGCCTCACATCCCGTTGACACCTCGAGAGGCACGCAGAGTTCATTGCTTCAAAACGTGACGATGCCTGACTCCTCTTGAATACTGATAGGAATCCCAAAATCCCTGTGGCTACTGGAAAGGGTCCTTGGGTGCCCTGCCTCACCTCGAGAAGCGTCCCTTTTGCCCTGCCAAGCCTCGAAGAGATTCCTGAGGTGTCCCTCGTTACTAGACAGGAGTCCTGACTTCACTGAAGAAACTCGTGTTTTGAATTGCCATCCCCGCCGTAAGTCGAGAACATACCCCAGGTCCCCGCCGCAACTCGAGAAAAACCATGAGACTTCCCCCTAGAGGCGAGATGAGACCCCATTCCCCTGCAGTACATGCAGAGCTATTCCGTGGTCCCATTCAAACAAGTCAGGAGCTTCGACTTGCTTAATGGATCTCGAGACAGTCCCCAAGAACACTGTCACCAGTCTCGACGGACCCTGAGGTCACCCCAGCAACGCAAAGAAGCTCCCTGGGCCCCAAATCAACTCGAGATGAGGCCCGATTCCCCTGCATTGACTCCAGAGCCATTCCCCGTTCCCCATTCAACACGACCGGTGGCTCGACTTCCTTCAGGCAACTCCAGAGATGCCCCGAGAACACTGTCCCAAGTCTAGAGGAACACCAACTTCAGCACGGCAACTCGAGGAATGCTCCGTGTACCCCAAATCGTCTCGAGATGAGAGCTGATTCCCTGGCTTAGGCTCAAGACGTATGCCAACTTTCAAGACGCACCTCAGGAGGATGCTTCTCTCAGCAATAGGTATGTGGGAGGGACCCCGAGTTCGCTGCCTCAAGGGCAATATACAGCGAGAAGCCCTAACTTGAAAGGAGGCCGGATTTCCTTGCAGTGGCTTGAATACAGGCTCGTCTTTCTTCTCACAACATGAAGGGATGTCTTAATCCCCTGTGGAGACCTTAGAGAAAGCCCAAGGTCCCTGCCTCATTTGGACGGAATGCCTCACATCCCGCTGACACCTCAAGAGGCACGCGAAGTTCATTGTTTCAAAAGGTGACAATGCCTCACTCCTCTTGAATACTGATAGGAATCCCAAAACCACTGTGGCTACTGGAAAGGGTCCTTGGGTGCCCTGCCTCACCTCGAGAAGCGTCCCGTTTGCCCTGCCAAGCCTCGAAGAGATTCCTGAGGTGTCCCTCGTTACTAGACAGGAGTCCTGACGTCACTGAAGAAACTCGTGTTTTGAATTGCCATCCCCGCCGTAAGTCGAGAACATACCCCAGGTCCCCGCCGCAACTCGAGAAAAACCATGAGACTTCCCCCTAGAGGCGAGATGAGGCCCCATTCCCCTGCAGTGCATGCAGAGCTATTCCGTGGTCCCATTAAAGCAAGTCAGGAGCTTCGACTTGCTTAATGGATCTCGAGACAGTCCCCAAGAACACTGTCACCAGTCTCGACGGACCCTGAGGTCACCCCAGCAACACAAAGCAGCTCCATGGGCCCCAAATCAACTCGAGATGAGGCCCGATTCCCCTGCATTGACTCCAGAGCGATTCCCCGTTCCCCATTCAACACGACCGGTGGCTCGACTTCCTTCAGGCAACTCCAGAGATGCCCCGAGAACACTGTCCCAAGTCTAGAGGAACACCAACTTCAGCACGGCAACTCGAGGAATGCTCCGTGTACCCCAAATCGTCTCGAGATGAGAGGTGATTCCCTGGCTTAGGCTCAAGACGTATGCCAACTTTCAAGACGCACCTCAGGAGGAGGCTTCTCTCAGCAATAGGTATGTGGGAGGGACCCCGAGTTCGCTGCCTCAAGGGCAATATACAGCGAGAAGCCCTAACTTGAAAGGAGGCCGGATTTCCTTGCAGTGGCTTGAATACAGACTCGTCTTTCATCTCACAACATGAAGGGATGTCTGAATCCCCTGTGGAGACCTTAGAGAAAGCCCTAGGTCCCTGCCTCATTTGGACGGAATGCCTCACATCCCGTTGACACCTCGAGAGGCACGCAGAGTTCATTGCTTCAAAACGTGACGATGCCTGACTCCTCTTGAATACTGATAGGAATCCCAAAATCCATGTGGCTACTGGAAAGGGTCCTTGGGTGCCCTGCCTCACCTCGAGAAGCGTCCCTTTTGCCCTGCCAAGCCTCGAAGTGATTCCTGAGGTGTCCCTCGTTACTAGACAGGAGTCCTGACGTCACTGAAGAAACTCGTGTTTTGAAGGGCCATCCCCGCCGTAAGTCGAGAACATACCCCAGGTCCCCGCCGCAACTCGAGAAAAACCATGAGACTTCCCCCTAGAGGCGAGATGAGGCCCCATTCCCCTGCAGTGCATGCAGAGCTATTCCGTGGTCCCATTCAAGCAAGTCAGGAGCTTCGACTTGCTTAATGGATCTCGAGACAGGCCCCAAGAACACTGTCACCAGTCTCGACGGACCCTGAGGTCACCCCAGCAACACAAAGCAGCTCCATGGGCCCCAAATCAACTCGAGATGAGGCCCGATTCCCCTGCATTGACTCCAGAGCCATTCCCCGTTCCCCATTCAACACGACCGGTGGCTCGACTTCCTTCAGGCAACTCCAGAGATGCCCCGAGAACACTGTCCCAAGTCTAGAGGAACACCAACTTCAGCACGGCAACTCGAGGAATGCTCCGTGTACCCCAAATCGTCTCGAGATGAGAGGTGATTCCCTGGCTTAGGCTCAAGACGTATGCCAACTTTCAAGACGCACCTCAGGAGGAGGCTTCTCTCAGCAATAGGTATGTGGGAGGGACCCCGAGTTCGCTGCCTCAAGGGCAATATACAGCGAGAAGCCCTAACTTGAAAGGAGGCCGGATTTCCTTGCAGTGGCTTGAATACAGGCTCGTCTTTCTTCTCACAACATGAAGGGATGTCTTAATCCCCTGTGGAGACCTTAGAGAAAGCCCAAGGTCCCTGCCTCATTTGGACGGAATGCCTCACATCCCGCTGACACCTCAAGAGGCACGCGAAGTTCATTGTTTCAAAAGGTGACAATGCCTCACTCCTCTTGAATACTGATAGGAATCCCAAAATCACTGTGGCTACTGGAAAGGGTCCTTGGGTGCCCTGCCTCAGCTCGAGAAGCGTCCCGTTTGCACTGCCAAGCCTCGAAGAGATTCCTGAGGTGTCCCTCGTTACTAGACAGGAGTCCTGACGTCACTGAAGAAACTCGTGTTTTGAATTGCCATCCCCGCCGTAAGTCGAGAACATACCCCGGTCCGCGCCGCAACTCGAGAAAAACCATGAGACTTCCCCCTAGAGGCGAGATGAGGCCCCATTCCCCTGCAGTGCATGCAGAGCTATTCCGTGGTCCCATTCAAGCAAGTCAGGAGCTTCGACTTGCTTAATGGTTCTCGAGACAGTCCCCAAGAACACTGTCACCAGTCTCGACGGACCCTGAGGTCACCCCAGCAACGCAAAGCAGCTCCATGGGCCCCAAATCAACTCGAGATGAGGCCCGATTCCCCTGCATTGACTCCAGAGCCATTCCCCGTTCACCATTCAACACGACCGGTGGCTCGACTTCCTTCAGGCAACTCCAGAGATGCCCCGAGAACACTGTCCCAAGTCTAGAGGAACACCAACTTCAGCACGGCAACTCGAGGAATGCTCCGTGTACCCCAAATCGTCTCGAGATGAGAGGTGATTCCCTGGCTTAGGCTCAAGACGTATGCCAACTTTCAAGACGCACCTCAGGAGGAGGCTTCTCTCAGCAATAGGTATGTGGGAGGGACCCCGAGTTCGCTGCCTCAAGGGCAATATACAGCGAGAAGCCCTAACTTGAAAGGAGGCCGGATTTCCTTGCAGTGGCTTGAATACAGACTCGTCTTTCATCTCACAACATGAAGGGATGTCTGAATCCCCTGTGGAGACCTTAGAGAAAGCCCTAGGTCCCTGCCTCATTTGGACGGAATGCCTCACATCCCGTTGACACCTCGAGAGGCACGCAGAGTTCATTGCTTCAAAACGTGACGATGCCTGACTCCTCTTGAATACTGATAGGAATCCCAAAATCCATGTGGCTACTGGAAAGGGTCCTTGGGTGCCCTGCCTCACCTCGAGAAGCGTCCCTTTTGCCCTGCCAAGCCTCGAAGAGATTCCTGAGGTGTCCCTCGTTACTAGACAGGAGTCCTGACGTCACTGAAGAAACTCGTGTTTTGAAGGGCCATCCCCGCCGTAAGTCGAGAACATACCCCAGGTCCCCGCCGCAACTCGAGAAAAACCATGAGACTTCCCCCTAGAGGCGAGATGAGACCCCATTCCCCTGCAGTGCATGCAGAGCTATTCCGTGGTCCCATTCAAACAAGTCAGGAGCTTCGACTTGCTTAATGGATCTCGAGACAGTCCCCAAGAACACTGTCACCAGTTTCGACGGACCCTGAGGTCACCCCAGCAACGCAAAGCAGCTCCATGGGCCCCAAATCAACTCGAGATGAGGCCCGATTCCCCTGCATTGACTCCAGAGCCATTCCCCGTTCCCCATTCAACACGACCGGTGGCTCGACTTCCTTCAGGCAACTCCAGAGATGCCCCGAGAACACTGTCCCAAGTCCAGAGGAACACCAACTTCAGCACGGCAATTCGAGGAATGCTCCGTGTACCCCAAATCGTCTCGAGATGAGAGGTGATTCCCTGGCTTAGGCTCAAGACGTATGCCAACTTTCAAGACGCACCTCAGGAGGAGGCTTCTCTCAGCAATAGGTATGTGGGAGGGACCCCGAGTTCGCTGCCTCAAGGGCAATATACAGCGAGAAGCCCTAACTTGAAAGGAGGCCGGATTTCCTTGCAGTGGCTTGAATACAGGCTCGTCTTTGATCTCACAACATGAAGGGATGTCTGAATCCCCTGTGGAGACCTTAGAGAAAGCCCTAGGTCCCTGCCTCATTTGGACGGAATGCCTCACATCCCGTTGACACCTCGAGAGGCACGCGGAGTTCATTGCTTCAAAAGGTGACGATGCCTGACTCCTCTTGAATTCTGATAGGAATCCCAAAATCCCTGTGGCTACTGGAAAGGGTACTTGGGTGCCCTGCCTCACCTCAAGAAGCGTCCCATTTGCACTGCCAAGCCTCGATGAGATTCCTGAGGTGTCCCTGGTTACTAGACAGGAGTCCTGACGTCACTGAAGAAACTCGTGTTTTGAAGGGCCATCCCCGCCGTAAGTCGAGAACATACCCCAGGTCCCCGCCGCAACTCGAGAAAAACCATGAGACTTCCCCCTAGAGGCGAGATGAGGCCCCATTCCCCTGCAGTGCATGCAGAGCTATTCCGTGGTCCCATTCAAACAAGTCAGGAGCTTCGACTTGCTTAATGGATCTCGAGACAGTCCCCAAGAACACTGTCACCAGTCTCGACGGACGCTGAGGTCACACCAGCAACGCAAAGCAGCTCCATGTGCCCGAAATCAACTCGAGATGAGGCCCGATTCCCCTGCATTGACTCCAGAGCAATTCCCCGTTCCCCATTCAACACGATCGGTGGCTCGACTTCCTTCAGGCAACTCCAGAGATACCCCGAGAACACTGTCCCAAGTCTAGAGGAACACCAACTTCAGCACAGCAACTCGAGGAATGCTCCGTGTACCACAAATCGTCTCGAGATGAGAGCTGATCCCCTGGCTTAGGCTCAAGACGTATGCCAACTTTCCAGACGCACCTCAGGAGGAGGCTTCTCTCAGCAATAGGTATGTGGGAGGGACCCCGAGTTCGCTGCCTCAAGGGCAATATACAGCGAGAAGCCCTAACTTGAAAGGAGGCCGGATTTCCTTGCAGTGGCTTGAATACAGGCTCGTCTTTCATCTCACAACATGAAGGGATGTCTGAATCCCCTGTGGAGACCTTAGAGAAAGCCCTAGGTCCCTGCCTCATTTTGACGGAATGCCTCACATCCCATTGACACCTCAAGAGGCACGCGAAGTTCATTGCTTCAAAAGGTGACAATGCCTCACTCCTCTTGAATACTGATAGGAATCCCAAAATCCCTGTGGCTACTGGAAAGGGTCCTTGGGTGCCCTGCCTCACCTCGAGAAGCATCCCTTTTGCCCTGCCAAGCCTCGAAGAGATTCCTGAGGTGTCCCTCGTTACTAGACAGGAGTCCTGACGTCACTGAAGAAACTCGTGTTTTGAAGGGCCATCCCCGCCGTAAGTCGAGAACATACCCCAGGTCCCCGCCGCAACTCGAGAAAAACCATGAGACTTCCCCCTAGAGGCGAGATGAGACCCCAATCCCCTGCAGTGCATGCAGAGCTATTCCGTGGTCCCATTCAAACAAGTCAGGAGCTTCGACTTGCTTAATGGATCTCGAGACAGTCCTCAAGAACACTGTCACCAGTCTCGATGGACCCTGTGGTCACCCCAGCAACGCAAAGCAGCTCCATGTGCCCCAAATCAACTCAAGATGAGGCCCGATTCCCCTGCATTGATTCCAGAGCCATTCCCCGTTCCCCATTCAACACGAACGGTGGCTCGACTTCCTTCAGGCATTCCAGAGATACCCCGAGAACACTGTCCCAAGTCTAGAGGAACACCAACTTCAGCACAGCAACTCGAGGAATGCTCCGTGTACCCCAAATCGTCTCGAGATGAGAGCTGATTCCCTGGCTTAGGCTCAAGACGTATGCCAACTTTCCAGACGCACCTCAGGAGGAGGCTTCTCTCAGCAATAGGTATGTGGGAGGAACACCGAGTTCGCTGCCTCAAGGGCAATATACAGCGAGAAGCCCTAACTTGAAAGGAGGCCGGATTTCCTTGCAGTGGCTTGAATACAGGCTCGTCTTTCATCTCACAACATGAAGGGATGTCTGAATCCCCTATGGAGACCTTAGAGAAAGCCCTAGGTCCCTGCCTCATTTTGACGGAATGCCTCACATCCCGTTGACACCTCAAGAGGCACGCGAAGTTCATTGTTTCAAAAGGTGACAATGCCTCACTCCTCTTGAATACTGATAGGAATCCCAAAATCCCTGTGGCTACTGGAAAGGGTCCTTGGGTGCCCTGCCTGACCTCGAGAAGCGTCCCTTTTGCCCTGCCAAGCCTCGAAGAGATTCCTGAGGTGTCCCTCGTTACTAGACAGGAGTCCTGACGTCACTGAAGAAACTCGTGTTTTGAAGGGCCATCCCCGCCGTAAGTCGAGAACATACCCCAGGTCCCCGCCGCAACTCGAGAAAAAACATGAGACTTCCCCCTAGAGGCGAGATGAGGCCCCATTCCCCTGCTGTGCATGCAGAGCTATTCCGTGGTCCCATTCAAGCAAGTCAGGAGCTTCGACTTGCTTAATGGATCTCGAGACAGTCCCCAAGAACACTGTCACAAGTCTCGACAGACCCTGAGGTCACCCCAGCAACACGAAGCAGCTCCATGGGCCCCAAATCAACTCGAGATGAGGCGCGATTCCCCTGCATTGACTCCAGAGCCATTCCCCGTTCCCCATTCAACACGACCGGTGGCTCGACTTCTTTCAGGCAACTCCAGAGATACCCCGAGAACACTGTCCCAAGTCTAGAGGAACACCAACTTCAGCACAGCAACTCGAGGAATGCTCCGTGTACCCCAAATCGTCTCGAGGTGAGAGCTGATTCCCTGACTAGGCTCAAGCCGTATGCCAACTTTCAAGACGCACCTCAGGAGGAGGCTTCTCTCAGCAATAGGTATGTGGGAGGGACACCGAGTTCGCTGCCTCAAGGGCAATATACAGCGAGAAGCCCTAACTTGAAAGGAGGCCGGATTTCCTTGCAGTGGCTTGAATACAGGCTCGTCTTTCATCTCACAACATGAAGGGATGTCTGAATCCCCTGTGGAGACCTTAGAGAAAGCCCTAGGTCCCTGCCTCATTTTGACGGAATGCCTCACATCCCGTTGACACCTCAAGAGGCACGCGAAGTTCATTGCTTCAAAAGGTGACAATGGCTCACTCCTCTTGTATTCTGATAGGAATCCCAAAATCCCTGTGGCTACTGGAAAGGGTCCTTGGGTGCCCTTCCTCACATCGAGAAGCGTCCCTTTTGCCCTGCCAAGCCTCGAAGAGATTCCAGAGGTGTCCCTCGTTACTAGACAGGAGTCCTGACGTCACTGAAGAAACTAGTGTTTTGAAGGGCCATCCCCGCCTTAAGTCGAGAACATACCCCAGGTCCCCGCCGCAACTCGAGAAAAACCATGAGACTTCCCCCTAGAGGCGAGATGAGGCCCCATTCCCCTGCAGTGCATGCAGAGCTATTCCGTGGTCCCATTCAAGCAAGTCAGGAGCTTCGACTTGCTTAATGGTTCTCGAGACAGTCCCCAAGAACACTGTCACCAGTCTCGACGGACCCTGAGGTCACCCCAGCAACGCAAAGCAGCTCCATGTGCCCCAAATCAACTCGAGATGAGGCCCGATTCCCCTGCATTGATTCCAGAGCCATTCCCCGTTCCCCATTCAACACGAACGGTGGCTCGACTTCCTTCAGGCATTCCAGAGATACCCCGAGAACACTGTCCCAAGTCTAGAGGAACACCAACTTCAGCACAGCAACTCGAGGAATGCTCCGTGTACCCCAAATCGTCTCGAGATGAGAGCTGATTCCCTGGCTTATGCTCAAGACGTATGCCAACTTTCCAGACGCACCTTAGGAGGAGGCTTCTCTCAGCAATAGGTATGTGGGAGGGACACCGAGTTTGCTGCCTCAAGGGCAATATACAGCGAGAAGCCCTAACTTGAAAGGAGGCCGGATTTCCTTGCAGTGGCTTGAATACAGGCTCGTCTTTCATCTCACAACATGAAGGGATGTCTGAATCCCCTATGGAGACCTTAGAGAAAGCCCTAGGTCCCTGCCTCATTTTGACGGAATGCCTCACATCCCGTTGACACCTCAAGAGGCACGCGAAGTTCATTGCTTCAAAAGGTGACAATGCCTCACTCCTCTTGAATACTGATAGGAATCCCAAAATCCCTGTGGCTACTGGAAAGGGTCCTTGGGTGCCCTGCCTGACCTCGAGAAGCGTCCCTTTTGCCCTGCCAAGCCTCGAAGAGATTCCTGAGGTGTCCCTCGTTACTAGACAGGAGTCCTGACGTCACTGAAGAAACTCGTGTTTTGAATTGCCATCCCCGCCGTAAGTCGAGAACATACCCCAGGTCCCCGCCGCAACTCGAGAAAAAACATGAGACTTCCCCCTAGAGGCGAGATGAGTCCCCATTCCCCTGCTGTGCATGCAGAGCTATTCCGTGGTCCCATTCAAGCAAGTCAGGAGCTTCGACTTGCTTAATGGATCTCGAGACAGTCCCCAAGAACACTGTCACAAGTCTCGACAGACCCTGAGGTCACCCCAGCAACACAAAGCAGCTCCATGGGCCCCAAATCAACTCGAGATGAGGCGCGATTCCCCTGCATTGACTCCAGAGCCATTCCCCGTTCCCCATTCAACACGACCGGTGGCTCGACTTCTTTCAGGCAACTCCAGAGATACCCCGAGAACACTGTCCCAAGTCTAGAGGAACACCAACTTCAGCACAGCAACTCGAGGAATGCTCCGTGTACCCCAAATCGTCTCGAGGTGAGAGCTGATTCCCTGACTTAGGCTCAAGCCGTATGCCAACTTTCAAGACGCACCTCAGGAGGAGGCTTCTCTCAGCAATAGGTATGTGGGAGGGACACCGAGTTCGCTGCCTCAAGGGCAATATACAGCGAGAAGCCCTAACTTGAAAGGAGGCCGGATTTCCTTGCAGTGGCTTGAATACAGGCTCGTCTTTCATCTCACAACATGAAGGGATGTCTGAATCCCCTGTGGAGACCTTAGAGAAAGCCCTAGGTCCCTGCCTCATTTTGACGGAATGCCTCACATCCGGTTGACACCTCAAGAGGCACGCGAAGTTCATTGCTTCAAAAGGTGACAATGGCTCACTCCTCTTGAATTCTGATAGGAATCCCAAAATCCCTGTGGCTACTGGAAAGGGTCCTTGGGTGCCCTTCCTCACATCGAGAAGCGTCCCTTTTGCCCTGCCAAGCCTCGAAGAGATTCCTGAGGTGTCCCTCGTTACTAGACAGGAGTCCTGACGTCACTGAAGAAACTCGTGTTTTGAAGGGCCATCCCCGCCATAAGTCGAGAACATACCCCAGGTCCCCGCCGCAACTCGAGAAAAACCATGAGACTTCCCCCTAGAGGCGAGATGAGGCCCCATTCCCCTGCAGTGCATGCAGAGCTATTCCGTGGTCCCATTCAAGCAAGTCAGGAGCTTCGACTTGCTTAATGGTTCTCGAGACAGTCCCCAAGAACACTGTCACCAGTCTCGACGGACCCTGAGATCACCCCAGCAACGCAAAGCAGCTCCATGTGCCCCAAATCAACTCGAGATGAGGCCCGATTCCCCTGCATTGACTCGAGAGCCATTCCCCGTTCCCCATTCAACACTACCGGTGGCTCGACTTCCTTCAGGCAACTCCAGAGATACCCCGAGAACACTGTCCCAAGTCTAGAGGAACACCAACTTCAGCACAGCAACTCGAGGAATGCTCCTTGTACCCCAAATCATCTCGAGATGAGAGGTGATTCCCTGGCTTAGGCTCAAGATGTAAGCCAACTTTCCAGAAGCACCTCAGGAGGAGGCTTCTCTCAGCAATAGGTATGTGGGAGGGACCCCGAGTTCGCTGCCTCAAGGGCAATATACAGCGAGAAGCCCTAACTTGAAAGGAGGCCGGATTTCCTTGCAGTGACTTGAATACCGGCTCGTCTTTCATCTCACAACATGAAGGGATGTCTGAATACCCTGTGGAGACCTTAGAGAAAGCCCTAGGTCCCTGCCTCATTTTGACGGAATGCCTCACATCCCGTTGACACCTCAAGAGGCACGCGAAGTTCATTGCTTCAAAAGGTGACAATGCCTCACTCCTCTTGAATACTGATAGGAAACCCAAAATCCCTGTGGCTACTGGAAAGGGTCCTTGGGTGCCCTGCCTCACCTCGAGAAGCGTCCCTTTTGCCCTGCCAAGCCTCGAAGAGATTCCTGAGGTGTCCCTCATTACTAGACAGGAGTCCTGACGTCACTGAAGAAACTCGTGTTTTGAAGGGCCATCCCCGCCGTAAGTCGAGAACATACCCCAGGTACCCGCCGCAACTCGAGAAAAACCATGAGACTTCCCCCTAGAGGCGAGATGAGGCCCCATTCCCCTGCAGTGCATGCAGAGCTTCCGTGGTCCCATTCAAGCAAGTCAGGAGCTTCGCCTTGCTTAATGGTTCTCGAGACAGTCCCCAAGAACACTGTCACCAGTCTCGACGGACGCTGAGGTCACCCCAGCAACGCAAAGCGGCTCCATGGACCCCAAATCAACTCGAGATGAGGCCCGATTCCCCTGCATTGACTCCAGAGCCATTCCCCGTTCCCCATTCAACACGACCGGTGGCTCGACTTCCTTCAGGCAACTCCAGAGATGCCCCGAGAACACTGTCCGAAGTCTAGAGGAACTCCAACTTCAGCACAGCAACTCGAGGAATGCTCCGTGCACCCCAAATCGTCTCGAGATGAGAGCTGATTCCCTGGCTTAGGCTCAAGACGTATGCCAACTTTAAAGACGCATCTCAGGAGGAGGCTTCTCTCAGCAATAGGTATTTGGGAGGGACCCCGAGTTCGCTGCCTCAAGGGCAATATACAGCGAGAAGCCCTAACTTGAAAGGAGGCCGGATTTCCTTGCAGTGGCTTGAATACAGGCTCGTCTTTCATCTCACAACAGGAAGGGATGTCTGAATGCCCTTTGGAGATCTTAGAGAAAGCCCTAGGTCCCTGCCTCATTTGGACGTAATGCCTCACATCCCGTTGACACCTCGAGAGGCACGCGGAGTTCATTGCTTCAAAAGGTGACGATGCCTGACTCCTCTTGAATACTGATAGGAATCCCAAAATCCCTGTGGCTACTGGAAAGTGTCTTGGGTGCCCTGACTCACCTCGAGAAGCGTCCCTTTTGCCCTGCCAAGCCTCGAAGAGATTCCTGAGCTTTCCCACGTTACTAGACAGGAGTCCTGACGTCACTGAAGAAACTCGTGTTTTGAAGGGCCATCCCCGCCGTAAGTCGAGAACATACCCCAGGTCCCTGCCGCAACTCGAGAAAAACCATGAGACTTCCCCTTAGAGGCGAGATGAGACCCCATTCCCCTGCAGTGCATGCAGAGCTATTCCGTGGTCCCATTCAAACAAGTCAGGAGCTTCGACTTGCTTAATGGATCTCGAGACAGTCCCCAAGAACACTGTCACCAGTCTCGACGGACGCTGAGGTCACCCCAGCAACGCAAAGCCGCTCCATGTGCCCCAAAACAACTCGAGATGAGGCCCGATTCCCCTGCATTGAATCCAGAGCCATTCCCCGTTCCACATTCAACACGACCGGTGGCTTGACTTCCTTCAGGCAACTCCAGAGATGCCCCGAGAACACTGTCCCAAGTCTAGAGGAACACCAACTTCAGCACGGCAACTCGAGGAATGCTCCGTGTACCCCAAATCGTCTCGAGATGAGAGGTGATTCCCTGGCTTAAGCTCAAGACGTATGCCAACTTTCCAGACGCACCTCAGGAGGAGGCTTCTCTCAGCAATAGGTATGTGGGAGGGACCCCGAGTTCGCTGCCTCAAGGGCAATATACAGCGAGAAGCCCTAACTTGAAAGGAGGCCGGATTTCCTTGCAGTGGCTTGAATACAGGCTCGTCTTTCATCTCACAACATGAAGGGATGTCTGAATCCCCTGTGGAGACCTTAGAGAAAGCCCTAGGTCCCTGCCTCATTTTGACGGAATGCCTCACATCCCGTTGACACCTCAAGAGTCACGCGAAGTTTATTGTTTCAAAAGGTGACAATGCCTCACTCCTCTTGAATACTGATAGGAATCCCAAAATCACTGTGGCTACTGGAAAGGGTCCTTGGGTGCCCTGCCTCACCTCGAGAAGCGTCCCGTTTGCCCTGCCAAGCCTCGAAGAGATTCCTGAGGTGTCCCTCATTACTAGACAGGAGTCCTGACGTCACTGAAGAAACTCGTGTTTTGAATTGCCATCCCCGCCGTAAGTCGAGAGCATAACCCAGGTGCCCGCCGCAACTCGAGAAAAACCATGAGACTTCCCCCTAGAGGCGAGATGAGGCCCCATTCCCCTGCTGTGCACGCAGAGCTATTCCGTGGTCCCATTCAAGCAAGTCAGGAGGTTCGACTTGCTTAATGGATCTCGAGACAGTCCCCAAGAAAACTGTCACCAGTCTCGACGGACCCTGAGGTCACCCCAGCAACACAAAGCAGCTCCATGGGCCCCAAATCAACTCGAGATGAGGCCCGATTCCCCTGCATTGACTCCAGAGCGATTCCCCGTTCCCCATTCAACACGACCGGTGGCTCGACTTCCTTCAGGCAACTCCAGAGATGCCCCGAGAACACTGTCCCAAGTCTAGAGGAACACCAACTTCAGCACAGCAACTCGAGGAATGCTCCGTGTACCCCAAATCGTCTCGAGATTAGAGGTGATTCCCTGGCTTAGGCTCAAGACGTATGCCAACTTTCAAGACGCACCTCAGGAGGAGGCTTCTCTCAGCAATAGGTATGTGGGAGGGACCCCGAGTTCGCTGCCTCAAGGGCAATATACAGCGAGAAGCCCTAACTTGAAAGGAGGCCGGATTTCCTTGCAGTGGCTTGAATACAGGCTCGTCTTTCTTCTCACAACATGAAGGGATGTCTGAATCCCCTGTGGAGACCTTAGAGAAAGCCCAAGGTCCCTGCCTCATTTGGACGGAATGCCTCACATCCCGCTGACACCTCGAGAGGCACGCGAAGTTCATTGTTTCAAAAGGTAACAATGCCTCACTCCTCTTGAATACTGATAGGAATCCCAAAATCACTGTGGCTACTGGAAAGGGTCCTTGGGTGCCCTGCCTCACCTCGAGAAGCGTCCCTTTTGCCCTGCCAAGCCTCGAAGAGATTCCTGAGGTGTCCCTCGTTACTAGACAGGAGTCCTGACGTCACTGAAGAAACTCGTGTTTTGAATTGCCATCCGCGCCGTAAGTCGAGAACATACCCCAGGTCCCCGCCGCAACTCGAGAAAAACCATGAGACTTCCCCCTAGAGGCGAGATGAGGCCCATTCCCCTGCAGTGCATGCAGAGCTATTCCGTGGTCCCATTCAAGCAAGTCAGGAGCTTCGACTTGCTTAATGGATCTCGAGACAGTCCACAAGAACAATGTCACCAGTCTCGACGGACCCTGAGGTCACCCCAGCAACACAAAGCAGCTCCATGGGCCCCAAATCAACTCGAGATGAGGCCCGATTCCCCTGCATTGACTCCAGAGCCATTCCCCGTTCCCCATTCAACACGACCGGTGGCTCGACTTCCTTCAGGCAACTCCAGAGATGCCCCGAGAACACTGTCCCAAGTCTAGAGGAACACCAACTTCAGCACGGCAACTCGAGGAATGCTCCGTGTACCCCAAATCGTCTCGAGATGAGAGGTGATTCCCTGGCTTAGGCTCAAGACGTATGCCAACTTTCAAGACGCACCTCAGGAGGAGGCTTCTCTCAGCAATAGGTATGTGGGAGGGACCCCGAGTTCGCTGCCTCAAGGGCAATATACAGCGAGAAGCCCTAACTTGAAAGGAGGCCGGATTTCTTTGCAGTGGCTT